TAATCTACGTAAAGACGTAGATTTCTATCCTTCTTTAGAACGAATAGGATCGGGTATTTTATTAGTAAAGTTGATTTACGGATATAACCTTTCTTTAGGTTTTCGTTAATATATTCTCTTAGTATCTAAGACTTTTTCTTAGATAGCTAGTAAATTAGCTTAATAGTAGGTTCCTTGCCTTCTATTATATTAATTTCGTGGTCGAATAGGTTATGCTCTAATAGTATCCTATTTGTTGGTTTCGTAAAAATATCCTCGAAGTCTTAATATTCTTTCAGAATTCGTGGTTTCTCGTTAGTAGTATAGATCTGCTTCGTTTCGTGCCTAATTATAATATAGTCTCGTAGTTTATTGTCCGTTATATCTAGTGATTATTTAGTTATTGTGATAACGTTGATATTATATATCTACGTTTTATTTTTCTAGTATTGTCCTATAATTTTGCTTATAGGACTTTTTTTAAGTTCTCCTTCGTAGGGACCCTATATATCGTGGTATACGTCGATTAGTAAGGTAGCCTCGCCTTAGGGCCGAGAGCTTCCTTTAGGTTCTTTCTCGTAGGAACTCTATTGGATACCGGTCTCTCTATAACTCGGTTCTTTTAGTCGTGTTATTAGATTCTTTATAGTCTAGGTTTTGTATGTCTTTTTGTATAGATATTTATCGAATTCAATTTTTCTTATTTATTAATTAATCGTCGGATTGTGCTTCCGTAACTAGGGTACTCTAAGAACTATATTATATTCCCTTAATTTAGTGATATCGAAGTTGATTAATTCAAAATACTCGTGGGTTATTATTGGAATATTTCTGTTTTTGTACGTAATTCCTAGTCCTAGGCTTTCTCCGTTAAGTCCTTAAATTAGTATTAGTTATAGCTTCGCGTAGCCCTAGATTTGTATCTATTACTAGTATCGGGGGTTTATAAAGTTACCTACGGCTCCCGAGTTAAGTATCGCTTTAGTCGCTTAAAAGAGGATATTAATATTAAGCTTTATATACCTTCCCTATGCTGTTGCCGCTATCTGTTACCGCCTTTTTAACTGGTTATTAGCGTTTTACTTGTAGATCTTTTATCTATTAACTTATATTCCGGTGAACTCTGGTTTCTATCGAGGTTTTTTTATCTAATTTAAGGGTCGTGGTTCGATACTATAATCGAGCTTGCCTTAGTAGTGGATTAAGTAAGTATTATTATAGTACTTAAATATTGATATAACCTAGTAGTCTAGGTATCGTGCGTGTCCTTTATATACGTACTGTGGGTTTAGATAGGGGCATCCGAATTTTTTGTCGAGTCGAGCTATTAGTCGTTAAAAGTCTTTATTATATATACTAATACTTCCTATCTATCGGAGTTGCTATATCTCCTTAAGTAAGTCTTCGTTTTTCTAGGGGTCTTCTTAAGGCGATTCCGGAGTCTCCTAAGAAGTCTTCTAAGGTTTAGGCGTTACTAGAATTTCGACCGGTGTTTCTAAAATACCGTATCTTTAGCCAAAGGATTCTTTTGATAGATCCGGCGAGTCATCGTTCTCCTAGGGATTATTCTAGGTCTATCCTTAATTCTTAACTATTTCCTAATCAATTTCTAGAAAACCTTCTGACTCTCTTTAGTTAGATATACTATCGTTAGTAAACTTTTCACGTATCACGAATACGTCTTCGCGTCTTAGAACCGGTGTCTACGCGGTATTTAGGTTCGAGTCATACTTAGTTACTTTAGGGTCTTTGCTAAAGGATTCCTTATCCTAACGGTCGTTATTTATTACGTAGAGTTACTAAGCTAGCACTCCGGTAGTATTATAAGCTTCTTTATTCTATATAGCTCGTAGTTACTATTACCGATTACTATTATCTAATACTTTCTTGTAGTAATCCTTGATCTAGTAGTCTAGCTTGCTATAATAGAAGCAAAGATTCTTTCTTTTACGTTCTTCTTATTCTTTAGTCGGAAGTCTCGCTATATCGAGCTCTATAGGTCTTAGTCTATAAAGGTTATTATCGTATAATTCCCTTACTAGTTACTGCTTTTGCCCTTATCTATTATCGTGGCGGCGGAGTCCTCGTGGGATATATCCGGCGTTATTCTATCGTGTTTTATATCGTTGTTATCTACACTCGTAAAGCCGGTTGTCGAATTTGACCGCTATCTCGATCATCCGAGATAGGTTAGTTGGCCGATTAATTCTTATAAGTTTGTCTTTAATTTCTTTTTTGAGTCCTCGTTCGAATAGCTAAATATATATATCGTTATTATAATTAAGATACGAGATAATCTGCTGGAACTCGGCGGCGTAAATACTGGCTAAGCTAGTTTATCGGATTCGTTTAAGTCGTCGCTCTGCGGTCCGTTACGTATCGATATTCCTAAAGGTCTATTCGAGCTTCCTTTTGAAATTAGTATATAATTAGAAAATCGCCTAAGTCACGTCTCCCTAATCTAGTTACCTTTTCTCGTTAAACTCCCTAATATAGGGCTTAAACTAGTTAAAGGCTTATTCTCGAAGATAGATTAAAACGTAGATAACCTTATCCGCTTCTTTTATATAGTTAATAATATATAACTATATATCTATCTAGGTCAGGAATCCTCGAAGCTTAGATTGAGTTCTATTGAAGAAGTCGGGTTTCGGTAGTTTTATAGACGCTACGGGTCTGGTTCTCTCCTAGATAAGTTACTCTTAGAGCTAACTAATTATATCTATAAATTACGCGTTAGTCGGAGTAGATTAACTCGCGGAACCACGCGAAAGGTTGCTAGCGCTATCGTTACCGGCTATAGTTATCGAAGTATTAACGTCTCGTATACTATGATTTAAGATAGGCGTTTAAAGTGTTACGTACCGGTTACTTATAGATATTAGCTAGAACCTAAAGGTATACTTCTCTTAAGATACTAAGACACGTGGGTCTTTCTAGTTATACTAAGAGGCTAAGGGTCTTCTAGTATTAACGATATCCGCCCTCGTAATTGTACTATTGCCTTATCCGTTAGGCCTTATATAGGCTTGGGTCTATTAAGATATCGAGGAACGATTAAGGTAAGGAGTACTTAGTAATAGAATTACCGAGGGTACTTCACCACTAGTAGGGTTGTCTTAAGAGGATCACAGTGTAAACGAGACAATCTAGGTTAAACTTATAACTAAGGTTGATAATATGAGTTGAACGCGAAGAGCTAGATACACGATGAACGAGTGTCTTTATATATCCTTCGCCGACTATTCTATGCCCTCTTTCGTGGTATACTATATACGGGTATATAGTAGTCCTATCGATATACTATCCGATATACTATTCCTTAGCAACGGATCGTGGTATATTGTCACGTGACCCATACCCCTATTATCCTGTATTATCACCGCGGGGTTGGTTGGTTCTGGTTTTCTCCTGTACCCCTGCTAGCGCGAGTGAGGTGGCTTGGTTCGTAACACTAGAGATAAATAATAATAATTAGATTATTTAAAAAAAAGCTTAGAATTTAGGATATTTAATAATTTAAAAAAAAAACTATAAAATAATTATTATAGTAATTAATTATTACTTCTATAGCTCTTAAATAATTAATTAGGCTATTTAAGAGAAATTCTTAGTCTAAGAAAGATTAGTCTATAAATTAAATAATAGCTATATAATATATTATATATTCTATAAGATATTAGATTATTAAATATTCAATAGTATTTTAGCTTTTTTAGTATATACTCCGATTCTAGTAGCGTTAAAGACCTATTATCCTATTTTTAGTATAGACTAAATAGTCTATAATCTTATTATATTATTTATATAAGAGCTTTAGCTCTTTTATTACTAAAAATATAACTTAATTAAAATATAATTATATATTAATCTATTATAGACTCTTCTAGTTTATCTTTCTTATAATATTATAAAAACTACTAATTTAGGTATTAAGCTACTAGTTTAAAAATTCTACTTTATTTATACTATTAAAAATTATCTAGATCTTTTTCTGATTATTAGATTATTTTAGTATTAATAGTATAATAGAAGAGAGGCTTTACTTAATTTACTAGCTTTCTAGTAGTTCTAAAAAAGTATTAAGAAATTAATTAGAATAGAAAATAGATAACTTAAACCCTTTACTCTTAATAAGAGAGGGAGGATATAAAATAGATAACTAAGATATAGAAAAGATATAGTAATAGTATATTAAAGTAAAGGACTTAAGATATAGAAAAATAATCTAAGGTAAATTATTATAGATTTAGGGGAATATATAGGTCTAATACTTATTTTTTATTAGTAGATAGGATTTAGTATTATTCTAGTACTAAATTTTATAACTAATTAGAATAGGCTCTACTAATATATATAAAGCTTATTAGATAGTAAAAAATAGGTTAATAGATTAATCTATAGATTAACCTATTAATCTAAATAATTAGATAAGAGTAATACCCTAAGATTTTTCTTTTCATCCCTAAAAAATTTTAACCTAACTAGCCAATATTATTATTTTATATAAATCCAGAAAAAATATTTAAAATAATTCTTTTATATAATTAAGACTATAATATATTTATATATAAATAAAGAAATATTACATATTAGATTTATATCTATTTTATTATTTCTAATATATATAGTTTATTTATATAAAAAGTAATAGTATTACTATAAACTTTAAATATATATTTTTAGGTTTAGTATAAGAAAGGGTTAACTAATATCTTCTTTCGCCTATATCTATCTATTATAAAATATAATTCTTATCTTAAAGTATTAAATTAATAAATTTATACTAAAATAGATCAAAAATAGGTTAACCCGTTAACCCGCGGGTCAACCTATAGGCGGGTCAGGATTTTATTGACCCGAGCTATGGGTCGTGGGTTTAGGTCATGGGTCAAGATCTTAACAAATTCTTTTAGGCATATGGCTCGAAACCATTGTATTGTAGAATTTTGTAATCAATCTATAAAAACACAAAGAGCCCTAAACTAGGTCAATGGAGAGAAGAAAAAAAGCCACCACCCTTAAGCAAAGTGCGGCGCGTTGATGAATAGACCCATCAAACACCCTCCCAGAGTCCCAGCAATAGGGATGGTCATGATCCACGCAAGCAGCAGCAGACCAACCCGCTGGAAATTGACTGCCCTCAGAGTACCATTGCAGAGACCCACACCGACGGTGGCACCAGTAATACACATGGATGTCGAAACCGGGAGCGAGTACTGCGAGAAGACGAGGACGGTGATGGCGGCGCCCAGCTCCATGGACGAGCCGCGGCTGGGGGAGTGGTAGGTGATTTTGTTGCCCATGACTATCAAGGAAGAAAAGTTAGTAAAGGGTATAGAAGAAAGAAAAGGGGATAGGATGTTGACAAATAACTCACCCTTCATGATGTTGTATCCGTACGTGCAGAGCCCAAGAGAAATACAGATAGCCAGTACAGCCAGCTGCCACACGGGAACGGGGGCCTTGGAGGCGGCGGGGCTGCCGGTCGACCAGGCAGAGTAGATAGCGGCCCAGGGCCCGACAGAGTTACCGATATCGTTGGCACCGTGAGCAAATGAGGCAGTGCAGGCCGTGATGATCTGTACGAACGAGTAGCTGTGCTCGACCTCATTGGGGTATTTTTCCGCATGTGCATACACACGCTTCATGCGCTCGCCCTCGGGCGTGCCATGGATACCGCTCTGGGCCGTGTGGATGTCATAGTGGAAGCCGTAGAGCAACCCGACGACAACCATGGCGGGAATGCGCTTGGCAAGGAGCCACATGTTGCGCAGCTCGTACATCTCACCCGCACCTATGGGGTTGTCACGCAGCATGCGCAAAGCCCAGCCAAGAGGCCCACGGCTCTTAAGGAGCTTGGCGTGGTGGCGGGCCTCGGACTGCGCCATCAACTCCTTGTACGAAAACTGGTTCTTCTCTTGGTCCTCGGAGTGAGACCGGATGGAGGAGATTGCGCCGGGGACATCCTTGGGGTCGTCGATGGACTCGTGCGAGTGAGTCGGGTGGTGCTCGTCGTGCTCGTCCTGGACAACGGCGTAGTTGGGCACCTTGGCGATCTCAGAGCCAGTAGGAGCGGCACGGCTGAAGAGGAGTGGGCCGAGGATGAACATCCACCACTTGACGGAATGGTCCTTCTTGATCACCCGTGCATGCACAAAGGGGACAAAGAAGATTGCCGACAGGATCGCAACACCACCACCAGTGCCGACGGTCACGGCAGCAATGTACCAGCTGGGCTTCTTGCTCAGACCTAGGTTCGGTGAGCCCTTGTAGACGATGGACAGCGTGCAGATGGTCGCGGCCGTGAGGAAGAAGAATGGCGAGGTGTACACGGCCCAGGGAACAGGGTTGCGGCGCATGTGAACCACGAGCTTGATTATCATGAAGATGATGGCAGCAAAGCCACCCGAGATGATCGGGGCCATTCCTAGACCCGCGAAGATGGCACCCAGACCATTGCCCTTGTTCCAGCCCCATTTGACCTCGGATGCTCCGACGGTAGCCACACCGACACCGGCAACCGCAGAGATAAGCGAGTAGGTGGAGGAGACATGCGCCGAGTGCCGAGTACACCACATCACCCACGAAGAGGCGGCCGCCAGTGCACAGGTGAAGGCAAGCATCTGGACCCCAGCATTGTTATGGAAGGCTGAGCTGGGGATAATTCCGTTCTTGATGGTCTCAGCTGTCCGTGAGCCGACAGTGACGGCTCCCAGAAACTCGAAGATGGTACCCAGAACCATGGCCTGTCGGTAGGAGATGGACCGCGAGGAGACACTAGTAGCCCAGGAGTTGGCAACATCGTCTAGATGCCATTAGTATGAATTTTTGAAAGTCTCACTCCTCAGACCAGGGGGGTAACTTACTTGCGCCGTTGTTGTAAGCATCAAGGATGGCAAACAACGTGCCAATGGCAAAGATATAGTCGTACTCGTGGAGATACATCTTGCCGGGGACCAAGGTCAATAATGAATGACGATGGAATGAGTACTAGGGCTCAGCGGACTGAAAGAGAGAAAGCAAAAGAAAAACAAAAGAAAACGAGCGAAGAAAGAAGGTTTTATGTAGAGAGTTTTTGTTGTAGCTCTCTTCTTACCCTTGGTCTCTCTCTCTCTCTGCTATCTCTGGCCTCGCCCAAGCCATGGTAATCTATGGTCATCTATACGCCGTGGCAAGGGGCCGTGAGCCCTAGAGAAGAAGAAGAATAATACCCCATTTCGAAAGAAGTACCAACACGTGCGAATTCGACTCGCTCCGACAGGCGTCAGACACCCGAGGCTTTTCTTGGCAACCTTGTAAGCTCGGGGCAAAAATGCTTTGTATGCTTTGTATATGCTTTGCGCATCGAGGCACGGCGGAAGTAATCTGAAACGCGCGCAATAAATGGCCCGCCAAGCCAAGCCAATGCTATGCCAACTAGGACTTGGGTGAGCTTGGGTCCCACGAAGCAAAATTGGCAGGCTTGGCGGACCGCGGGTTGGCTGTGAATTGGCTGGTTCACTGCTTGGCGTGGCTTGGACGGGTGAGAGTGTGCCCTATAAGAAGGCAGGGCTGTTCCACGTGTGAAGATATTGGATTGACTTTGTGTATGAGAAATGTATGATTCTCTGAGACGCTTCTATTTACGCCATCGCTATCGGCGACTGCTTCACTTGCCATGTTGTCACCACGTGGGATTGGTGCATCTCCACAATATTCCATACTCATGTCTACGTTGATGTTACACTCCAACTAGTGCTAGTTGGTAGTGATCAAACCTAGGATCATGTCGCATGTCGAAATTATCAACCAGATTTCAATTTATTCAGCTATGAACCACGGACCCAACCCCAGAGCCTTTGTAGACCCGCGGTTGGCCGTTCAACCATGCTATTGGGAATAGCCTGCAGCACAAAGCCTACCGGGACCGAGATGGCCCCAAGAACCACCGAATACGCCCACTGGTCGCCGGTTAATCGCACCACTGAAAACGCTCGCCCGCCGACAAACACAATCAGGATCTGGGCGCTGATCATAAGTGTCGTGATGGCGACAAAGAGCCAGTTGTGCAGCACGCCCTCGAGGAGGTTGAAGGACCGCTCGACTTGGCGGTTGCTAATCAAACACTCATTAGCTGGATTCTTTTTTTTTTCTTTCTTTTGCCCAAGATTGATCTGTAAACAAAACATACTTATACATGTTGAAAATCTGCATCCACACATATGTGTTGAACACCGCTGTCTGCAGCTGTTGCTGCTGGTGGTTCGTGGTGTATGAAAATATGGATGACCCGGCAAAGTGCAATACCAGCGTCACTACCATCTGGTAGATGGACTGGCCGACAATCATCTTCCACATCATCGAGTTGATCAAGGGCGTCGATTTGGGCTCGGGCTTTCGGTTTAGGATCCGTCGCGGTGGAGGGTCCGTGGCTAACGCCAACGCTGCCAGCGTGTCTTGGAACAGATTCACCCACATCAGCTGCACCGGTGTCAGAACAGACTCCTCGTCCGCGTTGGCGACCGCAGAGACGAATGCAAGCCCGACAGACGTAAAGGTGATAGTGATTTGGAACTGGCGAAAAAGGGAAAGTCAGTTTTCCCTTCTTGTCTATATTTTTTTATTCTTGTCTCTCGAGTAGCATCGAGTACTCACCTGCAAGAATTTCTTGATAGCATCGCTGACGGCTCGTCCCCACATAATGGCATTGACAATCGATGAAAAAGTGTCATTCATCAGGACAATCGACGAAGCCTCCCGCGCGACCTCCGTCCCCGATATCCCCATCGAGAAGCCAACATCCGCCGCGGCCAGCGCTGGCGCATCGTTCGTGCCATCCCCCGTCACAGCGACAACTCTCCCCAACTCCTTCAGACGCTGAACAAGAATCCGCTTGTCGTTTGGCCGAGACCGGGCCAGGACTTTGAGCCGGGGGACTAAATCGCTCTGCTTGGATTCATCGAGGACACGGAATTCCTGTCCGTCCATGACGATATCCTCGGGGCCACAGACAATCCCACATTCTGTTGCGATCGCTCGGGCTGTCAGAAGATTGTCGCCGGTTACCATACGTACAGTCAGTCCCGCTTTGTGGCAGGTCTGCACCGCATCCCATGCATCAGCTCGGAGAGGATCGCGGATGCCGACAACCCCGAAGAAGGTGAGTTCTTTAAGGAGCTCCTCGAATCTTACGACTTCACCCTCTTCCCAGGCCCGATTGTCCAAGTCGCGATAGCAAAAGGCGATTGTTCGTAGCGAGCGCGAGGCATACTCGGCAATAGCCTGGAGCGCCTGTCCCGTTGTAGCCTCTGTGATTGGCGTACCCAGAAGGCCCTTAGTGGGATCTGTTATAGCTGCTGTGCACTTCCCCAAGAGTACTTCAGGGGCACCCTTCACGTAAGCTCGGTATGACCCATTCGCAAGCTGAACCACAGTAACCATGTATTTGCGGGACGCGTCAAAGGGAAGCAACTCGACAACTTTGGAATGGGCGCGTTCGCCTTCTAACTGACTGAGCCCCAGGTAATCCTGAGCAAAGCGTAGCAATGCCGCCTCGGTTTGGGACCCTAGAAACTGTCGACCGCCTCCGTTTTCGTGGCTCTCGACTGCAGTGGAGTTCATCACGATGGATTGTGACAAGAGATCCCGGAAAATACCAGAGAGACCCCGCATGCACCCCGACACTGGTAAGTCCGCCCGGTCCTTGGTCTCTGGTCCAGTGGTCGGGTCGGTGAAATGGGATGTAACGCTAAAAAACCCCGACACAACCGTCATCTCGTTCTGCGTCAAAGTCCCTGTTTTGTCGGAGCAGACGTCGGTAGCATTTCCCATGGTCTCGCACGCTCGGAACTGCCGGACCAGATTGTTATTCTTCATCATGCGTGTTGTCGCGAATGATAGAGCAAGAGTCACTGCCAGCGGAAGACCTTCCGGGACTGCGATGACCACGATGGTAAGGGCAAGGATAAAGACATTGAGAAACGACTGGCCTTTCTCTGTGGGAGTCTCCGTGCTGTGGCGGAGGCCAACCAGGAATCGGATGAACAGAATCACAAACAGCACCAGGCCGGCGGCACCACCGAACCGGGCAATGTTCTTGGCTAGCCCGCTGAGTCTCACCTGCAACGGGGTGAAGCCCGGATCGTCGTTGAGGGATGATAGGATTTTCCCATAGCTAGAGTTTGTGCCAGTAGCCAAAACGAGGAAAGCACCGACACCCTCGACAACCTTTGTATGCGAGAGAATAAACGGGTCTGTATGCAGATGCTGACCGTCGTAAGTTTCCTGCTGCGAGCTCTCCGACAGAGACTCAGCAGGGCGCTTGTCCACTGGCTCAGACTCCCCGGTCGCCGACGACTCGTCGCATTTGACCTGGTGGCCTCGGATCAAGAGCCCATCGGCCGGCACGATATCCCCAGGATTGACGTGGATGAGATCCCCGACGACAACTTCGGAGATGGGGATCTCCAGGGTCTGCGCGGAGCGAATGACCCAGACGTTGCGGTCTTGCTTCTTGCGGTTGAGTTTTCGGAATTTCAATTCTTTCTGGAAGTCGTTGGCCGCGCCGGCGAGCACAATCACGACGATCGCAACGAGGATCGACACCCCTTCCACCCATTCTACAGGGGGGTTCTCGGGGGAGTGCGCCGTTCCAAAGGTCTGGTATAAACCGAGAGCGAGCGAAATCACAGCTGCTCCCGTCAGCAGAAACAGCACATGGTCATTATAGGCCATCCACATCAGCCACCAGAGACTCGGGGGCTGTTTGGTGGGCAGGCGGTTGTCGCCGAAGCATTTCCTGCGATCGACAAAGGCATGGCGTGGGAATTCCGCGGAATGCCGGGGTTCGGGTAGGACAATTTTCTCTGGTGATGTTGTTGCTGATGTTGTAGTGGTTGTTGTTGCGGCATCTCGAAATGTTTCATCCAGACTCAACCCACTCTGTAAATCGGTCTGTAATCCCTCTGCAAGACCCCTCAAACCTCCTAGGGCATGCAGCTCCGACAGATTCTTGGAATGGACAAATTCGCTTAGTCGGTCCGGGGCAATCGAGAAGGCCGATACATTCGGGGCATCGGGGGGTTGTTCGGCACGCTTCGATCGGGGGATCTTTTTTTTGGACAGTTAACAGTCATTCTACAGTATCTATTGGGTAGGTAATTTTCCTTGTTTGCTTACCCTTCGCAGCAGAGACACAGGAAGAAGGGAGCCGTCGGGCCTAGCAATTGGTGTCATCGGGCCAGTTCATAGAGGGAGAATGAGTTCAGCTCATCCCCTGGATCAGTTGATGCGATGGGAAGAAATGATCTATAAATACGGGTATGTAATTCTCTCCCGGTCAGTGGAGACGGGTAAAGCTGGGTAACGCTGGTGGGTCCAGGAACACTGCTGGTATACAGGTAGAACCAAGTTTATTAAAATCCCAAGAACTGGGGAGAGTCGAAAGTGGCAATATATAAGCACATTCATCGAGCATTCCATAGGCAATTTATATCTGTAGACTCCAGATACTGATCACCAATTGTCCTCGAAGCAATATCAAAGGAACTAGTGCGGTTGTCAGTGTCAGCCCATTTCACCCCCAGCTTTTTTTCAATAGCTTGAAGAGAGTCTTTCAAATATAAGAAAATTAAAACGCGGTAAAACACATGTTCCTGTGTAATTCGACGCCTTGGACACCCTTGACGAGTAAGGGGGGGCACTTTGTAGAGTCGGCCATTCTATACTTCCCAAGTCGCATTACTAGAACTGTCCGAATTGGATGGCTCACACCGAGTGATTTACGCACTGAGCACAGTATGGACTGTTAGAATAAACCCCGGAACTTAACTAGCATGAGAGACGTCTTGTATTCATCGGCAGAGTGAAAGGTGGGCTGTATAGAAGATTGGACCTCGCGATTCCGGAAACAACAACCGCTGGTGATCCTCCAGTGTTTAATAGGCTTCTTAACCCAATAGTCAATGACCAATATTCAATGACTACTCAGTCCCATAAGGCAGGCTCAAAGTAAATTAATAATAAAAACCACTGCAGGCCCCAGGGGGATTGGCTGTGTATTCGACGAGTCTTGGCAAGTAGGCTGTGCAGAGCAAAATCGAATCTTATGGGAGACCGAAGCAAGTGATAAAAGGGCCTTATCCTACTGGAGATTGTCGATTGTTGATTTCTATCCGTTTTCTTTTACAAAGAACCCCCCACGTTGGTCATGCGAATGGGCATCATCACGTTTCATTTCGAAAGCTACTCCAGAAAAAAAAAGGCAACTAACTTTATGTCAACCTTCTTTGCGCATCATTTCGATCGGCAGCCTCGACCCAGGCTACTCGTCTGAGATCTTCGAGCGCTGCAATGGTGTCCGGATGATCCTTGCCGAGCCCTGCCTCCCTCCGTGCATAGACCGTTTCTGCCAACCCCCCGGCCCCATCCCACTTGCCTTGTGATTGGTATATGAATCCCAGATTGGCCATGGCCGTGAGGGTGTGGGGGTGGTTCTCGCCAAAGGTCGCCTTCATAGTCTGCAGAACCCATGAGGCTAGTCTCTCGGCATCGCGTGGTTGTCGCGTGAGATGATATGTCACCGCCAGATCTGCCATGGCGGTTAATGTGTGCGGGTGGTGCTCTCCCAGCACCTGTTGCATGGCGTTCATTGCCTTCACGCCGAGGTCCTTGGCTTCTTCTAGCCGGCCCTGGCCGCGGTAGGTCGAGGCAAGGTTGTTGAGAGACAGGAGCGTTTGCGGATGTGTTTCGCCGAGCACCGTCTCGCTGGTCGTCAGAACCTCTTTTTCAAGGTGCTCGGCGTCTACTAATTGGCTTTGGGCCCGGTAGGTAGACGCTAGGTTGGCCATCGAGGTCAATGTGAGTGGGTGGCTTGTTCCCAACGATTCCCGGCGTGCGTCGACGACCTCGCGCTCGAGTCGCTCGGCCACGGATAGTCGGCCTTGGTCGCGGTAGGTGGATGCCAGATTGGATTTCCATGTGAGCATGGATGTATCTGTTGCGCTCAGGGTCCGTTCCCCCACTTCCACCAGCTGACGCTCGATCGTTTCGGCCTCGGCATACTGCCCGAGACTTGCATAGGAGACGGCCAAATTGGCCATGGAAATCAGGGTCGAGTGGTGGTCTCTCCCCAGGGTCTGTGTTTTGAGCTCGACGACTTTGGAATCGAGGGCTCGCGCGTCGGCCCAGCGTCCCTGGCTGCGGTAGGTGGCCGCGAGATTCGACATGGATATTAATGTCTGCGGATGTTTCTCGCCCAGGGATTTTCGCCTGAGACTCGTGACTCGCTCTCCCAGACCAGCCGCTTTATCCCATTGCCCTTGGCCCCAATATGCCGAGGCCAGGTTACTCATTGCCGTCAACGTCGCCAGGTCCTTTTCACCCAGGAGCGTCTCGCGCGCTTCCAACACTATCACGCCGAGATCCGCCGCGACTGTCCACCAGCCACGGTTGAGGCAGTTCTTGACAACCACGCTCATCTCTTCGAGTGATATTGTCGTCGCTTCGGTGGTTGTGTCCACTGCGGCCTTCTGTTCTGCCGACGCGATGGCATCCTCCAACTCGGCGGCTTCGGCAGCCCATCCTCGGCTTCTGTATGCCGCCGCTAAACTGCCAACACTCTGTGGAAATGACTCGTGTGAGGGCGGAGATGTGTCCATAGATTGGGTTCGAAACAGAGGGAAAAACCATATACCCCGCAGAAGGCTGGATTGCAGGATCGGTTGAGTGAGCATCAAGATCCAGTGGCTCCCCAAAAAGCACAAAAAGCACCAAAGCACCCCACAAAAAGAAAAAAGGTTGGTGTTGATAGAAAAGGAAAGGATTATAAAAGCCCCGACAGAATTATTAAAAACAGAAAAAAGCAACAAACGAGTGACTCGAGCGATCTCCGGGATTTGGACAGGGCGTTACACGATGATATCAATCAGGAGAGACCGGGAGAAGCACAATTCCATGCCAGGGTGGGGAACACCTCGATTCCCCGCTGCAATCAGTGGGAAAAAAAGAATACTAAAACAGATAGCGACATACATAGGTAAGTCGGTGGACCGAGAGAGCCCATGACAATACCGTCTGCCCAGCCCTTGTATTACAAGGGGGGAAGCCCCGCGTCTGTCCGGGCGCAACTACGCAACTACGTGGCGAGCTATGCATGGATGATCAGGATGATGCTCTTGAGGTGATTGCGTCCACGCTATTTGTGGTTCTATTTGATTTTTTCATTCTTCCCGCTGCCAGGGCCGTTGAAAGTAGGTGGATATGTCTGCAGATAAAAATAGACCCAGTCATACTATTGTAACATATATGCCTGGAACGGTTTCTATAGTCAAGCACATAATCAAAACAAAGGGAAAGGGGAATTCTGTTGCCTGGAGCTTGCAGGAGGGGGGGGACGGGTTGGTCTACAGTAATTAGCGGCTGGTCAGCCCTATCAGGAGCTGTCTGGTCCCACTGTCACCGCTAGTAATAAGGCTGAAAGATCGCTATGCATTACAGTACGGTTGACTGATACCTCAGTTTCAGCCAACTTTCTGCGGACCAGACAATTCCATGTTGCAGAAGAAAAAAAAAGGCGATCCTTGCATACCTTGATATTCCTAAACCGGCACTGTTGGCCCTGCTTGAGTTTATACAGTTGAGCCAGAGAGATCTCCATTGATTTCCAAGGTTGTTTCCCTCACCATATTGTCCAGCATGCTCTCTCGTGACGGTCCTTCCACAGACCCTCTGCTCGAGTCCGAGCGGGACACTCCAAATGCCAATGTATCACACAAAGAGCAAAGCAGCTGGCTGTGGTCTCAATTCCAAGGCATTATCTCTCTTCCAACCCACGCAGGCCTGAGCGCCAGCAGTGGTCCTGTTCTGGTGCTGCTGCCACTGGCGGCGCTGGCTAGGTTGCTTCATTGGAATGCCGCCATTATTCTGGTCGTGAACCTGGTCGCCATTATTTTTCTGTCTGAGTCGATCTCCGCGGCCTTTGATGAGCTCTCGGAGTATCTGGGAGAATTGCAGGGTGCGCTTCTCAGCGCGACTCTCGGCAATACAGTCGAGTTGACGGTGAGTAGACTCCGAGTCTTGAGTTGTTGTATATCGGCGACTAATCAATATGGGGTGCCGTTTCTTTTTGGGATATCTAGGCAGGGGTTCTGGCGCTTGTTCATGGAGAAATCCTGTTTGCTCAGTCGGTTATGGTCGGCAGCATCTTGTCGGATATTCTGCTGGTTGGCTTCTGTTTCTCTTAGACTTCTGTCATTGGACTATATGCTAATCAAGTGGCTTCAGATCTTTGGCTGTTGTCTGGTGACAGCATCCTACAACAAGGATGTCCTGGAATTCAACAGCGCGCTGGCCAAGACACTATCCTCGTTGATGATGATCTCGGCCGTGACGATTCTCCTGCCGACAGCATTGTACTCAACCTTTTCGCAGTCAGAGATTGACGACAAAGTACTTTCCTTTTCGCGCGGCACATCCTTTGTCTTATTCGCGCTGTATGCCGGCTACCTCTATTTTTACCTAGGAAGCCACAAGCATCTCTTCGAACCCGAGCCCGAGGAAAGTGACCACTCCGCCAGCGAAGATGAAGACAGTCCAAAGTCAACAACATCAAAAACCAGCGCTGGTGGCACGCCCGGCATGCTCACAGCCATCGCGCGACTCGCAACAGCCGTCGCAGCCACAGCCCTCTGCACGGAGCTGCTGTTTGAAAGCATCGACGCCATGGTCGACACGCTGGGGATCACCAAGGTGTTTATTGCCGTGATTCTCATCCCGATTGCAAGCAACAGTACCGAAGGTATTGCTGTCATTGCCGCAGCCCGCAGCAGCGACACCGACTCCGCGATCCGAGTTATTATCGACAGTCTTTTGCAGATTGGTCTTTTTGTGATCCCGTTTCTGGTGATTATGGGCTGGTGCATTGAGCAGCCCATGACGTTGTTTTTTGATTCGTTCCAAACAGTGCTGCTGTTTTTGGCGGTGCTTGTTGTGAATCATCTTTTGAGGGATGGGCAGTATGCTTATATCCATGGGGCGATGTTGATCAGCTTGTAAGTGTCTACCCTGATTGGAAATTATCAGAAATGTACCGGAGAGAATACTGATTTATGGGATATGACAGGTATATGAGTCTGGTGGCTGCATTTTATGTGCGATAAATGTGTACAAGTACTGTGGTGGTATTTGGCCGAATGCATCTATTGCGATCCAAATATAGATCAAACTCCCTGTTCAAAAGTACAAAGAACAGTTCTACCTCAAGCCAGTCGCATTGTCACATCCTCTGGTGTTTCTGGGCGAACGAAGAACGAAAACACGATAATAACATACCTATAGAAAACACCCGTTAGCTTCGTGGCTCACTTCTTAACTCTTGCAATTGAAAATGAGAATCACTCACGTTCCCACCAACATCAACCCTTCAAAATAGTTGCTCCGCCCATCAGAAATCAAATACGTCATGACAACAACACTCAACAGAAGCGTCGTAGCCTCAAACTCATCGAACTTGAGGATATGCGGCTGATCCATCATCCAGCCCACAATCACCAAAAGGGGCGCAATTAGCATCGTAATCCGCAGTACACTGTTGATAACCGCCCGAATGCCTTGCTCCACCTGGTTATTGGACCTGGAACCCGCGATGATCGTGCGGTACTTGGTGAAGTTCCCGAACAGAGGAATGAGGGTTAGGCTGAGGAACGTCTCGTTTGTTCCCAGTGTTTTGGCCACCACTCCAACACTGCTCACGAGGTAGGACGTGCTGGTGAAGACGAAAAGAGTTGCCGCTGCGAGGATCAGCGTCGCGCGCCCGTTCCCTAAGTACGATTGCGGGATTTGGATTTCTTGGGCCCCGTATATATGCGAGTCGGCACGGTTGTGTCTGCCTGAGTGGAATGGGGTACCGGCAAACATTGCGGCGTGCGTCTTGAGGCGGAATACCAGAAATGTGAGTAGAAGGCCGACCAGCGTGACAGAGGTGATTCGCTGGGCGAGTAAGATATCTTCGCTTGGGGCGGGTTGCGCAGATTGAAATGCGTCCATTGCAGTGGGAATGGCTAGCGTGATGAACACGACCATCATCAGCGATGACAGGATCGTGGTCAAGGTGCGATCGAAGCGCAGCCGTTTCTTGTCATAGCCGGAGAGGAACAGCGAGCCACCCAGGACCTGGACGCGTTGTTAATAGGAATGTCCTTTTTTTAATCAGAACATTTATTGGGGCGTGAAATATACCAGCAGTAACTTGCAGAGCACACTGCCCAAGATAACCGACTGCGAGACTTGAGCGCGCGCTTGGATGATGGCGTTGATCCCGATCTATGGATCTCGAGATCCCCGTTAATCAACCATGATTTCTGGCGATGCGCCATGGAACGGCACCCAGCAATCTTACCATCAACTCCACGGCATTTCCAAGTGTCGCCTTGAGTAGTTCATTGACCGACCGTCCCACACTGACAGACAAAGCATCGACCGACCGAGTAATCCACGCCAAGAGGGGAACCAGGGCGGCGAGATTGAGAACAAAGACCACGGCATCGGGCCATTGTAGAATCCCCGTCGCAGTGCCAATTAAGGGGATCGACACTGAGAATAAAATCTCATGGTTACGATGAATCCTTGCCATGATAAGCCCACAGTGTAAAGGGAACAATTCGAGGGGAAGGGGGGATGAGGTTTCAGCCTCTTTTTGATATGAGCTCACCACGCCCACTTTCGAGGTTGGAGATGAAAGCCAATCAATTACACCCCTCTCTCTCCTGGTTTTACTGTGTACATACATACATGGTAGCCCCCACTTGTATATACAGTGGATACGCAGTTCTTTACGTTGATGCCTGCATTACCTGTATGTTCGTATGTTACCTAGGGCTGAACGGTGGATCTGCCCAGTATTACACTTTTGCTCTGATCAATTTCCCTCCTTCGCCCATCATACAGCTCGGAAGTGTGCTTTTATTTTTATTATTATTATTCCTGGGAAACAAGGCCGGTGGACTAAGACCAGTGCTACTTGGATTTATCGATAACCCCTTTCCCTCCTGAAATCATGGACGCCGCAATTACTCCCAGGTTGCGCAAGCCCAAGGTCGATCTGAATGATATGGCTGCGTCCGCAAAGTCGGACCCTTCCCACCACGGAGAGGAATTAGACAATGCTCAGAGAGAGTCAAGCGAGAGGAAACCAGAAACGGGTCCGAGTCTCGTCCAATTGCCCGGGGTAGCATGGGGGTCCTGAAGACTGCGCTTGGATGCAGTTACATGAACTTCCTGCTTCCGTTTGTCTTCCTGGGCATTGTGTCTGGAATTCAAGGATGGGATGAATCGGTTGTATTTTTGTTGAATTTCCTTGCTATTCTTCCGCTGGCTTCATTGCTCTCGTTCGCCACTGAGGAGCTGGCCAAAAGTGTCGGACAGACGATCGGGGGGTTGATCAACGCGACTTTTGGCAATGCTGTTGAAATGATTGTATGTTGCTCCCGTCCTTGCAGTGGAGGGCTTGGATCTTGGAAATGTGGATGTGAATATGCTCACGTCTGTTACAGGTGGGGGTCACTGCCGTCACGCAGGGAGAAATCCACATCGTCCAGTCGAGTATGGTCGGCAGCATTCTCTCTGGAAATCTTCTGGTAAGACTGGTAGAGGTGTGTGGTTATTGTCGTCTGCATCACTGACCATCTGTCAAGATCCTTGGTTGTTGTCTTTTCTGTGGCGGCTATGCAAAGGAGGCCGTCACCTTCAATGTCGACGTCAGCGGAATTCTGTCTTCTCTGATGGTAGTAGCCTCTGCATCCCTGATCATCCCATCCGTGCTCTTTTCCACCACGCCAGGCAAATCAAGCGCCGTGGAGGACAGCGTCCTGAGTCTATCCCGGGCCGCTTCAGGTGTCCTCTTAATCTTCTACCTGGTTTATCTGTACTTTCAGTTCAAGAGCCACTCCGACCTCTTCGCAGACGACGATCCAGAAGGCGAGGACGAAGAGCTCCAACTGGGCCCCTGGTCCGCGAGCATCGTCTTGGTCCTAGCCACCCTCGGCGTGACGGTCTGCTCGGACCACCTAGTGGACAGCGTCGGTGGCTTCGTCGAGGCATGGAATGTGAGCCGGGCCTTTGTCGGGCTGATTGTCGTACCTATTGTTGGAAACGCCGGCGAGTTCAACACCACCCTCAACGCGGCCATGAAGGGCAACATGGACCTGGCGATTGGGGTTGTCGTAGGAAGCACTTTACAGATCGCCCTGTTGGTGAGCCCGTTTCTGGTGATTTGCGGCTTGATTATCGGTCAGCCCATGTCACTGCGCTACAGCCCCTTTGAGACGGTGGTGTTTTTCTTGTCGGTGATTGTGATGGATTGCTTGATTCGTGGCGGTCGCTCGAATTACTACGAGGGCTCGTTGTTGATTGGGACGTGAGTGCCTCCTCGATGTGTCTCTCTTCTAATTTATGACAGTGCTAACAAACATGGTGTCTAGATATCTTATTATTGCAATTGCCTTCTATGTGCACCCCGATTCAGCAGCGTGATCATCTCCGTAACACCCCGGCATGTCTGTTGATAACCACCGAAAGTGTTATTATAAAAGAATATCCAGACTATGTATAGTTTACAGGTTCAAATTGAGTCCCAACACCATTTACTGTATTTCTGCCGTTCAGTAACATACAATGCGGAAATGAAAACAGTTGATCTAGGGGTAGCGCGGTAGGGTTGAAGTCCTAAGCTTCTGACAGTGGACCCCTTGATGATCGTCATTAAAGTGCAGCAAGCCTGGATTTTAAGAGTGCAAGATATGCCCAACTGCCTCCGTTTCAGTCCTTTTTCCTATAGACTGAATATACGCCGTGTAGCCGCCCAGAGATGTATATAGCACAGGGGGTAGATGAAACCACCTCTTTCTATAAGAAGTTAAGAAACGAATCCACTCTTCTTACTAGCTAAACGCCATTTAATCAACGTGGATCAGTATGGTTTCAATAGTTGAAAGTGAAGGAATTTCAATATCTCACCATCGTGAGAGTGGACCGTCACAATACAGACCTCGCAATTTGCACAGAACCCGAAATAGACAATCACCCCTGTCCCCTTGGGTAGCAGCCGAGAGTAAATGACTCGTACACAGACCCAGGCAACAGGATTCCCTCCACTCAACGGGTCCATAATATGCACGGGATACGCAAAGCGATGCGGGCCCGTGGTCAGAGCAGCAGAGAATCCTTGTTTATTGGTCTAAAGGACCAGGAGGGTTCCCCCTGCCCGGTGGGGCGCTTTTCTCGTAGGGCTGAGTGACAGGGGTAAGACTAGCGGTTAAGCCTTTTTTTTTTCAAATTCGTGATTTCAATTTGACGCCGTTTTGTTCGGGGGGATTGATGGCTGCCTAAACTCAAGCAATGGCACTATTCAGGGATGTTTAGGGTAGCATCTATATTGTGTGTGAGGACAGGCAATTTGCACGGAACATCATTTCTAGTGTATTTGTCCTACTATCGTATAGAATAGGTACATTGCAATAAAAGCCCCAGCAAAGAACCTGATTTAAGAACAAAACCCCATAGTCAAGCAAAGAGCCGGTAGAAGAGACGAACATAGGTACGTGAAACATGTCAACCTAAATCGTGCCACCGAGTCAGTAAGAAGCACTCTTCTATGCGCAAGATAAATGATAATGTAAAGTACCTTCAAGTGTTCACGAATGTGTCAATCCTTGCTCCATTTGGCCCGGTGTTTTACTCGGATATGCGGTCGGGGCAGGCTGCTGGACGACGTCGTGATGAGGTACCCATTGCACTATAGGCGGTGGCTGAAAGGCGTGCTGGGCTTGTTCTTCTTTTTGCTTGCGACCTCGACGTCTTCGAATCACAAGGACTGTGATGGCGATGAGAATAACCAAGATGACGATCGGAATGAGAATTGCTTTGAGCAGAACTTTGAGGAGGCCCATGATGACGGTTGACTTGGTCTAAAGAAGGTGTGGATTCAGGGGTCTTTAAATATTGGATGAAAGTAATGTATGTTGCACTTGAAATAAATAAGAATCGTAGTATCGAGATAGTTGCAGCCAAACCAAGGGGTCTTTATACCCCGATGGCTGCTCAAGTATCCTACATGATTGGCAAGATGACTTGTCCCGTGTGACAGAATCAGGTAGCGTTTATTGGGACACTGAAAGGCATTTCAAGGGCAATTCTAGATAGCAGCGCTTAATATCAGGGTCTGGTTGGGTGTTAAAAAATGGATGCCTTCGCAATTCCCGGCGAGTCTTCACGCTATAAACCAAGTGGGCCTTGGGCACAGACTAGGCATGTCGCTAGGGCTAGTGTTTGGCGCCCCTAGACGTAGCAATCTCTACCGGCTATCCTCAACATGGGACGACTCCACTATCTTTGCACCTCGTAGTCCGTGATTGTGACTGCTTCGTACATGACTGGGACTAGGACTTTTCTACGTATCCACACTCTAGAGCTCAGATGGTACTTGAAGCAATTGGTGTAGTATGAAAAAGTAATCAAAGTAGCACTGATTGATTTGGGAAGAGTAGCGATTAATTAGTTGACTATTTTCTAAATTGTAATTTTTTGGGGGATGGAAATATAGACTTGGATATATCAGGCCTCTCAAAATAACCTATTTTTGACTCAGCTTAACAGATCTGATTTTGAACCAAGGTCAAAGTGCGGCTTTGGCCAATAGAATTCTCAATAAAGACCAAATGTTTAAAATTAGCTCGTAGTTAAAAGATAAGTATAATAAGGAATCCGAGGAAGGAATGTCAAGTATATTGTGGCTTACCTGGATGATTCACTATGTTTCTCTAAGATATGGACCTTCATAACAACTTGGGCTTTATTATATATTTGATTAGGGATAGAAAAGAAACGAGATATTGAAGAACCTACAACTTTAGTTAATTTCAAACGATCCCCTAGTTCGTAGTACATGGGGTTGTTAGGGCAAAAAGTACTGGCGGAATTGCTTGAGTTCATAAAAACAAGAAAGTGTTAGTCATCGTGGTATCGATCGACTGGCCCAGTGGTGAAGGCGCCCGTCTTACATCTCAAGTTTTCACGGGAGATCGCAGGTTCGATCCCTGCGTCGATCAATCTTTTTTTTATCCTTTGGCCAAAAATTTATACTGTGTTTTTGAAGAAAGCTTAAATAGATAAATTCAAAATAGTCAGTCAGTATTATCAGGCTGATGAAGCTGAAATGTGAAAAGGCCGAAGGATTTTTTTTGAATATAGAAGCACGTGATCCACCATTTTCCGGCAATGTTATTTGTATCATTCTAGCAAACGACTGCAAGATGCCGAGCACAGCTTAAGCCACTTCAGGACATCGGTAATGGCCCCGGTGCTATTGGCGGTATAGTACAAGGCTCAAAGGTTAAGACAAAGGGTCGAATATATTCATTATTCAGGATCTTGGTTGATAATTGAAAGAATCTTCTTCTCTAATTTAGCAATATTTTCAATTTACTCTCAATACTCGGCCGATTGTACGTCTCCAGGTTCTCCAAATCCCTCTGCAAATGCCGGCGCTGACGTGCTCGGGCGGGCATCGTGACCGTCCCCGCACGGTCACCGAAGCGGTAAGTTTGCAGCCAAACCCGCGGGCTGTTTGCACTGATGTCGTGATCGAACACCAATGGGAGGGCTGCTGATCTAACCCCGATGGCGGAGATTCGCAAGAACACCGAACTTTTTTTTTACTTTTTTTTCCCTTCTTATAGATCCATGAGACTTTGCATGAGGGACAGCCTGGAATTCAATTGTCCTGTGTCCTCTCTCTTTATTGCCGGACCTGTGCTGCGAGTGGGAGCTGCATGCGCTGATAAGTCCTATCGCCATTGATCTGCTCATCCCACTCTACCAGTATGGCGTCGGTTTCAACTGCTGGCGAAGCAGGTACTATTTTCCTTTTCATGTTGTGGAGTTGAAGATCAATTGCTAATCGGATTTACTGTGGAATTTAGCGGCGAGAATCGCCTACCTGACGAGCGATGTCGTCCTCTCCGTCCAGCCGTCGCTGCAGTCCGACTCGCTGTTCTCCAAGTCGCTCAAGGCTTTGAAGGCAAACAAGGCAGGCACTCTTTTGTCACGGGGTACCGCGGAGGTGAGTTTAGAGTCGATGGCATTGCAGGCTGTTGGGATATTAATAGTCCGCTAGGTACGAACTGTGCGCTACAATGAAGACCCCTTCTGTCGGCCTTTTACCCGCTGCAAAAAGGCGAGACCGTCTCTGTGACGACCAGCTCCTCGATCTTGATCCCTTCGGTTCCTCATCTGTACCGCCTGGCCAACTACCCGGTTGTTATCCATGTCGCTCTGGAGCCCTATCCGTTCCCCGACTACTCTGTGATCAGTTCGATCCGCCAAAGCGGCTTCACTTTCTTGCAGTCGGAGACTATCGAAGAGGCCCAGGACATTTCCATCACTGCTCATGCGCTGGCCCTCAAGTCTGGAAAGGGTGTTATCCACTTTTTTGATCCGTCCAACTCCGCCAACGACCCCGCAATCCCTCCCGAGAACATCGACGTTGTGAAGAAGGTGCTCAGCTTGGGTGGAGCTACTGCTTCGCACACCAATGCCACTGGAGCCCAGACTTTGTACGCCGACTCCGGCCGTATCGCCACGGTTTCCGCAGAAGGGCTGGAGCCCTCTTCTGCTGGTCAGGGAGAAGCCTCGGCTAACCTAACAGTCCCCTCTCAAACCCAGACTCCTTCAAATGTCAGCCTTGACAACTCATCTGTTGGATCTTCACGGCGGGACAGCAGTGCGGGAAGCGAGGCCCCGAGCTCGACTGCCACAACGGTAGACAACGCCAGTGTCCGGCCAGTCAATGCGGCCGATATTTTTGACTGGACGGCTCAGATTTGGAACGTTCTTTACAAGGAGGTTGGCCGCAAATATAATGCTATTGAATATACCGGTCCCGCCGATGCCAAGTCAGCTATATTTGTCTTTGGCTCCACAGGGGTATTTGTGGATGCCCTCTCCAACGCCCCCGCCAACAGCGAGTTGGAAAACATTGGTCTCGTCACTGCTCGTCTGTATCGCCCCTGGGTTGGTGGTCAGATCTCGAATGTGATTCCCAAATCAGTTGAGAAGATCGCTGTCCTGGAGCAGGTTCGCAGGACCACTAAGTGGGGTCCTTCTTTCATGGACCTTTTGTCCAGCCTGACCCCCTCTGGTGTCCGCAGCCAGGCCGCTCAGGTCGTTGGATATCGTCTTGGCTTCGTGGAACCCTCTACCGCTGTTCAGGCTCTTCGAGGCATCCTCCAGAACCTGAACTCTCCGACTCCCATCCAGAACCTGGAGATTGGCAGCCCCAAAGTCCCCACCATTCAAAGTGCTCTCCAGCAGCCTCGCATCGAAAATGCCTATTTCAAAATCCTGAACCAACTCTTTGGCGAGCGCCTCTACATTGCCAACCAACTCGGATCCAAGAACGTCGGTGTTCCGTCGACTATCGCCTCTAGCCCTGAGTATGGGTTTGGCTCCCTGCTGGCTCGCATGGAACACCGCGAACGGTTCATTCGCGAGGTTGAGGAGGCCTCCAAGTCTAGTAGCTTCGCCACTGACACTCCCAAGACTTGGCTGTCTCGATGGGCCTTGAATGCAAGGGACGCCTCCAAGGCAAACAAACTTGCCCCGGATGTCATCGCCCGCCTCTCCAATGATGGTTCCAAGCTATCTCGCCAGCTTCTGACATCCAAGCAGCTCTTCTATGACGAGTCCGAATGGCTCATTGGCTCCGACGCCTGGGCCTACGACATTGGAAACTCTGGTGTCCACCACGTTTTGGCCTCTGGCGCCGATGTGAATATGCTGATCATCGACTCGCAACCATACTCTGAGCGCACTGCCGCCGACCCCACCCGCCGAAAGAAGGACATTGGTCTTTACGCCATGAACTTTGGCAACGCGTATGTTGCTTCGGTTGCGGTCTACAGCTCGTACACTCAAGTCCTGCAGGCTATGACCGAGGCTGAGCAGTTCAAGGGCCCGTCTGTGGTTGTTGCCTACTTGCCTTACAACCAGGAGAATGACTCCGCTCTCAGTGTGCTTCAGGAAACCAAGAACGCTGTGGATGTCGGCTACTGGCCGCTGTACCGCTGGAACCCTGATAACGAGGAGAAGAGCAAGCCGAAGTTCTCTCTTGATTCCGAGCGCATTAAGCGTGAGCTGGAAGAGTTCCTTCGTCGGGACAATCAGCTCACCCAGCTCATGAACCGCCACCCTAACTTCTCATCCGCTCTCTCTGAATCCTACGGCACTGAGGTTCGAGCCCTGCAGAAGCGCAAGGCCAAGGACTCATATGAGAAGCTTTTGGAGGGCCTGTTCGGTGCTCCTCTCACTATCCTCTTTGCATCGGACAATGGCAACGCCCAGAACATCGCCAAGCGTCTGGGTAACCGTGGTCGTGCCAGGGGTTTGAAGACCATGGTTCTAGCCATGGATGACTACCCCATGGATGATTTGTCTACTGAGGAGAACGTGGTTTTTATCACCAGTACCGCTGGTCAGGGTGAATTCCCGCAAAACGGCCGGGGACTGTGGGAGGTTGTCAAGAACTCTGGTGATCTCGATCTGTCCGCCATCAACTACTCCGTGTTCGGTCTGGGTGACAGTCACTACTGGCCGCGCAAGGAGGACAAGATCTACTACAACAAGCCTGCCAAGGACCTTGATGCTCGTGTCAGCTTCCTCGGTGGCCACAAACTTGCCGATATTGGTCTCGGTGATGACCAGGACCCAGATGCTTACCAGACTGGGTACTCGGAGTGGGAGCCTCGGCTGTGGCAAGCCCTGGGTGTTGATAAGGTTGAGGGTCTGCCGGAAGAGCCCGCACCTTTGACCAACGAGGATATCAAGATTCAGTCCAACTACCTGCGTGGTACCATCGCCGAGGGTCTGCTGGATGAGAGCACCGGTGCAATTTCCGCCAGCGATGCGCAGCTGACCAAGTTCCACGGCACCTACATGCAGGACGATCGTGACCTTCGGGATGAGCGCAAGGCCCAGGGCTTGGAGCCCGCTTATAGTTTCATGATCCGTTGCCGTCTCGCTGGTGGTGTTGCTACGCCTTCGCAGTGGCTGCAAATGGACGCCATCAGCAGCTCGCACGGTAATGAGACGATGAAGCTGACGACTCGCCAAACCTTCCAGTTCCATGGAGTCATCAAGCGCAACCTTCGTGGCGCGATGCGTGGCATCAACAGGGCACTCATGTCCACCGTTGCTGCTTGCGGTGACGTGAACCGCAACGTCATGTGCAGTTCTCTTCCGGAGCTTTCCTATTTCCACCGCGAGACTTGGGCCATTTCTGAGAAGATCGACCAGCACCTTCTCCCCTCCACGACTGCTTACCATGAGATTTGGCTGAAGGATGAGGACGACAAGAAGGTCCAGGTTGCTGGAGATGCTGTTGTCGATTCCGAACCCCTCTATGGTCCCACATATCTTCCTCGCAAGTTCAAGATCACTATTGCCATTCCTCCACACAACGACACCGATGTCTACGCGCACGACATTGGCCTGATCGCCATCAAGGGTGCCGATGGGCACCTGGAAGGCTTCAACGTCCTGGCTGGTGGTGGTATGGGCTCCACTCACAACAATAAGAAAACGTACCCTCAAACCGGCCGCATGTTCGGTTACTTCCCGGCGGATAAGGTGCACATTGCATGTGAGAAGATCATGCTCGTGCAGCGTGACCACGGTGATCGCCAGAACCGCAAGCACGCCCGTCTCAAGTACACCATTGACGACATGGGCGTCGATGTCTTCCGCGGCAAGGTTGAAGAGCTTCTACCGGAGGGACTGCGATTCGCTGAGCCCCGCCCCTTCAAGTTCGACTCCAATGTCGACACCATCGGCTGGCAGAAGGACGAGAAGGGCCTGAACCACTTCACCTTCTTCATTGAGAATGGCCGTATTGAAGACACTGCCGATTTTACCATGCGGACGGGTCTCCGCGAGTTGGCGCAGCTCAACAAGGGCGAGTTCCGTCTCACTGGCAACCAACACTTGATCCTGTCCAACATTGTCGACGAGGATCTGCCCACCATCAAGGCGGTCATGGCCAAGCACAAGCTCGACAACACCTCTTTCTCGGGCATGCGTCTGTCCTCGTCTGCCTGTGTTGCCTTCCCGACCTGCGGTCTTGCCATGGCGGAATCCGAGCGCTACCTTCCCATCCTGATCTCCAAGCTCGAGTCAACTCTCGAGGAGGTTGGCCTGGCCCGCGAGAGCATCGTCATGCGTATGACCGGTTGCCCTAACGGATGTGCTCGCCCTTGGCTCGCCGAGGCTGCCTTCGTCGGAAAGGCGTACGGTGCCTACAATATGTACCTGGGTGGCGGTTACCACGGCCAGCGCCTCAACAAGCTGTACCGCTCCTCCATCAAGGAAGATGAGATCCTCGAGATCATGAAGGATCTTCTCAAGCGCTACTCCCTCGAGCGCAACACCGACGGTGAAACCCCCGAGCGCTTTGGTGACTGGTGTATCCGCGCTGGCGTGATCAAGGCAACCACCGATGGTCAAAACTTCCATGAAGGGGTAAGTCAATTTTCTTTTGTAGCTGTGGCTTTTCTTTTCTTTTCTTTTCTTTTTTCTGTGCTAACGATCGTTCCTTGATAGGTTGCCGAAGAAGACGAGGACGAGGAGTAAATACCGGGGACGTCTTGATTTCTATATAATCTCCAGACCTGTCATGACTATCACGGGAACCAAAATATGTTTTGTTGTTTTTCTATAATCTCATGTTGATGTCCATGTCATACCTCTCCATGCATTGTTACCACTGGCGGATAAATGATACCGCTCAGCAATAGAAATTGCTACTGTTTTTTTGCCCTTGGGATCTTTGTTATGTATAGAGCCATCTGATGTATAGTGTTTTGAGGAGTGATGTTCGATTGAAAGGCTTGTAGATTGGTGAGTTTCTTTCCAAACAGGTTCCGGCCATGCTTATTAGTTATATTTAAGACAGAGCCCTTGACTCTACACTCAACATGTCAAATCCATGATTCACATAGTTCTTGCAAGATCAGGACCGAGAGACAATTTCTCGAGGGAGGATTGCCTGGGCGGTGAGTCATGGTAGCTTTTCTGCCGCCTCCCCGCTTATCGCAGCCGATAATCGCGGGAGAAAAAAAGGTGCGCAATGGAACCAGCCGACTCATGCCTCAACACCTCTTGCCCAATACCTCTGAAATGATTCTTCGATAAGCTCAAGGATAAACTACACTATACAAACCATGGATTCCCATGACGACGACCCGGTCGTTTCCTCCTACGACGTGTTCCTCACCGACTCGCAAATTTCTCGATATGTCTTCCAATACCTAGATCGGCCGCAGTCCAATCCCTACAACGACAGAGCAGGGCAGAAGCCCGTCGAGCTTCGCATGAAGCCGCGCACTGGTCTTGTGGAGGTCGATGTCCCCATCAGCACCCGCGCAAATTACGATGTGAGCAAGGGTCTCCGGTACGGCGAGGCAATGAAGAAGAGCCGGGCGGCTCGTGATGGAGGCGCCTATGGTATGGCTGGTGGTTTTACCTCGGGGAGTGCCGCGTCTGGAGGAGGCCGTGTGAAGATGGAGGGCAATGGGGATGTCGAGGTGCTGGACAACAAGAAGGTGGTGGACCCGGCTTCGCTGCTGAGGACGCAGCCGCTCGGTGGACGGATTAAGCCTGCTGAGGAAGGGGATCCGGTGTACATGCTGGCTACATTTAAAGAAGGTACGTATGCTTGGGTTTATTTATTTTCGATATTTTTGCTTCTCTCTAGAGGGTTGGCAGCGCTGACAGCCGAAACCAGGAAACTTGCATCTCTCTCCCGTGTCGGCGGTGGTCCAATTACACCCACAGCTTCACCATCTCGATGCAGTGGACGAGATCCCCAAGGGACGGACTTCGCGGACCAAGAAAGATGACGATGAACGGCCCGCGGAGAGCGAGGCACGCGCGATCGATGTCAAAATCAAGGCTGCTGAAGATGGCAATGCGGCTATGATTGGTGGCAATCTGGATTTGCTCAAGAAGATTCAGGAAGAGAAGTGGAAGACATACGACTGGGTTGATGCAGAGGTAGGTGACCTCTCTCTGGACTTTGCTAGCGATCTCGATCTTTTGCCCACTAACGCTGCACCAGACCGAGGAGGCATGGTACACGTACGAAAGCTATATGATGCACCACCACCCCGAAGAATTGCCGCAGCTGGAGTCGGCGATCAACAGCGAGGCTTACCTGGATGGAATGAGTGCGCCTCGGATTGACCCCGCAAGGCCAGAGCTGACTGGGTGGGCGATGAAACAAAACCGACAGAAGCAACGAGAAGGCGAAGACGGGTGATCCACGTAGAAATCAAGAAGTTGTTGCCACGCTCTATGCACGGCCCCATCCCCTAAGTCACGTGCCCGCGATGGGTTTTTCGCTGTCGCGCGACTCGGCCCTTCTTGGCTTTTCTCCTAAGTCTTTCATTCTTGTTTTTCTCTCTGCCCTTTCGTTTCCCCGTTGAGGGCTGCAGGACGGCATATCATAGAAGGGTTTCTACTGTTAGGGATTCTCGACTGGTCTCTTTTACAGTTTTCCTTTTTACTGAGCCCATCCTGCCCTTTTTTTCCTACCATTAAAAATCTCCTCTTGCGTGATATACCTTAGATTTAATTGTTTTGCCCTCCTAATTGCATCGTTCTGTTATTCCTGGCCCTGATTATCGAACCAACATCGATGCATCATGTTATCGCGTGTTGCTCGGCAGAAAAATGCCCTCTTCCATTTGCGGAGGGCTAATGCCCATCGGGTATTGACCTCGTCCTCGAAACCACGGCTACATTCCCAATCGAGTCGACTGGGTTCCATTGCGAATCCACCAACTACGTCGACCCACGAACGGCCCCGACGACTATCCTTTCAGTCGAACCGGAATCTTGCTACCGCGGCCGAACATGTCAGTACCGGATCGTTTGGGTCCCTGGATGACCCAACCTACCCTCTTGCGCGCGATTACGACCGATCCAGTCGATGGACTTCACAACTCTTCCGTTATCCCGATCAGCAATTCGACCCCTCGTCCCTGGTCATTATCGACGATGCGCCCCAGACCCGGCCAAAGATTGTTCGTAAAGTCAAAGGCATTGGTGGCGACGAGGATGAGATGATGGCCAACCTGGATATTTCACTCAAGGTTGGTCATTTCGACCGAGCTGCTGCTCTGGTCAATCGCTTGGGTCAGTTTTACCCAATGAACTCTTCCGAGTACCTGGCCCTCCACAACCGCTACCTGAGGGACCGGGTAGACGACATGATCGCTACCCAGCAACATGATATGGTTGTGCCATTGCAGAAGTGGTTCGAGGTTGACATGCCTCACGGGGGCATGGAGCCGGATTCTGTCACGTACGCCATCATGGTCCGAATGGCTCTGCACATGCTGCACCCCTCGAAACGCGATCGAACTATTCGCCGATATTGGACCTTTGCCGAGAAGGCTGGTATTCAGGATGAGATTGGTCTCGTTGGTGTGCTCAATGAACAAGAAGCGCTTCAATTGCGCCAGGTAAGTTTGGATCCGCCGTTTTTCTGCAGCGGTGCACGTGCTGATGGCTCTGGTTGTTTTGAACAGATTTGCTCTTCCGAAGCGTTAGATATAGCAGCCCAGCACGCCAGCACCCAAGAGACAACAACAACTGAGCAGTCATTCGAAATCTTCGATGACGTCGCTGAGGTGCTGCCCGTCGACCAAAAGGGCCTTGGCCTGACCTCTCTGAGAGAGTCACTGTACACTCTGTCTGGTCGTTCAACCGTTCCCATGCCTGACAACTTCGAAGGCACCGAAGAAGAAAAACTGGAACTCTATAATCGTCTCAGGCAAGAACGCCTGGAAGCCGACTCGGTCAAATCGGCCCTGAACCGCTGGCGCTCAGAGTTCGAGAACAGACAAAAGGCTGGCCTGGATATCACCGGGGGCGGGAAGAAGCTTGGTAGTGTGATGAATCAATGGCACTCGGACCTTGTTTCCAGGATCCTGCAGGAGTTGAGTCTGGTTGACGAGGCCGAGAAGAAGCCAGCTAAGACCCGTGCTCAGACAGACCGCTGTGAGTATGGTGTGTTCCTGCGAAGTCTACCTGCGGACCGTCTGGCTGCGGTGACGATCCTGGCTGTGATGGACAGCTTCAGCAAAGGGGGCATGGAAAAAGGGATAAAGCTTTCTTCCATTGCCTCAACCATTGGCAGGGAATTGCAGGATGAACTGATTGCCGATGCCTATCTCAAAAAGAACTCCCAGGCGGATTCTTGGCGCTTGAAAGCGTTGAAACAGCTTCTCTCGAGCCGCAAGGACAAAGAGGGTCGATTGCGATGGAAGGCGCTGGTCCACAAGATGCAGACTGAGGACTCCCGTGTGGTCTGGGGACCGCGGGTCATCGCTCGGACCGGGGCTGTTCTGATGAGCTTGCTATTCGATGTTGGCAAAGCCCCTGTTACAAGTGAAAACCCGCTGTCAAAGAAGACGACCACTACTTTGCAACCGGCTTTTCAACATGCGTACCAAGTCACCTGGGGACGACGATCTGGTCTCATCTATCTTCACCCTGGAATTGTTCAGATTGTGGCCAGAGAACCGCCGGCCGATCTCTTGGCTCGTCACCTGCCTATGGTCTGCAAGCCCAATCCATGGACAGGTCCGAAGAATGGAGGGTTCATGATCTATGAAAACAATATTGTGCGATCTACTCCGGGTGAATCTTTGCAACCAGCATACATTAAAGCCGTGCTACAGAATGATGGCTTAAAAGAGATCCGAGCTGGGCTTGATGTCCTTGGCAATACCGGCTGGGCCATTAATCGGGACGTCTTTGACGTGATGCTTGAAGCTTGGAATTCAGGAGAGCCTGTGGCAAATTTGGCACCGCTAAATCCCGACATCCCTGTGCCGCCCAATCCGGGGCCGAATGCCGATTACGAGACTGAAAAAGCGTGGAACAACGCTATGCGAGACATTGAAAATCGACGCTCTGGATTCCACTCAGTACGGTGCTTCCAGAACTTCCAACTGGAGGTCGCGCGTGCGTTCCGTAACAGCACTTTCTATCTCCCCCACAACATGGACTTCCGTGGCCGTGCCTACCCGCTCCCGCCGTATCTCAACCAGATGGGAGCTGACAATGCCCGAGGATTGCTCATGTTCAGCCAAGCTAAACCGCTAGGCGCTAGTGGCTTGCGGTGGTTAAAGATCCAGATTGCTAATCTGGCTGGCTTTGACAAGGCCAGTTTGTCCGAGCGTGAACAGTTCACGATGGACACTCTCGATGACATCCTCGACTCGGCCAATAATGGGTTGCATGGCAGACGGTGGTGGCTCAAGGCCGAAGACCCGTGGCAATGTCTAGCTGCTTGCTGCGAACTCCGCAACGCCCTGCAATGCCCTGACCCTACCGAGTATCCCTCTCGCCTCCCTATCCACCAAGATGGTTCATGCAACGGGCTTCAGCATTACGCTGCCCTTGGTGGTGACAGCATCGGTGCCCAACAGGTTAATCTTGAACCCTCCGACAGGCCATCCGATGTTTACACCGGTGTTTCCGAATTTGTTAAGGAAGCTGTCGCAGAGGATGCTGCCCAGGGCCACCCAGTTGCCCAGACTTTGAATGGCAAGGTCACTCGGAAGATCGTCAAGCAGACCGTCATGACTAACGTGTACGGTGTGACCTTTATGGGAGCGATGAGACAAGTTCGCAAGCAACTCATTGATCACTACCCAGAGATGTCACACCAGACCAAAAAGGCGGGCGCCCTGTACATCGCCCGCAAGATCTTTGAGGCCCTGGGAACCATGTTTAACGGAGCCCATGACATTCAATACTGGCTGGGTGATTGTGCTAGTCGCATTACGCTGTCTCTGTCCCCCGATGATGTCGATCGCCTGGCCAATGAGGCCTTGTCGCCCACCGAGCAAGCCGAGAGCGTCAAGACCGTGGACCCGACCAAGAAGTTCCGGTCCACAGTGATTTGGACCACCCCACTGGGTCTGCCAGTGGTCCAGCCTTATCGTTCGCGCAAAGCACGGCGTGTTTCGACGACGCTGCAAGATCTCAATATTGTCGACGTCAACTCCGAAGATGTTGTTTCCAGGCGCAAACAGCTGCAGGCCTTCCCGCCGAATTTCATCCACTCCCTCGATGCAACCCACATGATCCTGTCTGCCAACGCTTGCCACGAGGCGGGGCTCACATTTTCGGCCGTGCACGACTCATTCTGGACCCACGCCAGTGATGTTGACGACATGAACCATATCCTTCGCGATGCTTTCGTTCGCATGCACTCAGACGATGTGATCGGGCGGTTGGCTGCTGAGCTCAAGGTTCGCTACAGAAACCACATGTTCTTGGCCAAGATCGATGCCAACGGCATCATCGGCCGCGCCATTCGAGCTCGTCGCAAGGCAGTGAAGAGGAACACAAAGCTCTATGAACTGGTCGAGGAGAAGCGTCGGCAAGCCCTTCTCAATTCCGACGACCCGGAGCAACAGGCTGAAGGCCGCGCGATGGAGACCCCCGCCAGCATGTTTGAGAAGATGGGCGGCCAGGACAAACACCTAGTCGCTTCCAATACCCTGGGCGAAACTGCGGTGGGCCACGTTCCAGAGAACCTGGCTGCGGCTGCGCGCAGGTCGTCTGCTGCCGATATCGACACGAGTGACCCGGCCATCCAGACCTTGTTCACTGATCTCAGCCTTATGCAGGAAAGTCCTGACTCTTCTGAGACACTAAGTGACGCGGACGCGGACGAGAATGGCAGCGAGGAACCCAAGCCCAAAAAGCAAGTCAAGTCTCACACCTGGTTGTGGCTGCCCCTGCGGTTCCCCGATGTTCCTGCCAAGGGCGCCTGGGACCTGACCCGCATTCGCGACAGTCAATACTTCTTCTCATAAAACATGGCTTCGGTGTTGTATGGATACCATCTATTGATGGTTTGATTTTTTTTTCTCTTTGTTGTCGGAGACGGTTTCTTTGTATATCTATTTTTCATGGGGTTGTCTCTGCATTTGTACATTATTTGGATGGCCCCGGCATTGGGATAAAGAGCGAGAAAAGCACCTAGATAATCATGCATATACTGGCGATGTACGAATATGACTTTGGATTATTGCATCTCTTGTGAATTGTACACTGTTAGCTTGGAATGACTCGAGCTATATTTTCACTGATTGTTGAAAACCAGCGGATATAACAAGACTTACAGCCACGCTATGCGTGGCCTCTATCTTAGAAGCAGAAATGAAAAAAAAAGACATTGGGTCATGTTGAGCTATATCTTGGGGTTTAAAGCTCCAAGTCATGTCAAAATTAAAATCCCCCAAAATAAGGTCATATGTAGCTTGCTTAGACGAGGGTGATTCCCGTGTAACACCCATCATTGCGAAGCACCAGCGTCTTGACTCCTTTGTTCAGCGTCACCGAGTATATACTGCCCCCGAGATCGACCACATAGATGAGATTATTCTCCTTATCCAACTTCAAGCCAATAGGCTCATGGAAATGGCGCGCCAAAACACTCTTCTCCAAGCTCTCCTCACCAACATAGGCGCGGTACAGCGCACAGCCAGCGGGGTGCTCCCCCCGATCCGTCCAATAGAGGATTTCATCCTCACCATCGACAACAGCATCAATCGGCTCCGGCAGACCATCAAAGAGCAGCCGAATATCCGATCGAGTCGCGGCCGTCTCCCCGGCCGGAATATCAAGCCCCGCGCAAAAGATGCGGCCACGGTTCCCCTTGCTGGGCCCCTTTTGCGTCCAGTACATCTTGTCGTGCAGCACGTCGATGGCAATCCCCACACACCACTGCGTCATCTGGTCTGCCCAGTGCGGTAGCCGGTCCCGTTGTACTAGGACCTCGTGGTTGCCGCCGTCGAAGTCGCACCGGTGTACGCCGCCGCCCTCGCGGTCCGAGAAATACAGTTGGCGGCGAGGTTCGTGCACTGCCAGCTGTTTGGGCGTGTGCACTTTCCCCGTGGGCACCAAACACTGGATGTCGCTGCCGTCGAGGTTGGCGGACCATACCGACCCGTCGCAGAAAGCTACGCTCTTCCCCATGTTCGTCCAGTAGATCCGCTGCGTCGAGGGGGATACGTCGATTCCGTCTGGGAGGTTCTGTGATACCACCACGGGGGTCAGGGCTTGTGTTGTTTGGTTCAGGCGCAGGATCCGGCCCTCTGATGTTGGCGGGAGGTCTTGTGTGCTCCCCCCGAATCCCAGATCTAGGAGGTACATGTCCTTCAGGCGTGGGGTTGCTGGGTTGGTGTCGGTGTCGGTGTCTTCTGAGCCCGCCTCGTCGTTATGACTGGGCGGCTCGGAGTAGTTCTCTTCGACCCAGGTCACGAAATCATACCCCGGCTGGCTCTTGGGCTTGTTGGGACCGGGTCCATTCTTGTATAGGAATTCTGCGACAGTCCACAGACGATCCAAGACGGATCTATTCCGCGTGGTTAGCATGCCGCTATTCTACCACAAAAACAACAACAAGCAAAACAAGAAAAGGAAAAGAATCATACCCCGTCGAGTCCTGCACTTCTGTCGTGAGTGTCATTCCGCACTCTGTGAGGATGCTCTCCAACTGCGGGAAGATCTCACTATCAGTGCCGATCTCGCAGTCCTCCATCAACCAAACTGTTCGAATGGCCGGCGGCCACATGAAATAGATATTGAGGCAGCGTTTCTGCCGTGCTGCTGACACCTTGCCAGCTCGCAGGACAGACTTGAACGATGAGCTACTCGAGGCCAAAATGCAATCTCTCGGGGATTTGGCGTCCAGCTCGGCAAAGATCCCCGGCTTCCCGTCTGGCTTCGGCACGGCCTCAATCGCAAGCCATGCGTCTGAAGTGGCAGGTCCTATCTCCACAAAAGCCTTGCAGTTACCATACACGGGCTGTCTCGTCGCTTCGGGTGCATTGTCGTTTCCATTGCGATTCCGCAATCTTGAGGCAAATTGTTGCTTGTGCTCGTCGATATAATCAATGGCCGCCTGTCGCGACTCCGACAATGAATCCTGGATATGCACATTGTATCCAGCCGCAACAAACACACATGCGATGCGACGACCTAGCACGCCCGCGCCCACGATGGCCACGGGGCGGTCTGTTCTGGATACCATCTCCAGACAGTGTCTCGGTAAAGAAATAGCGGGGCTACCGGGGGGGGGGTTGGATTTATTTGTCAATCACAACCTGGAGAAGCAGGGATTGAGGAAAGCCGAGCACTTTTCCATGCCGGGTATCTCGGCTTATTGTGGCCCCTCTCGGTGGCCCGTGTCTACCTTGCATATTGCAGGAATATCGATCTGACCGATCCAAACGGCTTTTACGTGGCTTCGCACAGCGCCTTGAGTCTCCACTAGAGGAGGGGCAACCAGGGGCAGATTGGGTGCTGAGAGCTGTGGGGCGGGAGCGCTCCACCGCAGTTTCAGTTTCACACAGGACTAAGAAAGGAGAAAAAAAGAAAACATAAGACAAAGAAGACAAAGACGACAAAAAAAGGGGGAAAAACGAGGCATTCGGGCTTACAGAATCTCACAACCTCGGAATGCACAGAAGCCCAGAAGGATTCTCACCGTATCAGCGGGACGACACGCCGATCCTGCTCCCGTCAGCAGATGCACACAGCGGCAGTATCTGCTGGCCCTAATGCCGGGAAAAATGCCATGGGATTAAGGGATTGCTTGGCCAATCGTTAGTGTTGGAAAACGGGAACCATGTGTTTTATATCCTGGCGTTCCCGTCCTGCACTTCATTGAATCGACTCTCCCCTTGTCCATCCCCACATACTCTAATGCTTTAATTGTGAAATGTCCCCTGATTCAATCTTCGAAGAGGCCATTCGCGTGACCCCGTTGGGTGCCAACACTTATGCCGCTAATCTTCGGCCCGAATGGTGCATTGGAACTGGTATCTCCGAATTTTTTTTTTCAACCCTACTTTTCTTTTCTTTTCTTTTCTTTTCTTTTCTTTTCCTTGAGCCACTCTAATCGCAAATGCAGTCGCCCATGGCGGCTATACAACCGCCGTGCTATATCGGATGGCGCTCACACATTTCGAATATGCTCACCCAACGCACTATAAAGAACCCGCAACCCCGATTTCCATCCAACTATCTTTTCTGCGGCGCACAGCTCCCGGCGCAGCCACATTAGTAGTGGATGACGTCAAACTGGGTCTCCGAACAAGCACAATCCATATCAAGGTGCTGCAGAAGTCTGAGAAGCAAAAGAACAAACTGGAAGTCAAGATCGCGGGATATATCACCGTGAGTCCCGCGAGCACCGAAGTGGGGATTAATGCGCCAACGGGGTGGGCCTTGCACCCGGCGTCCCCGGGGGGATCTCACCCCGACGGCCGGGTCAATCTGCCTGTCCTCGGCCGCACCGGCCGAGACGGCGTATGGGCCAGGCTCAACACCCCGTACCCAGAAACCCGCCAAGCAGAATCCCACACCGAGTTCTACACTCCCGGGTCAGCGGCCATGCGGCAGCATAGCACGGGGAGAATCTTGGGTGATCAGTGGATGCGCTTTCGACCGGGCGGCGACCCCGACGCGCGTTGGACGAATCCTGCTGTCGTCTACGTTGTTGATATGTTTCCCATGATCTTGGATGGCTTGGATTCTCTAGCGGCCCAGTCCATGGCCCAGACGGATGGTGATGAGTCTTCTCCAGACGCGCAGTTCTGGTACCCGACTATCTCTCTCAATATTGATATCAAGAAGCGCTTGCCGCCCCAGGGCGTCGAGTGGTTGTATAGTCGTGTGGCAATCAAGGCACTTCGCGATGGCCGCACGGATCTTGAGATTACCGTGTTGGATGAGATGGGTGATGTTGTTGCGCTCGGCACGCAGGTTGGGTTGCTAGTGAGCGCCAGTCGGAATTTGGGATCGAGAACGAAGCATAAGCTTTAAACTTGGTAGTCTTGTATGATACCACATGCTATGAATTCACGCTTTAATGGGTAATCTTTTGACTGTCTTTTTCCTTTTGATATAAATAGCCAGTTGATGGATTAAGGCACTATCAAGATGCCGAGTGCACAGTCCATAGAGCAGTGTGAGAAGTTAGACAAAGAGAGTAGCTGGATTAGGGTGGAGAGGAAGAAGAGGGATGTGTGGATGTTTCTCTTTCTCTTCAGGAGAAGACGGAAAATGGACTACAGTCTATTTATATAGTGGGGAGGGCAGCTCTTCAAGCGGCGAGGATATAGTGCTTTGACGTCATTTCATGCATTTCATTTATGACCCATGGATCTAATTATACTCTAATGCTTCATGACAGCCGGGGAAGGTAAAGCGATAAGTACTGCATAACCAACACATCTGCGGCTGTTACGGGTGCGGTTGGGTTGGGTGTTGGTGTTGGTTCTGCGGGTCCTGGTATGGTTATCTCCGGGGTGCAAGGGTATATTTATATACGCAGAGGCAACTAACCCCCATAAACAAGCTCCAAACTTAGAAGTTGGAGGCCAAAGCTATCAATTTTGATTGGCACTTTGCACTCGACGCCTGAAACGACGTAGATTCCATATGATTCTTTTCTTAGTGGAGACTTGAAACGAAACCCTGATTGCTTAAAGGTCTCTTGACGGACCCCACGGGGCAAGTAAGATGACGCTGCAACTGAGACCCAGTAGAAGACGCGAGGACGTACAGAAAGAAACACTGAATTATTTCAGGACTAAAATATTCCAGGACGTAATCCATAAACTACTATGACATTTGCATAACCTTCCATGAATATGGACTTTTCAGCTGTGGCCTCCAGCGGTCGCCAGTACTCTGATAGATCCCCGAGAGGAATGCGGCTGAACAAAATAAAATAAATTGTGTTGGTTAATCAAGCCCTTCAACTGTGCCTCACAATCCTCTTTGAATTTCGACGAGACATCCCCAGGTTTACCGGTTCCTTCTATGGATATTACCTCTTACAGCAGGTAATCCGACAATTACCTCGGTATGCTCCCAATCTCTAGAGCCCCATAGATAGGTGTAAGTGAAATTCTATGCGCGATTTTTTTATGCATTTAGTTTACGCAGTAAGCCCAAAAAGCTTTACAGTATAGTTCTGGCCGAGTAGACTATAGCTATAAATACCAGCTTCATTCCCTCTGAATTACATCCGGATCGAACTATCCCACAACTATAAAGAACCTTGATCTTGATCCTATATTTCCTCATCCTATCTAACATATCCATAACCATGAAGCTTCTCAGCCTTCTTGCCCTTGGAGCACTGGCGGCCTTCACCAACGCCGCGGCTATCGATGGCGGCTTAGTGGAGAAACGTTGTTTGGAGGGTACGCTACAACACCTTGATTATCTATTAAGGGAATATCTCATCTTACTGATATATGATTATAGCGGGCGCGGACTGTCAGGATGATCGAAACGGATGCTGCGAGGGTTACTCATGCCCGAGTGTATTTGGCGAGCACTACATCTGCCGTCCGAATAATTAGAAAGTGACAGAATAACTTGGCATCGGTGTGGAGAGACTGTTTTATGTTAAATTAATTCCGTTGATTGTTGTGGATGATGGAATTAATCCAACTAAGGCTTCTCTGTCTAGATATTGATATTTGATATTTGGTTCATAGTTAACCGAGTCTGTACGTGCTATGGCGGTTATTTTTCTCAGTTCCCAAAGGTCAACTGAAGCTCATATAAGCGTCATATAATTGAAATACCCCATATTGTACAATGCAATGATGGAAAAAAGACTTTGTGCCTGAACTTTGAGGCATCAACATGAGTGGCCCACGTGCCACTCCCCCGCCTTTCTCCAGATCGCCGTTTCACTCAAGTCGCATTTGCTTCTGCACAACTCGGTGAATATTTCGTGCCTATAATACCCAGCCCAATACCCAGATTCCTCTATATTTTAAGCGCGGCCTGTCTGGAAAGTCGAGGAGTTTGGGAAATGAGAAAGCCGTAACTCCGGTCGTCCGATCCGAACAGCGATGTCGCCCGACGCCCGAACTTTCGGCCCCTTGTTGTCGCTTTATTCCTTCTGAATCCGTGTGGAGAGATTTCTCAGAAGTCTAGATCCTCTGGGTTTGGGCCTATTCAATGTCGGGTAGATCGATTACCACCTTGAAGAAGCATGTCGGCAACCTCGCTACAATCCTACGCCAATGCCTATTCATCTTTCTCGTCCCGGTCACAGCTCAATCGAATGTCGCAGTCGGAAGCACCAGGACTGGATACACTCGTGGAGGGTTCACATTATGCGCTGGACCAGCTGCATGGTGAACAAAAGGATCCCAGTGCTCCCTTGAGAAAGTCTTCGCAGCCGCGCGACGCACTTGCCGATGCTCGCTCGACTATTCGCAAAACTTCATCTGCTACGCCCGTTCGCCGTCGAATAAGCAGAGCTTGTGACCAATGCAATCAGCTGCGAACCAAATGCGACGGGCAAAATCCGTGTGCCCATTGCCTTGGTAATATCATTCCATGTCCGTCTGCATATTGCTCCGGTTAACAGTTTTCAGATATCGGCCTCGACTGCGAGTATGCGCGAGAACGGAAGAAGCGGGGTAAGACCTCCAAAAAGGATTTGGCGGCAGCTGCAAGCACTGCAATCACCAACGGCGACTCGAGTCTGAAGGATGATAATGCGCATATGCAGGGGCAGTCTCCACATGCACCGCAGCCACACGAAGCCAATGGGCGGTATGATTCCGCCTTCGATGCCACTCGAGAATTGCCTGAGCATACCCCATCCCATCTGCCCAGCTTGGAGGCTCCCAACATCGTGGGAATACAACAAAACACACAGTCGACACAAGCACCTCCCCAGCAGCCAATAGGTTCCAATATAGAGGGCCTGCCAGTGAATCACTACGGGGGCTACCCGAGTCTAATCGACCGCCAATGGGGGCACCAGGCTTTCGTTCTCTGCAAATGATGCACCATACCAATGGAAGCTCTCGCTCACCAATGTTTCATTCCCATGGCTTTGGTTCGGGATACGGCGACGGCGCATATCCTTTGATGAATTCCCAAGAGACAAACCCAGCGTCGATCAATCATCTTCGACTTGGGAATTCAGCAGAAAACCAACCAGCGCCATTTCTAGGATTTTCCCCGCAAATCCAGTCACCAAACTGGTTGCCTCTTCCATCGCCATCTCCTGCCAACTTTCCTTCCTTCAGTATGCCCTCGTTCTCCAGCTCATTACGATACCCCGTTTTGCAGCCAGTTCTCCCTCACATCGCATCCATCATCCCCCAATCTCTAGCCTGTGATCTTCTCGATGTATATTTCACTAGCTCCTCTTCTTCCCACTTTTCGCCGGCGTCGCCGTATGTGGTGGGTTATGTCTTTCGGAAACAGTCGTTTCTCCACCCAACCAAGCCAAGAGTTTGCAGTCCTGGCCTCCTTGCCAGCATGCTTTGGGTGGCAGCTCAAACAAGCGAAGCTGCATTTTTGACATCGCCTCCCTCAGCGCGGGGGCGAGTCTGTCAAAAGCTGCTTGAACTCACGATCGGCCTGCTTCGGCCACTGATTCATGGGCCTGCCACCGGCGAGGCGTCGCCCAATTATGCTGCAAATATGGTCATTAACGGGGTGGCTCTAGGGGGGTTCGGGGTCTCAATGGACCAGTTGGGTGCCCAAAGCAGTGCGACAGGTGCTGTTGATGATGTTGCCACCTATGTTCACCTGGCTACAGTTGTGTCGGCTAGCGAGTACAAAGCGGCCAGTATGCGCTGGTGGACTGCTGCATGGTCTCTTGCGCGAGAGCTGAAATTGGGCCGTGAACTAGCACCGAATACAACCACCCGACAAGGTGGCGAATTGGAAGGTGAATCGGATATGGATTTGAACGGTAAAAAGGGACAAGAGTCATCGCTACTCACAGAAGAAGAACGTGAAGAGCGGCGGCGCATCTGGTGGCTACTATATGTGACGGATCGCCATCTAGCCCTTTGCTACAACCGGCCTTTGACCTTATTGGATACAGAGTGCGAGGGCCTTTTGCAACCGATGAATGACGATCTCTGGCAAGCGGGCGACTTTTCTGCAGTCTCTTACCGCCGCCGCGCTGGTCCAGCCTTTGAATGCACTGGCCATAGCATGTTTGAATACTTCCTGCCTTTGATGAGCATTCTCGGTGAGATCGTGGACCTCCAGCATGCCAGAAATCACCCAAGATTTGGTCTCCACTTCCGCAACAGTGGCGAGTGGGAGAGCCAGGCCATGGAGATCAATCGACAGTTGGATGTCTATGCCCAGAGTTTGAAAGAATTCGAGGCTCGATACACAAGTTCTTTGGCCTTCGGTGCAGGGGAGAATGATACCACAATGGAAGGCTCCCATGTTAGCCCCTCTGGTCGCTCGAGTAGTACTGTCGGGTCGCACTTGAGCGAGTCGATTGTCCACACCAAAATGGTGGTTGCCTATGGAACTCACATCATGCACGTTCTCCACATTCTCCTGGCTGGCAAATGGGACCCGATCAATCTACTTGACGACAACGATCTCTGGATTTCATCGGATTCTTTTATCTCTGCCATGGGCCATGCAGTGAGTGCTGCCGAGGCGGCTTCCGACATTCTAGAATATGATCCAGATCTGAGCTTCATGCCGTTCTTTTTTGGGATATATCTCCTGCAGGGCAGCTTTCTTCTGCTATTGACGGCTGATAAGCTACAAGGGGATGCCAGTCCCAGTGTGGTTAGGGCCTGCGAAACAATTGTACGGGCCCACGAGGCTTGCGTCGTGACTTTGAATACCGAATATCAGGTAAGAAAGCCCGTTTGGGGATGTCTTCTGGGACGTTTCCCCCTATCAGTGATCAGTGGTTGACTATTGTGCAGAGGACGTTCCGCAAAGTAATGCGTTCGGCTCTTGCCCAGGTCCGCGGGCGTGTCCCTGAGGATTTTGGTGAGCAGCAACAGCGTCGTCGTGAAGTACTGGCCCTCTACCGTTGGAGCGGGGATGGGGGTGGTCTTGCTATATGATCAAACACTCTTTCTGTTGTGTTGCCAGTTCTTTCTTCCTGTATATTATTTTTCTTCTGGATGATCTTGACATATCCAAGGCATAATATGGCGCGTGATTCCCTTTCTGTTGAAAGGTTTACCCAGCGCACATCTCTTCAACATATCTTTGTATAAGTTACTGAACCTCGCTTTGCTTAGGCGGCTTTAGGAGACGCAGTAGAGACTAAAAAGTATATCTTATATTAACTGACCTTTATCCTATTCAAGATATCCAATAATCTATTAAAAATATAGATAGCTATTCTACTAATACTACTTAGAAGGGGGGCTGCCTGTATACCTGTACATACTATAGCTGCAAAGATAGTATATTATATGCGAGAGAGGCTTAGGGCCACTCTGTAGGTAGTTATAGGACCTCACTTAGTAGCGATCCTATATAAAGGGCTTATCGCTAGGATCAAGCGAGACAAGTAATTAGCTTCGTGAATATAGGACCCTACTTACTGCTTCTAAATATTTTTGATTGCCGAATCTACACTACCTGCTACTTAACTAGCTTACCTACGGTGTCCTAACACCCCTGGAGTTTTCATCTTTATCTACCTCTGTATACAACGAAGGCTGTGCTGCTGCTATAGAGAACTGATATCAGTAGACCAATATAGTTCTAGGTTGTAATTCACTATAGCTCCTGCTCTTTATTGCCATATCAATTTGTCATCGGCATCTGTCCTTAGCTAGCCCTACCCAAGCTCACGCGGACCTCCCGTGGCTTTAATATGTATACAATAAAGGATAACGCATCTATTTGTATTATAGACAGCCCGCCAAATCGGTTGTTGCCCATGTAACCTAACTTCTAGGGAGTATTCTAGAAGCTAAACCACTGCGCCAGGAGCAAAATACTAGGATTATATACGGAGCACTGCCCGTCACAGCTTAGACGAATTCTCCCCGGCATCAAGTTGTCTATCCCACTTATTGAGTATTGTTTTTGTGACTGATAACCTTCCTTTTTTATTATGCTATTCTCTAGGTGTGTACCATAAAGAATGTTTCGAAAGACTGGTTGATTTCTCCTAGACCAAGTTTATTGAATGCATCGTGCCTCTTACTCGAAATATATGGAAGCCCTGGGAGGTCGACGGGCTTATTTATTGTTGGGCTGGGGTGCATTAACACCATGAAGGCGGTTTAGGGCGCTTAGTAGGCGCGGATAGAGCATTTCTAGTTGCGAAGATCAAGATGGCTAGAGCTACACTTCAGCGCTTTCAAGCAGACAAGCTCTTTTTTGGTGATTTCTATTTTATATTCCTAGCAATATAACAATAATATGCTAACCTAAGAATAAGAACAAAAGGGACCACCTATTATATACAAAGAAGAAAGTTCAAGAAGTTTCCTGTGAATTCAGAAGCTTCCCAGCCCTCCATAGCATGAACAAACAACTCAGATTACCCCACCACCACACTAGCCCGCGGACCTGGCTCCACCGAGGACAACCGACAAGGATATATACCGCACTATAGCAGAGCCGCGCAATTGTATAAGAGAAAGAAGCAGCATTGATCATCTGCGTAGGAACACCCGCATGCGAAGCGAACAGCACGCTCGCAACCAGCAGCGTGAAATTCTCGACGGAGTTCGCATGCGCGGCTTCATTACGCTTGAGCATATCGAGCTGTTTACGCGTCAGCTTCCCATCGCGCACGGCCGCCTCGCCGTATTTCGCGATATCTTCGCGCGGCGACGCCTGGTGGTCGATACCATACCACTGTTTCAGGGTATGCGAGGAGAGAATGCCGTAGGCGTAGATAAAGTGGAAGCCCAGGAAGGCGGGGCCGTAGTTAGGAATAGATGTTGAGGCAGCGCGAAGGCCGATGGCTGTGAGGAGGGAGCTCATAGTGGATGGTGTTGTGAGGGTTTGTAGTTGACGTTTTGTTTTAAGGATTCGAGATTCGAGGTTACAGACAAGTTGGGTGGCCTAACGAGGGGTGAGATCTCGCCTCATCTACCAGCTCCAAGCCTCAACGCGGAGCTGCTCTCGCTCACCAGATGGGAAATTTTACATTGGTAACGGGTAAGAACAAAAATTTTATTTATATCAATCTTTCCTAAACTAGTTAGGAGAAGAGGGTATATAGGCCCCTAAGATGAAAAAATATCTACCCCTATTCATGTTGATCCTTAAAATACAATATCAACAAAACTTAATGAATTGACTTTAGATATTAAAGACATTCTGTCATTGGCGTCCAAATTTTGCAAGGCCATCCAAGGACAAGCTCCAATTCAGGCAACAATCCGCACTAACAAGAGGGGCATAGAGGTCGCAAGTGTATAGGCGATTCATGTAAGATATAGTACTTCATGTCATACCATCGTTACGGGGGAAAAGGGCTCTATTCTTAGAACGAGGTAATCTATGGCCTAGCTAACTATAGGTTACGGTAGTATATAGTAATATATAGTAGGGTAAAGTAGGGTATCATAATAGATAATAGTAGATAATAATAAAATTTAATAACAGATAAACTAGCATCGCGATACCTTTGTTCTTCTCGATGTGAACCTTCAGTGATGTTGACATCATAGCTTGGATAAGCCGATAGAGCGATTGGCCTCGGCCTGGAGATTTCTCTCTTAACCATCATCTCCTTGACACATTGAGACACTCTCTTTTTCTGGTTTGCGGGAACAGATTCAGGGGCAGAGATGGCAGGACCACTATCAACATGACCATGTTCACCAGATCAACACCGCGACTCTTGTCCTTGTCCCGTCAACTCTTCCGTTTGCGCGGCCCATCGCCAATCCCCAAGCGCTTCCTTGGGATACCGTCCGCTTTTCTGTTAGATGAGTACATCCCACGATACCAGCTCCTGACCTCGGTTGATGCAGCCAAGAAGCGATCGCTGGCTTATGCGCATTTACGCGAGTGCAACCTGTGCCCGCGCCAGTGCGGGGTCAATCGCTATGAGACGACGGGCATGTGTCTGATTGGGGCCGAGTCGGCCAAGGTCAATGTGATTGCGCCACATCGCGGCGAGGAGCCGTGTATCCAGGGATACCATGGAAGTGGGTCGGTGTTTTTCTCGGGGTGCAGTCTCCGATGTGTCTTTTGCCAGAACCATGTATGGGTGACCCTTGTTTATTTTATGTGCTTTACTTGCTATCTTACAGAAAGGCGTTGGATAGGGTTGGGTATCCAGGCTGATCAATCAATAGGATATCGCCCACCAGCGCAACGGATTCGACCTTACCCCCGAAGAACTCGCTGAGTGGTATGTCAAGCTGCAGCAGATCGGCAAAGTTCACAATATCAACCTCGTCACGCCGGAGCATGTCGTGCCGCAGGTGGCACTCTCTATCTTGACGGCGCGCGATATGGGTCTCCGCCTCCCGATCCTGTATAATACCTCGTCGTTTGACTCGCTAGACTCGCTCCGGCTGCTTGACGGGCTGGTCGATATCTATCTGCCAGACTTCAAGGTATGGCGAAGCAGTACATCCAAGCGTCTCCTGAAGGCAGACGACTACACCTCTACGGCGATGGAGAGCATCAAGGAGATGCACCGTCAAGTCGGGGACCTCTCGTTCACCTCGGATGGTATCGCCAAGAAGGGGGTTCTGCTGCGGCATCTGGTCATGCCGGGGAAGGAAGACGAGGGTCGAGAGATTATGCGCTGGCTTGCGGAAAATGTGTCGCGCGATCTCTACGTGCATATCATGGAGCAGTACCACCCCGATGCGCATGTGGGGAAGAAGCGGAGGGTCACACGCAAAGTGCGCTTCGGAGAGAGTGATAGCACTTCGCCCCCGGAAGAGGTCCGCTATGCCGAAATCAACCGCGCTGTGCGGGATGAAGAACTCGGCTCGGTGCGAGATGCTGCGGCTACGGCTGGGCTGTGGCGGTTCTGCGAGGTCAACGAGCAGAGCGCCTTCCACCTATGATATACCTTTTTAATATCCACAATCAAGAAATTATACCTTTTCTATTCCTTGGTTCTTGTATTTTGTAAGTTATAGTCCGATGGTTGGTTCATGGAGGTGTCATGTGATGTGCGCTGTTGTGGCTCCACCAAAGCTCCGAAGCTCTTCCACATTAAACACATCCCGAAGTGATGCAGCCAGAGCATCAGCTCGTCCCAATATGAAACCTATCATCGGCATCCCTCTCGTCGTCGGGCTGGTCTACCGCGCCTGGTCCCGCCGTTCCCTGACTCCCGTGGGACTTGTCGCTGCCGCTGCCACGGCCACCATCCACGCGCTGCACCCGTGGTCGACCCCGCTTGCGTTACTGGCGGTATTCTATTTCGGCGGGGCAAAGGTCACGAAGGTAAGTATCTCAAATTGTCTAATTCGTTTCTGATTCTTGCGGAAAGAAGATCTGCCAGCTCTACCTCCGGCACTTGTTCACACCGTCCAGGATTTACCACGGCTAACACGGGCGAGTTGTCACTAGGTCAAACATGAGGTCAAGGCGCATTTGACCCTCTCAGCAACTGGTACAGAGGGCGGCGAAGGTCCGCGTAATCACATCCAGGTACTGGCAAACTCCGTCGTCAGCACGGTCTTGATACTGGCCCATCTCGCTGTGCTGGGCAGACCGACTGCGACCGAGGCCGGGTCGTGTTTCTCGTTGGGGGAGAGGGCAGCAGATATCCTGGTCGTGGGGATTGTGGCGTAAGTCAAACTGAGACTTCTAATTATGCCCTCGCCTCCCTTCTTACCGATCTCCTGTTGTTGTTCTCCCTGTATTGTATGGCTCACACCCCCACTACCATCATACAGAAACTACGCCGCCGTCGCCGCAGATACCTTCTCCTCGGAACTGGGTATCCTGTCCACATCCAAGCCCCGTCTCGTTACCTCCCTCACCTTCCGCGAGGTCCCGCCCGGCACGAATGGCGGCGTCACTGCGACAGGTCTGGCCGCGGGTCTACTAGGCTCGTTCACAGTCGCCCTAACCTCGGGCCTGCTGTTACCATTCTGTCCCGGGTCCTCAGGACTTTCGGACCGCGTGCTTTGGACAGTCGCCGTGACGTTGTGGGGTGTGCTGGGGAGTGTATTGGACAGTGTGCTGGGAGGGTTATTGCAAGCCAGTGTCGTGGATAAGCGGAGCGGAAAGGTTGTGGAGGGGAGCGGTGGCCGAAAGGTATGAGGAGCTGACGCTCTGTCCACCATACAACCTTGCTTAAGTTTTGTTATTGACTTGATTTCCTCTTGCAGGTCCTCATCCACCCCGCCTCTACGAAACCTACCCCCACCTCCAACGGTACGACCCACTCTGCTGATACTACCGGCAGCACACAGATCCGCAACACCGAGGCGGTGGCTAATGCGGCTACAATGCGTGGTAGCCGTGTGACGGGAACCTCGGTGGGATCGCAGCTGGGTCGTGCACACAAGGAGAGCAATGAGAGTCGGCGGTTGGAGAGCGGGCACGATTGGTTGGATAATAACGAAGTCAACCTGCTGATGGCGGCGACGATGAGTCTGGGGGCTATGGGGGTTGCGCAGTGGGTTTGGGGTGTGGATGTGCGCGAGGCGTGGGTGTAAATGATGAACTTGGATCTATAAGTCTCCTACGGATTTTGGGTTTAAATCGATGGCATCTACATCAGAGAAATAGACTCAACGAAAATTCATGCCCGAGAATACCATGAACCAACCACCAAGGTAAGGAAGAAAGAATCCAAGAACATTGCATGGGTGTCTCGTTATCTAGCCAAATCTGTACCCAAGTGTCCCTTCAGTCTCAAGATTATATGCCATGGCAAGATCAAAGCCCCAGAGCGCCGAGAAAATGAGACGAACTCCCATATCAAATCAATGTACATGTCCCAGACGCCAGAGCCATAGATGCGATGCCACATCCGAGGATAGCGGCCAGCACCCTGGTAACCAAGCCAGGACCGGTCCCCAATCCAGGTGTCTCAACTCCATGGCGATGGAAAAGGTCCAAAACGCCATTGTCAGAACCAAAAACAAGAAACCATAGCCACTGTCAACATGCACAGCTTCAATTCCAACATGAAATAAAATTTGTCGCCCATATATAGATAGAGCAATAAAAGTGGGTGGACTGCCCGGTGGCAGTCTCGAAGCGAAGCTCTTAGCGATTGGCTCTTCGCTGTCGTCGGTTGGCGAAACGATAGGACGGTCTCGAAGACCACGGTGAGAGGAGATCCTCTCGGCTGGTTGCGCGCGGCCAGCCAGGGAGTTCAACGCGAAGGATGATCCCGAGACATTGTTCGGCTCGGGCGCTGCGCAAGAACCGTTAATCCACGGGGAGCAACAGGTGTTGACAAGTAGAAAATCGCTGTTTATCTTTGCTCCGTCCAGTCTTGCATCTTGACGTTCATGCCCGGGGCATGCTCGTGGATCGGTTGCTGAGCGGCAGCCGAGCGAACAACCGACCGAGACGGCTGCGGGGGGCCCGTTCCTGATCGACGGCGTCGCTCACGCTCCAAAGGGCCCGGCAGCTCCGAGTTGTTGCCGCTGTTGTTGGTGCGGTTGCGGAATTTGTGGCCCATGCCATTCATCCAGCTCCCGTCTTCATCTTCACCAAGCCAGTAGTTACGGCCGATGCTGATCATGACCCGGCCTAGTTTGCCTTGCCATCCTTGGCCATCGGGGCTATAGGGAGAGAAGGGCTCACGGTCGATGTCAGCCATGCTGGCCACCGAGGCATTACGGCTGTGGGTCGGGAGTTGTGTGTGACGGGGGAGGGCGATCCAGAGGCGAAGGGTCTGGCGGGCAAAGGCAAGCATCACCAGGACAAAGTAGGCGCGCATCATCCACAGCAGCGTGATGAAAATGATACTCTGGAAACTCTCGGGTTGGAGGACGGCGTTGCTGAGATGGTCGGCGCTACGGGGCGGGTGGGCGACGAAGTTGTTGCCCTCCTTGGTGTTCTGAATCTCAACGTAGGCAGCGTCATATTTGGGGCTGGTGAAGCCGGCAGTCTGCTCGATCGTCTCCTTGCCGGGGCTGGAGGTGGCGGCGCTACCGTCATATTGCTGTGACACCAAGACGAACCAAGTCACGCCAAAAGCAGCCGTGTAGGCGGCGTTGACCAAACTGTCGATTAAATACAGCCAGGCAAGGGTGAGACACTGCAGGGGCGATTGTTTGCGGATGTGCGGGAAGAGGAGGGTGGCGAGGCCGAGGGCGACGAGGGAGTACAAGTACATAGACAGTTGCACGGGCGAAAGGTGGTAGCCGGTCAACAGAGCCAGCAGGCCATACAGGCCACTGATTTTGTTTAGTAGCAGCGACAACGTGATAAGTGAAGCGCCTGTTTCCAGGCTCATCATGTAGAGAAAGGTCTGAAGTCACGAGGTCGGATTAGCAGGGACTCGCCAGGCAGACACAGTGACACCCTCACCTCTGGCCGCGGAATGCGAAAGAAGCGCATCCTGAATGACAAACACGATATCCACAGAGAAATCCAAAGCAGAGAGGGACCAAATGGGCCAAAAAGGTCGAACAGGTGAAGCTGGAAAAAGGCAAGTGGCCCAGGGGCGCGCCATTCCGGGAGATCCGCCAGCGCCGATCGCTGCCCGATTCAACGGTGATGATTTTACATCATTTCAACACTTCACGATGTTCTTGAAACTATTCTACTATACACTCTGGAATCAAATGTTCTCACACGGCTGATCTTCAGCCTTGCTTTCTTCCTCAGTGGAATCGCCAAACAATGTTCCCACCTCCTCCAGCGACAGCCCTTTGGTCTCGAACAAAAACCACATCACCGGGGTGTCTACTAGCGGCACTACTACAAAAACCAGGTAGTATTTCCATCCAACCTGGTCAAATCCTACAGGGGCAGTCTCCGTGTAGACTATTGAAAGCAAAAGACCAGCCCAAAACTCGAGATTTTCAAGGGCAAGTCTCCTTACTCAACGTCATTGCAAACAGGCCCATGATGCATGCTGCAATCCCCTGGGTTCGGAGTTTCATGGGGGAAAGCTCCGCACAATACATGCAACTGATGGCATCGACGCACGATCCATAAAATGTCACAAAGACAAACAGGAACAGCACCCCGAACCCATTACCCATACGGTTAGGGGTGCCGCTGTATTCGGCCACCATCGCGGCTTCACAGGCCACCGAAAGGGCACATCCCACTTTGATCAGTGGAGTTAGTGAAGACGCAAGAAATTGTGGCGGGAGAACGTATATACCGATCCAATTTTGGAAGAACAACTCACGTATCCAGTGACAATCAGAAACCCATGCGACCCCACCATCCTCCCCCGACTTGACGGTGGAGATACCTCGGACTGATACAAAGGAATCAGTGTAGTAATCATACTCGATCTGATCCCGGATACAAATCAAGGAGGTCTGCACTTTTAATAACATCCATTGAAAGCGAGGAAATCTCACCCGACTCCGTTGAAGAACCTGCCCACCAGCAACATGGCAATATGGACCGCGGCTGCTTGGATGATGGCAGAAATAATGCAAATAGCACAGGTCATTTGAATGGCCGCTCGTCTGCCCACTTTATCGACCAGCCACGCGACAATCCCACATCCTAAATACCGCCCGTTTAGAAGATACCTTGGATGGCTGTGCCGAGGGATAGTCTCTTGGTCGGGGATTTACAACCAGTCCCATGACTCACTGCCAATAATACTTGTCGTATAGCTTGCTCGCGGGCCAGTTGAGCTCAGATCAAAGTATGTGAAGAAAGAATCGAGACCTTGGAAAGTCCCCATGATCGAGTTGTTGAAGCCATAGGTCAGAGAGCCCAAGCCGACAAAAAAGACAATAATAATGTTATAGCCGTTGACCGTGTCGCTCTTCATTATGGATAGGTTAAATAGGGCACTAGTTCAGTGTTTAGTGTGAAAAACAAAACATCTAGCGGAATAATTTACCCATGCGCCAACAGGTGAAATATATAATATGATATTACTGGGTTTCAAAGAGAAGATATAGAGGTTGCTAGTGCTTTTGTTCTAATATATCGATGGTTCAACAGATCAAGAAAGTACCTTTCTGGGCCGGAGTTTTTGATATCGCAGGACTCTATGTCCGTCTAGAAGCAAATGTCAATTGAACTTCAACGATCTATAACATATCCTCTTAGAGAACTGATTGAAAAGTTTAACGGCCAAATAAGTCGCGACAAAACCCCGTCTCTCCTCAAGTCTGTATTTTAACTACATTGAATAGCTCAGAATAATAATAATAATAATAAAGAAATACAGCCATGACTCGCGCGACCTTTGTCTTGCCTCTGTGGGGTTTAGAGATCATGACATACAAAAGAATATCGTGAAAACCATGATTCAAACCATAATACAACTAGCCACCTTAGAGAAGACAAGAGAAAATCTTCAAATACATGAGATAGATGCGCGCATTGTTGCAAAGACATACAAGGCCCCCTCGTTTTCTCGGCGTCTTCGGAGATTTTTCGCTAGCCGAGGGAAATGGATCTGCCCCATAGCAATGAAACACCGACATCGGGCACCACTACAGTATATATTTCAACGCAGGATCCTCATACGGGTTCTGGAAGAACAAAGTGACTTGCTCAAGTCATTAAAATGGCACCTCGCCCTCTTCGCATTGGCAACGTCTCCGGTGCCACGGGCGACAGCCCAACGGCCATGAGCCGCATGGCTCGCGACGGCAACGTCGACGTGATCGTCGGCGACTGGCTGTCGGAGATGAACATTGCTTGGAATGCAATTACGAAAAGTCAAGACCCCGAACTGGGATATGAGCCCGGGTTTTTGACCCAGTTAGAGGGCTGCCTCGATCTGATCCTCGAGCGAAAAATCAAAGTGATCACCAACGCAGGCGCGCTCAACACGCCGTCCTTGGCACAGGAGGTGCAGGATCTTTGCCGCCATCGTGGATTCGAGAATGTCGTCGTGGCGAGTGTGCTGGGTGACGATATTTCTGCTCTCATTACCGACCCGTCGCAGAGGGCCGAGCTAAAGATGCAGCATCTTGATCACCCCGAATGGTCAGTCGATGGGTGGAGTCTCGAGCCGCATTGTGGTGTTGCTTATATTGGCTCCTGGGGGATTGTGGAGGCACTGAAAAATGACGCCCAGATTGTGATCTGTGGCCGAGTGACCGATGCTTCACCAGTCATTGGGGCTGCCGCCTGGTGGCATAGCTGGGAGAAAGACAATTGGGAGGCTTTGGCCGGGTCGTTGGTGGCAGGGCGTAAGGATCTCTTCGCTGGAATTCTGTTAGTATCATAGTCACTGACAGACGGCAGATCTCATCGAATGCGGGCCATACGTGACGGGCGCCAACTTCTCGGGCTTCAAGGCTTTCTTGTCTGACCTTGTCGATTTGGGGTTTCCAATCGCCGAGATTTCAAGCGATGGGACATGCGTGATTACCAAATGCGATCGGCATGCTGGCCATGTCACCAAGCACAACACCATCGCCCAGCTGCTGTATGAGCTCCAAGGTGAGCTGTATCTCAACCCGGATGTGGTGGCAGACCTGCGCGATATTGCCATCGAAGAAGAGAGTCGCAACAGAGTTCGCGTCACTGGGGTCAAAGGGAAGCCTCCCCCATCTACTACCAAGGCGATGGTCGCTGCCCCGGGTGGGTACCAAGCTGAGGCTACTTTCTATATCAACGGGCTCGATGTTGATGAGAAGGTGCAGATGATGCGCCAGCAACTTGCTGATGCATTTCGCAACAATGCATTCACCAAGTTTTCTGTCGAGCTCTACGGATCGCCTCTTATCAACCCGGAAAGCCAACAGGCTGGAACAGTTTCGTTGCGTGTTTTTGCTCAGGCAAGACGCAAGGAAGATATCTCTGGGCCTAAATTCAAGGTTCCGATCTATGCCTTGAGAATGCAGAGCTATCCTGGTAAGAATAATCCTATACTCATCCAAGAATACAAGGCTAATGACAATGTCAGGTTACCATATGAACCTGGATTTTCGCACCATGGACCCAAAGCCGTTCATGGAGATTTTCCCTGCAACGATTCCCCTGAGTATTCTCGACCACAAGACTATTCTCTCAAATGGTAAAGAAGTGGTTATCCTGCCACCGTCATCAACAGCATCCTACCCAGTCCAGCGGCCATCCTACGAGACATCGTCGCCTGTGCCTCTCTCCGAATTTGGCTCCACAACTCTCGCACCACTTGGAAGGATTGTGCATGCCCGTTCCGGCGACAAGGCAGATAATTCAAACGTGGGATTTTTTGTTCGTCACGAGGATGAATATCCATGGCTGCAATCTTTCTTGACCATCTCAAAACTAAAGGAGCTCTTTGGCTCTGACTGGAAGCTCAACGGTCATGGCCAGGAGCCGAAGATTGAACGGTGCGAGTTCCCCAAGATCCTTGCCGTGCATTTCCGCGTCTTGGACTTTCTCGGCGGCGGCATTGCTAGCTCGAGCCGCATTGATGGACTGGGCAAAGGTATTGGAGAGTTTCTACGTAGTCGGGTTGTTCCAATTCCAGTCGATTTTATAGAAAGAGAGCGAATTTGATAGTGCGGATGCTTCAGCCAAACTAGTGCATCTATGTTATATTTTGGTTATAATTTTTTCATGTCTTTTATGATGTCGTTCATGACCTGGAAAAGCTTTTTTTAACTCGAATATCTAATTAATGCTTTCGGGTATAGAGAATAGAGATACTGTAGGGACTTGAAAGTATGCATCCATCCATGGATGGATTTGCGTGTCCTCGCTTGCACTCGGTGCCTTGCCATATTAGTACTTCCTCGATTTCGGACACCGGGATGGCGTGGTTGCTAATGGCCGAGGGCGCTTCTTTGCTGGGGTTCTGATGCCCCCACCATCGCAGCTGGGACAGAGGTTAGTGCTTATCGAGTCTTGGGCCCCTGTTCAGGTTAATAGTTGACTATACCCAATCGACAAATACTCCTCGGCCGACAATGCCTCCGCGCTCGCACATGTCTACTCGTTAGAGTCTGGTTAGTCTCCAGTTCTTCTCTCGACACAAAACAACTTAATGTGGATGCCATTCCCCGGGTTTGCCAGAGCCTCCTTCATACTGAGGCCGTCAAAGAAGAGTCCCTCCTTTTGAATATTCCACTGTGATTGCATGGTCAGCTGGCTCTTTCCATGTATTCAATCCCGGCATAGCAAGCAAGTAAGTAAATGAAACGAGAACATACATGCTGCAGACTATCCTATTGCGAGCTGCTCTGCATATTGACACTGATCTCATCATCTAGCCTAATAAAGCGCTGAGATGTCATATCCTTGACGTGATGGTGAATAGGGATCCGGCCAAACCCAGGGAATTCGAGGTTCTCCATAAGCCAGTAAAGCTGGACATGTTGCCCGAACTTGACTTCCTTCGACACCTCTAGCACCACCGAAGGTGTCAAGAGATTGAGTGCTGGATTTTTGAGGTCAGCAGACAGGAACTTCCAAAGCATATCATCCAGCGCACTTCAAATCCATACTTCCGCGTTCATCTTTCTTTCCATCGCAATCGAAAAATCCCCATAGACTACCCTGGGGCTGTCATAGAACAGATGGCAGCTCTCAAAAGGAGGGAAAGTGTAGCCGATGTCGGGAGAGGTGTTCTTGGTCGATGCCATGGTTGTGGTAGTAATGTATCACGATGTTTCGGAATAGTTTTGTCAACCTCCCTAGCTCGTCTCGGATTTTTGTTTATTATGTCTTTCCAACCAAGCGAGGTACAGAAACATCATGGCATTTTAAAGCTCCTCGTCCTTTGCGGCGTTGGTGGGTCAGCCTCCCCAGGGAGAGAAGCGAGATAATGGCCGACCTCGGTAAGTTGGCCGAGGTGGTCATAGCATGGAGTAACCTTGTTCATTCCCGTGAGTCCTATTGGACCGCTGGGGATCGCTGGCTCGATGATCTTCGTACCGAGAAACCGAAGATGCCGGGATCGAACACTATTTGGAGAGATTGATTTGCATCTTACGGAGCATGAGGTGGGTTATCCGCTAATCTTAGCACTTCAAATAGACATTAGACTGACTGAACGACCTGAAAAAAACTCCTAGAAAAAAGATTCGAAAACAGGATCTAGGCGAGAATGGTGAACTGGGGCCTGTGAAGGATCAATCTACTCGCCATGATTTCGCCCGGAGAATCCTACAAGCTTGTACCGCTGCAGCTACCTCTAAAGTGGCCATGTTGTACAGTGTCATCGATTATAGCATATCAGACACATTAAGTTATCGGTGGACCCTCCAGAAGGGACTCCATAGAAGCAACTTTGCACTGCAACCACAGAAACAATACGGCGCGAGACGGGGAATCAAAACGCCCTTTTCGAAAGCACCACACAAGCAAAGAAACGATAAACCGCATTCGGTATTGAAAGATCTAGACACGCTATTCACTCGAGCAACCGGAAATGAGGAAAGGAAACATGTACATCTTTAAGAGTCGATAATCATGGACGCACTCTCCGTTCATCCGGGAGAGGCGTGTAAGCAGAGGGGAGCGTATGAAATTTAGCAGGCACAGCCATCGTTGTTGGTCGTCTCCTTGGGGCTAATGTTCACATCGATCACTGGAGACAAAGAAAAACTTGGTCAGCATTCCGAGTGATGTTGCACTGCAGTGCGGATTGGACGTACTCGTGTTCTCCCCCTGCTTGGCCTCGCCCTCCATACCGGGCAGAGCCTGGGCGATTCTGCGGAACAGTTGCTTCACATTGTGTCCCACCTTGGCGCTGGTTTCGATGAACATCAATCCGTTCTTCTTGGCTTCCTCCTCACCCTGCGCCGTGGTGACTTCGCGCTTATCGTTCAAGTCGGTCTTGTTACCCACCAGCACAATGATCACATCGTTGCCACGCTCTCCGCGCACATCATCGATCCATTTCCGGGTGTTCTGGAAGGACTTGGCGTTCGAAATATCATAGACCACAACGGCAACACTCGAGTCTCGGATATAAGAGGGGATCAGCGAACGGAATCGCTCCTGGCCGGCGGTATCCCACAGCTGTAGGCGAACGGTGCGGTCTTCAAGGTACATAGTCTGCGAAAAATAGTCAGTCCGGCTCCCCCACAGATATGCCAACAATCCGCCTTAGTCGAGTCGCGTGGCTAAGTGGCGTACCTTGGACAAAAAGTCGATGCCAATTGTGGCCTGGTATGTGTTGTCGAATGAGTCGTACATGAAACGGGTAATCAAAGAAGTTTTTCCAACTGCAATGCGATGTCAGGCTCTAGGTTCTCGAGTTCATGGCTTTATCGCCCCTATTCGTAGTGTATGAGGTGTCCAGTTGCAGGAAGGTAGTCGTACCACTTTGTTCGCCCAGAAATACCAACCTACCCATCAAGTCAATAACGCTGCTTGCAAATCGATCAGCACGAATTAAACACTCACTTGAACTTTTTCAGGGGGTTCGAATACGACCCTACCCCGGAGGAGGAAGCCATGGCGAGGGTGTGAACACGGGGTGGATCAGGGGTAGTGCACCGCAGAGAAGTAGCGAAGAGTTGCCAAACAATCAAGCGACCAAGGAGATTCACTCAAACACCAAATATACGCGAGAGATTGACCGTGGGCTTTGTTCAGGACGAGAGTTGGGCGGCCATGGATCTGGGGATTGAAAGGCGATGCCCACCGCCTTAGCGGACCAGTTAATCCGCTCCGAGTCCCGTCCACCTTTCAGCTCCCTGCTCGACTTGGTGTCTGCGATCATTCGGTCCTTTCTTCTTTCTTTGACCAGGTTTCTCGCGGTTATGGCTCTCAAATATCCAGTGGGCGGCCTCGCCGCGGCCTTTCTCGTTATCGGGCTGTGTACGTTCGACGCCCTGGGCTGGTGGGATCTGGCAGCTAATGGTGCTTTCTTCTAGATATGCTCTTCCATGGCGAAGGAGAAGCGTTCAATGTACGAAAGCCCCACGCGAACGATCGAAGAATCTACGTTTCAGCTCTGGATTGATCTGACACACTTCTAGGTCGGCCGCTTTCTCGAGGAAGTTTCGCCCTACGCCTGGGCGAACATTGGCATTGGGTTGTGTATAGGCTGCTCGGTGATCGGAGCTGCCTGGTAGGAGACATCCATACATATACCCATGGGATTCAATGGTACTGACCGTCTCTCTTCTCTGCAGGGGTATTTTCCTCACGGGCTCGTCGATCGTTGGTGGAGGTGTCCGAGCACCCCGAATTCGCACCAAGAACTTGATTTCGATTATCTTCTGTGAGGTCGTGGCCATCTACGGTGTGATCATGGCCATTGTCTTCTCCGCGAAGCTCAATTCGGTCGCCCAGGATGAGCTCCACTCCTACAGCAACTACTATACCGGATATGCGATCTTCTGGGGAGGAATCACCGTGGGCCTGTGCAATCTGATCTGTGGTATCTCGGTTGGCATCAATGGAAGTGGTGCGGCGTTGGCCGATGCGTCTGATCCCTCCCTGTATGTGTTTTTCTCCCCCCGTCCTCCCCCCCTCTTGTGGCTCTCCGTGGCTGTGTTTGTCCATTGGGAACGGCCCTGACCTTGTCTTGAACAGATTCGTCAAGATCCTCGTGATCGAAATTTTCAGTTCCGTGCTCGGCCTGTTTGGTCTGATTATCGGCCTGTTGGTAGCCGGGAAAGCGCCTGATCTGGGGTCGGCTTAATGCCGTGTTTTGTTCCAACATGGTGATCTCCACTGGGACCAAGGGCATGAACGAGGGATAATGCCCTATATGAATTTTTTTGCGACTCAAATTATCCTTTTTTTCCCGTTTTTTCTCCACCTTTTCGTGGTTATGTTCTCATATAGCATTGGGGCGTTTGGATTCTATACGTAGAGCTCTTGGGATTTACTGGATTGCATTGCCGATCTGGAGATCATGTATGTGTACAGTAATATCAGTAGCAATGCAATTACCGGGGAATAACAACATCTTAGCCATCAGGTAGAAAACGGGTTGTAATCTTTTTGTAGCACGGGCCACAGCATCCCGGAGACTCGCGATGCGCGAACTTCTACTTAACACTCTTTCCCCTCCTCACCCACTCCTCGGCCACACACTCAGCCATGGCCACCAAACTCAAACCTGCCATTCTGATCGTATCGGACACGGCGTCGCAGAACCCCGCATCGGACAAGACGATCGACGCCCTCACATCCATTCTCGCGGCTGAGGGAAAGTGGGCACCCCCCGCAGTCAGGATTGTTCCAGACAACGTACCCCAGATCCAGCAATGTATTCGCGACTGGGCAGATGGAGCTGATTGGCATAACCTAATTCTGCTCAGCGGTGGAACAGGTTTCGCCGTCAAAGACAACACCCCGGAGGTTGGTGATCCTATCTCTTCCGAGTCACTTTTTCCCGCTCTAATGCTCTAATGACATCACCCCAGGCTGTTTCTCCCCTGATCCATCGCTTTGCGCCGGGCCTAGTGTGAGTTTCCCGCAATCTCTTTGGCTCCACCATCCAGTACCCCGGACTAATTGGCGCACGGATGCATCACTCCAGCCATGGCATGATTGCGGCGTCCTTGAATGTAACTCCATGTGAGAATGACATCACTTGATTGAAGCCACTATTTACATGTCTGCTAATCCGCTTGTAGTTGCGATGATGGCTCGTCCAGTTGCTGGAGTTCGTGACAAATCTTTAATCATGACATTACCCGGGTCCCCCAAAGGCGCTATGGAGAATCTTGATGCCGTGGTCAAGCTTCTACCACACGCTTGTTTGCAGGCTGCCGGCGCAAACTCCCGAGGCATGCATGCCGGAGGTGTGAAAAAGCTGGAAACTGATGCCGGTGTGGCTTCGAGCCAACAACAACACCAACACCAGCATCATCATCACCATGACCACTCCCATGGCCATGGTCATGTGGTTCCCAAGGCACATACATCGCCAGCAGACCGGCCACAGTCCAATGACCCCGGTGCAGGACCCAATCGGCGCCATCGCTCGTCCCCGTACCCTATGCTTTCCGTAGAGGAAGCACTCCACCGTGTCAGTGAGAACACCCCCGAGCCCACGGTAGTTGAGGCTCCTGTGAACTCGTCCCTCGTGGGGTCTGTTATCGCCGAGGACGTCTACGCCACAGAGGCTGTTCCCGCGTATCGAGCCAGCATTGTCGATGGCTACGCTATCATTGCTCCAGCCTCTGGCGGCACCACCACGAAAGGCGTGTTCCCCGTAGCATCCATCACCCATGCCAATGTCAGCGGCAACCTAGAACCCTTGAAGCCGGGGACTATCGCTAGAATCACGACCGGGGCGCCGCTCCCTCCGAATGCAAATGCCGTAGTCATGGTCGAAGACACTGCCCTAGCCTCATCCACGCCAGACGGCCAGGAAGAAGCCACTGTGGAAATCTTGGCCGACGACATCGAGCCCGGCGAGAATGTCCGCGAGCCTGGCAGCGATGTTGCCCTAGGCTCAAAGATCCTGTCTCGCGGAGACGCTATCTCGTCTGTCGGAGGCGAGATCGGCGTGTTGGCTGCGACAGGCACCAAGGCCATTAAAGTGTTCCAGAAACCCCGGATCGGCGTGCTGAGTACCGGCGACGAGCTAGTGGAACATGATGACCCGCGCAGTCTTACTGGTGGCCAGATCCGGGACTCCAATCGTCCATCACTTCTCTCTTGCCTCTCTTCATGGGGCTTCCCCACTGTCGACCTAGGCATTGCGCGGGACACTCCAGCCAGCGAATTGGAGCACGCGCTCCGCGACTCCCTGCGTGGCGTCGGCCGGGCATCTGCCAGTGTGGACGTGATTATCACGACAGGCGGCGTGTCAATGGGCGAGCTAGACCTGCTCAAACCAACCATCGAGCGCTCGCTCGGCGGCACAATTCACTTCGGCCGTGTCTCCATGAAACCCGGCAAGCCGACCACCTTCGCGACAGTCCCATTCAAGGCCGCGGGCGGCTCTAGCGCGTCCTCTCAACAGGAACGCCAGTCCAAACTCATCTTCTCTCTCCCCGGGAACCCGGCTTCAGCACTTGTTACCTTGAATCTATTTGTTCTGCCGTCGCTGCACAAGCTCGCGGGCTTGGGCGAGAGCTCTCAGTCCTTGGCAGCGAAGCCGTGGCTACCGCCACAACTCGGTCTGCCGCGTGTTGCCGTCGTCCTGACACATCACTTCCCGCTCGACCCGAAGCGCACTGAGTATCACCGGGCTGTGGTCACTGCCTCGCGCTCAGATGGCCGGATGTATGCCACGAGCACTGGAGTCGACGGCGTGGGTCAGCGAAGCTCCAAGGTGGGCACCCTCGCCAAGGCGAATGCACTGGTGGTTCTGCGAGCCGGGCGGGGTGTTGCCATTAGGGGGAGATTGTCGAGGCACTGATGATGGGTGAAGTCTATGGTTCAGACACCCGGTTGATTTGTTAGGACGAGCGTTGATGCACTCGTACATGAGAGTTGATAAGCTCAATTCTGGAGAATCATTTTGCTTCGTTTAAGTTTTTTTTTTTTTCATGTGTCTTTTATATGTTTTGTGTCCTTCTTCTCCTTCTCTCTTTTCTTGGCTTTGTGTGATTCTTTTAGATCCGATATATCGCCCGAGACTGTCTGTACATATATGAGCTTACGAGAATGACTACAAGATCAACACAAAACACCAGGTTCAAACATCTGTGGCCTTCGACCAAAACCATTCAAAGAATAAACAAGATCCTAAGATACTACACAACACCAATCAACCCTTAGAATACTTCCACCCCTTCTTCTTCTCCGCCCGAAAAGCAAGCAAAGTCCCGTCACGCCCCTGCTTCCGCGCAATCTCGACCACAAAAAACCTGACAAAATCCGCCAGCGTCCAGTAACTACTATGCGCGCTGAGCATATTCAAATACTGGATATTCAGCGGGCCGCCGCCGCCAGAGAGATAGTAGTCGATTTGCCCGTTGTCATTCAGCAGAGCCATGCGCTTCTCGGCGATCTCCTCGCGCGAGAAGTCGTGCGTCTCGAGCTCGACGTTTGAGGGTAGTTTGGAGACGGCTGCAGGCCGGGTGGGAGCTGCTGACGATGCAGGTATTAGTGTGGCAGATGATGAACTCCATCGGAACACGCTGCCTAGGGATTGCCAGAAGGAAGAGGTCGAGCTGGGGATGGAGGCTGGTTTGAGGGAGTTGGAGAGGTCCGCGTCGACGGCTGCGTTGACGCGGTATGCAATTGCTGTAGAGATTCATTGCGGTGTCAGTGGTTCATGGTTAACTGGAAATAAAGGTACAGGGCAGAGGGGCAACGAACGGTCTGTTGTGTGCATGATGTTGTAGAGGTTGTCGACGGCGAGACAGCCGTAGTTGCCGGCTTCCCCGGCAACACCGGGGAGCATATTGTCGCCTTCACTGCCGGGTTTGTCTCGGCCTTTTCGTGGGAGGAGAGTGGCTATTCAAAAGTTAGATACATTGTATTTAAAAAGCAACTCCGAGACGGACCTTTGTTCAAAAGGAGAAAGAAGCCCACGGGACTGCCACAGAGAAACAGGCTTCCAGTGTCGAATTCGAAGATGTCGTCATGCAATGGTGTTTTTGGAAAGTCGAAGTGAGGAACATGCGTAGGCTGATGACTGAGAATGTCCAGGGCCATCACGCTTCCCAGCGAGTGAGCAAGAAGATGTACATTGCCAGTATCCTGGAACCCAGGGTTGTTTTTACACCATAGCCGGTACACTCGATTGGCTTCTCGTACAACCGCCTTGGTCATCTTCGGCTTGTGGTGTGAGAGATAATAAGGGATGTCGAGCATCACGTCACTGATTAGGGATCGAACTGCAGGAAGGGTCTGGGGAGTGATGTCGGAGAGAGAAAAGATATTAGCAGTTGAGTCCTCGGACACCGACGATTCGATATTTTCATCTTCCAAAGATAGCGTGGATCGCCAGTTCACAGGAAGCACCATGATCCCACCATGGTCCTGGCGGACATGCGGCCAAACCGGTTCGTTATTCAGCTCCATGTTGACCTCTCGACGAAAGGCGTTGATAGCATGGGTGAAGTGAAAGCTTTCCATTCGCTCCGACAGTTTCTGTCCAATGCCATGAATCACGAGTACCAAGTCGGTTGGATTAGGCCGCAGCTCTTCCATCTTGCAAGCATAGCATATCTGTTCGCCCAGCATCGGTGCCGGGTTCCGGGACTGGTTTCTTCGAATATAGTGGCGCACATCAATCGGGTTGGGTTTTGATGGGTGCAGTTGATCCCACGCTTTGCGACTGAACCCACGCACTACTGGTATACCAATTTGCCTTCCCTTTCGAATGGCACCCAGCGGCTTTCGTCCCCGTGACGCCGACGGCAGCAGATTGGGCCTCATGATCTGTGCGTTTCTTGCATCCACATATATCGCACTGGACGTGAGATAAGGTCTCACAGCATCCAAATAAGCAGCCGTGCCACCGGCGGCATGATTTGGCTCGAAGGTCAGATGATCGACATCCTCGGCGGAGCCAGAATTAAGAGTCGCTTGATCAGGGGCGGTTCCAGGCCTGCTGGCAGACCCCGGCTCATCCTTGGGCCACAGTCGATGCACGATTTTCATTTCGGCATCCGCCCCATTGTCCACACAGCTGTTCAGCTCGTCTTGCCAGGTGTCGGTCCATGGCCTCAAATCTACATAGCCCTCCTCCAGTTTATTGGCAAGGTCCGTTTCCACGGGTAACATGGTATTTTTGTAGAACCAAGTGGCGCGAACCACGTTTGATATGTCGTGCAGAGGGCTCCAGTAGATGGGTTTCATCTTCAGGTTTGGCAATTCCACGAGGTGGAGCCGTGAGACCCCTACTGTGATCATGGACTGGTCGCTTTGTTGCTCCGTCTCTTCTTCCGCTTGACCTTGCGCTAAATCATCTATGCTGACACTCGTTCTTAACCTCGATGGCTTAGGACCAGCACGATTAGGGGCAGGACTTCGTAGTTCGCTTTGCCATTCAGAGACACCATCTTTAGAGGGCGTCGAGTCGATCGAGCGACCAAGCGGAGTTTGAGGCTGCGATGTTGGTACCCTAATAAAAGGCGAGCCACTGATGCTCGCATCGTGTGATCGTTTGGCACGGACACTGCCTGTGTCTTCTTCACTGTTCTCTGCATCATCAGCTTCGGGGGTAGAGCTGTTTCTTCTTTTGACTGAAGGGTATTCATTTCCAGAAGATGACCGCTCTCTTTTGCGTTGAGCTGGCGAACTATTTTCGGTGTCATTCGAGACATTATCCGCCGATGAATTCGGATGTGTCTCTGCCGGTTCCTCGATGTGACCTTCTGAATCAGAGGTCGCGCCGGTCAGCCGACTCTTAAGATTCCGAGAAGAGGCTTTGTCTGAAATGGAAATCGGGTTGCTTTGAGAACTACCTGGCCCCCTGCTGCTGACCAAGCTTCCGTCATTGCGACTCGCCGTCTTTCGCCGGCGTTCAACCTCGAGACGCGATTCTTGACTAGGCACCGCGATCGCAGACTGTCTCTTCGAAGTGCCTGGGCGAGAACTGCTTTTGACAGATGGTTGGGCTTGGCGAGCTTCACGGAGCTTCCGCCAAGCAGCCTCCAAAGCGGTATTATCCCTAGCTGAGAACGGCTGAGGCGGGACCCTTTCACTCCCGGTTGCCTGGCTGCTTGAAGGAGGCAGAGGAGCCAGCGGATCATCGATAGGGAGCGATGATATGTAGAAAAACTGGGACTGAACATCTGGTGGGGTGGGCAGTGAGTGTAGACTGGCCAAGTCCAGGGTGTTATCCGCCAGCAGGCAGGTTGGGCCGTAGGTGTGGAACGGGCCTGTCATAGTGTGGAAGAAAGACCCGGTGTGGTGTAGGTCCACTCTGTGACTAAATCGTATGTCAAGCGTTTGCACGTCGATCCTGAACTTTTCCCCGAATCACTACACGCGGTGGATGGAGACGGTCATTTGCTGGGGAGCTGCTGTTACTGGCTCAGACAGTTCCCCGATTCTCGGAAACCCCCGACCGGGGTTGGTTGGGAGGGTGTGAAACGCGTCGCATATGAAGATCAGAACACCGCAGGATTCATCACACGTTGACCTTGGAGCTTCACACTGGCCGAGTGTCTTGCAGATTGCTGAGATGTTTGGAGCCTGGAAATGGCACTCCCCGTGATATGACGTCGTCCCACGTGCTTTGGATCGAAGCGGGTTTTGGCTTGGTGACTGGACTTCTTCGCACACCACGCCCGAAGTGACAAAGCAGCTATCTGGAGGACATTTTAAAATTGAATCGATCGCTATTTCATTGGAATTATCGTTACTCTTCCCTGGTGATGCCAAGGGCTACATGCACCCCATGTACAGACAAAAAAACCGAACTCCAGAGATAACTGCGACAAGAGACCAAAAGAGAAAACAAATAGTCTCAGTACGCAAAGCTAAGCTTGCTTCCACGGCCCTGTTTCAGTCCATCCATCATCTGCTCCTGAGTTCGGACATTGATGGCATGGAACGCTTCTAGCGTCGGCAGGGGAGCGTTCAGCATCTCCAGGAGTTTTCGAATGTCGTGGAGGTGCTTGCGGATGGCGCTGTCAGGTAGACAGAAAGTGCGGATGCTCATCTCTCGGGCGATAGCCTTCCAGTTGCGCAGATTGGAGTGCATCAAAATGGGGTTGGTGATGTACTCCCCAGTGAAGTTCAGCATGCGACGGTTGGCCATGATGATTTCCCGCTGGGTCGCCTGGTCGAAGCGGAACTCTGTGACGCGGGGTCGGTTCTTCGATCCCCAGAAGGCATTGGTCTTTCTGATCGACTCCGAGGATATGCGACCGTCGTAGTACTGCTGCATGAGGAAGTCGTTGGCGGTGTTGCAGACCATGCATTCCAGCTCGGAGTACAGCTTCGACTGGGCAGTAGGGTCGAGAGTGATGGGCGCGGTTGTCTCGTGGGTCATCTTGGTGGAGGAAGAAGGTGTCGTCTTCGTCACGTCTACGGTCTGCGAAAAGAATGTCAGAAACGGAATATAACCCTTAAACAACGAGGTCAGGCATGCCCTTACCAGCTCTGCCAGCTGCTGCTTGATCCTTTTTCCCAGTTCTCTGAGCGAGTTTGAGTTGTGCTTCGTACTCAAAGCTCTGTTCACATCACGCGGACCTTCGAGCCAGCCGTTCTTCCCAAAGAGCTTCTTGTGAGTACCCTCAATCTGGGGAGAAGTCTCGTCCAGGACGGGTGCGTCGACCTCGCGGATGCTCTCCAGAGTCCCACCGGACTGGCTTTTCTTCTTGCGAGTCTCGCTGTAATCGAAAGAGGCCACTCGGCTGAGAGTGCGTTTCGAGATCTCGGAGGTTTCAACCTTGGGCAGATGATCATGACCCTCTTTGATGGGCACATTCAGTCTCTTTGGAATCAAAGATCGAATGGCGTCGTCAGGAGGAAACGACCAGAACTCGACCCCGGGACCCAACTCCTCGCGCGACTTGGAATGGATAGGTTGCGTGAAGATCGAAGTAGGTGAAGGCTCGGGCAAGGCAGTATGGCCCGGGGTGCCAATGGAAGTAGCAGGACTTGCTTGTTCGTCCGAGTCGGCATAGGGGTTGCTATTCACAACTTCTTCGTACACTCTGCTCGCGAAATTAGCATTGGCTCCCCAATACAGCACGAGACGAAAGCTGCTTACTCGGGACCGAGCACAAAGCAGAGTTGTTCCCCCAACGAGAGGAACTCGGCTGAAGTGCCGGGCAGGGCACAGTCAGGATCACCGCGAGACGACATGATGGATTGAAGTACAGATCAAAGTCGGAATGGGTCTGTCAAGTCAAAGGAAATTGAGAAGCACAGAGAGCGAGAAGAAGATTGGGAAGAGAAGCACCGTGGAGAAAGGAATATGGAGTAGTTATATCCATCTTGAGGTTATTCAGCTCGTGGGGGCAATGCGATTGTCTATTCATCTCAGTTGTGGTTGAATCGGCACAATAGAGGATTCGAGAATAGCGAGGGAGCGGTTCACAAGTGAATGGCGAAGGGCAGGCCCACCTCACCATCGTGTTGTGCTGTGGCCTTGCCGTTGATTGAAGCCCTCAATACAAACAATAGGGCTGGTTGGCTGCTAATTAGAGCCTCAGGCAGTCCATGTGTCGTCGGTATTCAGCCAAGCTACACTCGACATAGCTCAAATGCACGAGATTGGGTAGATAAATCAAAGCAAAGAGCATAGATGCAGGCTATTTTTCTTGTCATTCAACTGTCACAAGACCTAAAGCCCCCTTAAGGTCTAAAGAGCATAAAGGAAATGAATAAAAAGAAATATCATGAAAAAAAAATATTGTAAATTTATGTATATTCTCTCGGCACGAATATTTACAAACGGCCTTGAGCAACTCCAGCACGTCCCCGAAACGAAGGCCAACAGATTCAATCAATGAATCAATCATGGTTTAAACCATATATATATCTGCCTTGTCAAGCCTTCACACAATTTGTTTGCCCCGAGTCTCAATCGGCAAGAAAATCATCGCCAAGAAAGAAGCCAAGAGAAGCGCACCAGCCGCATAGATAGGAGCGACGGGGTTGCTACTGGCATAGATACCGATGATCGGCGCCATAAGACCAGCAATACGGTTCAAGCAACTGGCAATGCCACTGGCAGTGCCGCGATTCGGAGCAGGGAAGACCTCGGGCGTGTAGGCGTACAAAACACCGTACATCATCATCTGGAAGAACGATTCCAAAGACGAACACACCAGCTGGACGTTCGGGTCCTTGGTCGCAGTGAAGCAGTACAACAGAACACCGGTGATACAGGTCGACGCGGCCATGGTGCCCTTGCGGCCAACGTAAGGGATGTCGACCAGCACCCAGGAGAGAAGCGGGCCTGGAATACCACACACTGCGGTGATGGCATAGTTACGGTAGGTCACGTAGGTCGAAGAGTCGGCGCCGAGGTATTGGGGCAGGAAGGCGTTGAACAGGGTGTAACCCATTCCAATGCAAGTCCAGCAGAACCAAATCAGGAGAGCTGTTGTGAGACATTAGTTTGGAGTCGAGAGAGAGAGAGAGAGAGAGATTTTAAAGGGGCAGGATATACGTACTGGAGATACCAAGGCGCTTGGTCGCGAAAAGCGGAGCCACTTGCTGGTACGAGAATCGCTCAAGCGATCGCTTAATGATGTCGATGGTAGACATGGATTTGGGCTGGTCTTCTTCGGGGTAGCCACCGATCTCGTTGAGGACCTCTTCCGTGAGCCAGGTGGTGGTCCTATTCTTGTGGGCGATTCCTTGGACGGCAGCAACCGCCTCGTCCTGACGGCCTCGAGAGACGAGAAACTTCGGGGACTCGTAGAAGGTGAATAGCAAGAAGCGGCACAGGAACATGGCGAAGGTAATGGCGCCGAGAGAGAGGACCAGGTATCTCCAGCCCCAGTTATCGGCCTTGGTGCAGGGCCCATTGGGGTCGCATGAAAAGTTGGGAATGAAAGCCCAGGCAAGCATACTAATGGATGTATTAGCTGGTATCCGAATAGAAGGCTCTGCAAGAGACCAACCTGGCAATCAGAGTCCCGACCGACCACCACGTCGCCAATCCACTTAGTATACTCCCCGAGCCGGGAGGCAGGCACTCGCAGAAAACAGCTGCATCGACAGGCAAGCTGCCGCCAACACCCACACCCAGACAGGCATACAAGGCACAAACTCTGCATGGAGGGTTAATACCACAAAGTCTCAAGTGAGGAGATCGAGGCTTCTTACCCGACCCAGCTGGACCCGCCGCCAGCAGCGAGACCAAAGGCACCACAGAGGAAGAGAGTACAGTTGAAGGCGGGACGTCGTCCGATAGCATCAGAAGCGATACCCCAGAAAGAGGCACCAACAATCAGACCAACGAAGAGCGCACATGTTGCAAACCGAGAATCGGTGGTTGAAATCCCGAATTCCTGACTGAGAGGAGTCAAGGTGAGAGCAACACCCTAGAGATGGATTAGCGGAAGACTTGGGATGCAAAGAAAGAGTCCAAATCACACCTGCAACCAGAGGCTGGAGAGATATGTTAGCAATGAAGATTCACAATAAGCACGAACTCGGGTTGATCTTACTTGTCGGCAACCCAGCCAAACCCACAGAGAATGAACAGGCTCCATTGGTAACGGCCCATTCCAATGTCCAGGATGGCTCTGTTGATAATCTTCGCTTTGCCTATAAAAGAAAAGAAAAGAGTCAATATCTCCATTCCAACTCGAGAGCTGGCCAAGGCACTGCCAATTCTAATATTAGAAGCATTCGAGTTGGACATCAAACGTACGGTCATAGATCGTGTCATGACCCGAAGCAACGATGCCGGATTCAACTTCTGCTCGGAGCGTTTCGTAAGTCAATGTGGTAATGGCAGGCACACTGGCCACGCCCTTTTCTTGAATCGAGCCGTGGTTCAGACTAGAATTGGATCCAGAACCATCGAGAGGGTCTTTGCCGCTTTTCTCGGAAGTTTCCATGGTCACAGACAGGGGATCGCGAGCAAGCGGGACGACGACCTCCGGGAAGAACCGTCGATCGCGGTTGGTAAATAAATCCTTCCAGTTAGACATATTGCAAGGGTGGTCAAGGCCGGAAAGTCAGCTGCGTGGCTCAAGAAACCGGTTGGTGCGACGGAAAAATCAAAGTGATGCTGCTTGGTGTGCTTTTTGTATCGTGTATATCTCTTGCGTAAGGGCGTTGATCTACCGTGCTGCGTCGGATAGTGTTACTAGGATTGCTTTCGTCAAGGTCGTCAAAACGCGGCCGGGCACAGTATTGCAATGGAAATAGATTTTCGCAAAGGTTGTCGCAAAGGCTGAGATCGCACAGGCTGGGAAACTCGGATCGGAAATCGCTTTTGGAGATGCGCGGTGGGACAACAGAGACGCTATGGCGCAACGGGGATGGAAAGGCAACTACTTGCTGCTACTTTCAGAACCTCGATGTGTGGCTAGATTGGTGAGCGTCGAGAAATGTTTTGTTTGAGACTATCCAACCGAAGAAGGCTGATGGCGACAATGTAGGAGAAAGTGGTGGGTCTGGTGAGTCGGATGGGCGTCGAAGAGGTGAGAGGGAGGAATATATATAAAAAATAAAAAAAAACCCCTTCTACGGGCTTGAAGATAAGGGGAGAAAAGAGAAACAAAATGGTCGCGCGACAATGGAAAATAGGCCAAAACGGACGGAGAAAGCAATATATAGGGAGTCGTAAAGCCGACCCATTTGCGCGAAAAAAAAAACCTGCTCGAGATGATTGCAGTCTGCGATATTGGCCAACCATGAAGTCCTAACCATGTGGCCCGGTGGGACGTAGGATGTTGCGCCGGTAAGTGTACCCACCTCGTCACCTTACCGAGATCCACTACATTCTCCGAGATGATATGTACATGTACATCTTTTTCCCGATCTCTGCACGTCAGGCCAAGCAAATTCAGAAGGATCTTCGTCAAACTTAAAATTGTTTAAATAGGGTCAACAATCGCAGCAATATACAATGGCATCGTTGAATTATGCGGACGTCTGTGCACTTGGGGCGCTTGGGGCGTCGGTTCGGTTGCGTTAGTTTGGGGGCTAATGTAGGGCAACATTCCCGAGTCTGCGAACGTCATACTATACACTCCAGTATATACTTAGAAACAGCCATGCTGGGCCATAACACCACTTCTTCCACCTCGTTTATTCCCAACCTATAGTAAACCTCGATAATTTGATCATTTGAGCAGTCAATCCCCCAAAGTATTACGACTTAATCATTAAAGGGAACTGTACCATGATAAATCACTGGTATCACATGACCTGGTCACTGTACCTACCTATTTCGGACTAGTCTGGATGGGCATAAATCATCATTTCTCTTAGGTCATCATATCTACACGTGACCCGAGACCCGAGGGTCAGATCAGGTGGGATCTGATTGGCAGGTGTTGTTTCACGTGACTAATGCGGCAAACTTGGGATGGATCTCACGAGATGAAAAGTCCGAGATTCTGAGGATTTAAATTCTGAGGAATAACTGCAGCATATAGGTTCGATCAAAATGTTCCGGTATTTATTTTGCCCAATTCAAACCATCGAGTCGACTGTTGTGCCTGAGACGGCAGGCTCCACGATATTCCACGGTTCTCCCACTCCCCCTCCCGAAAGCATGCCCGCACCAGCTTCTCCCCCAGGTTGTGCCGGACTAAGTAACCGTGCAACTGGAGAATATCGTGAATAGGTCATCGGGTTGGTGAGTGGAAGTCCTGGCGTGGCTGGTCATGAGCGTGGTATAATTCAACCTACCATAAACCGGGGCAAAGGTGACCGAGTTTCCTATTCAAGAGCAATGATACGGGGTGAGTACTTTGGTTGGGAGGTCCATCCTATTTACCAGGAAAGTTGCCGGTAAATGAAATGGGAAACAACACGAGAGCACGCTAGACACTCCCTCCAGGCAGAATGTGCAACCTGGCATCGAGCATCGGGTTTTCCGGTGCAGAACGTGTGGAACATGGTGGATAACACGGCATGGCGGCCTCAAAATTCTCGGCAATATAGATCAAGGGACGAAGTGAAGAAAAATGGGCCAATAAGGAGGTCGGGAAAGAACCAACACGCTGAGTCTGGTAGGACTCCAGGTGAATACAAGAGAAGAAATCTCGATGAACTCCCGGGTGTGCCTACCGAGCACCGTGGTCACGTGCTGAACTCCACTTGCCGAGTTGCTTCCCGGGAGGCGCCGATGACGCTCTGCGCGCGGGCTCGACGGCAGGATGCCTCTCACCCAACGCTGACAGTCTCCACTCGCTGCGATCTAATTTCTACTCCCGCTGATTGGTTCTCCTAGACCCTGTCCTTGCTTACCCCCACATATCAACCGATCATGAATGCCGTGGCTGCTCTCCGTCACTTCCAGCTTTGCAGGACCGGTCCGCTTACCCCGGTTATTGTCGCATTATATATGACCAGCCATGGCCCTCACTGGCGTTCGAATCCATGCGAAGCCTGCAGGGTGAGACTTTGATCTGCACATCTTAGTTGATTTTGCCTCAAGCTTGATCGAACTACACCTCTCTGTTGCGTCACTCATCAGTGCGCCCTCCAACCTTGCTGCGTGTGATTTATCCTTGTCGGTCAGCATGGTCAATCAAGAGACCTATGACATTGTCATCGTGGGCGCCGGCCCTGTCGGTCTGCTCCTGTCCCTGTGCATGTCGCGATGGGGTTACAAAGTCAAGCATATCGACAACCGTCCCGTGCCGACCGCGACTGGTCGCGCCGACGGCATCCAGCCCCGGTCGACCGAGATTCTGCGGAACCTGGGACTGAAGCGCTCGATCATGGCCTACGACCCCGCTAAGGTGTACGACGTTGCCTTCTGGGACCCCAAGGGAGACAACTCGGGCATCTGCCGAACCGGTAGCTGGCCCAGCTGCCCTCGGTTCATCGATACCAGATACCCGTTCACGACTCTGGTCCACCAGGGCAAGATCGAGCGGGTGTTCTTGGATGAGATTGAAAAAGCCGGCACCACTGTTGAGCGACCATGGACGATCTCGGGCTTTAAAAATAACGGGGCCAATGCCGAGTACCCCGTGGAGGTAGATCTCAAGTGCCTGGACACCAATGTGATCGAGACCGTGCGCACCAAGTACCTGTTCAGCGGCGAAGGCGCTCGTAGCTTTGTCCGGGAACAGCTGGGCATCCAGATCCACCATAAGGACCCGATCGCCTACGTCTGGGGTGTCATGGATGGTGTTGTGCGTACCAACTTTCCGGATATCGAGGTAAGAGCCCGCGACAAGATCACTCGCACAATTTCTCTGATTCATTCTGCAGACCAAATGCACAATCCACTCTGATGCTGGTTCCATCATGGTCATTCCCCGCGAGGACAATATGGTCCGGCTATATGTCCAGATTGCATCGTCAAGCGATCCAGACTGGAACCCTCGGAAGACCGCCACCGCCGACCAGGTTCAACGAACCGCAAAGAATATTCTGAAGCCCTACTGGATTGAGTGGGACCGAGTTGAGTGGTACTCGGTGTACCCCATTGGACAGGGCATTGCTGAAAAGTATACTCTTGATGAGCGGGTATTCATGGGCGGAGATGCCTGCCACACTCATAGCGTTAGTCTTTCCACCTGTTCCGATTTTGTCTAGATTATGCTAACGTCCCACAAGCCCAAGGCTGGCCAGGGTATGAACACGGCTTTCCACGACGCACTGAACATGGCTTGGAAGATCCATGCCGTTGAGACTGGATTTGCCAACCGCTCTATTCTGAGCACATATGAGTCCGAGCGGAAAGATATTGCCGAGACTCTGCTGAACTTCGATGCCAAGTATGCTGCTTTGTTCTCCAAGCGCCGCCCGTCTGCCGGTGAGGTTGGCTCTGCCAGCCATACCACGGTTGCTGCGGGTGGCGAGGAGGATGAGTTTGTCAAGACCTTCAAGTCATCGTGCGAGTTCACCAGTGGGTACGGTGTTGCCTACAAAGCGAATGTCTTCAATTGGGATCAAACCCACCCTGCCAAGTCGTCGCTATTCAACATCCCAGGAGTTCGACTGACCCCGGGTCGGGTCTTCACCCCAAGCACTGTCACTCGCCTGGCAGATGCCAACTTCGTCGAACTGGAACAGGAGATCCCCACCAACGGCTCGTTCCGCATCTTCATCTTTGCTGGCAACCAGAACAAGACCAAGAAAGCCATTGCAGACTTGGCCGCGAACCTTGAGAAGGAGCGTTCATTCTTGTCGGTATATCGCCGGGCTGACGTTGCTGATGTTTCCTTCTTCGAGCGTCATAACCCGCACTCCAAGCTCTTCACCCTTTCCGTGATTTTCTCTGCTGCCAAGAATACTGTCGATGTCGAGGCTATTCCCCAGGTTCTGCGTGACTACCACCATCATCTCTACGCCGATGATATCCCTGATGTGCGCGTCCCTCATGCTAAGTACCCTGCTCACGAGAAGCTGGGACTCGACCCTGAGAAGGGCGGCGTGATCGTCACCCGCCCCGACAGCCACGTCGCCTGCACTATGCAGCTGGTTGAGGGCAGTGGCACGGTCGATGCGCTAAATGAGTACTTCAACTCATTCTCAACAAAATCTCTTGGACAGGACTCGCAGCAGAGCCGCCTGTAGAAAAGGAGTGGTGTGCATATATTCTAGATTCAGGATGTCTATAGTTCTGATTTGTTCGATTGAGCGGCCGTTTTGACATGACCGGCGTTGTGTATTCCCAGTTTGATTTAAATAGAAATTCTTTTCTTTGCTTATCTTTGTCAAGAATCAAATCCTGCTTTGTATTCTGTACGTCCTTGTATATCGACCTGACAAGGTCACATGCCAAGCCTTCTACAGCTCTTCTCCGCCCCGCATCCACAGATCTTCGCTCTCTGCCATACCACACCCCCAACTCACATTCTACCTCTTCAAGTGGACCAAATGATTTCCTTGATTCTCACTGCAGATCTGGAGGGGTAAGTAAGCTCATGATTCCTAGGACAATCCTCCCCACGTTTCGTCGCGTCGCGTTGTCCGTGACAGGAAGTTTTTCCCCGCACCAGAAAATCGACGGGATTGTGGTTACAACACACGCTGGCGGGTCTTTTGAATGTCTTAAAGTTATATCAGCTAATCTTTCTCATGTAGTGTCACTGCCCTCCAGCCGACCGATACCCCCGAGAACCCTTATTTCTACACTTTCCGGGTGCAATGCAACTCGTGCCACGAGGTGCACCCGAACTGGGTCAGCTTCAACCGCTTTGTAAGTTGAACACACAGCTCTTGAGAGTCGTGATCAAAATAGCTGATAATGATTGGCCTTAATTTGTAGGAGCAGCACGAAATCCCCGGTAGCCGGGGTGAGGCAAACTTTGTGTGGAAATGCCGGCTCTGCACGGTATGAGAGCCCATGTTTTATGGAATTTTCATGCAGATCCTCTGTGGAACTACATCTTGCTGCTTGGAATACCCCGCTTTGATATTCCATTCTTTTGTTCTTCCACTGACCACTCTCTCATTAGCAAACTCACTCGGCCTCCATCATCGCCGGCCCAAACACCGTGCAGCCCCAGGACAAGCGCAAGGGCCAGAAGGTCATTGACATGGACTGCCGTGGTCTTGAGTTCATCGAGTTCAAGCCTGATGTGAGTGATTATCGAGTCCACTTTCTTGACTTCCCTCTAATACCTGACCAGGGCGAGTGGGAGGCCAAGGGCGCCGAGTCGTCCACCTTATTTGCTGGGATTGATCTCTCTGATGGCGAGTGGTACGACTATGACGAGAAGACCAGCGAGGAGGTGAGCATCAAGGAGATCAGCTGGGACGTGGGCCGAACTTGAATTCTTTTTCTTCTTTTCATTTCTTTTTACTGGCGCAGGAGAGTGGTGTTAGTGACGGCTAGGTGAGGGCGGGTGGTCGGTGCATCTTTCTTGATCTTCGGTTCTTGATATCCTTTCTGTGTATTATTAGCAAGGTGCACCGGCGAGTTTTTCTCCAGCAGTGCAAGGCCGGGTGCAGTGGAGCATGAAGCAGGGAGCGTAACGGAGCGATGTGATGATGAACGAATAAAAATTGATTAGCATAAACTCCCCATGACCACTCGGGCAACTTGACTACTTCCTGAAGATATCTCCAAATCAAAGACCATTGAATCCCATCGGACATCTTGAACTGTCAACTGATGTTGCCTACCCAAAAAGGAAGGGCCAGGCGGTGAGAGCAAAATACACTCTGATTGGCCCACATCCCGACCTCACATTTTCGCGCTTGAACTCGCCGACTGCCAACCCGCGAGCTGCTCCAACATTTCTTCTTGACCAGTCCGATCGTTGGTTGTTTCTTCTCTCTCTTTCTCTCTCTCCATCCGTTCTTGGCTCTCTCCTGGTGCTTCAAGTCGCGGTCGCAGAGACCCTACCCCTCACAATGAGTGTACGTTTCCCTCCAAGATCGGGCAATGTCAAGCTTCACGAGGGGCACTCTGTCCAGTCGCTGGAGCACCCATCTGGATTGCGCGAAAGCTGCTGCTAATCTATATCAATAGTTCCAACCTCTCAACCCCCGGCCCTTCCTGCAGGCTCGGTACGTTCCACCCCGACCGTCTCGAACTGTCCACACATGACATGCCCAAGATCGCGGTATCTGGGTTGGACTATCCGCGCCAAATTGCTTTGATATATATATATCTATACGCCGACCCAGCATACTAACTGCTTTTTCTGCAGCGTCGGCACCGAAGTCATCATCCGCCTCAAATGGGGCCAGACAGAGTACAAGGGTACGCTGGAGAGCATCGACTCGTACATGAACGTGCTGCTGCGCGATACGGAGGAGTATCTGGACGGGAAGCCCACCGGCGGTCTGGGTCTGGTGCTGATCCGGTATGTTGATGATTCATAATGGTGTTGGAGAGATGGACTTGAATGTTTTGCTCATGCTCGACGTCTCTGGTGCAGGTGTAACAACATCCTCTGGATGGGCTCGGCCGACAGCGTGGAGATGACGGAACTCGGGTTAAAATAAGATGGATTGACGAGGAGCGAGGAAGAGCGCAATCGGTGTGCGATGCGCGTGGGTTGGTGGTCGTTTCCAAGTCACTCCTGTGCTGTGACAGCGGGCCTGCATCTCCCCTCTGGGGTCATGCGGCACTCTTCGAACGATGTTGATATATCCCTTTTTTTTTTCGCAACAACTGCGCCATGTCAGGGCTACCAAAAAAGTTGAAGCCGAGGCTGCGGCTGGGATTGGATGTGCGAATGTCCCAGGGCAAGACTGCGACATCACCAAAGTGTCGCGGTATTTTTTTTTTATTTTCTAATTTTTTTATTTTTGGCTCGCTATTTTCACTACCCGGCGTTTTTGATGGTTTTGTTCTGGAATATGTGCATGGCTCATACCACTTGAATCAACTACTTTCTGCACGAGTTTCGGTATATTGCAGTGTATAGCAGTGTAGAATATCACCAAGCCAAAACGGTGTCCAGCTCTTTCGAATTACCCGCAAAAAAAAAAAAACTTCCCGACTCAATTTCTGCTAGTGGTAGTGGTAGTGGTAGTGTCTTTAGACCCTTCCGCCTACCGACGGCCTCAGCGACCAAGGCACAATGACGAGATGAAGGATCCACCCAGGCACTCTCGAGGCGGGCATTCGTGGCAGCTGTCTTGGAGCTAGCAAGATAAGCGTTAGATTGACAGCGGCGATGTCACCGTGCAGCAGCCCATCCGTCATTTTCGGAGCTCCCGGGGAACATCAGCCCGATAGATCCTCCGAATGGAGACTGGATGGAGATAGTTGAGGGGCGAAGTGGACTACCGTACGTGTAGGCCGGTGTCATGTTGCATATTATTTTAAGAATTAATTGTCTGGGGGGGAGGGGGGTATCACTCGGTCCACGAAAGGGATTCCCTCTTAGAGATAGTAGTAGTATTAGTATTCGTAGTAGTTAGAAGTGGCGGAACATCGCACGTCAGATTGAAGATGATCGTAGGTTATCAGTGGAATCAGTGGAATGCAGATATCATATCGACGGATATATGTATGTTGGTGGCGACGATTTCTTTTTATAGTTGACGAACATCACCTAATTCCTCATTGAATTCCAAGGCTTACTCCACGGAATGGCCTCATCAAGTATCTATGGACAATCTGCCCCCGACGTCATGGCGCGTAGAAAAGGGGCCGTGGAAGAATGGTGAAGTCGCTAGCGAACATCGGGATTCTCCGTGCAGAATAATCAGTAGTGTATGGGCTAGTCTAGTTAGTTTAGCATAGTAGAATATTTCCTCTCTATTGTTATTATATTATTATTATTTCCCCATCATTCTCTCTATTACTCCTGTTGTTATTCTCATTATTCTTCTCTGCACCCTCAGTTAGGGCTACAATCAGGGCTACGATGGAGTCAGGGCCGCGCAAGTGCCCTCTCCACGACCCACCAAACCCCCCCCCCCCCCCCATTGTCGTTCAAGGCTGCCAACGGTCCATTGGCCAGGCGTCCAGACGCCACCAAGCAGTTGAATGCCGATCATCTTTTGCCATCTGGAGGGGAGGGGTCAGCATGGTCATTGCACCTGGGCATGCCGGGCAAGGATCTACTGTAGATAGGTCCGAGGACTCTTGTAGTGTGACCCTGTCCTCTGTACCCTACTTGGCAGGGACATACTATAATATAATATAATATATTTTATATTATCTTACATTATATATAAGACATAAAAATAAAGAAATGAAAGACCAGGTCCAGACCACCGGGCACTGGAAGTCCCCTGGAACGACAATAGTGCGAACCACAGAATAAAGCAACTAAAAAAAGCCCTAATTAGCAGAGTAATTAGCAGTGGAGCGTGTTCTCTAACCCCCCCCCCCCCCCTGATCGGCAGGCTCCACAACAGTTCAGGCGGATTGGATGATGGAAGTCATTTCCATTTGCAAGGATTTGTTTTTTTTTTCTGGTCTTTCTCTTTTATTCTCTTTCTCCTCTCCTCATTCTCTCGCTTTATACTCAACCTCCTGGTTATAGCGTGGCGCCAAACCTGCGACACTCTTTGTCTCATCTAAGTTTGGGACTCCCACTATTCTGTCTTCTCGTTCTACATTCTCTCTCTCCATACTCTCCAGGGAAACACCTTGTATACGGTATTCCCAGTCATCATGCGCGACACTCCCTCCAAGTTCATCGAGATTCTCGATCCCCAAGATCCGCACCCGCGCATCTCCGACTCGGACGTTCGTCTCGAAGACGTCCTGGCCGACCACGAGGCCACTCTCAGTCGTCCCCGCTCCTCCACGCAATCCTCCAAAGCCCTCGACAAAGCACACTTCTCGCGCGCCAGTTCCACATCACCCACGCCGCGCTGGAAGCGTCTGAGCAACATCCTGGCGCCGCCACGACGGAACTCGTGATTACATCCATCTCTCTTCTTGCTCTTGTCTCCCTCCTTCTCTTATTCTCCTCTTCTTCTCCATTCTGGGTGTTGTGTTTCTATTTCAACGTCGCCCAAGACATTCTTCTTTTTTTTTTACGACTACCATGGCCGGTCGGTGCACAACACCGCCCGGATTGACGACGAAAATGCGGTGACATGATGCGAAAGTCCCACGGCATTCACGCCGTGATGGGAATGGGCCACATTGTCCCTGGCGGGCGTCGGGTCTGCTCGGCGAGTGATTGGCTCATTGAGGATACTGCTGGTCGGGTTGGCAAGGAGTGTTGCGCCGGACGCTGAACCCGCTTTGATGATTGATGTTGTTTTTCATTTTATCTTACTATTGCTTTTGTTTCATGGGTTTATGCATGGTATATATATGCTTACATGGACTCTGGTATGTTGCATGATCATGGCCAGTATATGAGACTTGGATTATCTTGGGTTGTATATAATAAGGGACGGTGGAAAGGCGTGTTGCATTCCGGATTAATTCTTACACTTACTCATTTGCATCTTCATTCGCATTTCCATTCTCATCTACATTCTTACCATACCGTCGTACTCACCTCCATCCAGCCTGAATCCGGAGCCGCGCGGATCCAACACACAGACGCGCTTCAATTGAACTTGTACACACCCGCCATTCCCTTTCTCTAACTCTGTCCCTGGCAGATTGCAAACTCGACTGGGGGCAGGCGTAGCTGGATCGCCAATCGACAACTATAACGCCAGGGACCAGGGAGGAATCGGGGGGTTGGGCGGGGTTGACAACCCGTTAACTATACAGAACCAGCCTTGTGGGACACCCCCTGGACCCTCGAAGGAGGGAGTGTTGGTTAGGTTGAATATTATGTGACACTGATAGCTCTAGGCCCTGGGCTCCAGCAGGAAATAGCGGCCACCCTCTGCCAAAAATTAAAATTATTTAGCCTCTGTATGATTCTTTTTCTGTTTTCCGATGTTTACTACTGCTTCTAAACCTGCTATATTGTTAGTATCTTTTATTTAAATTAAATTTTTTTTATGATGTTGATTAAGATTGTCTGACAATATAACAAATTGCATGTAGTCGAGTTCCCACATTGTCTAAAGATAAGCACTCAAGGGAACCTGTAGAAATCATTCTGGTTTAACCTCCATATCAATCAAGAGTTGCCACCCACTGTACATGTATTACATGTTTATATAACTGTAGGTGGGGGCTGGGGGCCCGCCCCCATGATTATCTTTAGCCACCACCACATGAGTCACGTACAGACTCTTACTATATTAGGAAGTAAAAATACAGTACTAAGCACTATTTCTCTCCAGCGTGGTTTTCTTATGTTACAGTAAAACCTCGCTTATACATACTGGAATGTTTCAATATTGTTATAGGAGCCAAGAATCAACTAAATTGCCAAATTTACTATTTAGTGTTAGCAGCCTCTATTCCTCATGATATCTATCCATACAATCCAAACATGGAGAGAGAGAGAGAAACCTCAGAGCTACAAATGAGAATTCGACGTCTAAGGCATAACATATGTATTATATGTATCCACATAACAACAAAACCACGCTAGAAATATAAAAATCTTCATGTCTTACCCTCTTATTACGGCATGACTATACGGTATGTAATAGCATCTGTAAGTTAAAGGATTGAGGTGTACGATTAAAGAGAAGGGGATATACGACTAGTGGTAGTCTAAATGATCCTAAGGATTTCAACTCCCTAATATAGTAATAACAACAGTGGGTTCGGTGTGGAGACTGTAGAACTCGTTCTTTGCGCCCTATTAATGAGACATAATATAAAGCCGCGGCAGATTCTACTGGATCACCACTTTAGTTCCTCTATCATCTATATCTTCCTACGAGGTTTTTCTTCCTCTGAACGATCGGTCCCTTATCAACCTATATCTTTTGAGTCTTCTCTTATTCCTAGTAACCACCACAGCCATGCTTGTGGGCTTATTGCTCCCTCTTCTATTGCTGCCCCTGGTGCTTTCAGACCCACAGATCGATGATGGCTGTGACGACTATCACGATAATATTTTTGACGCACTTCTCCGAACGGTTGAAATCAGTCGGTTTGGTCGCGATATTCTAGACAAGTATCTACGGGGCTCGAACGATTGTTATATGAAAAACCTCGTGGGAGACATCTTTGATGAGATGATCGGCATAGATGTTACGAAAGATCGGGCATATGTCAGCAAAATGCGCGGTATGCATGAATTAATACTACCCTTTCTCCCTCCTATATTTGACTGACCTTGATGACTTCTTTGGTTATATAGACAGATTTCACAATGTTTCAGAAGCTCCTATGATCAGTGACTTTTCTATGTACTGTGATGAAGACTGGGCAAACAAGACCCATCATGGCAGAAGTTATAGCGGGGAGACTAGGAAAGGATTCAACGTCTGGTGGAGCTATTTACATGACTCCTGGGTTGAAACACCTTTGGATCCATGGAGTGTGAGAAATGGCGCCCACGCCTTCCTTACTAGTTTTCCTGCCCCGCCAGAAGAGGTTATGGTGCTGGTGCCGCAACGTGCGCTCACGAACGACGTCCTTGATCCTCGAAAACAGCCGAAAAAACTGGTATATGATACGCCACCGCGAGCAAAGGTCCATTTGAATGAGCTGGTGTATACATTCTTTGGCGTGATTTTTCATGAGGTCACTCATCTCAAAGCTGCAGGAAGTTGTGAGTTTCTTATCCCCCTTTTTTCCCCCATGGTTATTAACACCCCTTTAGCAGTAGATATAAAAATTAACGTTGATGGAAAGGATGAGGCAGCCCTCTCATATAAAGAAGTCACAGAAGTACCAAAGAGTGGTGAGGGGGAGGGAACAAATTCACCTCAAATGAGGGCTTCTGAAAATGCCCAGACTATAACTTTTATCGCACAAAGTGAGTCGGCCTCTCCTAAACCCAGGTATTCTCGACGAAACAGATTAACCAGTTATATAGTCCTCTATTACTGTCTTGCTGGGGGATGGGACTTTGACAAAGACAAGGGGACTTTGACAGCGCCAATGAGACCTCGTCCATACCCAATGCCACTGCACTTCCAAAACCTCGGCCCACCAGAGGTCCCAGCTAAGCCGGACTATTTGAAAGGCTATAAGTTGACAAATTAAAGAGGATTTTGGATGAGCGGGTTGCTAGTTTTATACTTGTGATGATAGAAAATATAAGTGACCTTGGGAGTATATATATTCTTATAGATATAAATATCCATCAACTATTATGTTCAAACATTGTAACAAAAAACCGAAAGACCATAAGACCTAACCAAAATAGGAAAACCAAAATAAAACAAGACAGATACGCCACTTTTCCTGGCTTGCAAAATACAGCTCTGTGAGAGTAAAATATTAACCCGAATAAAAAAAAGAGAATAGAAAAAAGCCAGCCTATCTATACCGAGGCGGCTCCAACACTAAAGAAGAGGCTGTTTTAAAGCATATATATTCCTTGCTCATTCAATTCAAACGAGCTTTCGCGTAAGTCCATATGGAATCCCAATGCCGAAACCACTTGGAGTCCCTTATAATAATCTGAAGGCTCGCAAGTGCTAATTTCATTTCGATATTGAGCACTTAGTCTCGTCTTTTCCTCTGGGCTTCTTGGGATAACTCTTGGGAAATCTCCTATCCATGGATAGATATTCTGGCAGGAAAGGGACTAGACATACAAACAATAAATACCTTTACAGAAAATAGAAAGGCAAGAAGTAGCCAGAGTATAGTTTGAGACAAATCCTGGATATAGTACTCAGCATCGCGGCATAGATTGATGAATGTTTCTTTTATTGTGTTTGTATGGTATTTTTTGTGACGGCGTCGATTACCAGAAAATAGAACCCAGGAGATTATTTCATTATTTGTATTCCCTTGGTACAAAGAAGGATTAAATGCTGCAGTAGTTTTTGCAGTGGAAGAGTTGATGTTCTTATCTCCAATCGGGTGATCATGTCCGCCCCACCAGCCACTTCAACCTTCTTCCTCCCCGCGTCGAGGACTCAACTGAACCGCCGCATTTTTCTGTGTAAACCTCGGATTTCGAGCCAGACCTTTCTTCTAGAGTTTCCGACGATTCTCCAAATCCCACCAGATGGCCTGGCTCGCGTCGACCCCGGGCTCTGGCGGCCGAGCCGCGTCCCCCACAGTCTTCGAGCAGCAACGCGAAGAAATGGTGCGCGAGATTGCAGTGGTGAGTGAAAGAGAACAAACTATCTATATCACGCACTTGGGACATTTCCTGTCCCCATGCAAGCCTCATAGTTGTCAAATGCTAATATAAGAATCAGGGCATGGAAGGAGTGCTCCAAAACATCAACCGCCTGAATCGCAACTTGGAAAGTATTATCGCGGTAGGCACACCAATTACTCGATATCCACTGATTAATTGTTCATATTAATTCATGCATATAGGTGGGCAATGAGTTCGGCTCCGTCGAAGCCCTGTGGTCGCAGTTCGAGAACTTCATGGCTCGGCCCGATGAAGAGGGTGAAGACAATGCCAATGGGAAGCGGAAAGTCAGCGGGGAGAGCGAGGGCAAGGGCAGATCGAGTGGACAGCCGGGCGAGGGAGAAGGGGAGCCGACTGTGTAGGAACGGTGATTCGGTTTTGTTCTTTTGTGTGCATTGTACAGGATTTCTGGCGTCGGTGTTGATTCCGGTGTCTCCTAGATACCATTTCCCATGAACACTTCATTCTACCAAGACAAGAATAGTAAGGAGAAAAAGAAAATCCTACGGTGGTGACATCTCGAACACAGACAAATGTATTGTTTCAATAAAACATAGGACGTCGCTTTCGCCAACAGCGGAACAGATCAAGGAACATAAACGAGAACACCAGTCCCATGCATGCCGAAAAAGACGGCAAAGACCCGAGTCATGAGAAGACATGAAATGGAACAAAAAAAAGGACAGGGGTCATGACAAAAAGGAAACCAATTCGAACAGCAAAGAATCACAGAACGTGTGAAGTCAGACAGCCACCTCCATCAACATAAAACATTTCAAAACAAAACAATTGCCAGTGACGCACAGCGTACTCGGCCAACACAGGGTAAGAGAAGCTTTTTTGCAGTTCATGTCCAGCTTTGTCCAGCTTGCGGCGACATTTCACATACACAGAGAAAGCAGGCAAGCAAGCCGAAAACAGCAACCAGGCTTGTGGTCCGGCCAAAAAGTGAGAAGCGAACGGGAAAAATGGATGGTCGAGAAATGGGACAGAGGATAAAAGATAATGGCCAGAAGCATGTTACAGGATCTTGCAGGTCCGCTTCTTAATCTTCTTGCCGAGGCCGCCACTGACGGAGGGTTTTGCACTGTGGCGGCTGTGGGCCTGTTGGGATATCCAGCCTTGCTCCTCAATTGAGACGACCGTGTCAACTGCCCTGGAAAAGACTTCATCCACACCGCGCATCTCCTTGCTGCTGCACTCGACATAGGTTGCCCCCATCCGCTGGGCCACTCCATGGCCCTGCTCTTGGGTGACGGGAGTCAGGCCTTGGGTCTTGAGGAGCTCGATGCATGTTCGCTTGCTGCGCAGATCGGACTTTAAGCCAACAAGGATGATGGGTGTGGTTGGGCAGAAGTGCAGGACCTCGGGATACCACTGGCACGAGCATTAGATGGGATGGTTCCTCAAGGTAAAAAGGATGTGTTCAAACTCACCTTGTCCACGACATTTTCCAACGAGGCTGGGCAGTCTATCGCAAAGCAAACAAAAAGAAGATCGGTCTCAGGATAGGACAGGGGGCGCAGACGATCATATTCCTCCTGTCCAGCTGTATCCCAGAGCGCCAACTCGACTGTCTTTCCGGATGACCGATGCGTGGTCTGAGTGATGTAGTTCTCAAATACTGTTGGGACATATTTCTGGATGACAGTCAGTGTCTTAAAGGTTCTAGATTTCGTTCGCTGTTGGGACTTACCTCTGGGAAGTATCCTTGCGAGTAGCTAATCAACAAACAAGTCTTGCCACAGCCACCATCGCCAACCACGACAAACTTTTTTGAGAACGAGGGGGGCTGGGTGATATTTGTCGCCTCGGATATCCGTCCACTGGAGAAACTGGTGTGGGTGCTGGCAGTGCCGTTGCTCACGCGCACGCTGTGGCTACGGGTTCGGTTGTGGTGCGGAGACATGGAAGGAGGAGGTGTGGCGAGAGAGCGACGGCGCGAGGCCGCATAGTATTGGTCGTCGTACATCTGGCTCATGTTGGTACAGGATGGAAATGGTGAAGTCGGGTTGCAATATCGATGAAGATGGGGTGACGGCGTATTTGCCGGGAAAGGGGGAAAGTATCTTCGCTGCGGGTCTGAGTGAGAGAGAGTTGGATGAACCGCAAAATTCGGAGGAGTGTGAAGAAAGTAAAACCGAAGAAAGAGAGGGGGCTCAGATCTAAAAGATCTCGAGGATCGCCGATAGAGTCAAGACGGTCTCCGGGCGAGACTCGTGTTTACAGTGGGTGCCATGGCAACCACCCGCCCCCAATGACGCCAGGGCTCCGCACGATCCTTCCAAGGCTGGTCTTTTTTCTTCTTTTCTTTTTCTTTTTCTTTTTTTTATGTCGATCTCGGTGCGATCTTTTTGGCTTTCTCCTCTCGGTCTCCGCTTCTAGGCTCCACCGTTCAGCTCGTCGGAACCTGCTTGTTGAACTGGGTACAACAGTTTACCGAATGCGGCTTAGTGGAATGTGACAAGCCTGCAGCGCTTATTGTTGGGGCAGTTCTGACGCCTGTCATACTCTTGCATCTCCGACAGGTTGTTTCATTTGTTAAAAAAAATATCTAGGGTCATACAAGGAGCATCTGCTGCAGGAGGAAAATAGAAAGAAAAAGAAAAGAAAAGTTTTGTATACTCGTTGGGTTCAATCATGGCCAAGGGGGCAACAAATCTGGGGACCAGAGCGCCGGGATTCGAGTCTGAGAGTCATCTATCTCCCCCAACAAACTATTCTTGTTTCATGTAGGTTATGTCCATCTGTCTGTCCATCGATGCCCCCTGCCTTGAACATACCTCGGTATGTATCACGTGAGATCGACAACGGAAGTATAGCATACTAAGTACGCTTCGTAACTATTATAGCTCCGAAAGAGTGTGATCGATCCATAATTGATGTTAATCCTCGGAGGCTTTCAAAATGTCTACCACAGAGAGGTGTAGTTACAGTATGAACGCCCCCGGTGAATACCACTGGAGTACTCCGATCGATCTAAATAGTGCCATTCTAAATGGGAAAACTTACCACCCAAAACGATCAGGATCAGACTTCCTTGTGTCCAGCAAATTTTATATTATTGAGTTCTGATCTGACAGGCTTTCGTGATTATTATGAGAAATTCGATCCACCTGGGACATAAATCAATCCATGCCCTCAGCCCCAAGCTGGAGTCGATAGCATGACTAAGCACACACACCGGCATCAGGGGTTTGCGCCGAGGATGATCTACCCGATTCCTACCCTTCAGAATCCACCTAACTCGCCTCTTTTTTATTCTTTGCTTATATTCTTTACTCCCCCGACCTAACTTTTATTCGCTCCTTATGTCCTGGTTGCACTGAGCTCAATCGTTCCGAACAAACCGGCAGGCCAGTAGCCTGTCCATCGATGGCACTCCAATCGCACTGTTTGGATCGATAGTATAGCACCATGGGAAAAGGCACAAAAGACCAGCCCGATGCGGGGCTGCGAAGTCTTGATCACTGTATGCGCGCCTCACTTTTGCTCATGGTGCACCCGCAAGTTGATCTTGCGCAATGTTCGCTGACGATCCGGCATAGATACGAGTCGGCTACCACTCTGGCGCTACTGGCCTCGACAACAACTTCTGCCTCTGATACGATATGAGACACCATATCTGGCTTGGGTGCAGGAGAAAGTCCGCACACCCGCGCTCGACTCCTATTTCGCGTTCACAGCCAACCTCGGTACCCATACGTTCTTCATGGTCTTCTTGCCCTTCCTCTTCTGGTGTGGTTCGACGAGTTTGGGTCGCGGGTATGTGTTGATTGAGCATTAAGAAACAAAGGCACATGGTGGATTTGGTAGTTGACCGAGGTCTTTGACTCCAGGCTCGTGCACATCTTAGCCGGCGGCGTCTTTTTCAGCGGCTTCCTCAAGGATCTACTCTGTTTACCCCGGCCGCTGTCGCCGCCGCTGCAACGAATCACTATGTCCGGGTCGGCCGCCTTGGAATACGGATTTCCCTCGACACATTCAACCAACGCTGTCTCGGTTGCCGTCTATGCCCTCGCCCTCCTCCATGCGCCCGATTCGACTCTCAGCGCAAAGACCACACTATTCCTCCAAACGATTACATACCTCTACGTCGGGTCTATCGTCTTAGGTCGCCTGTACTGCGGAATGCATGGGATGTTGGATGTCATCATTGGCTGTGCGATGGGTGCATTGATCGGCCTCGTACAGTTTTATTACGGTCCCGCCTTGGACCAGTATATTCTGTACGCGTCGTTGAAGGGGATCCTCATCATCCCGCTGGTTATTCTGGTGCTGGTCCGCATCCACCCGGAGCCGGCCGACGATTGCCCTTGCTTTGACGACAGTGTCGCGTTTGCGGGAGTGACACTGGGTGCGGACATGGCCTCGTGGCGTTTCGCTAAATCGACCTTGGCCTGGACGGAGCCTCTCCCGGGCACAATACCCTACAATTTCGAGGGACTGGGCTGGACTAAGACTGTCCTTCGTCTGGTTGTGGGCGTGCTGTGTGTGTTTGCCTGGAGAGAGACCATGAAACCCTCCCTGCTGCGCATCTTACCGCCCATCTTCCGGAGCCTGGAAAAGCTCGGTCTGCTTCTGCCCCGGCGGTTCTTCACCAATGCCTCGTAAGGACTTTAAGAAAAAAAAAGTTGTATCAGCATCATTCTCTAACTTATTACCAGGCAATATACTACCGTACCATCTAACCTCAAAGACCGCGATGTGATTCCTAACTTTTCCGAACTCCCGTCCATCCTCACCACGATGCGCCACCCCCGACGCCGGGCCATCTCCGTTGGTCCGCAGTCGGCAGCTGATGCCTATGAAACCCTGGCATACCGCGAAAAACGACGACGCGAGAGTCAATCGGGTAGCAATCGGGACTCGCCCGCTGCCGATGGTGAAGGCAAGGCCAATGGGGCAGCTGTACCTTCAAGGACGCAATCCAAGCTGGATGAGTACGAGCACATGATGGGCAGAGGCAGCCCACACTCCTCCGCTGTTGATGTGGATTCCAGTGTCCGCTCATCACCGCTGCCACCGCCACAAAACGAGGCCGATAAGCCGGACGAAAAAGAGGTCTTCTCCCAAATCAAAAAACCTCGAGTGAGATATGATGTGGAAGTAGTAACTAAGCTTGTTGTATATGCAGGTGGGTGTTCTATTTTCTCTTTGTTTTCCTACTATATTGACATGTGCTAATTTGGTTGCATAGGAATCCCGTGGGTGGTCATCGACGTTGCCCCATTTTTGTTTGAATGGATTGGCCTAGGGGTTCCAGTATAGGTTTACGGTGAATCAAGGTGTCAATGTTAGGTGTTCAACTGCTTTGTGGCTCTATTCCAGTCCAGCGGGCTGTGCTGGACGAAGCCCTTTTCTGGGACATAGTTCGGGTTTTTGCATGTACATAAGCGTTGAACTATCCATGAATGCATCCTTAAACCTGCATTTCCTTGTGCTTAAACCTTCTAGGCTCATAGATCAAGACAAGATAGGATCCACCTCCCTTGTTGTTCAGCCTGAAAAGTGATCCCGGGACCATAGAGAACCGACTCAACCGAGATATCGGTCTACCGCTACAGGCTCCGGTTACGCGAAAGAGCTTATCCTTATCTCTCTAGCTAGCGGGCAGCTGAAAACGGATTCATATTTACAGTATCTGTATTTATTTATGGAGCTAATTATCCCGTGGTTTATCTTTCAATTTGATACAACCATCGAAATGACGCCAAGTCAAGGGTAAAGTAGGGGTTGAGAAAGAATTTATGGGAAGAAAGTGGTGAAACTGATTTTAATTCATCCTGTACTAACAAGCACTTCATTCAAAAATAAAGCTTTCATCGACCGATCCAGTCAACCAGACTTGTAGGTCTTTGAAAGCGTTAAGGTCGTTCTTCTCGAGCGATATATCGATAGTAGGATCATGCTAGTGGTGAGTTCTTTTGGTTGTAGTGTTGCGCAATGACTCCCCGATGTATCGACAGCTATCGAAATCGATAAGAATATACGTACCGTCTTCATCAAGTATAATATTTGCAGGGTTAATGTCGTTGTAGACAATTCTAAGCGAGTGGAGGTGTTTGATAGCGGCTAGGATCTCTTCTAAACCACTATGTTCTCTTTCACTAGTTCACGCGTACTCGATAGGAATGTAACCTTGCTAACGCGTTAAGGATTGACCGCTTCGAGTAGCGTCGACGTATATCGTTTGAAGTGGAGCCCCGAGACTCGACCGTGAATCTCCTTGTAGCTATAATAGGTCGCAATGTTCAGATGGAGATTCTTGCGAAGAATCGAGCATATTTCAATTTCGCGGGTCATTTGTTTTTCAAGATCCCTATTAATGTAGGCGAGGAGACTCGGTGTTTTCTCATAGACCGCTGACTAAGTAGTATTTACCTCTGGGCTCCTGTCCTCCGTTGGTTGGGATTTGCTCGACTGCCTCAAGATCGTCCAAGGTCTTCGGCAAATCTAATCGATTCGGCCATTTTCCACAATATAATTTGCCATTTTGCCGAACAAAGATCTAGATATAGGAAAATTTCATTTTGCCATCGATCCTTTTTACAGGCCTCGTTCTTTTGAACAATCGCTAACTAACACGTATTACACAAGGCACTGCTAAGTGGCAGCAGATTGATTATTGATCTGCATAACTCAACCTTTCTATAAGTTTATTACTGCTCTCCCAAAAGCAAAGGATATGACCATTCATAATGTTTTCATTATCTATTACACAAGGCACTGCTATCTGCTGCTATCTCACTTCTTAGACGAACTTTGTGCCTCGCCGGAACCTGTTTTTGTTTGCACTTTGGCCTATGAAAACGTTTAGGTACCCTAAACCCTGGGCTGTTGTGTTTCCCCACAGAGACGCTATGACGGTGATGGATGTACCGGCGTTGGGACCGGAACCCAACGCCTGCAGGATGAAAATGACGAATATATCATCCTGCAGGTTGACTCAGAATGCTCACCAAATACACTACCGGTACGGGCAAAGTGTACAATATGCCATGCTGGTTTGGCTTGACGCACAGACCGAATTCTAATGATCCTTCTACCCTCACTGCATTACTTGCGGCTGCGCAGTGCCTTCGATTAGTCCTGCCGATATCTAGACAGCCGAACTCAACGGAAATATTTCTGCAGGTCAATTCCATGTACTATCAAGGTTCTTGTGTCTCTACACTGCGGGACTAGCTTCTCGCCAGTATTCATTCAGATCTGTTGAAGCTTGTCCTGGGCTATGGATTTAAGAATACTTCATACCCCGGTCTATAGGTTCCAGGAACACTCTATTCCTCAAAAACATTTTGCAGCCTTATTTAAGATTACTGACATACGGGTGCGAAAGCTTTCATGCGGAACACATGAATTGGTAACCGTGATCATTATCCAAGCGCTGGCAACTTGATAAGATGTGTAATCGCTTATCCCTTGAAGGCTTTAAGCTGGGAGAGTCAACTCTGATGATGATCCCTTCTGTCACGTCATTAATAATTCGTGATTCAAGGTCATAAATAAACAAGATCTCAGAATATCTAATGCAATGCACAAACTAAGAGACTACTCCGGATGCCCATACCAGTTCAGGCCATGATTTACAACTTCGGTGTCAGGGAAGTGTAAAGAACTGGAAGGTCTCAATTCCGTGCATACCTGACATGCCATCATGACCCTATGCGTACAAAAGACGAGTCCAAATTGTTTCTTATCATTGCCTATTACCACCTGCACCTCGCCATATATGGATATGTCGGGTAGGCCGATAATACTCGTGCCTAATCTAAGTCCGTCTATACACTATTGTCGCCAGAGTGGGGTTACACAACAATTGATGATCTGCCAGAAGAAGGAATGTCATTACGTCAAGTCCATTGTATACTTGATTCCCAGTGTCTTTGATAATGCGCCTCTGACAGCATCACAATACTACAAGAAGCTCCGAGGTTCAGCAAAATAAGAAACTTGTTCCTACAGAGGAACTGTTCATTCAGAGCTTGAAAAATAACCATTGTTGTTTCTCGACGAGAAAACCTCATCTGCCCTTGATAATGTTAACAACCGCCAAAAGAGCAATCGCTGCGCTATCGACCGATATCCTCCCCACTGCTTTGTGTCAACCCACGGATTACATCTCTCAAATCAAAGCAAGCAAAGACCAGCATGTGACCGCTGAAGCCTTGCGAAATATGATAAACTTAGAGGGAGCGGGAAATTGGCCTCCAAATGCGTCCCATAGAAACTCATGGCCCACAGTCCTTCGTCCGTACCATGATATCTTCCTCGAACTCGCGCCACTGCTACCAAGCGTTAATGCTTGCGCTGACGTTACCATTAACCAAATTCGCCGGGAAGAATACCGAATGAGATTACAAAAGCTCTTGCAAGACCGCGTGGACCTTGCAGCAATCGAGTCTCTTCTATTGAGCTCCAAAGCCAATGGAAACCCTCCGCTGTCAAGAGATGCCTGTAATGGTTTCTTCGCCTGTATTGGGTATCTACGTCATGGATTCAGGTAAGTCCCTCTAGCCACAACTCCAGAAGGAATCATAGTACTCACATCTGGTGGTAGATGGGCCACGGTACCCATTGTAAAGGTGGCACAAGAGGAGAAAATTATCGACTTTCCACCCGAGCTGAATATCCCATGGGACTTCCTACGCCGAAAATATGGCGTAAAATCCCCAGGAGGGAACATTACGTCTAATTTCCACTGCAATTTCGATGCAAATGAGCAACTCGTCTACCAGGTCAACAGCGGCATGCCTGAGCCAGTTCCCTCAGCTGAATACCATTTTGCGCAGTCATTCAGGAAAACAGAGAAACAGGTATGTCCAGATATTGTATACACCACAGAAAATACTTATCATAGTAACAGTCACTACCTGTATACTACCATTTGGTGCAATCGATTATCTCGTTCGACAACGGTCAAATCCGAGACTGTAATGAACACCTCAGGGCACTCAATGAATATCTTCGGTCAGCCATACGAGTGTACTATAACCAGACAGTCTCCTCGAAGATCCCGCATAGTATATTTGTGCCCTATCTACAGGGTTTCCATGGCTGGGCGGCCGGCGACGTAGCAGATGGACATTACACTGAGTATGACGGGTTATCTGGGGGTCATTTGATTTTATTCAACTTGTTGGATTTGTTTCTTGGACTGAATACATTTCTTCCAGAGGAAGATTTCGTGAAATATGTTCCGGCCCGACAGAGAGAGTTTCTTCAATCTGTCAAGAACCATGCGTTCAGGGCGAGAGCTAAGGAGGAAGGCAAGGTTGAGTTGGAGAAACAGTTCAACGGCATTGCTTCACAGATGCGGGTATGTTTTCGTTTAAAGCAAAAGCCGAAGATGATGCTGATTGATTTTTGCCGTCTAGATCTTCCGGTCTGCTCACAGGAAACGGACACGACAATACCTCAGCAACGATCGACCTGAACGAAAGCCGATGACTGCTGGTGGGTCGACCATGAACACGAAAGATGTTGTGGAATTTGTTGATGAGAGCTTGAAGACCAAGATGAAAGATACTGTTTAAACTTACTTCGACAATAAATTGAACATCAAATCATTTCCCTATATGTTCGTGTCATCTTGCCATATGTGAGGTGGGTACCTTGGCCGGCCACCATTGGCGAGTAGAGCGCTCGTGACCGCCTTTATTGGTGACTTCACATGGTTATAGAGAGAAGCAGAATATAATCTGGCCGTAACGGGCCACCTGTAGCTGCGTTCTTAGACCATAGCGTCAGATAGGGCCGTTCCGCGCTCCCTTGTCGAGAGACAAGGGGTCTGAATTGTGTGAAGGGCTATAGCAGAATTGATTCAATTGTACTAGGCCAATATGCTGTTTACAACAATCTTCAGCAAAGAAAGGAGAAAGGACAGAATCGGTCTCGGTCCTTAAGAGTGTTGGTCCCGTTTCGGATAGAGTCCTCTCGAACGTCGTGATGGAATCACTAGGAATCCTTCTGCCGAGGCGGTATCCGAAAGGCCATGGCACATGGTTTATCACCGGGCTCGGACCCGTCACAGCCCCTCCCGCCTTCCCTCTGTATATAGAAACCACCGCAATACACAGACTTTGCTTCTTCCCTACAAGGAAGCGCGGACAGGCCCTATCTGACGCTACAGTCTAAGACCGCAGCGATAGGTGACCCGTTACGGCCAAACTATACTCTTCTTATATCTCTTTACTTTGTGAGGTCACTACTTAAGTTATTTGAATATGTGGTGGATGGTGGGCCTGTACGGCTCGCTTGGGTGTGTGAGGAATCAGCCTTAATTGCCAATAACAACCTCTGCCAAACACCACCATGACTGGGTATATTCAGATACTACGCAGGACGAAGTCCCAACTGTTTTGTATTATATATTGTTGGGACTGGGGTTCTGTCAGCCTTTCTCCACCGCCTCCCTGACCGCCCGCAGCGGACCTATAGGTAGTAGATAGCTGCTTCTTTTCTTCCCTCCTATAGATCCCACAGATAGACAATTTGATTCTCTCTCTCTTCTGCTCCCCTTTCCTCAGAAGTTCTGCTTTCCCGGCTTCCCCTAGTGCTCTCTGAGATATATAGTAGCTCTAGTGAAGGGTACTTCCATTCAGAGGGTATTCCAACCCCTAATCTCTAATTTCATCTCATTCAGGCTGCCTATTAGGCGGATGTCCTCACATCCAGTATCTGCTCACTTCGATGGGGCGTGCGGCTCGCTTGTGAGTTATATTATAACATATAAAAGTCTGGAGTATGAAATTCTCCAGAAATATAACTTCATTGGGATCTGGAGTGCAAACTTACATAGGCCCTGTCCCCACTTTCTCCCCATACAAAAAATTAACCCTAAGTACTTCAATAGGGCTCATTGAAGTTAGTTACCCCATGGCTTTAAAAAAAGGATTTTGAGTGCGTCTTGTTTGCACAATGTCTCAACACGGGCAATACTTCCAGGTTCGTAGCGCTCTTCGCCAGGTTACTAAGCTTTCCACTGACAATAGTTAGGTGGAGAGACACTGTGGAGTTTACTTAAAACAGAGTGAATGAAGGCCCAGGGACCAAAGAAGGTATATACGCGTGTGGCACTGTGTCGCCCAATATCATAATGGGCAAGCTTACAAAGGTCATCAACTGAGAACGGCATCACTTCAGGTGATCCTGTAATCTGACCCAGTATGGACGCTTTCTGATAGTCGATTTCTTGCACCAGGACTGCCTTCATTGCGAACACAGATAAAAGTATTTGCTAAGCAATAGTTAAGAGCAAATAAATTACTATGGCTGTCTCCGGAGCCTTTGGTACTGTCAAGGCTTTGAACAACCTATACTGAGGAACCCAGGCCACGAGAAGTTCGGGATGTAAAATAGGTCTTTACACTCACTGCGCTATTGTTGTATTTGCAGGGGTTGATGGAGGGAATGCACCAAGAACATACAAAATATCTAGTCTACTAACTTTTAGGTACAGGAAGGAAGACCATGTGGATGCGCATGGCCCTTTCGATTGGCTCCAGGATGGGTGACCAGCGAAGCATATAGGGGGGATGTCGTAATTGTATAACACAATTCTAAACCGTCTTTTGCAGACAAATGGCGCGCTCTCTTCACAAATATATCCTGCTCAAACATTAAAGCCCTCGAACAGACCTAAAAGATGACTATTTCTTATTACCATTTCCACAAACTCAATGCGGTAGGTCCTCAGGGCAAATGCCGCACCTGAGCTTCCTGGAGAAGTTATAGGGGAATGCTTTTCCTGCAATCTATACCCGTTCGCCGAAACGATGAAACCCACGTCAGAGCTTGCATCTGTCCAGATGAGCTTTGTAAATAATCTCGGAAATGATGCGCTGCTGTCATCTCCGTTCTCATTCTCATTTTCGGTAAACCAATGTTTCCAGAGCCTGAGCATTCTCACTCTTTCCCCGCAGAGACTGCCGACGGAAATGAAAGAGTCGGCTCTGCACCTCCGAACATCGAAGCATAACTGATATAGAAAATCGAACTCATCAAGCTGTATGTACTTGCTATACCTGCGGTGCGGCTCTTCTCCGAGGCCGTCATCTGGCTTGCCAGGGTCCAAACCCGGGATATTGCCACTCTGGTCGCGAGATATCTTGAGCCTGGTGTAATTTCCCTGTGTCCCCCACTGTCCTGGAGGGAGTGCTACTGCCTCGACAGGATTTTGTTGAGATGAATCCTGAAATCCAGATAATTCCAACGCCTCATATTTTTGCATCGTCGCTGGATCCGAAAGCATCACTCGGAGTCGATATGGTGCGTGCGGGGAGAGGTGGTGGGCGATCTGGCTGTGGATGTGAGACCGAACCATTGTAGCACAGCACAGGAAAGAGCGAGAAACCCCGACCAGAGATTTCCGTGTCAGATGCCGCATTATTATATCCCAAAGCTAGTACCTGGGGTGAGTACAAGGTCTTTGGAGACTTTAATTTTCAAGGCAGCGGGAACATACCTCGGGTGGAAATTGGCCCAAACATGAACACATGTCGGATGGTCTGCTCTGCGTTCGTCAGACCAACGGTGATAATAATTGAATCTCAATGACTCTGAGTAGAAAACCTGAAAATTCACCTTTTTTATATGCAAGGTTCAACGCAAAGAAGAATAGAATAACAAAAAAGTACTTTAATATGCATATGCCAATTGCGTTCCGATAAGTATCGCCACTCTATCTGCAAAGTACTCCATATGGATATACACCTGCGGCGCGTGGACAATTAAGGAATATTCCGTAGTTAACCTAGGTATACCCAAGAAGACTGCATTTACAATATACCGCAGGAGGTCGGCAGAAATTGAACAGAAATCTTAGGGATAAAATTTGGATCCCAGTCGTCTGAGTCCCGCTCAGCCATCGCTCATGACGTGTTTTCATGTACGAGGTACATTGCCACTGTCATATCAGTGCAATAAAAAGTCTAAAGGTCACCATGGTTATGACGTGTATGAGACTATCGCATTATACAAACAGAGATCCACCGCTGCTCCATCGCCTGTTCAATTTCAATCCGTTGCAAAACAGTAGGGTTGCTGACAACAATTATCGTGTGTATTTCCCATGGTGACGCCATCGTGGCCCAAAATCTGCCCACTTAATGGGCAAGTCACCTTACTTTTGGGGCCACGATTTACAGGATGCCCAGGTAGTGCCGAAGTCGAGGACGAATGGCGGACGACGAATAAGCCAACCTGTAGGACCCACAGCGATGTCTGCGCTCATCACGTTCAAATTGGCTTTTGATGTCATTTTAACCTATTTCAGGTCAAGTGCAGCACGGGTGGCATGGAACAACCACACAGTAGATCTTGTAACCACACTTTAGGTCGTGTAACTACAGGGATACCAAAGAATAATTCAACAAGTACACATTTTTCTGCCAGTAATTTTTTGTCATGATACTGTAAGAATACATTCAATATGTTGTTGACCCTCCGTGTCTTTCAATCACCTGGGCCACCCTCCGTGGCATACTCTCTGTCAAACTCCATAAAAACGACTCTGGTAGGCGATCTCATGCGTTTTGTATATACTGGCGTAAAATAGGATGCTGAGACGGTGGAAGATCGGTGAATCCACACTGTTTTGACACATCATCTTACCCAATCCCACATATTCTCTTGGGCGTTTAAATCAGGAGCAACTGATGGATACCAGGCATCTTATCTTCAACATTAATATCACGATCATATAGCTCAGCTATAGTAGCAAAAGCCCGATGAGAAGCAGGGGTGTTGATAGGGGCACCCCAAAATAGAGTACATAATTTTTGACTTATGTAATTTTTTTTTCTCCCACTTCCATCACCGAAGCAACCATATACTGCATATATACTCTATCTTCTGCTTCATCTCTTTTTCTGCTCTACCATTACCCTGCTAGTTTGATATGCAGCGAATCTATGCTAGTAGGGTTACCCTAGAGGCCCCGCTTGGTATATGCACCAATTATTGGACGAGTACTATGGGGTTGCCATGCAAGCATCGAATTGCTGATTTGCTCGCAAAAAAAGAAGCAATCCCATTGGCTGATATCCATCCATTCCGGTGAATTAGGGTTGAAGATTCATCTGATATCGCCTGGCAGCCACTGCTAAATCCCCGAATTCAGCCTGCTGCTTTCCCAAAAGGCAATCTACGCAGATATCAGATGGGAGCGAGAGGGCTAGACCAATCAAAAAAAGGAAGGCCCCCCCCAAGTGTTCGAATTGCGGCGAAATTGGGCATACATGTCGAAGTTGCCCTATTGCCAAATAGGGTAATCTGTTTTTGGTGGTTAGGATAAGAGGATCATGTGATTAGAGATGTGGTTGAAAATTATCATGTGATTAGAAAATAGATCAAAAAAAAAGATTACATAAGTCAAAATGAATATTACATAATATAATGAGGTGTCAATAGCGAAAATCTTGAGGTGCCCCTATCAATACCCTATCAATACCCCCATATTACATAAGAAAATGTAGTGCCAATAGCGGGAAACCTGCAGTGCCCCTAACAACACCCTCCGGGGGCTGAACCCGACTAGGATCATCTGCAGGGCTCCTTTGCGACAGTTAGGTCTTGCCTTGACTCTTTCGCAAGGCTCCTGTTCATCTTTAATGATGGACGCTGATGCTCACTTGTCACTCATCTCTTCGCTTTCTTCGTCCTATACCTTTCCTTCTGACCATTCAACTTTCGCCTCCCACCCTTTGTCCACTCGCGCATCTTCACGTCATTAGATTCCCTAGCTTTGCTCATTCAGAAACATTGCATTGACAATTGCCCACTTCATCATGGGGCTTTTCACTTGGGCGCGGCGCAAGTCGCAAGCCGCAACGGCTACAGAAGTGTCGCCCCAGACCCCCTCGCCCTTTCGCGATTCTACAGCCCGGCAACCAAGCTATGATTCGGACCGTACGTATCAGCGCACTTTCAAAGAACCAAGTCGCGTATACTGACAGACTATCAGATGAATTCACTCGGTCGATCCCCGGCGCGTTTCCGACTTCCCCTCCGATCTCACCAACGCTCGCGCCCAGCCACCCCGAGGTGCCCATGGATGAGGTTCCTATGGATGAAGACTTCACAATAGCAGGTTTCGACTCAATGCAAATAGATACACCTGCCACAATACCAGAGCTCCCCACAGACCTGGGTTCTCATCTTCACCCGAGAAGACCCTTACATTTCACTCCTACTCCATCCCGTACCAAGCGCCCGCCATCAGTTCGCTCAGCAGCTGCAGCGAGATCTGTCACGGAACGAGAGACATTCGTGGATGACCCATGGAATCGACACGCATTGGCATTTGAGAAGCTGCCTTTCGGACGACCGGTGTCTGCGGTGCAGCTGTTTTACCCGGACAAAAAGCCACTACCCGCCAACCGAATCGCATCGATCTATGCGTCTGAGTGGGAGAAAAGAGAGCGCGAGCGCGCTGTTTATGAACGCGATCTTCGTCGTCCGACGAGACTTGTTCCGCAGGGATCACCAGTGCGGCAGCTTTCCCGGGCATGGCTGGACCGGGTGACGCAAGCTATGAAGAGTGCCCACGGCCATAGTGTTGCCAGGTCTTTGTCCGGAGATGATTTGTACCAGAAGGACATTGCCACGTGCATCAAGCCTTTGGCCTGGCTTAACGACGAGATCATCAATGCTTATCTCATCATCCTCGTCCAGTACCTCCGCCAGTCTACCGGAAACGCAGGGCGTAGTGATCGACCCCGTTTTCATGCATTCAACAGCTTCTTTTATTCCAGTCTACGTGACAAGGGATACCAGGGGGTTCGTCGCTGGGCAAACCGCGCTAAGATTGGCGGCGAGGGCCTGCTGGATGTTGATACGGTCTTTGTCCCTGTGCACGAGTCCAGCCATTGGACTCTCATGGTTGTCCGACCATCAGACCGAACAATTGAATATTTCGACTCCTTGGGTTCGCGTGGCCCAAGGCAGGTGAAGGTTATCAAGGAGTGGCTCCGCGGCGAGCTGGGGACGAAATACGACGATGAGGAATGGACCGTGCTTCCCTCGGTGTCTTCTCCACAAGACAACGGAAGCGATTGCGGCGTCTTTCTTCTGACTAACGCCAAGGCCATCGCCATTGGCATCGAGCCTACCGTCTTCGGCCCGAGCTACACGAGCCTCGTACGCAGGAAGATCGTCGCCGAGCTCATGAACGGTGGTCTCCACGGGGAATTCGACCCTAGTGACCCGCAAGGCAAAATCTTACTTTGAAGGCTGCTTTCCCAAGCACCAATCGTCAACCTGCATCTTATCTTTCGTTCCGTGAGCCTTGATACTGGCATATACGAGTTCCTTCACACCGTCTTTCCGCCGGGAACTTCCCACCGTTCTTGCATTCTGTCCATGGGTGTTGTTCTATCTCCTGTTGCATTTAAATCGTTGTGGTTCATGGCGTTTGCGGTTCTCATCTGATGGTCCTTTTTCTCCCTTCTTTTTTAGCATGTGAGGCGCAATATGGAGGTCACTAGGGGTGGAAGCGAAAAGAATACTGTGTTTATTTCTGCTCGACGTTGATGCTTTGGATGAATTCGCATGATACCACGGGCCGCGGTTGTTCTGAATCAATGAATTTATACGATGGTTTCTGTTTTTATTGCTATTCTCGTATTGAATCTTTCAATCTTTGGGCTCTATAAACCATAGCTCGAGCTAAGCTTTCCTTCCACGTGGCTGAGGCTGCATAGCCCCAACATTGAGTCAAAAGCATGAAAAGTTTAGTAAACAAACTCACAATTGAAAAGGAGTATATATAAATACAGCGTAAATGCACTTTCTTCGAAGTAAACTCCAATTGACTCTTTTACCCAATACCTGATTCCTATTGAATCAATCTATCCATACCAACACCCCCCAAAAACATAACCAACACAACAACATGGATCCACCAACCTCGATACCCGAAAGAGCACCACATAACCGGCACCGCGCCATCCGAGCCATGTACACAACCAACACCATCACAGTCTACCAAGCCTACTCCCCCGAAATCGCCGAACCAGCACTGCAAGCACAAACGTTCGTGGCGCTCTTCAATCGCAACCGTATGACATGGATCAAGCCCTCGTTTCTCTGGATGGCATACCGATCCGGGTGGGCGAGCAAGCCGCAACAGGAGCGGGTTCTAGCGATCGAAATCACCATCAAGGGCTTTGAATGGGCGCTGCGCCATGCGTGTCTGAGCCACGATGATAACAACAAAAACAACAGCCAGGACAAGCAGGGCTGGCAGCAGAGGTTGCGGTCATCTCCTGTTCGTGTTCAGTGGGATCCTGGACGTGACTTGCTGATGCGGCCTTTGGGGACTCGCGCTATTCAGATTGGGTTGAGTGGGGAGGCGGTGCGGAGGTATGTTGATGAGTAGATTGTTTCTATTACGGATATGACGAAGACCATGAAGACGGCGGCGAAGTATGTTGAAGAAGGTGATTTGATTGCTGCTGAGGAGTGTTTACCGGAGGAGCGGGTATATGAACTATCTCCGGAGTTGCGGGAGATATTACAGGCCATGTGAGAGAGAGTGAGATAATATATGCAATCACAGTCTCATGTTTCGGTTCTATGGGAGTTTGTTCACCGTAAAGATAAGAATACATAGAAAGGTTGAGTGAGGGAGCTTCGAAGCAAAAAGACGAAAGGAATAGCTAAGAATAGAACGCGTCAACCCACCAAGTCCGGGTGGAGGTTGTCGATGTGACAAGGTCTTCGACATGAACCGTCATGGTGACCCTTCCCGCCGCGATGACCTTTCCGGTGTTTGTTTCTTCGCCGGCATTTGCGGCCTTTTCTGCCCTTCCTGCACTTTCGGTGCTTCTTGGTCACACCGTTGACGTCAACCTCCGACTCGGAAGAGTTGACTGTGAAAAGATTCGCTAGAGGCTGCTGGTGACCGCCATGTAGTTGCGAAGAAGGTATGCCTAGTCTATTGGAGCGATCTGTGGTGAGATTGTAGGCCAGCTCGATATACTCGATGCCCATGTAGATGCTGTCGCCAAGTTTCATGTCACCGGTCCAGACACCGCCGTCACTCCAGAGATTGATCACCACCATGCTTTGCCGATTGGGCACTCGGTACGACTTGGATTCCTGCAGTTTGTTGTCCACATACCACCGGGATTGGTCCGAGAGCCAGTCGAGACGATGGGTAGCCCACGATGTCCATGCGACAGGCATGTCGACCACTGTACTCGCACCGGGAATCATATCGTCCTTAGCAGGATCATAGTCGGGCTGGTTTGCATAATGTACACGATTTGAAGGATCACTTGTCAGGATCTCGATATCAGATTCGCAATTGAAAGAATGATAAGTAAAGATGCCGGCGCATGCGCCTGTTGGCGGCCTGTTCGTGTTGTTGACGGGGACACTTCCGTTATTTAATACCGGCCGACCATGTTGTTGCGGGCTCACTGGCGGCCACTCCTTGGGCTGGGGTGGTTGCGCCACGGCAGCATCCGCCGGCAGCAGACGCAGTCGCACCCGGACTGAGCAGCCGTAGATGTTCCGTGTTCGCGTCTCGATTTCGGCAGTGGAAGTGTAGTTGGCATGACGTGTAGTGCGCATGACCAGATACGTCGAGTCGCTGTCATTCCGCTCGTGGTCCTTGGTGAGAAAGACGTTCCGTTTGGAGTTGATCATAGCGACAGGGGCATCGGGAGTGCGACGGCGTTGCCATTTCTGGCTGCTCCAGTCCTTTTCAAAGGAAGTCTCGAAAAACAGAACAGAATCGGGACCGGGAAGTTCTTTTTCATCATCAGGATCGGTCTGGTCTTCCAGGTCTTCATCTTCCATATCATGGTCCTCATCGCTGTCCTGCCAGGCCTCCTCCGGACTGATCCATTTTGGCCTGGACTCTTCTCCTAATGGAATGGAGCGGAAGTCCCAAAGTCTGTAGTGCTGGAAATACCCCGGGTCTGAACCAGAGACAGTGAAACAGTCACAGTTTTGCAAGAGCTTTTTCGATGGTGATTCAGGGACTGTAGCATTTGGTGGATACGTTGACAAGGCGTTCACAGTGGACACGATGGCCACGATGCTGACCAACAAGGTGCATGACTTCATGGTAGAAAACAGTGCCCTAGACAGGGCGCATGAGGTTGCAGAATCCTCTGGGAGTCGTTGGCCTGAAATCCATCGCACATTGGGTGGGAAGTTGCGACTGGTGTAGTTTCCTGGAGATGATGATACCTCTCCTAAGCAACGAGGATACACCCATTTTCCACTGTGAATCAAATGCTCGACAATCCTCGACTTTGATATGTGTATGCTTTTGAAAATGAAGTGCTGCGAAACCCTTCACTGTTCATCTCCAGACAGCCTGGGAATTAGGGCTGGTAATTCCAAGACGAGGATTTCATGGCCCTACCGGATGCGCTGGCCAAGAACAGGGAACAACGCCACCACTGACTAGCTGGACCAATGAACTCCCGAGTGGCAAGGAAGGGAAGCCAATCAGGGGGTCGGACACGGGGGGCGGAGTCAGCTGCCGCACAACAAAGCGCCCCGTGCGTCCATCGTGGTATTGTCACGGTATGGTCACGGTCTGGCAACATCAAGATTTGGTGATGACGGGCTATTGAAGAGGTCAAAAATCTTCGGAAAAAAAGGACTCAAAACCAGAGAATCAAGACTCATGAATGAAAGAGTCCACTCAATGTGTGAAGCTCAGAGTGGCGAGTACTCGGTGGTGGTGAGGAACAATGATGTGGGTGGGGCAGGTTGCAATCCGGGCCGTCAGACGGTGAGGCCCATTTTCTCTCCTTTCTGTCTTTTCCCTCTCATAGCATCATCCACCACACTCCACCCTCCCATACACCGTCAAAATGGACGATACAATGGTCTAAAGCCGCTTGGTTCAAGCCGAGCATTCAAGACGACTGTATATGACCACCATCTTACCACTTTCATCAATATGTCCACCATGACGACCCTCGAAAGGAGTCATTCCTGCACTTCCAGCAACTCGCTGTCCATGTCCAGCCCTCGTCTGTCGGTTCGACACGAACATACCCCGTCGGCCGACTCAGAAATATCTCTCATCCATCTCCACGACCGCATGAACCAGTTGGATTCCCTTGTGCTCGAGCTGCGATCCACCTTTCTCACCAAGGAGGGCTACGTCGATCGGCGCAACCGTGAAGATGACTACATCCGCCGCGAGTTTGAGAATCATCGCGCCATCTCCCATCGCATCGATCTGAATGTCGTGGCTCTCCGCACCGATGTCGACCAGGTCAAGTCGGGAATCTTTCAACTCAAGTCCAGCACCAACCAGGCCGGTACTGAGACGGTCTTCTTGCGTGGCGATGTCGATCGGCTGCAGAAGAGCGTGGATCAACTCCAGTCTGATATGGAGCAGATGAGAGCCGATGTCTGTGCTTCGCGTATCGATATCAGCAAGTTGCAAACGGTTACCAGTCAACTTCGCACCGAAATGATGACGCTGGAGCACAAGATGTCACACCAGCTGACCTCGATGAACACACGCATGGATTCGATGTACTTTCGCATGGACTCGATTGATTCGCGCATGAAGCATTCGGAACGTGTTCGCTTCAACTCCCTCGCCCAAACGATCCACGCCCCCATAAACCCTGTGCCATTCGTCACGGACGATGGGTCATTGGAATGGCCCCAGTATTTCCCTCGAACCGTCTGGCGGTTCTGGTGCCTCAAGAAGCGAAGTCGAGGTGAGAAAGATAAATATTATAAGCCCTATCTCATATCTAACTTTGAACCCAGTACATCGATTGGTTGAACTCGCAGAGTTCTATCGGCTAGGTGGCTATGAAGATTGGAGTCGGATGCATCAATCGGAAAGCCTGTTTGGCAACGACAGTGATGCAAGCGATTCAAGTGACGCCTCGCCCGACCTCACCCGTGCCGAGGCTGTTCGCCAATACCCCGAGGCGGCACATCAAGCACTGGCAGCCACTTTGGGTTTGGTGTATTACAAGATCCGCAACGAAGTTGGGGAGGGCCCCAATGCTCGTGCGCTCCCGCGTCCGCCCAAGCGTCAGCAGGAAGATGTGGCGTCCGTGACCTCGAGCACCAAATCCAAACCGGCGAAGATGGCTTGCCGCCCCAACGTATCTCGTTCATATTTGCATCAACTGGTGACAGGCCCATCGGTCGAGTCCAAGTCCACAACTTCTGAGGAGTTTGATAAGCTGGGATGGAACGCCTTCTCCGATGTATCGGAAGATGCCATGAGCAAGCTGCGTGCGATCGACCCGCAAGATGTTGGCACAGTACTTCGAGCATTGGAGCAGGGCCGTCTTAAGCTCAAACCCAGCCGCTCAGAACGGCTCAATATGTCACCCACTGAATCGAAGACAAGCCACCCCAGCAGCAAAGCCGCCATGGAGCCTGCTCAGGAGGATGTGATTCCAACTGAGCCGAACACTGTTCCGACTCAGCCAGTTTCTCCTAGTGCTGTTAGAGCTGAGCTGACTTATGTCCCTGACATCCCTGACACCGCGTCTGACAGTTGAACTTGAATTGCATGAGGTGGTGAAAATGGCGTTGCCCTTTGCACATATGAGCATTTTCTGGGATTTCCTTTCAGCATTTATAGCGAGCTGTGCTTTTTGTATGTTGTTTTCTTGGTTGTTTTGGTTGATATATGGTTTCTGATTTTATCAATACCCCCTTGGCTGTTTGTTTTGGACTGGAGTTTTTATGTTTAGCTGTTTCTTTGCGATCAATTTCATCAACTGATTGGCGGCTCATGTCTCTTGTCCCGTCGATCGAGTGGAATTATCTAACCTGACTCTCCATACTCCAGCTACGGATCGTCTCGCCAGACTTGTCCGCTACTAGCCATGGTTCCTAGACCTGTTGAAGTATCACTGCCTCGGTTTGCCTTCGTCAGGCCCATAAGCCTCATGGACGAGCCATTAGACACTCCCGAGCGCAACGGTAGCTGCCAAACCATGCCTGCTGTCATGCAGCTGCTTCCCGGATCGACCAGTCATAAGTCAAGGAGCCAATTCCGTTAACCCTTTGCTAATTTGCAAGTGACTGACCAGCGCCAAAACTAGTAAATTGTTGGAATAATGTACATGTGAAATAGCCGTCGAGCCTAGCTGTTGGCGGTTCGATTTCCATCACACCAGCCCAAGCAAATAATCATTGTCATGATGTCGGCTCTGTCTCCGGAATCGGTTCGAACAGGTCCTGCTTCAGGACCTCCATGACCTTATTTTCATCGACGTTCTGCAAATAAACAGATTGATCAGGCGCTGTGTCATCGTTGTCTGGCCCTGTAGATTCCTGCGCAGCCTCGACGGTGTCTGCACTCGTTTCCTCCGGCCCAGCGGTGCGTAGATACTCTTCCTCCAACACAAACCGGGACGTATCTTTCTCGGCAAGTAAAGTTTGTGGAGACTCGGGGAGAACGTATATTGTTGGGAACTCAAGGACAGTGCGGTTGCGCAGGACAGCAACCACACTTTCTAAAGGCGGAAGAGGGACCAGAACGAGCTTTTTGGACATTGTTCGGGGACGATGGAGATAGAAGTAGTGGTCTCGGTGGGGTTTGATGGTTGAGTCGACAGGTTTTTCTTCTTCTGTAGCCAGTGCAGCTTCTGAGCCAGACGTCTGCGGTGGATTGGTCTCGGTGGGCTTCTCGGTTGTTGTGGATGGCGCAGGAGTATCGGGAACGGGTGTTTGTTTATGACTTTGGCTGACAGACTCGCTTTGTTCGGAGTCGACTTTCTCCTCCTTTTCCGGATCGGACGCTGACTTGCTCTGCCTCGGGGGTGGAAAAGCACGATCGTAGGCCTCGGCAACGGGGCAGGTTTCGAGGGTATTGCGCGGTGTTTTCACTCCGTCCGCGGAGATCCATTCCACAGTCCAGCTCAAACACTTGTGTCTTGTAACAAGATGTCAGCATCGAGTTGATCACCCCATAGCAAAGAAAACAAAGGTAAAAGAGACTGAGACGGCAAGAGAGGGAAGAAACGTACTTCGGATGCCACCGCGAATGATTCATCTTATTCCTCGACATCCCCCTAGGCGCACGCACAACACGCACCCCACCAGCCTCCGCACCCCGCAAGAACCCAGCCTCACCCTTGACAAGACCCTGATGCGGATGTTTCCTCTTGCGCCCAGCAACTACTGACGACCCTTGCACACCACTGTCCGCACCGGGGCTCGCACCCTCGCCCTCGGCCGTATCGAGGGTAGAGCCACGCGCAAGCTCAATCCCACGATTCTCCGAATCCCGATCCGCACGCTCGAGCGAGCGCTCAATCCCTGTAATGAAGTTGAAGTCGCGATCAAACGCCGACTCCGAGGCGAGCTCGTTGCGCCGCAGGTACGCGGCGGGATCGCGCACGCCCGAGCATTGCGACCAGAGTTTGTGGCGTCGTGTGCAGGGCAGGGAGCATGTCCGGGTTGAGCAGCGCGGGCAGCGGTATTTCGGGGGGTTGACGTGACTGTTGAAATTAGTTTTGGGCGTTAATTGTCGGTGTTTTGGGAAGTTTTGAGAGTGATATTTGGGGGATTCTGAGAATTGAACGTACCAGATTGTGCAGAGCTCGCTGAGCAATGGATCCCCGTTGTCCATTTTCCTTCCTTTTCTGGGGATTTCTTCCAAGCTCGTGACTTTGGAATAGCAGGATTGCAATGGCGGATTCGCAGCTCGGAAATTTGGATGCTTATCGATAACAGCCTGAGGCAGAGACCCATAACTACAATGGTATCATGTGACCTGATCGAGCCCTTCCTAATGGATTGATGAATCTTCTTTCTACGATGTTTTATTAGTCAAATACTGTGGCTCATATTGGCCGCTGAATTTAGGCAGAACCATTGGGCAATAATGTGTAGCATTTTCAGTGGCAGGTTGAGTAGTATTTTTAGTAGTCTTTGTCTAGAAACTGGTTAAGGAGGTCCTTGGCCCTGCCTTCTCTAGATCGAGAAATTGGTTTTTGTCATATTTTCGAAGACTTTGTAGAGTCATCAAATTTGTTCAAACAATCTTAACTCATAGAGCGCATTATCTCAAGAAGACTAAATATCTGCTATACACACTCACCGAGTCGCAGGTTTCATGTCCCTCTGGGACAGTATATGCGTTGCCAGAGCTCGGAGGTTATCGGCACTGACAATCTTGTTCAAAGATAGCTCAACACCTGTCTCTCTGCGAATCCAGTTCCGCAGCTCCACAGATACTAGAGAATCCAGACTATACGTAGACAGCGGCGCATCCGGCTCCACCTCATCGCGGTCTATCATCGTGATCGACGAAACCTTGGTAATCAAAGCGTCCAAAAGGCTCAAGAGAGGATCCCCGCCACTAGAGTATCTCCATCCAGTCGAACGTGCATCGCGGCCTTGCCCAGCCCCATTGGTTTTGAGGTTCCGGTTCTCTGCATTGATGCGATGCACGAGCGACCGCGGGTGGAAGCATTGCCAAGGCAAAAGGGATCTGTCGTCACCCGAGTCGAAGCTAAATGAGAAGGATTTGCCGTCGCGGTTGAGTCCCGATGTGGGTCCAACAATGGCGCCTTTGACAAGGGTGCGCAGATGCGGTGCGGTGATTGTGGCACCCAGCGAGTTTTTCAACTTTTCTGTCAAGTCGTGTTCGGCTACATAGCCGACGTCGAGAACCACTGGCAATGCAATTGAAACTGCAGGCAGTCCGAGGTCGTGTCGATATTTGGTGAAGGCGTCGAAGAAGTTCTTGAAGGTGATTAGCTTTGGAGCACATAGGAGGTATATAGTTGCAGTAAGTACTCACTGCTGTGCCAGCATAGATTGACTGTCCAACATTGCCAACGGCTCCAAGGAAGGAGGACAGAGAGACAAAGAAGTCAAGGTCCGGCAATAATTCGTGCAAGTTCCATGCGCCCCGAACTCGGGGTGTAGTGATATCTTGCCAATGCTCATGTGTCGCATTTACCAAGAAGGTATCCTGGAAGGAGGTGAGCTTCGTTGGTATTTGCTATCCGTAAGAAGCAAAAAGACTTACGCGGAGATAAAGGGCACCATGTACGACACCTTTAACCGGTGGAAGGTCCCGAATCGATTGTACAGCATTGAGGAGGTCTTCGTGTGAGCCAACATCGCACGCAATGGCTCTCATGCAAACATCGGTGCCCTCATATTCCTGCAGAACCTTCTGAACTTCCGGACGAGAGGAACCGCTTCGACCAAGCAACACAACATTTAGTGCTCCATTCTCGACCATCCAGGGTCCCAGAGAAAGGCCAATGCCACCAGTACCACCGGTAATCACGTAAGTTGCATCCGGACGCAGTAGCTGGCCAGACGGTATCCCCGGCGGCGGTGGGCATTCGGCCAAAACATACTCGTCAGGGTCCATGGTGACAACAATTTTGCCCACATTCTGACCAGACTGGAGCTTGCGAAGACCGGTTGCAATCTGAGAGACAGGCAATATTGTGACCGGACGAATGGGTACAATGACCTGGCGTCGCATCAGATCAACAACATCCGACAAACACTCTCTCATCTCTTCTGGTCGTTTTTCAAAATATGCACGTAGGTCGACGCCGGTGAAAGCCACGTTGCGGTCAAAGGGTCTCATTCCCAAGTGGCTGTTATTAAGAAGATCTCGTTTACCGATCTCCACGAATCGGCCGAATTCTGCGATCAAACCCCAAGTCTCTTGCAGAAGGTTGCCTGCCAGAGAGTTCACAATCACATCAACTCCCTTTCCATCGGTAGCGCACAGAATGCCGTCTCGAAATTCCGGCGTGCGGCTGGAAAAGATGTGCTCCTTGGGAATGCTGAATGACTCTTGCAGAAACTCCCTTTTATCGGACTACCAGCAGTAGCGAAGATTTGAGCGCCGATATGCTGTGCGAGCACGATACATGCCTGACCGACAGCGCCGGATGCAGCATGGATGAGGACACTTTCCCCTTTTCTGAGTCGGGCGATGCGCAGCAGGGTCATGACAGCGGTAGAATACGCGACAGAAATGCTCGCAGCATCCGCCGTGCTGATATCATCCGGGATCTTGCAGATATCCAGAGAGTGCTTCCGGACAAAGGTTGAATAGCTACCCCCTCCTAGGGCACCAAAAAAGACACGATCTCCTGACTTCAAATCTGTGACACGAGAGCCTGTCCTGACAATGACGCCGGCACCCTCAAAGCCAGGAGGACCCCAGGGAATGGAGCCAAGAATAAGCAGCAAGTCACGGAAATTCATTCCTGCAGCCTCAACCCGAATGAGGACTTCCTCATCGCCTAGAGACTCCTCCAGGATCTTGGTTCTGCGGAAGTATATCGAGTCAGGGCTGCCCGCAGCAGAAACTGTCAACTCGAGAGCGGCATTATCTTTCCAAATATTTTGAATCTTTTGGAGAGGAACACCTGCTTCAGAGGCAAATACTTCCTTGGCTTCGATTAATGGTCTGAAGCGTGGGAGGTGGATCATGCCCTTGTCCCAGACGAAGTCCTGGTCCACACCGCGCGCGACCTCCGGATCCCGCAATCTTTCGGCGATCTTGGTAACTGCTGTCGCACCTTCAGACGTGCAAGGAGCGCTCTCTAGCAAAAGCATGTTTTTCGAGGTATCCTCGAGGCGCAACGTGCGCAGCATGCCTTTCATTGACTGCGCTTCTGGGGGGTGGTTCTCTGGAACAACCCACAGCAAGCCCGATGTTTCGAGCAAAATTGTTTTGAAAGCTTCAAAAGATTCTTCAGAGACATTACTTAACACGCTGTGGCGAGGTGAGTCAATGAATATGCAAAACGAATCATCCTCGACATCGATCTCGACAAAGGGCTTCACTGATGTGGAACAGCCCAAACGGTCAGCCACATGGTCTGCAACCATCTGGGCAAAGTTTTCTTCTTCACTGTCCATGAGTGGCCCGCAGATTGTTATTGGTGCTGTGCTGGGACCATCCTCCTGGATGCCAACCCGTGTTGTGCACATCACACTGAGCATGTGCTCCGAATCGTCGGGGTAGTCTCCAATTGCGGCATCTACTCCAGAAAACCCCCGATCAATGAGTAGACGGTGCCATACATCTTCTGACATGAGACACCCTTCCCCGTGAGAGCGATACTTATCTTCTGAAAGCCACCAACCAGGAAGTACCATGAAAGGCAGTCCAAGAGGTGGATGGCAAACGGCCTCTAGCGCCAAAAGCTTGCCATTGGGTTTCATCAAGGACCGCACATGGTCGATCGTGGAGGCCATATTGGGAGTCGCATGCAGAACATTTGAAGCAATGACCAGATCATAGTCCTCGATGGCAAAGCCTTGTTGTACAGGATCCTGGCTGATGTCAAGTTTTGTGAACGTAATGCGATCCGACCACTGGGCCAGCTTCTCGCGGGCGTTTTCAAAGAAACCAGGTGAGATGTCAGTGAATGTATAGCTAGAAAAGGCAGGCAATTTCTCTGTGCCGCGCGACAGCTCCTGCAACACCGTCAGGGTGGCACTGCCCGTGCCGGCCCCGATTTCCAGAATACGCAGGTCAGGGTTAACATCGGAGAGATGCCTGACGCATCTTGCCAGCACCTGACTGCACTGCGCATTAGCTATGTCTGCCTCATAGTGGCCGGACAGCATGTTGTCCTTGAGCATGATCTCCAGTGGTTGAACCTCGCTGCGCAGAATCGAAGAAAGCTGTTCACCCACAGCACAGAGCATTTTGCCCCGAGCACCACTGTTTGACACTTCAGCCAAGAGAGATAACGCCTCGTTGTCGGAAACATGCTCCTCTCGAAGAACCATCTTTTCAGCCCATTTGAAAAATCTAGAGAGATGAATCGGCCACTGCGATATGTCATCATTGGCAGTCTCTTTGAGTGCTCGCTCCACGTAGTAGACAGCGACGCGATTCATCTGGCGCCTAAACGGGGGCTGATGTGGATCAAACGGCTTGACTTCCAGGATTCTTGCTAGTTCATCGTTATCAATAAAATCTAAGCAAGGGATCAAGTCCCAATAGTAGCTGGCGGGCAGGTTCGAGGTTAGATTCCCATCGTCTAAAGACCCAATTATTCGAAAAGTGACGCACTCCCATTCGGCAACGGGCGTGAAGGAGTCGGAGGACTGGGTAAAGACGGCTACACTGATACGCAGTCTTCCAGCTTTGGTATCGTAGTCAAGGAGACGAGTGACAATGGTAAACCGCTGCGCCGCACACGTCGGTATGTTGTTGGAGATTCGAAGCCGACTGACATAGTTCGGCACCAGCGCGCTCTTCCCTGCAACTTCCTGAAGAGGCCCGGGGCCCTGGAGAAAGCTGTCAAGTGTTGGTGGGTCGACAGATGCTAGAGACCCGTACCGGCTCGGCATCGATAGATCAAGGTCTCGCAACTCGCTTTCCATCACAGTGCAGCCAGGCCCCTCCCAGATTTTGACCATGGTCTTGAAAGTGGGACCGTAACGCGTTCCACCACACTCTTGCGCAGCGTCATATTCGTGCTTAGGATCGCGCTCTATCATGTTCACATGTGCAGTGAATGGCAGAGATCCCTTGATGGTCGGGCTTTCCAGAGTCATTTCAGCCATTTCGGGCTCGATTATACCATGGCAATGCAAAGTCCACCCGTGTTCCTCAGACCAAGTCAGAATCTCGAAGAACCAAGCCGTGGATGAAAAGTTCTCGGTTCCCGTCACCGCGGGCCTGAGCTTTGTTGTGATATCCACCCGCTCGTCCTCTTCAATCCCCAGGCTTCGCTTGGCGTGGAACTCCCACACAAGAATACTGGAAGGCTTTGTAGGACTGACTCTCCTCACGGCTTCTATAGCCATTGAGAGGTAGCCTGTCATCGGGAACATGGCAGTTCCAGATACATGATGATCTCGGATCCATGGCATTTCATCCAAGGTGAATACCTGTCTGAATGCGTGTTCGCCGCCCTCCGTATAGGGACTCTTCCATCCAATGAGACTATCGTAGGGCTGACCAGGATGAATCTTTTGCTGAGCAATGCGCGATTTGAACGTATAACGCGAGGACTTGTCCCAAGTGTATGGCGGAAGATCAGTCAAAACATGTGCGTTGTGTTGGTTCGTCTGATTGATTGCTGCAAATTGAATTGAAGACCCCAGTGTGAATAGACTTCCCGCAAGAGTGAGAAGTGTTTCCTCGCTGCTTGTTCCGCGCATCAAGGATGGGAGATACGTGATCTGTGTCTGACGCTGGTCGGTTCGTTCACGGAGCTCTTCAAGTGTCTGCTTGATTGGGTTCTTGAGAGCACCATGCGGTCCAACTTCCACAATGACATTTGGCAACTTGATGGCCTGCTGGCCTGTAGGTGCCTTCTCATTCTGAGATAAAAAGACATTCTCAATAGCATCCACAAACCTAACAGGCTGGAGGAGGTTTATGACCCAGTATGATGCATCCAAACCTCCTGTGTTGACGATGCTGCCGGTGACAGAAGACACAAACCTTGCATGATAGTCTTCCGACCCAACATTGCAGAAAGGCTTGATCGAATTCAGGTAAGAAGCGGCAATCTCCTCCATGTGTCGCGAATGATATGCCACTCCAACCTTAAGTCTGCGAGCGAATAGGCCTTGGCCCTCGGCAATCCGCTGTATATTTTCAATTGCCGGCTCATCACCGGAAACAGTTACGCTTGAAGGGCTATTTATAGCGGCCACTGTCGCGTATCCATTCGTGTTCTGTTCGAGAAGGGTCGATGCCGCCTCGCAGCTGATACCAAGGGCTAGCATTGTTCCCTTTTGACTGTTTTTCTGAACCAATTGAGCCGCTGCTTGACCTCGAAAGAATGCAATCGCTATTGCCGCTTTGAAGGAGATCAAGCCAGCGGCGAATGCAGCGGCTATCTCTCCACTCGAGTGTCCGAACACCGTAGCAGGTATGACACCCCAAGACCGGAGCAAGACCACCAGGGCCAGCTGGACAGCGGTACATGCAGGCTGGCTGAGCTCAGCATCATTGATACTCGATTCGGGATCCGGTCTACCAAGCTCCTCTGCCATGTGTTAATTGGTGGGATTCCACAAGGTCGGAAGCCGGGTACCTTTTAAGGACCAAGGTGCGCCCATTTCTCGCAGATGCAATTCGGCCTGGTCAATGGCGGCAGCGAATTCCCGATAACGTTCTAGCCCGGAGGCCATCTGAGCGTGCCTTTTGTAGGTCAGCCAACTCAGCCTAATTGAAGAAGCGTCACGTAGGCGACTTACTGAGCTCCTTGGCCAGTAAATGCAAAGGCAATGATGCGCTCTTTGACCTTGTGGACTTTGCTAGTGAGCAGTTTGGATTTCAGAGTGTCCATCGAATCTGCCACTGCTGTGACTCTGTAGGGGTGGTGTGTGCGCCGCTGCCCCAGTGTGAAACTGAGATCCCTTGCAATACCATCATAATCAGGCAAATCTTCGAGATACTCTCTAAAGGAATCTATGTATGACATGAGGCTGCCCTCAGACTTGGCTGAGAGGACAAACAGCTGCCGCCCCGAGTCATGGTCAAGGGCACCATGCACAAGCCCATTACTTGCTGGGGTGTCACTGAGGTCTGTACAATTGGCTTGGAAACCATTCACTTGAACGCCATTAGTACATTTGACACCGTTGGCTTTTGCGGTTGCATTTGCATGGCCATTCGACAAGTGCGAGGCAGTAGGGGCTTCTTCAAGAATAACAACAGCGTTGCTGCCACCAAATCCTTGGGATTCTGAGTTAGACCTGTGTCTCGCTTTAATTTTAAAGCAAGTACCCACCGAAATTCGTTACACACACCCGCTTGGGCGCGTTTGCGGGCCAGGGAATTGCCGTTCGTGCCACCTGGGCTGCATGTCAATCCCTCGCTTGTTTATTCCGTTTCCCAAAGGAAGGCAAACCTCGAGCTTTTCTCTTCCGTCAATATTCGGATTCATCTTCTCGAAATTTGCCTGCGGTAAGACGCGTCCATGCTGGATCATGAGTATTGCCTTGACCACACCGAGGATTCCACTGGCGCCTTCCAAATGCCTATGGTTCTATATCAGCCCATAGTTGTCAAGAACAGCTCACAAAAACCTACCCAAAGTTGGACTTGAGCGATCCAATATACAATGGATCTAACGGCGTTCGTTTGCTCCCGAGAACTGTCGCAAAGGACCCAGCCTCGATTGGGTCACTGTTCGATGTCAGTTTCAGCATCGGCGACACAACACAAACACAGCAGCACCACATACCCAGCCTTTGTGCCAGTTCCATGACCCTAGCGTTTGAGTGAGCAAATACAAGATACTTCGGTGCAAAAAGATGAGGAAATCATACCTCAACAACAGGTGTGTCAGAAGGATCCAGACCAATCTCTTCATGCACCTTACGAAGCAACCTCTCTTGAGTAGATCGCCTTGGCATTGTAATTCCTTCTGAACGACCAGCATGGTTGCAGGCAGAATTACGAATCACGGCCTGAACTGGGTCCCCATCCTTAATCGCCTCGTCTAGGGGCTTCAAAATCAGGCAAGCACCACCTTCGCCTCGACCAAACCCCGAGGCCTTCACATCATAAGAGAAACTCTTTCCTTCCGGAGACAGAGCTCTAGTTGTGAGTCATCAGCGGGGTCGTTCGAGGATTGGACTGGGGTGTTCACTGTACCCCATGTTGTCAAGCAAAGACCATTGGCCTGCGCCCAGAAGTAGCGACGATGACCCAACAAACGCGGCCTTGCATTCACCGGCTCGAAGGCTTTGGCACGCTATGTGGATGGCATAAGAACTGCTTGCGCATGCAGCATCGAGCGAGATACTGGGCCCACATAGATCAAAGAAATAGGACAGGCGATTGGCGAACATGCAGGGGGCAGTCCCAGTGGCAGTCCATGTGGTCGTGGAAGGAAGATCCTCAGACCCCTGCTGTCCATATTCGGGGGATCCCATGGCTGCAAAGACACCAATGTTGGCGCCAGCGAGATCCAAAAGACTCAATCCAGCGTTTTCGGCCGCCTCCAGGGCACATTCAAGCATCATACGGTGATGTGGATCCACCGCACGAGCCTCCTCGGGGCGTAAATTGAAGAAGGGCGCATCAAAGGCGAAAACATCGTCCGGTAAGAAATGGCCTCCCTTAGACATGACGCAACCGGCTTTGTCGCCGTTCGGGTGGTAATATGCATCTTGGTCGAAGCGGTCGGCAGGGACCTTCGACCAGGCGGACTTTGCATCAGCAAGGAATTCCCAGAGGCCTTTGCGTCCCACGCCTGGGGCACGGTACGAAAGGCCGACGATGGCAATCGGGGCGTCTTTCATGCTTTCTTCCACACCTGCAATATGGTAGTTTGAAGCTCGGTTTGACAAAAAACTGGATCAGATCACACCCGGGCCACTGCATCATCTTATAGACGATGGAGATCTCAAAATACCGTACACAAGGATCAAGGATAGTCTCCGGATCCTTGTCCCACTCCTCGTGCCAAACCCCCTCATGCTGGCTTGGAATGAACGATTGCTGACGTGGATGGATGCAACTCCATTGCCCTGGAGTGTTTCATTGACGGCAATGTCAAGCCATGCCAGTACATATGACCGAAGAGATCGAGTCATTTTCGAGTCATGCAGGGGCCCTGAGAAGGAAGAGAGGGCTTTGTGGGGGCGGGTCCGGGGTATGTCAACTCCACTTTCTCTCCAATCCCCTTGTCTTCTATCTTGCTTTTACTGTCATTTTACTGTACTCTCGGTCAAGATTCTTTTATGACTTCAGGATGCTTTTTAGTTTCTTATCTCATTGAAACTCCCCAGACCCTGTGGGTGGAGGAAGGCCCCGTTTCGCGTGGCCGCAGACCCAGTACTACAGACGGGGATGTTAGTCCTTCGTCACAAAAGGAATCCTCGGTCAGGAACATTTGGCAGTTATTGGCCAAGAGTTACACCACAGCCTTGACCGGGCAACTCGAGTCACACTGCATCACTGCATCATGCATGGCTGACAGGTTCCACCGCGTTTGGCACATCTCGGGGATGTGCATCACCGAAGGCATGGGGCCAAAAGCAATGCCTGAAGGAACGTTCCCGGCTTGTGCAGAGATTTGTGATAGGGTCGATGGGAAGGCTGAGACGATGCTGACGTTCCTTTCCAACTCATGGTCAAGCTTGGCCTCGCAGGAATGTGCCAATCCATCTATGCACATCTTTCTGTCGACGACCTTTTCCTGACACCCCGCATCGGAAGCTAATCTATCCATTCTCACGGCACAAGAATAACAGTCAAAATGGAACCAATTACAGTGATGTCCCGAGATGAAGTGGATGAGAAGACGTTGTCGGAGATTGCAGACACCTGTGATGTCTCCGTGGATCAGATCGAGGACATATATTCATGTACGCCTCTCCAGATTAGCACCATTGCCGAATCTGCGATCCACACCGGCGCCAGTGTGTTCCGATTTTTCTTCACGCTTGCGCCATCTGTTGACGTTGATCGATTCTGCGCTGCACTTGCCCGGGTATCCTCTCTCAACGCTATCCTCCGCACTCGACTGGTTGACTGCCGTTTTGGGCTTCTACAGGTTGTCAGTCGAGAGGAACATTGCACAGAGCGCTACTCAGGCGATATTGGAGAATATATTCATCAAGAGAAAGAGTCTTCCTTGGAACTCGGAAGGCCACTCTTTCGTTCTGCAATAATCGACCGGAAGTTGGTGTTGACCATGCACCACGCAGTTATGGATCACGCCTCCCTCACGCCTTTGTTTCGAGATACCTTTTGTGCTTACCATGGCTATGACCCCATGAGACGTGAAACTTTTAAAGAATTTGTGGCACACTGTCTCAGCATCGATGAGTCTGTGGCGAAGTCTTTCTGGGCATCTCGGTTTAAAGGTGCTTCGGCTGTGTTTCCAGCAGTCTTTCCAGGACATGTCCCCCATGCAACAAACAGGATGACACGAAAAGTCATTCTGAGTGGTATTGGCACCGAGGTCCCACTGACCCATGTGCCGTCGTTGATCGAATCAGCGTGGGCCTTGACAGCTGCAGCATATACAGACAGCAAAAGCGTTGCATTTGGGCTTATCCTCTCAGGTCGATCACCCGCTCTGAAAGGGTTGGAGACCACTTTGGGACCCACCATCGCCACGGCCTCCGTGCAGATCAGCTTGCAGCGCAATATGACTGTGGAGGGAATTCTTAAGGAGAGAAACACAGCGCTGCGAGAGCTCCAATTACATTCCGCATTACAATATGGCACCGCGCGAATCCGTACTGTCAGCGAGGCAGCCCGGACTGCGTCAAGCTTCCAAACCCTACTCAATATCCGTCCGCGATGGTATGACCCTAATGAGTCGACCGAGATCATGTATGACCACATGGATGAGCCTCATCCAGCTTTTGGCCTGTTCATCTCGTGCGATTTGCTGAGTGATGGCATCTTGATCGAGGCTAAATCCGATCCGGCTATCGTCTGTGAGCGCCAGCTGCGGCGGATTCTGTATCAGTTTGAGCACACCCTACGGTCTCTCATAGCAGCCCCGCCTCAAACAAAGATAGAGAAACTGTTGCTTTTCAACCCAGACGACCGTTCGGAGATCCTCGAGTGGAACATCAATCTGGCCCCATCGGTAGAGAAGTGTCTTCATGAGCTTTTCAGTGCTCAAGCTCGGGAGCAACCTGACGCCCCAGCGGTTGAAGCTGGTGATGGAACCGTTAGCTATTGCAAACTGGACGCACTATCAAATCGACTAGCTCACGAGCTGCGACGAAGGGGCGTCACAGCTGAATGTCCTGTGGCTTTTATCTTTGAGAAGTCGCTTTGGACGGTCGTTGCTGTACTTGCCATCATGAAAGCAGGCGGTGCATGTGTCCCTATCGAGAGGTCTGATCCACGCGCCCGCAAAGAAACTATTATCTCAAGCACAAATGCAAAGACCATCTTAACCTCGTCCGCGGAGCATGCCAATACGGTTGGTCTTGCGCCTAGTGTCATTTGTGTTAGCGCAGAGTCCGTCTCCAAGCTTCCAGACGTGACCACTCCTCTTGATAATGAGTCAAGCAATCCAGAAAGCCTTGCCTACATTATGTTTACCAGTGGGAGTACTGGTGTTCCCAAAGGTGTTATGCTAGAGCATCGCTGCTTGGTTTCGTCTCTTACTTCCCTCGCTCAACGGTTTGACTGGCGGCCAGGCAGTCGAATACTCCAATTTGCCGCTCATGTCTGGGATATCAGCATGGGTGAAACTTATGGGGCCCTTTTATTTGGTGGCTGCCTTTGCATACCATCAGAGGAGGCACGCGAGTCGAATCTCGCCCATTTCATCGAGTCCAGCAAAGTCAACTGGGCATGGCTGACACCTACGGTTCTTCGTACCTTGTCGCCAGATGATGTACCTAGCCTGGAGTCGCTTCTTTCAATCGGTGAACCAATCAGCGCCGGTGCTGCGAAAACTTGGGGTAGATCACTTCGCCTTCACAACGGTTGGGGCCCATGCGAAGCCTCCATTCTCAGCACTGTCGCAGAGCTCAAGCCAGACTGTCGCTATCCTGAAAGCATCGGTACCCCCGTGGGCTGTGCCATCTGGATTGTAAATTCTGGAAAGGCTAATGAGCTTGCACCAATTGGCGCCGTCGGAGAGGTTCTGGTTGAAGGCCCGGGTGTTGCTCGGGGCTATCTGAATGATAAGGTCAAAACGGCGGCTTCTTTCATTACGTCACCTTCCTGGGCTCCTTCTCGCAAGACACCCACTCGCTTTTACCGCACTGGAGACCTCGCCAAGTATAACCCTGACGGGAGTATCTGCTTCATTGGCAGACAGGACAACCAGGTCAAAATACGGGGTCAGAGGTTCGAGCTAGGGGAGCTCGAGGGTGTTCTCGCTAGCTGCAGCGAAGTGCGAGATGTTTTCGCTACAACGAAGATTGCCGCAGGTCGAACTGAGCTTGTCGCTGTCATCTGCTCAGCTGATCTTCAGCTGCCGAGAGGAAGGGCCCTGAAGGGAATATCAGCCGAGCTCAGTGCTCCACACCTCTTCGCCGTCCGCGATTATGCGCGAGCAAGACTTCCCTCATACATGGTCCCGACTATCTGGCTGGCCGTTGAACAGATGCCCCTAACAACATCTGCAAAGTTGGACCGAACATCCATCAGTAACTGGCTCAAAACAAAAGATCTTTCATCTGCCAAAGCTGCTCTGGGCTCGCAGGCAGCTGCGAAATTGACAACTCCTGTCACCCGCGAAGAGAAGTTACTACAGTCCATTTGGTCTTCTATGCTGGTCATTCCAGAACAGGAGATTGGACGTGAAAGTTCCTTTGTCCAGCTCGGCGGAGACTCGATATTGGCTATGCAAGTATCCAGTCGTTGCCGTAAACATGGGCTTCGCACGACGACAGCGGCGTTGCTCAAGAGCGATTGTCTCGCTACAGTTGCCAGGCTATCATCTGCCGTAGAGACTGACTTGGATTTCGGAGCGTCTAGCAGGACAGGCTCCCAGAATAACCCGGAGAATGGCATCAACAATGCAGGTTTCGAGGCTTTGGATGCTTTAACCACTCGCCTCTCTCATCTTAGTCTGCCAGAAGCCCATCTGCGGCGCGAGAACATAGAGAGCGTCTGTTTTGCAACCGATTCTCAGGCCGTTATGCTAGCACTAGGTGAAGTAGGAGAAAAAGCATATTATATCGATTTTAGCCTCCAATTCACACCCGCACTTGACGCGTCAAGGCTTCGAAATGCCTGTGAGCAGGTTATCCAACACCACCCAATGCTGCGAACTGTCTTCTTCCAGCATGGTTCAGCACTTTATCAAGCTGTGACAAAGGACCTGCCTGCAGAAATGATAATTAATGAGAAAGGGAAATCAGCTCGGACTGTGGCCTTCCCTGGCAGTGCCAGTCTGGCTCGCTTTCACCTGTTTACCGATGACCAAACTTGCCATCGCCTCCGCCTTGAGCTTCATCATGCCCTGTACGACGCTATCTCTATAGGCTTGATATTCCAGGATCTCGATGTCGCATATACAGGCAATACTCTTTCACATGGCCCTTCTTTCCATTCGTGGATCCTGCATGTTGGATCTCTTGATCAGTCTGAGGCGCGACAATATTGGAAAGATTTACTACAAGGGGCCTCGATTCCAGATCTGATACCGCCCTTAGAAAGCCCAATACGTGGCCATCCGCTCAAAGAGGAGGTACGAATCCGAGTCCCACTCCGCAACCTGCACACACAATTTGGAACGCCATCAAGCGTGCTGAAAGCAGCATGGTCTCTTTTACTATCTGGTGCTCTTGGGACGAACGATGTTGTGTTTGGCGAGGTTAGCGCCAATCGCTATTTGCCATTTGCGGAAATCGAGCGAGTATCAGGACCTTGTGTGAACACTCTTCCAGTCAGGGCACGCCTTGGCCAGCAGATGACATTGTGTTCGTTGATCACGCAAATTCAAGATCAGTCAATTGCAGGTCTTCCATATCACCATCTTGGTTTCCGCTCTCTCATTAAAGACTGCACCACCTGGCCTCCCTGGATGCGGTTCAGCTCTGCCCTCGTCTATCAAAACCATGGATCATTCGATTCCTCTCTCGAAATTGGGGGCTCATGTTGTGAACTCTCGAGCGAAGGCACACTTGGAGAAGCCGCCGATATCTTCGCTATAGCAACTCCGATTGCAGAAAGTCTGCAGATCGAGCTGCGCTATTCCTCAAACATACTCCCCTCGATGCAAATAAATTGGATATCCCAGTCTTTGGCCATGATTCTTGAAGGAATGCCTTCTAATATGAATCAGAGTCTGGGTCACGTTCAGAATTCTCTGCAGGACACCCTCGGCTCCTATGTGATGCCTCTGGTGTGTCCGGCTCCATCGTCAGATCTGGTCAACGGAAGTTCGCAGTCTCCATCAGCACGAGCAGAGGAACTTGTATCGCAGGCTTGGGGCGATGTGGGACTACTCTCCGCAGACAAAAGTCAGGATAGTTTGATGTTTTCGTGTGGGGCAGACGTTGTGACTGCGCTGTTGCTCTCCGAGTACTACCGTTCCTGTGGGCACGACATTAGCACTGACGAGGTGATTTGGCACCCGAGTCGCGCCATGCAGGCTCAATTGGTTGAATCAAAGTTTTTAAAGAGCAAGGTAGTGTAGTTTCATTAGTATACTTCCGCAATCACCTACTTTTTACATCCATTCTAGTCTATGGGTTGGCTTGGACTATTCCTGTTATATTCCATTTTCAATATCCAATTAGGGCAATCTTTTTAGAGTTTCTTAAGATGGTTTTGAACGCGTATTTTGAAATGCTTTTGAAGATATCACCCGATGTTGGATTCACAAGGGCTTCAATAACCAGAAATATTCATCCGCACACACTCTCTCTAATTAGGGTCCGTCTCTACAACCAAGGATGATTGCTCCTTGAATGTCCTGTTGATTACTCTATCATAAAATCCACTCTGGACCGAATGGAATTGTTGCGCCATCCAGATGATATCATCCATCCGTACGATGATCAATCCCCCGCCGCATTTCTAATCGTCGGCGCCAACAACAGCCCGACCCTCAGTATTTATACTGCACTGTCGCCGGAAGTTCACCGATTCATTTCCTTTCCCCAACAAATATTCATCAATAAATTGCGATGGCTCCCAAAGCACTCGCAGTTATTGCAGGCGTCGGTCCTGGCACGGTACGTTTCAACTACTCTTCTTCCATCACCAGAAACCTAACAACAACAAACAGGGTGCGTCCATCGCCCGGCGCTTTGCCAAATCTTACTCCGTGGCACTGTTGGCCCGCAACCCGACCAACTACGAGCCACTCGTGCAGGAGATCAACTCCAATGGCGGCCAGGCCGTCGGCATCAGTACTGATGTTTCCGATACCAATAGTGTCAACTCGGCCTTTGAGCAGATCGCCAAGCAGTATCCTGACACCAAATTAGCTGCCGCCATTTTCAATCCTGGCGGCGGGTTCGTCCGGAAGCCGTTCCTGGAACTAACGGAGGATGACTACACGACTGCACTCGCGTCGCAGGCGTATGTACCAATTCCAAACAGCCTATTCGCTTCCAAAATACCAGATACTAACGTGATGTACGCCGAGTATATAGTAAGGGTGGGTTTACCTTCGCCCAGCGCGCACTCCCTCTCCTTCTCAAGGCGCGAGAGTCCGCCCAGCACCCACCCACCCTAATCTTCACGGGAGCCACCGCGAGTCTGAAGGGTTCTGCCAATTTCGCCGCATTTGCGTCCGCCAAGTTCGCTCTGCGTGCCCTGGCTCAATCGCTGGCTCGTGAATTCGGGCCACAGGGCGTTCATGTGTCGCACGCGGTCATCGACGGGGTGATTGATATCCCCCGCACCAAGGGCTTTGTCTTTGAGCACGAAGACGCCAAGTTGAGTCCTGATGCGGTACGTTTTCTCTCAATATATACGCTCAATTTCCTTGTTTCAGAAGCTGATGATTCCAGATTGCGGATTCGTACTGGCATCTGCATACGCAGCCACGGACGACCTTTGCGTTTGAGCTGGATTTGAGGCCGTATGTTGAAAAATGGTAAACCTGAGCTCTTAAGGAATACTTCAGGGCTAGATATCATCGAATGAAATAACTGAATCAAACAACCCAGTCGCTCCCAAGTTGTTCTTTGGGAGAAGCCACCTTCCTCTTTTAGTAGTCTCGGGTCCTGTGTCGCTGAGTCAGCCCTCAACGTCATCGGCCTGGTTTCCACAGGAGCTGGTCTTCACCCTCGGACTTTGCGCACCACTCCAAATTACCTCCCCGCAAATACCCCTCCGTCGTGATGGTCCTTGATGATCCCTCGCCCCAGGCAGGCTCATATCCCGGCGACAATGCCTCGTCCAACCCCCCGCCAGCGACACCCCCATGATCGACAGATACATGTTGTTGAGGCTCAACCCGGAAACAGTTGTGAAGCCCGACGCCCTGACACTGTACACCGTATTCATGGGCCCATGGAACTGGAAGCAGGGAATGGCAAATAAATTGGCCTCGCGGATCGAGAGTTCGTACGCAATGGCGGCGCGCAACCTGACGCAAGAGGAGGTCGACGCGATCGTTACGCACTCGTCTCGGCACGTGTACCACCAAAGACTGGCCATTCCAGCGGCGTCAGTGGTTTTGACCGCCTACTGGGCCAACAACCTCCACAAAGCAGGGCACTGGTCGCCCGGCGACTCGCCACTGAAGCTCTTCGCTACGGCGCAAAACTGGGCTAGGAACGGCGGGGCTGGGTTCCGGGGCACAATTGCTTCGGCCCTGTTCAAGTCGATTTTCATCGCCTCCACCACTGTCTTTGGTGTGACCTTCTGGGCCACGTTCTCGCAGACAATGAACATCCTTTCCGATCCGCGCCTAAAGGATTTCAGGGAAGATTCGCGCGTGCAGAACCATGAGGAAGTGCGCAAGCGCAAGGAGCAGGCTGAATCTCAGCGCATGCGTGCTAAACGCGCTGGCGGAAAGACCCTAGACTCCCGGATTCTGCTGGCGCTGGAGGGTGTCGATTACTCTTTGGGTGACGCCAGTTTTTCCACGAGTCCCGAGTCTGACAGGGACCCCTACTATAGCCCCGCATCCCCAGAGCCCGTCTCAGACACCAACTCGGACTACACTACCTCGCGAAAGCCCACACAATCCACCTCTCCTGAAGTCCCCCGAAAACGACCTACATACGGCAGCCAGAAAACAACACGAGAGACAGGCAACGAGCCGAGCTCGAACACGGATTTCTTTGGCAACGATGACGACGCCAGCCCCACGGCCCCGGAGTACCGCCACACCAATATTGATGGCACTCCTGCTGGTAGCGCCTGGGAGCGAGTCCGCCGACAGGGCACCGCATCGACGTCCCAGCCTCGTCAGTCTTTCCCGCGATCGACAACATCCGAGTCCAGGGACTCTGCGTCACCAACAGACCAGGGTTCATACGAATATACCAGAAATCGTGAAAAGGAGCAGGCGCAAGCAGAATTTGATAAGATGATTGAGTCGGAGAGGAACGTCCCCAGTGACAGCCCGCCGCGTCGTCAAGGATGGTGGTCTTAGCTTCTACTCTTTTCTCTCTTGATATACCTCTTTGTACAACTACATATTCCAAACCATCTGAACATTGAAGCCTTCCCCTATTTACTTGTGTTTTTTTTTTTTTTTTTTTTTTTTTCACTTTTTGCATAGCATATTGATGACTCCAGACACCCTATGTTATTAGCCCTCGCAGGCATATATGTTTAAGACGTCAATCAAGAATCAAACAACAAAACCATAACCGGAGTCAAAGCTAAAGTCACGCCTTGAAAAGGGGAGATGATAGAAAAGAACACCGGTCTGGGAGGCTAGATACAAGTCGCTTCAAAGATGAATGAATGGGAGATAATCAAGAAAAGGAAGAAACATCAACGAGATCCAAAGAGAGATGGGGAAACAAGAGAGGGTATATTACCCTAAATAGGGCGAGGGCAAAACAGAAAAAAAGGATTGCATCATGCGAGTATATAACACAAACCATACAGACCAAAGTGAAAAAAAGAAGAACAAGAACAAGAAGAGGCTGAGAAGAGGAGTCAAACTCAGGGCAATGTTATATACCCTCAGAAACCATGGTTGTGAGCAGGCGCCATAGCATGCGGCGGCAGAGTCTCATACGGCAACTCAGACGGCTCCACACTGCGACTATCCCTGCGCATACGCGTCAGACTGCGCAGCTTGTTCGCGAAGCTCTCATTCGAGCTGCGGTTGCGGCGATGATCAAACGACATGCGACGGCCAAGCGACTGGCGAGACTCAGTGACATTCATAGTCGGGGCGGCAGTCATAGCACGAGGGAGCAGATGGCCCATATCCTCGTTGTCGATGGCAACATCGATCGTAGCAGAGGACTCGCGCGGAGACCCCGCCGTCGCCGAGACGAAGGGCATAGGAGGGGGCGGTGGCGGGGTGTTGAGATGCTGCAGTTCAGGGAGAATGGGCGGGGGTGGAGGTGGTGGTGGTGGTGGTGTGGTCTCGATGTGCGGTGCCGATGGGCGTCGCTGCATTGCGTTCTCGATTGTTTCTTCGATGCTCACTGTCACCTGTGGCGAGATGCCCGAGATATACCCGCCCGAGCTAGTGCGGCGGTGGCCCATGTTGCGGGTGCGGCTGCTGGACCGGCTGCGCGGGATGTGTGGGTTGAAGCGCGGGTGCATGGGGAGGTCTGTTGGTACTGGCGTTGCAGCGTGATTGGCGCCGCCTGGTCCCTCTGGCATGGGTACCGACATCGATCGTCCGATTCTCTCGGCGTCGCCTTCGTAGCGTACGTCGGATAGGAGCATGCTTCCGTCGGTTGGGATGCTGGGGACAGAAGGAGGCCGTTCCTCTGCGTGTCCGGTGCCATACTTGGGGTGGCGCATCGCCCTTGGGGTGGCTGGAAGTCCGAGAGGCACACCGGATCGCGAGGATCCAGAATCCGAGCTGCTCTGGTACTCGGGTGATGCTTTGCCCGGAGGGATTTGGTTTCTCGAGGGAACTCGTGGAAAGTAGGGATTGCCATGGAACGGGGGGGGGCTTTCAATTGGAGTGCGGGAGGTTTGCAGCTCGCCAGGGAAGGGGATATTCGGTGCAGATGGGTTTCTGGCGAGAGAAAGCCGTCGTGCCTCAAGCTCAGCTGCTGCAATCTCTCTTCGCTTTCTCTCTGCCAGGCTCACGAAGGGTGTCGTGGGAGATACAGCGTCACGGGCTTCATCGGCCGCGGGATTCGACTCTTCGCGGGAGTTGCCATAGGTGAAGACATTTTCCTGGCCGAAGACCTTGTTGCTCAGTTGTTCAAGCCCTGCTGGCTCGGCGGGTGCATCCATTTTAAAGCCATGGTGAAGCTCGGGCTGGCTGTGCGATGGCTTGTGTTTTGGCTCGGAAGACGGCTCTCGCTTTGCGCTTGTTCCTCGCTCCGCGCGACGTCGGCTAGCGCTTCGCTGGTGAGAGCGCAGGCGCCTCTCCCTGTTGCTAGTAACAAGTCTTAGAGGGTCATCTGCCTCCTCGCGCCGAAGGGGTTCTTCAGCAGGCAGAGTCATTGGAAGAGGCGACGACGGTGAGCGTATGTTAGACCCTTCCCGATCGACGCTCCGGCCCCGAGTTGATGGATCGCGCTTGTCGCCACCAACGCGGTTCGCTGTGTTTCGGCTAGATGAGCGTTGACGGCTCCGGGATCCTGGCTTCCTCATTTTGCTGCCACTTCTAGCGCGGGAGCGCGGCTTCGACGGCTTCGATTCCTCTGTTCGTTCAGCGCCTCCGGCATGATAGCGAGCCACCTCTTCAGGAGACATGGGTACTGGGGAAGATGGCGACCGCTTAGCTGGCTGAATGTATCGACGTTCATTTCTACCACGAGTTTCCTGAGAGGCCTCCCGAGAGTGATGGACCCGAGAGCTTTGGCTGACGGTATCGTCTACGTTGTGTCTGTCGCGGCCAGGAGTACGGCGACCACGGTGCTTCCTTGCGTGGAAGTTGGCTTCATCCAGGCTGCTGATGTATTGGTCGATGCTACGGCCACTGACGCTAGGGCTCTTGGTCGAGGCATAGCTGTTAAAAGTCGATGTAGTGCTCTTGGCACTGGGAAGAAGACGGTCTTGGTTTTCTGGGTTGGCCTCTTCAGCATGAACAAGCTCAATCTGGAGTCCGTCTGGTTTGCGATCCCGGGAGCCATTTCGATAGTCCAATTGCTCTAATGCCTCGAACACGCCTGGCGCTGGAGACGGGAGTCCTTTAATAGAGGCAAACCTGTCTGTTGCCTGGACTGCTGTCTGGGGACTGGGCTTGAAGGATTCTTGCGCGGGGTTGTATCTTGCAGCCGATAGGGTCAGTAGACCGCCGTCACCTTCTTGCTCATCCTGGCTTTGTTCCTGGCCGCTTGTCTCATCGTTCTCCGATGTTGAGCCATACTCGCCTGGTCGGTCATAGGAGTTTGAGCGTGAAAACGCCGGAGGGTGCACATCCACCGGTGTCTCTCCTATCGAGGGCAAACGACGTCGATTGAACGATGGTGTGTTTGTTCGAGATGTCATGGCTTGGTTCAGGCTCTGAATGTTGTTGAGCTTGTACGACCCCTGTCCACCGGGAGAGATGGCCGAGTCGACCACTGCAGACTCGGCAATAGGAGTGATGCCCGGAGCGTTGGTGGGCGTACGGTCGTCAGACTTCAATCCAGGGAGACGCATGTGTTGATTCGGTTGGGAATCGAAGGAAGTAATCAGCTTGAGCGCGGGTGTCTTGGCCGCAGGCCGCTGGTTAGATGCGGACTGAGGTCGCTGAGGCGGCGGCATTGAATTCGCATTGGCGGATTGTGGAGGTTCGGGTGAAGCCAAAGGTGACCTCCCATGAATCATTTCTGCAAAGGAAGCAGCTTGCTGAGCAGCGGGAGAGGCCCATGGTTCAGAGGGCTCCGCGCCGGTACACATGAAGCAGCGGATGGCGAGCTGCTGCTGGGAATGTGAGACAACATATTCGCCCCATCGGCGAACGAGATAGGACTGGCGCTGCCAATCCGATGGCAACAGGAGACAAGTCATCAGAATGGCTTCCAAGAAGTGATTGCGAGAAACATAGACTTCGATGGCATCATTGCTATCTCCGAGGCCCAGCAAGATTGAGGCTGCGGTGTGAACATCGCCAATCTCCAGCAATTTCTGCACAAAGGCCTGCCCAACCTTGTTGGCCTGTGCCTGGCCGCTCATCTGACTCAAGGCTAGGATCATCCAGTCGGAAGTGGTTACTTGTCCAGGGTTGATCATTGAAACCATTTGATCGGTGTCATTCTCTCCCAGCCATTGCGTTAGCAGAATGGCGCTCTGGCTAGCGACGGCGTGGCGGCTGACTATCATAAGTGTTAGCAGATTTACTTGAAATGAATAGGGAATGAAATCATACGCTCATCTCTGATCAGGTCCTGGATATCTCCTTCCCAACCAAACACCACACTCAGCATTTGCTGTCGCAGATCATCTGGGGTCAAACGGCTCTCGTCAAGAGGTGGCTGTTGTCTATAGGGCACGTCGTTCAGCCGAGCCCGAATAAAAGGAAATAAATCGACAATCCCCTTTTCAGCAGGGCTCATGTGAACCTCATTGCGCAACCGCGATCCGGCCCGGGAACTCTTAACAGACGACATTGAGACTGACGGGGCGTAAGTATACGAGGCCGAAGGCTGCGGCGTATCTCTGCCGGCAGATGTCAAAGAGAAAGTTGTAGAACTCTGACCGGATCGACTCGGTGGTGAAAAGGTTCCAGTTCTATATTTGCCAGATGATGCTTTGGAGCTGACGGATTCCGTTCGGCTTCGTGATGACGCGGGGCTGGTCAGATCAACCCGTTGCTGTTTTAGATTGTCGATTCCATTTGGATCGAAGGGTGTTCGTCTGCCAGCTCCCAGTTCCCGGATTTCGGGGGGATCTTGCAGTCGTCGCGGAGACATCCCCCGTGACCGACCCTCTTCGGAGGCTAGAGATCGCGCGCCAACCGGGAGGTGTTGCACATTGGCCACCATAGCCAGGTTGTCCAGATCATACTGCTGCACTGAGCCATGAGGGCCGATTGTGAAAAGCGTCGCGGTGGGGCCGTAGTTCGCCACTCCTCGCACATCGTCTATTGTCGGAATCGGTTCGTACGTGACATGTTTGGTTCGGACATCCCATGCCCATGTTTCCCTGAATTTCGATACAACTTGTTAGGTGAGTCCACCAATTTCCAGGAGAGTGTGCATCAGATACTAACCCTTCGAGGTATTGCACGACTTTCCCGTTTTTAGACCATGCCATCCACTTTGGATCAGCAGATGTCGAGTCTGATCGTTTCAAAACCCTAATCACTCGCGGAGACTCCTTTCCCGGTGGTTTTGCCACGCTCCAAACCCTCAAGTCACCGTTCGAGGATTGGGTCGCCAGCATATCAGATTTCTGCTTCGATGAAGATGCATGCCAGGCCAGCGAGAGGATGGGAGACGGCCCGCGAGAAGTAGTTAATGTATGAAGGATAGTGAATTGGGGTAGGAGAGTCGCGATCAAGATTGATCCATTTTGATATCTGGAAAGTGCCTGTTAGTATCCCTGCGACACTACCTGCTCAATTGCAGAGTTGAACATACCCAATGGCATAAGTGCGGCAATCCATCGCGGGCGCAAGGGCCGTGATAGGGTCAAAAATCGTGCGCGCAGAGATATGCTCGGAGGTCGAGGGCTCGAACAGAATCACTTCGCCCTTACCGTTGCCTGAACCGAGCTCTCCATTAGCCCTAATACAACACCGAATATCATGGGGGTAGATATATTTTCTCTCACCGAAAGCAACATGGCCATTGTACATCCACGAAGCAACTTTCAACTGTTCGAATGATGCAAATCTTGCAAGTTCCGTCCCCGTGAAAATGTCCCAGACGATGGCCGTTTGGCCTACATCGTAACTGACCACCAATCGCCCAGCACCACGCTCGCTGACATTGTCCACCGAAATAAATTCAATGTTCTCCTGGTGGTTCTGAAACCGCCGCTCAATTGCGAGGGTATCATGGTGGAGACACAGGATCGCCGAGCCCTGGGTATACAGAAACAACGACGCCGTCGAGGCGCATGGTTCGAAGCGCGATTCCGGGGCTTGCGATAGAGACTCCATTGCTTTGCCGGTTTTCGAGGGTCGCGATTCTGGCACCAAGCTCCTATTCCATGTTAATCCAACGGTGCTTCCGGTGGGTTTGCGCCGGTGTGCGGGGGTGATTGCAGCCATCTTCGAGCTTCGCTTCGCCCAAGCTAACAAAGTGCGTTTTCAAGGCCGAGACGATTTGCGACAAGCATTCCAATGGATGGAACGAAAATTGTAACAAAAAGAAAAGAGAAGAAAAGGAAAAAAACGGACCTGATCAGCTCTCACCAGGGATGCTATTATTTCACGACCCCAAGTACCGCTCAAGGCAAAGAATGGCAGATAGCTAGGGCGCCGGGCATCGGGGATGTCTAGGGGTTGCAGGGGAAAAGAATTAGCGCCTGATAGGGAGGTCGACGAGGTCTTGTAGCTGGCTATCGGTGATCAAGACCCTAATAAGGAAAAGCTGGGATGCGAGAGATATGCGAGAAGGCAAGAAAAATGGAAAGAGAAAAAAAAGGCGTCGGGGATGCAGGCCGAGCGACCAGGGTTCAGATCAAAGTGCCACAATTATTACCGGGACTGAAAATGATGACTCGCTTGCACGTTCATCACATCTCAGAGATATTAGCGTGGAGGGGCGTGGATTTGTGACACGGCGGGGATTTTGGCTACTATCTATACGCCATATAAAAAGTCCCACGCCACCCTCGTGGATCCCCGATGGGAGGGGGAGACCAGTCTCTCTGGTAGGACAGAACTTGGCGCAATAGAGCGGAACGGTAGTCGATCAGAATCTCCAGCCATCAAGCAATGGGAGGTTAGCGCTCAGCGGGGGAGTGCTGGGCGCTTCATTTCAAGGCTGACCATACAGGGTGTCTATGCTTGAGAGAGCAAAAAGACGCCCATGTCCCAGGATCGGAGACCACAGCAAGTCACCCCGTCATTAGCGGAGACGGTGAGATCGAGCCCTTTTTGGTGGCTGGGGGACGTGGCTCTGATCCTGCAGGTCTGCGCCAACGAGCACGCAGAAGCGAGGTCGCAGAAGAAGTTGTGGGCTTAGATCAATGCACCCGGCGCCCGAATCACAGGGAACCGTCATCGTCACGGGCGAGTGGGTCTTTGCACATCGAGAGGATCAAGTCTGGAGAGAAGAACTGCATGTCGATGCCAACCCTAGTGTTTCTGGGACACGTTGGAGACAAAGTCGAGCCGTTGGGTAGAGAAGAGACCCAAGGAAAAGCAAAATAAACAACGTGATTGACAGGTCAAAATGGCCATAATCCCGAGCAGACAAGAGTGAGACCGAGATGTGACGAGAGAGAGAGAGCTTGTCAATCTGCACGGCCGTCACCTCGCCCGCCCAATCACCCGTCACTCTGCTGATCCCTCGGCGCCTGCATTTCAGTCCTCAACCAATGTCAGCGCTTAGTTGGATCTCCAGAATTTCGACTCTTATTTCCCTCGATCCTATGGAATCGCCAGTAGACCCATTAGGGAGAGAGTTTCGAACTCAGGAGTTTCATGCTAGGGTTTCTGATGCTGATACCGATCGGCATTGCAGGGCCGGGGATATGTGATGTGACAGTGTTTGTGTGAAGCTCTCGATGCACGTCGAGAGAAAGGAGATCCTGATCCTGTATTCCTTCGGAAGCTTGGGCCCCTGTGATGGCAACAGGTACACTGGGGGGGGGTTTGCAATCAAGCTTGGATCCAGAGACACCGGGATCTCTGGAGACGTTGCACGAGACGCGCTCTCGGGAGTCAAGAGCGTAGAAGCCAAAGCCCAAGTGGATTTGCTTCGAGGAAGCTCTCCAGGAAGATCCATGAACGGATCGTGGCTGATAGCAAGCCAGCTATAAAGCAAGCAAAATGGCGCGAGGAAAATCCGAGTGTACCTCTCGCATCGATCGCGTATCATCTGATCTTGCGGGGCTTATCGGTCCACCCCCAGACTGAGTCATTTCCACTCCACTTCCCTCACCAACATGAACTCCCCGATCTCCCTCGAGCATCTCGTGACCTCACCTCGCAGCCATGTCTGAGACGATTGTCGTGATAGGGTAAAGAAAAGAACCCCCCCCCCCAACGAATATCCATGCATCGGAGAAAGCCCGGCCTAGGAACTATACAGCTGACACCCATTCCGTTGTTCCCAACATTGATAGAGCCGGCGTGATCGGGCTCTCAACCGCACTTGACATCCAACAACACCTGCGCCGCTCGCAATCCATCCTCCTCGTCGCCCGCGAGTTCCCCTCCGACACTTCCATCAACTACGCCTCCCCGTGGGCCGGTGCGCATTACCGACCGGTACCAGGGTCCTCGCCGCAGGCACTCCGCGAAGCGAACCAAGCGCAACGCACGTATGAATTCCTGAAGCGGGTGGCTGCCGACGAACCCGCCGCGGGAATCCGGTTCATCCAGGGCGTCGAGCATCTTGAGGCGCCGCCGCCGGAATACCTGGATCGCGAGAGCGTGCGCAATGTCTATCCGCATCTGGATGGGTTCCGAGCCCTGGCGCCGCACGAGGCCCCCGCCGGTGTGAAATGGGGTGTGCAGTATGGGACATATGTGGTTAACTCGCCGGTCTACTGCGCGTACATGCTGCGCAAGTTTATCTTGAATGGCGGGTCAACGAGACAGTATACCCTGGCCCATGTGAACGAGGCGTTTAGTTTGACTGCCAATGTGAAGACGGTGGTCAATTGCTCGGGGACGGGGTTCGATGATCCGCAATCTTTCATCATCAGAGGTATGACCTTTCCATGCTGGCCCAATCTATGTCTACCATCTTATTCACGTCTACTCCCATTTCTTTTTCTTCTTCTGCTGACTCCTCTCAGGCCAAACCTGTCTCATCCGCAACCCCTGCTCTGCAACCATTACCCGCCAAAACTCCGACGGGTCCTGGTCCTTCTGTATCCCGCGCCCACTCGATGGCGGCACAATCATCGGTGGCACGAAACAACCGCACGACTGGGACCCAAATCCATCCCTGGAAACCCGGTCCCGGCTCCTCGCCAACGCCGCAAAATGGTTCCCATTTACGCCAGAAAGCGGTGGCAAGTTCGATGTAATTCGCGACATTGTCGGGCGACGACCAGCGCGAGAAGGCGGGATGCGTATTGAGGCGGAGAAGGTTGCGGAGAATCGATATGTGGTTCATGGGTATGGGGCTGGTGGGCGTGGATTCGAGATCTCGCGGGGAGTTGCCGAAGATATTTCGGCGCTGATGTTGGAGAAGGGGTTGTTGCAGGCCAAAGCCTCGCTGTAAATTGCTGGGCTTGCATTTATGAGTGCGTCCGTGCTGTTGACTTCGTCTTGTGTATACATATTCGCATTGATCTGTCGCATGCATTGCATGCATCGAAGTGTTTTGCGCACTTTCTGCGCTACTTCGACATTACGAGCGCCTGGGCTACCCACAAACTAAAATGCCCAAGTTGGTAAATAGAGTATATAATTAAAAAAAAACCGCAGTCCATTGGAATGAACGAACTTTTTTGCTAGACAAAAAAACAAGCTGCCATAAAAAAGATATCAGTCGTTGATTCTTCCGTCACATGAAACACAGGGCGGTCCCTGTCCCTCGTTGCCAGTCAGCATTATCCTTCCTCTCTATACATTGATCAGAGTGCCTGCTACTACAGGCGTATAGATTGCACAAGGACAGGGCGACCGACTGAGCCTTCAGTGACATGACGAAGTCGACAAGGCGAGCATTGGTAGGTCAAGCGACTCCAAACACCAAGCACTTGTAGCGATCACTCGTCGTCATAACCCGACCCCACAGGACCGAGGAGCCAGACTGAAAATGCCGGTCCCAGGTAGCCTGCGGGAAACGAATCCTGACAGGCCCACGAATATGCCTTCGCGAGGGGGTGTAGGGGCTCAGCCGGCCGCCTCTGCAATCGTCGCGTCATTTGACGGTGGAATTTCCACCCCATGGAGCTTGGCCAGACGCTCTTCTTCCTTTTGCTCACGAATCCGCTCGGTTTCCAAACGCATTTCCTCCAGGTTGAATGCACTTGGATCGTCGTCGTCTTCATCGCTACTTTCCTCGCCCCAGTCACCATTTTCGAACATCGACCGACCAGTAGCATCCTTGGCTTTCCGGGCTTGGTCCTCGGCAGCCTTCTTATCCAAGCGTTCCTTCTTCCACTTGGCAAAGGTCTCTGGTGTAACCGGGGTCAAGGTACCCGTCAATCCGTGTCGCTCCGATTCCAGCCAGTCTTCCAAGGTCAAAGTGTTCAACGGCGACTTGTCCATCAAAGCCTTCTCGGCGGCTCTCTGCTCCTTCGTCTTGAGGACGAATCTGTTCAAAAATTATCAGCACATGAACATCGAGTGTATATCATCCTGGCCAGAAAAAAGAAACATACCCGGGTGGCAAGCTATGCTTGTACATGCACTTGTCTCCTCCATTGGGGCAGCTCCAGAACCAGCCATACTTCTGGTTCTCCACAGCCTCTATGAAGTACTTGCACACCTTGTCGGTGGTCGTCCGCGGGTTGCCATGTTTACTCACGACAACCTTGCGCAGTGTCTCCTCGTCCCATTTATCCATGGTGTCAGCCTTCTTGGCCTCCTCCTCGGCCTCCTTAGTATCACGCGAGTCGGTGTAAAGATCCTTCTTGGCCGCCTTGCGCTCAATGTTCAGGTCATGGCTGAACTTGCACTTGCGGCCTTTGTCGCAGTTGCCTTGTTTGTAGTAGACACATAGGACCGTCTTCGGATCGACACCGAAGGGAACCTTCTGTACTTGCACAGGCTTGAAAAGATCGGCAGACTCCTTCTTCGCTTGTTCGGAGGCCTTCTTCTCAGCCTCACGTCGGGCCTTCTCGGCTTCTTTCCGCTTTGCTTCCGGAGTCTTGTTGTGCGAGGCTTGCGCTTGTAGCTGGGTGATTTGTTTCTTGGCGGCACCACCTTTTTTCTGTACGTTGGTGTTAGTGTATGCTGCTTCGAATGCGGGGTTTTCGGTCTCTGGTGGCGGGGCGCTTCAGGGTTTTCTTTGACGTACGTTTTTCATGCCAAAGGTCTGTCACCGATCTAGTCAGCCATTGTCGTCGCTTGAAAACTGTTGTTTCTGAAACACAAACCTTATCATCGACCGTGGCCTTCTTCTTCTTGGGCTGATCAACCTTCTTGGGCGGCATGGTGACGGTTTGGACTGGTCACGTCGGTGCTTGGGTGAGAAAAAAAAAATCGAATGAAATGCGCCCACTCGAGGTGCGCCGAGGTCGCTCTCAAGCCAGAAATAAGAAATCGCTGATGCAACAGTGAATGACAGGAACCCCCAGAAAGACGGTGTGGGATTCGCACAGCGAAAAGGGTTGAAGTTGCAGGAAGGCAGCCTCCACAAATTCGAGGGGTGGTGTGGCGGCACCGAATGGGCTGACCAATGACCGCCTTGCAAGTATATCTCGCCGACGGTGTGTGTAGGCCTCAGTAGAACAGAGAAATCAAAGAGCAAAGAGTCGCTGGATAGTCCACAAGTGTCTCAGTGTCGACTACGCTGCCAGAATCGTGGTTTTACTCCGCACTTTGTGAAGTGCCCTTTTTTTTGTGTAGATTTGCGCAGTTGCGTCATCGCACTTTAAACGAGCCCCGACCACCACACGCTTCCACCAACACACTCAAGAGGCTTGAAATGCTCTAATGAGATGGTTTGGGAACTACAATAATACGTAATAATTGTTTTAGGCCGCGGCATTCAATCATCTGGGGTGTCTTGAAATATAAGCTAATAAAGATGTGAAAAGGCTCGCCAATCAAGTTGCCAGTCTCGCCCTGTTCTGGGGACAATCAATGTGGAATCCCCCAAGGAAATCAAATCACTAGCTCTGACGCCACTGTTATTTTTTTTTCATTTCTGGTCGTCGTGAGATTCCGCAGAAAGCAACTATTCAACGTGTAATTAGGAGACTTCCTGAATCTTGGAAGACTTTTGTTCGTCGGCCTCCTCGAGCTCGGGGAGATCGTCCTGCAAAACCATGTCAGTTGGCCCGATGATCATAGCAGAAAAGATAAACAACTTACATCTTCCTCACCCTCGCCCTCAGCACCCTCAGCACCTCCAGCACCTCCAGCCAGAGCGCTGAGGTCGGGCATGCCACCGCCGCCGCCCATGCCGGGCATACCGCCGAGCTTGGAGAAATCGATGTTACCCAGGCCACCACCTTCTTCGCCGCCGAGTCCACCGAAGTTGTTCGCGTAGTCATCATCGCCTGCCTCATCCTGCTCGTCCTCGTCCACCCACTACACATCATCAGCGATCGAGTTTATTCTCAATAGCAATACGATTCCAATTCATACCTTGTCGAAATCGGTCTTCAGGAAGTGCATCTTCTTGTCAGTCTTCAGAAGACGAGGCCAGTACTCCTCCTTGAGCTCCTTCTTCCGCAGAACCAGCTCGACCTCACGGTCAGAGTGGTTGACTTTGCTGTTTTCGGGGTCGATCTCGCCGTAGAGATCCAACGAGACGCTGTAGCTTACGCCCTTCTTGGAAGGACCGCTGAAAGACACATTGTTCGAGGTGAGGTTCAGGTTGGCTTCCGACTTGGCAACATCGGGGGTCTTGAGGTTGACATAGAGGTAGTTGCGCTCAGGCTCCGTGCTCGAGGAGCGCTGGGCCCACGTCACTGAGAAAAAGAAAGCAATTCCAAGTCAACATTTACTCTTGACATAATTGCATGGTAGAAATCAAAATATCCAGATCTGAGAGAAGGTCAAAGGCATCGAAATAACGTCATCGCAGTTTGCATGCAAAATGTGCAGACTCGAGTTGGACCCGAAGCGGGGAAAGCCAAGTCACAACTTACCTTCAGGAGTCAGAGTGTCAGGCATGTTGTTCAGAAAGAACAGAGAGGAAGATTGATTAGGAGGTAACGAAGAGATGGGAAATGAGGTGTTTAAAGAGAGATGGGGGGAACAACGCTGTGTGGTGGGGAGAGAGAAGTACCTTCACACCAAGCGCATGTACCGCATTCACCCACTTCGCAAGTAGAAGGTACTGGAAGCCTGACGTTTGTCTTGTTTGTCTATCTGGTGCCTGAGGCCAGAATTTCTCTCAACGTCACTGGGTTATGGAAATGCTGACTCAGTGCCCCCTCTGCTGCCCAGGTGAGTTGCCTCTTTGTCGCAACGACAATCGCGACAGCGATAAGACACCCAGGGTTTGGCATTCTCATCTGCTGTGGAGGGGTCTGACCTCCTCATCTTTCAGTCTGAACATACTATCTTAATCACAGCCCCAACCTTGGAATCCCTCGCAGCCTCTTACCCCACCTATTGCGAGGACAATGCGCCCGGGCATAACACCTCTCGCTCATCACAACCTTTCCTGTTGAGATTACGCTTGTGTACTGGAGAGTACCTCGGGGATTATTCCGAGTGGATCTGAAGACGTGCATTCGTTACGTTCCACAAGGCTTACCCGAACGGTATTGCAATCATGGAGTCTCTCAAGGCGGTATTCTTTGGGCCTGATCCCCAAGCCCAGGTTCGCAGCTCACCTGCCTAGAAAACATGAAGGAAAGCGGGTATTTGGCTAATTATTCTTTGCTTTTAGATGAGGAAATGCAATGCCTTGATTCGTTCAAACACTCGCCAACTGGATCGTGACCTGGCCCAGCTGAAATCACTCGACAGCAAGACCCGTCAATTCATCGTCAACGCATCGAAGCGTGCCCAGCGAAATCCTTCTCAGGCTAAGCAGGCCACAAGTGAAACCAAGACGTTTGCGAGAGAGCTCGTGCGGATCCGAAAACAAACCGCTCGACTCAACACCAGCCGCGCCCAGCTGCAGAGTGTAGGGATGCAGGTCAACGAAGCCTTCTCGGTGCGCAAAATCCAGGGCAGTCTGCATAAATCGACTGGGATCATGAAGGATGTGAACACGCTAGTCCGATTACCGGAGCTGTCGTCTACGATGCACCAGCTTTCCACGGAATTGGTCAAAGCTGGGATCATTGAGGAAATGGTCGGGGATGCCATTCCGGACAATGAACTACTCGAGGACGAAGAAGAACTGGCAGACACAGAGGTCGACAAGATTCTCGCGGAAGTCCTACATGGAAAGCTTGCTCAAGCCAAGCCAGTCTCACCCGAAAGACCCTTAACGCCCGAGGTAGAGGCAGAGCCGGTCCCAGAGGATTTCGAGGACCAAGAGGCAACTCTGGAACAGATGCGAGGGCGGTTGGAAGCTCTCAAGAGCTAATATATGTTCTTTTGCATTTTTTTTGCAGCGTTTGTTACTCTGGTTCTTGCGCTTATTGGCAGGATGGGTCTTTTTGTCTCATTTGAAGTATTAAACTAGGAGTTTGGGGACCATGAAAAATAGTTGTCTATTTTTGTGAGGCTGGCCCTCTTTATACCAGGCTTTTCTTCTTTCATCAACATAGTCCGTCCTCCAAGGCCATACAAGGTCACATGATTAGGCAGCAACGATGCAAACAGGCAAAACATCATTTGGCCCCCAAAATGGTTTAGCGCCCGGCTGACATGGCTGCCTCTCCCTTTCCCCCCTCCAATCTTTCGCATCTTCTCTCGCGCCTTTCCATAGCGTGAACCCATCTTCCTTTATCCTCTTATTCTCCGTTTTACCTCGACGGAAATCCATTTTCAGTTGTCCTCGGTTATCTTCCTTCGACTTCCAACCTCTATCTCCCAACCTCCAGCGCTCTTTGAACCGGTGGCGCAAGAGTCATCACTAACGCGTTCTTGCCGCGACTTCTTCCTGCCCGTGGACTCGCAAATTGCCAGCTTGAACTACCTGTCACTATGTCTGCCAACCTGGACAAGTCTCTGGACGACCTCGTCGGCAACCGTCGCCAGAGCGCCCGCCGCCGCGGAAACCGCCGCGTCGCCAACAAGCCCTCCACTGTTGGAGGCGTGAAGAAGTCGGCCAAGCCCACCAAGGCTGCCGCAAATGCAGTCCACCCTGCCTCTGCTGCAGCGACTGCTTCTAGCAAGATCATCGTGAGCGGGCTGGTACGTCACTATTCCGGCTCTTTCGATTTGCTCATATGCTAACCTTTTTAGCCTGCCGATGTGTCTGAGGCCAATATCAAGGTATGTTGATCAAGAGGCCTACTCCTTGGCTTTTATCGCCACCTGTGTTTTCGAGACTCGGAGTGCAAACGATTTCGACTCGCACCCGAACTCCTATCCCTCCCTTCCTGCACCGCAGCGATGTTCGCTCGGTGCCTGGCACCGACAGCATGCTCCTTCCATAAGCTTCTGCATCTTCGGTTGCTGGCAAATTGCGAAGCAGGGAGTCGAGCTCTGTCGTCGTACTGTGAAAGGGCATACACTGCTCGCGTTGATATCTATCCCATGAAAGTCCGCCTGCATTGCTACTCTGAGTACTGTGCCATGGATGTTTGTCGCAAAGACATCATTCTATCCGCTTTTCGATCTCGCCCACATCGTTCCTCGTACCTTGAGCTTTGGAGGGGCATCAGCGAGCGCACCAGTGATCTAGCGGGGAATCGGTTGAGCGACAAGAATACCAACACTGAGAGACACCTTTTGTCTTCTAAGCTTCTCCACAGAGAGTTCCACTGCTTCATGGGGTGAATCCCGTCACAGTGGCCTCGGATGGGCGTATATTACGTCTGTTGTGGTTGAGCTTAGAGCTGAGTACGATCACGAGGGCGCAAGATGGGACTCCCTGCTATCTGCGACGCAAGGGTTTGAGGGTGCGTCGATGATAGCCTTGTGGTAGCATACATCCATCTATCGTTCGAAGACTTATCGTGCTCTATTGGTGGATTTGTGGGTGAGAATGGAGACATGACCGAATGGAAGTGGGCTTTGCATACAGTGCTGTGGGGAAGGTTGTGTCATGTTGCAGGCAGGCCCATGATTCCCCGTCTTGTTGTATGGCTTGAGGCTGGCTGGGTTTTGCGGTCAAACGTTGGATCTAAACAGGTCGATCGATCGCCGTTGTGTGCTCGCTGATGCTCTTTCACCGTCGGATTGCGTGCCGTATTCCTTTACATTTGCAGCCGTTGTTCCTCGACACTCGACCTTGATTGACGAGCATGTCTTGACGCAAATACTGATCGTCTTTCCGCTATAGGAATACTTCACCAAGTCTGCAGGCCCTGTCAAGAAGGTGATGCTCACCTACAACCAGAATGGCACCAGCCGTGGCATTGCATCAATCATCTTCGGCAAGGCCGACACTGCTGCCAAGGCCGCCAAGGACCTGAATGGCCTCCTTGTCGATGGCCGTCCCATGAAGGTAAGACATTGGTGTGATTTGCTCGCTTCATTGAACAAGTGGCTTACAGATGGAACAGATTGAGGTTGTTTACGATGCTTCTCACGCTCCCGTGGTTGCAGCTCCCAAGCCTCTCACCGAGCGTATTGCGTAAGTTGGCCGGCTATCCAACTATCCTCAATTGCACACTAATTTCTTGACAGTCAGAAGTCTCAGCCCAAGCCCGCCACTGCCGCCAAGCCTGCCAACGCCAACCGTGGTCGTGGTCGCCCCGCCGCCCGTGGCCGTCGTGGCCGCAACCCTGGCCGTGGCAAGCCCAAGACCGTTGAGGAGCTCGACGCCGAGATGGTTGACTACTTCTCCAACGAGAATGCACCCGCCGACGGCAACGCCCCCAACGGAACCGCACAGCAGGCCAATGGCGGAGAGGACCTCGGCATGGCCGAGATTTCGGTAAGTTTTGTTGATGCATTGTCAACTTCAATCCCAGTACTGACACTCGACTAGTAAACGCTTCATACCACCAATGTCTCCTAGTTGTTTCTGGGTGAGATGCGTCGCGAATTTCTCTGGAGGGTCTTGATAGTTGATGCGCGGGTCATGTCTTCTGTTGTTCTCTCCGTTTTTTCTTTTGCTTCTTGACGTTTGTGTTTTTTACCTTTTTTCGGCACCAGGCTTAATTCACTGAATATCGACTGCGGGAGGGGATAGGGAAAGCATGTATCTACAAGCCCACTGGCTATGCAAATGGTGATTGAATCAATCATGTCTACACCAAGTCACTTGAGCCAACTGGCTATTTCAATAGTACCAGTTCATATATTACTTACGTCCCTACTGTAGACTGGACAGAAATCACCCAGACTCCCGTTGTGAAAAGCCCTACCTCGCTAATGTTCTTCCAACGCCATGTCCAGCCCATATGTGCAAAACAACAACAAGAAAGGAAACCCAACACGCCAGTTAATGGAATGTACAGACGAGAACGACAAGAAAACGACAGAAGTGTCTTAAAAAACACCCGCCCTGCTCATGACATCATGGAACTGCTCGAGAGTCACCCCAGCACTCAGCCCAGCACCCCCATTCGCCTCGAGAACCATATCGCGCAGCAGGCCATCGTCGACGCTATCTTCTTTGAGCTCGCGCGCAATGCGGCGCAGGTGCGACAGCGTAATGGGGCCATCCGACCCGCGCGTAAAGAGCTGGTACGCGTCGTCGACCTCGGCTGTTAGCGCGTCATCGCCGCGCGAGTGCAGTTTTGCGGCGGCGACTGAGACGAAGGGGGCGTAGGGGACGAAACCCGTGAGGGTGGGGTCGAGCGCGGAGAGGATGTCGGCGAGTTCGGTTGAGTCGGAGGGGGAGAGGCCGAGGGCTCTGTTGTGAATGTTGTTGTTAGTAGCTTTTTCTTCATATGCGGTGTTTGAATAGTGTTTATAGCGGGGAGAGAGAGAAAGGCAAATAGAAAGAGAATGGGGCAGATACACAAGTGCCTTGCGCACATCCTCCCGCGGAATGACGCCCTCCTTCTCCGCTGGAAAGTCCTCATGCTTATCCGAGAAAAGGTGGAACACCTCCTTGATCTCGTTCTCTTCTTCGGCCGTGATGTCGTTCTCTTTGGCGAGCTTGGAGGGCCGCGCGCGCTTGGGCGTTGCAGCGGAGGAGCTGGCGGGAGCTCCGCGCCTCTTGGGAGGCTGTGGTCCAAGAGGTATGGGTTAGCTTCCAAGGAGGGCTCTTTGTAGGGTTTTGGCGGTTTCACAATCTACTTTAGCTTACCATAGCACTGAATGGAGGGCGGAAGACGGATTGAAGGTCGGGAGGGTGCGAAAGGCAGAGGTCTGGATTCGCGACGGGGTGGGGTGAGGGTGTGGGCTCTGATTGGCAGAGCTAGAAGTATGGACGACCAGGGGATGCTCTATATGGAGACAGGGCTATGATGCTGGGCCAAGTCGAAGTCTGTATTCTGGTAGCAGATTGGAAGAAGATATGATGTCTTTGTTGAAGACTCGTTTTTACTGTGACACCAGTTCGCTGTTTTCTCACGCAGTACCAACTGGGTGGGTAGTAGAAATGCAACCAGTATCACTACCTTGTCCCTGGTATTTTTCATTTGTAATCGAAGCGGTTCCCCTGTATATTCTAGGCCTTCCCAGTAGGATATAGACACCATCATCATCATGCCTTCCATCCCCAATGTTAGAGTGGAAGATGGTCGAAGGCATCAGAACCCGTGATTCTGCTGACGTGATCAGATTGCTGCCTCCAGGCTGTTGGCGATCTCCCATATCTGGTGCTGGCATCACCTTCGATCCACCATATTCGGATATTGTGTACAGCAAGATGGATGTCGATTTGTATGTCTACGACCTGTCAAAGGTAGGTTTTTCTGTTTGACACCGAGAAATTCTCAGCTAATCTACTCCACAGGGTCTTGCGCGCATGGTATGTGTCTCGCGATGTACATCGCATGGTGTTCCAATAAACCAGTCCTTATCTGACTGGGTCAATCAATTAGTACTCTCTCCCCTTGACAGGGACACAAATGGATGCCATCTATCATACATCTATCGTGCTCGACGGCGTCGAGTATTACTTTGGCCAGGGCATTCAGACCGCCGCTCCGGGGAGTACTCACCATGGCCAGCCGATGGAGGTTGTGCATCTGGGAAGTACAGAGCTTCCCGCTGATGTGATTGAAGAATATCTCAGCTCGTTGGCTGGCATCTACACCCCCGAGGTGAGTCTTCAATATAGCCCCACGGCAAGGAAAGGGTAAATCATTTGCGGGCCCATGTCTGACATATCGCAGTCTTACGATCTCTTTCTACATAACTGCAATAACTTCACTCAGGATCTTTCCATGTTTCTCGTGGGCAAAGGCATCCCGGATAACATCCGTAATCTGCCTCGCACGTTTCTCGAGACCCCGTTTGGGAAGATGATGAAACCACAGATTGAGAATGCCCTGCGCGGTGTCACTCAAGGCACTGGCCCCGGGACTGTCCCTGGTCCAAGTGCTCAGCCACAGGTCCCTAAGACTGTTGCAGCGCCCTGTCCGGCGGGTAAAGTCCGGATAGTCAGCAGCCTGAACCTACTAGAAAGCGAGCTGGCCGGCGCATCTCAGACCTGCGCAGTGATCTTTTTCACGTCCTCAACCTGTCCGCCTTGCAAGGTCGTCTACCCAATATATGATGAGCTAGCAGAGGAGGCCGGGGATCGAGGTACGCTCATCAAGGTCGACATCGGGTCCGCGTACGACGTGAGCATGAAGTACGGGGTGCGAGCGACTCCGACATTTATGACTTTTCTCAAAGGCGAGAAACTCGACGAGTGGAGCGGTGCCAATCCAGCTCAGCTCCAGGGTAACGTCCGTATGTTGCTGGAGATGGCTCACCCGCCGCATCCACATCGCCAGCTCCGGCTTCCGAGCCTGCAGCGGCCAATCACGAACTTCGTCGCCTACAAGAAAGTGCCTCCACTCGACAAGCTCATCCAGAAATTGCCGGTGGCATTCAAAGACGGCCCGGGCGTAGCGGCCGCCATTGAGTTCGTCAAAATCCGCCACTCCGGCAGCAATCCTGCCGCCGATGCACGGGTCCCCGAGCTGCCGGCCTTCGCAACGACCCTTCAATCAACCTACCCAACGCTTCCACGCGACAGTCAGTTTGCGGTGGTCGACCTCGTCCGCCTCCTCTTCCTAGACCCGCGGATCAGCGGCTACTTTGCCGAAGAAGCGCAGCACAGAACCCTCCTCACGCTCCTCACTCCACTCTCTACCGACGAGCTGTCCACCAGCCCTTACAATCTCCGTATCGTCGCCCTGCAACTCACCTGCAACCTCTTCAGCAGCCCTCTCTACACCGAACAACTCGCCGTATCACCGTCTTCATCGTCACCTCTTCTCCGCGAAACCTGTCTCCGCCTCGCCACGAACTCGCTACTAGACGCGCACGCCAACCTGCGCGTCGTCGCCGCCTCATTTGCCTACAACCTCGCGGCCTTTAACCACAACTCTCGGTTCAGCAACGGGACTGACCGTATCCCGGAAGAAGACCTGGTCGAGCTGACGGCATCATTGCTCGAGGCTGTGGCTCGCGAGGACCAGAGTCCTGAAGCATTACATGGGCTGTTGTTTGCGCTGGGGTTGCTTGTATACGAGGCACCTCTAGATGGCACGCTGGTGGATCTGTGTCGGGCGATGAGCGTTGCAGAGACGCTTGGGGCGAAGGCTAAGGTCCCCGCACTGCAAAAGGAGCCGTTACTCAAGGAGATTGGGAACGAGTTGTTTGGGAAGGGGTTGTAGTGTTTCCTCCCTAACCTGGTGAATTTAGGGATCCATATCATCGGGAGTATCAATTGGCATACATCATTATGATAATGTACCGGTAGAAGCAACACGGGTTTGCAATGCGCATTAAACTCACCGAGTTTACTATACCTGACTTGACCTAATATCCGTTTACGCAGCTTCTATAAATAGTTTACCAAAGCATCATAGTATTTCCATCAGGAAGTCCTCACTCTGCTTCTAGCTGAAACCCTAGATGGAATATAACCAACCCAATAGGGTTTCCAGCTTCACAATTGCATTATCATGCCTCAGCCTGGTCGGTGCAGCCTTACTTGGACGTGTTGGCATGGGTCAGGCCGCAAGCCCCAACAGTGAGACGGACCAGACAGGGTTTGGATTTTTTTCTTTTCATTTTTTACTATTACCCTCGTGCAGAAATAACAATTAATAAGAATACAAATATTAATCTATTTTTAACTTCCTTGCCAAGTCATCGTATCGACGCATCTACAAACCCTACAATACAACATTGGAGGAACTAAAACAAACGGCAGACAGTCAGAAACCAGGCCTAATCCAAAACCAAAACCAAAGCCGCTCAACGGGGAATATTCATCGGTGTTACCCCGAAGATATCTCCGGTATTCTGGCAGGCCAGGCAAGGTCGAGTGGCGTTAACGGGTCAACGGCCGCTGATAACAGCCGTTCACCGGGTAAACAAGGGATTGGCGCAAGGCGCGGCATCGGGCAGAAATTTGGGAACGAGGACACATTCTCACGAATTATGAGTCAAAGCCTCCGTAATACTGAAACAAATGGCTCTTGCTGAAACCAGTTCCTTGGTCTGCACAAGGAAATCATGAACTAGAGCGGGCTGATCATGGTGAAGCCGACTTCATGCGCTATAAATCCTGGGCGATGGGATGGATTTATGTCTCGGAGTCAAACAGTATTTGACAGCTATAAAGCTGTATTCTATAAACCCGTTTCTGAATAATGTGGGAGTGGGTTCTATCTCTGCTTTATGGTTACACCAAGCCCCAAAATAAAACTGTAAGAATTTAAGCTTATTTTGTGAGCTGCGTATTTGAGAAAGTCTTATATTAGCATACTGTAGGAAGTATGGAAACAAATTTTTCTCGTTAGACAGGAAATATCTAGCTCTATATACACAGTCTATGCACAAGTCTTTACAGTCTTTCGCTCATAATCCCTCAAACACCCCACCCTAAGTGTGGTAAACATACCAACTTGAGCGTCCAGGTGCTTCCAGCATTACCCGGGCACGACATCAAGCCCTTGCCCCCGACCCTCTCACCACCCGAGAAGTTATCAAGAGCATATTGGACCAGTAGGTGGGAAGATTGACACTCCCACCATCGATATTCTCCGTGTCCGAGTCGGTTTTGGCGACGGCGATAGCACAGGTCCCGTACTTCTCGATCGTGTGGATCGATGAGTCGAGTCTGTAGGTTTTGTCTGCGGTGATTTCGTCTATAAGATCCTTGCAATCTTCCGTATCGAGAGATCCATCTGAGAGTTCTTTCACGGTGTCGTAGGTCGCGCCACAGTCGTTAGTTCCTTCTCGCTTTTCCAAGTGAGAGACGGCCTTGGGGGGTTTGGAACTCCGGGGTCGGTGCGGCAAGTGCCAGCGGAAGGAGGGTAGCAAGGAATGCAGCACCGTAGAGCTTCATTGTTGTGGTTGGAGTGAGAGAGGGGAGGGAGTCATCCGTAATTGAGGTAGATGTAGAAGAATGAGGAGAATTGTTTGCAAGTTGACTATTCTATTCCTCAGATGTTAAGAATTTATATGGTTTACATCTTCTACTGGGGCCAGCTTCCCGTAACTTGTAGAAGGGTAAAAAAGCCTTTAAAGTACGGCCATACAAAGAACGACAGAATTGCAACCAAGTAGCGAAAAAGCAATATAGTTGAGAGCGGCTATCAGTAACGGTGCGGAATTCGCTGAGCATGCCCTTGAGCACCGTTTAGTTTTATCAACCTCCATCTTTAACTTTATAATAACACCGCCCCTGTGTTCAGTACAGTCGTTTCATCTAGCCCATTTATTTGTTCTCGAGGAATGTGCTCGCGTCGCGATTAGAGATAGCAGTCTTGCGTTTGTAATGCTCGTACTTTATGTTTTGTGGCCCTTTCAATGAAGTTAAAGGCTAGATGTTTGTGGTTGGAATAACTGTCTCTCACGGTACCGGATACTCCGTAGTACACATAGTGAGGATGATAGTCGGCGATCTAGATGCTCCCACTGCATAAGTAGCTCTTAAAGCTGTTTAGCGGCGCGGCCTAGGTTCATTGGTCATTAATTATAAGATGAGTGTAGTCCGAGATGCCTCGTTTGTAGTCTAGCTCTCGCAGAGGTATTTCTTAGATCTAATATCTCTCATTGTAGAGATCTTGGACAACGAATGGAGCATGTATACAAGTAGTACGAAAATGTGGCTCGTCTTATATGGCTTGGCTTTCAAAAATCGAAACTTAGAACAAGGGAGGAGGTACCATAAGCTATAATCTAAAAGGTAGTGCTCTCTCCGGATACTATATAAGCCTTGCCTTCCGCAATGGGCTCTTCTAATATCGGGGATTCTACTCGATACGTATAAATTAGGCCCATTAAGGGTCATTGAAAGGGTGCCACACAATCAAGGCTGAGAACTGATCCAATTTAGTGTCTTATTACCTTGAAATTTTTCGGTTAAAACCCCTCGGTTAGATGGTTATGCTGTGTGTGTATACTTTTGATTTAGATTGAGGTTAACTTTATAAATTCGAGCCAAGGCAATTTCATTTCAAGATATTAGACTACTTACTACCTCCTGCTCACTAATAGCAAATAAGAAAAAAGAGATCATATTTTAAACCCAGATAAAGAAAAAATAGCATTCCATCCCTTAAGTGAAGGTTCTTGCGGGGTGTAGCGAAGCACTCCAAGGACATGGAACTAAACTAATTAAATCGAAGTTTTAAAAAATCTAAGGATTCGAGAAAATGATTTCGCATAGCAGACTACTGAGACCTCACACACAAAGAGAAGGCAGTCTAGATGCATTACAAAAATTGAAAGTATAAACCGGTACCACCTTGGAAATATATGCTTACGGAGTGAGATCTTGGATGGCGAAAGATTACCAACGGACGTCTGATACGAACATTTAGAAACGCAATAATCAAGGCCGGAGTTGCATTTAGTTTTTTTTTACTGCCCAAATATGGCTTGGTGATATCTATATCAAGGATATTAGAAAATATGCAAGTTGAAGCGTTTGAATGTTGCATTCCAACGATGAGCTTCTAAAAACCAGCGAGGGCAAGAAAACACAAGACACAAGAAGCGCCAATCGGGTTGAAAGAAACAAGCAAAAGATAACAAAAAGTAGCTAAGATACAAGACGGGGTATTTTGACGGAAAAGGGGGGTATCGGGGGTATCTAGAATGAGGCGCTAGGAACACACAAAGAAAAAAACACCGGGACCGTTATCGGGATGCGTCACGAAAAGGAAAAAAAGAAAATGGCAAGGGAGAAGAGAAAGGAGGCGCTGGAAACTCCGAAATAGGTGATATCGGGGGGATACACATGAAGGGATTCGCTGGATGCCTACCAACACCGGCGCATAGAACGCAATCAACAGATGCAAAAAAAAAAAAAAAAAAATTCGGTATGAGTCAGAGCCGAGAAACCAAGGCAAAGCAACCAGCGGTGAAAAAGGGTCAAAAGATAAAGAGACTCTAGAAAAGGTGCGGTGACGGAGGGATTTCTGCAAGCGCCGCCAGCGAAATATTAGTAAGCGCGGGGATATGGAGATGACCCGTGCGCTTCACTTCTATGTACAACTCGCAAGGGTCGGAAGGCTGAGGATCGACGCGTTAGGCGTTCTGGCGGTGACTCAGATGCTGCGTTTGCAGTGCGTGTTGCCTTGGGTACCCCCACGAGGACCGAGTCACGCCATTTGATTTGTGATCACTGGGACGTGCTGGCGGGTATCACGGGTGATGGCGAAAAAAAAAAGAAAGAAACCAACACATGCACCGGTGTGTCGGAGGGATCGCAAGTGGTGGGGGGTGTGGTATCAGAGAGATAGGTGGAATTATCAGAGCTGGTAGTGGTGAAGTGGGAAGGTGGGTTGAACAGCGCCTGCGCTGCACCCTATGGGGGAGGGATGAATCGGCAGGCGAACTGTTCAGGTGCGCGAAGTCACCTTGGCCGAGGACGAGTGGGCTCGTCGTTTGCCGTTGGGGACCACTCGGCGTGTCTTCTGCTTGGTGTTCTCGCGCTCGTCGACGATCGCCAGCTTCGCCGTGCGCAGGGCCTGGGTGGCGCGGGCATGAGCCTCGACTTTGGCCATGAAGCGGGCGCGGTCTTCTTCCTCGGCGATGACACGCATGCGCTGCAGTTGCTGTTCCATGCTCATGGAGGACATGGGCTCGGGAGCCTGGAGGGCAGGCTCGTCGACAGCGACGTTGGCGTTCTCCGGCATCCAGAGCAAGTCTTCGTCTGAGAGGCGAGCACTCGCGTATGAATCAGTCGAGTCGGCATTAGAGAGCGAGGGGCGGTTGGGCCAGGATGGGAAGGCACAGGCAGCGCCCATCCCATACTCGCTGGAGAAAGAGGACTTGCGTGGGTTGATGTCCAGAAGAGAGTCGCTGGGAGTAGGCGGCGGTGCGGTAGGAGTCGACAATGGACACGACTCGAATGAGCTGCCACTCCAGCTGAAGGTGACCTGAGCAGGGTCGGTGCTGGCCACGGGGGCGAGAGTAGTCGCCTTTGCGAGAGACATGCCGCGCAGGCGCGACTGAATGGGGATAAACATGGTGAAGAGATGATGAAGTAGAGTAGAGAGGGGAGTGAGAGGAAGAAGAGAGAAAGATAGACCGGTAAGGTCCAGAAGTAATGAGGCGTATGAGAGGCAGGAAGAGAGTTTATCAACAGAGCATGCCCGATATCAAAGCCGGGGAAGACTTCTAGACTTCCACACACCCTTGCAGCGCTGAGACAAATCAAATAAATCAAATCAAATAAATTGAATAAAATCGAGGCGGATGCTGCTTCCGCCCGATCAATCAATCGATCGGCGAATTGATCTGACAGCCAAAATACGATGTATCGGCTGTGCTTTTGTTTTTTTTTTTTTGTTTACCCGACACAAGCGTCAGATGAGAGAGGCCTAAGCTTGTAACAATCCTCTCCCCTTGCGACTTCGCAGTCTTCCCCGAAAGGGCTGCCCAAGCTTGCGGGGAATCCGGTCCGATCTGAAAATCTTTTCTCCTTTTTTTTTCTTTTCGCTTTTATTCGAGATAAGAATTTTCCCCAATCACTGGACCCCAGTTGTCACCGCTTAAATCGAGAGACGGTATCAAGCTGCAGTCGCGGGCGCAATCAAGCCCTAAATGCACGGGAAATCAAGGATGGGCGTGTAGCGGTGAAATCAGGCCGGAATCACCACGTCAATACCGACTGACAGGGAATAGGTGGTGGTGAATAGTGAAGAGTAGAAGAAGAAAATGAAGATGATTTCAGGAAATCAGGAAAAGAATTAGGGGACCTCAGGAATAAGAGAGAAAACATGAACTGGGCATCCACCATGTTGTCCCCAGCGTCGGGTCGAGGGAGTCATTCCTGCATCCTTTGACGGGGAAACGGGTTCTACGGCCAGTCTAGGGTGCCCGAACAGATCCACTATGGTGAATGAAATACCATCCATATATTATTTCTATCTTATTGCGAATGTTTATAGTATAAATGAAGAATATCTGATCAAAGAATACTCGCAGAGAATAAATATCACTATAACTATAATAATAATAATAATAGAAGCAATTATATCAAAAGTAAATAATCACTCGCCACCAAGTTTCAAGCGTTGGGGTCTAGAATTCGTAAACAAAGAGTCTCTCTCTTCTACCAACCACCTACCACCTCTCTATCTCTACCATCTACCATCGACTATCATCGACTATCATCTATCTCTTCCACTCTCTCTCCCCATTTATCCCATTTATCTCCAATATCTAATTTCTCATTTCCTATTCCTCAGGATCTTCAAGCTTACGAGCAAATGTCTTCCCCGACGCCAAGTGGGCCGGCCCGTCGCACCGGGTTCCCCGTCGACCCGTTACGCAGCCTTCGAATTGCAGATCTCTCAATGGATTCTTTTTTGTCTTCTTTTCTACGGCGAGAGAGACTGGGGCTGGAATTTAGGCGATCCCACATGACGTCCCACCTCCCTGGGAATTGAACACATCACATGTAGATGAGTGTCGATCTCTGGCTTTGTCTCTGGCGGGTAGGTCCTGGGGACTTCCGCGGCCCGGGGAACAGGGGACAGGAAAGGCAGGGCTGTCAGGGGCAAGTCCACACAGCCCATACATCACAGCCATACATAACAACCAGACAGATGTGAGTGTCTTCCCCATCCTCTCAATAATTACTGATCGTCCACATTAGTACAAGGGGGGGATTGACAGCTCGCTCGTACTTGTGAAATATTATTCAAATGCTGGTTCTGGCTCGGCCCGCGGTTCATGATCGTCACCCCCTTTCCCAGGCTCTCGGTGCTGTCGATAGCTTCCTGCCCGTGGCCCCCGGTTTCCCATTCCCCTGGGACTCGCTAGACGAAGAATTGGAACTCGATTCATGGGGCTCGTTTTCCTGAACGGGAGCATCGACCGAGACCTCGACCGTGCGTGGGGCTGGGGGTATGACTTAATATATGGAGATGGCTCGGCGTTGAGCTGGACTTTTGTTTCACCTGGATGTTTGCAATGGTCCACTGTATGTTTGCCTGTGTCTAAGCGAGGACTCTATCGAGAGCATAGCATGGATACAGACATAAACCTACAAGTGGATATAGCAAACTCCATTCTATATCTATTCTCTATTCGATATCATATTACTTCTTCCCATCTATCCCTATTCAACACCAGCCATTCCGGGATTACCCTGCATCTGCACCTGCAGCGCGGATGCAAGATCGCTGAACCCAATCGAGCATGTCGGGTCCGATCAAGGGGACCAGAAAGTGATCAAGCATAAAGTGATCAGGAAAAATTGATTGCAAGCATTGCGCTTAATTCTTGATCATCATAGGTATATTTTTATGTTTATCTGCTAGATATCTTCTATCCGACACATCCAGCCTCCCTCATCCACTACCAAACCTGTGCTATGAGATCGACCATCCTTCCCGCCACCCGATCGCCACCTGCACGGTGTGGCCATACATCTAGATGTGTGTATAGTGTCTGTAGGTAGATGTATATTAACAGGCATATGTATGTACATAAAGTATGTAATGTATGTCTATTTCTTCGGAACCATGGAACGCTTCCCCCATGGGGAGACCCACTCTGGAGAATGTGAGATGAACCCGTCGAGGCAAGGAGTATCTCAGGTATATCCGAGACTGTACTAAATGATGATGAGTATTAGAAGTATAGCGGTAATGAAGAACTCCTGATTCAATAATATGCCACGGTCACAATCATCAATCTAATGAAACGCCTCGTTTCCCCCAGACTGTTCAACATGCCCTTCGCGATTGGGCTATTCCATTCCCTCTTCATCTCGAGATATCTTACACTCCTCCAATCGTGGAACCTTCTTAGTATTTCTGGGGTTGGGGGTTCTGCTCGGGTAATATCGGTCCGGATACTTCTAGGCAGTGTTCCAAAGCCCATATGACAATACAAAACAAAAGAAAAGAAAAGAAAAATTAATACTCAGCACAAATATTCTTCCTTGAAGAATATTTTGTTCTTGGTATCATATTCTATCTGCAAGAGTCGAGGGTTTGGTTGGTTAGACGGGATTGCCAATCCAGCGGATAGAACCATCTTTGCCCCTCGTTCCTCTTTCTTTGATGCCCCTGCTAGTTTGTCTACTATCTACTAGTTTTACCAGTTTATCTGCCTATCGACGGCACCCATGTCGCCTCCTTTGCGGTCAAACCCTTCCAATCTCCTCGAGGCTAGGGTCTATACCCGTGTGGCCTATCTGCGTGAAAAGCAACATCCCGGACAAACAAGCAGATCCGACCGACCGACAAGAGAAATAGAAAAGGCGGTATGTAGAGTCAGGGATTCCCTCGGAGGTATATGCCAGACTGACATGGATATATGCTTGGATGGAAATTAGCCAGTGTAGACTTGTTTGGGGGGGGGGTGCATAATCTAGGATCTAGGATGGTGGAAGTCGGTCTTTGGTAGGGGGAGAAACAGAACAACTGGCGGTGAATTCTGGGGTTGCCTCTTCGGGGTGTTCTTCGAGGGGTCGTCTTCTTTGCGATGCTAAATTCGACGGGGAGGGGGGCGCGTATGCGCTGCGGGTTCTTTGCAGAGAAGGTGCGGTTGTTGCGTCGGCTGGCTGCTGGGGTTGGGGGGTGTATCCTAGTAGTGTGAATTGTGAGTGATTAGATATTTGCTGTGCTTCCTAGCAGGATTAATGTGAGTATAGTTACTTGAGAAAATAACTCTAAATATTGTATTGCCATTAAGCTTAATGTTGTCCAGTTGCATGCCGTGTTCACGTCGATATATTTTGTGTGCTCAGACTTCATAGATCCAAAACCAAGCAACAACCCGGTCTGTTTTGATCCCAGCTCAATTTCGCATTACAAGATTTCTGGAAGTTTCGCCAACTAAGCAGTATGCAATTAACCACCCCTTAAAATATCCTTTGCAAAACGGGGCAATGCAGACCCGGTTTTGACTTGAACACCCCCTTAATCTCCAATACAAGTACACCTTTCTCTAGACAATACACTCCTATGCAAAGAACCCCCAATAAACGCCCCCAAAATGGATTGTGCTCCCGGGTATCATGATGCAGTGAGCCGGACAGCCGGCTCGAATGTGCTGGTGAAGGACAGGAAGAGAAAAGAAAAAAAAAAGACAGGGGACATTTCATGCAGTGATCAGGGACGGAGAGTTGATTTCGTCCGTTGATGAGGTGGAGTTTATGTTCACCGCATTCGACGTCTTCAAGGACGGGGCGGCAGGCTTGACGTCGGGCAGTGAAACATGATCGGGCGCCGAGACGCTGGTGGCGCGCGAGGTGCTGGACTCGGCGTCCGTCACGGTCGAGGCGGTGGACATGCCCTCTGGCATGGTGAAGTTGGACACCGACTCGGCAGACTCGGACGGGACGGAGTCGGGCCGTGCGGACCGTTGGGGATGAGCCGGGAGCACATCTTCAATCGCTTCGTAGAACAACATGAACACACCCCCTTGGGACATCACATGCGCCTCGCTGACCATCTGCACATCTTCGTCGCTGAGCCGATACCATCGCTCGGACTTTTCCTTATCGCCCTCGGCTTGCTGAATTTCGACCGGCACAGGAGCTGGGAATTCTGTGGTTGGATACCTGCGATAGCAGATATAATGACCGTTCTCGTGTCGCCCGTAGTGTGTGATAATAGCCCGGAGCTCGTACCGTCGGCTCGGAACATGCATGGCATCGCCCGGCCGGGGAAGCATAGACTCGCTAGGATTTGTCTCCCATCGCTCCAGCGTGTCGCCGGGAGTACCGCCCGCGTGGATGCCGAGGCACCAATTGCTCAAGTCCATGGTTTTAGGGAAGTGCACCGCTGCGTAATTCTTTCTCAACATGCCAGTCATCTCATCAAAGAGACTTCGATTGACGTGAATTGCAAGACACTGAGGCGTTCTCGCGACCACCGCCTGACGCGACTTGGTAGTCGACACCCGGTTTTTCGAAGGAATATGGCACTGATTCGCTAACGTTTTCTCGGCGAAGTCGTTCTCTTCCAGGGCGGCCTGAACAGCCTCCAGCCGCGACTGGGCCGAAGTCCTCAGCGCGCTGGACATGTTCGGCGACTCGGAGCTGACCGGCTGGTTTTCATCTTCCTCGATCCCACCGAGAAGACTATGAAGCTGCTCTTGCGCGCGCAGCAACGTGCACTTGGCACACTCCACTCCTTCGATAGGCTCCAGAGTCATGTATTGATCCAAGCAATTGCGGATGTCATATTCGAAGTCTCCTCCCAAGGGAACGGTGAGGCAATTGAATGGGATGAGCGACAATCCTTCAGTCCATCCGCATTTCATACACCCAACCCGCTGCGCGAGCAAACCCTCAAGAGGATTGCGGAGAGAGGCCTTCTCGATCGCCAATGTCGACCAAGGATCTTCCACTGTAGTTCCTTCACCATGACTGTCACTAAAGATATTTTCTTCCGGCCCAGTCATTTTGAGTCCCATGTTCTTTGTCTGCCCTCGTGACGCTTGCAAAATCTCGAGGTCGATCTGATCCACCACCTTCGCAAAGTACTCCTGTGCATCCTGTTGTTGCCAGCTGCTCATGGATTTGAGATCCGGAGGAATCCAAAGCTTGTGTCCGTAGTTTGATGAACTGTTGAGATGCTCAATAATACCCCGGAGCGCCTGGTGCGTCGAGAACGAGCCCTTCTCAGCCAACACCTCAACATTCCGGTCCAGGAAAGCCGACAGCGACTTCAGTGATGCCAGCCCCTGAATGATGCTATTTTGATAACAAGAGTTATCCCAGTTCCCAAGCCCCGGGGGAGTGGCATCTGCGCTGTTACCCAGAAGGGCATTTCCAAGACCCGAGAGGGACCGAGATCGAGAGATAAACGGGAAAGTGTTGTTGTCCAGTCCGAAGATCCGCTGCATCGCTTCGCTCTTCGACTGAAAGGACATCGGCGATGGGTCCGAGGGGGAGGAGTCGGAGGTGGACATGCGGGAATCTAATGCGACGACGATTCGAGCCGGGGTGAAATAAACCAGACCGTTCCAGAGGGTCTGGATCAACGAGATGGGGGCAAATCCAAGGTAATCCAGCACGAGATAGCCAGCGACGATAACGGCAAATGTATATGCTAGCGCTTGATTGTTCTGCAGCGCCGCGCGAGCGGTTTCATACTGGGTGTTTCGGCTTGCGTAATGGACGGGGCGGCTTGAAAAGGTATCAGCGCCCTCGCGGCGAGCGTTCATGGCTGGTTTGAAGAACGAAAGAGCCACCACAGCAGGAAGGAATCCTGGTAAGTATGGGGCATCGGATGGAACTGGGTGTGGGAGGAGCGAAGGGGAAGGCGGAGAAAGAGGCGAAACGAAGGTATACACTTGGAGTTGCGCGGCTGGTGCATCTCGCCCTCCGCAAAACTTTTTTTATCGATAGCAGCCTTCTCCACACAGACAATTCAGCCTCGACTCTTTCAAAACATCATGGCTAAAAACAGACGTGAGTTGAGCCCCTCTCATTGCTTCCATACTGGTCTAACTTTATTATCTAGCCGCATCCCAGAACTCCCGTGCCGCACGGCGAGCTGTGTCGCCGGGCCTGAACGTGGACAAATCTCTCACCTCTCTGCCTCGAGCTTCTTCCCCCACCGTCCAGCGCCCCTCGATTCTGGCGGAACGATCAAATGCCGGTATTCAGAAAAAGCAGAGCAAAGGAAAGAGAATTTCCAGAGCCCAAAGGTTACGACAGGAAAAGGGCATGGAAAGGGCTGAGGCAGTTTCGGATCAATTGCAAATAAAAAAGGCCAAAAGCGTTGCCCGTGCGAAAAATGTCAAAGCACGAAGGGTATGGATTCATGATTGATTGCCCTGTTTGTGATGTACAGAAGCTGACAAAATAACTCCCCTCAGGCTGACTGGGAGGACACAAATCAGAAATCGTCTATGTTTGCAGCTCTCCAACAGGACCAGGAGAGCGAAGGCGAGGCCAGCGACGATGCCATGGCCGAGGACACCGTACCATCCACATCCACTGCAAACGCTGCCGTTTCTCAACCAACTCCCGTGGTCGCCAACCCCGTGGCCGAGGACCCGGCCACCGTTGATGAAGACGATGAGATTACCTGAGCAAGGATATAGCCCTGGCATGTCTGCAGGGTTCATTGGGAGCGTTGACTCGCCTGAGATCACTTCCTCGGTCTCATTTGATTGATCATGCGTTCGATTTCGGTAATTGCAGGCCCGGACGCTCGTGTACGAAGGAGTTCCAGGGTGTTCAGGTCCTTGGCCTTCTGTGCCTCTTCTCCCGCCTTCACAATCATTCCGCACTTGACCCACATCTCAATTCGCTCGGCCACGGGTAGGTTGGTACATTTCGGGACGAATACCGATGCCAGCTTGGTGTTTCCCGCGCCCAGAATCTCATTATAAAAAGGCTGTCGTTGTCAGCTGTGCGCCCTAGCAAGTCGAGATAGATGTCTTACCTCCCATCCGATTGGAGACTTTTTGGTTTTGGCAAGCTCCTCCAACTCACCCCAGTCTCGTTTAGCCACCAAGGCTCTGAGCCTCAACCACCAGTACGTCCGCTCAGGTATCTTGAATTCACCTTGCATCTTGTGGGCCCTTTTCCCGTAGCCAGCCCGGATAAGCCTGTAAACAGTCTCGTTGAGACTTAAACCGACAAACTCGGTTCGGTCTTCCAAGTCCCTATCCAGCGCTTCTTGGACCTTCAAAAGCTGAGAAGCCTCGGAGACCAGCTTTTGGTGAAGTACCACAGTCGCATCTTTAGAGTCGGACAACAAGCGTGATGCCAGGTGAAGTTTCTCAGTCTTCCGCTGTAGCTCTGTTTCACGCAGGGCCTCTGTGAGCAGGACATTAGCGCCCTCAATGGGTCGGTCGTCCTGATAGAAAAGATCCTTGAGCAGTTCTGTGTCCTCGCCTCGTGCAGCAGTTTCCACAAGCGCAGAAGCCACGGGACGGGTATTGATCATTCGGAAAAAGCTTGCCAGAGGAAGTTTACTCTTCAGGTGCAAAAGCACATAGTTCACGAGGTCATTGTCACCGCTCTCAATAGCCTTATCAAGAGCAAGCTCAGCCTCTTCCATGTTCAACAGCAGGGGAACCTGCTTTCCAGCCCGTGGCTCGTGATTCAGCAACTGAGTGGCCAGGTGGGAGCGACCCTCGTCATAGGCAGCCTGAGCAATGATCTCAAAGGAGATGCCGGGTTTTCCCTCCAGCCTCTGGACAATGAGCTTGCATACAGCTTCATCATCTACTGTTGAGACCTTGACTTTTTGGCTCGCCCAGTGAACGTAGATTCGATCGGCCGGGATTTGGAGATATTCTGAGACTCGGATTGCAAGCAAGTACTCATGTCGATTAATCAAGCGCTCAACGAGGCCTTCGGGGGTGAGACGCAAGTATTGCTCGTAAGAAAGAGGCAAGCCAATATGATAATCCCTTGCTGCTGTGAGAACGCGAAGCTTTTCGGCCATTTCCACAAACTCATCACTGTTATAGAGCTCGAGGACGGATTTCCCGAAGGACGCGGCCTTCAATAACCGCTTCTGCCAGTAGGCATCGAATTCGTGACCTGCTGCTTTGATACAAGTGTCGACCGCCGTGGGAAGACTGGAGCGGATCCGCTGAATGTTCTCATCTGCTTTGGGTGATTTTTTCTCCAGCTGTTCCACGGAGTCAAGAAGCACAGATGCTGGAGAAGAAGAGCCAAATCGGAATATTTCCTCCGTCACGCCTATGGCATATATCAATGATTGCCCATTCGGGGCAGTGAAGAGTAACTTACCAGCGACCTTGTGCAGAAACTCGCACGTATCATTAGTCATGAGCCGGACCCCATCGAATTCGGGAATAAGGTGGAAGCGGCCGTCGTAGTAGTACCTATGGTCGTTGAGCAGCTTTCACAGACAGTACATGCAATGTCACTCACCTTGATGCCACACCATTCGGGCCAACCAAGTGCATTTCATCCTCCCAAGCAAGAATGACTGCATCATCCCCACACCAGTTGACGGTATTTGGAGGAACCCGGGATTTCGAATCATATTCGCTGAATTTGTTCTGGAAGTCGTTGCTGACCACCCATAGCTTGCCTTCCCCTGTGAAGATTGCGACAAAGCGACCGGTCGGAGACACGCTCACATGTTTAAATGGGCCATCCTGCAGGATCTTGTCCTCGGCGTCGTTCGAGTCGATCAAAAAGATCGTCTTATCGACGGCCAGCAGGACTTCCACAGAGCGTGAAAGCGTATGCGCCGGCGGAATCAACGACCACGAGGAGACCTCACCCTCTGGGCAAGGAGCGAGCAACCTTGGGCGCGGCTCATCATATTTGGAGACAGCAATCAGTTGATTATTTGACAGCAATGCCACGAGGCCCGAGGCCCAGAATTGACAGGCTCTCACGCCATATTCTTCGGCGCCCTGATGGATGGTCAGCTTTGATTACTGCAGTCGATATCCACCGTAAAGAGGAAAACTCACGTTCCCAAGAGAAAAGGAAGTAAACTCGCCATCCAAGCCAAAATAACGTCGCACCGTTCCATCCTCGGCAACGACCAAGAGCTCCTCCTTGTCGGACCAGCCCAGCCCTCGGATAGTGGCTTGCTCCCACTGGAGTCCAGTTAGCATATGCTTGGAATGCCATAAAAAAGCACGCTTAAACAAGCTCTTCGAAACCTACATTGATGCGATTAATCTGCTTTCCAGAGCAGGTATAGATGTCAATGCTCGATCGGGAAGCCTGCGCGTCCTGAAGCCTGTATGGCTTGGTTTCATCGCGGTACAGCGCTAGATGTACCCATTCCTATGTAAGCTTCGCCCGACCGTTAAGTTTGGATAATGCAGAGTCCTACCGATCGCTCCTCCGTAAGGGGCGCCCGCGACGATGTAGTTCTCTAGTTCGACGTCCTCGTCGAAAATGGCATCATACAGAGGGACTTTGCGGTAGAAGCTGTCCCCGATCTTCTGCCAATTGGCAAGAGGATTTGAAGGCGCCATATTGGAGGGAGGATGCCTCGGGCGATGATCCTGGCGACACCATCGATCACCGTGTTGGGGAGAAGCTGCGACGGGGAAGCTGTGAGTACTGGCGCTAGTCAATATTAGGCAATTTATCTGCCTGGTATACAAGGCGAAAACATCCTCCTTCCGATCCGCCGATCCCCACGATTCGCGTCTCCGTCCGCATTCTTGGAAATTGTCCGCATTGCCCATGGAGTCGAAGCATGGATGGGCTGGGTCTGAATGAGATTGCACAGCAACTCTCTGCTCTCGAAGTGGCCCTGTTTCTGTGCCTGGTCGCCCATGAACATTGTTTGATCGAAACCACCGCCACTTGTATCCATGACCTTGCGACAGAACTTGCCTTGGTGCGTGCTGGAAGGGCAGACTGAAGAACAAATGTTGAAAAAAATCATGAGGCTAATATAGAAAATAGATTTGCTCCATTACATTCGATTTCTCATGCTCTATCTTGGATTGCTCCTCAGCAACGTCTCTCGAGGACATCGGAAATGACATCCGTATCCCAGATGCGCGAAGAGGCCACGCGCACCCTTCGCGTCCCTGGATGAATGTCGAATCTGTGTGTACCTGAATTATGAGCGTGTGTTTGGGGTAATAAGTATGTACTAACAGGGTATAATCTAAGAGTTCTCGGGATCGCAGCAAATCCCCGGTCCCCAGCACACCTAATGACACCGGCAACATTGTCAATATTGTCATAGCAAAGAACTTCAATGTTGTCAACGAGAACATTCAAGCCCAAATTCTGCAGGTCAGTTTCTAGTAGTCGCGTTGTGCCAGAACTACCCACATTGACAACCAGAATAGTTGATGCGATCGAGGACGTTGGTCACTGAGAACGGCTCTCTTCATGCACCTACAGACTTCCTTTTTATTCCACTGGTCGTGCGGGAATCTGAATATCTCCGGCCACCATTAAAGACGCACTTGGTTGGTCTCTCAAGTTTTCTGGTATCCCGTTATTGCCCGCTGATTTTCCTCACAGAGCGATAATCTCTTGATTTCCCATTTTCATGACGCCGAAGATGGTTATATCTATCTTGAAGAGAACGATTGGCTTGCAGATGAGCAATTGTCAGCATCCTCTGTTATCCGCAGGCCAGAGAAGCCTCTGCGAAACAAAGGCCCCAAAATAGATCGAACAGTAAGCACCTTCTCTTTTGAGGAAACTCTAGTGAAAAATACCACCTGTTGACTGATGAAAACTGCCTCTAGGTAATGGAGAAACTTCAAGAGGCAAGCGTCTCGGTTTCCATAAGCGCTGAAGTGGTTCGGTATATTCAAGATATCGTCGTCTTCTTACGTCTCAGTCGTGCAGTTGCCGGGGGCGTGTCTGCCCGAGCAAGCATTCAATTTTCCCGATTTGCGCAGTAAGCCCACAAAGTATATTCTTCAATGAACAACCGAGGGTAAAATGCTGATCTCTCCAATTTTGCAGGCTTCTCGCGCCCTTGCACGGCATTGATTACCTGACACCCTCGATCGTGGCATTGGCTGCGCGAAAGGTCTTTCGCCATCGACTCATCGTCGCAGATCCTTTTGATGACCGGAGTCTGCAGTACGGGAGTGATCTTGAAGCGGTGTCCCAGGTGTTAGATGGTGTAACGCCAGAGTCGATTTTGGATGGTGTGCTGGCATTAGAGCCTCCGATATAAAATGGAGTAGATTCTGGCCTAGAAATACCAGTCAAGCATGGCACCAATATGTACTATCGCCCCGATTCCCATATTTACTAGTTAAGACTCCCTACACCGCTGTCCGTGGTCTCAGCTTCAAAAACAGATCCGGCTGTAGAAACTTCCTGTCGCCTCCATCACCTCCGATTCCATTGTGATGAGGTGTCAGACACCGATCCCCGTGGCCAGTTGCTCCATCGCGCGAGCTCATATTAGCCTCCATGGCCTTTGCATGCTTGCGCCACTCGGACAATACCACTTCAATCTCCGTCTTGGAGTCACCAACGATGGCATCCATCTTGATATCATTTCGGTCATAGCCGAATGGATCTTCCAGCTGCGAGCCTATACCCTCGATCCCGTAGAGGGTGAAAATGACCAAAGAGACAATAGGGATTGCCCACCAGCCCAGGTCATCGACCATTGCGAAGGGGATTACGCAGCCGAAAAGGGCGAGGACTTGTTTTTGGTGGATGCTATAGTACATTTACAGAGACAATTAGCGAAGTTCGTGTGACTACAAGGAAAAAGGTACAAAAACGGGCAAAACTTACAGATGAGCCACCGGAATGGGGGTCAACTTAATCGTCTCCATCCGCCCATATGCATCCGTCAAGGCATTGAGCTGAGCCTGCATCTGACTCGCACCGGGCGCATTGAACCAACCACGCTCCTCGCCACGCTTGAAAAACCCATCCACAAAAAAGGTCAATTGGAACGGGAGACCCAACCCGTCTTCTTCGTGGCCCTCCAGTCCCGCGGGGAGCAAGCCGGCATAGTCCGGGTTGTACGCAGCCGTGCCGCGTTCATTCAAGTCACCGCCAAACGCACCGGCGTAATCCCACGCGGCGCCCCATTCCGCCCGCAGATGGTTCTTAACGGCGTACGGGATGGCCATGAGAATGCGGATGGTGCGCTCGACATCCTCGCGCTCGGCAGCGTTGGGCGGGCCCCGCGTCGCACTGTAGCTGTTGGTTACAATGGTGCGTGCAAGATTTCGGACGCAGGTGTTCATCGTGTTCATCCCGTTTCGCCCGTCCCAGAACCGGTTGTAGGAGGTCTGGTTGCGGAACACGAGCATTAGGCCCACGACGATGGAAAGTGAGGGGATCTGGCCGAGTGTTAGCTGGGCAGCGATATAGATTCGAGGAGATGGACTTTGAAGTAACATACGATGCTGCTGGGCAGTCCCACAGTGTCGAATACATACGTGTCGAGGTACACGACAAAGGCCGTAAACATGGCGTGCAACGTAACGGGCAGCAAAATGGCCCCGTGGATAGCTCCTTTGATGAATCGGAATACCAGCGGCCATCTGTAGAGAATTAGCTATTTTATGTTTAAAGGTAGCATAAGAAATCCGCACTCTACCTTCTTGGCTTGACTCGCGTCGACAGCAGATGCGGATGGGTGCTTCGGCGCTGGTGGTGGCCATGAAGCACCGTGTTCTGGCGACTCAATGTCGGAGTCGGAGGCTCACTAAAATTCAGTCTCATCCTGTCCATGAACCATAGATGGTCGAATCGATGTTCGAAGTTCTGCTGTATCCCTGACTGGCTGCGTCGATCGCCGACTCAAGACCAGGGATGTCGGTGCCCCTTTATATACTCCAGAGACTTGGGCCAAAACTCCAGATGCTTTTTGACATTGGACGTAATTAGAGATGAGTGTTTGTGTTTCTCCCATCCAAGGAGATCGATGGCAGCACGATAGACAAGCAGAGTGTTGGTTGAGATGTGGGGATGACGCTATGGGCACCGGTGATTTAATCGTGCATTGACTCTTATCTATAGCCCTTCTCTCTTTGGCGTCGAGATTCACCCATAAATAAGCTATGTTTTTACCTTTTGTAGTTGTCTACCAGACACTTGGATCTAATCTACTAATCTACTTGTAAGGTGGGAGAATTAATGGATTTTTCCAGGGCTTATAACTGGTATTATCCGGCTTGGTCTGTCCATCTCCGATTCTGAGCACTATTTCTCCACGCTCTGAGCCCAGAAAAAGCATCAAAAGAGCTCCTTTGTGGAATATTGATTTCTAGTAAGCACAGCTGCCCCTACAAGAGCTTCACTGGGGCTAGGTGAGGTAAAAAATCCCAACTTCAACCCTAATACAGTATAGTTCTTGCGAAGTATTGAAGAGAGTGATTATTCACTTTGTTAACTCAGAGAGGTTAAAATCATAGGGCTTGCTGGTATACAAGACAGAGACAGATCGGCAAGGGCGCCATATAGCCCGAAGAATTCACACTAAGAGTGCTTCATAAAATGTTGATCCTTCCCACCGAGATTACATGAGATCGTTTCTTGCTCGGATTTAATTCTCGGAGACCGATCAAATATGGGGGCTTCGCCAAGAGTAATCGCATATGCCATCATATTAGGCCCATATTCAGGTAAAAATGGGCCTTCACTTGGGCACAAGAACTAATTAAAGCAACATAGCGGGGAAGAGGTGGGGGAAACTCAATCTCACCCGAGAGAAATACTTCATACACCCACAGCACATCCTCATTTCTTGTTGTTTCTCTCAAACTTCCTCGGTCAAGTTGAAAGCCCATCATGAGCGAGATTCTCGTTATCACCTGCCCTAGTGGCAAACAATGCTCGCATCTCATTCCTCTGATCTATCAGAAAACACAATTCAAACTTCGACTTGCCGCCCATTCGCACGACTCTGCATCGAAACTACAGACCAAATACCCCGAGGCAGAAGTAGTCGTGTCTGATATCTCATCGTTGGATGAGTGCTGCAAGCTCCTAAGCGGCGCGACGACAGTATACCATGTTGGGCCGTCATTCCACTCGCGCGAGACCGAAATGGGATTCAATATGATCAACGCGGCCGTGGCCGAAAGCCAGACCCCAGGAAATAAATTCCGACATTTTGTCTTCTCTAGCGTGCTGTGCACACAGCATCGCAATCTGATGCAGCACGACCTCAAGAGCCGGATCGAAGAGCGTCTGAACCTCAGTCCTTTGAACTTCACCATTCTCCAACCCACCAACTTCATGGATGCGTACCCGGTTGCGGCGCTCGCTAGCCAGTCGAGTCCCTCCCTCGAGAGACTCTGGAACCCGGACGTCCCCAACAGCATGATCGCGCTCCGGGACCTGGCTGAGGCTGCGGCCCGCGTTCTGCGAGAGGGAGAGCCGCACTACCTTGCCCAGTATCCTCTGTGCTCGACGCTGCCGATCTCGGATACGGAGGTTGTGAAAGTGATTGAAAAGCACACTGGAAAGAGCATCGCAGTCCATGTCCCCAGCTTTGAGACGGGCGTGCAAAATGTTCTGAAATTTTTGTTTGGGGGTAAACAGCCCGGTCATTATGTGGGCGAACTTGTGGATCAAGATTTTCTTAGTCCGGCCGCTGATGGTGACCTGCGCCCTGATATCACCCGGGATGAGGCTGAGAGACTCATTTTGTTCTACAACCGACGTGGCTTGAAGGGTAGTCCCAATGTGCTGCGGTGGTTGATTCAGCGGGAGCCTACGACGGTGGATGAATGGGTTCAGATGCAACTCAACTCTACGGTGTGAGCTTACTTCGGTCTTAATGGGTAGAGACTGGCGGCGGGGGGGGGGGGGTTGTTTAGTTATCGATAGATTTGCTTTAGCAAAGCTATTGATATTGACTTAGAAGAGTATAGGTGCTTCTGGTACTCAGGTATCTTATAATCTAAGATAACACAGTATACGTTACTAGTCCCGACTCTAAGTGTCCCTTCGTTCAGCCCCATTAAAGGCCTTACTTGTACTGTCTATATTTAGTAACTTAAGTTGGACTAACTATGTACCCTATCAAAACCGAGTGTTCTTTTATGTATACTTTTCTATCCTTTTTCGAACCCTGTTTCGAGTTCTCTATCTTCATATATGATTTACTCTTATCGAAGTATATTAATTTAAACCCTACTAATAAGCCAGAGGAATCATGGATGACTATATAGATGACCATCTGTGGACATAGATGTGTCCAATGCCTATGCCTTCTCTCCCTCTTTCCTTGCCTTTCTCCTACCTCTCTCTCTCTTTTCTCCCACTCTTCTCTGATTTTCTCCCTTTCTTTCGGCTATGTTGAATCAAATTTCTACTCAGACAAAGGTGCAGGTTGGAACCCTGGGGACCGAGATCTACAGCAATCCGGGTACAACGATCACCCTTTTCGTTTTATCGTGGCAGATATCATTCGCCTTTCGGTTAAGGGATATTATAACCGAAGGATAGCTAATTTTCAACTCTCTTTCTATGTATGTTCTTTATTTTTGTCAAACTGTATTACTACGAACCAGCTACTTTCCTGCTATTTCCTCGCCTGACCGCATCGCTAAGTGAGACTGGAAATAACAAACACCAAACCTCCGATACTTCAAATTCGTATATCTGCTGCAGCCATCCCCCTCTCCCCCCCCTTAATTTTCCTCATTAAACCCAGAAACGATTGACATCATCAGTCGAGAAGTGGTCCTCGGCTTCCTGATCCACTTAACCCTAATCGGCCAAGGTGCTCGGCTTTCCCGAGCGGCCGTTATTTTTTCTGGCTGCGTTCTGGTCCGGCTCTTCCAGCATCCACGTAATCACTCCTCCTCAATCCACGTAATAGCGCTGTCGCAAACATAGGGCTGGCTCTACTAGAAGGGGTATTACACTCGGTTTCTGCTGGCTTGGGTCTCCACTCTACGGTTGGCAATCTTCCGGTTTGCCGGCATCATGGAACAGACCATGTAAATAGACTTGGACATCCCTACAAACGCCATTGAAAATTCTAACCACGCTCTTTCTTTTTTCTTCTCGCACTCGCTCGTTTCTTCTAACTTCTGATCATTCATCTCGCGGAGATGAAGTTCCATTCTTTATCCTTGTTGGTGCTGCTGGGCTCGGTGACTGCCTCGGCTAGCAGCTCCAGCTCCAATGCAGGTCTTCTTTCCAACAACAAAGGTATAAATATCCTTCCAATATTTAAATATTTGGCCACTCAATGACCAAATTGACCCTTGGTTTTCAGTCTCGCTCGGCGATTGGCAATTGGCCTATGAAAAGGCCTCCCGATTCGTCTCGAAGCTCAGCACCACCGAGAAAGTGAAGCTCATCACTGGAAGCAGCGTGAACACCACCGATGGCCAGTCTTTCACTGCGCTGGAGTTCCTGAATGCCGATATGGGTCTGCAAGACTATTATTATGTCTCGGCATTCGGCCAAGCCTCGGCTTTGGCTATGACATGGGACAAGAAAGCCATGTATGCTCAGGCCAAGGCTGTTGCAACGGAATTTTACCTCAAAGGGATTCAGGTTCTCGATGGCCCGACTTCGCAGCCTTTGGGCCGCACCGTGTGGGGTGGGCGGGCTGTTGAAACATATGGCTCGGACCCGTACCTGAATGGTATTGCGTCGGGGTTGAGTACGAAGGCGTATACGGATGCTGGTGTCATTGCTGGTGCGAAGGTATATTATCCCTGAATTCGAGGGTATTGTTGATTATACGACGTTGCTAACACTGTCATGTATAGCATTTCATCCTCAATGAACAGGAAACTAACCGCACTGGGGGTGACGGTGGTGGAGGAGGACCCGGTTCCAAGCCCAGTCGCGGCAAGTCTTTGTCTTCAAGCTCCGCTGCTGCCAGACCGACCTCCCCGGCCTCTAGTGGAAAGGGGGGGAATGGAAAGTCTTCTTCCTCGTCGGCCCCCTACTCTTCCAATGCGGACTCCAAAACCTTCCACGAGACCTACCTCTGGTCCTTCTATGATGCGGTGCACTCGGGTCTGGGTGGCATTATGTGCGCGATGACCAAGGTCAACAACACCCTTTCATGCGAATCGTCTTCTCTTCTTCTGGACATCCTAAAGACCGAGCTTGGTTTCCCAGGCTTCGTCTTCTCCGACGTCAACGGCCAGCAGAATGCTCTGTCATCTGCTACCAACGGTCTGGACTACGGCTCATCCAGTCTCTGGAGCACGTCTGCTATCAAAGGCTATCTGAATAGCCACAATTTCCCCGAGACTCGCCTCAATGACATGGCAATCCGCAACCTGATGGGCTACTACCACGTCCACCTCGATAACGGCACCCAGCCGTCAACGGCAAAGACGGACGCGTACGTCGATGTGCGTGGCGAGCACGCCAAGCTGATCCGTTCGCATGGCTCCAAGTCTATGGTTCTTCTGAAGAACACCAAGAACGCTCTTCCTCTCAAAAGCCCCACAAGATGTCCATCTTCGGCTCGCATGCCCGCGCTCCCATTGCTGGCCCCAACATGGCTTTCAGCGTCCAGGGCTCGGGGCCTACGTATGATGGCCACCTGGCCACGGACTCCGGGTCTGGACAGGGGTCCCTGCCTTACCTGATTACCCCCGAGACCGCGCTGACCATCAAAGCCAGCCAGGATGGCACCATGCTCCGCTGGGTCGCCAACGACACCTACGCCGCGTCCAGCGGGTCAGCGCTCGTCATGCAAGGATCCGACAGCACGTCGGTCACACCTGCGATCAGCAGCTACGCAGAGAACACAGACGTCTGCCTGGTCTTCCTCAATGCGCTTGCCGGTGAGGGCGCCGACCGCACAGAGCTGTACCACACGGACCAGGACGCACTCGTAGCCAAAGTCGCCGACAACTGCGCCAACACGGTTGTAGTAATCAACACCGTCGGCGCCCGGCTCGTCGACAACTGGATCACCCACAGCAATGTGACCGCAGTCCTGTACGGCAGCCTGTTGGGCCAGGAATCGGGCAATTCGATCGTGGACGTGTTATACGGCGATGTCAACCCCAGCGCCCGCCTAACCTACACCATCGCCAAGAACGAGTCCGACTACAACGTCGGCCTCTGCTACACGCAGCAGTGCAACTTCACCGAGGGCAACTACATCGACTACCGCTCCTTCGACGCGCGCGGCGTCGCCCCGCGCTACGAGTTCGGCTACGGCCTCTCCTACACGAACTTCAGCTACTCGGGTCTCCATATCGACGGGCCCGCTGCGCTCTCTGTTTACCCGACTGGCAAGCTTGCTGTCGGTGGCTATAAGGATCTGTGGGATGTTGTTGCCAGCGTCAGCGTAACTATTCGCAACATTGGCGCCGTTGATGGTGCCGAAGTGCCCCAGCTCTATATCGGGTATCCTAAGGCGGCGCATCAGCCTGTGCGGCAGCTGCGCGGGTTCGACAATGTTGAGATTAAAAAGGGCGCGCAGACTCAGGTTAAGTTCCATCTGCGCCGTAGGGATATCTCTCACTGGGATGTCAGGGCTCAGAAGTGGGCTGTGGCTGAGGGCTCGTACAGTGTGTATGTCGGGGCCAGTTCAAGGGATCTGAGGCTGCGGGGGAGCTTTTCTGTGGAGACGAAGCCGGGAAGTGGCTATAGTAGATCTGTGCGGGAGTAGTGCTTTACCTGATAGAGAGAGAAGGATCAAGCTGGGGCCTATACAAAGCATTATAGCAAAGTGTCTGTAATGGATCTTCCTTTGAATTCTCCTTTGTCTCTTATTGTAAATTGGCTACTTTCTTATTTCCTAGAGTGTCCTTGTCTCATATTCATTGATTCAAAACCTCGAGCAGACACTAACAACCCAATCAGGTACAGGTCACAGAAAGAGTCAAAGGCTCGGGTAACAACAGGACAAGAGCAATAGAAGAAAATACCATTATCTCTTGATATGTCACCAAACTTTGGAAACGCCGGCCCTGGAGGTTGTTAAATAAGGGAATATCAAAAGCGAAGGAAAGGGAGAAACGGGGGCTAAGAAAAACGCCGGGGGGGGGGGGGGGGGGGCATGAGCAGTTAAATTAGAAAAGAATATCAAACGCTATGGAGAAATGCAAAACAATATATAGACCAGACCAAGCCAAGACTTTCGGGAATAAGGGCATAAGTGGTCCCGGGGTGGAAATGTGCAAGATGCAAAAATATGGCAGTCCATATAAAATGAAATAGTCGAAAGGGATGGAGTATTTTTGCAATAAGGTCCGCTTCAGAGAGGTTCTGCAGACGAGCAACAATGAACAAAAGAAATGAAGTGGGTCCCTCAGGGACAAGCGTGTCACGGCATCCCGGCTCGGCCATCGAATGCCAGTGGCCCCGAGTCGTTTCGAGGCGTCAAGGGGTTTTCGTCGGATGTTTCCGAGCGCACGGGGGTGTCGGTGCGGAGGTGTGACTGGTGACTGGAAGGCACACTGAGTGGCTGCGTGGGCTGCCACCCGGGGATGTTGGTAGCACTACGAGCAAGGTCGTCCTGGCTCGTGTTGGGGGCGGGGGAATCCGAGCTTCGGGTGTCTTCAGACGCCGCCCCTGCTTGCTGCTCATCATCTATGTGGAGGTTCTCGACATCGTCAACCAGACTCGGCTCGTCAGAGTGATGGTTTTCTTGCTGATCCTGGGTCTCCCCAGCACTGTTGGCTGTGAGACCGTTCGTGGATTCTTGTGTCTGTGGCGGATCTTCCTGGGTACTTTCTGCTACCGCTGGCTTTTTGGTATCCTTCTCCCCATCGCCCTCGAAATCATTCGTATCGTCGACCTCGGCGCTCAGATCCGTAAATGCACGACAGTTGGGGCACTGGAACATGGGGTAGTCGGGGGAATGAATCAGGCGACTGATACATTTATAGTGCCAGACGTGGGCGCAGGCCGCCATGAACAAACACTGGTAGGGTCGCTTGGCCATGGTTAGTATCTGGAGAGGATGGAAAAGGATGATAGACAAACCAAAACCGAACCGAGACATATAGAACATTCGCGACACCCGGAATAATCGGCAGCATCACCCTTGCCCAGGTTCTTGATGAGGCTTTCGGTGTTTTTGCTGCGGGATGTCAGTCAGCCTGGCACAGCGCAAAATCACTCGATGGCATGGACATACTTAAACTCATTGGGCTGTTGCTGCCAGGATCGATTACACTCAATCCGAATCCGAACGCATCGGAAGATCATTTCTTCCCCGCCTCGGAAGTCGATTCCCAACTGCACAATATCACCATCCTTGATGGAGTACAGGCGGGACACCATGTTCGGTTGACTCAAGCGCATGTGATTCAAAAAGGTCCCCGACGAGCTTCCGACATCCTTGACATGCCACTGGCCATTGGCATACAGAAATTCACAATGCTTCCGGCTGACGACCTTGGATTTGAAGCCAACAGGGGCATCCGAGGGTTCGGTTGGGTTGGGGATAGGGATCCCATCACGCTCCGAGTACCGGCCCACACGAATCACACAGCTCTCAGACGGCAGCGTACGAGCGATGGGGGCAAACGGCAGCGACGGTCTTGAGCTTTGGAGGGAATCTTGGTAAGGGAAAAATCGGATGGTGGCCTTCTGCTTCGGTTTCAACGAAGTGCCCTGCGCCTCCGCCGAGGTTGTGCCCGCCAAATCTGTCGCATCACTTTGTGCGGCAGACGGTTCAGGCGAGGGACTAGATGCTTCGGGATTGGCATTTCTATCCAGTATGCGAGGTGGGCGACTTTGCACAGCCGAAGCGCTCCTTAACCGCGCCATGACATGAGTTGTCTGAGTGCGGTCGGTGGGAGGTGTCGATCGTGAGGACTCGGTCGATGAGCCCTGGCTATTGGCGTCGGCAAGACCGTGAGAACTCGAAGAGGGGGCAGAGGTGTAACGGGACAGAGCAGGCTGGTCACTCTCGGGACATGGAGCTGTCGAATTCCCCACGTGCGACGGAGATGGGTCCGGGCCGGAACTGGAGGTAGGTGACAGCCAGGGGACCCGACTACTGAAGCTGTTCCGATAAGATCGGGGGCTGGGGGAAGAGTTGGCGAGGTTTTGGGTGTAGGCGCGGAGCTGGCTGAAGCGACGGAGTCGTCCCGGACGAGGAGAGTCGGAGAGCGAGGCGGAGGCGGTGGCAGTTGAGGTCGACATGAATTCTTCTGTCTTCTTCTCTTCTTCCTTTTCTTCTTTGTCTCGGCAAATGCTGGCTCCAGGGAAACCAGGGGAAACTTGGCACCCAAGAGGCCTTTGCCTCGAATATGTCTTCCCTTCAGAGCAGGCACGTCACCCGTGGGATCTGCAACTGGGCTGAGGGCTCGAAAGTGGGGAGAGGCTTTACGACACCGGAGTGACACACCCCCAGAGTTGTTCTCACAGGCCTTGGTTTGATGAAATGCAAGATCCTGCCAATGCTGCCAATGCTGGGAAATTGAGAGAGAGAAGAGAGAGAAGACGGGAACCACCAGAGAGAGGGGTCTCTTGGGATGTGAACCGAGCGGAACCAGACCCAGCCTTCTCTCTCTTCTTCTCTCTGGCAACACCTCGGTTGCCTACAGACCTCAACGCCTGGATCTATTGGATCTCGATTATTCTCTTGTTTCTACGCTCGACCCTACTGTTATTCCTGCGGCGAAATGCTCTCCCATTTGCCTCTCCAGCAGAATTACCCGGTGGCAAAACACAACGCCACCGGGGACTATTTAGATCGACATGCTGAGGTAGCAGAGTCCAGTAGTAATCCTAATAAGGGATTCGATATAGATGCATATCCATGGATAGATGCAAGCGGGGCTAATATGTAGGAGAGAGAGAGAGTATTGAACATGCGTAGACCAAGGAATATCAAAAGAGCATCCTCGTGGATCATCCGGCTGATCATCTGCGTCGCGTCACAAGAACGACTCGATGGGCTCTCGGATGTATGAAGCTACCCTGGAAGCCGGAGAGAGATTTAGAAAGTAATACATAACACTCATAATACCCATAATACTTCTATCTAGTTGATGAGAATAGTCAAGAAAAAGAATGCGATCGTAGGTTATCAAAGGTGACCGGACACTAGTGAGCTCCTCCAACCCCCTCCCTTCTCAACCTCACTTCCTCTCTCTCTCTCTCTCTCTCTCTCTCTTCCTCTTATCTCGACCTTGTTGCTTGATCTCTCCATTCTGGGGGCCAAAAACCCCATTTCGTCCCTTTCTATCACGCGCTGGGTTTCTGTGTTCCCATCCGAGCTTTCCCCTCTGGTATATGCACTGCCGTCTCCTCAACCTCATCTCGCATTCTGCAACCTCCCAGCCGCCTCCAACCCCCCGCAGAAATTGCACCACTCGACCTCGTTAACACACCCCTCGTTTCTCTTTTGATCTCTTATCTCCTCTCTGTTCTTTCCACTTGCAGGGCCGCTCCTGATGCGGGCCTGCTAGTCCACCATGAGTGGAATCGCAACCGCCTGTCTGTCATGCCTGTCGGCGGTCGACCGATGGTGTCATATCACCGCGTGTCTCGGCCCCATCGGAGCTCGCACTCGAGACACCATCTACGAAACCACCTTGGCCGAGAATGAACGCGAAGCTGTATCAGACTTGCTGGGCTATTTAGAGAATGTATGTGGGAACCCCGATCGGGTGGATTGGTTGACTTGTCATCTGCCGTGCTCTGGACTGATCCTCGACGAATCGACAGCGCGCTGAAACCGATTTCTTCTCCGGCGAACCTCTTCGAGCTTTGAGCACCCTTGTGTACTCGGAAAATGTCGATTTACAGCGAAGCGCAAGTCTCACCTTCGCCGAAATCACAGAACGAGGTGCGTACGATGAAATCGATGGAACCATGACCATCTCTGACGCTGGTCGATCAACAGATGTCCGTGAGGTCGATCGCGACACGCTCGAACCTATCCTTTACCTACTCCAGAGCTCCGATATTGAAGTCCAACGGGCCGCCAGTGCCGCATTGGGTAACCTTGCCGTGAATGGTTGGTTTCCCCCTTTGCCTTGATTTCGCACGGTCGCTGATAGCATACACAGCAGAGAACAAGGTTTTGATCGTCGCACTCGGGGGGCTGGCCCCTCTGATCCGCCAGATGATGTCGCCAAACGTGGAAGTGCAGTGCAACGCCGTCGGATGTATCACGAATCTGGCGACACATGAAGAAAACAAGGCCAAGATTGCTCGCTCGGGGGCACTGGGTCCCTTGATCCGTTTGGCCAAGTCAAAAGATATGCGTGTCCAACGTAATGCGACCGGCGCGCTGCTCAACATGACCCATTCCGGTACGTGCAGGTTCACTCGAGAGTCCTTGGCCGCGCTGCTAACCCCAATAAACAGACGATAACCGACAGCAACTCGTCAATGCCGGCGCCATTCCTGTTCTCGTCCATCTGTTATCTTCTCCCGACGTTGACGTTCAGTATTACTGCACGACTGCTCTCAGCAACATCGCTGTCGATTCGACCAACCGCAAGCGCCTGGCGCAAACAGAGTCCCGTCTGGTACAGTCTTTAGTGCATCTCATGGATTCGTCGACACCCAAGGTGCAGTGTCAAGCCGCGCTGGCCCTGCGCAACCTCGCCTCCGATGAAAAATACCAGCTCGAAATCGTTCGGGCCAAGGGTCTCTCTCCACTTTTGCGACTCCTCCAATCATCTTACCTTCCTCTGATTCTCTCTGCTGTCGCTTGTATCCGCAACATCTCTATCCACCCGCTTAATGAGTCTCCCATCATCGAAGCGGGCTTCCTCAAGCCTCTTGTGGATCTGCTTGGCTCGACTGATAATGAAGAGATCCAATGCCATGCCATTTCTACCCTTCGGAATCTTGCGGCGAGCTCCGATCGCAACAAGGAACTTGTTCTGCAGGCTGGTGCCGTTCAAAGATGCAAGGACTTGGTTCTTCGGGTCCCGCTTACCGTCCAATCTGAAATGACGGCCGCGATTGCCGTACTGGCACTCAGCGACGAGTTGAAGTCGCACCTCCTCAACCTCGGGGTGTTTGACGTCCTGATTCCCCTGACCAATTCCGACAGTATCGAGGTGCAAGGGAACAGTGCGGCTGCCCTGGGTAACTTGTCCTCGAAAGGTATGTTTTGATGCTATGCTCCAGACCATTCACTGATGATAGTAGTGGGCGATTATTCCATTTTCGTTCGAGATTGGGCAGACCCGAACGGCGGCATCCACGGTTACCTGCATCGCTTCCTGGCCAGCGGAGACCCGACCTTCCAGCACATTGCCATCTGGACCCTTCTCCAACTGCTCGAATCTGAAGACAAGAAACTGATTGGCTACATCTCCAAATCCGAAGATGTCGTGCAGATGGTCAAGTCAATTTCCGATAAGAACATTGAATCCGATGAAGAAGATGTGGACGAGGGCGAAGGCGAAGTCATTGCGCTCGCCCGGCGATGCCTCGAATTGCTCGGCGCTGGTCCCAAGCAGACTTTGGTTGAAGCATAGGACCCCTGTTGTGTTGTTTTATTTTCCTGGAACATCCCCTTTCCTTTCGGCTCGTTTTGTTCACAGGTCGGCCGGCCTCTTGTTGATTTCTCCTTCCCTTTTGTCACTGGGTGTTGTATGGGCATTGAATTCCCTGAACTCTGAATTTCCTTTCTTGCAGCGGGCCTTTGGAGTGATCGGGACTTGTATGTGTTTATTTCTCGTTCTCTCATGTCCATGGTATTTCTGGGGTGGTGCCGTTGTCTTGTTTCTACGCATACACTCTTGTATCCACGCTAGATATGGGCTCTATAATTAATATCCCCAAAATGCCAGTGCCCCATAGCTTAGGGTATTTTCTAGGGTTGTCGGCAACAGGGTCCTGCCTAATATCTATCGTGGCTCAGACCGTGGTGAACTGGCAACTGGCGGATGAGGTCACTCCACACGGGAAAACATACCTCCGCCCCGAGCATAGCTCCAGCAAAGAAAAAAAACCCACTTCCTTCCTGCTTCCTCACAACCCTTTAGCTCATTCTTATTTGCCCCCGAGGGCCATTGCGATACAATGGCTGCCTCGCTCCCATCGCTGGCCATTCCAGGCCAACGCCTGGGACCTGCATCCTCATATTCTGCAGGGCCTGGAACACACGTGCAACAATCCAGCATCTATGCCTCCATCGCGGGCCCCGTCTGCCTGGATCCCGCCCAGCCCAAAATTCAAGCCAAGGCAACTCTCAGGGTATCACGGGTTGCTACCAGCAAATACCAAACCCGCAATCCACAAGCCGGAGCCGTTGCAGCCGCTCAGCCCAAGCCCCGGTACAACACCCTGCCGGCAGTCGACTCCATCGTCCTGGCGCGGGTGACGCGGGTGCAGAAGCGCCAAGTTGCCGTTTCCATTCTTGTGGTGCTCGACGACACGCCCAGTGTAGGTGCTGACCCGTCGCGGACCGCCTCCGACAACGATAACGTCGCCTCTATTCTCACCTCGGCCGCGAACCCGGAGAACCACAGCAATACCGACGAACTGCGGTTCCAGGCGCTGATTCGGAAAGAAGATGTGCGTGCGGTGGAGAAGGACCGCGTTGTGATGGATGATATGTTCCGTGTCGGCGATATCGTGCGTGGCTCTGTTATCTCCCTCGGCGATCAAAGCTTCTACTATATCACTACCGCCCGCAACGATCTGGGTGTCGTCATGGCTCGCAGCGAGGCGGGCAACATGATGTTTCCGGTTAGCTGGAAGGAAATGAGAGATCCTCTCACCGGTGTTGGTGAGCCCAGGAAAGTGGCCCGGCCATTCTGAACGGCAGATAATCTAGCCACTTCTTGATGTGTGGCGATGTCAACTGTTACGGATTCGTGACTACTTATCCCCTTCTCCTGAAATGCCATTATTGGCAGACCGAGCCATTGGCACACAGAGGCCGAATTGAGACATCCTCATCTGCACGAGGCAGGAATGTCTTTCGTGCCGGATTCACGAGGCTTCCACGCTTTGAAGCCTCAAAGACTCTTGTCCAAGCGAATATGCCCAGGGCATCGCACAGGGACTCTAGATCGCTTTGACCTCGCATATGGTGCATAATATCTGTGAGCTGACAGCATCAGCTCTCATCCACCCTTGAAGCAGAGCCCCAATGCGCTGATTGTGCACTTGGAGTCGGTTCATCACGACTCCAACATTCATATGATACCCCCATGACTATGAAGTCAGAATACATAACATTCTTTCCATTTAGCTTCCCTTTCCACTGTGTACCCCTCAAACAGCATGCTGCCACAGCTACTACTATCTATATTGCTAGCCCAGCGCTAGGTTACCCTCCTCAGTATACACGGCCGAGACCTGATCCATGTCGGGCTGTGTTTGTCAATGGAGGCAGAGTGACGGTTTTGTCAAAAACACGTAGAGGACTCTCATTCTTTGCAGACCCTCCTTTTTTCTTCGTCTTTCCGTCTCGCTTGCTGCCATGAGGCTGGAAAGAGGTTTTCTTGGGGGTTACAACACCTATATATCTCATAGATCTATACAATTGATCATTTCTATTTTCTTTGAAGGTATCTGGTTCAATTGGACTGATATGCACGTTCACCTTCTCTGTTGTCAACCAAGAGATTGGAATGGTATTTATCACATTTTTTTAAGATCACACTGTGTGTACGTCCCTACTACTTCTTCAACGTCTTCTGCTTCTCGGCATCAATCAACTTCCGCCCCTGCACTACCAGCCCCTTACGGCTGCGCACCGCATCCATATAACGCTTAGCCACGTTCTCCCGGTCCGCCAGCTCCCCAAGATCCTCCAATTCCTCCTCTGTCGCCGGCACCCAGAATGGATCCTCGTCGAGGGCCTCGAAGCCCGCGAAGATCAGCTGCGGTTGCGCGGCGCCCGACGTGCGTTTGCGAATCTCCTCGGCGAACCCGAAAGACTCGGCGACGGGAAGGAGTGCCACAATCGTGAAGAACGGGGTCCCCTCCTTCATGGCTTCGGACAGGATGCGGCCGCGGCGACGGGTGATCACGGCGTAAACTCGGCCCAGGACCTCGGCTGTTTTTTGTATCACGAATGTCAGCTTTGCCGTAATAGTAGTAGAAATGGTTAGATGGGTGGGACTGACTCGTTGCTTGGATCTCGCAACTATACATTGCCAGCATCACCCGGGGACTCCAGTCCAGGAATCCCTGCGTGATACCCTCACGCACGAGCTTGATCGATTCGCCGGTCAGGCGGCCCAGGTCGAGCTCGTCGCCTGTGTTGGCTTGCACGGACAACTCTTCCAGGAAGACGGCAATGCCCTGGATCGGCTCTTGACAGAGTGGGCCTGCACCCGTTGCCAGCTGGAAGGCATAGGCAATCTTGTCACAGAAGTCACGCACCAACAGTGCCTGGTAGTTGTCGCCATCGGCAGAAGCACTGGCGTGTTGCTTGGGGTCATCGAGCAAGCTAAAAGATTTAGCTGTTAGCCTTTCATATACATCAGAAGCATTGGTTAATTGGGACTCACAATTTTTCGCACGTGTTAACGGTTGTTGCGTCTACCAGGATATTGGGCCCGACTCTTCGAGGCCCAAAAGCCGTGATTCTGTCTACCACGGATTTCCATAGCTCCTTGTCATCTTTAACTTGCTCACTGAACAATTTCTCGAGTTCTGCACGGAACTCTTGGAGAGAGAGGGTGCTGCCCTCACGTGTCTCGCCGCTAGCATCCGCATCGGCTGACTCGACTTGCTGTCCATTTTCTAGAGTACCCTCAACTGGGTGTTCAGGGTCAGGCTTCGCCTCGGCGACAGAACGCTTCCCAGACTGGAGCCGCTTAATGGTGCCAACCTGCTTGGTGAGGAAATCCGTCACGGTCTCTGGCAGCGGGACAACGCATAGCCGGACCGTCATCTGCTTTGAAGCAGAGACCGTCAACACACCCCCGCGTCCCAGGTCAGGGTTCTTTGGCGGGGCCATCTCTAGAGCGCTGACGATAGTTTCACGGTAGGGCACGATGGCTTCACCCGTCTGGATTTCGCATCGGGCAAACCGCTCACGTAGGTCTTTGACGCAACGCTCTAGGTGCAGTTCGCCTGCTGTAAGGATAACATGTTCACCACTGGGCAGCACCTCGTACTGCGCACAGGGGTCGCTCTGCTCAAGGAGACGCAGACCCGTCACCATTTTGCCCAGATCTGCTGGGTTAACAGGCTCAAGGGCGACTCGGACGATGGGAGGAGTGTTCAGTGAAACACCCGCCAGGTTGATGCTTCCTTCGAGCTGGCTGCAGAGCGTCCCCGTCTTGAGTACATATCCGGCGAGACCACCAATCCCAAACACCACACCGGCTGGTACGGACTGGAGTGGTTCAAGGCTCCTCCCCATCAGCAAGTACAAGTCCGTGACAGTGACCTTTTTTGGCTCTGGGCTTGCGTGTGGGTTTGCCGGCGAGAACTTGGGCGGCAGCACGTAGATTGAGTCACCCACCGACAAAGTCCCTGAATAGAGTCGAGCAAAGCCAATGAGATGCTCTGGATCCTCCTTCTCTCCAGCATCTTCCTCTTCCCCCTTCGTCTCCTCCCTGATCAGAGACGTGTTTTCGAAGGCTGATGTCATGCGCGCAAAATCATCTGCTTGTCCAGTACTAGACTCTGCTTGCATTTTTGCAATCTCTTCACGCTTGCGGCGAGCAATTTCTCGGGCCTCATCCGCAGTCATGGTAGTGCCGCTTCGCCTCTTGCTTGAGGAAAGTTCGCTTTCGGGGATGGCGACCATCTTACTCACATATGCCACCACGGGCTCCTCGGAGCTTGTCCTGAAGTTCACCATGGCTTGCTTAACGTCATCAGCCACAAGCGAGGAACCTGGTGATTCTTCAATCATTTCGGGCAGTCGAGCGGCCTGGGCAGATGGAGGACTCGGGAGATACTCGATCACAGAAACGAGCAGAGCCGTAGACAGTGGCAGCCATGCAGAAAACAAAGTGGTCATGATGTTTTTGGGGTCGCGAGAGCGTAGAATGTATGGTGGGATAGTGATGTTCAACGACTTGGTGATTTTCTCCAACAAAACGGGATCTCTGGTCAGAGTTAGCGAATTCCCTGGTAGCAATGCATCTATCTCTCTCGAGTTACCCTTTGCCCTTGCCTCCTCCTGTGGTAGCTGCATAGGCAGCCCAGATACTATCCAGAACCAGCTGCACAAACATGGGTTTCAATGCCCTCCCTTTTAGGTGCTTTTGACCTAGCACTCGTTTTGTCTTGGGATCCAAGAAATAATCACCCCAAAGCACTTTTTCCAAGACTGTCCGCTTAATTCCGAGTTTCTTCTCGTAGATAGCGGCAAACTGTCTGATTGTAAAGGCCCAGCCATCCACTGCGCTGCAGAAGATGACGTTGTTTTTCTCGGGTGCAAAGTAAAGATCCTCGTCATCGCGCTCTTCAAACTCGGTCGCCTCGCTGATACTCTGGACAGACTCATCATCTACGAGCTGCTTCTTGGCTCGGTCTTTGTCTCGAGCCGCTGACGCATTGATGCGATCTTCCATGCGCTCGCGCCATTGCAAGTCTTCCTCCATTCGTTCGCCCTGGTAAAAGCTGCCGATTACGGCATTGACCTGTTCCAACAGTCGGGTGAGATGCGAGAAAGCCTCAGCGGGACTCATCATAAGCTCTGTGACGAGCCGGTCCATTTTGTTAATAACCAGGATCGGCTTCAGCTGCTCGACCCAAGTCTGCCGCAGCACTGTTACTGTCTGACTGCAGACTCCCTCGACTGCATCGACGAGGACCACTGCACCATCACACAGGCGTGATGCCGTCGAGACCTCGCTACTGAAATCGATATGCCCCGGCGAGTCGATCAGGTTGATCAAGTACTCCTTGGGCACAGGCGCCGCGTCCGGGGCTGGGCGGCGGAGCATCGAAAAGAACAGCGAGATCGCCGAAGATTCCATCGTGATGCCTCGGAGCTGTTCATCTGGCCGCGAGTCCAGGTAGCGGATCTTGCCCGCCAGCTTGGGCGAAATGATGCCATTGGTGGCTATCAGACTGTCCGTCAACGAAGTCTTGCCATGATCCTAGAATGAGGAAAAAATGATCCCAGGCGATTAATATCAAGAAGAAAAGAAATTTGCCCATGGGCGTTGCGCCGGTCTGGTAGACTTACGACGTGGGCCAGAATACAGATCTAGAGGTTTGTGGTTAGTATGGGCCTGACATCACCGTGGGATGGAGGGGCACTCACATTTCGAATGTCCTCGGGTTTCCGTTGCAGACGGACGAGCTCATCGACATTGACCACGGGCATTTTGACTAGCACTTACCATGCCTGATCTCACTGTTGAAGGTCAAAGAAGGCGAGGGTGGTGAATGCGCGGGAGAAAAAAAAATTGCTGATAAATGGGGCAATACAAGACACGCCCTTGGTCGACTGGGATACCACTCGAGAAATTTTTTTCGTCTTTTCTTCTGGAATAGATTTACTAAAGGAAATTTATGGAAATTGTTTAATGTGTTCCTGAGTCTATTCTCATTTGCTAATGACTATGGCTTGGGGCTGTGGAATCGCTAGGATGACGCTATACAACCCTGCCTTGTTTTGACTCATGAGTCGTTCAAAAATCCTTCTTCGCGATGAGTCGACGGTGACTCTGGTCCAGCAGAGTTGACCGAGATCCATGCTTTCCGATTGATTATTCTTCATCGAAGGATAGCTTGATCTTCTTCTGCTTCTTGGGTTTCCGCGAAGTTGGGCCCTTGGGAGGTGGCTCTTCGGGCTCTTCAGGCTCTGCCTTGTCTTCGCCCACTACTTTTGCTTGTTTTCGTTTCCTCTGGCCGCCAACCTCGGTGAGATTGCTCTGTTTAGTGCCAGTGGACTCTGTTTGAGAGGATGCTGGGTTCTCTCCATCGGATTTGTTCTCGAGCGCCTCTCGCTCTTTTTGGTCGCTCGCACCCACCAGGGCCCGGTATTCCTCCTTGGAAATCACTTCGTTACTCTCTTCATCGACATAGGTGGGCTCATCATCCTCTTCGTCCTGGCGGCTCTTGAGCTTTCGCGGTCGCTCGACTGGTCGTTCTAGGCGACCGGTGGTATTCCCGTACTGGCCTCGGAGCTTCTGGAGGAAAGCGGGCTCCTTTGCCTCTGAGAAATAGGTGAGACGGGTCGGAGATCAAAAGGTTAGACACAACCAACCGTATGCCAGCTTCGAGTTCTTCGACATGGTGACACTATCGAATGCTTGGTGTGATATTCAAGCAAATTTCATGCTGTCCTCGCAAAAATCAAGCCTGTAGATCATTGAGAGCCTCTCATTATAAATTTCAGAGCCCGCGACAAAGAGATTTTGCGGCGACAAGAGAACGAGGGAAGACGAGGTTGGAGACACCGCGAACAGCTCCAGGCGCTAAACCGCAACGGGACACATCGAAAAGTCCAAAGGAGCCGCTCCGCGTCGACTCCTCCCCATCAACCTCCCATCCACCTCGATTCACCATGCTTTGTGCCAGTGAGTAGCTTCTCGTCTATTGCGCTTGGAATATTGCGTTTGCGCTTTGTTTTTCACTAACTAGCTTTCAATTCCAGTCTCCGGCGAGGCCCCTCAAGTGCCCGTCGTCTCTCCCAAGAGCGGTAAGTCCATCAATTCGCCTTTCGCGCAGGACGCCCATCTCATTCCCACGCAGGCAGTGTGTTCGAGAAGCGTCTCGTTGAGGCCTACATTGCCGAACATGGCAAAGACCCCGTGAACGGCGAAGAGCTCACCGCCGACGATCTGATCGATGTCAAGTCACAGCGCGTTGTCCGGCCCCGGCCTCCTACCCTCACTTCCATCCCTTCCCTTTTGAGCGTATTCCAGGAGGAATGGGACGCTTTGGCTCTCGAAACATATACACTGCAGCAGAATCTGGCACAGACGAGGCGCGAGCTGAGTTCGGCCCTCTACCAGCATGACGCCGCGGTGCGAGTGATTGCGCGACTGACGCAAGAGAGAGATGAAGCTCGGGATGCACTGTCCAAGGTCACTGTGGGCGCTACTCGCACTGCCGCTGCGGGCGGCGGCGAGGCGATGCAAGTGGACTCCGCGGGCTTGCCCCAGCAAGTATTGGAGCGGGTTGAGAACATACAGGCAGCGTACGTGAAATTGATCTTTCCGATGCTGTGGTCGAAGCTGACTTTACTCTTTCCAGACTCTCAAAGACCCGCCGCAAGCGCCCGGTCCCCGAAGGCTGGACCACGAGCGACGCCATCTCCGCATTCAAACCCATTGAGACCTCCGAACCCCTCTACCCTGGTGGACGTGCCCTGTCTGTAAACTCGAGTGGCGAGCTTGCTCTTGTGGGTGGTTTGGATGGTGTGGTCGGGGTCTATTCTCTCCCCCAGAAAGCCGTTGTACAGACTTTGAAAGCCGACGGCCCGGTCACCGATGCGACCTGGGCAGGTAACAAGGCCGTTGTTGGTTCATCCACGGGAACAGTCAAGGTTTTCGAGAATGCCAGTGAAGTCGCAAGCTTCAGTTCTCATGCCGGCGAGGTGACTGCCCTCGCTGTACATGCTACGGGTGACATTGTTGCCTCAGTCGGTGTCGACAAGAGCTACGTCCTCTATGATCTGTCGACGAATGCCGCAATCACTCAGATTTTCACTGATGCAGGTAAGCAATGCCTTTGAAATTGTTTATTCGAGTTGGTATCAATGCTAACAATTCTTCAGCCTTGTTGTCGGTCAACTTCCACCCTGACGGTCACCTAGTTGCAGCTGGTGGTGCAGATGGCCAAGTCAAGATCTTTGATGTCAAGACTGGTGCCGCCGCTGCAGACTACGCGATGTCTGGCCCAGTCAAGTGCTTGTTCTTCTCCGAGAATGGTACCTTCTTGGCTGCAGTGGCCGGCAATTCCACCACTGTCTCCATTTGGGATCTGCGCAGCTCCAAGGAAACCAAGGTGCTGGACACGGGCAGCCAAATCAACTCGATTTTCTGGGACTACACCGGACAATTCCTCTTGACTGGTGGCCCTAGTGGATTGACTGTTCAGCAATTTTCCAAGACATCCAAGGAATGGTCGGAACCCTTGCGCAGTGCTGTTCCAGCACGTACTGTGGCATGGGGATCAGCCGCTCAGAGCATTGTGGCATTGAATGAGGAGGGTGTTGTCACAGTGCTGGCGGCACAGTCATGATCACAAGAAAAACACCATGTAGTTTTAGAACTAGTCGTCCCTTTGAGTTTCAATGGTGTTTTGTCTGCTTTCTGAGTCCTCTTCACCTCTTAATGCATTCTATCAATCATCCTGTTTTCTCCCTCTTCCCAACTCTTTGCCCCTTTCCCACATCTTCAAATACTACATATCCCTCAGCCATCCCACCAGGCAGGTGGTATTTAATACAGACTGCCACTGTCAGCCACCAGGACTTGCCCTTATCCAACACTCATTCATACCCTCACCGCCCATCCACTGTGTTCATTGTCCGGCAGATCCTTACCGCTCGGAGACTCGGCGTTTAACCACCACGGCCGCCGTCGACTCTACCTCTTCCATTATGCAGTCTTGGCCATTTACGCCACTCGACCAAGAGTTTTTCCACATTACCTCATCTGGGAACCGCGATCTTGAAATGAGTGAACCTGGTGTTCAGATAATGGGCGCCAGGTCCAAGGTAAGTGATCATCCACCTCTCAAAGAGTGGGGCATTCCAAGAGTCGATAGCTCAACTAACCAAGTATCTTTGACTCCCAGCGCACACCTCACACACCTCATCAAATGTCAGAAGAAACAGATGAAAATGGCCAGCCCTCATGGCATCACCATTTCCATCCACCTCCATCCAATATGGCCAACGATCGTGCACCTCGCTTGCCACCCATACATACCCGTAATTCATATGACTTTCGCCGACCGGCACCGTTGGCTCAGGAAGACGAGGTGATCGACCTGACCGCTGAGCCTGAGACATCTCCTCCACGGACTCCGAACAGGCACCCAGATCACCGGGGTTCTGGCAACGGGAGACAGCCTCGCTTTGAAAGAGACATCATGGCGGATATTGTGGATCTTGAAGAAGGGTCTGATATCTCAGCAGAGGCCTCATCCAGCAGCAGCCCAGAGGTGCAATTTGTTGGGGCCACAGTTCGCCAGCAACCGCCAAATATCAGTGCCCTCCCTTCCTATTCTTTATTTAATCCGTCTCTGTTGTACGGAGCACCCAATCCATTCGCTGAATCAAGGTTACCATCATTTTTGGGGTACCGCCATGCTCGCCACGCCCGACACGCCAGAAACGCCAGAAACGCCGGTGTGCCTCTTGGATATATGGATGTGGATAGATTCTGGGTCGGCGATTCCCAACCAGAGCCCCTCCTCGACTTGAATGTTTCCCTGGACTATGATACACCGTCTTTTCCTCTAAATACCCCGAATCCTCAGACCAATCTTTCCCGTCGCGATATATACAAGGCCCCAAGCCCTGCGCCGCAAGGCTTCACCCGGACGATCGGGGAAGACGACATGGCAATTTGCCCCAACTGCTACGAGGAACTGGGCGTTGGTGAGGGCAAGAAGCAGCAGATTTGGGTTGCGAAACCTTGTGGACATGTGTGTTGTCCCTATAGTCCTGTCCGATCCACCTAGTCTGCGAAGCTAATGCTAATACCCACGGTAGGTCTATTGTGGCGAATGCGCAGAGAATCGGTCTGTCTCCAAGGCTAAGAAGGCTACCCAGAAGACCAAGCCTTTCTCCAAGTGCCAAGTCGTGGACTGCGGCAAGTCCGTGAGCCCACCCACGGCCATGTTCCACCTTTACCTATGATCTTCTCGAGGCGCTCTTTTGGGCACGCATTTGCATGATGGCGGTGTTATCGGATGCCATTTAGTTTTATTTTTCTCTTCGATACCCTGGTTGCATGGAACTGGAGGGCGTTTCTCCCAATTCCTTTTGCGGTCTAATTATGATTTTCATGTTTTTGCCAACTCGTTTTCCTCTTGGTTGCCCTGTTGCATCCGAGGCAAGCATTTAGAAGAGCACGTAAGGGTGATTCGCCGATGATAGAGCTGGGGCCAAAGTATAAGCCAGAAGAAATGCTTGTATATGGCCCTTAGGGCCGTTGGGTCTTGTACATTCCGGGATTCCCACTGCCAACACTAGTCACCTGTCAGAGACCGCTTGAATTCCCGAACAAGTACTGTATGTACTTCCCTCTTATCTATTTGATTTGATCTGAGTTGGGGTTGTTCTTTTCCAAGCATCCCATCATTGTCACCGTCCCTTGAGGAACCCCAGATCTGCTTGTCAACAAAGCTTAAAGAATTGATCCGGAGATTCGACTTCGATGTGTTCACACATCGCTCAAAGAACCCAGTTGGCTTTGCGAGCAGTTCCTACAATGAAGAAATGAATAGAAATAAAGACATGGTCAATGCCTGCCAATAATACACAGTAAGGCGCAATCGAAGAGCCCCATCATTCGCTGTTCACAAGTATTAAAAAAAAAAAAGAAAAGCAACAGAATCAACACCAAAAATTTATACACCGCGCAGGTCACCATGGTATGGTGACCAGATGCCTCGCACACTGTCGTTGGTACTCGTGACAGGCTTCTTCGTCCGCTTCAGCTTCTCCCCACTGGCGTCCTTGAGGAGAAGTGTTTGTTTGAGGATGTCGGAGGGTTCGAGGTTGCGGACACAGATAGTCTTATCCTTGCCATTCACGAAGTGGCCTCGGATGATGGGGTGCTTGCGCGGCCGGGGGGCAACTCGGATCTCAATCTGGGGGTGTTCACGGGCGAACGCCGGAAGGTTCTGGCGCAGGAATTCGCTTCGTTTTGTCAGTACTAGAGAAACCTCGATTCTCCCCAACAATTCCTTCCATAATAACTCACTTCATGCCCCGCGAACTGCCAGCCCAGTCACAATAGTGGAAATCAAGACGTTTGCATTGCAAGATGAAGGCGCCGACGCCATTCTGCGGGGAAATACCTGGTCAGCTCTCTGAGATCCGGACAATGGAGACTCCATCCTTCAATAAACATACTCTGGCCGCCGTAACCGTCCTGAGCGCTTGCACCGGCATTGCTGTGGAGAGATGGTCGGGAGGGCGGTCCAGTTGCGATGGTCGGGGACTTTCTTTTTCGCCCGGGCGGTGAAAAGCGGCCGTCGTCTGGGGCTCCCGTGACCACCTCCCTCGCACGCTACCGACGCGAACTTCTCTCTCCTGAGGGTCTTGGTGTCGCAATCTCCTGTCTTCATCTGCTCGTCAGCTGCAATTGAACAGGGGTCCACCATGACGGACAAGCTACCACCCCCTCTCCTGGCTCTCTTCCAGCCCCGGCCACCCCTTCGCTATCTTCCTCCAACCGACCGCGCTCCAGAGGACGTCAAGAAGAGCACCATTTCCGGCGTGGCCCAGTTTCTCCCAGCAGCCCAAGACTTTAAAGAAGAAGCACCATACAATGCCACAGACTGCTGGCTGCAGCGCAAAGCGCGCCAAAAGGTGGAGAAGAAGGAGCGGTTGGCCAACCAGTTGACCCAAGGCCTGCAGGACTGTATGCTTCAATTTCCATTGCGCAACGCCAGGTCCATGAAACTAATGAGCGTTCTTTAAAATAGATACACCCGACAAGGATCCACAGGCTAGAGGCGACCCGTACAGGACTCTCTTTGTTGCACGACTTAGCTATGATGTGAAGGAATCTGACCTGGAGCGCGAGTTTGGCCGCTTTGGTCCCATTGAAAGAGTGAGAACTTTTTTGGTTCGCTCTATCGGATCTTGAAAAAAATGCTAACATCATCGATTTAGATTCGCATCGTCGCGGATCCCGAGTCAACCAAGAAAGCTCATCGGGGCTATGCGTTCATTGTATACGAGCGCGAAAAGGACATGAAAGGTATTGCCACTTCACCTGTCTCGCTTACACTTACTACATCCCCCAATCTCAATTCGTGGTAAGAGAACTCCTTGCTGACACAGTGACCCCCAACCTCAGCGGCCTACAAAGAAACAGATGGAATCCGGATCAAAGACCGACGAGTTCTGGTAGATGTGGAGCGTGGCCGTACTACCAAAGGGTGGAAGCCCCGTCGCTTTGGCGGCGGTCTTGGTGGACGTGGATACACCAAGGCACTACCATCACGCCCCATCGGGCCTGGATTCAACGCACCATCTGGACCGGGTGGCTTCGGTGGCGGTTTCCGGGGAGGTTTCGGCGGCAGAGGCTTCCGTGGAGGATATCGTGGCGGCGACCGCTTTGGTCCTCGCGGGGGAATCGGATACCAGGGTGGCCGCAATGGCTTTGGTGGACCGCCCCCTAATGCCCCCTCAGGTCCTGGCGGTGGACGCAGTGGAGGATTCGGAGGTTCTTACGGTGGTGGAGGCAGATATGACCGCGGGGTCACAGGCAGCAACCGGGAGCCTGTGCGACCGCGTGAGGGCTACTCTGACCGTGACCGTCGTGACCATGACCGCGACCGCGAAGGTGACCGTCACAGGGACCGCGACCGCATGTCAGACCGAAACGGAGACCGCTACCGAGACCGCGATCGCGACCGATACGGTGGTCGGGAGGAGTATAGCCGCAAGAGACATCGTGAGGATGATGGATACGACGACCCTCGTTCCCGGAGAAGATACTAAATCCTGCTCTTGTTTTCTTCTCGCGTTCTCCCTCTTCAAACCTGGTCTGCTGGTGGGTATCCCTGGTGTAACTTGTCTTTTGTCCTGGCTTTCCCAAGGATAAGAGGGTGCGATGAGAGCAACTTCGACACCCGGGCTCACGATGCTCGTGGCTATCGATCTAGGGGTACTCATTCACTTCTCTGTCTAACCTGGTTCCAAAGTACCGAGGTATCTTCATCCCATCCACCCCCGGCATACAGACGTTGGTTGGGACAGGTCCAAACCCTCTCATGGATTGTTCTTGTATTCCCCTGGTTTGCATTTCATTTATTTGTTTTGTTTCTTTTTCCCCCTCGGTGTTTTCCTTCTTTGCTTGTTGTCTCATGGTTATGGTTTCAATGGGACATCATTCTCCGGGGTAAGTATGTACTTTAGTCGAAAATCGATCATGGAATCCGGTGACGCTCAGGTAAGACCAGGTAAGGGCAATGACTGAAAAAGCAGCCGTGTTGGTAGCAACAAAATTCAGACAATGCTTCTATCAGTTTCTCAGAAAGGCATATAGGCAGTAGACTTTTTTTATTCGATCTAGTATCCATGTCCAATTCATATGCTCATCAACAGGGTGTGCAGCATGCTGATCAAAGGAGAAAATGAAAATAGAGGCGCCCGCGCCAAACTCCATAAGATGCCCAGAAGAAGCTTTTGTCTCTCGGCCACATAGAAAGATGAAAAGCCAGAGAAAGAGAGAGAAAGAGGGAAGGTAAAAAAAGCTCCACTTCTACGCATCAACCTCCATCCCACCCTGGTTCTCCTCCAAAATCTTGACCTCGCCCGTACTCCGCGTCCAGTAAGCCTTCAAATCGACCTTGAACTCAGAGGACGTCACCCCAAACATCTTCAGCAGAGTCGTCTGCCGCGAGTCCAGTGTTTCACCTTCCCGGCACACCTGGTACCCTTCCTGGTCCTCCGTCAACTCAAGCGACACTTTCCCCTTGACCAGGCGGGTCGGCACGCCCAGCTTGCGCAGTGCCGGCTCGATCGTGTGGCTGATAGGCTCGTCGTCTTCGGTGGGGATCTCGCCTGCGCGCGAGTAGACCAGCCCGTTGGGGATGCTGAACGAGCGCGTGGCCTCGGTGCCGGCTCGGGCAAAGTCCTGCGGACGGAAGTTGTCGAAGAAGCTGGTCACTGACTCCGGGGTGCGGGAGGTGAACAGGAGCCCGACTGCGCCGCTGAGGTAGGGCGTGAGCTTGTGCAGATTGTCGGCGGCCTCGGTTTCGGGGTTGTTGCCGAGAGCCACGGCCATGACTTTGGTTTTGCCGAAGAAGAGACTGGAGCAAAGGGGAGATGTATTAGTCAATTGCTTTGTTGCGAAGATATTCAATATGTTGGTTGTTGGGATTGATATAAGGCTGCTTTTTGCTTTTCGGGTCCAGATCTTTGACCAACTCAACCATATCTGGGATCAAACTTGAATTGCAAAACTCACCGGCTATCGGCAAATTCAGTGCGCACATCCTTCAGATAGGTGTTGCGCATGTTATCCACCGCAAAGACAAACAGATGATCGTATTCCTCCACACATTCTCGGATATTGGCATACAGCCGGCGGGTCTGTTCCTTGTGGGACTTCTTGGTAGTCTTGGACTCGTGGACAACGCGCGCACGCTTTGAACGAGGCATGGTGAGCAAAGAATCGGATTGTGCTTGATGGAAGTGAAGCCCCCACAGATATTTTTTTTCTTCGTTGATAACCGGACTAACCCTCGGCCCGGGCTTATCCAACGCTAACCCAAATGGGGCAACCAGCTGGGGATCGCGCGTTCGCGGGCTCTCTCGTCCTATCCACATTCATTTCTCTGGTGTGTAGAGATCCTGCGCCGAAGATCCAGACAATGCTGGACTTTATGGATTACATCCAGCTGTCCTTTGCTGAGGCAACTCACTGGAACCGCGACAACTCATACTCATCGCTGACTACTACCGCCCAATGTATGTGGCCTTGCACTTCAGGGATTCTATACCTCAAACAAGATTCTCGCGTCTGACTTTCGGTTATAGCAATTTTGGACTTCTCGACCCCTGAGCGGCTGCGCGTGCATCTCTCTTCCTTATCCACACCCCACTTTGCGACAAGCTATACCCTCGGGACTGTTGGGTTACTCGATGGATCTGTGTCATATTTGTTCAGCACGGTTCCCTTTCACGATACCCCCAGCCGAAGCGCATTGATTCCGCTGCGAAAGATATCTCCTGGCTACCGTCAAGTACAAGCTCCGGTAGTCCCCTCGCAGACCTGGGGATGGGATTCGTTACTAGACGGTGTGGGCATCCCCGGGCTTGCGGCGGGGTCGCGCTCAGGGCCGGAAGAGCACGATGATAGCAACGATGCTAAGGAAAACGGGGCACACCGCAAGGCAACTTTGCTTCATGCCTCCCTGCACTTACCTCCTCCGACTACGCTTTATGCGCTGTTCCTGCGCCGCATCTCTCCAACCATGCAGCTCTCGCTGGCCGTCTGTTCCACTCAGGGCCCGCCTCTGTCCAAGTCTGCGCCGCAGGCATCAATGCTAACGCAGCTGTCCCACGACACGGGAAAATACAGTAACGAGTACTTGTTTAGCACGGACAATGCTCTGTTCGGCTGGCGCGGGCTGTGGAACTTCGGGCCTGATCCTCGACAAACTCGCGACGGCGCCCCGCCGCTGTCGCTTCTGTCTGCGGGCGCAGAAGCGTACTACTCGCCCATCTCCTCGCTGATCGGTATGTCGACCGGTCTGCGATTCACCACTCTCCCCGCAGCCACGGAGGTGCCTGCATCCTCACTACCCTCATCACCGTCCTCTCCTGCATCATCATCATCCTCCTCATCTCACCCCGCCCCTATCTCAACCTTCCCCTACACCCTCACCCTCACCCTCACCCCAATCACCGGTTCCCTCTCAACAACATACTCTCTACGCGCTTCGCCCAATCTCTCCTTCAGCTCCCGCTTCGGCTTCAACGTCTACAGCTGGGAAAGCGAGATGGTCGCCGGCTGCGAGCTCTGGCGCCAACCCTCTACCTTTTCCTCCAAGACCCACGATCCCAGCGATGACGGGCTGGAATGGGCCCGCCAGAAAATGCGCCTGCATGATTTCTCCACTCCAATAACAACCCCGGGCTCCCCGTCGTCCTCCCCACTTCTGGCCGACCCGGCTCATCCCGAGTTTACCCCGGTCAAGTCTGCCGAGCCCAGCGAGCCCGAGGCCAGCGATTCTGTCGTCAAAATCCGCGTCGACCAGTCCTGGAATGTACGGTTGCTCTGGGAGGGCCGCGTCAAGGAGCTTCTGGTCAGTGCGGGTGTCGGGCTGGGCCCGGGCTCGTTCTCGCCGTCGCCCTCTGTGTCGTCAGCTTCGCCCGGTCATAGTGGAGGCGGTGGTCCGGGGGCTTCGTACTGGCGCGGTGTTGGGGTGTCAGTGCAGTATTCTTCATGAGGCATACGTCCTTCTGTCTTCTCTTTTACATGGGCCTGCGCAATTTACGCTGCTTGGCTGACATGCTCATTTTGCCCCCTGTTCCTACGACTGGCAGACATTCACATGCTACCGACTAGCTGTGGACTTTGTAAACTTCCAACATTGTACATAGATCATGGCAATATATTCGACACTCGAAGCTTTTTCTTCATCTTCTATCTAGTGCGACCCATCTGTAGCCGAACCGTTTGGACGACAGGGGGCACTGGTGGGGTATCAATTGCTCGATCAAACCCCTTAGATACGGGCGTTGACAATGTCGACGACTGGTATGGGTTAGCATGGCATGACAGTAAACAAAAAAGAGGATTAGGAAACGTACAGGCAGGCTTCAAGCTGGCACCGCCAACAAGGAAGCCGTCAACGTCGGGCTGCTTGGCAAGCTCGCGGCAGTTCTTCTCGCTGACGGAGCCACCGTAGATGACGCGAACGCTGTCCTGGGCATCGGCGGAGATGGCCTCGCCGAGCCACTTGCGAATGGCGGCGTGGACCTCCTGGGCCTGCTCGGTGGTAGCGACCTTGCCGGTACCAATAGCCCTGGAAATGATTATTAGCAATGATGTCTACATGTATATATATAGATTAGGGCAGCAATAGAGGAATCGGTCCTTACCAGACGGGCTCGTAGGCGATGACAACCTTAGCCCACTGCTCCTTGCTCAGCTCCTTGGCGGCGGCGTTGAGCTGCCGGGTGACGACCTCGATGGTCTTGTTGGCCTCACGCTCCTGCAATGTAACAACGGGTGTAAGCGGAAACATTCGTAAAACAATAGCCGGGGGTTGCCCGACGACCCACACCGGGACGAAAACGTGTTGCCGGGTAGAAAATGACGTACCTCCAGGGTCTCACCAATGCAGAAGATGACCGAGACGCCGCCCTCGACGGCGGCCCTGACCTTGCGGGCAATGAACTATTTGCATTATCGCGTTAGTCCGTTGGTCTATTTTGTATTGTATAGATGAATCTATAGCAGGTTGGGTTGGGGGTTGCACTATACGTACCTCATCGGTCTCCTTCAGGATCACTCGGCGCTCGCTGTGGCCGATGACAGCCCAGTCGATCTTGGTGTCGCGAAGCTGCTCAACGCTGATCTCACCGGTGAAAGCACCGTTGGGTTTGTCGAAGACGTTCTGGGCAGCGACACCGATCTTGGGGTCGGCGAGCTGGCGGGTCAGGGTGAGGTAGAGGGCGGGAGGGGAGATGACGACCTCGGCGGAGGAGTCGAGCTGGGCGGCGTTGAGGTTTTTCACGATGGAGGTGATGCTGTCAGCAACACCGTTCCTGTGTGGGAGTCAATTGCGCTGTCGTCGATGGACTATCGCGAGGAAATGCAGTGATGGAGGGGCCCCTTGAGGAACCGCGGGGCGGCGCGATTTGAGATGACATACATCTTGAAGTTACCTCCGACGAAGAATTGGCGAGGCATGTTGATATATGAATGAAGTGGGAAGTATTAAAAGGGGGAGATTGTCAGGGTTTCAGTAAAGATGCGATACAAGAGAAGAGTCGAGAGGAGGGGAGAGCGGGAAATAAATGGAGGGGCACGGCATGCCGAGCCCCGCCTGAATTATCAGGCAGTAATATCTATGACATAACGGATTTTCTTCCCTGGGCGTACACTTGGTGCCTCGATTTGCGGGTGATATTAGAGGAAATGCTTTTCATTTCAATAGAGAGATCTAACCAAAAGACTCGCGTGAGGTTTTCTTAAACAAAAAAAACATTGGTATGTTTGTTCTATCCGGTATGGATACAGATCCTCGCGAACATACATTCCTTGTTTTTCAGGGATATTTATTCGACAGTGAGTCCTGGGACCAGCCTATCTAAAGCTACGATTCAAATAAGCTGAGTCCTCCAGCTGCATAAATTTGCTAATTGACTATAAACATTATGAACAATCTCATCACAAGGAGAGCAAATTTACTACTGCCGTTCAAAGGAAAACTAAAGATCGAACAATAGCAAGCATAGGTTAGTCAAATTCCATTGCCTCTACTCCTTCTGAGAGTAACAGCAATCACAATGATACCTGGTCGAAGGGACCCGGGCAGGGTTCCGCCGCTCCAACTGGCGGGCCTCATCCATGGTCTTCCTGAGCATCCTCGCCTGCTGATCAACGAATTTCTCCCAGTGCTCGAGGCGGGCCTCACGGTGGTCCAGCATCCGAGTTCGAATATCATCATCATCCATCCTCCGGGCTCGATACCGGTCTTGGTCTGATCGCCGAGGGGAATTGACACGGCTCCTGTCAGATGTGTTGAATGCATAAGGAACAGACCTCCTATCATATCTCTTGTCGTATCTTCGGCTGAGACTCCGACTCTTTGACTTTCGACGGTAGTAGGGGCCATGGCCCGACTCACTGCGGCTAGGGCTGCACGACCGTTGTCGACAATTGGTGTTTGGTGACCGTAGCTTTTCACACTCAGACTCTGTCTCATCTGAGTCGTTTGTTGCCGAGCTTCCATCGGAGTCCTCAAGCATGGACTCATCATCATCATCATCGTTGCTTGCTTTAGATGACCATGCTGTCGAATTGCTATCAATGCTAGTATGCCTGCCATTCGCAGAGGCAGACGTCCGGCTTCCGGGGATAGGTGTGACTGTTGTAGTTGATTGGGACAAACTATCACAGGCATTGCGATCTCGTGCTAAGCCCACCTCAAAATTTGAGCGTGGGCTTCTCACATTGCCTTCTCTAGTTCCAGGGCTAGGGTGCTGAACTTGATCAAGGTTGCCCAAAGAGCTGGGAAATGATGTTGGTCGTGGAAGTGGTCCTTGAACCACAGGCCTTGATCCCACGGGTTGACTGGTAGCAAGCGGCGGGCTTTGCTGATACCACGGAGGAGAGGGCATTGCCTGATACCTGTGCTTAGTCGTGGTGGTCAGCGGCTACCAAGCTATTGTATAGAAGTGCCTGTTGCCCAACCTTCGGGAGTCATTTGCATGGGGCAGCAAGGCAATCCGTAGGTCCACCAAATCCCCCATTGGTGTTCTTGGGTGGGATCGAGTCTTCATGGGTCTTTTCAAGAGAATAATATCCATCGAGACCGTTTCATAGTCTCCGCGACGAGCGTTGCGGGCCTTGAATGATCGTGCACACTCTTTGGCATAAACACAGCTCCACTCCACCCGCGAGTCACTTCGTCTTTGCTCGTCAATTAACTGGTTGACATGCACCTGTCTAATCTTGGACAGAGCTTGGAACTGCTGTGTAGCCGAGATTTTGGTGGCTCGTTTCTGAACCATCTTGAAAAGGTCGCTTTGGTTCAGATGCATCTGGGTTCGTTCTACCCGAGTCCAGGTCGCATTTCGCCCGGGGATTGGATCTGCTTGGAAAAAGGTGTATCCCTCGTACATGGATGTAATCGGAGCAGCATCAACAGAGGACTCCAGGCTCATCAGAGAAGTCTTTGGGGATCGGTCGAGTGGAACATGGGCTAGGGTTGGCTGGGGAGCTTGTTCCGGAGGTGCCTGCTGGACTTGGGGTTCTTGGAGGTTGATAGCAGTCATAGTTTCAAATTGATAATCGGGCCAGAGTTATAGTGGTTGAAGACACAACTAGCATTGGTCGCAAGAGAGAAAAGAAAGTCAAGTTCAAGGGATTTCTGGTGTGGAAAGAGTCAAGATTCCGAGGCATCTTTGCTTTTTATACATCTCTGCGCTCCGACCACCAAGTAATTGCCGTATAAAATACCACATGGGCTCATAATGCTGCACCCTGGTGCAGACAGAGCCTCATTTTTCCCAGGCGTTGATTGGGTTGTGGGATGAAGATCGCCTCTCAGCCGCACCATAAACAGGCATCTCCACGTTCTACATAACCCGGGCTCACCCCAGTCACCACTACACATGGCTATCAATCATTCTGTGACAATATGTGGTCGCTATTTTGGGCTTGTTACAGAACGGGGCAGACTATTTTTTATCGCACATCTTTGCTCCGTTGAAAGAAAACGCCTTCAGCCTCGAACTACACCCGTTCCGTGCACCCAGTTTCTCTACCCTTATTCAACTCCCAAGGTCAGCGTCAAGGCAAAACAAAGGAACTACAAATGGTCAAAAATAAAAATAGAAATACCAAGTATGTTTCATGGGATAAACATCTTGTTTCATTTCTCAAGGCATTGTTTTTCCCAACAAAAGGCCTCTTTGATGTTTCCTAGATTCTTTCTTCGCGTTTGGGAAACGTCCAAGTCTCTCAAGTAGTCGACTATGAAGTATACAAATCACCCCGAAAGCCTCCTAATCTCTCTCTCACTATCTTTCACTATTCCTCACATCGACCACCAAAATGCAGACCCCTTCAAGATGGCAGGACTCATTCGAAAAGATCCTAATAGAGTTTCTGAATCAAGACAGCGCCTTGACTCAATAATACAAACACCTCCACCGTGTCTTTCGAGCTCACTGGGAACATGCTTGGATTGTGCGAGGACCTGTGCTGATCTCACATTGTAATTGTGAAGGAATGAATGCCGGAGCACAGCGACATGATTCTAAGCAGTTTTCAACAACCAATGTCCTGGACATATCGGATATCTTGCTGTGCTACAATACTTTTGCACGTTCGCAGAGACTCTGCGGAACTCTTGAAAGCCATATGGATATCTATGGAACTATAGGCGCTGGAAGTATGCTCATCTTTCCTCCCACCACCTTCTCGCAAAGTTCATGCTAACAGAATACAGCTTTTGGTGCCGTGTTCATTGTCCGTGAGAGACATCTGGACAAAAGCCTCAGTAAAGACAAACTTGGGCACTTTGCAGTCAAGGTGGAAAACATAGCACACTCTTGGATCGTGCCCAAAAGAGCAGATCCACTCCAGATTTGGTGGAATTCGTGGAGCCTGACGGTTCAATTCGACTCATGCCTGCAGAAGCTTTTATCCTGTTTTTGCTAACTTGTAGTCCCCGGTTTCTCAATCTTAGACATTGTGAACTGACTCTGATTCCCGTGTTACAGACCACAATGATCGATCTAGGCAACGTTTACTTTGCGCCCGACGACAGAGTCTTCATGTTTCAGCAGGGCCATTGCCTTCCTTTTCGGGAGTATCAGGTGTGCCCCGATATGGCCAGAAAGCTGACAGAACAAAGTATACCCCCCACCAGATCCGCTCAGGTCCGCTTTCCTCACGATATCCGCCAGAGGTGCTTGTGGAAATTTGCTGTCCTGGTGTATGGCCTTCTTCACGTCTACTTTCCTTGGGATCAAGCTGACTACCCGCCCCAAGGCTTGACGTTAGATCAAGCTTGCAATCCTCGACGCATTCGAATCATCTATGACCCTTTGCACGTGGACTAGAGCCTGTCTCCAGAGTATGCTGACCTCCTGAAGGGAATGTTGGCCAAAGACCCTGCTGATCGCCTGACTCTTCTCCAGCTGAATGCACACCCGTGGTTTCAACGATGGAAAACGGCACCAGGTCCACTCAAAAGACCATTTCCCCGAAGATTCCATAACAATTTTGGTCAGTATAGCCATTAAAAAGTCCTGGACCCCCCGGTTGCTTGACTCCATGCCGATATTTGGCAGCCTGTGAGTGATAATTGTCCTGTTTTTCTTCCTTTTCCATGTCAGGTGTTTGGGTGTTTGTTTTTTTTTTTTTTGGTTTAGATTATTTATTGATTTATTTATTTCACTTCCAAACCAGAGAAATGCGCCAAAGTAGGGCAAGCCGAATGACATCCTGATTCCCCACTAGAAAGTGCGGCAATGCAGTAGGCAACAAGAACTTCTAAATTGCAACGCTAAAAGTAGTACTGTAATTAGATTGAAGGATTGGTCCACACGCATAGCCAGAAGAAAAACAGTCATAATTCATCGTCGAAGGCTGTCCAGCCTTGCTTGGAGGTCATCATCACTCGTATTGCCGCCACCCCCGACAGCCTGCGCGACCCGGGTCTCAGCCGCAGGTGCCTTCTGTATCTCAGCTGGCGTTTCGCCCATCTGTACCAGGTGTTAGTATATTCTGTGTTTACTGCCCGGTGGTGTTGGGGCGAAAGAAACGTACCGACTGGTTGAGGTCGACACCGATCTCGTCTAGCACCTCCTTGACAATATCCTCCCCTTCTTCTTCCTCGCCTTCCATTCCCGTGGCTTCATCGATTGCGTCGTCCATCATCTCTTGGCGTTGGTCCATCACATCGTTCTCTCGTTCGAACTCCATCGCGATCCGTTGCAGGGCTGGGAGGTTCATCTGTCGGTTCATACTGCCTAGAAGCATCGTTGCGCCCTTCATTGACTGCATCATCTGCTCATTACTGCGGACGGTCTGAAGAGAGCGTAAGCGCCATTAGAAACACAAGAAAATGTCAAATATAGAGTCGGGGGCTTTCTCGTACCTGGATTCGAAGGGAGATCGCCTGTAATTGCGTGCGCATTTGGTAAAATTTCTGGATATATCTAATCCCACCGGCGCGATCAGCTCAACTTGAAGATACACCAAGGAATCATTATCTGGGCAACGTACCGTCGTGTCCGGACGAGGTCTTTGGCCTGGATCTTGCAGGCGGCTGTCTGTCCATTCTTGGCGCTCTTCTTGATATCCTGAACCAACTTCTTCTCTTGGTTCTCCAGCTTCACGCGCTCCCGGTCCAACTCGCGTTGCGTTCGATCCAGGGCGCGCTGGTGTTTGCGTAGACGCTCCGCCGGCGTCATGCGCTTTCCAAACGCCCATTCGACGATCTAAACGAGGGTTTGGTGAGTTGCAAGAGCATCAGTATAAAGGTAGAATGTAGCTTACATTCATAATTGCGTGTCAGAATCAGCCAAGTCGATTTCAGCGAGAAATTTAAGGAAATCCACAAGTCAACCCGCATGTAACCAGTAGCGCAGTGACATCAAGTCGCTCCTCGTGGAGGCGGCGGGTAAAGATACCGTAAATGACAGTAATATTACCTCGAGTCACATGTGCCCTAAACCCCATTTGGTGTATTCATTCGATCTTCGAAATCTCCCCATCGACAAACATTCGCACCTGCATGGATCGCTCACCTTCCGACGCCTGTCTGTCATCATGAGCCAGGAGTACTACCCTGGTGAGGGATCCTCTGACCCGTCCAGGTTCCCTGGCGATGAACAACCACCGGAGAGCAGCCCTTTCGTTCCCCCGCCCGCTTACATGACTGTTGGCAACGGCTCGACTTCGGACAGTGCCACGGCCTTGATGGCGTCGCTGAACCATGATTCGGGCTATGGCAGCAGCATTGCCGGCGACAGCGCTATGGGTGCCGATGCACACGCCTCGTGGCATGCGGATCTGATGGAGGATAGACCGACCCCCGCGCATACTCCTACGCGTCCCGGCGAGTGGAATCCTGCCGGTAAGGGAATCGAGACCATAGACTCGAGATGGTTCAAGTTCAGATGATTAACAATCGCAGTGGAACATGAGAGACAAGTAGTCGCCAGCCATGTTCACCAACTTCTCTAGTATGTTTTACTGTGCTTGTCGATTTTCACAGTCCGAGCATGAAAGCTTACGGTAGTTTCGCAGCAACTCAAATCGGACCAAACTCGCTCGCGCGATTTCCAGGACAATCGAGACGTTGAAGGAGCTTCAGGACACCAACCGCCAATGGCCCGCCCACTACCCCTCTGTGCAAAGCACACCTCATTCCCCGTTAGACCGACCGCAAATACATCAAAGTCAATCCTATGCTGGAGATGGCGCAAGAAGACCCAGTACCACGCCCCGGCCTGAAATGAAGCGCGCTACGACCATGGGTGGCGAGGACCTAGGTGAATCTAGTACAGCTGCAGAACGCCGCCCAACCCCGGAGCCCCGATTGATGACACCACAGATTGCCCAAGAGTTCTCGATTTTGAAGCTTGATCTCAAATTGGGCGCTTTGTCGCAAGCTGAACTGGTGCATTCCCTGGAAAAGGCTTCCATAGCCTCGCTGCTCGATGGAAAGATCAGCCAAAGCATCAAACACCTTCTATCGCTTCGAGACCGAATCGAGGATACGTCGAGTAAGGTTTTGGTCACAGGTGATTTGAACGCGGGCAAGTCGACATTTTGCAATGCTCTTCTCCGGCGAAAGGTATTGCCCGAGGATCAGCAACCCTGCACCAGTATCTTCTGTGAGGTGCTCGATGCTCGCGAGAACAGTGGTGTTGAGGAGGTACACGCTGTACACAAAGATACGCAGTACAGCCGCAATGATGAAAGCACTTATGACGTCTACGCCATGTCCGAACTCGAGAACATCGTGATCGACAACTCCAAGTACATGCAATGCAAGGTTTACGTGAAGGATGTACGCTCCATTGACGAATCTCTTCTCAACAATGGTGTGGTCGATATTGCCTTGATTGATGCGCCGGGCTTGAACTCGGATTCTTTGAAGACAACAGCGGTTTTTGCCCGCCAAGAAGAAATCGACGTCGTGGTCTTCGTGGTCTCTGCGGCAAATCATTTCACCCTGTCTGCAAAGGAATTCATCTTGAATGCTGCACATGAGAAGGCATACATTTTCATGGTGGTGAATGGGTTCGATCAGATTCGGGACAAGCAGCGATGTGAACGTATGATCTTGGATCAAGTTGGCAAACTCAGCCCACGCACATACAAGGAGTCCGCCGAGCTGGTCCACTTCGTTTCGAGCAACGCCATTCCGGTTGCGCTGCCTGTCTCAGTCTCTCAGTCTGGTTCTGGGGGTGGTGGGGATGGAGGTAGCTCTGACCCTCATGATGATGATGACTCGCACGACGGCAAGATTGATCCCAGCAAGGACAAGGGCAAAGGTAAAGAAAAGGAAAAAATCCAAGACTTCGAGGATCTTGAGGGAGCTTTGCGACGCTTCGTCCTCGAAAAACGTTCTCGGTCCAAGCTTGCGCCTGCTAGGACTTACCTTCTGAATCTTCTTGCCGATCTGACCTCGCTTTCTACGGTCAACCGCGATGTTGCTCAGTCAGAGCTCAAGCGAGTGACTGATGAGCTGGCAGAGCTGGAGCCTGCATTTGAGAATGGCAAAAAGAAGAAGGGGGAGCTGACAGAGGGTGTTGATAAAGCCATCGATGCATCATGTGAAGATGTGTACGGCCACACCCGATCTACCCTCACGGATACTATCGCACGGGTTTCCGAGGCGGATCTCGGTGTTGAATACCCTGGTCTTTTTGCGGTGTTCCAATACGCAGAGGACCTGAAATTCGCAATGCTCGACCAAATCTCCGCATCCGTGTCGAACTGTGAGAATTATGCCCGTGAAAAGACCGTACAAGGAGTTGGTTTCATCCAAAACATCGGTCTCCTGCACGTCGGCGAAGACAAATTTAAACCCCTCAACTTCCGCGCGGATATGATGTTCCGCCGGGGTCGGCGCCACACACTTGCTCGTCAAGTCGACGCCGAAGTTGACCTTTGGGACTTTTTCGACATTGCTGGTCTATGGGAGCGCCAGGAGAAGGTGGCAGGGACAGGTGTTGCCATGACTGCTGTCACTGTACTTGGTGGCAGAGCGTTTGGTGGATTCAGCTGGGTCGACAGCGCATTCAGTGCGGTCAAGGTCCTTGGCCCGAACAACTTGCGCCGGCTGTTCCTCCCTAGCATTGTTGCTGCTGGTAAGTCTTTTCTTTCCTCTCGTCATTCCCTTTGTTCTCATTTCCGTTTACTGACTTTGCCAAAGCCCTTTTGACCACAGCGTATGTGCTCTCTTCCATCCCGAGCACCCTGCCTTCTCGCCTCTCCCGGAAGATTGCCGCCACTCTCGCCGACATGGATTACGTCCACTCCAACGCGAACCGCATCTCTTCCGAGGTTCGCCGCATACTTCGCATGCCGGCTGCCAACCTGCAGACCAGCCTCGCTCAAGACATTGAGGACCTCGGCAAGCGTAAGCTGGAAGTCAACAAGACGAAACAGGAGAGTGAGGTCGCTGTCAAGTATTTCGCCAACTTGTTCCGAGAGAGCTCTGAGAACCGCCGCTCTGTCGAAGACTTGGACCTCGATGGCCCATTGCCTGGCGGCATGGCTGCCACTCTCGACACATGAGCCGTTCATTCACTCAAACTACCTTGTACAAAACAGTCATCGTTCCTTGCGGGGAGCTCTCCTCTTTCTGAACTTCAGTTTCTTCGCATGCCCTTCCACCATCCCACCTTCCCATGATTTGTACACTTTTCTCTGTTGCATTCTCTTTTCTTTTTTTCTCCCCACACAATCTATTCTTCGATGTCAGTGCCGCCAGTGTCCCTTGGGGGAAAAGATAGCACCGGCTTTTGTTGTATTCCATGGCGTCGGCGTACATCGGAGGCCATTCCAGTTTTGCACCCAAGATTCCCAAGTTCTGAATTGATATCAAGTTTTCGCTCAAACCATCTATTTAATAGTAGCTCTCAACTTCTTGTACCTCTGCTACTTGCTTCTCTAAATTTCCAAGGGTGACGAAAGCCTGTTGAACTTCTGAGGCCTCGTCTCATCCTTCTAAATGCCTTCCGAATGTCTTCATGGGTGATAATAAACCGAGCTAATCCTCGAAATTGCCCTGCTTTCTTTCTAGAAGCGCTATAAATGGCAGCAAACCCAGATCAAACCCCATGAATGCACCAGCAGGGCGCCACCCGCAATGCAATGTCGTGCAAGAAAAGGAACAAACAAAGAAACATCGAGAAAAGAAAACACTACATTCCCCCCATTTAATGGATCCACAACAAGCCGATTCTCTCATTCATTCATCATCAACATTGATAGGATGTTTTCTCGTCCTCCGACCAGAACCCCACCCGATATCCTCCAGCTCGCGAACCTCACCGACAAGAAAACCAGGCTCATCAGGCTTTGCAGTCTTCCCAGCTAACTTGCCAGCATTTCTCAAGAACTCCGCCCGCATAGCAGCAGCGTCGGGGTCCTCGTAGTCGAGTTGTGTCATTGGGGGCTCCTGGTTCTCCTCGTCCTCATGCTCGTGCTCACGAGGAAACGGGAGACGTTCACCCAGCAAATCCAGTTTCCCGCCACTGAGCATTGATGACAGGCTCTGATCGTTGCGACTATTGGTGCGAGACATGGAATTGTCCCGCGTGGGATGGGCGCTGTCCAAGGCGCTGCCGAGCCCATCATCGTTGAGGGTGTCGATGGAGCTGGCGCGCGAGGGTGCGCCCATGGGCTCGAGCACTCGGGTCGAGGAGTGTGACGGGGCGCGGCCCATGAGAGGCTTGCGCTTTCGGCGGGGCGGGTTGCTCCCGTCGTCGTTTGTTGTTACACTCTCCGTTTGCTGTCGTGATTTGGCTGCTCGGGCTTGTTGTAGCAAGCCGCTCAGCGCTGTATCTAATGCGGATGGGGCGGCGGATGCCGAATAGCTTGACGAAGGACGCACTGCGGTCAGTTCGTCAGTGGCTGGTGGGTTGGACGGGTTGGCAGGTGATGGGGACCGGGACTCTGGGATAGTCGGCTTGGGAGGGTTGTTGTCTTCCTCTTTGGAGAAGCCGTCGCCAATGATGGGCATTATCCGGTTCTTGTCGCTTCTCGGGGCTTGTTTCTCGGGCTTCACACTGTTGCTGGGCTCCACAGAGGAAGTGCCTGATCTATTTGCGCTGCCGCTGTTGATCTGATCTTGCGGTTGCTTTCGCGTTGCAGACCCACCTGTTGGCTTGTCCACGCCACTGCCCCGGTGGGATGTCGGTCGTCGAACAACATAGGGCTCAAACGGTTTCCTCTGCCCAGTTTGGATCGATATCCAGAACCAATCCGCTGATACCGCGGGGACTCCCCATTCACTAGTATGTCGAAGCTTGTCATGGCTCGCCGACTGAGGGTCATTACATAGTAGAACAGATGCTTTGGGTGTCAGATATTCATCGTATGAGGCGCCCATCAGGTTGACTAGCTTGGATAGATGCAACAGGTCAATGCGCGCAAAGCCAGTGGAGCATACGCGCATTCCCGAGAACCCTGGTATTATTAGAACTATTGACATGTGTAAAGCACTTGAAAAGATATCTCACCTGGGATAGGGAATCTTGGGAACGGTGTGCTTGCCACATGTGATTCTGGTGACACCAGAGATCGAGCATCGAGGCACCTTTCCAGCCACATGTCGGTCACGACCTCGCACTCGAATGCCATGTCATCGGTGGATGGCACCTCCGACTTTGGAGTTTTGTATGGCACAATGATGTACAGCCCGTGCCCTGTTTTGGGTATTCTAGGACTAGAAAAATCACTCAGAGAATCCACTAACTGAGCTCCATTGAATTGAAGGTGTTGGTGCAATACGCCAGTCTAGTAAAAGTTAAGAGGCGGCATCACAGGAGATAGGATAAGCACATACCTGTTTAGACGAAAAGCCATGGACGAAGAAATAAGAACCGTGTAGAAAGCCCACGGCTGTTTTTGAAGGTACAGTCGGCGGTTGGCGACTCTCTGCTGACTCGGAAAATGTAGTCTCGCTGGCAAATGACTTTGCTGCCTGAATCACAGGCTTAAAATTTTCAACTCCTTGGGGTCTCTGCTGGTCGTCTGCTGATCCTTTCGTTTCCCCATTTTCGAAGCCCGTACCGACGATGTCTCCCCAGATACCCTCATTCTGGTCGCGTAGCTTGGTGCTTGCGATTCGGCGCAGTTTCCTGGGTCGAGGATTCGACGAATCCCCTGCGGTTGCCTTTTCTTTTCTGGAAATCGCAGGTAAGGCACGGTTCCATGCCCCGACGCCTTGCTGCTCTGGCGGAACGTCTGGGTGATATCGACTCTCATCGAGAATCATTCCCCGCTCGAGGGAGTCGGTGAACCATTTTACGGTGACAGTCTTGATGTTCCATTGCGTTGCAAACTTGTATTTTTCTCCCTCTGTGTTGCGCGCAATCAGATGGGTCACACTTTTGGTCAGGTCCTTGCGAAAATCTGCCCCATTCTCCGCAACCGTTTTCTGCATGTAGGCCCGGAAAGCCACTTCGGTACATTCGTCAGCCAAGTTGCGTATCGTGCCATGGAGTTCCGTTAACCCACAGTCCGAAAATCCAGTGATGCATATGGTAAGTCCTGAGAACGCGGGCAGTTTGTACTGTTCCTCGAGTGCGTGAATATCCGTGTCTTCTCCCTGTCTCCACGAGTTTCGGACAGCCTCGATCCATTGCGGGGTCATCACCAGCACATCGGTACGTTCTCGCGCAACAAAGTGATATTTCTCGGTATTAATGTCTCCGACGATCAAATGCGTAACGTCTGAAGTGAGATCGAGTCGGTGGGTTGCACCCATTTCCTCCGCGCTCTTGCTCATTGCATCCTGCGCCAAACCAGAGCGTCAGTCAGCCATTGAATCTACTCCCGCCGGGATCTTGCACTCATACTCTTTGCTCAAGTAGTATCGACGTAAAGCAAAGGACGACGCCCGTGAGCGGGTACTCCTTGTCTATGAAGATAGCGCGTTAGCACTCCACTTGCGAGGTTGGACAGAAAGAGCGTTCATAGTACCCGAGGCATCCATCGTTGCCATTCTTCATGGTCGGCACGTCCCAGACTTGCTCCCCAATTGCGTGCCAGGCGAGATGTTCTTGTGTCGAAGAAACATTGTTGGGTCTGAAGGACGAGTCCCGCGCGTCGGGGAAGATGCGCGATCACGTGATATGATCCCTCGCTGCAGTGGGAAAGGGAAAGGACGGTGTTGGGACTCTGTGTACAAGTTATTTAATGGCATGGATTGATGAAACTGACATGAAATAGTTTTTTATCTATACTCCATAAGCTGCAAGCTGTGGTACTTGTTGCAGTTAGAACTATACATAAGTAAATATTGACCTAGATTCTCCATCTAGGTCCATGAAGACAAACAAAAGGAATTGAGATGCCTTCTACCTCGGAGCTGAAGGGTTGGATTGTAAATACGATGACTCTGTTTACGTGCCATCTTCTGTATATTGTAGATATTAGGACTATAATTGTTTTAAAAGAGGCAGAAAGTCTTTCGTTCTTCGTCCCGTCAAAAGTCAATCCTTATCGTCACGTGTGATAGGCGCGTCTCTTTGAACGCGTTGAAATCAAACGATGCTCCTCCCTCCCACTCGCGCTTCTTTTTGTCTGTCTTTTCTCTTTTGCTCTTTTTATGCATGTTGCCAGATTTAGAGCGCGGGGCATAGAACATATTCGATTCATCTCTTCGAATTGCTCCAAGAGACCGCCGACCACGTCCGCGTTTTCATCCTCGCCTCGACCGGCTGCAATCCCCGACGAGTCCGCTATGTTCAAAAAAGCTGTGAAAGATCATCCGGGGGGATCATCCAAGCCCCTGCAGTCTAACCTTTTACGTACAAATACCATTGTGCCCTCGAAGCCCGCGCTCCCACAGTCTATCGGCGTCAAACGAAAAATAGAGACCCATGGCGGGGAATCTGCTCTGGGCTCGCTCCACAGCTCGGTTTATTTTGATGAAAATGACTTCGATGATGATCTTGACCTTGATATCGACGAGCCTCAGCCATTGATCGCGCCGAAGCCCACTGCTCCTGCGGATAGTTCGACATCGGTTTCCTATCCGAGTATTGACACCTCGCAATCCAGCAAGCCCGCGCCAGCACAATTTGCAGCCGGCAACCATCACCCGTCAGATGTCAAGTACCCGGATCTGCCCCCTGCTTCCCAGGAAGATCACGGACCGTCAAGCAGCATTCAACTCCCTTGGTCGTCCTCGCCTCCTTCTCATCTTCAACCACCACCCAAACCTCGAACCCTGCCATGGCTAAAGGAAATCAAGGAGGAACCTATTCAAGACAAAAAGAGCACTGCCGTTACTCCAAGACGGCAAAAGCCCACAGAGCCCTGGAACAAGACTGCGAGCGCCATCAAAGAGGAACAAAAAGAGCTTCGTCGGGAATACAAGAAAAGTCAAAAAGGTGATGGCAGCACGAAGCAACAGGGTCGTACGAAGATTGCCTCTCTTTTCCTCAGTGATGAACAAAGAGCGGTTCTCGAGGCCGTTGTTGATCACGGAAAGAGCATCTTCTTTACTGGTTCAGCCGGAACGGGAAAGTCGGTTCTTATGAGAGAGATCATTCAGAAACTGCGCAACAAATACCGTAAGGAACCGGATCGAGTGGCAGTGACGGCCTCGACAGGCCTCGCAGCCTGTAACATTGAGGGTGTCACCCTTCACAGTTTCGCTGGCATTGGTCTGGGCAAAGAGGCCGTGCCGGAACTAGTCAAGAAGGTCATTGAACCTCCCCCATTAAAAATCCAGTTGCGCCAATGCTGAAAATTTGCAGATCAAGAAGAATCAGAAAGCCCGGAATCGCTGGCTTCGTACAAAGGTTCTCGTCGTTGACGAAGTATCCATGGTTGATGGGGATCTCTTCGACAAGCTGGAGAATATCTCCCGGCTCATTCGCAACAACGGCCGCCCGTTTGGTGGGATTCAGCTCGTTGTCACCGGGGACTTCTTTCAGTTGCCTCCTGTCCCCGATGGAAGCAGCCGGGAGGCAAAGTTTGCTTTTGCAGCTGCCACCTGGAACACTTCTATTCAGCACACCATTCTTCTGACCCATGTCTTCCGTCAAAAAGACCCGGAATTTGCAGAGATGCTAAATGAGATGCGTCTGGGTAAAATCAGTCCTGGCACAATCGATGCATTCAGAAAGCTCTCTCGGCCTCTGAACTTCCATGACTCACTCGATGCAACAGAACTGTAAGACTCCTTTGCCCCGGCGCAACCTTGCCATTTGCTGACAGTTATTAGGTTCCCCACGCGAGCTGAAGTCGAGGGTGCCAACTCCGCACGGATGGGCCGGCTCTCTGGTGAGATGATGACTTTCAACGCAGTAGACTCTGGGACAATCCAGGATGCCCAGCACCGCGAGAAGCTTTTGTCGAATTGCATGGCCCCTCCTGTCATGCACCTCAAAAAGGGAGCCCAGGTGATGCTCATCAAAAATATGGAAGAAACCCTGGTGAATGGCTCCATCGGACGCGTCGTGGCCTTTATGAGCGAAGAGTATTTTGATTACTACCGGGAGAACGAAAAGGACTTCGAAGATGACGGCAATGCGAGCGACGAGGAACGAGCCATGCGGGCTCGGAAAAAGCTTAAGCCCATGGCCTACAAGGAAGGCGGGGCTACAGCAGCTCGGAAATGGCCGCTGGTGTGCTTCGTTCAGCCAGATGGGACAGAACGACATTTGCTCTGCCAACCGGAGACATGGAAGATCGAGCTTCCAAACGGAGAGGTGCAAGCCCAGCGCCAACAAGTCCCCTTGATTCTCGCCTGGGCTCTGTCCATCCACAAGGCGCAAGGTCAGACCCTTCAGCGAGTGAAGGTAGACCTGGGCCGAGTTTTTGAGAAGGGACAAGCCTACGTTGCATTGAGTCGTGCCACGTCTCAGGCCGGACTGCAAGTCACTCGATTTGAGCCCCGTAAAGTGATGGTGCATCCAAAAGTGGTCGACTTCTACTCCAATCTGGTCTCCATCACCCAGGTTATCAAGACGAAGAATTCTGCACCAACTAGGGATTTTGACGAGGACGACTTGGGTGATTCATAGGGTTTTGTTTTCATTCCAGGGCGATGATTCTTTGCCTGGTGTTATTGAAGTCCATGCAATACCCCATATAAGATTAATGAAACTCGTTCACTTCACTACACAATACAGCACTTGCGGCCAATGACTTAAATCGTCTGCTACCACAGCCACATACTTATACGTGGCTATTTTATTGCAATACAGAGCATGTGGCTTCTTGAATCCCAACTGGATGGCAAAAAATAGTTTCGTGTCTATTGGCCACATATTCGCCATGCCAACATCACCCGCGGCACCTAGTTCTATATCATTCGTACCTGAGGGAATCCGCAGTGGCAAAGCGTACGATCAAGATTATTACATGCTCCCCTTTCAAGATTTTTGAGCCTGCAGCTGCGACAAGATCCAAATCTGGAACCGACCTTCATAGATTTATAAGATGACGCCGATGCATCTGCAAGGGTTTTCTTACAACATTTGGAGGCAAACCTTATCATACACCCTCTTCTTAGGGCCATACATTTTCAAATATTAAGTGGCTGTTTGAACATATTTGATGATATGACGACCGATGCTGCACTTAAAACAAAATCGAGTAAGACGGTAGATGCTAGCTCTAAATTGGGACGATAATCATCATGCAAAGCTGGTTTTAAGATGGTTTAGACTTCAAATAACTTTAAAGCCTTTTCTTTGGGGTTTAAAAAGAATAGTTAGTAAATATATGACTTTCCAAGATAGTCCTGTTGCCTGGTAACCCCCTTGTGAAGATAGTCTCTGCATCACAGCGGAGGTTCCTTAGAACATACGAGAAATGAATTTTCTGTTTGAATGAATAGTTTACATAATTGTCCCATGACTACCTATGCTTATTTGGCGTCGGAAATAGATGCCGCTGTGTACTTCTATAAGTAGGGTTACACTGCTCAGAGATCCTTTCCATTTTAGGAAAGGCTCGACTACTTTGTCCAAATCCCGTTGCCACGGCGTGTATGCTGATTTACCCCAGACAAGATGTGATAGCCATCAAATGAAGTTGATATCCCTCCAAGGTTGCCGGGTTTCCCGTTCCCGTCGGTTTCGCGTATTGGACATGCGATGAAATCATACGTGACAGATAGTCACCTTCATTGCCAAATTACTGAAGCTATACTTATTTGGGAAATTTGTAAGTTAGTATAGTTGTGCAATATGAAGAGAGGAAGTTAGAGACATTATTTAAGACCTGATCGAGCCTCGTCAGACTTCTCAATACACACAATTCTTCTACACTTCTCTTTACAAACCAAAAACTATCCGCAACAATATGAATGGCCACAATATCCTTACCAAGAAACTCCAGGCGACTCTTGACGACCGTCTACTGAAAAGCCGCTTGAGTGAGCCTGCCTCGCCAGCCACACTGGCAAAGACCATCGACTTCGGTTCCAACGACACCCTGTCTATTTCCTCCTCCGGCAAGCTCAGCAAAGCGTTTCTCGAGGAGCTCCGTCGGCATCCAAATTTCACTATTGGAAGCACTTCCGGTCGGAGCCTTGAGGGTACCTCGGGGTATATGAAAGAGGTAGAGACCCTCGCCAATTTCCATAATGCAGAAACGGCTCTCTTTTTCAACTCTGGTTTCGACGCAAATGTTGCTATCTGGTTCGTCATTCCTCAGCCGGGTGATCTAGTCATCTATGACGAATATGTTCATGCCAGAATCCATGATGGCTTACGCACAGTAACCCTGAGGCTCTGCGGCAATGTTTGATTAATGTCAGGGACCAAGACGCTGGTCTTGCCGGCGGGGAGAAGAATGCCTTTATTTCATTGGAAGCTTTCTACAGTATGGACGGGGATGGTGCACCTATTGAAGAAATGATTCGATTTGCATAAGGAGGTTTTTCCCAAGGGCAATGCACTAGTTGTGATTGATGAGACCCATTCGAACGGGCTTGTTGGTCCTGGGGGATCAGGCTATGTGTCTCATTATGGGCTTGAAAAGGAATCTTTTGTCCGACTACATACCTTTGGGAAGGGACTAGGGTCCAGTGGTGGTAGGTTCATGTTGAATGATTTATTGACCTGCTCCAGCTGTGGTGCTCGCCAACCAAACTATCAAAGACACCCTGATCAATGTGATATAAAGCTTCGTGCACTAGGCCCCATGCTCTTCGTCGGAGCTCTCCAGGAAAGGATGGCACTGGGGGAGCTGTCTTGCAGATTGATGTCTTCATTGATTGAGGCCAGAAGAAATCTGGCCGCAAAAAGGAGAGAATCGATTTCATTTGCGGAATTCAGTCGATGCAACCATGAATAAAGATCACGGTCCATGCCCTCGGTATGGTTGTTGCGCTGAGATGTCTCCATTTCTTGGCAACACATGTGTATTTCGCGTATCAAATTTCAACGTCAAATGAGTCATTGTAAAATAACGGAAATATTCGTGTATACTTTCTTTGATCTACAGGAATATCACACCTCTTATCCCGAATTTGACCCCCCTTGTGGATATGCCCCTTTGAACTGTACTTATACAAACCCTCCATCGGATGTCGGTAGCTTTAAACCTCATGTGTGCATCGATTGTTGGCCGACTATAGAAACTCCTCACGAAACTCTTAATACAAAATTTCGCATATGCCCTTTCACACCCCACGCCATCTCTACTTCAAGAAAGTCAAGGCAGCTAGACACAGTGCATCCACCCCAGCTCTCATCGTTGGCTGAATGACGGGGGCGAAAAGGGCCGAGTGGTTCCCCGGGATCTCTTCCGTGCGAGCTTCTGCCTCTGCCTTGTCCCAAAACTCAGGATCAATACCTCCCAGGAGCCAGAAACAGCTAGGAATCCCTCTGCAGGTGGCTAACGTAGAGAAATCTTCGCTAACATTGGTTCTTGGTATGTCATCATCAAAGTCTTCAAAGTGAGTTGCGAAGGTGGCAGCAACCTGAGACGCAGCATCTTTGTCGTTCAGCGTAGGTGGGAAGCGTCTTGTCGGAGTGAACACCGGGGGCTTGGGCGAGCCACTCGCTACGCACTCGGCCTCGACGATGCGCTTGATGGCAGAGATAATTTGTTCCCGAATCTCCAGCTTGACAGACCGAAAGTCCACGCCGATCTCGGCCCTGTCGGTAATGATGTTCTCTGTCTGTCCTGCCTGGAGACTTCCCACGGTCAAGACGGCGAGGTCGCTTGGGTTGATCTCTCTGCTCACGATGCTTTGAAGCCGAATAACAATATGGGCAGCAAGAAGTACTGGATCCACTGTCTGATGAGGCTGAGATCCATGTCCACCACGTCCAAAAACTGTGATCTTCATACTGTCGGCTGCAGCCATGATTGCTCCAGGGCGCGAACCAACGCTTCCTGCTCGCATTCTCATGACATGTTGACCAAGGCAATAATCTGGAACGGGGATCTTGGAGTAAAGGCCATCATCCACCATCGCCTGCGCGCCCCCACCTCGCTCTTCGTCCGGTTGAAACAGCACGATCAAAGTCCCGGTCCAAGAGTCCCGCATCTTGACAAGCGTCTCCGCTGCGGCGAGAAGACACGTAATGTGCATATCATGGCCACAGGCATGCATCACTGGCTTTTCATCCCCATCGGCATCGGGCATGGTGAAAGAGCTTGCATAGGGGAGCCCAGTCAGCTCCTTGACAGGAAGGGCATCCATGTCTGCTCGTAGAAGCACAGTCTTGCCCTCACCATTTTGAAATACACCCGCGAGGCCGTAGCCTCCGATTTTGGTGTGTAGCTCGAATACTTTCAGTTGGGCCAAATGCGCCGCGAGCTTTCCCGATGTAGATTTCTCTTGTCGGGAAAGTTCGGGATGCGCATGGAAATATTTGTAGATATCCTCGTAGGGATCCAAGTTCAGGGATTCTGTTTTCAGGATATCTGATAAGCTTAGGCCTGTCATCTTTTCGAATAGTGATATGTGGTAGATGAAGAAAAATGGACGCTGGTGCGAGGTGGTCATTAAATAGCGTGTAGTGTATGGACTGTTTCATGTAATATACAGTACTGTATGTAAGGGGACGTGCTTTGGATAAGATCAAAGTTAATACTCCGGGGATCTAAGGAATATGCTCCTAGGAGCCATCAGCATCGGACAACAGCCGATACGGCGGTGGATGTAGAAGCTCTTCTGCTCCAGGTGCAGCAACAACTCGAGCAAACAGCATTAGAGGCCACAATATGCATTAGAACTATACCGCTATACATCGACATGGCCTTAACCGAGATAGACAGGAACAACGAACAAAGCCCCCTCGACTACTTCTCAAGTATCCTCGAACGCTAAACCCTAAGCGAGGGCGGGACACCTGTACTTATAGCTGGACGCTGCATAGCTGCCTTAGGGCGGCTGGGACAGTCTATGAATCAATCAATCAAACCATCAGCATCGTTCGCAGGATTAAATTTGTCATTCCTGGGAGCTATGAATGCCCTGGGAACAGTAGCTACAGCTAAATTCGAAATCAGTTTACCCCACGCTTTCACACCGATTCTTTCCCGAACCCTACCCTTGAAATACGCGAGTCTAAATATGGGTTATCTGAAGACTCCCGCTTTCGAAAATAGATCCCATCCGCAATATAATAGAGCTAGTCGCTTACAACCTCTCAGATGGCCGAAGAGGCGACTGCAGCGAGCATACGATCAAAAATATCCGCAGAAACTTATGGCAGTTTGGAAGCGTCCATATCTCTCCAACCACGGCCGGCGACGCACTGTAACACCGCTGATGTTAGAAGCTCTCTACGACCATCTGCTCGAGAGACATGGGTCTCTACCTTGATGAGATGGTCGTATTCCTCTGGGATGAGTTTCAGACCCTAATTTCCACGTCCGGTATTCGAGCGCCCCTGTTGCTTGAATTTAGAGTGTGCTAGAGCCTTTATGGCCGAGTACTGTCTGATAACGTCAGATTTAGCAGATCGACGGTAGCACAAAGGACGGATGAGGTTCGTTTCCCATCTTGAGAACCCCTTTGGACTGAGTGGTGAACGGATCGATGGTAACACAGGGTGGGACGAATGAGGTTCGGTTTCCTACCTTGGGAACTCGCATATGGTCTGACCGTGGAATGAACAATGCGCCAAAGTAGTTCTTCTACGGACGAAGCGATATAAAGGTGCCAGAAGGAAATCGATAATCCATCGTTGCGTCAACTTTGGCATTTCTAGCCCTTTTCTTCGACCTTAGTCAATATTACTTGGGTGACGAGATACCATGTCTGGATCTTATGACTTTGAGAAACCATCTACAATACTGGCGATAAGTAACGATTCCTTCAAGCCTCCGCCATCCTTGTTCGTTGGACGCTGTCACCCGCTGGAGCATCAAGTCACAAAGGAAGTAAACGAGTACTTCATCAAACACTGGCCATTTGAGAACCTGGAAGCTGTTCGGAAATTCTGTGATGCAGGATACCCACGCGCTGCATGCTACTATTACCCCGACGCGTTAGATGGCCGCATTCATTCGCGTGTCAGCTTTTAACACTCTTGTTTCTGATTGACGGTACGTACGACGTTGGAACTAGGAAAAGCTAACTCTCTGACGGCAATACCGAATAGATCTTCTAGAAGATATGTCATTTGAAGCTGGCTCCGCATATAATGAAAAGCTGATCCCTATCTTGAGAGGCGATGCTCTCCCTAGCCCCCATGATCCTGTGGAGCACATCACCTATGATCTCTGGAACAACATGAGAGCCTGTGACCATGATCTGGCAAATGATGTCCTGGAACCTGTCTTCACTGTCATGCGTGCTCAGACCGATAAGGCACGCGTTGGGATCAAAGACCTTGGTGCTTATCTGGAATATCGTGAACGGGATGTCGGCCAAGCGTACGTTAAATGATACTCGTTGGCGACATTATATGCCAGGGAAATGACTAAAACATTGCAGTCTCCTCTCTGCCTTGATGCGGTTTGTTAGGAAATTGAACCTAAGCACGGAAGAGTCGGAGTTGATAAGGGATATGGACAAAAACTGCTCCAAGCATATCTCAGTTATAAATGACATCTTTAGCTGGGAGAAGGAGCTGATGAAATCCATGGTAGGTCATAAAGAAGGGTCTGTTCTTTGCTCCTCGGTACAGGTGATGGCTGCTACAGCCAACATATCCATCGACGCTGCCAAGCGAGTCCTTTGGATGATATGTCGCGAATGGGAGGCTTGCCATGAGCAGATGATGCCCAGCAGACAGTGTATTAGCCGCGACCTTGTCATATATTGCAGTGGCCTGGAAAACCTAATGAGCGGGAACGAGCTGTGGAGCAAATCGACCAAGCGCTATCACGATCTGGGCACGCAAGCTGGAGGCCTGTGATTACAGTACAACCGCGAGATTATTATGTTACATTGCCGCATTTCCAATATAGTCCATAACGCTAGATGTTAGTAACGAGTATGTTTTGAGTGTGATACTGCTTCTTCGCTATTGGATCCAGCCAACCAGAAGCCCGAAATGGCAAGTTGACTGAGGGCCTCACATCAAACTGTAGACGTTGTACCAAACTGGGTCTGATCAAAAATATTCTGCTTAGCATCTAGCTGTGCGTCTCGCTCATCGAGCATCATCGTCCTTACTGTACAGAAAATTTAGTTCTCTTCTCAGTTCTCCGCTCACTGTTGGAGAGCGTCCGTCTCGGTGTAGTTGAAGCAGATTACCTGAGCTTTCCCTTAGCATAACAGACCCCGCCACATAACGAGATATTTTGCAGTGGTAGTCTAGATTATATCGGTGTTGTCGAATCGCTTGGTCAAATCATGATGGGAACGATCGTTAAGTGATACCACTAGGAGCTAAAACAAGGTCCTCCTTAGCCACAAGTCGGTTGTTGATCGTGACACGCCACTCTACTAAGTACGCAGTAGTGTATACAGTACAGCCCCGTGGAGCCTCGTCGTACGCTCTTCTCTCTTCCCACTCGGACAGTGCTTGCCGGCTCAGGTATATTCACAAGCCCTCGGGATAGGGTAAGGCTGTAGCCGGATAACGAGATGTAGGGGCTGCCTATGTATCCTGGGGCTCAAGCTCTTGGGACTGAGATATCTCAGAACAGAGTTATTCCGATCATAGTAGCCTGGAATGGCATATCGATCTGAATAATAATCAAGATATACATAAGAACAAAGCTAACACTTAGGCATAACGTAAGGATGGCTTATTGTACCATTTTGTGGTTGGAAAGCAAAATATATACCTCGTCTCCGTTAGCGTGTTTTCTTGGAATCCAACAACATATTGTGAAGGTGAGGTGAGGCAAAGCTAACATCACATATCATTTAGTGAATAAATTCTTTAGAGGCCTCTGTTTATCAAATCTGATCATAGCACTTTGCCTATATTTAGGCCTTGAATGCTCCGACTCAAAAGGATTCTTCATACTTCGGATTCGGTGTCTCTAGTTATATTATTCATCCATTCTCGCCCCACGCCTATCGATAAGAACACGTGACTCTGCAGGTACTGGAAGCTGCCTGCCAGCTCCCACTTGCGGCACGACACTCTTCTCTTCGCTTCACCACTCTGACCGATTGACCCAATTTGTTGGTCCATAGTTTCCTGGCTATCATAATCTCTCCAGAGACAGATAGCAACTATGGCTTCTGAGTTTATTGGGTATAATGTGCTCGTCAGCTTGAGAACACCGCCTGGTGCGAAGCTCCAAGGTCAGGTCGCTGATGTTATCGGGCAGAGCTTGCTGCTTAGCAATGGTATGCTATGAAATCACCCGTCAAACAGAGAATAACTCTCACTAACTTCTGTCTTAGTGACTCTTCTATGGAATGGTCAACGCCTTCCCCGCTATTCTGTGGATGCTTCTGTTATTACCGATCTCTCTCTTGAAACGACCGAGTCGGTTCCCTCCCAGCGTAAACCTGCACCCCCAAAGATCCCTACACCTGCTCAGCCCCAGCAGCCACCACCACCCCAGCCATTCGTGGACCCAGCCATCCTGAGCTTCGGTAAACCTCCTTCCCATCCGCCCCGACCAACCGTGGACACTCGGCCTACGCTAGCTGCCGTTGAACACGTCCCTGCACCAGTCTCAGCCTCCTTGACTGAGCCGTTCAGCAACCTTGAATTAAATGTGGGTAGTGAAAGGGCTGCCACTCAGGAAGCGGCCCAGGGCAAGGAGCTGCCAGGTACTCAGAATTTGGTCTCCAACAAGCACACACCAAAGCGCAACCGACGCGGTAACCGTGCAAAGCTCCAAGGAAACTGGGAAGATGAAGCAGGCTTGAACCAACATGTAGCCCCTACCAGTACCAATCCAAAGAGCAAAGGCTGGCGTCAAACTGCGTTTGTGGAACCGGCAGTTGCACCAACCCAAACCTCCCCAGAAACGGTTGCACAGCCAACTGCAAAGCTTCGCAAGAAGAAGACACGACGGACTTACATAGAAGATCCTAGCGGTTGGGCTACCGAGGATGCAACGGACATCCAGGAATTGGGCGAGTTTGATTTTCAAAGCAACCTGTCCAAGTTCGACAAGCGACGAGTCTTTGAGGAAATCCGAAATGACGACACGACCGCAGATGAGGCGCGCTTGGTCAGCTTTAACCGAAAAGCCAAACCTGGAACCAATGGTGGAAAGAATCTCCACTGGACAGAGAATGTGCTTGACAGTCCCCAGAATAGCGACGCCGGTGATGATGTCGAGGAGATTAGTGATGCCAGACTCAGCAGTGAGAATGCTTCAGGACGAGAACGGGCTATTGCAGTTACTCGTGTCTCTCGCAAAGGCAGTGCCATCCTGGGACAGCCCATGGTGCCGCAGATCAGCGCGCTTGGTCGCAGCCAGTTGAGCACTTCTCGTACTACGAGCCCTCGGCCAGGCAGATCATCCGCTTCTCCTATGATAGGCCCGACAGTCTCTGGCGCCTCGTTGCGACTGACCACCACCAATCGTAGCTGCCCAACCGTGAGCCCATTGCAAACGCTGGAGGTAGAGCAAATTGCGGTGGCAGAGTTTGGGTTGGCCGATGACATTATTACAGAAAATGCAGGCCGAGGTATTGCGGAAGCCGCAGTTGCATTGCTTTCTAATGATGCTGCTGCACCGACGATGTTGATCCTCACCGGCAACCACCGCACTGGGGCACGGGCTATCGCTGCTGCTCGTCATCTTCGCAACCGAGGCCATCGTGTTACTTTATGCCTTCTCGGATTAGAACATGAGGCTGAGCTTCTGGAAAACTGTCGCAAGCAGCTCGAAATCTTTCGAAAAATCGGTGGACGGGTTCTCAAGTGGGAAGAGCTATCAACACGTCTTTCCACCTCCGACCTGGGCCCAGACTTGGTCGTGGATGCGCTGTTCGGCATGCATCTGGCCTTTGATGATCTTCGGACCGATGACCAGGCCGTGGCTTTTGAGATGATCTCGTGGGTAAATCGGCACAATGTCGACGTGCTTTCCGTCGACGTCCCATCCGGACTGTCAGCTTCGAGTGGTAGGTACTTCTACTACAAATATCCTCCTCTATTTACTTGGCTAACACACCATGTAATATTTAGGCGAGGTGACGGTGGTCGAAGGTGGACGGCTGTGCATCAATGCCACGTCCGTCGTGTGCCTCGGGGCTCCTAAGACCGGCATCCTCAACGCCCTCCTTTCGGAAGAAGGACTGACCTGGAATCTGGCCGTGGCCGACATCGGCATCCCGCAGATTGTATGGAGGAAATATGGGACACGCCGACGACATGGGATCGACTTCGGAAACCGGTGGGTAGTGCCACTGCGGTACCAAGCACCGATTTCCTGAATGTTTTATGGCGTTTGAATCTGGGAATGGGGTCCATCAGCGGGCGTTTCATGAACAATGACATGTACATGTATGAATGAACTGAAATAGGGCGCAACGCCACATATCACAACTTGAATCCTCAAGTCCATGGATGCGTAGATGTATATAGATGTACCCCGAGGACCCACATGCCCCGACCCGGTTAGAGCCCGGCGTCATTTTGTCTTCTGCCGCAGACGAACAACTTGAGCTCCATCCAGCCATGGGAAAAGGTACGTCGTTGCGCACTCATTTGTGTCGCCTTAACTAATTTGTGTTCTTTCTTCAGGAACGGACAAGCTTTACGTACGCGCCCCCTTTCTACCGTTCCGTCACCGCGGCTATCGCATCTTGAGTCTCCGCTGACCATCGCATGCATCCAGATTACACACTCGGAGTGGGCATCGGAGGACGCCTTCTCGGCCAGTGCAGGCGCTGGTGTCGGCAAGGCCAAGCGGGGTGGTTCGCACGCGGCATTCAAGCGCCTGCCCTTCAATTTCTGCTCCCTCTCCCTCCAACCATTCGAGCATCCCGTCTGCACGCCAACAGGAACCATCTTTGACCTCACCAACATTCTCCCATGGATCAAGAAGCATGGGACCAACCCCGTTGATGGATCACCCTTGAAGAGTGCCGACCTGATCAAGTTGACAATTGCGAAAAACGATGATGGCGAGTACGTTGACCCGGTGACGTACAAGGTCCTGACGGATAACACGCACATTGTCGCGCTGCGGAACACGGGCAATGTCTTTGCCTGGGATACGGTGGAGAGACTTAATATCAAGGGGAAGCTGTGGCGAGACTTGGTCACGGATGCGGAGTTTACCCGGAAGGATATCATAACTCTGCAGGACCCGCAAAATATCGAGTCGCGCAACCTCAGCTCGTTCAACTATCTTCAGGAAGGGGAAACGGGGGTTTTAGAGGAGCAGCAGGAATCCGGCAGTGTCAACACAAATGCGCTGGGCAGTTCGGCAAAGATCCTGAAAGCGAAGGAGGCGGTGGCCAAGGCGCGCGCGGAACGAGCACAGCAGGGCTCTGCTGCTGCTGGCTCTCGGGCCATGGCCAAGCCAGTCGCTGGGAGTTCGACCGTATCCAAGGCCGGCGCATCTCAGCCAGGGAAACCCACGCCGTATAATGCGGCAAGACATACCACAGGAAAGGCCGCGGCCTCGTTCACCAGCACGGGGCTGACGCCTCATACGTCGGCTGAGCTCGCGCTTTTGTCCGAGGAGGAGTACATGCTGAAACGAGGCCGGGTCAAGGCCAAAGGCTATGCGCGCATCGTCACTACGGCTGGCCACTTGAACGTGGAGTTGTACGCAGAGTACGCTCCCAAGGCTGTGTGGAACTTCATCCAGCTCGCCAAAAGGGGCTACTACAAGGATGTTGCTTTTCACCGCAATATCAAGGGGTTCATGATCCAGGGTGGTGATCCCACTGGCACCGGACGGGGCGGCGAGAGTGTCTGGGGCAAGTATTTCGCCGACGAGTTCGAGGGGCCGCTGAAGCATGACTCTCGCGGCACGTTGAGCATGGCAAATAAGGGCAAAAACACCAACAGTAGTCAATTGTAAGTGATGGGCTCTTGAATCATATTGATCGTTCTTGCACTCTTCGCCCTCGCTAACACTTTACGCCCAGCTTCTTTGCTTACCGGGCCCTGCCTCATCTGGACCGCAAGCACACCATCTTCGGTCGCCTGATTGACGACCCTACGCCATCCTCTACCACCCTCAACACCCTCGAGACACACCCCGTGGAGTCGTCCACTAATCGACCGACACCGGATATCCGCATCAAGGACGTCACCGTCTTTGTGGATCCGTTCGAGGATTTTCTGAATCAAAAGCGTGCGGAAGAGGCTCGAGGCACCGCACCCGTCAACCCAGAGGAAGAGGACGAAGCTGCCCGCCGTGTGGATGACGACCGCATGACCTGGACGGGAAAGCGAGTCCGCGGTCCTGGTGCTGGCGCAGGCGACTCGGGCAGCGCTGGCGGTGTTGGCAAGTACTTGAAAGCCGCCCTGGCCGACCGTGCCGGGCAGGACGATGAGATCGTGGAGTTCGTGGACGAGCCCGAGCCCGAGCCCGCACGTAAAAAGGCCAAAGGCACCGGCGGCTTCGGGGACTTTAGTTCGTGGTAGTCTTTCTATTTCTTTTCTTGGCGTTGGAGTTCCCACCCGAGGTGTGATGGACTGGATTGAATCTGTATGAAGGCATGGCATGGTAGACAAAGGGACCTGGTGTTGGACATTCCATTCAATAGACCTGCTAAGCTTTAGTTCGAGCTCTTCTCAAGCCGGTGAACGCTCACTTGAATCCTCTCCGGGATGGGAGCTCCACTCCTCTCCGACGCTTCTTGGCTGCCGCGCGAGCCGTGACGGGGGCGGAGTTGGATCGCATCACCGTCTCTTTGTCTCTTCGACTCTTCTACACTTTCTCTTCCCATCCATCCCCGCCCCTTTGAGCCCGATCGTCAACCCGATTTCTGTAAGTCTTGACTTTCGATGCCCTCGTGTCTGCGCTGCGTGAACTCCATGGTGGGGCCGTGTCTAGGATGAGGACCCGATGTGCCGGCGATACTCCCCGGACACGGTACTCGTCGTTTGTTGGATTGTGTAGATTCTTGATTGCTTGGGAGATCATTGTGGTCCTGTATACTCCCAATGGCCTTGACGGGTGATTCCAACGGCGTCTAAGGACGAGAGTGTTTTCCCTCCTTACCCCCCCCACTGCCTGCACTGCCTGCTTCAGTTGCTTTGTATTCTTTCTCTTTTGTCATTCAGTTCTTGCTCAATCATTCAACAAAAAAAGAAAGAAAAAAGAAAGAAAACCCATCACTGACGGGGTTGGGTCTCGCAGCCTGATTCCTTTGCTTCCGCCTTTGACCGACCGAGCCGACCCTACGTCAGTTCGCGCCTTCATCCGCCATCCTCACCCCGCTATCCCCAAATCCCCATTCGCTCCATCCTTGCTACAGGGATACAATCAAGCTGGCAGGAAACAAGCGCCGCAGCTTTTCTTCGCAGGGTGGGTTGCTGAACAGAATGTTCAGTGGCTCCTCGAGCCCACCCAAAGACAAGACAGATTCGCTCCCAGCACCCGGCATTGAAACCAACTCTCTCGCTCTCCCGACGGACGACCCCAGCCCCATTCGCGATAAGAAATTCTCGCCTCCTGGTGCCGGCTTTTTCAGTCGCCGACTCAGTGAAGACCAGGGCCCCGCCGGTGAAAAGAAGCGCCGGAGCAGTACTGTCACCAAGGCGGCGACCTTTTTCAGTAACGCGAAGAACTCGCTGAATCTGAACGGCGTGCGGGACAATAACCTGCCCCTCAGCACTAGCCCCCAGGTCTCGGATAGCCCACTGCAAAAGCTGGGGAAGATGGACCCGGCCCTGAACGTCCCTCAAGGGTCGTTCAATAACTCCGCGGGCGAATCGATCCCGACCTCTCGCTCATCCTTCCGCGTTGGTGTCACAGAAGACCGGAATCGAAAATGCCGCCGTACAATGGAAGATACCCACGCCTACCTCTACAACTTTCTCGGTACCCCGGCTCCCAATGCACCGCCCGACATAAACGGTAACGAGCCTCCCGGGGCGCCGAATGAGTCGCAGACATCGGAGGATTCCTCGAGCATTGTGGAAACAGACAATGGGTATTTTGCGATCTTTGATGGGCATGCGGGCACATTCGCGGCGGAATGGTGCGGCAAGAAGCTCCATTTGATTCTCGAGGAAATCATGCGCAAGAGTCCCAACACGCCTGTGCCGGAACTCCTTGACCAGACCTTTACGAGTGTGGACCAGCAGTTGGAGAAATTGCCTCTCAAAAACAGCGGGTGTACGGCAGTCATTGCTGTTCTTCGGTGGGAGGACCGTGTGCCGAGCTCACATTCAGCCACTGGGTCCTCCGCGCTCGCCCCTGCCGCTGTCGCAGCGACCAAGGGCGACACAAATGCCGAGACTGCCGAGACCTCAACCCAAGACACACAATCCGAGACATCGACCGTCCTTCCCAAACTACAGGAGAGGGCCGCCCGCCAACGAGTGTTGTACACGGCGAATGTAGGCGACGCCCGTATCGTTCTGTGCCGGAATGGAAAGGCCCTTCGGCTATCTTACGACCACAAGGGAAGCGATGAAAATGAAGGGAAAAGGATTGCTAGCGCTGGCGGGCTTATTCTCAACAATCGCGTCAACGGGGTACTGGCAGTCACCCGAGCCTTGGGAGATGCGTACTTGAAGGACCTTGTGACTGGGCATCCCTACACCACAGAAACCGTGATCCAGCCCGACGCTGATGAGTTTATCATTTTGGCTTGTGACGGGGTAAGTTGTGGCTTTCTTCCTTGATATCGATCTAGTTAAAACTAACATTACGTCAACAGTTATGGGATGTCTGCAGTGACCAAGAAGCTGTGGATCTCATCCGCAATGTCTCGGATGCCCAACATGCCTCCAAGATTCTTGTGGACCACGCTCTCGCCCGGTTCAGTACCGACAATCTGTCCTGCATGGTCATCCGACTCGACTCCAACCGTGTCAAGGATGTGGTCAACAACAACACAGAACCAATCGGCGTAGACGGTGATCCGCCAGCCAACGTCACCCATGGTGTGAGCGAGGCCGACAAGATAGTTGAAGGCGCTCGGAAGAGCATGGCCACCGCCGGCCTGGCCGACGACCCGGAGTCGGCGGAGAAGGCCAAGGAGGAGATGCTCGAGAAGATGTCCAGCCCCGACCAAGAACCAGGCCCCGAGCTGACAATCGGCGAGAACGCCGATCTGCCTTCTGTGAATATTTTGAGCCCCAGCAAAGAGTCCCGCTAACCTGGCGCGAGATATACTTGAAGTCTTTGTCCCCTGTCTATTGTGAATGAAGCAGCAAGCAGATCAATTAGAACGCACCCGGGTGATTTGTCTTTTGTCTTTTGTGTCCCTTTTTTTTTTTTTTTTTTTTTTCTTCTCGAGGCTTCTAGGAGCAATGTAACCGCCAGCTGGAATCGGGTTCTGGGGGTTTTATTTCTTTTCTTTTCTTTTCTTTTCTTCTTTTTCTCTTCATCTTCATGTTTGTCTAGTTTCACTGCACATTGGCGTCCTCTTGCGAACTATCGTCGCCCCCTTTTTCGCTTTTATCTTTTGCCTCTTTTTTCTTTTTACTTCTCCCCCCGATTTGCCAGTTGCTGTCAACTGCCAAGTAGGAGATCAGACCCAGTTGTCTCAATGCCCAATTATTGCCAGCCTCTTACATTCTCTCTCTCTTTCTCTCCGTGTAGTGGATTGGGCCGTAGTCTAGGTTCCATGCAAGTAAGATAATTACTATCTGGGTTGGATAGGTGTTTCTTTCTACATGAGGTTGAGACATTCTAGTTGATCTATAGGTGAATTTCTGGAAATCCTTAGGTGTCTTCGTTCCGTCTCTTAGATAGGTGAGTTGATATATCTAGAAATACAATTTATGCAAGTTCCAGTCTCAGCAGGGTAGAAGACAGGAGGGAAATGAAAATAGAAAGAGGAAAATGAAGAGAACGACCAAAAGTACAAATCAACCATCCATCGCCAGAGAGCAGAATCAAATCCAAGATATCAACAGATCAGTAAAGGGTCTTCCAGCTTGTGCTCGAGACAAGCACAGCATGACAGATTCAAAGAGATGAGAGGGGAAAGAATCCGCTCTATGCAGACATCAAGAGCCCTCTACTCCTTTTTTGCTCCGCCTGGAACTCGGCCTCGGCCTTGGCGGCGACATTGGTAGATCCGCGGCGGAATTTCTCAGGGCCCATGATGAAGCCTCGGCGCGCGGCCAATTCACCGTGCTCGACGCGGTCAGGCCAAGACTCGGCGTAGTTCGCGTCGTGGACATCCTGCCAGAGGATCTTTATCTGGTCGGGCTGCTGCGGGTAGCGGTCAATCTGATCGGTGATGTGCGCCTCCAGGCTCTTCTCCATGGTCGCCACGCGCGCAGCATGTGCCTCGGCGATCTTCTGCTCGCGCAGTCGGGCCTCGCGGCGCCTTCTCCGCGCCGCCGGGCCCAGGTACCCACGCTCGTACTCTTTTTCGAGTAACCCGTTCTTGATCTCCTCATCCTGGATGGACAGCACGGCCGCGACGTCGGCAATCGAGGTGGCCTTCTGGTTCATCAGGACCTTGGCGCGCTCCCGCTTGTGCATAAACTGGCCGATCCGTTTTCGGTTCTTTTTATCGTACTCCTCTGCTTCCACCGGTTCGCGTGGCCGCCTGGCTGCGAGGTACTCTTCGGTCACTGTGATGAGCTCGGGCGGCGGGGCGAGTTGCCGCTGCATCGAGAATTCGCGGAGGAGCCGGTACGCTCGCAATCCGAGACGGGCGTCGCCAAAATGCACCGAGTAGTGTGGCGCCCACATGTCGGGGCGGAGTTCGGCCGGCACGGTTTTCTTGCCATGGTAGACCAGTTGACGAAGGACATTGTTTTCCTGTAATTGAAGATGGGTCCGGTTAGATGCCAATTTTCCCAGATTGTTTCGACAAAAAGACCCTGGAAATGGTCGATGTTGTGCTGGTGTATGTTTCCTCCTCGAGCCCAGTCCCAGGAGTCAATCCCAAACTCACCTCCAAGTGTCGGGTCAGCGAATAAACCACTTGTTTCGTGCGAAGGTGTTGATAGGCGAAGATGTGTCGCCCGTGCGAAACGGAATTCAGCGCCTTTTGGAACCGCACCGTCTCTCGGAAACGGTGCTCCTTGAATGCATTGGAATTCGGATGTCGCAGCTGGCCTTGGACAATGGTATCCCGAGGAATCACGGCGCGGTCGCGTAAGACACTCTTGATCGAGACTCGGGTCGCATCGAAAATCTTCGAGAAAGCCTTTTGAGGCTGGGTTGACGAGGCCATTGCGGCCAACCGAAGGCTGTGTGCAGTCGCCTGGGAAGAACTGGAGATGTAGGTCTGGCGAGATCTATTGCATTGAGTGGGTGGGAAGCACGGGTGGATTGGAGGGTTGAGGGAGAGGAGTGCAAAAGGCCGATTTTTTGACGGGGAAGACGTGGTCTTGGCGGCTGCATCGGCCCTGCGTGCTCTCGTCTCCGCATCAGCTCTTATCTCCAACTTCAATTGCAGACCGTCTCCTTTCGACGTTGTTTTTCCTCCTTGACGATGACTACCTCGGTCGAATCATTGTGCACCAACTGAACTATCAGTCCATTCCCCCCTGTCGTCCCGACACGACTCTGGCGACATGGACACGGGCGTGGATCACGACACGGGCTCTCGTAGGGAGCGGCCGTGGTTATTTGCATCGGTCTGTTCGCTGCATAATAGATATTTTACAACAGATACTGACTCGTTTTAGAATCGTAAGCTTCGACATGTTCACGGTATCTCTGTTCGCAACTTAGTCGTCACTCCGCCCCCGAACCGGGCTCGCGGCAAGACCATTGACGATGACGATATTCCCAATGCTTTGAAGACTCCCTCGAAGATCCTAGCGCGAAATCAGAATCGTTCTTTGCATCCGTCGCGATCTTTCACCGACCTCAAGTCCCGCACGAGCCAAGATAGCCCTGCGGAAACGCAGCCCGAAGTGCGATCGTCGCGTCGGCGAAGTACCCTGCCCTGGAGTGATCCCAACCCTCGAACCAGACAGATCAGACTAGAGGATATTACCAGCAGTCGCATGGCCGATACATGGTTCTCTCTTCATTGCGAGGATGTCGATGTGCCAGTCTACGTCAGCGAAGTGGTCGACAATGCGACCAATCCCAGCTTCCGGTCCTTCGACATGAATCTGTGTGGTTCGCGAATTTCTCGCTTGGATTCTTTGACTTTAAAACTCTGGGCGAAGACAGTGGCCATGCCAGAGTATGTTCTATTGGTCGAATTACAGCTACATCTGAGGTCGTTGCAGTTTTTGGGTAAGACACTGGAAAGCTTCCACCAGCCGCTACCCGCGAATTCCATTCTGTTCCACTTTCCAGACGGTGTTTACACCAACCTCACTGATCTCCCGCCGGTTGAGACCCCGCTCTCAGGTTCCAGTCAGCGGGCCACCGATGGAACTGCGTTGCCCACTTCGTCGTACGACGCCTTGATGCGATTGGCGAATCTAGATGAATGTATCCAGGATGCACTCGCGACCCGGGAGAAGCTGGAGATGCAGATCAGTGCAATCCTGGAGAAGAATGAGCGTGCTTTGGCTACACTGGGAAATGCCGCTCAGGCGCAGGACCGACTCTCTTATACCCGCCAGGCCGTCACCGCTGAGCGCAGACAGGCCCGGGCAGCAATGAAGCGTAAGGAGGAGCTGATCGCAAGCATCAAGGCTCGGAAAGAGGCAATGTCACAAGGGCGCCACGTTCAGGATAAGGCTCGCAGTCACTTACCTGATGCCCAGGAGAAATTGGTCTCCAGCGAACAGCTGCTCACACACAATGCGGACGAAGCCAAGGGTCAGATTCGACGCATTTCGGAAGACTTGCTGGCGATTTATCCTATCGAGCCCATCCCCGACAAACCGCTGGCATTCACTATTGCCGGGTTGGCTCTCCCCAATTCCTCTTTTGATGACGTTGACCGCGAGGCGGTTGCAGCTGCGCTGGGATACACATCGCACCTAGTCTATTTACTTTCTTTCTATCTGTCGGTGACTCTTCCATACCCGGTCAACCCGCACCTGTCGACATCGTTGATCCAAGATCCGGTGTCCGCATCACTTCCTCAGCGCACCTATCCGCTCCACCCGGTGAACGTTCAATATCGATTCGAATACGGAGTTTTTCTGCTAAACAAGAATATCGAGTTCCTGCTGGGCAAGCTCGGACTGCGTGTGCTGGACATCCGTCATACCCTCCCCAACCTCAAATACCTCCTTTATGTCCTGACCGCGGGCACCGCGGAGATTCCTGCTCGGAAAGCGGGCGGGATTCGGGGTCTTATCGCTGGGCGGTTGACTCCAGATATGTCTCGACGCGGTAGCACCGACAGCGCGGTCTCTGGTGAATTGGTACAACCTCGCAAGGCGTGGGAATCAATGTCTAGGATGAACGGCGGTTTCCATCCAGATAAGGCCAAGAAGTCGTTGACGACGGCGGCCAGCCCATCGCCGTCGGCCCGGGTGGCTTAGGGTTACCTGGTCAAGCGAGTGGACACCAGGCCTCTGTTGGTGCATTTTGGGCTGTACATTGAGGCATTGGTCATTCCTGTTGTATTGTGTAATTGTAGTGAATTTTCTGGAATTCATCGCATCAGCGCACGGAAATAAATCACCCTTGATACCCGATGCTACTATGACCTGGGAACCCCGCTGGTCTATACTGGGCATTTGATAATGGAAACTGGTGGCTGGTGAGTTACCCTCGTCAAACGCCATGACCCTCGAGAAATTGAATATGATTTTACTTCCACATTTCTTTGAATCGCTTCATCTCCCAATTTTCGATATCAAGTCTCGTTTTCTGTTGTCCACTGGAGGTGTTCTCGGCGAATGGCTCATCTAAGCAGCCCCACCGCTTTCAGGCTTATCTTCGCTTTGCATCGGCTTCCCCCAGCGACCTCCGACGAGCCTGAGTGACAGCATGGGACAAGACACCAATAGCGCGGGCTATGAATCCCGCAAATCCCCATCGCCTAATACGCAGCATCGACGTGGGTATCAGGCTTGTGATCCATGTCGCAAGCGCAAGGTGAAGTGCGATCTCGGCAGTATGCGCCCCTCTTGATACTCGGAATGTTTCGTTTTTGACTGACTCCAACTTTTTTTTTTTTTTGCTGCTTGAATAGGTGTTGATAACCCCCGCCCCCCGCCGTGTGTTCGATGTCGTCGCGAAAGCAAACGATGCGAGTTCTCGGCCACCCGTCGCAAGCGCAAAGGCTCCGATGCAGCGGACGAGGACAAGACCGCTATTCTCCACCGCGACAAGCGGATGATGATCGGAGAGGTCGCCCCGAAGGAGGCCACGAATCACGAATCTCCATTTGCAAAGTCCGAACCGCCGCCTTTTGATGCAGATGCTATTCGCGCGCGACAGCGATGGTCTGATACTTCCCCAGCAGGGATCGGCCCTCGGTATACCCCGGCTGCCCCGGGTACCCAGGCTCCTGCGTACCCGGTGGGTGAGCGCAGTGCAGCACCGAGCTATGGAGGACCGCCCATGATGAACCGCACTGCAGTGGAGCTGTTGTCGCCGGCGATCACCAATACCCATGACGCTCTGCATCTGCTCTCCGAGGCTGCGGGCAGGACGGAGGATCTCAACCGCCAGAGCATGGAGAACCGTTATGCTGCACGGCAGTCAGTCTCTTCATTCAATTCCGGGCCCTCGCCACTCCCACAGGGCAGCTCGCCCCGTAGCCTAGGCGGGTCCTTTGCTCGGACTCCTCGATCAGGCATGTCCATGGGCGGGACGACCTACTTCCCGGCCAGTGGCGCGGCGCCCGTGGACCCCCAGATCGCCGAAAATGGTGGCCCGAGAGATAGCCCACCGAACGCTCAAGATCCTGGATATGTGGACGCCATCCGGGCGTGGTCACGGCTGCGTTTTGTGCGTGCGGGGTGGTTGACTGTTGAAGAAGGAATGGACTATGTGGCATATTACTATGAGAATCTGGCGCCCATGAGTCCGGTGGTCATTCCTGATTTCTCCAACCCTTCTACCCACCGCACCCTGCTCACCGATGAACCGGTGTTGGCCGTGACTATACTCACGATTGCTTCTCGGCATCTCAAGCCCAAGGGCGACGGGGCCTACACGCGCGCATTTTACATCCATGACCGCCTTTGGTCATATCTGCGCGGTATGATTGAACGTCTGTTCTGGGGCCAGGAGAAATTCGACACCGTGGCAGTTGGCATCGGCCCACCTCGATCCCTCGACATAGGCCCGCCGTCAGGGAAGATTGTGGCGAAGGGCAATTTAAGGTCTTTGGGTACTGTCGAAGCTATGCTACTTCTCACAGAGTGGCATCCGCGGAATCTCCATTTCCCTCCTGGCGATGACGAAAACACGCTCCTGGACACGGAGGCCCAAACACAAAGCCGGGCCGACAAGGATCTGGATCATGAAGGCGAGCAGACAGGTAACAAGGCGACCCCCAGCATTGCCGAGGGAAGGGTTGCTTTCCAGAAGTGGCTGGAACCAGCCTGGCGATCAGACCGGATGTCCTGGATGCTCCTGAGCACCGCGCAAGCCCTGGCATTCGAGCTTGGCGTTTTCGACCACAAGAGCGAGTCCAAAGCTGCGACAGAGTCGCCTTCTGAGCAGACACGAAAGCGTCGGTTACGTCGGTTGATCTTGGTCTTTATCACGCACAGCAGTGGTCGCTTGGGGATTCCATCCATGCTTCCCTTGCCGCAGTGGACGCAAGACATCTCACCAAGTTCGACCAATGCCAACGACGAGGAAGCTAATCTAGACCGCATGCAAGATTGCTGGATCGAGATCTCGAAAATTGTCTACCAGGCAAACCACCTGTTATTTGCATCCAATGAACAAACCTCGGAACTGATTCGAAGTGGGAGATATCGCGACCAAATCGACCGGTTCCAGCCATACTTACGGGAGTTCCGGCAGCACTTTGAAAGCGTCACTCGTATGTCTTCAACCTTGAAGCACCAATTTACTATAGCCCGAGAGCTAACACCAGGCAGTCACTCCGGCAATGCGAACCATCTTAAGCATTGAGTACGAGTACACACGTGAGTGGGCAACATGCGAAACTATTGAAATAACTAGCTGACATCTCGCAGGCCTATATCTTAATTCTCTTGCTTTACAGGCCGTCGTCGATCGATGGACTACCATGTCTAATGAGTCCGCTCAAGCCCAGACCGGCCGTCCAAGCTCCGGACCGTCATCGGGCAACACTGGCTGGTTTCCGACGCTGATGGAGCTCTACCGTGTCAATGAGACTTATATTCAGGAAGTTGTAGATGCCTCCCGGAAGATTCTCCAGACGGTCCTGGAGGGTCTTGTACCCGAGGGCCGCCTTCGCCATGCGCCAATTCGGACATTTTTCCGAATTTTGTCGGGCATGATCTTCATCCTTAAGGTAAGGTTATATGAAGTTAATTTGGAATTTCCCATACTGATTTGAGCTTTAGACGTTTACATTGGGTGCGAGAGAGGACGATGTGCGGGTGTCTTTGGATCTCCAGGACCGAACAGTGGAGGCACTGCGGACCTACGTCGTGGACGACGTGCACCTGAGTAACACTGTTGCTCGACTGTTGGAACTACTTACCAGCAGTATCCGTACACGCTTCTTGCGGTTTGCACCCCATGATCGTGGAGCCGATGGCGACGGAAAGGACCGTACCTCGGCCCCAGTCTCGCGAGCTCAGTCTCCGCCCCGGGACAGTGTCTCCGGGCGCCGTGAAGGCCTTAATACACCCTGGTCCTCCACTCACGGCCAGGATATGGCCTCCGCTGGTGCTGGTCTGGGATACATGCAAAACAATGGTACCGGCAGCAACCCGACCGGAAACGACCCGCTAGCCAGCATCCCTGCGCAGCCGATCAATTCATCCAACCTCAATAATGTCTCGTTCATGCCGCCTCCCCCGTCCGTGTACTACAACTACTACGATCCCAGCTCCACCTTGCCCGCAAATGACCTGGATAGGTCCTCGCCGAACCATGTCGCCTCATCACAGACCATGGCCGACAGTAACGGAGCGAACGCCACCTCGGGTGTGCCACCGGACTGGTTCGCTCTCCCGCTGGATCAGTTCTTTAACAGCTCAACCGCGGTGGTTGACCAGGGTCTCGGTGGCACAGGCCCGATGCTCGGTGAGTTTGACATGCTCGAAGTATTGCTCAACGAGGGTTATGACGCGAATGCCAACGGCGAGGGCGGCGAGCCGTCCGGGGGCGGGACACTCCCATCGCAGTTTTTAACATAACATGATCGGACCATGAGACTTGGGGCTTTGGACGATGCTTGAGCAGTTTTTTTTTTTTTTTTTTTTTCTTTTCCTGTTGTCTCAAACTATATACCCCTGCGGAATTTCCGCTCGGCTGGTCTTGGCCGTCTGCGGGCTGATGATTTGCCTGTGTGATACTTTGCTTGAAACCGCTTTGCTCCTATCCGTGGATGTATTTCACTCGTCTCTGACATGCATCGTGTCTCTCGAATTGCATAAATTCATTGACCCCTTTCATTGGGATGCGTGCAGCATTCCCTCGGCTCTGCCCGACGGGTCTCCGTCGGTCTTTGGGCTGCGGGTCTTGGTATACTCCCGGGGCTTTGTATTCTCACGGCACTGCCGGTTTTACAGGATCCTTCGAGATCCCTCATGTCTATTCAAGCCTTCCGATGAAGCTTTACCGTGGCTTGTGTTTGCATGGAGGCAATGCTTGTCTCATACTCACAGCCAAGCAACCTAACCACATCGACATGTAAAGGTAGGGCTTGGCCGTGATCACGACAGTATGACCATGATGGCTTCAACTTGCGTGAGATTCATGAAATGACCACTCACTGTAAGATTTCTAAAATATTTCCGGTCTTCCAATGCAACGTGGGTAGTTTTGCGTGCTCGACTCTTTTCCAGTCCATTTTGGAGGGCTTCGGGCAAGGCCGAAGGATCTCGGAGCCCCATCTTCTTAGCGCAGACAATCTTGCCCTTCCCCATTTTTTGGTGTCCTTGCGAGCTTGCGAGCTTCATCGAGACCCTTTGCGGGTTCAGATACGATATCTCCATCCCTTCTACTCTCTTCTGTTGTAGCCGCACAGGGTCTTCACGGTCTCCTGCCGATCCGTGGTGACGATCATCGACCATGCTAGGATACTGCGGAATTTAACTAAAACGGCCGAAGGAACTAGTGGCCGTCAGTGTGCTGCAGGTGTTGGCTGATAAGAAGGCGAACACCTTGGTCACTTCTTTCCCCTCGGTCAAAGGGTCACATCGTCTGATCAACTCAACTCCCCTGTCGGAGTTCCCGATGCCTTGCCATCCTTTCAGTCTCCTGCACTTTTGCACTGCGATCGATGTGGATTCGAGATTGCCGGGCGCCCGTCGGAGATTTGGCGACATGCGGAGACTCGGGGAGAAACCAGGGTCCGTCTTGACCCCATTCATGCCTCCCTTCCCAAGGGGTCAATTTAGATGCTCTCGCTAGTGGACCACAGCCTCCAATCATCGCCTCTCGTCCTCGAGCTTCATCGTTCACCCTAAACAACCGATGCTACCTTGACTGGGGCCGCAGTGGACTACTGCCCGCCTCGGCTCGTTTATTGGCCGCCCTGGAGATAACGCTTGATCGTCAGGGCCGTAGTCCACACTCGTGATCTCCTCGGTTTCTTCGCAGTTTCGCTCGACTACTTGCAGAAAGATTCGTCTGGAAATCCAGTTTCACCCTGGTGCGCTTGGGTCTTACAAGCTATGAATCTCACCCTGGGTGGGCCGCTACTCGACAGCGTGATAATGGCGATCGGCTTGATGCCGTCGAATCAACACCACCCGGGCATACTTACACCCTACTTATGGCTGGGGGCCGGACTTCGCCGTTCAGGAGCAAAGACGAGCTTGTCGCAACCAAGCCTCTCTGGCTGTCTTCCGTCGCATCCCCCGTGCATCCCCCGCCTTAGCGCTATCAGACCTTCTGGTTCTCACGAGATGCAGCCCCATGCTCTGTTTGGTTCTCTCCCCCCACCCTCTTCATTACCCCTCTTGGCGGACTCCGTCGTGGCATCCTGGATGGCCGATGGGGACTGCAACGATCTCGAAATTTGGTCCCCCGAAACCATGCAGGTGCTTGATCGACGTCGTCAACTTCCCCGAAAAGAAAGAGCTCCTCCATCCAGATTTTGCGGTAGATGGCGACTTTCGATGCCTTTTTCGTGCCATGAGACCGAGGCTGAGGAGGCGCGGAAATCTATAAAGGTTTCGTCGCCGGCTGCTTGAAGAGATATCAGAATCAACTCCCTCTGCATTCCCATCGTCTCTCTTCGTTGCCAAAGCGCTTCTTTGTCCTGCATAGCCACAATGGTTGTCTTCAACAAAGCCACTCTTGCCCTGGCTGGTCTTTCGGCCATCGCCTCGGCCGCCCCGACGACTCCTGCTCGCCAGGGCTTCACCGTTAACCAGGTGTCCAAGACTCTCACCAAGTCCAAGACTGTCAACCTGCCGGGTATCTATGCCAATGCCATCTCCAAGTACGGTGGTACTGTGCCCTCGAGCGTCCGTGCCGCCGCCGCCAGTGGCTCGGCTGTCACCACCCCCGAGGACAACGACATCGAGTATCTGACCCCGGTCAAGATTGGTGGCTCAACTCTGAACTTGGACTTTGACACCGGCTCGGCCGATCTGTGAGTGCGATCCTTTAGTCGACAGAGTGACTGTGTTAAAGACACAATGGTCAAAGCTAACAGCATGCTAGCTGGGTCTTCTCCTCGGATCTCCCCAGCTCAGAGCAGACCGGCCACAGCGTCTACAAGCCAGACAGCGACAAGCTGGACGGCTACTCGTGGTCGATCTCGTATGGCGATCAGAGTTCCGCCAGCGGCGACGTCTACAAGGACACAGTCAGCGTCGGCGGCGTCACGGCCAAGAGCCAGGCCGTCGAAGCGGCCAAGAAGATCAGCGACCAATTCGTTCAGGACCAGAACAACGATGGTCTGCTGGGTCTGGCATTCAGCTCTATCAACACCGTCAAGCCCAAGTCGCAGACCACTTTCTTCGACACTATCAAGTCGCAGCTCGACTCGCCACTGTTCGCTGTCACTCTGAAGCACAACGCTCCCGGCAGCTATGACTTCGGCTTCATTGACAAGTCCAAGTTCAAAGGCGACCTGACCTACGCCGATGTCGACAGCTCGCAGGGCTTCTGGCAGTTCACTGCTGATGGCTACAAGATCGGCGACAGCGGCTCGTCTGGCTCGTCTATTGACGGTATTGCTGGTATGTTCAACTCTTTTCTTTTTCTTCTTCTTCTTCTTCTTTGACTACCATTACTATATTCTAATACAAACTCTTATAGACACCGGCACCACGCTCATGCTCCTCCCCGACACCATCGTCTCCGAATACTACAAGCAGGTCGACGGCGCCGAGGAGGACTCCTCTGCCGGCGGCTACACCTTCGCCTGCTCATCCAAGCTGCCCGACTTCACTGTCACCATCGGTAAATACAACGCCGTCGTCTCGGGTGACCTGATAAACTACGCCCCCCTCACCGAGGGCAGCTCCACCTGCTTCGGTGGCATCCAGAGCAACTCTGGTCTAGGCTTCTCTATCTTTGGCGACATCTTCCTCAAGAGCCAGTATGTTGTCTTTGACTCTGAGGGTCCTCGCCTTGGCTTTGCGCCCCAGGCGTAAGTAAGTGTGCCAAAATGGACACCGCGTGAACAATCAAGCGACCTCTAGTGGCAGACAACTCTCAATTGTAGGCTCCGCAGTTTTGGTGGGTTAATCATGTGTCTGGATTCAAGATTACCGCTTCACCAGGACCTAAAACCTAGTGGAGCAGGAGAGGCGGAAGGTTACGCAAGCGATACTCTTGACTATGTAGATTCTACTGAATTTTCCTATGGGTAATGAATGACATATTGATTGATTAGGTCAACTCAAAAGACATGCTTCAAAACCAGCCCAGCAAGTAGATGTCTTTCCTAGGAATCTGTAATCTAAAGGACATATATAGGAGATTTGCTTCTAATACGAAGTCCTATGTGGAGTCGGAAAAAAAAGGAAAAATCATCTCGAGGCACTCTCTCCTCAGTCAGTTGAAGTCTTTCCCAGGAACTCCTTCCAGGTTCTTCCAGGAAGTATATATACCCTTTCTTCTCAAGAGGAAGGTCCAGTGTGAAAAAAACTAGTCGCGCCCGGGATCGAACCGGGAACCTTCTCGGAATACCGAAGTAAGTTCATATAGTGTGAACGAGAAATCATAACCATTAGACCACGCGACTGGATGTAAATGATAGCTCGGAATTTTAACTCTATGTCCAAATACATCAATATTGCTTGTAGAAAATTCCTCAAGGTTTTTCCTTTTTAGTTAAGAATGAGATATAAAGTGTATTATATTAAGTAGAAGTAATATATGTATGAAACAGGATATAATTAGATATGATTACCCTAATCTTACACTTATTACTTATCCGCCTAATATACTATTAGGCTACTATATTAGTTCCTATATTCTTCTTCCTAGAAGATTCTATTAATTATGCTATTTGATACATCCTCGAAATAACTATTCCTACTAGGAATGTATGAAGATGCTTATTAACACGGTTCAGTCGCGTGGTCTAATGGTTATGATTTCTCGTTCACACTATATGAACTTACTTCGGTATTCCGAGAAGGTTCCCGGTTCGATCCCGGGCGCGACTAGTTTTTTGCTCTTGTCCTCATCATACCAGAGTCTCTTTTCTTTTCTTTTTTCAATCCTGGCTGATCTCCATAATCCCCGAGGCAAGTGTTAAAATTCTTAGATTATATATAGCGGCGCTCCTAGCCTATGACGTATCTGTATCTGTAAGCCACAATTATGATTGCACCCAATGTCTTCTATCGCTCTATTGCAAGACTAGTATAGATGAATAGTGGTCCACTCACGATCTGGTTTCTCACCATTTCCCCTAGCTCATGAAAGCGAAGCATGAAGACCCCCAAGATCCGTCATTGACTGCGTCGCTGTTCCGGTAGAGGTGTGGGTAAAACTAGATGGATATCGAGACTATCCGAAGATCCAATGCTGCCATTCCGTTTACGATCCAGAAAGTACTCCACTAAGTCATTTATTTCATGAGTAGTTCATTGTCGATTTCTACACCCTCACATGACTTGAATAACTTTGAAGGAGCCCGTTACCGCCTTTCCCTGTATCAAGCCAGGTTTCAAGCGAATATCAACCTTTTACCACCCTTGACATAGACTAGGACTACCTTGCTAAAGAGCAGAACCAAAGTTCTTCGCTGCTTGGATTCGGCTGCTGCTCCAACAATCTCCTGACTTACCGTTAAGACTTGCAAGGCAGCACCGTCTAGGGACTGGCCGCACAAAGGAGGTGACGGGGATACCTACTGGTGCTTACAATATCTGCCGTACTGTCATTTTCAAGGATAGATTCCGCGCCCTTGTTCGGTTCCCTACTCTAGGACGGAGTCGATTTCGCACCGAAAAGTCCAGAAATGAGGTTTCAGTTATAAGATTTCTTTCCCGGCACACGAAAATTCCAGTCCCCGTGATCTTAGGTGCGGGTCGCTGGGGGTGCAGTCCTTATATCGTAATGATAGTGATCGAGGGCACTTTGCTGTCTAAGTGCTTGCAAGATCCTATGCTTGATTCACCCAGCTTGTACCCAAATGTGTTAAACTCGGATATTGAATCTGCTTACCGTGGGATGGCCCGGATTATTCTCGAGCTGTCGAAACCAACCTTCACCTGTATTGGGGCCTTAGAAAAAGACCTAGGTGTGTGGAAAGTGGCGAGAAGACCGTTGACTCTTGATATGAATCGTGCGTGCTGGAAACCTTCCTTTTGGTGTGTTCGCCGAGAAGAGCTTTGCTATTGCTAGCGAATACTTCTAGGAGCTCGGAACACAGCAGCTTCTCCATTTCTAGTCCTAACGTAATGACGCTATTGATAACAAGCTGGATTGCCGGAAGAAATACATTGCTCGCTGCCTATTTAAAAGAATTGCTTAGAATATTAAACTTGGACAGCGAGGTCCCTTCTACCTTTATTGTGATAATCTACACCCGTCAAATATGCTTGTTTCTGGTTAGGATATAACAACTACTAGGGTTATCGACTAGGAATTTACCTATATTACGCCTGCTAGGTTTGCCAACACTGCGCTATGGTAGCTTCTTTTCGAAAGCCCCGAGTCTTGGGAGTTAGATTTGAATATATTCTTATATCGATATACATCATATCTTGAAACTAGTCTTAAGATACTTCGGTCCTACGAAAGTAAATAAATATAAAAGCAAATAATGAAAGATTCTTAACGACTATCGGATCGAATAGCGCAGTCGATTGAGAGCAAGCCCTTTTGGTTCTGTCTGGCTGCAAGGAAGAGTTTTATGTTTAATAATATATACTGGACCTTTCTTGACCAGAAATACTTTGGCCAGGGCTTGCTTTAGGACAGACTTGCCCTTTTGTCACAAGAGGAATTGGATGGACTGGATGATTTTGTTTCGGTGAAGATGCAGCAAGCCAGCGAAAATCACTGGGATACACATCTGTCATATGATAGGATTCCCTGGAGGTTCTAGAGATCAATCGACAGCGATTATACTTGTAATTCATTTGCGCTTCACTTATGGGCATTTGAGTATATTGTGGATTATAAGACACTCGACCACATCAGCAGCAATTCTCTTGAAAGCCCTCGCTAGATAAGGCAGGAGCAAGATATTAAAACAAACCTGAATTACATATTGAAATAGCGGTGATAGAGAACCCTGCAGTGTCGGCCCATATGGTTTCCACAGAGATAACCCTCATTCGCGGGATGGCCATGTGGAGCAACGTCTGGAGCGGGTGGCGGATCATCGTCGACCCGCAACTCCAGAATCGCATCTGCCTTGACCTCCCTGAAAAGTGAAGGCCCGCCACTCCTTGAGCTCTCGAGTTTGTGTCCAGCAAGAGTAATCAGTGACTCGTTGCGATTGCCATACCTCTATTATCTCGGCTTCGCCATACCAGGCCCTGTTTGCCCCCTCCCGAAGCCTGTCGACCCCCTTTAAGGCTGCAGATCCGGAACGCGCGACTCGACGTCCTTGAAGAATGGAGGTCTGAATGGCCGTACGCCTTGGCTGTTCTGAAAATTAGGAGGGTGCTGGTGGATCGCCATATGAACCGTTGCGAACGGCAAACGCAGTCCGTGTCGAGCGACTGATCATGGAAGATGACTCCCGTTTGGTCCCCCGCCAGATCTGGGCGAACCCGACGACAACATCCAGCAGGACCTATCAACCAGGTTGTACCCCAGTGGTATTACCGAAAGATGGTATGTGTTTCCTCTTGGGGCTTCGCTTGACCTAGTGTGATTGGATCTAATCAAGAATCGCGCTTTCTCACAGGAATCGTGCATCTCAACAACTCCTTCCTGGTCACCATTACAGAAAATGCCATCTTCGAACCGGCTTGCACCAGTACTCGCCCCACCGAAAGCTCTCATGTCTCAGCCGTGCTAGATACGCGCGACCCATTCTATTCCTCGATCACGCCGCAACTATATGCCATCGGTTGCGCCACGGTCGTCAGTTATCTCCTTGTAATTATTCTCTTTATCACTCCGCGCACTTTCTATGTTGGTGGTCCTGGTGGAGGCGCAAATTTTCTTGGACGCCGTGGCATGATCAGTGGCTCATACAGTGGTAACTCGTCCGTGGTGGGAGTCGGTGGCCGGCCCTGGCTACAAAAAGTAGCCGCGATCCTTGTCGCGATCTCATTAACGATTGCCACGGCGGACTCTTTCAAAGTGGCGGAGCAGCAGTATGACTATGGATACTCAGATGCCGAGGCCCTGTCCCAGAAAGTCATTGATGGGCTGGAGATTCGCATCGTTCGGGTAATTTCGAGCACGTTCTTGTGGCTCGCCCAGGTCCAAACGTTGATTCGATTGTTTCCACGCCACAAGGAGAAAGTCATGATAAAATGGGCTGGCTTCGCGCTGATCGTGCTTGATACAACCTTCAGCATTCTGGAGAACTTCTTTATCCGAAACACATTGACACGACCCAGGCTCTACGATGATGCGATTCCGGCCCTAAGTTACTTGTTTGAGCTGGCTCTCAACTTGCTCTATGCCGCATGGGTTATCTTCTACTCAATATCCAAGCATCGCTTTGCATTTTTCCATCCCAAGATGCGAAACATCTGCCTAGTGGCTCTTCTCTCGCTTTGCGCCATCCTCATACCCGTTGTCTTTTTTGTCTTGGACATTGCGAAACCCGAAATCGCAGGTTGGGGTACCTATATCAGATGGGTTGGATCTGCTGCGGCGAGTGTGGTCGTTTGGGAATGGGTGGAGCGCATCGAAGCGCTCGAACGAGACGAAACGAAAGATGGAATTCTCGGCAGAGAAATCTTCGACGGCGATGAGATGCTCGAAGTCACTCCTTCCGAAGAAGTTGACTGGCCGCGCTATACAAACCAAGGGAATGACAAAGGCGGTGGAAACGGTGCATCTTCAGGCTGGGGCGGCGTGATGGGCTTGGCGCATCGGCCATTACGGAACCGAGTGGGCATCACTCGTGGCAAATTAAATCGTGGTGCGGGAGGCCAATCCAAGAATCAAACGGCTGGTACGGCACCGCGGCACTCCATTGCGAATCGCCCTACTCCGCCCCCGGCTGTCATTACGCCAGTCAGCCGGGCTGATACTACCAGCGCAGCCAGCACGGTATATAATGTCCGCTACCACCCCGTCGCCAGTCCTACACCCCCGGTGGGCATGCCACATATGAATGAAGAAGACGAGTTGGACGAAAAAGAAGCAGAGAATGAGCGAAGACAACCTGCCGACCCTGCCGAGCACAATATCTCTGGCGAAAACACCCGAGAACAGTCGCCGCAGATTGTGCATACCGACCCACGATGGCGCACTCTATTCAACCCCTTCAAACGGAGACGAGCATCTCTGCCAAAGGAAGTAGCATTTGCACAGGCTGGCGAAGAAGCATCGGCTGTCAAGGAACCGTATCCCGCAGATGAGGCTCAAGAGCCGCCTGTGGCGCCGTCAAGAGCCGACCATTTCTTTTCTCTTCATCGCAAAGGACGACGTGGCTCTGGATCGCAGACCGCCGACGCTCCCTTACCAGTCACTGTAATTCCCGCTCGCCGCCGCGGCCAACAGACATGGTCGCCCCAGAATCGACTGTTGGAGCCGTCTACACCCCATGAACCACGACCTTCCCGATCTGATCTTCCCGTAAGGGTCATTCCGTCCCAACCGCAAGCTTCCGCGCCATGGACTGACGCGGATGCTGGGAGAGGAAACGGCGACTATGTGCTCCGGTATGACCCCGAAGCCGCGGCCCTCATCGACGAGGATGTGAACCGTGCTACTCAGGATGGCTCTGCTACGCATTTCGATCAACGCAGCTGGACAGAAACGACTGCCTCGGAGTCCAGGAACGATGCGCCGTCTGGGCAAGCTGATCTGCAGCATGATGAACCCCCTGTCTCCAAATCGCAGTCTGGCCCGGAGCGTGGGACGTCCCCGAGTCAGTCGCCGCGTCAGGACAATTCGTAAGACTTTGCATTGCACGGGCCGCATTTGCATAATGTATAAAACATCTTCGGGGGCTTGGCTGGCGCGCCAATATGTGTTTTTCTGACCGACATTTCACGGTGTTTCAGGCAGTCGAGTTTGGGTTGAGCAAGGAGTCCGGGCGATCTATACCGAGTTCTTTGCTGGATTTTCAGGAACATTTTGAATATACAGGATATGGAGTTAGGGCATTATGAGCACCAGATAATAGGCAAATGAAGGATTTCATACATTTAAGCGGTGATTTGCGTGTCCATAGAGGAGTGGGGGTCCGCGCTCGGGAACTTTTGATCCGGCTGCTTCCCCATACCCGCACGACTCAAAACGCCTGTCAACGTCGCATGTCGCGGGTTCTTTTGTCGGACGTCGCATCATGGCGGCCGTCAACCGGAATATGTTCGATGCTAGCATCGCCACCGAACGGCCTGGCGGTTCCTCGCTGATGGTCATGCCGTTAAATTTGATCGCGCAGATCGTGTCCAATGTAAGGTCCCCTTTTTGACCACGCCTGGAGTTTTGCTGACCAGGTCGCTATGAAGGTTGAGGATACAGGCGACCTCGCCCGACTCTGCCGAACATGCCGCGTTCTCAATTATATGGCCCTTCCGCAACTCTACCGCAGCCTGACGCTGACATCCTATGACAAAATTCGATACCGCGGCGAAGAACCCGAAGGAATCGGTCGCGCAAGTCCATTCACGATGGGGCTTAATGCCATAATCACTCGACCGTACGCGAGCCTGGTTCGATCTATCGGTTTGCGGGGCGACTGGAAGGAGCACGAGCTGGAAGAACACGCCCGCGTCGGCCGGGTGCCGGATTCCTCCATGTTGCTGAACATTGCGGCGCGCGCGGCGGTGGACCGGATGACGAACCTGGAGAGCTTTAGCTGGGAACTCAATACTAAGATGCTCGACACGGTGTATACGGGGTTGGCCCAGCTGCCCAAGCTCACGTCATTGACCATCCGATTCCCGTCCAGTCGGCATCCCCAGCCGACCTTTGTGCTCCCCGGCATGCCGCACCTACGCTGTCTCAAAGTCACCGACATCGACCCTCTATGTTATCCTGATGATATTGCCACGATGCTCTGGAAGAGCAAAAAGCTGCGTGATCTCAAGCTGCATTGGTCGCCTCGGATGCGCATCGCCCAAGAGCCCAGTGTATCGGTTCATGACTATTTCCGCAAATGTATCGCAGCAAAGCAGCCCTTGGCTGTCAAGAAACTTTCATTTCAAAACATGTACGCGTTCCATACTGAGGAGTTCAACATTGCATTCGATCCGAGCACCGTCGAAGAAGTCACGTTTCTGAACGGAGCAGAGGGCGCCAACACGTTTATTGAAAGCAGTTGGCCGACCATCCCCCCTCAAAAAAGGCTGCGAATCAAGTCTGCGCGGATGGATGCGTTATCGAAACGCAACTCGGAATTTCTGGGGAATTTCTCGGGGCTCGACCGATTGTACTTTGTCAACGCGACCACTGACTGGAACGACTATCTCAACTCACCTCGACCCGGTATTGGCCCGGGATCATCTGCCTTGACGCCTCCTACCCCAGAAAACCCACCGTATGGCGGCCCCGGTGCCACCTCGGGCAGCTCCCCGATGGCATCGGCCTCTCCGGCCAGCCAAGTGAACCTGACATTAAATATGCGAGACAGCTACCTCGCCAACATCACCACAAGCCATGGCTCTACATTACGTCATCTCCTCCTCTCGTCAAGGTGGCCTCTTTCCACGAGCCTGGTTGCGCGTCTCGTTCACAGTTGCCCGAATTTGGAGCAACTCGCTCTTGCCACGGACTTTGTCAGCATGGAATCACTGGGGCTGTTCGTCCCTTTCCTGCGGAAACTCGTGGCACTTCGTCTTTGATTCCGGTGGGCCCTGCCGCGGCTCAGGGCGGCCCGGCCAACGCTGCTGCGCTCCGGGCATCCAAAAGCGCCTACGGGCAGGGACCTGGGGCCCCCAGTGAGTCGATCAGAGAAGCGCTTGCCAATGCGCGGTCCCTTGCGGAGGTGGTGGATATGGACGATCAAGTCCTCATGGATATGATGAGCTACGATCTGGCAAATAAACAGGTGTACGGGAATGTGAAGATCATCGGAATGGGCTGGAAGGCCTTCGAGCTGCGTGACTTCTACAAGGCGCCCATTCCCTCTACGCAAAACGGTTCCGAGTCCCAGTCGTCTACCCCGGCCGTGGATCGTGCGACTGAGGCACCGGACAGTACCAGCCCTACAAACGGCGTTGGCCCCGGTGAACCAGACCGCTCGGTCGCCTCCCAGCCTGTATCGCCCGACCTCAACGGCACAAATTCTTCTCGATTGACGCCGAATCCCCCGGGGCTTGACCCTGCAGCCATACCTTCTCTCCGCCAACCACCATCAACATTAGGGAAACGCACTCGCGATCAGGATGATAGTGAAAGCACCCCGAGAGCCCCGGCCCGCTACACGGAAGGTCCGGAATCTCCCCAAAGCCGCGAACCCAATTTGGCTGTTCAAGGCTGCTACGGCCAAACATTGACGGGCGACGGTCAAGTCTGGAGACGGCGTATGCGGCGGGTTGGGTGGGAAGTTCTGCAAAATTGGGAAGTTTGGGCACTGGATTCACAGGAGATCTAAGTCCATGGATCCCATCTTCCATTCTTCTTACCTTTGCTGCTGGGCACGATTATATCTCATTTACAATACACTATACACAGGGCGTCCGGTACATCAAAAGGTCGGTGTTGAGGTTTGTCTTCTCGGTGGTTTCTTGATATTATACACGTGCGGGCTACGTGTTGGCGCAGCACATGGAGTGGCTTCCGTTTCCACGCTCGAAGCTTTGTTCATCTATTGGATTAGCTGGACTATGTCAACTCGGTATCCATAGTGTCAGTGTGTACGCAGGATGCCTCAAGTTTTGGGGATGCTGCGTTGCCTAGTCCTTTGATAGACATCGCACTTCCGGATCTTTCTATGAAACCAAACAAATATAAATAGGCTGATACAATTGTGTTTGTTTTCACTCTTGACATACCATGACATGCTATTCCTCTTCTTTCATGGACTTATTATCTGGCCCACTCCCAGCGCAAACCAAGTATCCCGAGCTCGACATGGCTGAGAACCAGCCCACCCAGACAGCCAACCAACGTGCGCTAACCCTCCCTGACATCGTGTCCCAGATTTTTATCTGGATCATGATCGACCACGAGAAATACCAGTCCAACCTGAGCTCGTACTACACGGCCACAAACATGGCGTGGATGTCCTGCGTGCCCAAATGCTCAGGCCGGTTCATGGTGTGGGCCGACCATGGCACGCGCCATTTCCCATACTATGAACACCACGTCGGTGTTCTGCAGGACTATGCCATGGTGAACCGCACCTGGCTGGCCGAGGCGCTGCGTCTGCTGTGGAGAGACCCGACATCCTACTGCCGCACGCTCGAACAGTCTCTCATCCCCATCGACCCGGCCCGGCGCCAGCTGTATGCCCAGTACATCCAGAGCGCTATTCTCGTCACGGTCGACCGTGAAGACGCCCGTTTCAGTAATGCCGTGCTACGGGATCTGGAGTTCCCTCGTCTCAAGGCGCTTAAGCTCCTCGTGCGTGGTTATTGGGACGGCAGCCTGCTCTACAGCCACCGCAACGGTGTCCACATCCCGCGCTTCCAGAGCGACTCGCTCGCGCTTTTGATCGTGGACCGTTTCTTGAAGGACGAGTTTAAGTCGGCTAATCTTATGGGACTGCCGTATGAATGGAATGCCTTTCTTCGGCGAATCGCGGTGCGTTTTGTCTTCCTCTCTTATTTCCCAGCCGTCCATTGTCTTCAAAAAAGCTTGTCCATTGACTGTTTGTTTGTGTTTTTTTCTTCTAGGTCCAGTTCCCCAACCTCGAGGATGTGCGATTTGAGCCACAACTTGATGTCGACCTTACCAGTATGTGTCGCTTCGAGGAGCGTCTGCCGAACCTTCGGTCTCTGACGTACCTGAACAAGACTGTTACCCTGCGGTAGGGGCTTGCAGTCTACGTCAACAGAGAAAGACCCGAGAAAGGAGCGAAGAACGGGCTGCGGTAGATTTGACAACCCGTGGGTGTTGATCTAGGCGAGAGCAAAGTCCTGTATCTAGAAAATCAGTCTATCAAAATGAGGCCCATCGGGCAATTCGAAATACGCTCATACTCATGAACCAATTTATAAATCCCACTGAATTCTTCAATTAAGACCTTCGTCCCTCAGCATAAGCAAGTCGAGTTAATTGGATGGTTGCCTGGGGGTAGATATTCTTTAATGGGGTGGCTGGTGTTGTTTTGTTTGCCTGAAAGCGAGAGTGAATGAAGCCAAAATGAATGTAGAGCCCACCACTATAATTACTCCCCCTCCTCTCCTTTTTTCTCTCCCTTCTCTTCTTTCTTTCTTCAACCTCCCACTGCATACGAACCACTCTGTGGCACTTTCCATTCCTGCCTTCCGTCCTTCTTTTGCCCCCATAGGTATGGACTTCCCCCCATCTCTCTCTCTTTTCCTTCATTTATCAGACTCATGTGCCCTTTGACTGACACATGTTGAATTCTTTTGCCTCTAACAGCCCCTGACTCACCAGGGATCCGCATACGCACACCAAATGTCCTCGACTCGCCGGACCGAACTATATATGCCGCGCCCACTTGACTCGCCGCTCGACAAGACGACTCTCTCCTGGCGCAAGCCATTTCCATACCTTTTGAAAGATTCTTTGCTTGCTCTATGGCTTTGGAATCAGGCTTGCTGTGTGGGTGTTGGCTTTCTTTCTTTTTCTTTGCCCGATGATGATTCCGTCCATGGACGAGCTCGCACACTCTCACTTGATTTGAAAGCATCCGCTACTAGATGTACCCCTTCGTTTGAGGGTGAGGTTTCCCTGGTCTCTGGATGCTGATGATCTTGTTCAAAGTGCATTTCTGAGGGCTTTTCTTTTCTTCACTTCCCTTCTTGGTTTCTCCTGTTGCCCCATGGCGATCCTGTTGTTTATTCTTACTAGATAATTTTGATAAATGAGAGTCACTTTGAGTTCAAGCTTATTCACTGTAATGAGCTTCCCTCATAAATGTAATGTTGCCGTTCGAGCTCTCTGTGCACTTCTTGAAACCCCCTGAGTCTTTCTTCCGACTGCTTACAAGGACCAGCGTCCCATCACTTCTCAGTGTCCTTGCCGTTTGTTTCCCCCCGGTCTGAGGAGCCCAATCCCAGACACTACTTGACTATGCTGGATGCGGTACCAACAGTGAGAGGCAGCGATGCGGTGGCAATCTGGGGGCTTATTCCCACTAGGTCGAGTGCAACCACCTTCCCCGTGGTCTGGAGACGAGCAGCAATATGCTGACTCTCATCCAAAGACAAGCCCGAGGCAACCGGAAACCCAGTTGATGGTGCACATTGAGGGTCCAAAGCGTCGATTTCATACGAGACATGGATCCGGGACGGGCCGACATGATCCAAAGCCCAGTCCATGATCGTCTGGATCCCATATCTGTGGAGTCGGATTAGAACTTGGAGCCACGAGTCAACAACAGGGAGCCTCCAATGAATTCAAACAGCGTACCACTTGACGTCGGCCATGGTGAATGCCTTGATGCCGTGATCACAATGGTCTGCCATTCGGCATCGTCGACATCGCGAAGGCCAATATACACGAGCTTCTGGAGATTGATCAGATGGCTCGCTTCGAGCCAGCAAATATACCTGGTCGGGGCGATCGTGCAAGCCCAGATGCAAAAGCCACCGGCATCCCGTGAAGACGGCCACTCAGACTGGTCTGCGGCGTGTTGATGTCGGCATGGGCATCGACCCACATAACAGCGACTTCCAGCCCGGGGTGCCTTTCACGGACGGCTTTGGCGGTTGCAGAGACTGTACCAATTCCAATTGAGTAATCGCCACCCAGGGTCAGCACAAATCGTCCCTGTCGGGCGTGGTGGTAAACTCGCTCGTTGATCTGCTGCGTGGCTGCGCTAACAGCGCGAGGCCTTTTCATTCCATCGACGTCTGGGTCGGTATCTGGATTGTGATTGGATCTGGGCCCCGTCTGTCCTAGATGGTATTGGCCGATGGTCTTGTCAGATCTCAACTGGATCTCGTCCAAAAGACCCGAGGCGATCAATGCGGCCGGGCCATTCTGCGCGCCATCTCGGGGCTATGTGGTTCGGGTCCGTGAAGGGATTCCAAATGCAGACCAGGGTTAAATTGATACCGCTACACATGAAAACTGGGCCGCAACGACTGCCAGTTGGGCCGGATCTGTCAGGAACCTGGGGATGAAGGCCTTGTGTCCGATGTTGCGCATGGTTCCTCGGAATGGTCATCGTTTGTGGCGTGTATGTTGACTGAGAGACGGACTGTCCAGCAACAAGGAACTCATATTCAAAATGGTAGTAGGTGTTTGTGGAATTTTTTGATTCATGCCGGCTGCACTCAACTTGAACAGACTACATCGTCTTGAACGTCCGGTAAAGTTAAGTGGAGGCGACGTGCGGGTCTTGGCCCAAGACCCACCAGAGGCTTTCTTCTTGATCTTCTTCACTGGGAGTGAGCCAGAGCAATGCGGACGCTAGGCAAGTACTTGGATATTTCCGACGTTTCTGGTGTTATCTGGCCTAACCCGAGAGCCAAAGACCTTGTGGGTGAGCATCAACTGTGGCTACTGCGCCTTCGAGCGTCGACAGATGGACTTATGAACGAGTATCATTAACCACACGAACACAAGAGTGTGGTATGCGCATCAAATGCCCGCAATTCGAAGTGGCTTCTCGGGAAGTCCGCCACAAGTCTGGTGTTCTGGTAGCAGGCGATCGATCCGGGTATGAATTCAACCGCTCAGCCCTAAAATGGTCTTCACGGCGACGGTGGTTCTCCGAAGTATCTCCATCAGGCATGGCGGACTCGTGGCCTCCTCAGCCTTTGAGCCATCTACTCTAAGGTACACGGACACTTCAGTACATTTGGCTAGTCTGGTCCGATTGTTGATACGGTTGCCGTAAGACGGCCGATGCTGTCGTCTGGAAGTCTCCACTGGAGACTCCCATGGATGCTCTACCAGCCAATTGTGAAAGTCGTCAGTCTTCAATCCGAATCTATCACCTCTTGGTGCGGTCGATCATGCTCCATCCTGCTCCCACTTGTGGAAATCATCCGGCAACTTTTTTATCTCGTCGTCTGTGGCCCGGAGTGGCGCGGATTGCCGCGTCACGGACATGACGACGTGGAGAAATTAGTTATTCTAGTGGCAGGTATATAAAAAGCCCCTTTGATCCCTTCAAGGCACTGTTTTGACGACCCACCAGGATTTCGCTCGTTTTTGCAGAACATCATCTGTGGGTTGAGTTCGGCACCATGCTTCTCTCTACTCTTTTGCTACCCATCGCAGCGTCTCTCGTCTCGGCTGTTCCAGCATCACACACTTCGAGCAGGCCGACTGTTTCCCTGGACTACACCACCGTCAAAGCAGCAGCAGGCAACGAGACGTTGGGATATTACAAGTATCAGAATATTCGTTTTGCGGCTGTTCCTACAGGGAACCTAAGGTTCGCCAAACCCCGGTGGCCCTCTGTTGAGTCTGTCATCAACAACGGCACAACATATGCTAGTTCCGATGTGGATTGTTCCTCTGAGGAGGACTGTCTCTACATGGACGTGTGGGCCCCAGCCAACGCAAAAGGCAAGAAATTGCCGGTCATGGTTTGGACCTACGGGGGTGGATTCACCGGTGGCTCCAAATCGCAAAACACCCCTGAGGGTCTTTTCGATCTGTCCAAGGAATTTGTTTTCGTGGCCTTCAACTACCGCCTGGGAATTACTGGCCTCGCCAACTCGGTGAGTGCAACTCACCAGGGCGCGACCGATAATGTGGCCCTGTACGATGTCGAGCACGCCTTCAAATGGGTCCAAAAATATATCAGCAAATTTGGCGGCAACCCAGACGACATTACCTCCTTTGGCTTCTCCGCCGGAGCCAGCATGCCCCTGTTCATGATCACGCGCTACGGCGGCCACAACGAGCAGCTCTTTCACAAGGCCTACATCACATCGCCTGGGTTCGTGCCCGGCGCCGGCCACCACCACGGCGAGATGTTCTGGCAGAATGTGTCCACGGCGGTTGGATGCAAGGGAGGCGATCTCTCATGCATGCGGCATGTTCCTTTTGCCAACCTCAGCAGCGCGGCCAATACCGTCTACGAGAAGTACGACTACCAGTTCCAGCCTCGCGTCGACGGCGACTTTGTGGCCGACACCTACGAGTCTCAGCTGTACCAGGGCCACTTTAACTGGACCGGCCCGCTGGTTATCAGCCATGAGCAACATGAGAATAATGGTTCTCCTACCTCTGGCGTTAATACGACTGCCGATGTGAGGAGGGAACTCCGGACCTTTTTCCCCGGTATTACCGAGGATGCTGTCAATGATATCATGGCGCTTTACCCGGCTTCGGACTATGCCAGCCCGGGCTACCGCTTTGCAGACATGCGGCAGTCTTTTGATCTGACGGCTCACAACTACGCGTTGACGCGGGCGCTGAACAACAATACCTGGACCGCGAGGTGTTCTCTCGGTAGCGCGACCCATGGCACTGACCAGAGCTATTACTGTAAATGATTTTTTTTTAACATTCCCTGGAATCCTTTTCTACCGGAGATGCACAGCCCGCTAACCCAATCTCATATAAAAAGGGTATAGCACTTACTCCCTTTCATCCAGCAGCTCCAGCAGTAGCTCTGGTGGCCCTCCCGCGGGAGCAGGCATAAACATCTCCGGCGGCACCTCGGTCAGCCCTAGCGTTGCTGTAAGTCTTTCTGCACTCTATCCAGCCTGTGACACATATTTTCTTTTTTTTTCAGGTTCCTGCTAACGCATATTTTCGTTTTGTAGCGGAAGATGCAAAAATATCTCCTCTCTTTCGTGCTGACCGGCAACCCCAACACCAAGTGGGCCAGCGACAAGATCCACTGGCCCAAGTATGGCAGCAACAGCACCCAGCTTGTCTTCAACACGACTATGTACACTGGCAAGGATGATCTGGCCAATGCCAAGAGTTTGTACTGGAACAAGGCTCTGTGGTATTAAAGTGAAGCAGCAAGAGATATTGTCTGAGGCTGTTAGGTTGAATATAGTGAGTGGGAACACGATATCGACTTGAAGCTCGTTTCTTTGTACTGTATTGCCTGGAATTAAGATTAAAATGAGATACATAACCACATTAAATGGAATATATGTGAACTTGTTGGTTGGGTGTTTAGAGAAGTCTCTATGGGCCTGGAGAGCGAAATGTCATTTTTGATAAGAGTCTCGGGATTCTCCGATCACAGATGCCTGCAGAAGCTACAGAAAAGAAGCACATAGTATATCATTATCTGAACTAGACATGTTTGAAATTACTGTGTAACACAAAAGGAGCTCTGTTGAGAACAGGACTAAACTAAGGTTGATTCCTCGTGGGTGGATCTATGCACATATTCACGGCACGTAACCGACGAATGTCATGAGGCTTGACAGCTAGTTGCCAATAATGTAGGAGAGTGTTAAAAAAGAAAAAAAAGATTTTGATAGTTTCATTGCCTAACCATTTTTTTACCGAAAAGACTTTATTATTCACGTAATATATTTGTGGATAGAACTATCATTGAGATTTGTTTACTGCCCTTTTACTACCTTTTTATGTAGATCATGTACGTTCAGCTATCAAGCAAATACATATATATCTGTGACCCTCATCTATTCTCAAATTAGAAATTAGTCTTCTAGCACTGTTTTATATCCAAGTCCTAACCTTGAGAAAACTTTCTGGGTATATATCACATCGCAATTGGATATTTTCAACAGAATTGGAGTATCTGTATGTCCTTGTTCTCGTGGTTTGCCCGGCGGCGCCCACCGCGGTTGCAGCCACAGCTTCCTGGCTTCACATTGCCTTTGAACTACCGACGTGATGTGAGATTCAAACTGACCCGATATCGTGCGCACTGACTGATTATAATATAGACGAGTAGCAAATTTGGTCGCTATCTCTTTCCTAATGCTTTAAGACCACGGCGACCTGGATTGTGGCTCTGTGAGGTACCATAACCTGGCATTGACACTATGGTTTATGCATACCAAATGAATTGACGTTGACTATTTTATCGACAACCCAGAGTGGGGATCACAAGGTACAGTGGACTTGTCGTTGCCCCCCAGCTGGCCTTTGCTTATTCCTTTGCAGGTTTTCAATGAAGGCATCACTTCCTCAGGTGGATGATTGAAAAGCGTCGATCCGTAGTCGATCGTCAGGAGAATGGCGCGATCAAAAAGTCTGTGACAGCCGCTGAAACTGCTCCACGCGTTACGTGTAAAGCGGGCGCCCATTGGCTGGTGGACCAGGGCCCTTGACGATCAATTTTAAAACCATTCCCCTTAAATCCCTGGCTTTTTTTTTTTTTCCTACTTTCGCCTCACCCGAGTCACTCCTTTATACTCCCTTTTCACTCCACTTCATTCACCATGGCAAACGGTCGCTCCTCGCAGGACGAGCGCAAGCTCGAGAGTGGAACTCCTTCCAGTCCCTCCAGCGGTCTGCACCCCGCTTTCTACATTGCGTACGTGTCCCCAGAGTCCCCGGAGTCCCAGGATTGTTGGCTAAGAGAAAACTGACAATGGGTTCAGTCTGTGGATTGCTTTGAGTTCCAGTGTCATCCTCTTCAACAAGTGGGTTCTTGCCAGCGCCAAGTTCAGTATGCTTACTCCCTTACCCCCCCCCCTGCACACTTGCCATTGTTGTTGGGTCGGCTAACCTGAGGTGTTATCGCAGATTTCCGTGAGTCTCCCTGACCGATCGATGATCCTCGAGAATATCCACACTGACTCCGTTTCCAGCGCTTTTCTTGACAACATGGCACATGTTGTTTGCGACGGCCATGACCCAGATCCTGGCCCGCTTCACCGACAAACTGGACTCTCGGCACAAGGTGCCCATGACCCCGGCTACCTACACGTATGTGCCCACAATTAGAAGGGACACGAATTCGACCGGTTCTGATTGCGAGAAAACAGGCGGGCTATTGTTCCGATCGGTATCATGTTCAGCTTGAGTCTGATCTGCGGTAACCTGGCGTACCTCTACCTGAGTGTGTCGTTCATCCAGATGCTCAAGGTGAGTGGCTATTATATCGTATGAAATGACGGAGCCCGGTCTAATCCGTCCAGGCCACCAACGCCGTCGCCACCCTTCTCGCGACGTGGGCCTTTGGCATTGCGCCGGCCAACTTCCGCACTCTCGGCAACGTGACCTTGATTGTGGTGGGTGTTGTGATCGCCTCGTTTGGCGAGATCAAGTTCGACATGTCTGGATTCCTGAGTAGGTGCCTCATCTTCCCCCGTGATTCAAATGAGAGTAAATCTGACCCCGTGCAGTCCAGGTCGGTGGTATCATCTTCGAGGCTCTGCGTCTGGTCATGGTGCAGCGTCTGTTGAGTTCGTCCGAATTCAAAATGGACCCCCTGGTGTCGCTGTATTACTATGCGCCGGCGTGCGCCGTGACCAACGGCATTGTCACCATCTTCGCCGAGCTCCCGCGCCTGACCATGCTCGACATCTACTCCCTTGGCGTGGGGACTCTGATTGCTAACGCCCTGGTTGCTTTCCTTCTCAACGTTTCCGTTGTTCTTTTGGTACGTGGCTCTGTCTCGATGTTTTGTACTAGCGGGCCACTGACTCCTTTTTTAGATTGGTAAGACCTCCGCGGTCGTCCTGACCATGGCCGGTATCCTGAAGGATATCCTTCTGGTCGCCGCGTCCATGATCATTTTCCGTGACCCCGTCACCGGCCAGCAGTTCTTCGGCTACTCCATCGCCCTCGCCGGCCTGGTGTACTACAAGCTCGGTGCCGAGAAGATTCAGACCCTCACCTCCGATGTGCGCCTCCAGGTGGGCGAGTACCGCCGCAGCAACCCTGGCAAGGCCAAGGCCATCATCCTGGTCGCGGTTGTCGGTGCCGTTCTGCTCTTCCTGCAGAGTGGCTCCCCTGCTCCCCAGCCGACTACCTAATCGAAATCCCATTCCAAGGATTCGCCACGTGCCGCAATGTTGCTGGCGAGGTTAGTCGGCGGCAACTCATTATCGGGTGAGAGGAAGTGGACCAACGACGGGAGGTCTCTTTTGGTCTCGTTAAGCATAGAGCGAGCCCATATCCGCCGCTCGTGCTGCAGTCTGATAAAAAAAAATAATGTGTTTTGTCTTGGGGGTAGAGACATGCATGTAGAGTTGGCAGGTATAGATGATGTTAAGGCAGAATAGAAGGGACGAGAAGCATATAATTAACTGCAATGTCAATTTTTCTTGTTATTGGGTCCTTCGGGCATCTCTGCTCTAGAACTCGAGTTTTGGAGAAGCTTCTAGGCAACTCGTACGAGTGCAAGCTCATTATAGTTGCCTGCCACTATACTACGAGGCATGCCATTCTTGTTTGGGCAAAACTTATCTTGGCAATCCACTATATGCCCATACGCCCTGGCACTCCAGAGCCCACTAAACACGAATTACATGAATCACCCTTTATACGGATACCGTTTAAACAACACATCAGCCACCCCATAAAAAACCGCTCCAATCGCAAAGGTCGCCGCAAGCACCGCAAACCCAACCAAATACCCCGGCGCATCGTCCTCCGGAAACAACGCACTGCCATACAACTGCGCCAGCGCCGCAATGCCGTTCATCAAGGCCAGCATAATAGCCCGAACATCGCGGGTCACCGACGCCAGCGCCGTAGTCGCAAAGGACAAGCCCAGCGCATTGCCTGTCCAGATAGTCATGTTGATAAAACACAGAAACACATACCGAGCCGTGTAATTCTGGATCCCCGCCGTGAGCGCGAAAAACACCACGCCGGTCCCGAGATTGAGGACGAGGAATACCCCTCGCAGGTGCGGGTTGCGGTCTGCGAGGAAGCACACTGGGATTGCGACGAGAGAGACGAGGTATAGTGGTGCCATCATGTACTGTGCGTTTGTGGCGGTGTATCCCATGCCGTTGATCAGCGTCGGGTAGAAGTAGGAGATGGCGAGCGTGCCGAGGATGGTCATGTATGCTGGGACGAGGAGCCAGGTGCGCCAGCTGCACACGGCCTGGAGGAAGGATGTCAGGAGAGAAGCGCGGTTCTCGGATGGTGATGATGGGCCTGTGGGATCGGCCATGCCGTCTTGGATTAGTCGCTGCTGCACTAGGTCTTGTTCTTGGAGGGTGAGACCGCGGCTACTGTGCGGGTAGTCGAGTAGAGTCCAGTGCACGATTAGGCTGATTCCTGCGGTGGCTGTTCCCTCGACGATGAAGAGCCATCGCCAGCCGCGCACGCCGTGGGTGCCGTCGAGGGTGGAGGTGATGGCGCCGGAGACGACGCTGCCAAATGCGCCGGAGAGGATTCCTGCTGTCAGGAAGATGATAAATCGTTTTGATCTGGTAGGAGTGAGTGTCCTGTGGTGGTGTTCTGAGTCTGGAAAGGGAATGTAGCATACTGTTCGCTCTTTCGGTACCATGTGGATATAAGAAAGATCACGGCTGGCTAAAAGATGTCAGTGTGGCCCATATGCACTATCTTTTAATCACTACACACGCTGAATCCCGCCTCGAACACTCCTAGTAAGAATCGCAGCGCAATCAATTGGCTCTGATGCCGGGCAACTCCTATCAGTGCCGCCATCGCGCCCCATCCAAACGTGATGATCGGGATAAAGACCGACGGACGCATGCGCGAAAGAAGCATACTATATTCATCATAAGTATGGTTATGTTGAGGCATGCGAGCTACTTACTTCGACGGCACGGCCGCAATTGTATAGCCAATCACCCACATAATGACCGCAGTGTAATACTGGTCCGAGGTGAGTTCGAGATCTTCTTCCATGCCTGCAACCTTGGCTAAACCGAGATTGGATCGATCCTGGGTAAGGTTAGAGGTTCATTCAATGGGAAACAGAAGATGTAGTAGCCCTACCACGTAAGAAAACAGATAGAGGATAAACACCGAGGGCATCAAATGCAAATCAATCTTGCGAACAAGCTTCTTCTCTGCCACCGGATCCACTGCAATTGACTCGCGCGTACCCTCCTCCGCATGGAAGGCCTTGGGTTTGACATCTTCGGCACCTAGTGACATGGTTGTTGCGATTCGAGATGGGGGCGTGTCGAGCCTACAACAAGCAAATTAAACCAACACACACAATACAGTCTATTTATCGCCCTTCTCTCCGCACACAAGCCGGAATGAACCAATTTGGCACTGAAAAAGCCGGGGGAAATCCGGGGGAAAAAGACGCTAATGCGTTATGCCTTGGCGAGTCTGGGATAAGTTGGTTTCAAGCGGGGGGACTGGTGACACTTTGGGCTGATGCTGGCGTGTCGTACAGTCCCACGGCAGTCGTGGATGTTCTGCTCAGATATTAAATGTCCCAGAGAGCGGTGGTGAGATAGAAGACCTAACCTAAGCTCTCACATACCAACCTTTGATCCCCGCCATCGTCGGGAATTTACTTGGATTCACCTTGGAAAAGACTTTCTACAAGCTAAATGCTGACGTATATCGATTTCGTATGGAGCTCCAACAGAGGAGTATGTTGAAGTGTTTCCTCTCAGTTCGAGATAGATCTTCGTTTTATAACTGTAGCAATTGCTGTCCATGCTTCGGGGACCGCCTCCCCAAGAGCTGGAGATTGATAGTATCCGCAAGCCAATTCCTTCGCGTGGTATTGTTCGGATGTCGCAATCACCAACACCCAATGCAAGTCCAGTAGTGGAGACAGACATGCGGAGATTCTCCGGCAGTCAGGGTTCTCCAGAATTGTTCACACATCGCGAGACTTGAAATATCCCCGCAGCAGATTTAGCAAGCTCATTCTATTTCCACCTCTTTAGTTAACCTTGGTGGCGCGCGATAGGAAAGCAAGATGGCGCATCGGTGAGCCATTATCCTTTCGGAGATTCGTTTCTCGATAATTGGATCTTTCCTAACGGCAGCCAGTGAGCAACTCGCCAAGTACCCCGATCTCAAAAACCAGGTAGCTTTGGTCCTCGGCGCAGGCCAATCCGGCAACCCCAAGTCAAAACACTGGGGTAACGGAGCCGCCATTGCCAAAGTGCTCAGCACATCCGGAGCAAAGGTCATCGCATGCGACGTGAATCTCGACGCAGCCCAACAAACAGCATCACGTATCCAAGCCAGTGGCGGCGTCTGCGACGCAGCCCAAGCGGACGTGACCAGTGCCAGGGACATCCAGCGCGTCACAGACCAAGTGCTCACCAAATACGGAGGTATCGACATCCTCGTCAACAACGTCGGCGGCACCAAACCCGGGGGACCAGCGGCGATGTCCTGAAGAAGCGTGGGATGCACAGATCAGACTCAACCTCAAAACCGTCTATCTCAGCTGCCGTGCCGCTCTCCCGATCATGGGAGACAGGGATCGGGATCCATCATCAATAATGCATCCATCGCCGGTATGAGATATCTCGGGAAACCGCAAGTGGCGTATGCATCGGCCAAGGTGGCGGTTATGCATTTCACCAAAGTCACGGGCGTGATGTATGCCGGCAAGGGAGTGCGCGTGAATTCTGTGGCCCCGGGGATGATGTACACGCCGCTGCTTGAGATGCTGGGGAATAGCGAGTCGGACAATGATCGGGAGGTCTATCGGAAGATCACGGACCATAATGTTCCCTCGGGGGTTATGGGTGATGCATTCGATGTTGCTAATTGTGTGGCTTTTTTGGCGAGTCACTCGTCGCGGTATATCACCGGTCAGAACTTAGTGGTTGATGGTGGGCTGACGAGCTCTACGGGGACTGGGGGAGTGCCAGCTCCTTCGCCTAAGCTTTAGACCCAGCTGGGATTGATAGGGACTATGCTAGATGTAGACCCTTTTTATTGCGTGATCAGTATTTACCAGCCTAATAAGTACAATAAGCCAGTTGCTAGGGCTACTCTCGCTACTTCTGTATATCCCGTCAGTCTACCAGGCCAATAGCACCTCGACTGAATCTTCCTATACACCTATATCAAGATTTCCCCCGAGCCTTGCTTCTTATTTTTGTATTCCACAACATAAATCTTGCAGAATGCTTAACACACTAAGTGTTTTGTTCACAATTTGCATTTTGGGGTAAGGTATTTCGTTCTCTTTATAAACTAACACGCTATACAGATGATATCGACGCTCAAAGATGTTGGAAAGCGCCTACAATTCGACTTACTACCCCATTCACCTGTTGTTGTGGACACACCACCGTCGGTCGAATCCGATCGGTCGCGATCGCCAGGCGTGCCGTCACCATTTTCTCCTGTTCCCGACACTCCTGTTTCCTCGCAACAAGGAACTCTGGCCGCAAGAGTTCCGTCGATCACGGCCCGCCCGAATCATTTATCCACCAGCAAGACTGTGGATTCTCTCCTGAAAGGGATCGAAAGACATGCGTACTGGCTTCTAGAAGCGCAAAGGCTCGAAGAAGATGCCATTGTATCACGCAAGCGAATTTTGGGAGGAGGCATTCGTTGGGAAGATATCAGCCGTGTGGAGGGTATTAGAATGTGCGACCCGGAGTCTAAGCTACGCCGGGTTCTTGCGCTCAGGTCTCTAGCGCAAGAGCATGAAGACAAGCAGACACAACAGGGTGTTTTTCCGACAAGACTTGGGGAACTCGATAATATTTCTTCCTCCCCCAAAGTATAGAGCGCCTTATTCCTTTCTAGTAGAAGATCCATAAACAGTATCTCGATATTCGTAGCGATATTAAGAAATACATCGCTAGCTTTATTTAAGTCTAGCTTATACTTAGGTCGCCTATCACTCCTACTTATTACGCTCTCGAAGAGAAAGCTTGCCCCTTGCCGGATAATCCCCGCGAACCGCGTGTCTTTGCTAGGCTTATTATTTGTCATGGGTAGGGAAACCTACAGCCGAGCAGGTCTTGGAATCGCAGAGGACGCCAGTTGGCGAATCGGTGGCCCGCTAGGTCCTAAGACCGCAGTCTTAGGACCTTGTGTATCATTGGCCCTGTGTCCTCTGGCTACGGGCCAGTGTCTTCGATTCTAAATCAATAGTCTCATTTTACTAGTCTTCAGTTCCGGGGTATATAACACCGTCCCCTAGACCTCGTTCCAGTTACTATCTTGGTCTCTAGTCGTCGGCCTAAAATAATCGGCGGACCTCTTACAGCGAACATATAACTCCACTAGACTTGAACGTGTCTTGTAAAGTGCTACTGGAGATATTCATAGTCCCTGGTCCTACCCAGCCGTCTTGTTATTGGCGATCCGATTTTCCTATTGATTACCACTACGTCGCCGACCCCACGCTATTTCCTAGAAGTATTACGTTGTAACCCGAGCCTTTCGCAAAAAAATCTCAAAGATATGCCATTTTAAACGTCTAGCGCCACCTATATTAATATTAGTAATAGAGGGGTTACACGGCCCTCCTCACTGTGGTTGTGGGACCAGAACTACAGCAACCAGTGTCGCCCTCACTGAGAGCTATCCTACACACTGAGGATTTTCTGAGTATTTATAGGCTTATATCGCTCGTTTTAATATCGGAAACCATACTTCTCCCCACTGAACCATGAATCTACCACATCCGGAATGAGTGCTCCCCACCTCCTGCTTAAATATAGGACAGCGGGGTTATATAGCTGAGAGCCACTGTCCACATTCCTTAGTGCCTCTAGACTATCTCAAGTCTTGTCGAGACCTAGAATGATTGGGCTAGGAGAGAAGTAGTACTTAAAGTCAGCTCATATGACGTGTGGCCTATTGTGTTGTCTGTGCTCCTCGGTGTGACTGATTTACTCTCAAGAAGATTCCCCTATGAGCTGAACCCTCTCAAAACGATTCTTTTGTTCTCGGCTTTTCAAGGGTGCCTTGCTCTTGAAGCGGTTTAGCTGGGACTGGTGTTCTGTTAACGTTCTCTCATTTCATATCATATAGGATGCTCTACATAGCTCTATCTTAGATACAAGACCAGTCTTTCATACTATTATTACTTTTGTTAAGGTTCTCTCGGGGCATTATAGAGTTGACGTAGGGAGATGCCCAATGCCTGCGGATATCGCGTTAGGAAAATTTGTTTTCCTATCTCGTAAATTCGCGATCTGATTGTTGATACCCAAATTTCAACCGTCGCCTATATATTCCGAGGCAAAGCGCGCTCCTTATTCCTATGCTTCGATGTCATCGAGTTATTATGCGAACCGGACCCTCGAACTTGAATCACCAGACCTGATTTTTGATGAATAGTAAAAGATTGGCATCTATGAAAGATCAAACATTACCCCTACATATCCTCTAGGTATCCGAGGAAAAACGAGCAGTACACTCCTCCTTATATGCCTTCAACTGCTCCATCTTAATCTTCGTAAACGGCTCCATCTCTGCACGCACCTCATCGTCAAGCAACTCAATACCCGCACCGTCGTTATGTAATGCTGCCCAATAGATGGTGTCCACATCAAAGCTCTTTCTTGCCGCATAATCGAACCAAAACCGCCCAGTCCTCCATGAATCACGCATTCGGGTAGAGAGAGACAGTCCAACTCGCTGTTTGACCTCTAGTGCCATTTCACTTTCCACTTGCTCCAAAGCTCGTAAGAATTGCTCCATTCTAGGTTCATAGAGAGCCAGAAATTCATCCATCGCGCAGCGCTCAAGCCACATTTCCGGTCCCGAGAGCAACAGCCACCAGGGCGGGTCGTACGTGAACTCAGCTGGCATGGCATTTGAGAACTCGAAATCGAGAATGGAAGTGATCTGAAAAGTTTCCGGGTTTATAAGCATATTTGATGGTCGCATATCGTCGCAGAAGGGTATAAATAGTCCGTAGTCCTCTGAGTCAGGATAGTACTTTGACACCAGCTGTGCGAACCGATGGCGGGCAGTGAACCGCTTCCGAGCAATCTCCGTATTATCGGCAAGATTGCGCTGGGTCTGAAGATGGATCAAATGCTCGTTCGCGAGCGACTTCAGATAATCACTTGCACGGTTAAATGGTGCGGTCGGGAATTGATCATCAGGGTAGCCGGCAACAGTGGCTAACTCGTTTATATTATATGTTAAGGGTCTTCCGGTAACATGCCATGTTCCTGAAGCATCGTCCTTCGAGATAGCCCCAATCCTAGCAAACTTAAGTTGAGAAAGCTGGAATATATAAGAGGCGATTTGATGATAGATCTTGTCTAAGATTGTGTTGTCGATATTCGGGTTGAGAACCATATCTTCTAGATCAGGTTGTTTCAAGATAGTCGATAAAGGTATACTATTAATATAATCCATAATAATAAATGGACCAAGTTGTTGTGGACTTTCGGAAATTAAGCCCCAGCTGTGAACACGAGGAAGGGGGATATTGGTGTTTTGGCGTAGATATCCCATGATCTGGACCTCATTCACAACCTTTTCGTCCCTGTAAGCTGAAGCTGTGTGTCCAGGCTTCGGAAACCGAATAATAGCATCAGGCCGCCTATCGCCGAAGCTGAAATGGAAGCTAAAGTTAAAGGAACCCTTAAGAAAACCAACATATTCTCCGGAACCCCCCCTTCCCGCCGCCTAGCGACAAAAGCTGCTAGTTCAGCCCGTAAGTCAAAAGCTCTGCTGAGCCAGGCTTTGCATTCTTCATCGCCGTTGGTCTCTTCTAGCTCGTCAAAATAAGTCTTGAGCGAGGATGTCTTCTGCAAAGGCATCTGAGCAATTGGGATGTGGAGGTGATGGGAAAAGTGTGCAGTCTAGGGAGAGTAAAGATGGAAAAAAAAGAATTGTGTTGAAATATCCAAATCGCACTCGCGATAGAACTTCGATCGTAGCTGGTAAATATGATGCAGGGGTGGGAGAAGAGAAAAACAGACTATTTGAGAGAATAGCTAAGTGGAGCGGCATGGATTAATAACCAGCCGCCTGGGTCGCAGCCTCGATTTGCGGTTGCAGGGCCTGCCCCACCAACCTATATGTGATCTATCCATGGCAACGAAATTATTGGAGGGGATGCTCGCAATGCAAGAAAAAATGAATTTATCTAAAAGGATGACGTAGACTTCGGAGCCAATTAACTAAGGATCATGGATGTACACGTATGCCCCCATATCAGCAACTGGCTAACAGGGGATATATATTTCCCCGCACTGATAGCCAATCAATGGCGTTCTTTAGCCGCTCCTATTCCAAGGGTTGCCATATTGAGACATACATACTACGCCGAGTGATTCCGTGTGCTGACAGCCATTCAAACGGGAACATCCATGGTATCTTGAAACGTGCAAGGCGGCTGATGGTCAGGCACGCCAATGCTGAGTTGCATTAACCGCCGTTCCCTTATCAAAGTAGGATTAACATTCTCTAGCTTCCTACATTATATAACGCCTCCAGCTTCCTGTTGCTGTAGGATCAGAGCCAAACATTCTTCCACGACAGAAATACCAGCTTCTCGATTTCCGTGGTTTAGGCGGTAAAGCTTTTGATCCTATGTCTATAAAACCTATAGTCTTTACCGACTGACGATTCGTCCAGAACCATTCTCCAAGGCTATTACCGCTCCTTCAACAAACCAGCTCAATACAAAGCCACCGACTCAAGCGACAAGATGACTGGTAGCGGTAGCTACATCAAAGTGCCCAAGATGAGGAAGAGGAACGCATGCGTAAGGCAGCAGAAGAATCCCAGCGAAAGCGCGAGGAAGCAAGAAAGAAGCGAGAGATGGAAGAGGCGATGAAAAAGGCGGCAGAGAGTTCTCAGCAGCGTAGAAGGGGTGGAGGTGCTTGAGCCTCTCGATTGTTCTCTTGAGGTAAGCTTCTGGAATTCTATCCATCTCTACGTGAAGGAGTCTCACTGGGATTGTAGGAACCTCATACGGCAGAGACAGCAATCATCCGCTTGGCAGGGAGCACTGAGATGTTTCATGAGGAAAGACTATGGCGATTCGAAGATGTTTAATGGTCATTACCATAAGTGGTTTGGTGTTTTTTGGCCAACTCGTTTCGTGCCGTCCATTCACACAAATTTTCAGTCACACGTCATACTGTATTTCATGAAACTAGCTTTACGACGGCATCTGATTCGGATATATTCAGCTCTGTCCATTTTCGCATATGCTGACGTGGTTTTCGGCTTGTAGTTGATAGTCTGTAGAGGAATGTGACTTAAAAATCTCCTTAGCGCTGTGATAACTCGTGCACTAGCGAGTGTCCATTTGTCTCCAGTTAACTCATGTATACAATACTCGCAATTTTGGGTGTGGATGAATTCTGTGTTTTTTCTTCGCGGCCTATCGCACAATATCGTTCATCGATGACAGCGTACATGGGGTTGAGTGCGCCAAAATCGGTCTAGCTGGAAAGGGGAACCCTGTCACTGATTGCCATTTACTGGGTCTATGCAGAGAATCCGAGAGGAAAAAAAGACGAAGAGATAAGATGAATTTTACGGACAAGGGCTTCATCGCCAAATGCGTGTCCTTGTGGCGCATGAGATCGTACTTGCGCTTAAAGCTCTGCGTGCACAATGCAGTCCAGTCGCGTTGCGCCTAAGCAGGGCCCAGATCTCGTACATGCATGGAATGTCCCGAATTATGTACAGTTTGCTGGCAAAATATTGGATCAGGGTGTTACAGAACACACTATATATAGATGGTGGGGAACCATGATCAACAGAGTTGATCATTTTGAGCCTTTTGGTCTAGTGGCTTTGAGGTTCCCCGCGCTATTCCATAACAGATATTCGATCGATTGGAAAGGCGAAATTTCAGGGGGGCCGCGGCAAGTGCAAGATAGAAGGGATAGAGAGAGGAAAGATAGGAGAAGTGAAGGAAGCAGGGCGAGGTTAGGTCTTTTATGTTTGGGCGAGCATGGCGGAGGTTACGTGACATTGTATTGGGGCCGCTAAACCAGAAGAGGTAAAACTAACCGCATACAGTAATTCACAGGTCCTGTTATTACATGAACTATGGGTGTTCACTAGTACTGACCAGCATCTAGTCAGCCCCTTAAACCAGAAGTAATAGAACACAAAATAACGAGACATGGTGAATAGTTCAGCCTGAAAATCATAGAAGGGTGACTTCGTGGAATAATATGGACTCTTGCCAGCCATCCAGCCCTTAAATGGAAGACTCTCGAGATCTTTCAAGAATCACTCGAGCAAACCAGTGTTCCGTCCAGGTTGTTGATATTTTCTATATCAATATCAGCAATGGAACTAAACTGAATCATACTCTCAGAATTAAATTAGCACTTACTGAGGTCCAAGAGACCCTTTCCCAGACAAGCTCCCGAAATTGTGAAGTCTTGAGGATACTCGTCACCTATCATCTCTTCCATCCCCTTGTCGAACGGCTTGACTTCGAAGGGGTCATCTCCATTTTTTATGCAATCGGTCACATCGGAACCACTAGATATTCATCCCTAGGATTAGCCAGCTCTTCCAGTACCACGAGAGGGGGGGGTGCATATTATAGGAGCAATCTTACTCTTGATTAGGCGCGTAGTCAAGGCCGGAGTCCCCAGAACGCTTGAAGCATTTGTTCAAGTCTAGATTGGCGTTCGAGTTCCATGCACCATGTCCCATACCACACGTAGCATGCAAAACACCCTGGGCATCCACAGCGACGGTGTCCTTTATGCAAGTCCTGCCAAGGCCAGCGGCCGCGAGGGTCGCGGCGCCCAGAATGAGGAAGGACTTGAGGGCAAGCATGATGGTGGATTTGAGAGGAAGGAGAAGACGCAATGTTTGCGTTAGTGTTGTACCCCTTCACCCCCGTGATGGACTGGTATTTATATGCCTTGAAGCAATTACCTTCATTGCTTGAAAGCTAGATTGTCCCAGTGCTCTTGTAAGACGGGGGCCGAGAGGGGGCCACTATAGTGTTTAAAGTACATCGAGCATACCGGTTACGGCATTCACATCTCCTTTATGGGGAAAAGGAGTGGACATCATTATAACGCTAATCTAATAAATAGGGCCAGCTCTCGGGTGATCCCACGGAAAAGTTGAAGCTAATAAGCCAGGTGCCCGGCCCTAACTTGGGGGCTCCTACTCGCTTACGAGTGAGTCAGATTTTAGTAGTTCGATCCTGTAGACTTGGCTAATATCGCTACCGACTAACTCCGAAGTGCCTATCCAGAAAAGTGTGCAGAAGGATTCCTTAGTACCGACGCTTTACCTAATTGAAGCGAAGGATCATCATGATTACTACTAAAAAGTCTTACTGACGATCTTTAATATCCACAAGGACTGCTTTTCTTCTATTATTATTTCTTATTCTTATGAGACCTCTGTGGAAAGGATGTTAGCTGTGCTTATGGGGCCGAAACTTTGACAAGGCTGAAGTACAGTACAACTGCCCTTGCTTTTAGGACTGGCTCCGGAGAAGCCCGATGGTAGATTATACACCTGAAACAATGATGGAGGAGAGGCCACCGAACGATCGGGTCGCTTTCATGTCTCTATTTCTGTCCTGGCTGTCGTATGCGCAACGGCTTTTCATCACACTCAGCTCCGTCGGGGCGATCAGATCTCTTGAAGTCTAGCGCGAGCTCTTGCAGCAGTTGCTGGGGCAGCATTGACGACCTGAAATCGTTGACGAGGGAGTCGTAGTGTTGCCTCTTCTTCAGAAATTGCATAAGTACGAGTTCTTTTGTTGGTGAGGATGAATGCGAAACAAATGCCGAGCATAAACTTGCCTTTGCTTACAGGCTCGTCAATTGTGAAAAGGCCAGTGTCATCTACGACGACCCAGTTCGGTAAGATGGTGGTCTCCGTGCCATGATCACGAAAACTATCAAAAGAACAAGGACATAGTACGGTGATGCCGGGGTCACTCTTGTTCTTTTAGCGCCATGGAGAAGATTCTTGGAGAACCGCTCAAGGAGGGTCGTGCGAGGGGCGTGCCGATGCCGACGTTGACTGTCCTTTGCAATATCTTGAAGGGAATCCAGTGGCGTACCAAGGAGCGAAATGGGCTTATTTCGATACCACCTCCAGAAGATCTATCCAGCACTAGATGAATCTATCAATTTCATGGATTCCATTTCACTTTTATTTTATCTTGGCTGTCAACATTCACTGACAGTGCTCCACATAACCAGATTGAATCCAATCTCTCATATACGCTAGTAGATAGAACCAACGACAGTGAGATGGGGAAAGTGTCTCCGGATAATCTTTCACACATGATGGTACAGCTAGAACTACTCGAAGGTTACAGCACCATCGTGGTTCCAGATATACCTTAGCTCGGGCTGACAACGCAGTATTCCTCTGATAAAAAGCGCAGAAGGTTTTTCTTTCCTTGTCTATGGCTTGTTCAGTTTGAGGAAACAAATAATTAATTCTAGCGCTGGGATACCAAGCAGAAATCAATTAACTCCTTTGTCAACAATATGCTCACCAGACTTTTTATCCAAGTCTCGTTTCAGTCATCCCAAAGGATACAGATCAAAGTCACGCTGTAGCTTCTATATAATCACTACTCTCGGGGGGCAGGATTGCTCTTGGGCGGATCCTCCCTGCCATCCTGCCAAGTCGAACAGTGAAGACAGCGCGTAGCCTAGCAACGCGTCAGTTCTCAGGCTCCAAGACTAGATTTTTAAAAACTGACCTCGACACTAATAAACTGCTTGCAATATTCACACTGCACAGTCGGCTTGATGATCTTGTTGCTAGAGATCCACGTGTACAAATGACCAACCGCGTACAACGTGAGGCTGATACCAAAGAAACCGATGACATTCTGAATAAAGAGCCTGTTGGGGAATAGTGGTTTAAAATGGGAACTCATTCCGGTAATTCTCCCAATAAGATACATACCCATAAGCCAAAACCAGGGCCCCGTCATTCCGGGCTTGCTCGAGGGTATTATACCCCGTGCCCTTGACAAAATGAGGCCCCTTGGAGAGAACCGCGAATTTCTGATCCATATTGCGGTTTAGGAACGGCAGAAGCGAGATAATCGGCAGAACAACGTCCGAAACAAACGAGGTGACGAGTTTGGTGAAGGCATTAGCGATACTTTTGGGAAAGAAGTGTTAGTAGATCAAGATCAATAGAAAGTCTTCTGTGCTTTTCTTTTCCGTGGAGAGCAGTTCTAACATTAAACCTAGTGCCACCTCCAGGACGTTATCCCGGGCCGCGAAATTCACAAAGCCCTCCCACGCATTCCTGACTTGCTCCTGCGCGCTTTGGCCCACGCGGAGAAGAGCTACGGTGCTGTCATCGAGTCCGCGCATGGTTATGCTTAAGGGTTTGGGGGTGGGCTCTCGGGAAGCACTAGGGGAAGCTGGGGAGAACGAAGCCGAGGGAAAAAGGCGCAGAAGAGAGAATCAAATTGTCTGTTGGTAGGAGAGAAGAGAAGCTATCTGCTAGCTACACTGCTGCTCTACAGAACTGCCGCGGGCGGTCAGGGGAGCGGTGGAGAACTGCCGACAGAACCCCAATCCCAGCATGGACTTACGTTTTCCTTTTGCGATGAGTCAAAGGCTTTTTGAAGGGCTTTGAAGTGTCAGGAAAAGACGAGTTATCCCATTTTTCCCGGTTCAATGCGCTTATCAGTCAGGTGGCATGGCTGCTTGGGGGTGGGGTGGTCGATCACCTCCCCCCTTGGCATTCGGGAGGGGATTCAACACTACAATTGTGATCAACAAATAGGAGCATATCTTTGACACTAAATATCTTATGCTATGCCTTATCGTATTATAAAGCTGGCTTCATCTCAATTGCAACTATGCCCAATATATTTCTATACACATACCTTCTTCCGGAGTTTCCTCGGATATACGATCGCAGACTGCAATCTAAATCGAGACCAGTAATCACATTCAAAGCTCAACAACGTATGTGAACAGAATTAAGTAAATAGACAGGGACAGTTGAGCAAGAGTATCCAACAAGATACCAATCAAACTATGTCCAAAAACACCTCATCCAATATATTAACGCCGAAAAGAAGAAGGGAAAAGAAGAAGAAAAAGGTGAGTATAAAGAATGAAGAAAAGCCCACCATGAGCGAAGGAGGTCAGGTGGGGAGGAGGGTGTTAGGAACCAAGAGCAATGCCACGATTCATACGAGAAATATAGGAATCACCCTGTTTACACTGCCTGCTCACCCTCGCTGTGGGAGTGGGAGTTGGTGGTGCCCATGCTAGGGCTGGGGGTTTGACGAGGCCATTGCCCTTTCTCGTTAACCATTGTCTCCTGGCTAGTGTGGCCCCGGGAGCCGACTCTGGTCCAGAATTTGCCGTGGACGAGCTTGAACAAGGGTAGCATGTTCGACAGACAGGCGGCCACGATCCCCACGGCAGGCTCGATGCATGTCCACACGCTCGCGTTCACTTGGTTGTCTGTTTGACGTCAGCATAACAAGTTCGGATTGTACAAACCATTAACTTGCGGGTGCGTGCGTACAGGTAATGTCCGTTCCGGACTTGGAGAGATCGACGAGAGCAACCAGTCGGACAATATCGAAGACCAGCGTCCTAGACCGAATTAGAGAATACATATAAATATCTGCATCAAGGGATGGGGCCATACAGGAATCCCACAACGAAAATCCCAGACAGTCCGACCTTCTGCGCTTTGGAAATCGGCAAGCCCCAGACGACGTGGATGGGCATAAACAGAATCAGAGCGTCGGTGACAATGTTCGGGATCTGTAGTCCGTAATAGAACTTGCCCAGATCCATACAGCCACCGGGGATCTCGGGATGCCAGGACTTCTCTGTCGGTATGCACGTAAAGCAACCGACGAGAATGCCGCCAAAGGCCCATAGGATGACGATGCTGGCCACGGTGTTGGCCGCGACGTACATGTACTTGGTTGGAAACAGGCGGCGGTAGAGCATTAGGATGGACAGTTTGATGCATGCAATGCAGCAGGTGTAGAGAATGGAGCCGGTGAAGAGGGTCTTGGTAGTTGGGTCAGCCCATAGTTTCGAGCATGGAAAGCGAGAGAAGGCGCGGTTACACACCTTCAGGTAGACCGTCAACTGGGACGGCTTCAAGTAGATAATGTGGGTGCCTAGGCCATTGTACAGCACTGCCATGGTCCCTGTTAGTATGTCCCCTCAAGAGATCCATGGATGATATTTAGAGACGACGTACTGACAACTCCCGCGATAGATATTCCATATTCAAAGATCTGTGAACCATGCTGTCAGCAACGTAAGCGTTGTAGATATTAGTTCATAACCAACCAAGGCTAGTATCATGAGAATATCATCCAGAAACAAGCCGGTCCTGTTTACTTTCCGAGAAAGCACCCGGAATGCAACAGCAGTAGTAGACAGGATGAAAGCAAAGCACGTCGAGGTAATGACCACATGACGCAGATTGTCATGGTCAACTCCATGCTCTGGGACCTGAGACTGAGAAGCCATATCGAAAGCTGTACGCGTTGGAACCCTCAACGAAGACAGAAAACAACAAAGATAGTGGTTGCGAAACCCGAATAGTAAAAGGATGGAAGGATCTGAACATATGCCGACTGGCACCCTCAGCTCGAAGAAACAAAGGCAACAAGTATATATATAAAAAAAAAGTAAATCCACCACAATAGACCAGATCTCAAGGTTATTTTGTCGTCGAACCGGCTCTCTTTTGACTGCTCTCGTTGCTCCCATCTTTCCAAGGTGGCGGAAGCCACCCCGAGACGCAAGTAGACCTATCCCTTCCCATCCTTGCATGCGGTTAGAGGATCACCTCTCTACGATTTTCATGGAGTCTAGTCCCCATTATGACAGTGACGGGCGAGTTCATGAAAAGTTCTGGGGGAGACATTTTCCGCGCCCCACACAAACCCTCTTCCCCCTTCAGAGGCGAGTCGATATATCACCTACAGGGATTAGCGAAGCATTAGTCCATGACATGGCTTTGCATATATAAGTCCCAAGGCGACGGATTTCTTCACTGATATCCACGGCCCGGCTCAGATCGTGCAGACTCTATACCCTGTGATTCGCTCAATCTTGCGATCAGCCCGATCGTGTCAATGCTTGATCGGAGGGGGAAAATTTAGATCTGGATATATCTCCAAGGCAACTGGGCCATGTGTCAGAATCCTTGCTTAGGAGGAGGGGGGGGGGGGGTTATAATTGCCCTAGTTCGGAGTTATACTGCCATGCCTTTAGTATTGTCTGCCCCGGATCTGCCACTCCTACTGAGACAAATGGGGTTTTTACTTTCTAAGGGTTTGATTTATTGTTTACTCCTTGCCCGTTGTAAACTTAGTGTTTTCATTGTAGACACCATAGGTTATGGAGTTGCTTTTCTATTGTGGTAGGGCAAGAGGTCACCTAGACAGACACGATTCACTCGCTATGCATCCAAATAGTGTGGAATTTGTCAGGCTAAGATGTCATTCGACTAGAATTTCGACGTAGAGCATGCAATGTAGGTCAATCTAGAGTGCCCGTGGCAGTAGTGCTGCAGTGTGTTGCATGAAGTGGCGATCTGATAGATCGTTTGTGCACGTCTACGCAGCGTGCAACTCAAATCGTGAAGAGAACCCTTGACTGGCTCCAGGGCTATGTGGCAAAATCCAAGAAATTCCTAATATTCAGACATATCCTTCAAAGTCGACGAGTAGAGCCAGTGAAAAGAATCATGCCGACAGGTCAAACTATCAACACACGACCCGGTGGCCAATGATCGAATGCATGGTATCAAATCGCTTCGGTATCTATACAAAACCATAATGGTGCAACGCTCGTTCCAAATGCTCTCATCGTGGTGGTGGCGCATAGGACATGGGCCGCGGGGCTGTATATGGTGAGAGCAGCGTGGCCCCTCTTTCTCTGGCGGCCCGGTCGCGCTGTTCCTCGCGCGTCTGGATCTCCTTCTCGTCTTGAATTAACGTGCAGCAGGTACAGCAGGTTGCCCGCACACAGTCTGACACGATAGAGCCGGGAATGCCATATGCTTTGCGGGTTCTGGTGTGCTGGATGGTAGCCAACAACCCTGTGATGAAAGCGTTAACCACAATGCGACTTTCGAATGGCGCACATGTCCAATACTGAGCCGACACTTACATTGACATCCGCACAGCAGAGCCATTCCCGTGCAGGCTCCATTGCACGTCCCATAGCCGAGCATGTTGGTCGGGTCCTCCTTTTTCGATTTCATGGAGAGACGGTGCTGTGTCTTGCCGTATATGATACACGGACAGAAGATCCCTAAACAGCAGGTCCCGATATTCGAACATTCACACAGCCCGTGGCTCCAGGTTCCTCCTTGCACCTCTTGATTCGGGTGCATGATCTGGCCCGGCTGATGGAACGAGCTCAAATCCTCCATCGTGGCCGCCTGCGATGCCGTTGTGGCGGTCGGCGGAGGGAAACAAGGTGAATAGGGTGACTGCAAAGGATTGGCGTCCGGCTCAACGGTCACTGTGTTGCTTCGAGTCGGTGCATCTGTCCGTAACTTCAGGGGCATGGGATGTTGAGAATAGAGGGCCTGGTTGGGAGAGTATGGCGACATTTGGATATCTGGTTGCCCGTCGGGGCTGTCGGCGAGAGGTGCATGATGCGCAGGATGTTGTTCTGGTGGTGGTAGGTTCGAGTACGTTGGTATAATCCCATCTTGTTGCAGTTGGTGAATTTTCTCATTCGATTCATAGGGGGCAGGCTGGTGGTGCTGTGCCGGGGGTTCTTGTAAAGCCAGCTGGGGTGAGAAGGTATTTGAAGTCGCAGGTAGTGGCGGCGAGGATGTCGGATGGCTCTGGTGCTGATCCGGTGGATGCATCTCGAGGGGTGTCTCTAAAAATGAGTACCGCCGGTTTCCCCCATCTGGGTGTCCAAATGTAGCGGCGGACTCATCATGCGACGGAGAGTGTGTCTGCTCTATGCGCTTCGTCTAAAATAATCTCAAATAACCTCCAGAGGTTTAGAAACACCAAGCCCGTGGGTGTGTTGATGTAAGCTTCATGCGATAGGAACGCGTGACACTCTGGGCAGTTCGCGATCAAACGTCGCATCGCAATAGCGCCTCGTCGCGGTTCACATCAACTAAACGCTCGGATAACCATCCACTGACACACTGGTAGGCGACAGCCACCCGACCGCCGGTGGGAAACGAGGGACAAAGTGAAAGACGCGCATCATGGGAGAGGGGACAACCGCCAGCGTTAAACCCAAATGGAGATCCAGCAGCATAGAGGGGGGGGTCAGTCCGAGCTCTGCGGGGATCGGCTAGTTGTGAGTGGCTTTCAGAGCTCGAGGTTCGTCAAGATCCCGGTTGCTAGGGCTGGTCATTGCGCCCTAATGCATCTGCTTCACATCAATGTCGAATGTGGTTGGACAGGGGACCCGCCCGGCTCCCGTTGGGTGTTGGGGTCTATCACACGAGATGACATCAGAAAATATACTTGAATCCTTGAATCCTCGAGTATTCGAGTATTCGAGTAGATCTGGAGGTGGAATGGCTCTGTGGCACTGTGACACCAATAATTGCTCGTCCAACTATATAGGACTGTCTCTCATTTTTCTTTCCAGATTCATGGATGTATGCATAGAACTGGGCATGCTGTAGATTCGATGGCCTACAAGGCCTTATCGATTTGAACAAAATAGTATTTGCTGATGTATTTGGATTGCATGTCCCCTTCTGCACGGTCGCATGGATTCTATCAATCCCTAAACGAGTCAGCGAGGAAATCATTCAAGATGCTGTTCTCTCCCAAGAGATACGCACTGGTTGCCAGTGCTTGCCAAAATCAACGCCGACACGCAACTTGCCGACAAGGATGGTCCCTGATGGTCCCTTTTATACCAAGGAAATCCAGGGCAATCCCAGCATGCACGATCTCCATACCTCGGGAGGTACTTCTGTAGCCAAGACATCGCAAGGACACTAAGGTGCCTATCGCTGACCAGCATGGCCGCACGCCACCTGCTTGGCCCGGTGATTCGCAGGATGGCTCTGATCGACCCCGTCAACTATGAAGCTCCCCACATGGATGTTGGGAATATCAAATCTGGAGTTCTCATCCTTTCCGAGTCCTCCGGTGCCTGGCAGCGATTCTTCCAGACTCTTTTAGGACTTTATTTCCCAAGGTCGTAGACGTAATGCATCAGGCCAACCCCCAAGATACGCTTGCAGAAAATCCAAGAGTATTGGTCTCACAGAGAAGATAACCCAGTAGATACCAAAATCCTGAGATCTCAAGATCAGGAGGAAAAAGGGTTGGTTGCAGGAGACAAGAGTTGAGAGAGAGAGAAAAAGAGAGATAGAGGCAACATCTTGCTTGTGTTGACTTCATCTCTTTTTTTTTTCTTCTCTCTCCCCTCTACCTTGTATTTTCCCCAATTCTGGTCTTTTTCTCTCTCCAACATTCTCTAGAGTCCTGAATTCCTCCTTACTCTATCTCTCTCTCTCTCTCTCTCTCTTTTATCTCTAATCTTTGGGACCATATCGGATCCACCACTTTCAAGGCGGTGACGGCCGATCGGCGTCACAGTCCCTCCAAAAGTTGCATCCTTTTTTATCTACTCTGCTCCTAACGATTTGCGGTCAAGTTCTTCAACCTGTAAGATCTCGTTGTCTTCGAACGTGGTCGTCGACCCCCCCTTGATCTCTAAAAAAAAAACGGATCCCCGTCAATTCCTCCAACTGACTTTGGCCGTTTCTCTTCGTGGCGCCAGTATCCCCTCCGTCTCGTCCACGGTCCTCCGTCCTTCCCCCTAATCCTCTCAAGCCTGAATTTCCCTACTTTTTCGACCCCGGGCAGGCTTGACCAATGTCCTCTCCATGTCAAGCCCGCCGTCTGCTCCCGAAAATTCCTTGCCTGATCCCCTGGTGACACCTGCGGCGCCTGCCCAACATGATTGCTCCAAAGACCCCGGGCTGCCTCCGGGCAACCCACGTCACGACTTGTCGCAGGGCCAGCGGTCCCAGGGGGCTCAGGAGTCGCCATCCCCGTCTCGGGCTGAGTCCCCCACAGTCCATGAATGGTCCCAGCCCGCCTCGACCTTCACTCTAAAAAGGACCACGTCGATCCCCTTAGAAAGGCCCGCTCGTCCCGATGTTGCTCACAGTCCCCAACTGTCGGAGCGAGATAGCATTTTCGCGACCCATTACCTCCCGTCGGACAGCGGCGCCAATACCCCACAGTTACCTCCTGAAAGGACCTTGGATAATGTGCGTCAGGTCAGCCTGATTCCCGGCCTCGACGATGCCTCCGTGCCTCCAAGTCCACTCTCCAAGGTCTCTTCCCAAAGTTCTCGCGTCGACCCTTCCCACATGGAAGTTGACGTCCGCAGACACTTTCCCTCCCCAGCCCCTTCTCACTTTTCACCCTCCGATATCCCGCGCTGGCCTCTCCTGCGCTCATCGCTCTTATCTACAGAGCAAAAAAACCAGGAAGCAGACACTCCCCACACTCAGACTTTGAAAGAGTCTCGGCCACTACACGGCGTGCCATCGGATGACACAGGTACGCAGACCGGACGTCCACAAGACTCCTTGGCTGAGCGCAGCCTTTTCCCCTCCGCACTAGGTGATGTATCCCATACTCCCCAGCCAGTGACACTCTCCTCGTCCGATCAAGAGCGATCAGGGCTTACTCGCGAAATCCTATCCTACACCTCACAGGGGGATTCTGCCGGAGGTCCTGCTCTGGAAAGAAGCTCAAGCAGAGGTCGGCGGGGTCGAGTGGACAACTCGATTGAGGCAAACTTTACCAACGTGGAGCCGGCCTCCAACGTGCGCAGTCGTAAATCGAGTCACTACCTGGGTTTATTCAAAGAGAACACTACCTCGCCAGATCGGAAGCGAAGAGAGGATCGCGGTCGATACCAAGATGTCCCATCTGAACTGCAGGACAGAGTCATGGATCATGAACCGGAGTCAAGGCAGCCAGCGTCGGAGGAGGATGCATTGCTCCGCAAAAGTGTTTCCCTCCCCTCACTGAGCGAAGGCCCATCATTCGAGCCACAACACCCGGCTGAACCACCTCAAGAAGCCCAGCAGGACGATCTTTATAAGCGTCGGCCAAAAGCTTTGCCCCGCAATCTGCTGGAAGAGATTCGAAACTTTCATCTCACACCGGGGGGAGTCGAGGATCCTCCTTCTCAAAAAGCATTCCGACACAGTACTCCGAACGAAGCCGGGATTACTTCCAGCCCGAGCCCCATGTCGAGCATCTCTCACGCTCGCCGAGCTCCTATGAGCAAGAGGAGCGCCGCGATTCAGGTCAATTTGAGGAAGATTATGAGAACGAGCAGATCTCGTCTGCTGTTTACTTCCCTCACGAGCGAGTTGCGGAATCCGAGGGAGTTGATGGTTTGCGGGCATTTGCTCAAGACTCTGGCGTACAGCCAGTCCAGCTGGATGCGGCAGAGAAAGGCCATGAGCTGATTTTGGTGACGCAAGAGCGTAGTGCGTCTCCTGAGCAAGAGGTCAGCCATGTGGATATATCCTTTCGATCTAAAAATCAAAGTAAAATCCTACACGGCGAGGTCCAAGATCGTCAACCTCCTCTGGAGAGCGTGCCGGAAAAGCCCCTGAGTACCATTTCTGAGCGCAGCTATGATTCAACGGGCGATTCTGAGATCGTATCCGCGGATGAAAGCGCCCAGTCTGTTCATGACGAATCGAGCCTGACCGATGATACCGAGCGGACCCCGACGGCGACCCCGATTCAACCATCGCGAATGATGACTCGTCGCAAGCCTCAGGGTCCCCTTGGCGCCGTGGAGCTAAAGCCTTATAGGCACCAGGTTGGCGGGCACACAACTGTATTCCGCTTTTCTAGGCGGGCCGTGTGCAAGCAGCTGAACAATCGGGAAAATGAATTCTATGAACGCATCGAGCGCCGCCATCCTGATATGCTAGTATTTCTTCCGAGGTATGTGCTGATATCGCTGTATCCGGTGCTGTCGGGTATGCCAATTGCATGTATCCCCATGCAAGGCAAATCTCTCTCCGGGCCATCACTTGCGAAGAACTCATACTAATTCTAATTTCAGATACATTGGTGTTTTGAATGTGACATTCTCGAAAAATTCCAAACGACCAAAGGCCCACAGCCAGTCAGGCGGCAATTCCCAGGATGTAAAACAAACTAACGGGGCTTCGTCTTTAACCTCGCCCTTCCCTGACACCCCCGAGCCGCAACGAATTTTCAGCCAGAAGCAGATTACTGGAGTAATCCCTAAAGTCATACTTGCGAATAATCGTCATATCATCCCTGCAGACCTCTTTTCTACTCCTCAGCGACCGCGGACCGCGGATGAAGCAGTTGTGAATCGAAGGCGCTCAGTTGATCGCCTGGGCGCCATGACGACCGATTCGGATCCGTCCTTGCGGAAACGGAACAAGATTTGGGGTGCCACCACCGTCAATCGGAAGCTCCAGGAGCAAGTGCTTCGAGAAGTCTTCAGTCCTCCCGCCATTCATCATCATCGGCGCCACGCGCGTGGCCACCTTCACCTACCAAGAGCCTCTTCAGACATCCCCCGTCGTCGAGGAAACTTGTCCGAAGATCACACATCCAGCAGCCGCCGAATGGCACCTCCCAATATCGAGGCTCTTAAGACTCCGGCAATTGACATTGTGCCTCCATCAAACGAAGGACCGGGATTGTCTTCTTCGGCATCTACCGCGTTTGAGGCAAATCGCAACCGCCTAGAGAAAGTTCGAACTGAGGAGGAACAGAGCCGAGCAAGCTCCCTCAATCGCGTTCCCCAGGTCAGGCGGCGGCATTCCGGTAGTGGTCTGCAAAGACGAGGAAGCATCAATTCTCAGAATACCGGTGATCTGATGTTTTTCGATGACGAAGGTTATGGTGGGGACAAAGAAGACGAAATCTTCTCCATGGAAGGCGATGCCTCGATGCCTTCAGACCCGTCTCCGCTGGTCAATCCCGCGACCTCGCCATTCTTTGAAAGTAACTCGACCAGCGAACCCCCTACGCTTGGGCCTGTGACCCCTGGCAAACCGTCTCAAATCCCCTCCCAGGTGGAATCAAAGGAAGATCCCAGCACTGGGCTACCTAGCAATCCAAAGGAAGCACAGATGAAACAGGATGAGCGAGTCCAATTCTTCCTCCTTTTGGAGGATCTGACAGCTGGCATGAATAAGCCATGCGTCCTTGATCTGAAAATGGGCACCCGCCAATATGGGATCGAGGCTAACGAGAAGAAGAAAAAGTCGCAGCGGCGGAAATGTCAGTCCACTACTTCGCAACAACTCGGCGTGCGGCTCTGTGGCATGCAAGCCTGGAACGTTAAAAAACAGGAGTATACCTTCGAGGACAAGTACTTTGGGCGAGACTTGCGATCTGGTCGCGAATTCCAGGATGCACTTACCCGTTTCCTGTACGACGGAGTCAGCTATGCTTCTGTAGCCAAGAAGATCCCTGTGATCCTGGAAAGATTGACTCTGCTCGAGCACATGATTCGGAAGCTGGAGCGGTATCGGCTATACGCGAGCAGCCTCTTGATTCTCTATGACGGCGAGCAGTCCACATCGGAAACGCCTCAGCAGGGGCCTCCTAGCACCAGTGCTGAACGGCCCCCTCCCCGACGCCGCGTCTCCGATGACGGTCATAAAAACTTCGATGTGCAGTTGAAGATTGTCGACTTTGCCAACTGCGTTACCGGCGAGGACACTCTTCCCCCGGACACACCCTGTCCGCCTCACTACCCCCAAGACATTGATCGTGGCTACCTGCGCGGCCTCCGGACGCTGCGCATGTACTTTCAACGTATCATGAAGGAAGTCACTCAAGAAGAATTCGTCGAGCGAGGCGAGGGCGAAGCCATTGCATTAGGCTCTCAGCCTGCAGGTCGCGAATCCCCCTCAGACCAATACTGGGATGAGAGTGTAATGGATAACGATCTCGGCGAAGTGAGCTTCTAGTTGTTTATATGATCAACGGTGACTCTACTTCCCACCCTTTGCTATACTGTTCTTTCTACCTCATCTCCCTCCCCTCTGCTACCCGTTCATTTTCTCACCTTCTGGTGAGAACCATACGACTTTAATGACCTGCTATGTGGACGTTTCTATGACCCCCCTTGTCGATGCCTGGATGCATTTAGAGCTGGTTGGGTTTGATATTCTTGTGTTTTCTTTTTCTTGGATTCCTTTCTTGCGACGGTGTGGATGACAGCACCCTTGATACTTTTGGTTCTCTTCTCGGTTGTGTGTTGTGTGTTTTTATTGATAATACCCCCCTTGGAATTTGTGTTTCTCTTCGTTACTGGCCCCTCTCATGCTGTACATTGATAATCCTCAGGTTTAGACAAGAAAATCATCACCAAGGCATTTGGTTCTAATGCTGGGTAGTTGGGGGATTTCGAGTGTAGATACCCAACTCAACCAAGCTCTGATAGACCGACAATCCATGAAGTTTGTGTATTGCATTGGATACCGTCCATGACAAATTCAGGTTGGGCAGTGATGTGTAAAATGACAGTCGGAGAATGTGGAGCCAAGCACATCATCTGTCCCATGCGTCGGTTCGGTGTCGTCGATCTCTCCTCACCAACTCCCCTTCTCCGCCTACCGCCTACCGCAGCTCCTTAGTCTTCTCCCCTCGGCAACAGATTGACCTCAAGCATCTCAGCCATATAACAGTCGCCATCGATCGAAGTGAACATCTCAGAATGAACTGGCGTTGAGCACCCCCAATGACGTAGGGTGGAGCCGAGCACAACGCAGCAACTGATCCACCCAGCTGACCCCATTCGAAGCTCCGCACCGCGCGACACATGGACCGGGTCAGTCAATGAAAAGATTTATATAGGTCCTCTCTTGGGCTGCCAGTCGACTTCTTCTTTGCCGACTCCTTAATACCGGCCCTTTCCCCTTGTTCACCCCGGGCCAACGACACTGATAACGATGGCGAGCTCCAACGGCCATGCGGACTCGTCCATCGATAAGCGGGATTTCGATGCGAATCGGCCCTTGCTGGACGATATGGACGGAGGAAATCATTCTGGACAAGCAAGCCCGAAGCCACGGCGGTCGGGGTCAGGATCACGACGCTCGCAGATTTCCGCTGGAGGAATCAGCCCTGGCGGTGATGATGGGCTTCTGAACGATGTCGTAGAAGGCATTGTCGAGCGGGACCGACGCAAAATGCAGAAAGAGGTAGTTCGAATACTGAGCTTTGCTTGGGGCGTTATTAGTTGGTACGAAGTGCCCTCGCTTTCGCTGATCCTGCAGCGCCTCTTATTGTAATCCACCAGCTAACTTGTCGTGTTGCGGTCTTGCAGTTTGGGTGCCGGCAGTATCACGGCGTTTTCCCTGTATGGCCACCTGCTACTTACTCGTCTCCATTACTCTCAGCTCCGGGTCAATGCAGTCTCCATCGCTGCCGAGATCTCGATGTACCTGCTTGTTCCCTTGTTCGGGTACCTGTGTGATCGCTACAGCCCGGCTCCGCTGTCTTTATTCTCCGGGGTGGTTTTTGGTCTGGGTTATCTCCTTGCTGCGTTCACCTACAAGAGCGGGCCACCTCCCGACGTTGGCGGGAACGGCTGGCCGTTCTGGGTGATGATCGTGGCGTTCATTGCCATCGGAATGAGTACCAGCTGCATGTATCTGTCTGCCGTGGCGACATGCGCGAAGAACTTTGGCCGTGGCAAGCATAAGGGAATTATGCTTGCTGTCCCCATCGCAGCCTTCGGTCTCAGTGGCATGTGGCAAAGCCAAGTGGGCACCTACGTGCTGTGCGAGCGCCGTGTCGACGGAACGTGTGGTGATGTTGACGTCTTCCGATATTTTCTATTTCTCGCCCTGTTGCTCTTGGCCATTGGTATCATTGGCACGTTTGGGCTGCGTATTGTTGATGAGGAGGAAAAGTATATTGACGAGACCGTCGAAGAGCTGGAGCGCAGTGGGGTACTTGAAGAAAGTGATTTCTTCCGTCCTCGAGATGAAGTGCGTGCTGCGGAATACGGTACCTTCTCGTCTGCGGCGAATCACGAGTCTGTGGGGTTGTCGGATGAAGAGCGGGAAGAGAGACGACGTGAGAAGGAGCGCGAAGAAGAGGAGCGCCGTAAGAAGAATTGGCTGCTGAACTACGAGACGAGGGCCTTCCTCCAAGATCACACCATGTGGTGGCTGGCCGCGGGCTTTTTCTTGGTCACCGGCCCGGGCGAGTCGTATATCAACAACGTGGGTTCCAACATCATTTCCAGTCCGCTACATTCTCTTTGTCTTCAGTCAACTAATTCCAAGCCAGCTGGGTACGGTCATCGCAACCCTGACACCGCAACCCTACCCTCCCAACGCCCCTCCACCAGCCGGGCTCCCATCAACGCATGTCACAACCATCGCATTAACATCGACCATCGCCCGCCTGCTCACAGGCTCCCTCTCGGACTTCTTCGCTCCACCCGCATCCCACCTCTTCCCCTCAATCCCAGAAGAAGGGCGTCGACGATCTACCACGTCCTCAATGCACAGCTCTACAACAGCCAGTCTCAATCTTTCCCGCATGACCTTCCTCCTCCCATCCGCCCTCCTCCTCTCCATCGGCTACCTACTCCTCTCTTCCCCACTACCGCTCTCCCATCCATCCCTCTTCCATGTCACCACCGCGCTCGTCGGCTTCGGGTACGGCAGCGCCTTCTCACTAGCCCCAATCATAATCTCCGTCGTCTGGGGCGTCGAGAACTTCGCCACGAACTGGGGTATTGTTGCCATGATGCCTGCGCTCGGTGCTGCCCTTTGGGGCGTCATCTATTCCGCTGCTTACCAGAGTGCTCTTGATGATGGCTCGGGTTTGGGCTCGCCTGATGGCCAGTGCCATGGCTGGAAGTGCTATGGGTTCTGGTCTGTCGGGTGCACCGTCAGTGTCTGGGTTGCGATTGTGGTTTGGTTAGCTGCTTGGAGAGGTTGGAAGAAGAGGGGTGTGGTTGTGTAGAGTGTTTTTCTGCCTCTCCCTCTCTCTCTCTCTGCAGGTTTCCCTCTTCCTTTCATGGCTTTGGTTATATTCCCGGCGCAGCTACGGGTTCCACGTTCCAAGTTCTTTCCCTGATATACTTGTGTCTCCTGATTTTTGCATCTCAGGGCACATTCTTGTATCTTCGGGTGGTGTGGTAGATGACTGAATTTCGATAGAATCTCTAGGTCTATGATACCTTGACCCAATTCCAAGTGCAAATTCCTCATTCCAAACTCCAGACCATGAAAAACAGAGATCTAATGTAACAGAAGCCAAAGCCCCAAGGAGAAGTCAATCTTTTCCCATCGCGCCAAAAATGACACTGTGCCAATAGGACGCAATGCAGTAGAGGACCAACCCATGCAATACACAAATGTATAACTACCAATTGGTTCTGGTAGGAACCAAAAAGACAAAAAAGAGAGCTTTAGCCAAAATAAAGCTAGACGTCCGTGGAGGTCGGATCAAGGCCGGTGAACACTTTATGCAAGCGCTTGCTGGCAGCAGGGCCGATGCGGGAGTCCGTAAGACCACCGGTTTTGTTGGCGGATTTCTAGACGAGTCAGGGCGGATCCTGTGAGGAATTTTGTACGCGGCAGCATCCAAAGAGAAGAAAAATGGTAACATACCTTCACATCCTCCAGCATCGTGGGCCCATGCATGCGCATGCCCCGGGCCAAGTCTGTGGCACAGGGATACTGCGCGGCAATCCCATAGGCCATACCGGCAGTCACACGGTTGACCTCTTGAAGCATCTTGACAAAAGTGTCCAGCTTGTCGTCGCCAGACTTAACCTGGCCGACATCCATACAGAACGCAGCGTCGTTCCCCTCCATGCGTTCACGGCGGTACGGGATCGTCGAGACATGCTCGGTGAAGTTCTTGATCCACTCCGCCGACTCGGGCGGCGCGTTGGTATGGTGGATGAGACACGCGTGGGTCACCTGCAAGGCGAGAAGAGCGTCCTCGACTGTGTCGTCGTCGACGGGAGGCGTGGTCTCGGGGTTATTCTTGGTCTTCCTGCTGCGGCTGCGGGGTGCGGAGGATCCGTCGCCGGCGGTGGTTTTCTCGTATTGGCGGAGGACTTCGGCTTGGTAGGCTCGATTCCGTGAGTTTCGGTTCTTGCGCATCCAAGCTGTGAGTCCTTCGATCAAATATATGGGTTGGCAATCGGGGTAGGTGCTCTTGATTCGGAGGACGTGCAGTTCGAGTGACCCCCTTTCTGCTTCCCCGGAAGAGGCGAGTACCATATCAACGAAGTCTTGGGCGGGCACTAGGCACAACACATGCTTCTCTTTATCGATGTGGAAAGGGCATGGCTCCCAATGCCCTGCATTGTCGTTGTATTTTGCCTTGATTTTGCGTCGCCATTTAACCACGTTGGGGATCGGGCTCTCAAAGAAGGAATGCTCGACCCCGAATCGTTGCATGAATTCAACTGTTTGGTTGCCCACACTGCCTCCCTCGAGAGACGACGCTAGGTCAATGATCATCTCTGGCGTAGATTCCTTCTTATCCACCTTGAGCTTGTTGACTTCCGAGATATCTGCCGCCAATTGCTTCTCTTTCGCCTTTTCTTCCTTGAGCTTCTGCTTCCGCTCTTTCTCAAGCTGGCGATCCCTTTCTCGCTGAACCTTGGCTTCTTCTCTTGCTTTCGCTTTCGCCTCCTTTTCGACGCTTGAGAGTTTGCTAGTCTTCCTCGCTACCTTCCGCGGCTCAGCAGGCTCATCCACCTCGTCTGTAGTAGCGGGCATGCCAGAGCCGTATCCTTTCTGGGATCGAGCGGTCGTTTTCGATCCTAACCTTTTTGAACTGCCGCTCCCTGTCTCGCCAAGTTGAGTTAGTAAACCAGCGGTCTTACTGGAGAAGACAGAATCAAAACTGCCAGTCTGTGGCTGTGATAGTCCCATTAGATCAGCCAAATCAGGAGCAGAAAAGGGATCACTGAATTCCTCAATCTCCTCCTGTCGGAGATGACTGGGTATTCGACGCCCAGTCGGTTTCAGAAAATCCTCGTCATCGTCGACTGTGATAATGTCGGAATTCTGGTTGGTTGGTACGCGCGACGGAGAAGGCCTCGACCTAGGTTCCGGCACCGATGAAGTGAACACAATCGGGTCGGAATCTTCCACCGTCCGCTGCTGCGATGGTTTTTTCGACGTCGTAGACTCCAATGGTGGCGAGAGACCGAAGTCCTCGTCTGAGAAAAGGAACCGCGTATCTGGTTTTGGAGTGGGGGGTTCGCGCGCCGTGATGTGCTGTCGCAGGGGTGAAGGATTGTCATTACTGACTCGACGCTTCTTCGTCGGCTTATCGAGATCATCGTAGGTGAACAGGGAGACGTCGATCGAGTCCGACGAAATTAGTCCCAAGTGGGAGGGGCGTCGCGCGGGGCCATGTCGCGGTTCCGACTGTTGCTGCCGAGGCCTCTCTGGAATAGGCGGATCCGAGGAAATCAGATCGATGACATCGGGCATCTTGCGCGGAGCCGATGCCACTAGGGCCGGTGCTCGTGGGGTGAACGACTCGCGATGAACGCGACGTCAGTGTTGACACGAGGTCAGGTGACTCTTGATCTATGAAAGGACGATTCAGACCAATGTCAAGTTTGGTGGTGAATTGGAACGAAAGAAGTACTCTGATCGATCGTCAAACATAATTCAGATCATGCAGCGAAGAGGGTATTTATTCTACATTGAAATCACGTCGCTCGAAGCAAGAGCGCAACCACGACGGCAAGGACCGCCCCGGACAAGGCCAGCATAACCAGGACCTGCTGCCACCCATGAAACGGCCTTCTCTCTGCCGTGAGCATGGTGGAAATCTCTTTTTCTAACCGGTCCCCCATAGCAGTCAGCGAGAACTCGCGCTCTGCTCTCGCTTTGCCTGCAGCTGCCATTCGGTCTACATCCTCTTGAGACAATCCGTAAAGAACCTTGTTCATGACGGCAGTCCATTCATCGACCGCATGAGCATCCCGGAGCCAGCCCGTTTCGCCCTCAACGATCGTCTCCAGTGGACCGCCAGTATTTGACGCCAGCACGGGAATACCAGCGTGCATTGCTTCAACCGGGACGATACCGAAATGTTCATTGATTGGCGTGTAGAGGAGAAGTTTTGATTGAGCGAGCAATGTTTCTTTGAACGCGGTGGGGACAGAAAGCAGAAAGAGAACATCGATCGAGTCGGGGATCGAGAGTGCGGAGACAACGGTCTTGGAGGTCGCAGTTTGCAAGCCGAGGCCGATTGCGAGGTCGTCTAGTTCTTGGTGATACTGAACGTTTTCTTGGACACGATTGTCGTAACCGCCTGTGTATCACGCCGTTCCGAGTTTAGATATCTGAAATGAGAAAAACAGGGCTTTGCACTCTTACCTGCAATCACCAACCGCGTCCCTCTCCTCTTGTCAGTCCCCAGTCCATGATACGCGCGGATGGCCAAAGCCATATCCTTCTTGCGCTCAAAACGATTGATACTGAGCAAGATCTTCTTCTCACCCCAGAGAGCTTCGGCCGGTTTCTTCTCGGGTATTGTAGGACCAGAGTCCGTATCCACACAAGGATAAACCACCTCGACGTCTCCCAGGCGCGTCGGCCCAAACACCTCTCGCACAACCCCGCGCGAGAACCGCGAGTTCGCAACAACCCGGTCCGACGCGCTCAGGGCCCAGCCCTCAAACCAATCGAACGGGACGCGATAGAGCAGCTTCGCCAGCCGAAGAATTGAGCCGTCTTCATCGCGGCGCGCAAGCAATTGGTCGGGGAAATGACAGTAGAAAAGAATACGTTGGCGGCGGGACGTGCGTGGTCGGCCGAAGGTCTTCAGAACAGGCACGCAGGCGGGGAGCTGGTCGACAATGAAAATGTCGTCGCAATCCTCCTCAGACACGGACCCGTCTTTTTTCTCTGATGTCGGGCGACTCCTATCCGCCGATCCAAGCTCGTTCAGCAATGACACGGTAAGATGGAGCTGGCGTAGCGCTGCCATGAGAATATGAAGTCGGCCGCAGACATGCGCGGGGAAGATGGTGTTCCCGCGGACGCGAACGTCCAGCGTTCCGTCGCGCGCCTCGTCGAAGCAATGCGCTTTGTCGCGGTGGGAGGTGTAGATCGTCACATGGTGGCCGCGGTTCTGTAAGGCTAAGGCGACGTCAATTATCAGTCGCTCTGCGCCTCCAATGCCCAGGTCCGGGTGGATGATAATCACGTTCGAGCGCTGGAGACCCGGCATGGCTTGGATTGCAAAGTGATGCTGTTCCTGGCCACGTTCGGGTTGCTCCACGTCAACGTCATGTGATGGGCGATAAGCGCAAACAAACTACGCTTTCAAGTTCTTGGCCACGACGGTACGAATTTACTAATTTTGTGGTCATTGGCCTTGTTGAAGCTCCTGCACTCGTTTCTCTCAAATGTCGACTTTTCTTTTTCTGGTGCATGCCCGATTGGTGGTGAACTGTGGGTCAATATGGCGTACTATGCAGGCATTTGGCAGACGGCAGTTACACCTCGACTTCAAACACAAGCTTCAAAGCAACACCTCCAATCAGAACGATTGCCGCCACAGCAGACAAACCAATCTGACCCACAATGCTAAAAGGAACCAAAGGAACAGCCTTGGGCCGCCGCGATATCGGCTCAAAGTACCACGGCGAAGTGACCCCCAGCCACAACACCACCCACGCAAAGCCGAGGATTCGTCGCCATAGCGGCGGATCCCCTTTGTCTTCAAAGGCCCTTTTTCCTCGCCAGAGGGCTTGCACGCCATCTTCAATCATGATTCCTAGCGGAAATGAGCACAGAAACAGCATTGCACCCGAGTCGCGCGCGGGCACTGCCTGCGCAACATCGAGAAACAGATGCAAAGCGCCCGAGCAGAAAAAGACTACGAAGATATTCGTGTAGCGCTCCAAGATCGATGGCCGCGGGAGACTGAGGACCTTGCGGGTAAAGAAACAGCTCAGGGCGCTGAAGAGTCGTCGATGGAACTGGTGCCAGAACTTTCTGTCTGATCATCAGCTTGATAATGCGATAAAAGAAAAAGCCGAAGAATCTTAAACATGTCACCCGGGAAGCAGTGGCGTTCAACTTACCCCCAGAATCCGCGCAGTGTATATGCATCCGCCATTCTTCCAAATGCCGGAGGGAAGTCCAACGGAGAGTCGATTCCCAATCCCACGAAGAAGATCGAGGTGAAGCGATAGTAGACATCAACCACGGTTCTGGTCACGATGAACCACGCAACTGTGCTGGAGATGGTTTGCTCGGTCCATTTCGCCCAGTCAATTCCCAAGACACCGAGTTCTGGATTCGGCTGTGTATTCTCCTGCTCAGCGACCTTCTGAAACGTAAGTGTATGGATGAGATCAAGGACCAAGTATTGCCAGCCAGCAATGGTCAGCTGTCTTAGCAAGAAGCGAGCACGGGGAGGAATCTCCATGCCCCTCCGGGCAAAATACTCTGGATGAGACGGGGTATTCTTTGCTTGCCAGGGTGTGTTTGGCGCGCGAGTTGGTAAGAGCAGGCGGGATGCACGGTATACACGAGTGCCAAAGCTCTTCAATTGCAATGCGAGGCCATGGCACAAATCGGAGTTGTCCATAGGGTTGAGGAGTAAGAGGTTGATGGCTTGGAAAGCTGCGATGGATATCATGCCCACGCAGTTGGCCCACACATAATTCGTCTCGAGGACCGGATTCATGAACTGGCTGGCAGCCCACACCATAAAGGGGATCGGGACATAGCGTAGAAAGGATTTCTTGGATGTGGTGATCAGGAGAGTGGCGGGGATTAAGAATTGAAGGGGGCCAAGAAAGAGAAACTTCAGCGTGCTCTCGCTCAATTCATACATACTCATCGTCAGGTTAAAGGATGGCGCAAAGAAAGGTAGTGGGGGTCATCGGCGCAGTTATACGGTTGATTTGGGCCCGTGCGTTTCCCTAGGGCTTATGCCAATACCAAAGAGAGGGCGAGTATAAGCGCCCTCAAAGGGAGCCTGTGCAGTGACTTACAGGAGATGTCGATTGGAAGGCTGGACTTGGTGATGTGCCCCTGTGTCCATAGCGTAAGTTTCTGGGGACGTTCAGCAACGCAGATAATTAGAATAGCTCAAATAGTTGACTGATAAACCTCTTGTCTATACGAAAAGCCAACAGATCGATCCGAGGACGTTCAACAGAATGAGCTAATCAACAAGCAGACTTTCTTCTAGCAAATTGCAGTCATTCCTACAAAAGACCTCCCTATTTCCAGATGTAATCCTTGTATTTCTTCATATTGGAATCTGGTTGACAATACTAGATCAACCGTCGGTTGTCACAATCAATTGGGATACATACTAAAAACCACAAATGAACAAATCAAAACACAAAGAACCTCCTATGGTAGACATTTTATTTTTCAAGGCAATCTAGAAATAGCCGATGGAAATATACAACGAAGATTTTCAGCGCAAGCTAAGAATCTACCAGTCGTGAAGGAGTGTTTGTGAGAGACCGAATGATATGTGAGGGTGAAAGCAAATGTGCACAAAAAAGGAAGGCTATAGCACAAGGGGGAAAGAAGAAAAATATGAGCAAGAGAGGTATCGGGTGATCAAGGACAGAAGAAAGAACATGCAAGTCATAATACAGGAGAGACAGGGGGTCGCATTGCAAGAAAGGCAGAAAAGAAAGAACTGAGAAACGGCAACGGGGGGGTATGAAACGGGGCAAAAAAAAAAAAAAAGAGAGAATATGTGTACATCCAGGGCAAACGATAGAGACAGGCGAGACGAGTAAAAACCAACCGCTTTTTTCCTCCCAGGGAAGAAGATCCACCCCCAAACGCCTAGAAGCAGTTGAGTGTGCTCTTCTTCTTTTTCTTGTTGAGCGCGTTCATCCGCTCTTCCAGCTGAGCCCGCGCAGCCTCGGCTTCGCGCCGGGCACTCCGCTCCTCCTCGACAGCCTGGAGAGAGAGACGAGCGGAGTTGCGCTCCTTGCGGAGGGTGGACAGCTCGTCTTCAACTTGCCAGGCCTTCTTCTTCCAGGCCTCGCAGTCGGTCTTAACCTTGCTGCTCTGGGCCTCGAGGTCGCCAAGGGCCTCTTCCAAGGTGGCGGTGAGCTGCTTCTCAGCGTACAGGTGCTTCTCGATCGTCCGGATCCGCGCTTCCTGGTCCTCGACAAGCTGGGCATTCACCAGCTCCTTGCTAGCATGTCGAGAGCTTGGCGGAGACACGCTGTTCGTGCCGTTCGTGGCAGAGGCGATGCTTGGCAGAGGCGGCAGGGGAATGGCGGGCGGTGGAGATGGGAGAGAGGCTGCAGAAGAGCTCTTGCGGAGGTTGGATGTCAGAGAGCTGCTGCGATCATGCGAGCCATCCTGGGTTCCGCTGTTCTTGAGTTGAAGCTGCAAGCATTGTTAGTTAAGAGTTCCAGCCGCGAATGTCCATGAAAGCTCACCTCCAGCTGCTCGATGCGCACGCGGTAAGTCTCAATGTCTCTCTCGTAAATGACGATCTTAGCCTTGGCGTCTTCCAAGGCCTGGTCGCGCTCCTGCTGGATAACAGAGAGACGGTTGTGGTGCTGGTCGAAGCTGCTGGTGATTTGTTCCTCCAGCTCCTCCACCAAACGGACACTCTTCTCCTTCTCGGACGTAATTTCCTCTACCAGAGCTTCCTTCTTCTTGACCTGCTCATCCCGCTGGCGAAGAGTGTCCTCCAGGGTGGCAACCAAGAGAGCCAGCTCGTTTACCTTGGCGTCCTGAGCGGTGTTCTTCTTCGTCAGCTCCTCCAGACGGCGCTCGTGGTCACCATTGGAGTCCAGCTGCTTGCGAAGATCATTATTGGTACCCATCAGCTCGGCATATTTGTCCGAGAAATGCTGCTTCTGGGCCAAGACGTCCTGGATCTGGTCCGTCAGCGTCTCAGCCGTGACGTCGGAGTTGAGCAGTCCTGAAACTGCCTTAAGCAGTTTCACCAACTCATCACGCGACTCGGAGATTTCCTTCTGCAGAGATGCCATCGACCGATCACGCTCGGCATCTTTTTCAGAAATCCGTGATTCGTGGTCAGCCTGGACAGCAGCTCTGGTTCGCTCTTCCAACTCTGCCAATTCACGCTTGTGAGAGTCACGGAGAGATTCCAAGCCAGAGTTGTGCGAATCAATTGCCGATTTGTGAGTCGAGATTTCCTGCTCGAGCTCGGCAATACGAGAGGTGTGCGAGTCAACAGCGCTGCTATCGGTTTCCTTGGCACTGGACAGCTGCTCTTGGGCGGCGGAGTGCGACTTCTCCAAGCCAGCGATGGTCTCCAATTGAGTGGAAATAGTGGATTTGTGCTCTTCGATGTCCTTCTTCAAGCCGTCCACAAGCTCCTGCTGTTTAGCACGCTCACTCTCCAGCTCTTGCGCAACGGCTTCCTTGTCCGCAGAGGCATCATCGCCTGCAGCAGCGCGCTCTACGCGCATCGCCTCCACGGAGGCCAAGGCGGTCTCGAGTTCAGCAAGGGTAGTGGCGAGTTGCTTCTCAGAAGACTGCAGAGATCCAATGGCGTTCTGGTGCTTACCCTGCCATTCGGTGAGTTCGCCCTCTAACATGCCAATTCTCTTGTCCTGCTCTTCAGCACCAGCATCCAACGCCCTGGTGGCCATTTCCTGAGACTTGAGAAGACCATTGAGAGTCTCGATCTCATCCAAAAGCTCCTTCTCCCGGGTTTCATGGGCTTGGCGGAGCTCACTGATCTGGTTCTCCTGGGTCACGACTTGGTCACGAAGTTGGGTGACCAGGGCCATGTCCACGGAAGAAGCACCCTGCAAACTCGACCGTTCCCTGGTGAGGCCGGAGATGATAGTGGCCTTAGTTTCCATCTCCTTCTTCACGCTCTGGTTCTCAGCCTCTAAGGATTGGAGGCGCTCCACACGGGTTTGCAATTCATGCATGCTCGCGTCCAGGTGGATTTCAAAATTCTGCAGAGCTTCTGGTCGACTTGCAAGCTCCTCATTGGCAAGAGTCCGCAGCGCAGTAAAGGACCGGTGGGCACGATCGACACCAGAGAGAAGGTTTTGGCTGGTCATGCGGCGGATCATCTTGAAGCCAGGAGTCGTAGGGGAGCTGGACTTGCCGCGCTGAACCTCCGCCTTCAGCTTCTCAACCAGGCCAAGAATCTCCTCGTGCTCAGTCTGGAGCTCCGAGTATTTCAGGGTCATACGGTCAGCACCTTCCTGGTGTTCGGAAAGCATCTTGCGCATGCTTTCAACATCATCGGACTGCAATTCCCGAGGTGCAGATGCGACGACCGGAGTTGCGGTCTCTTCTCCGTTCTCCAGCTTGGAGTCTTCAGAAGGCTCGCGCGAAGCAGCTGGCACCTCGGCCGAGGATAATTCCGAGGAGAGCGATTGCGAGAATGAGTGTTGTGCTCCAGACTTCAAGTTCGGAGCGCTTCCATCCTCTAAAAAAGAGACTGGGCGCGAATTTTCATTCTGCACCGAGGGGGGGGGGTGACGAGCTTCGTCCACCTTGTCCTGTCGAAGCTCGGAAAGAGCCTTGAGAGCCTCCTCATACTTGGATTCCAACGATTCATAGTCACCCATGGTTGTCTCGTGCTGCAAACGCAGATCAAAGAGCTCCTGGGTCACGGTCTCGAGCTTGTCAGCAACGAACTTGGACTGCGCAGGGCTTGTAGCTGGGTCTTCGCGAATGGCTTCCGAGCGTCGCGCCTCCAGCTGGTTAGTCACATCTTCCAGTACTCTCAAGTCTTCGCCGGGAGCTTGAGTGGTTTGCTCAGGCTCTGCAACAGGCTCTTCCACTGTGTCTAGGGTAGGGTCAGACAATCCTTCATCGGATTCGGGAATAGCTGTTTCGACAGCCTCGCTGAGAACGTCAAGAGAGGGAGTGTGCTTGTGGGAGAAGTGCGTGCTCTTGATTGACAGATGCTTGGGAGAAGGTTCGACCCCGTTAGTGCCATCATGATCCTTGTTGCCATTTTGGTGGATATGATCAAGTTCATTGAGTAGGTTATCCAGCTTTCCGAGACCTCGCTGACGCTCGATGACGTGCTCCAGGCGCATCACCTCGCGCTGCATGAGCTCCATGTCTTGGTCGGCCTCGGCAAGTCGCTCTTCCAAGGTGGAAATGTATTCCTCACAGCCGGCTTCACTTTCGCGGGCGCGCGTAAGCTCCTTGCGCAGCTCAGAGATAATGGCAGCATGCTTCTCTTCACCCGTAGAGTGACTATCTAGCTTGGATTCAAGTTCATGCAGGTACGTCTCTGCGCTGGCCTCCCGATCTAGCAGCTTTTGAACACGCGACTGGAGCTGGGTGTTGACGGTCTCGACGTAGGCGCACTTGGTTTCCCGTTCCAAGAGAGTGCTTTCAGTGGTGGAGAGAGACGAACGCGTGTCGGAAAGTGAAGCTTCCAGGCTCTGAATAGTCTTTTCGTACTCGAGAACGACCATTTCCACGGATTCGGCGAAGGAACGAGATCGCTGCATCCTCTCAATAGAGCTCTTGCTCACATCAGAGGTAGCTTCGTCTGTTTCGCCGTTGGCAGCCTCCTCCGAGTCGTTAGCGAGATGCGAAATCAGCTTAGTGTGACGTTGACTGAGAGCATTGTAGCTCTCCTGGGCATCGAGAAGCTGGTTCTGCAAATGCATCTCGCGCTCGTTCTTGCGCTCCGTTCGTTCCGCGGATCCCACCTCTCGTCGCTCAGATCCCTCGGCATTGCGGATTTGCTGGCGCAAGAAGGCCACCTCAGCCTTGAGGCGGTCAATCAGAGCCTGCTTGTCACCGTCATCGGCAACTTGTTGGATGCGGGGCTTGCTTTGGATGGCTCTGGCACGCTGGGCATATTGGACGGTGTTCAGGGTTTCACTCAAATGGAACTCAGCCGGGGTAACGCAAGCAATCATGTAGGTGATGGCATTACCACCCAGAGAGTCTTGGAGCAAACGGGTGAGCTTGGAGTCGCGGTACGACACATGCGAACCAGACTGGCGCGAAGAGAGCTGCGAGATAACCTTGCCAAGCGCCGCCAGACCCGCGTTAATAGAGATACCTTCACGGGCGCGTTCACCAGAGGCACCCGTGTTCTTCAGACGTTCGCTACCTGCCAAATCCACAAAGTGGAGCTTGCTATCGACCGTGACCGAGTCGGCACTGGGATACGAGTCAACCGGCATCGACATGCGCTTCTCCTTGGGGGAACTGTTCTGGTGCGATGGCGACTTGCGCTGGACGAGATTCAAGCTAAAGACAGCGTGCGAACGGGATGACTTGGCGTTGATGGCGGTCGAGTCGGTCTGACGGATCGCAGAGCCAAAGTTCAGCGCGCCTATGAGATCCTCGAAGGAATTGATGTTGACTTGGTGCAGACCCGTGAGGATGATGCGGCCTTTGGCATCTTCGCGGATTGTTACGGAGCTGCGATCGCTCGTAGGAGTCGAATCGGGAAGCAGCAGGTCTCTGAGTTGTTCATTGTAGATCTGTACCTTAAGTCAGCATACCACATACCCCATGGACCCAAATTCATAGTTGGAGATAAAAGCCTACCTCGACATAGGTAGCCTTGAGTTGCCAGCTCTTTTCCAGGTTCAACTTGCCGAAGCTCGACGCCGAGCTCATTGAATATCGCTGCGGGGTGCGAAGGCCCGTCGAGCTAGAGCCATTGCGATTGTGTTTGGAGGGTCCGTCCAACTGATCGAACAAGACCTGTGCCGCACGGGGAATGATACCTGAATTCCAGCCAATCGCAGTCAGCAATCCAACTTTCCCGTGAACCTAGACTCCTTTCGCTTACCCATGGCCTCCCCATCATTTTGCTCATGCGGTCCCGATGTGCCCATTGTGTACGACTTTCCAGCACCGGACTGGCCGTATGCCAACAGGGAGACATTGTACCCCTGCAAAAAAGAGCTGACGCTGTCATCGAGGTAGTCCCAGATCCCATCCTGATCCACGGTCTCGGGGAAGACGCGATCGAACACAAACAATTTGCGGCCTTGGGGGACATCGACGGCGAGACTCGTCGGGGCGGTGACATGAACCATCGAGCGCTGAAATCGCTGCGGGATCAACTCATAACCGGGGTCGGTCGGCCTCAGGGGCGGTCGCACACGAACGGCTATATCCAATCAGTGATGGGTTCGGGACAAATTTTTTTTTGGCGATATCGCAATGCTTTGCGCATAATCGGAGCCGAATCGCATGCCACGTACCGACTTTGACCGCTGTCTTGCCATCCTCATCTGACGCTCGGCTTCCACCATGTCTACTACTCATGCTCATGCGACTGTTGCTGCGCGGCGTGCGCATTACCGCGCTGATGGGTCGCGGGGGAAGACCCGTCGGCGACGCTGGCGGTGAGACCGTCATCTCTCTTTCTCCCCTACGAAAACCACACCGGGTGGATGGGAAGGGGAACAATCAGAAATCAACTATGCGGCGAGATGGAATGTTGTCGTCATGAGGCGTGAAGAGAAAGGGAATCTGGATTCTGTGGAGAGCGCGATCCGTCAGCCCCTTAATGGATAATTTTTCCCTTTGTCTGGGGAGGTTATTTCAATGGAGAGGAACCGAAGGGAAACCCCGGTACCTAGGTCAGGCACCAAGCGAGATCCATGGATACACATACATAAGGTGGACTCCCCCAACAGATGGATTAAACCCCAAGAGAAAGAAAATAAATCAAAAACGGAGTGGCAGGGGAGAACATAAAAAGCGCAATGTCTGGAGAAGACAAGACCCGTGCACGACTAAACTGCAGACGGGTTAGCTCCGATTAAGATGAAGGAGGATTCGGTGCGATAGTGGAGTCAATGGAGAAGCGAGAGAGAACTTGGTTCAGGGGGATGCCAATTTCTGCTTTTCACTATCTGCTTGACGTGCGCCGGACCCGTGACGTTCCACGGTTGCTCTTTTCACCTGCCACGCGAGATTCGAGTTCGAGACTTGCCTCGCTCGTTTTTATTCTTATTTTTATTTTTTATTCTTCTTCTTTTTATTTCTCTCTTCTCTTCTCTTCTTTCTCTCTCTCTCTCTCTCTCTCTGTGCTCACGTATCTCAAGTCTCCCTCCACTCCAGTTCTAAAATGAAGGAATCCACCCGTTCTACCCGTTCGTTTCAGATTCTTTTAGGTTATCATGAACGGCTCTTGCAAAACTTGGGTTCCCGTAATTTTGGCGAGCCATAACCCGTTTTCCCCTTTTAACCTCGCTTTCTCGCGGCTTCTGGCCGGTTGTCGATCACTGCGTGTTCAACCCAGGGGGCGGCCCTGCACCACCAATGCGGCAATATCTCCTGGGGAGTCCCACCCCTAACCAACCCTCCTTGACAACCTCTTAATTTGAGCCCACAGCTCCAGGCTCTAATAGCCGCTTGATAAATAATTGCAATCCTGCTGAACTGAGCTCTCTGGCTATGAAGGATCCTGGAAATTCCTCTATCTGATTGGGTGATCCCTGGAGGGATTTCCTCTTCCTCACATGCGCAATTTGGCCCAAAATTGAGATGCGGAGGATTGCACCAACTCATCATCATCATCATCATAGCTGCATGATCTACCCGGAGACGGGTCAGGACCCTAACGGTCGCAGGGAGGGCAAGGGATAAGCCGATTTTGGCCATACCAAACTTCAACTAAACCCTAGAAACCTCAATGTACCCCCCTAACCCGATCTGACCAGTTCGACGGTGGACACTAAAAACAAGCCTTCCAAGGTTGAGCAACATACATCACAATTTCTCCATTTCCCCCTGGCAAGGAAGTACCAAGCACAAAAAAAAGCAAAGAACCCACCTAAGCTGTTGGATTGAGATCCTGGTGGTTTCCGGGTCTTGCGAGCTATCTTGGCGCGTGAATCGATTCGGCCCATTTCTTGAAAATCGGACCCACCCTACACACCTTGCGGTGATTTTGTGCTGTGATACCTGCGACTCACCGGCTCTGGTTCCGGGCCACTGGAGAACCCGATTTGTCTCCACTGCATCTCTCTCTCTCTGGTCCTTCGCCAAAGCTCGTGAGTTCGATCGCCTCTTTGTGATCGTATCCACGCATCTGCCCTGCACGAATACGTTCAATAGAGGCCGTAACAGAGCGAAGCTGCAGTCACATGCATCGTCGAGGATTCCTGGTGCATTCGATCTATACAACCGTATCTGGTTGACCCAACCCGGCGGGATTATACATGGTCATCTGATGACCATCTGAGTTGTCTGATTAGCAGATAATGATTATCTGTTTTTTTTTTTGGCTTTGGGATGGATGGAATGCTCTGTTGGCTGCCTTAAGCATGGTTTGGTATGCCCGCCTGATATGTCGACAACTCTATAACTTGGCAGAATATTTCGAGTGTTTCCTGGAAATAGGAAGCGAACTTCACTAGATCCCGGCTCGATCCGGGCCCAGGGGCTATGCTATTTCCTCTTAAGAGGAAAACCACTCCTGCGGGCCGAGGTTGCTACGCCAATCCCAAAGGGGATGTTTTAGGGCTTGGTTATCGTGACGCTTTGAACAGCGTGTGTTCAGCACTATAATCTCAAGTGCTCGCCGGATTGTCGGCAAGCATAATATTCAGCAGTGCTAGGCATGTACGAATTTCTAGATGTTCCCACAGACCTACACTTTTGTGCCCTGGCCCATATATATAGACATATATCCAAGACTAATAACAATAGATAGCACTACACGAATTGAGAAATGAATCAAATTGCGGAGCCCTTGAAAGTCCGCCGAGAGACATGCCAAAATATCTGGAATATAAACCAGACCGTTGGTGGAACGCTCAGACCTACAGTTCCTCCGCACCGCCCCTGACGGTGGCCATCAACAACACCGAAAGAAGACAAGCTGCCTTTGCACCTCATCCCAGCGCTCCCAGATAACCCTATCAAGAGAACATCATCATGATGGCTCCATGGCCATGCGACTGGGAGACATGCGAGAACCCCGCCGCACAGGCGGCCCTTCTTATACTCATTTGTTTACAGGAAAATTGGGCATCCTCCTGTGCTCAATACGCAGCCACAGAAACTCGTTACATAGACGAGCTATGTCTGCGAATTGATTCTTCTAAACTATGTTCCCACGCATCGATGCTTGGAAAGGGCATCCCGTGTACCGTTGAATTGTCCCGTGAGGGATTGTCTGCCATGATGGGGAACCAGAACTGCCGTGTCGGGATCACTTTCGTCAACAATATCAGATGACTTGCACGGTTTCGGCTAGCGAAGACCTCGTCGCCGCCGCAGGAAATCCATGATTGCATCCTTCGAAGCGAAGCTGCTACCATGGTTTACCTCCAACAGCATAATTCCATTCCCACACCTAAAATCGATTGGGCATGCGAATCCGACCCAGGGAATCCACTGGGAGTGGACTATATCCTGATGGAAAAGTTAGACGGGAACCCATTAGATTGGCAGGCTGCGACACTCCACCTGAAAGAGAAGGTTATGCAGCAGCTGGTCGCTATCTTCCTCGAGTGTCCACTCGGTTCATTTGCTTTTGCTCTCTCGAGGGGACACAAGCTATAATCGAGTCTTACCTCGCCATGATATCCAGCGGCGAGATTGACCCCGACCACCCTGTCGACACCTCCCTCGTCCATCGATTCCGGCAAGAAATAGTGAGCGCTCTCTGGGAAAACGTCTTATCAGACTGCCAATTCTTCCTCAAGCACCCGGACGACAAGGGCGACCATATTCTCGTCAACGATAGTTTCGATATCGTGGGTGCTATCGACTGGGAATGGACCCAGACGGTGTCCAAGGCGGAAGCGTTCAGTTCCCCGTGCAAGATGTGGCCGGTCGCCAAGTTCTATCGTAGTTCCAATGAACTAGACGCGGATGAGTTGCCGCTAGCTGCTGTCTTTTGTGAAAGGGGCCGTGAGGATCTTGCGAATTGTGTTGTTGGGGGAAGAAAGGTTCAGCGACTTTTCTTCGCTCTTGGAACTGAGAGCTCTTTTCTGGATATGCAGACACTTTCGAGTCTGTTTGCGGAACTCCGGCGGGCTTTCGACTTTGAGGATATGGAGTGGGAGGTGTGGAAGAGCAAGGCTTTCAGGAAATGGAGGGAGGATGGCTCGCTCCTTGGTTTGCTGGCCGTTTCCGAATAGCTTCATGTTTAGCTGATATAAATCCCAGTTGTCTAGCCAGATATTTCTCTGTTCAACCTCCCTAGCGATCTCCTAAGATGAGATTATTGTTGGATTTTCAAATCATCGAGAGATTTACAGAGATCTCTTTAGCCATTGGTATGTCTTCCGTCCATGCCCTGGAGTATGTATAAATGGTCTGTCCAGTTGTATTGTCTATAAAAAACCGGCAACTTTATCGCCGGGATATATGCACCAACCAAACAAGAATGATCTATCCACAAACGAGCGAAAAATGTAGGGGTGTATGTATAAGGCGTCAAAAAAGGTATCGAAAATGCTCTGAACGGTGCAGGCGGACGCTGAGTATAGACCATCCATAATATCGACAGGGAATAATGACTGAAAAGTGACGTGCAATGGCGAGTAAGAAGACGTGAGTGAAGCAGCATCAACGCATCCCAATTCTTGGTTCTTAGGCCTGTCCATTTGTACCACCTGTGCCTTGCGACACACTCGGGATGTCTTCTCCCTTCAGATAATTTTCGAACTCGCCGATTTGCTTGCCGCCCTGGACCCAGCGTTCGTGGTAAGCCGCGCGGCGCTGGTCGGCCAGCTGGTTCAATGCGAGCCAGTAGGTCGCATGGTCGTAACGGAACTCGACATCACCACCCACCGACTTCATGAGATGGCTCGCTGGCACGTGCTGGCGCAGGTCCTCGTTGAACTTGAGCTTTTGGCGAGTCTGTGGGTCAATGAAGGGAGTGATCAATTTGAAGAAACCCCAGATGACGAAAGGCACTGCAAAATCGGTTATGACATGTCTTATAATGCGCAGGGGTGGGGTTAGCACTCACCATTGATCACCAGAGCACGGCCAAGCCTCTCTGGGTAGTGGTTCTGCAGGATATTCAGGGTCTGCTTTGCCTGGCCCATTGTGGCATTCTGGCCGGACTTGGTCTCGTTGAAGTTGACAATCAGCGCCAGAGTCTCCTGGCCTGGGCCCATGAGATCGATGACCCGCTCCAGCATGAAGACAAGGTGCTCGACCTGGCGATCGCTTTTCTCCGTGTTCTGGTTCGAAGGCAAGAGGTAAAGACATGGTCGTCCGTTGATGTCAAAACCCAAGAGCACCTGCTTGCCCGTCTCGTTCTCAATCGAGATGTACTCCGGCGTCAATTTCTTGATGCCGTACTCTCGACGCCAGGTAAGAGTGCGCTGCAGACGGGCTTCGGCCTCGGCGACGTTCCACTTGGTTGCGCGCAGGTACCGGAGAAGACACTCGCGGGTTAACCACATGCGCTCGTCATCTGTGATCTCCGCTGTCGAGGCGTTCTTCTCTGATGTAGTTGGGACGGTGGTCCACGAGGTAACCGTCTTGAGTACAGCCTCATACTTGGATTGCTGGTCCGCGGTGAGCTTTGCGGGCGCCGTGGGCTTGCTCTCGTTCAATGGCTTTGGGAATGGCTTCTGGATGAGGCCATCGGCTGCCGAGGTCGGGAGATTCAGGTCGACCGGCTTCGGGGTCGGGGCTGGTGCAGTCTCGGTTTCTGTGTCCGCAGGAGTCGGGGCCGGAGCGGGAGCACCGGCGTCTGGGTTCACAGCGTCTCCATTGGTGGTTGGGGGAGTGGCCGCAGGAGCATCGGTGATCTCGGGGGTCGCCATGATAGTTTTGAATCCTTTCGACACTCAATACCACACAGATCCAGGGGATTAGGGAAGGAGGATCTAGAGACGGGCCTCGTCTCCACTGTAATTATGAATTCTCCGTTGCGATCGCCAGGCCCACTGCAATCGTGGGCTGCTCGATATTGCCATTCTGGGCGCTTATGTCAGCGACACGGGAACGCGGGGTATTGATAGGGGCACCCCAAAATTTTCGCTATTGGCACCCCAAAAAAGATTACATAATTTTTTCTTATGTAATCTTTTTTTCTCCCACTTCCATCACCATAGCAACCATATACTACATATATACTCTATCTTCTGCTTCATCTCTTTTTCTACTCTACTATTACCCTACTAGTTTGATATGCAGCGAATCTATGCTAGTAGGGTTACCCTAGAGGCCCCGCTTGGTATATGCACCAATTATTGGACGAGTACTATGGGGTTACCATGCAAGCATCGAATTGCTGATTTGCTCGCAAAAAAAGAAGCAATCCCATTGGCTGATATTCATCCATTCTGGCGAATTAGGGTTGAAGATTCATCTGATATCGCCTGGCAGCCACTGCTAAATCCCCGAATTCAGCCTGCTGCTTTCCCAAAAAGGCAATCTACGCAGATATCAGATGGGAGCGAGGGGGCTAGACCAATCAAAAAAAGGAAGGCCCCCCCAAAGTGTTCGAATTGCGGCGAAATTGGGCATACATATCGAAGTTGCCCTATTGCCAAATAGGGTAATCTGTTTTTGGTGGTCAGGATAAGAGGATCATGTGATTAGAGATGTGGTTGAAAATTATCATGTGATTAGAAAATAGATCAAAAAAGATTACATAAGCGTTTTGGGGTGCCAATAGCGAAAATTTTGGGGTGCCCCTATCAATACCCGGGAACGCGTCTCGCGCGCGTCGCATCCATCTTCAACTCCAAGAGGCAATCGCCCTGCCTTTGGATGACCCAACCCTGCCACAATGGACAGCACAGTGGCAGAGCTCAATGAGCTCTTTGCGGCCTCTTACCCCGATGGCCTGTCCAAAGACATCCTCGCCGAGCTCCAGTCGATTCTGCGGGTGCATTCGATCACCGCGGAGGAGCTCTTCTACAAATGGGAGTCTTACAGCATGAAGATGGGCGAGGAGGTGAAATTGAATTTAGACACAGCGCGCGCCTTTAAACAAGATGTGCAGGAAGCGCTAGAGCGCGAGAGTCGAAGCAAAGCCGGCCGGCAGGCAGAGAAGAGGGCCGCGATCACGGCAACCCCACGCGCCGCGGCGGGTGCTGATGTATTTGGGATGTATGTGGCAGCAGTTTCAGCAGGTCCCCATTGCGCAAGACTGATCGGTGTGATCCTTTTTCTAGGTTGGACGAATTGACGCCGAATGCCTCAAACGGCCGACCTATGAATGGATCCACGAAGCGCAAGGCCGATTTCTCCTCGCCGGCTGGGCCAAAGATTGGGAAGGTCGAGAAGACCGGATCACCTATGGGAGCAAAGACGCCTGGCGCCACCGCAAACGGATCTGCCAACGGTGGGACACAGTATGTCATACACCAGATCTCGACTGGAATAATGAAAGGGAATGGAAATGGCTAACTCACAGGGTAGGTCGGTTTCCTTTTCTCAACGGCCCAATCCTGGACAGACACTGGAGACACTGAATGCGCATCTCCCGCTGTCCGAGGCACCAATGGCACCATTTTCCGAGGCGCGCATTCGACCTACGGCAAACACAGATCTCAAGAAATTTGGATACAAACCGATGGGCATGCGATTATCAGAAGCGTCGGAGATTCTCGATGATCGGATCGATGAATTCGCGGCGCTTTTCCAGAAAGAATATGACTCGGATGACCTAACCTTTGGGAGCGCGGCCACCCAGAGCACCAGTGAAATTATTGCTATTGGCCGAATCGCCTCAGACAGCCTCGAGGGGAAATTGAACCCTGCTTCTCTTGTTCTCGAGACATCGCGACGAACTGGAGCCGGAAGACGAGTTCCGTTGAAAGTTGACTCGGTGCCCTCAGCAAACTTCTTCCCAGGTCAAATTGTGGCTCTTCGGGGAATCAATCCTTCGGGCGACTACTTTACCGTCAAAGAGATTCTTCCTGCGCCTCTGTTGCCACCTGCAGCGTCTTCGGCTGTCACGCTGGATGGCATCAACGAGCGCCTGGAGGGCGGCGACGCCAACCCGCCACTCAACGTGATGGTAGCAGCGGGTCCGTTCACAGCAGACGACAACCTTGACTTCGAACCACTGCAGGAACTATGCCAGAAGGCGGCCGACAGCTATGCAGATGGTTTGGTGTTGCTGGGCCCTTTCCTGGACATCGAGCACCCACTCCTCGCATCGGGTGACTTCGACCTGCCCGCCATCAAGGGCCTCGACCCGGACACGGCGACTCTGGCCACCGTCTTCCGGCATTTTATTACAGCACCACTGTCGCGGCTTGCGACAGCTGTGCCAAGTATCACTATCGTAATGGTGCCATCTGTGCGCGACGCGCTCAGTCGCCATGTATCATGGCCCCAAGAGCAGCTCCCTAAAAAAGAGCTGGGTCTACCCAAGCAGGTCCGCATGGTCTCCAACCCAGCCACGTTGTCCTTCAACGAGTGCGTCATCGGCATGTGCTCGCACGACGTGCTTTCCGATCTGCGCCGCGAAGAGGTCCTGCATGGCCGGCCCGCCGAGGCTAACCTGCTCACCCGGCTTCCCAAGTATCTTATTGAACAGCGTCATTTCTTCCCTTTGTTCCCCCCAACTGCACGGGCAAATATGCCCAAGCCAGGCACAGACACAGGCTTCGCCACGGGTGCGATGCTGGATCTGCCCTACATGAAGCTGGGCGAGTGGTGGAATGTTCGGCCGGATGTGCTGATCGCCCCTAGCATGCTGCCGCCTTTTGTAAAGGTATAGTTTGATATTTTATCACAACTTATTGAGTTGGTTTACTGAATGCTAACTTCTTTTTTATGCTCTAGGTCGTGAACAGTGTGCTTGTCATCAACCCCGGAACCCTGTCCAAACGACGCGCTGCGGGCTCCTACGCGCAGATGGCCATCCACCAGCGGGCGATCCCCGACGAGGAGCGTGAGCAAAAGCAGCTGGGCCACAAGCTGTATGAACGGTCTCGAGTAGACATCAACCGGATCTAGGTGGCGGCTCTGTACATGACATCGCATTTACGCTTGGCGTTGGGAGGCGCACACTAACTCGGCCTCAGTAGTTATGGTATGGGTTAAATAGTTGCATGAGGATTTTGAAAAAAATGGAGATGAAATTAAGCAATGAATCAAATCACTTGAGGACCTGGTTTTCCCCGATGGGTATCATGTATCATAAGCCACAACTCCACGCAACTCTGACAGGAGCCAAGATGCAAAGCACAAAAAAAAAAAAAAAAAAAAAGCAGAAGAAGAATGTCGGTCATTAGCGCAGGCAAATAGTCCTCCGCCCTCCCATCTTCCTCCCCGCACCCCTCACCCGAATAGCCCTCGACCCGGCAACGGCCGCACCGCCATAATTCCCGCGAAGAGTAGCACCAGGACCCGAGCCCGCAACCGTACTTCCCCCTCCTCCAACCCCACCACCACCTCCTCCAGCCGCAGCCGCAGCCGCAGCAGCATCCCCACCATGACCATGACCACTCACAAGAGCCTCAAGCCCAAGATCGCGCCACACAGCCTCGCGCCGACGCTCCATAGCGCGCGTGATCCCGAATGCAGCATGCTGGTCCGGCACGACATCGTCCTCGTCTTCTGGGTTCGGGGGCTGGTGCTGCGGCGACACGTAAATCTCCTCGATGGGGAGGAAGGACGGGAGGGTTGCGGGCGAGGACGAGCCGTAGGTTACGCCGCCGGGGCCTTGATTGGTGGTGGTGCTTGTTTGGCCGGTGTTAATTTGGGGAGTATCGGTTGTGTTGGAGGCGGCGGAGGAGGTATGGGGGCGGGTGAATTCTTCGAAGAAGTCTGCTAGTCGGGGTTGGTGCATGTGGAGGTATGTTGCGGAGGAGTCTTTGCTCTGTGTGGGGGGACGGAGGTGGTGGTTAGCTAGGGGAACTAGATGTTTTGTTAGTTTGGGGGCCCTGGCATACCATTTTGGCTGTGGATGTGAGTTTAATCTTGGGATTCGAGGTTGAGGGAGGTTGCGACTGCAGATGGTCGAGAGATATCGGTCGATCATCAAATGTGGAGCCGCGCACGGAACATCGCAGATTCCGAAGTAAATAAAAATCAGTATAAACAAATAGGCTTATCAAATGTTACACGCTTGAATCTGCTCGTCTTTGTTTATTTATTTCGTGTATCGTATATTTGGAAGAGTGGAAATCCATAATTAACAGAACAGCCTCATCTGGCTTGTTCTTTTCCTACCCCAATCCGATCACTTGTTGACCTCGAATGTATTTATTGAAGATTAAAAAGGATGAACAAGGGAATAAGCGGTACCCAGCACCCGGCGATAGCAAGATCCGGAAGAACATCCTGATCAGTTCTTCTTCAGCGGGTGTGCGGTTCCATATTCTGCCGTCCAAATACTTCGTACACCATCTCACCAAGAACCCCAAGGGCCCAGGAGACCTAGAGTCATACATCGGAGAGGAAGGGATAATCCTCTAAAAGAATGAGCCTAAAAGCCAACCCAAGGCTTAAATGCTAAAAGGCAAGACAGAAGAACAGAGAATAGAGGAATTCCTTGATATCAAGAAGTCAAGGCCGTCATAACTTTTGATGGACATTGACACCACATCATCATCTCACATATTCGTGCTCATCCGGTGTACGATCGGCACCGCGCTGGGAGGCAAGCTGCCCATCTCGGTAACCACCATGTCCACGTACTCGGCGGGGGTAACATCGTACATAATGTTCAGCAGCTGGAGGTTGGGGGTTTCCTTCCAATTCGAAAGGGGCGAGGAGGATGTATTGAGAGAGGTTTTGAGAGAGTCAGAGGTAGTGGTAGCGTTGGAGGCACGGTTGGCACCCTTTTTGGGGTCGGACGACGCCGCAGCAGATGCAGCAGCCGGGTCGGGCAGACCGGTAATTTGGTGCGGGGGCAGAGCGGAGACCAGCTCGTCGGCATCGGCGATCTCGTTGACGACGATGCTGTCGAGGGCGACGCGGTCGGTGAACTTGACGGTCTCGCAGCAGACGATCACGGGGACTTCGACGCCGCCGGCGCGTTCCTTGGCCGACATGGCGACCAGCGCGGTGCCGACGCGCGAGTACAGCCGCCCATTGCTGGTCATGGCGTGCGCGCCCAGGAATACCTTGGTGGCATCTTTGATCGCGTGACTGATGCCGTGCACCAGCGAGTACTGTACGTCCAGCCCCGCGGTGGCCAGCGCGCGCGCAAGGTTCTTTCCTTCAAACAGTGGCCGCGAGTCGATAATCGATACCCGGAATCGCTTGCCTTCCTTGTGAGCGGCCAGGAGTGTCTGTTTCACAATCGAGCTGCCGGCAAACGTCACAATCACGTCGCCGTCCTGGATCTTTTGCGCTGCACTGCCCGCAATCACCTGGTCGGCCACGGTGATCTTCTCGCGAATGAAGCTGTCGATGAAATCGCATAGCGTCGCCTTGGCGGTCGACTCCGGCGTGGCGGGGTCTACTGAGGCAATCGCCAGCTTTAGGGATCGAATAGCATTACCCTGGCTGATTGAGAGAGGTCGACATGTCGATAGATACGTAATTTGATGCGAGAGGTGTGTTGTCAAGTGACGGGCCAAAGAGGTGCCCAAGGGTGTTGTGTAGGATTCGACGACCTGGACGAGAATTAGTTAGCCACAATCCCACCAATACATTGAAAAAGATAGAAAGCCATACTCTTTTAAAAGCAAGCAGCGTCGCCACGCATCGGGCACTGCTGCCACAGACCACATAATCCCTCATCTGCAAGCCCAGCGCAAGCACCGCGGGATGCACCTCCTTAGCGGCGCCAGCGACTGTAGTGCGGCGCTGCTGGCCATACAAGTGACCAAAGACAGCAACATTCTTATCCTCCTTCTTTTTCTTCTGCTCGACCGCAGTAACAGCCCCGGCCTGGGTAACGGGAGCAGACCCGCGGCGCGGCGGCGGCACTCCTCTCTGCCCCTTCTGCGGGGCGCCTCCAGCAGCATCCTTCTTCGGAGTTGCGGGGGCACGAGCCTGACCAGCACCGGAAGCCGCACCGGGGGCAGCAGGCCCAGCGCCGGCACCTCCACCTCCACCTCCGGCTTGATCCCGTTCGCCCTTCTCCCGCGCGCGCCGGGCAGCCTTCTCGGCCTTGGCCTTTTTCTTTAACTCGGCCGGCGTGAGCGGCTTGTCGGCTGCGGGCTCACTACTCGCTTCTGTGCTAGCAACAGCAGTGGCGCCGGCGGAGGAAGAGCTTGTTGCATCTTTGGCCTTGGAGGAGGGTTGCTCCGGTTGTGCGGGTCCCTTGGCGCTCTGCGAATCGCGGATAGGGAGGGTTTTCGGCGTTGGGGTCTCGGTCGCGGGCTGGGCCGCGTTGACGGATGGCCCAGGGCCGGGTTGCGACGCAGCGGCTGGATCTGTCATTGCGAAATGGCTCAGTCGCGGGAGAACCGAGGGGTGGGAGAGGGTCGACGTGAATTGCGTGGTGGGGAGACTAGAGAGAGGGTTGACTCACGGGAAAAGAAATGATGCCATAAGCGGCCCACCGCGCGCCGCAGCCCTAATCGGCGACTCGTTGACTTCGGCTTCGACATGAACACGGGAATTGACATACACCATGTCGGTATACTGGCAGCTATAGAATGCGAATACTGGTATCTAGTTTCAAGCTTTAGGGGCTGGCCTGTCCTTGAGAAACTCGTCTCAAAGGCTCAGGGTAAAAGCGAATGGACTCCCACAGTCGGGTTTGGAAACATACATCACTCAGGTTTCTCGTTATTCATCGCAGAAGGCCTGCTCGCTACCAAACAAAGAACGAAAGAAAACCCAACGGCTACCCTCCGAAGAACATTCCTCGGGACTTCATGACCCCCGGTCCCATCAAAGAGCAGACAAAGACTGCACCGCCAACACCAAATCCAGTGCGCCGCTAACACAAAAACAAAAATAATCATCCAAGCCTAGCGATTATTGGTGAGAATCGTTCCCAATGCGCTTCGTTTGCGAACCTCGAGTTTCTCATTGCGACGGAACCGTTCGTGGTCCGAGGCCAGTTTTCGCTTGAAGACACTCAGGTCGCCCAGTAGATCTTGCATGCGTTCCTGCATTTGATGTGCGTCCCGCTCGCTGATATCTCCGGTGACAGTATCGTCATCCTCCCACACCTCTGTTTCGAGCTCTTCATCAAAAGCAGGCGACCCTTCGCGGTTTTCCTGGTCGCGGTGCGATGGCTGCTCTTCTTCCGCCAACGAGGCGAGACTCGGTTGTCTTTGCGCAATATTGATTGGCGGGATTGGGTTCTTGAGGCTTTCAAGAGCCAGTTTCAGGTGCATGCGCAACGCTTCGTTCTCTGTCTGCAACTGCCGAATCTTGCACTCGCTGACCATCTTGGTCTCTTCCATAAGTCGTTGCATTTTGTCCACCTTTTGCTGATACTCCTCAAGCCGTTCATCCTGGGTCTCAGTCGCGCGCTGACTGGCGGTAGCTTGGCTCACACTGAGCTGCAGGGTGCGAATGGTTTCTGCCATCTCTGCGATCTGCTGGTCGCGTTCGGCTGCCGAGATATGGTCTTGGTTGATTTGCGCCCGGGTCCGGATATGCTTTGCCTGGTCTGCGTACCGTAGTGTGGACAAGGTCTCTTCGTAGTCTGCCGGGGCGATACAGGCAATCATGGCGGTCTTCGAGTTGCCACCCAAACTGTCCTTCAACAGCCAGGTCAGGATTGAGTCACGGTATGGCACCAATTCCTTAGCCTTTCGGCCTCCACGCCCCCCCTCGACTTTTCTTTGGATCGGCCAGAGCTGCGATAACCCGGCCCAAAGTAGTGAGCGACTTGTTGATATTCGAGCCCTCGCGAAGACGCTGGCCTGTCGCTTCGGTAGATTTAGCACGCTCGGAACCTGCTAGATCAACCAGCCGGATGCGCGCCGTACGTTCAGTCGTCTCATCTGTTGATAGGTCGTGGTGGATTTGTTTCAATGTAATGGTAAAGACCGCATGAGATCGAGACGAGGTGTCGTTCATCTTCGTGCTCGCGGTGGTACGGGATACATCACCCTTTCGCATGTATTTCATCAATTCATTATAGTTCTTCGCAGTGACCTCGGTCAGGTCTTTGACATATGGGCCCTCCGACGGGGACTCTCGGATGCGAAGGTAATGTGGTGGGTCGGTCCGGGGCACCAAGAGATCACGAACATGCTCGTTATATACCTCGAAGTAGGACACCCGAACATTGTAGCTGATATCAGGGGAGGGCGAGCTTTCAATGCGCTGAAACAGGTCTTCGCAGGTCCGAGGAATCAATCCCGGCTGCTCTGGTGTGCCCATCATCGTGTAACTCTTGCCTGAACCCGTCTGCCCATAGGCGAAAATGCAGGTGTGGTATCCTTCAAAGTTGTGGTCCAGAAACTCTTCGCCGAGGCAGTTGTACACATCTTCCTGATGGGCGTAATGTTCGTCCTCCTCGTTATGCGACCAGAAGGAGTTATCAAAGGTGAACGACTTTTCCTCCAAAACCTTGCCACGGGACTGCGACTTGGGTTTTCCTTGATCGCCAGGGCTTCGTTCGGGGGCGTGGAGGCTGGTCATTTGTGTATGGGGATCCATTGAGATCAGGCATTGCGCCTTGCGTTGGATTTCTGCAACCACATGTCAGGGACACGTCTTTTTGATATCACCCGAGTATATCCTATCGCACTGCAATCCTCCACTGTCACCTACCTCGATGGAGAAACTTGCGAACTCGCACCACGACGCGCACGTTACCGCCTGGCGCAGGACTCGCGATTCCATCTTGGCGACCAGCCGGGACTGAAATACTCTCTCGGGCGCGAAGAGACGGGCTTGATGCCGTAGATCGGAGGGTGGCAGCGGATGCAAAAGTCGAGATCACGCTGGGGGTCGTGATACCGGTGACGGCGGAGGATTCGGAAGAAGTGGCCGAGGAGATCGAACCAGGCCCAGTGCTCTGGCCGATGTGTTGATAAAAGCGCGGATCTAGCGCCATATCCCTGCTGTAGTCCCTCAATAACTGTACACAAACGGTGACGGCGTCGCGTCGTCGGTCAAGGAGATGATTGTACATGCAACGAATGGAATCAACACAAGAAAAGGAAAAGAGAAAAAGGGAACAGTTTGGATGTAGAAAAAGAGGGAAAAGAACAAATAAAAGAGCGAAAGGGGGGTCGGTACTGTTGCGCGTTGTTTCCTTGGGAAGTTCAAGTGTTCATGGCCCACGGGAGAAAGTAAACAGAGCCGGCTCGAGTTCACCGGGGCATGCTACGGAATGCAATGCTGGGAATCGAAACTGAGGAGAAATCAAACACTTAGACAATCTCCAGATTCGAAATTGGGCGAAATGACAATTGACTGAAGATGCAGTTCTCAATGTTGGGGAAGAGGAGTGTGTCGATGCGTTGCCATAGCAATGGCCTACGAGCACTACGGGCACCTCCGCGATCAACGATCGGATGCTCGATTTCCTCATGGCGTATACACAATCTGGAACTGCCTAAATACACATTTTTGATCTTTGATCACCTAGTCAAAGTCTGCCGTCATGGCCTCGTACAGGTCCGCATCCTGATCCTCCTTGTTCTTCTTCGCCTTGGCTCCATCGCCAAACGACGCTGGGTCCGGTACGGGGTTGCCGGCATCATCCATGTGTGTGCCCAGCAGCTGGCCCGGAGCCCAGCTAGTGCTGTTGTCGGCCTTCTGCTTGCCAGAGCCGGCCTCGGCCTGCATCTGCGACACGGCTTTCTGGTCCTGGGTGACGTTGCGCAGGCGGCGTTTCTGGTCGTCGCTTTCGGGGTAGCGCACCGCGGTGTCTGTTTTTGAGGAAGGCATGGTGTCCTATCCATTCAGGGCATGGTCAACCCAGCCATCTTTCCCAACAGACACCCAATCCCAGTCGCCATCCTCTTTCTCACATCTTCTCCGGTGTGAGGTAGAAGGGATGAAGAGGGAGACGTACCAAGTGTTTTTGCTGGAAATCCCAGAAAATGGTTATTAGTCTGTCAAATTCCCGATTTTGTTCCAATCAAAAATGTGTGTAGAGGAACTGGCCGAGCATCTATATTTATGAGATTCAGAGTGTCGGTGGCGGGAGACTATGCGATGACCCATTATGACGACGACACTCACCACCACCGTGGGTGCTTCTCCGCACTCGCCATTGGGATGCATTCATCGACGCCACTGATTCTCTGTCCTTCTAGTCTGCTGGTCGATGAGAGATAGCCTCGAACGGTGGATGGACTGGGGTGATCCCATGGAATCCCGGCATGGGGGATAGTTGCCACCAAGCTTGCCTTTGTTTTCATACTTGGAGCATGAGCTGGACTAGGTCGATACTCGACTGGACTAGAATATACATTCAGTGGCAATCGAGAGTTTGAATTGCAAGGATGGTATGACCGGAAATTATAACCGTTGATGTCAACAGCCCGTTGCCCTCGGTCATTGTACATCTCGCTCTTCTCGGGATGGCTCTCTGAGTCGATGGATGTATCATTAGAATTTATCAGAAAATGAAATGTGGTTAAATGACCTCAGCCAGGCTTAGAGAGCCTCTTTCACAAAGAGTATTGGCTTCCTAGACAGAAGAGAAAAGCCTATGCAACTATCCTCGCTTAACCCTGTTTCAATTGAGAGATATAACATGGAAAAATAGAAAAGCTACAGCCACCAAGAAGGACGGACTTGGATCTAGATTAACTCGCGAGAGTGTGCTATCATGTAACCCACACAGAGCCGAAGATGTATACCTCAGGGCCACACTAATACCACAACGGGTGTAGAAACAAAGATTCAAATCAAAGGGAGACAGAAATGATTTACGCTTACAGCAAAAATCTAGATTTAGCGAGGCATGAAATCATATATCAAGCTAAGGTGTCTATATCCACAAGCCGATCACGGATCCTTCCGGTCTTACCATATTTTTTAATCGAACCCCACGCCGATGATTGTCTTATCTGATTCAGATGTAGCTTATTGATATGTAGATTAATATATAGAAGAATATGTAGAAGAATATTTAAAAAAAAAATACATAGAAATCAAATCCTTCATCTTATAAGCACTGCTCACTAAATACAACTCAGCTCTTTCTAAAAATAAGCCACTCGAAGCTAAAGGATTAGTTACATAGCCAAGTAAACCGATCTGTAACCTTGAGCAGAAAAAAAAAAAAAGATTCAAAATGTATGTAATACCCTAGTGTAAGGCGTCCACGATAGCCTGCAAGTCTGCAACTTATGCACATGTAAGGCCCCCACTCAGGCAGCGAACGCCTTGGGTTAGGGTTATTGGACCATTAGGTCCCCAAATGACTCGTGCCATGTTCGAATGGCGGGAAAACAATCAATACGTAGAAAATCCTCGGTTTCAATTATCTGTATTTTTAGCTTGGCCCCAATTTCCCGTATCTTAGACTAAACTCTGATGGGGGGCCGGGTTTAGCCCCAAGTTTCTCGGGGCGAAGTCTAGTGGAAATGCGAGTCGTGCAACCAGAACGATAAACAGAATTCCAATATGAAGGATTAAAACTTGACAAACGAATTGACCGGGCTAATATTAGACTCCTCCAACCCCGGGGGCCTTCCCGTTCTCTTTGCTTCAACCTTCCCCGGCTTTGCTCTAGACATTCTTCCAGTATACATCGCAGTGCAATCCCTTGCCCGGTCTCGTTGTGAACAATGGCCCCAAGTCATGAATCCGAGGAGGTGGGCATGAGATTACTCTCAGAGTCAGCTCAGTCATCCCCTCGAACCTCCCTATCATCCTCGACGCTGAGCGTCGAGGACAAGGAGGCCTACCAGAAAGAGGCTCTCCAACTCAGCCCCGTCGTCCAGTCGGAGTATGAAACACCCGCAAGAGTTAAATATGCCTGGCTCGGCGCCTACTTAGTGTTTGCGATGGCATTAACGATCCACAATAAGTTCGTGCTGCAGAAGGTGAGCAAGTTCCGGTCTACAAAAGTCAAGGACAAAGATCAGGCACTCACGTATTTAAATCGTCCAGTTCAACTGCCCTTGGCTTCTCACTACACTGCACGGCGCATTCTCAGCACTCGGCGCGTTTATGGTGTGGATGCTCGGCTACTTCAAGCTATCAACGCTCTCCACGAGAGACCACTTGATCTTGGTTGTATACTCGGTGCTTTTCAGCGTGAATATTTTCTTTTCCAACTGGTCTCTTGCGCTCGTTAGTCTGGCGCTCTTCCAGATTCTGCGCAATACCTCGCCGATTTTCACTGTTTTTATCTACCGGTTCTGGTATTCGCGCTCCTACTCGACGGCAACCTATATCTCTCTCATCCCAATTATCCTGGGTGCTGGGTTAACGGCCAAGGGGGATTTCAATTATTCTTATCTGGGATTGATTGTTTCGGGGATCGGGGTGGTTCTCGGTGTCATCAAGGTATGAAGACCCCCAAGTCTTCAATTTTTTTTAAAATAGAATGAACTAACCTGAGAATAGATTGTTGCCACCAACCAACTAATGACCGGCACCCTCGAGCTGGGATCAATGGAACTCCTCTACCGAATGTCGATCTATTCAACCATCCAAACCGCAGTGATTGGAGCTTTGGCGGGCGAGTTTTCCGTGTTCAGCCAGGCATTATTGGGCGTCGCAAAAGACGAATCTCCTCTAAAAGCGACCAGTACGATCGCACTGCTGGTTCTCAACGGCGTTGTTGCATTCCTCTTGAATATCGCCTCCTTTGAGACCAACAAAGTCGCCGGGGCTCTTGCTGTCACGGTTTCTGGCAATCTTCGCCAGACCCTGACCCTTGTTCTGGGGATCTTTATTATGGGCGATTTCGAGTTCAACATCCAAACGGGGTTCGGGATTGTTTTGGTGGTGATCGGGTGTGCTTTGTATAGCAAGGCGGAGCTGGACTCCAAGAAGAGTGTCTCATCGGTGAATCGTTGAGCGATTTCAAAGTTATATTATCATTTTAACCTTTTGCCCTTTGTGTCATCTAGAAAGGCCTCATATAAATATCATATCTAGACATGTCGTTCTTCATCTAGGGAATTGCAAGATATCCAGGTTCCATACACCTACTAGCTCCCTGTACTACTAGAATGTTTCGATTTAGAGCCAACCTTCTTAAAAACAAAAACCCGCTGAATGCATTAACCCCGCTAAGTTATTTACATTTCTAACCAAAATAGATCAACAGAAGATTATATATCACCCAGTACACTGTTGCTGGCCCATTTGGCGTGTGGTTTGCCCTCCTTGGCCAGCCAATATCCCTCCATTTCCCATCTCCGACTCAAGGCATATTCCCGAACCAGGGGATGAGGGTACTCCATGTTCCAGTACTTGATGTGGAAAATAGCCACCTCGCCCTCCAGATCGTTGGGGTTAACCCAGTTGATATACCACGAGGGTTCGAGCTGCTGCCACGGCAGCGGCCCATCCAAACGATGGGCATAGTTGAGCAAGTTTTGGTCTGGAAGGCCCCAGAATGGGAAGCTATCCGGCTTCGCGATCAGATCCATGTAATATTGAAAGATAGCCTCGTTGGGCGTATACATGGCCAAGGCGCTGTTAAACTCCTTGATTGCCCCGTCCTCATTGGTGAAGGGGAATGGATGGTCCCAGTCCATTGTTTCTGGCGCCGTCCAGTAGGCATAGGAAGCCGGAAATTTGCGGTGGTGCGACAGGAGCGCTGACTTTTGTTCTTTTGTTCCATTTCGGCGCGATGGTTGGAGCGCGGTGTTGCGGTCCAAGAATAGATTGTCGATGGGGCGTGTGATGACCATGTCAGTATCGACCATCAGGACCTTCTCATAGGGCATGACTTTCGGGTCGAATAGGCGCATTTTGGTGAATGTCTCTTTCCAGCTCGGCTTGCCGATCTGGTCGGAGAAGTTATGCTGGATGTGCTCGACTTCGACGACGGTTGCGCCGTCGCGCCTGAGTCGCTCGCGCTTGCTTTCTGACACGTCCTTGCTCACGAGGATGATGAATGGAATCGGGGTCTTCAACTTTGTAATGGGAGAATGCATGAATTGGTAGGTTAGGATCCGCGCTCCCACGAAATACCAATCTGAATAGTCGGTATCGCCCTCTTTCTTATCCCAGTGGGCGCCTAAAAAGGTGCCAATGGCGTAGCGGCTCTTGAGTGGACTTGGGCTGGCACTGGGGCTAGATATCGGACTGGCCACGGGACTGGCTTTGGTGCTGGCGTTGAAACCGGCGCTGGAATTGCCGAGACTATGGGTGCCAGTCAAGTTCAAGGAAGATGAAGAGTGGAGGTCGTCGGGCGTGATATGGCTCGGAAGACTGATCGGAGCTGTAGAGAAGGATAACGAAACCAGGAGATAGAGACTGATACTGGCTGCTATTAAATGGACCACCAGGGTCTTCCAGCCAGGAAGTTTCCAACCTGCTGGAAGTCTCAACTCTGCTGGGGATTTCCACTCTGCCGGCAGTTTCCACTCCATTGGGGGTTTCCACTCTATCGAAAAGGACATGGTTCACTGTGAGGGAGTCAGGAACGGGGGGCAACGCTCCCTCTTGTGATGTATGTGAGCATATATATGTAACTTCTTGAAAAATACCAGAAAAAGAAAAAGATGGAGCGAAACAAAAAGAAAAGAAATTGGGGGCCGATTGTTGTTGTAAAACCGAATGACTCGGGGAGGTGGGGGGGCCTTGAAGGACACAAGGCTCGCCGTCTTTGAAATAGTTTATCTCTCTCTCGTCCATGTTGTTATTATATTATGATATTATTATATTTGGTTCGGAATACAGTTTAGTTCCTACTTTCCCTGCAATTTATTCTATTTAATATTTGATTCTACATAAGCAAAGTTCCAAGGCCCCCCACCGCATATAACACACCATTTCTATACTTTCCCTATACAGTAATAACCTGTGTAGATCAATTTCATGGAAAACAAGATAAATACCAGTGGGCACGGCGGCCCCCGGACCCCCAGCCTTAGCTGGCCGGTAAGACGCCGAAGAGATGCGGAGCATAGCTTCAGTATAGGCGCAATTTCTATATATCGAGAGGCTCCTAGTTTGTTGCGTCGCGTAGCTTCGGCGTAAAGGTAATTTTTAGACCCCGCCTACGGCTAGTATTTTAAGCGTAAGGTTTAATATAATATAATAAAGATCTATTTTCTATCTCTCTATATATATACAATAGGGGGCGGCAGCCCCCTAGGACCCCCATCCGATTTTTAAGAATAAAGGAGGGGTAGTCTCGTTAGCTAATTAGAGCGTAAGGTTTTTTTCTAATAATATTATATATACATACTAGGGAGCTGTGGCCCCCTACCCCAATACGAAAATTCCCACCGATACGAAAATTCCCACCGATACGAAAATTTCTCTCTTTATTTATTAATTATTCAACAATTTCGCTAATTAAATTAAAAAAAAAAATAGAGGAGGGTCCTTAGTAGCCAATTCGCTTTCTTCTGATATTAATATCTCTTAGCGAGGATATTAAACGAGAACTAATTACGAATACGAAGCGAGTTTAGTAGTTTCGATAGAGGTTTTAAAAAGACGATTAAGGCGACGCCGGTAACTATTATTTAGTTATAGACTTTTATCGATTTGGGTCCTCGTTTTATTGATACTTCGCTATACGCGATAGATTAATAAAGGAGGTGAATTTTCAAACTAGATAGAGATAAAGGAATTATATTATTATTATCGAAGGGTTATAGACCTTTAATAACTAACGAGTCTAATTTAGGAGTCTGTCGAAGACTTTCTAAGGATTGCACGGGTAAATGCCTTGACCCTAAGCTCAACAAATTTAACCTAAAAAGCAAGCGAGAGCTCGTGGAAGCGACATGCACCATCAGTGAAACGGTATAGATTGACTAGAAGTTACAGACCTAAAAGAATTTGCACTATGATGAGCCTTAGTATTGACACCACTATAGATCCGGATGTGGTTGGGATTAATTAAATATTAAATGCTAAATGTGAATTTGTTTAGCTGCGAAAGCATCGAGTATCTATGCTTCTAATAAAAACAAGCTTCAATGGTTGTACTAGTACCATTAGAAAGACCCCGGTCAGGGATTTGATGTCTTTCTTGAATGGTGTATCAGTAGGGTTGGTGCGAAAGAAGAGAGTGCCCAGGGTCATTTCCGTCATACCGGGTTGAAAATCCAATATTTCGGCGATTAAGAAGCGAACAGGTGCCGTTTTATAGCGGTAAATATATCTGCGTCATATAAACTGATTACTCAAAGGTGATCCAAGGCATCTACTGAGCACCTAGTCTACGCTAAAACGATCACGTATTGATGGTCCTCACTCTTTACTATGCACTGTTTTTGGGGTACCCCCTCTTCTAGTGCTGTCCTCTCAACCGATTGCCCGCTAAAGCACGATGACGCAAAAGAAGGAAGACTTAGATCAATTCTTCTATGTGGCGATATAGACAGAAATCTTCCTTCATCGGTGTATTGAGATCTGTGCGTAAGGACTGAAGTATAAATAGAAGCTATAACCCTTATTTTAATCTCTTATGTAATCCCATATCTCTATTCAAATTCCTCCATCCGAATCACTAACCTAGTCGTTTTGTTGGGATTCTTTCTGATTAGACTACGGCATATCCGTAATAACATGTGACCAATATTTCCCGTTTCGATCTCATGTGAGCAAATTAAGCAGGTTGCATTCCTTAGCAAAAGTTTAATATAGTTTGTGCCAATCGAAGTCTTGTTAGGCGTGCCACCACGTCTGATATAGACGCAAAATAATCTGCACACGGATTCAAGTAGCGACTTGCTTTGGTGTAACTTTCCCTTTTTGCCTTCCAGCGTCTCAGAGCTTTATTCTAAGGCTTAAGCCTCTATTGATTTGCGTGATTCTTGAATATGATGAATTGGCTATCAGTCAAAAAGGGTTACCGTGGCTCCCAATACGTCGACGTGCTTTATAGTCATAGGCTTTGGTGATGGCAACATGATTATCTTTACTCTCGTGCTTGGGTTTAATATGTCATTGAGTCGTACATACGACATATAAAAAGCTCTCTCAGTCTCAGCTTTGAATAGCCAGAGTGAACCAAATATTGTTGTTTGTCGTCTTTTTGAACTAAAAATGGCCAAACCCATCTCATTTTCGTATATCCCAACGGGCCTTACTTATGGCACCTCAGCCCCCAAACAATGCGACGAGTTTACCTTTCTCAACTCTGACGCCATCAACAAAAAAGGCCATCCCTCGCATAGCGTGATAATCCAACCATCAGAATGGGATCTTCCCTGGCCATCCTCATTCCCGGCCGCTCGGCAATGCAAGTATTGGAAAGAGATTCAGCTATCGTGTGAACGATTTATGCAAGAGGTCCGAGCGCTCAGCATTCAGCGAGGCAAAAAGGTGCCGGAAGGATACTGTCGCATGGCTGGCGAGCAGCCACTGACACCAAAGGAAAGCCTGATCGTCCGGACTACGGTTGATGCCGTGATCTACATGATACCAAATGCACCCTGTGAGAGAGTCGAATTTATAAGCAAATTATGGTTGCTTCTTTGGACGCACGACGGTTAGTTTCCCACCCAATGAAATTGAGATATATAATTTTTTGACCTGACTCGTGCAGACGTCGTGGAATATTACCCAGAAGAAGCGGTAAGCAGGTGAATACTTCGATCAAGCAAAGCTCCAGTGAGTAACACGAGTCATAATTTCAGGGTTCGACCGTAGTCGACGATATCACACATTCTCTCCTTCGAGTTTCCCGAGGGCTTGAAGACCTGCCGGGGAATGAAATCTGCGCGAAATTGAAGTTGACATCAAAGCTTCTTGATCTACCAGGAGCTTTGACACAAACTATGCTAGAGAAATTCGCAGATTTCATCTTCTTTACTCGTACCCATCAAAGAAATGAATTCAAGGACTTGCGAGACTACCTTGATTACCGCGCGACTGATATTGCCATAGAGTACGTTTCTATCACATCCTGATTGCGATGCAGACCGATATTGACATTTTGTAGCCATATCTTAGCAGCGGTAAGATTCGGCAATGACCTGGACCTACGCCAGGAACAGATAGATCCACTTCGTCATATTAGTGGCTTGATCAGTGACCATAACATCCTTGTCAATGATCTATTTTCCTTCGACAAGGAGAAGCGAGCGGCTGTGACTCAAGGCGCCCATATACTTAACATTGTCGAGTATTTAAAGCAGACTTTATCAGTCTCATCCGCTCTCGCCAAGGACATCACCTTGCGTCTGGTCTTTGACGTCGAGTCCCAGCTCCGGGATGAACTTCGCCAGATCTCGCAGATGGGAACATTGAGCGAGGCGCAAATCCGATATGCGCACGCAATGGTCGAAAGTGCATCTGGAAATTTGCTTTTCTCCGTCACCTCAGTTCGCTATGGGAAAGGTGCCAGTGGTCCTGGATAGGATATAGATCGGCACTTGTCATATATACTACACAAGGGTACGAACTATACTGGATGCAGCGATGCACATTCAAATGTATCCCAGTGCGTTTTCAGTTGACAGTCTGCTAGTGCAATAGAATGGTTTGGGCCCGGGTACCAAAAGGAGTGTTCCTAGGAGCTTGTGGTATAGAGTTTTAACTGATTGGTTGACGAAGTAGCAGGTTCTATTGTGGCGCAATAGAATACAGTAAAATCACTAGGATGAATTATCATATTGATGATGCCAGTTCGTTTTTGATGGGTCAGTAGGGGTCATTTAGTGAGTAATTAAAATAGCTACCACTCAGCAGCCAAAGATTTATGATATAATTTGATGTGAAATAGCAATTTACTGTGAAGTCTGCACTTTTCAGCGATGTTAAGGGGAATGATGCTAGGCAAGAAGATGGTAACAGGTTGTGGGTAAGAATCACAAGACTGAATCTTGAAGAAAGCGAACTTCTTCCGATTCACCTTGACGGAGTTTTATTTGTATATCCATCAGGTGAATCGGGAGTGTTTCGGGGGAGGATGATCGTCTGTGTGCCGAGTCCTCCCGGTGGGAGCCTTACAAATCAGGTCTCGCCCGGGTTTACCCCGTAACAAGCGACCCTCAGTTAAACGTTGGCTGTTGAATACATGTATGCCTAAATTACGACACCTATACTGCGGGAAGTATAAAGCGGTGAACTAAACAGGAGGGATTATTTTCTCCGAATCAAGTAGCAGGTGTATTATGGCATAGCTGATTTCGAAAACTACTGTATGTAGAGTCCAAAAAAATAGAGTACAGGGCTGACCGCATGCGGGTCGGAAGCCTTAAAAATTGGGTTGCCGCAATTTCTTTTATTTTTTGGTTCCGTTTCTTCTTTGGTGTTTTTCTCCCCCTTTGACGCTCTTTTTTTCAACTGTGAACTGCGCATTTACGGCGCGCTCGAGGCACAATGGAAAAACCAGCGCATCCCCCAGCTGCCCCTGATCTGGAGGCCAGCCCCTCTCCGGAGCGACAACCCAAGACCGAGTCGAGCATCGCGCGCCGCTGGAAGGAGAACCTCACTCCCTCTTATGCCGACCTGGTGTGTCTGCTGCTCTGTTTCCTGACAGGGCTGTGCGATAGCAGCGCCTACAATGCGTGGTCCTGCTTCCTCGGAATGCAAACCGGTATGATTCATCTGCTGCAAGGGGAGGGGGGGAGAACCCGGGGCCCCTCCCGAACGAGAAGAAGTCGAAAAGAAAAAGATTCCCAATCGCATGAACTAACCGAGGGATATTCAAACAGGAAACACCATCTTTCTCGGCCTGGGCGCATCCAACCAGCCGGCCAACAAGCCCTGGGGCTGGCTGAAGTCGCTGGTCTCGATCGCATCCTTCTTTGTGGGGGCGCTGATCTTCTCGAATGCGATGCGACGCGCCGGCGCCCTCCGTCGCTGCACGCTCTTCCTCTCGTTCCTCGCCCAGACCATTCTGATCATCATCGCCGTCGCGCTGATCGAGGCCGACTTGATCCCGCATACCCCGGCCGACATGTCGCTGTCGGGCGGGCCGCTCTTCCTCGAACTCATCCCCATCGCCTTGGTGGCCTTCCAGTCGGCCGGCGGCATGACCTGCAGCCGATCCCTGGGCTACAATGAGATCCCGACCGTTGTCCTCACCAGCGTCTACTTTGATATTGCCTCGGACCCGAAGCTGCTGCAGAAGCCGACTGCCAATGTCAAGCGCAACCGTCGCGTCGGCAGTGTCGTCTCATTGCTAATTGGCGCTATTGTTGGCGGCTGGCTGAGCCGGAGCTCTGGCGGTATGCAGTCTGCGCTGTGGATGGCTGCGGGTATGAAGTTTGTCGCGGCCTTTGGCTGGTTGTTCTGGAAAGCTGCGGCGCCCAAATAAACATCCAAGAAACAAGAAGAGGAGATACCCCGTGAATGTGGGCCTGGCTGATATAGACGCTGAAAGGCACTGGCTACACAAATATATATAGACGACGAGTACATAGAAAGTAGTAATAGACATTGCTCAGATTTTATGATTCTCTCTTCAGAAGAAAGACCTAACTACGTCTTCTTCCAAGTATCATTAATCTCGTCCCCAACGCGTTCAATAGTCCCCCACTGCAACTGCCCCCATCTCCGGGGATTCTCAACAGCTTCAACAAAATGCTTCAACGCCAACACCGTCTGCGCCGCCCACCGCTCGTTACTAACCTTCCCCACGCCCGCCGCCAACGGCGACATCAAAACAGTCCCAATCCGACGCCCAGGATCATCACCAGTGGTCTTCCGATTCCAGCCCTCAACCTCACACAGCAGACTCCACACACACTCATAAACGACCTCACGATTCCACCGCGCATCCTCGGGCTCGCGCATCGTCGGACACAGCCCGACCCAGCGACAGCCGCGCGCATTCTGCGCCAGCGCCGCAGGGAACTCGACGAGCGTGCACGTCCCCGGCGGGGCAAACCCGCGCCATTTCTCATAGAGGGTTTCCTGTGCGGTGCGCGTCAGTGCGTGGTAGTCATCGTGCGGTGCAAATGCCTTGGAGATGGCGTGGTCGAAGGCGCCGTCCAGGCGGCCGTATGAGTTGGCCGGGGACACTATCAGGTCGAATTTGGTGTCTGCCGACAGCGAGTTCAGGCGCTCGTTTATCAGGGTTACTTTTACTGCGGCTGGGCTGGCGTCTGGCCATTGGCTTGCCAGTGCTTCGTGGAAGGCTGTTATGAAGGCTGCGTCCATGCAGAGGAGTAGGATTTCGGGGATGTTCGATGTCATCCTGGATGGATCTTGGGGGAGGGGCTGGTTTGCTTTGGTTTTGCCTTGCTTTGGACTGGGTTTTTCCGGCTCACTTCCAGAATCTCGAGTTCTGTCTTATATTGACGTAGCTGCAGCAGGCTCCAAGATAGAGTCACCGAGGGGCAAGTGGGTCGGATTGCGGAGACAACAAGCTTGAGGGCTGAGAGACGGTGATCATCGTATGGACACTGATTGATCCTGATGAAGCAACCAACAAGGGGGTATATCCTAGCAAAATACATGTACAAAAACTACGGGTCTTCCTCGACCTACCCAAGATCCTTTTCTTTCCTCAATGTCGCCTCTTCCGCATCAACACCTCTAGCACCGGTGGCGCGACTCTGCTCTTGAGTCGACACATACCGGATCAGGCTCTCGCACAGCCGATCCAGGATCCACTCCGGCTCACTCTGCTTGGCCAACAACGGGCTATTCTCGCCAATCCAGTCCCAGTTGAGGACCCCGTATTCGTCTGAATCCACTGACACGCAGCCTTCGCCTCCGCGCGGCTGACTCGTCGAGTACGAGGATGGTCGCGTCTGTGGATCGGTAAATTGGATGAGACGAGTGAACTCGGCCCATTCTTCATAGCTGTACCGTTTGTGCTGGCTGTCGACTGCGTCGTGCGTCGTGCGACGGATGGCGAAGGCTAGCTGCTGGGCTAGCTCGAAGGGGGAGGGACCAGGATCGCGGGCGAGTTCTTCGATTGTGCGGTGCGGATGATCATGGGATGGGTCATTGTGACTGCTATGCTGCTGGTCAACTTCTTTGGGTCCACTAGTGGATGACGGTCTATTGGTTTCTGGTTCGGCCTCCTCGTCCGCCTCAGCACCGACCTGGAATCCGCGCTTCACTCGTTTCTTTTCCTGGCGGCGCTGGACGGCCTGCTGGATGCGCGGGAAGTGGTCCAGAAAGGCTCTATACTTCCCCGACTGCGGCAGGACGACATAGTCACCGACTTTGTCGGTGGCATGCTTGAAACTGGCCACGACGGTGTCGCTCATCTGCGAGATGAGCATGGTCATGGTGGGAATGGCAATGAGCGACCACAGCACGAAGAACGGCCGGCCCGCGTTGGACTGAGGCGTGAAGTCGCCATACCCGATGGTGATCAGCGAACAGAAACAGAAATACAGCCCCTCAAAGTAGCTGATCTCTTCCAGCTGCCAAAATACTACCGCGCCGCAGGTCCACACTATGCCAAACGCTATCACGCTGAGGATCAGGTCGTTCCAACGACGGAATCGCATGGTCTCGTACTGGATAGCGCGCATCGCCACGAACCTGTCCTTTTCCTCTCGCATGACCAATAGCTTGGGTCGACGGCTCGCCCGCAAGGCATTGCGGATAGGCTGGTGGCTGTGATGCTTATAGTGGGCGGTCACGGACCCGTCTCGAAGAAGGACCGGAGCGGGCACATCTTTTCCGCCATTTGATGGATTCTCGCGAGCGGCATGGAGTTCCTCAAGGTTAATTGATCGATTGAAAGTCGACTGTCGTTTCTCTTCAATGTGCTTCCGGACCACATTGTCATAATGCACCTCCCGAGCAAATTGATGGATACTGCCCACGACCAGACCAAGCATGATAATCCCGATGACTGCATACGGCCAGATCAGGCCTCTTCCGACGGCCGTGTGGGCAGTTATGTCTCCAAACCCGAGGGTCAGGACTGTGACGTCGCAAAAGTACAAGGCGTCGGCAAACGAGATGCCTAGCACTCGCTGGAAGATCGCCGCACCGATCAGCAGCCACATTACAAATGCAGTCATCTGTAAGATCAGCGTGCGCTGGTCGTCAGTGAGAGAAAAATGTTGTGGGTATCGACCAAGGAAATATCCCAGCATGTTGATCATCAGGATGATGCTCAGAATGAAGTAGAGGATCGCTGCGATGACGGCACTCCAGTATGCCTGTGAGAATATTTGATCTGGGGCAGTTGGAGGACTGTATACAGACATGGCGGCAGTAATTCCGCCCAGCTATGCAAATCGTTAGATAGGAGACCGATTAAAATCAAGAGATGGATCATTTACTCACGATGCCCGTGGCCAAAAACCATAGAATGATCGTCACCGGCAGCGCGATGATATAGCGTACTGTCTGCGTGAAATTGAACAACAGAAATACATTCCCCACCACGCCGCAGACCAGCGAGACGGCATTAAGCGCAGTGGTCCTGGCGGTAGTGTTAGTCCTGGCCCGGCCTCTGAGTACCCAAGAGTTCTCACTTACCAACGGGGATCGGGGTAGCCCTTCTGGATGATGTTGCCAGCAGGTCCTTCCTCAGTAGAGATGATATTGCTCCTCCACGGCATGACCAGTGCCACGATGGACATGACATTAGCCAGCGGGCCTGTGGCCGCGGCCACAAGAGGGATCGCCGTTGATGCAATCCACCACGACTGGGGCTCGTCATCTTCAGGCGGCCTCATGTGGAAATGGACTCGAAATCGATCCCACAGCGAGATTTCTGGGGGCTGATCACCCGTGGTGGTTGCCGGTAAAGGGGATCCATTCTGCATGGCTTACTTGGTGTGCATGCATCTGCGGAAGAGGCGGGACCCGACAATATTTGATATAGAGATTTCTTCGGTTATTGAGATAAATGAAAATATGAGAAGATTGGACGATATGGGTTAAATGTCATGGATGAGGCTGTAGATGTTGGGAGATGGAAGGTCTATGGAGTGAACGGAGAAGTCGATGACTCGCATCCCCGCTCCCGATGCGAACATTCCAATGGTCTTTCGCAGCCACCAGAAGACACTATGGTATGGATTCTTAATTATGAGCATACACTAACTATTTATTTACTCGATGGGACTCCTCGTCGGAGCCGCCAGCAGATTCTCAAGGATCGAAACATCATCCATCGTTTCCAGATCCAGCACGATTTTCTCAATTCGGTCTCTGCGCTCAGGCGCCATGATCCCGTCCGTGAATGTGCGGAATTTCTGCAGGATCTCTTCGTTGGTCAGCCCGGGGTCGACATCATGAGGCGCCTGAAGGGTCTCGGTTATTGCTTCCCCATCCTTGAGTGTGACAGTGACGCGCTGCTCATATTTCTCGCCCAGCTCGGGCGTATGGCAACACTCGGTTTTGTCGATCAAATCCCAGATGACGTCGCGGTCGAGCAGCTCATGACGAAACTCCTGTGGTGATACCCGCCGGTCGACGAGCTGGACAGCCGCGACATATGCGCAGGACATCTGGGCGCCCGTTGCCGAAAGAGGCCGGGTGGCAGTCCATCCTCCGTGCTTCATCGCAGCCTCAGACATCTCGATCTTGATGCTGGTGATATTCTGCAGGTCCGCGAGCTTGTCGGCGTGTTTCTGTTGCAGTGCGGCGATGGTATCAACCGTGCAGTGGGTGCCCGCCATCGACGCGTACGATTTAACCCGAATATCATCCGATTGCCAGGTCTGACCCAAGGCCTTGGTGAGCTCATCGACCAGATACGGCGGCTCCTTGCCAGACTGGCCGAAGGTAGACAAGAACCCGCCGTACGGCTCTTCGAAGACGTTCTTGATTCCAATGTACCCAGTCTCAGCTAACAGCGCCGCAAAAAGACCATTGCGCGCGGGGAAGCCGTGCTGCATCCGTTTCACGTCACTCCCAAACTGCGCGGACATTAGCCCACAGGCCTGCGTGCATGCCATGCCCAGGGCATCCTCGATAGCATCTTGCTGCAGCCCGAGCAGCTTGCTGACGGCCGCGGCGGAGGCGGCGTGGCCGAAGACGGTGCCGGAGTGCCATCCCCGGGTCAGCATGTGGCCTCCATACAGACATAAGCCAACGCGAGGACCGACTTCGTAGCCGATGATGGTCGACAGGAGCAGCGACGTTCCATCGAAGCTCGAGGAGGTCTTGGCCCTTTTTTGTCCTGCGGCTGCCAGGAGAGCGGGCAAGATAATGGAGTTCGAGTGCAGGGGTGCCAGAGTATGCCAGTCATCGAGCTCGAAAGACTGGATTTCGGTGCTGTTTAACAGCGCCGCAGGCAACGCTCCAAGTTTCTATAAATAAAAAAAAAGGGTTTAGTCGAGACATTGTCTTTGCAGTGCATCGATGTGGCTATATGTACCTTGTCGTATCCCCACACCATACAGTCCCCCGGCGGCTCTATAGAAAACACAGCTCTCGCAGCCTTCTCCACCCAAGGAAGATGAGCCCCCACCAACGCGCAGCAAATTCCATCGAGAATCAGGTACTTTGCCCGCGTCCTGACCTCCTCGGGGATGTCGTTGAGCGAGAGGCCGTAAATCCAGGAACAGAGTTCCTTTGTGACACCCGGTGTGTTACTGGACTGGCCCATTGTGTGTATATGTATATAAATAGACAATATTTAGCCAGTTGAAGTTTGTGGTGGAAGTTCCTCTTTTATGCAGAACCGGCCCGGAGCGGCATGCAGGATCGCCGAAAACGGTCCGACAAAACAATTGGGTAGCATGAATTACGCGGACAATGGCCTTGGTAGCGTACGACTTCAAGCGCAAGACAAAGGATCTGGTCTGGAATGCAGAATACATTTCCATTGATTCGGCCAAGGAGACACAGGCCTGTGAGGCATTGGTTCGCAGAGGCTTGCTGGGACCTGAGTTGGCTCTCCGTTTTCAGCCGGCCTGGCGAAGATACCTACACGCTCTTGTGAAGAGAGGTATGTTTATCTGGCAATACTTTCTACAGAGAAAGATTCTGAATCTGGTCTTGAGGATCTGTTGGCGCTTGTACCGTTCGACTCGCTGAGATGCTCAGACTCAACAGCCTTACCCCGAATCAAGGACATGTTACATGTTAGCGTGCGGTGACTGTTTCTTCGGGTGAGCCTGAGCAAGTAACTTGGATTCACTTTCGAATAGTCAAAGCACAGTTAGTGAGGTGGGGTGATTGAATAAGACTTGATGGACTCGGACTCGGTAGTGAGGAATGGCAGGGGATAGCCAATTCAGCTCGGAAAACCTCCCGACTATTCCAACCGGCTATGAGGCGATTATGATCTTTGGAGTGTGAGTATTCTATTAGAAAAGCCGCGAGGGGTGAGTACTGAAACGGAAAGGGCAAACCAGGAAGTAGTATAGGAAATCTACTATGTAGATAGAATTAAAAGTACTCTAGTAAGACAAACCAGACCAATATATATATGCATCAAGTACCACAAAGGCACCTCATAAGAACCCTGCAGAGCGCATAATAGGGTCGCCACTAAGGCCACACCCATCCTCTCGGATCATCGGCCCCCAAAACGCGCTCGCCCCGTTAGGAGCCAGTGACAGGCGCGATCACTTGCAGATAATATGCACGCCCTAACCCACCGGAAGTACCATGGTGGCGGGGAATGACATCAGTTGCCTACAACTAAACCTTGTCGCCATGCATTTACTCCTCTTCCCACTTATAGTTAGTCCTGTACCTGCTGCAAAGACCCCCTCCCTTAAGAAGTCCAGCCGAGGTACCCGCGGATGTACCTGCTTTGGGGACCTACACACCCACAGTAGACGTAGGTACATGGTGCAGCGGGGGCCAAAGCCACGGTACATCACTGCCTATCTGGGGGATTTGACGCTGGCGCGGGGATGGGGGTGACCTACGTGGAAATAATATGCCTGTTGAGCAAAATATGGAAGGATGAGAGAGAGAGAATGAATGGCAATGGCAAATGGTCTATCGAATGCTGAGGTCGTGGTTCTATATACAACCCGGTTCCTCCTCTTGGGGACCCAACATGAAAACGAAAGCAAGTAAGCTCTTAAGCTTGCAAAAGAGAAAACAGCAAAACACAAAAGAGTATAGTGTAAAAAATCAGTCGCACGATCACAAAGGAAAGACAAAGGAAATAGAAACGGCCAAAAGGGCAAAAAGAGAGGAAATCGCGAGATGGTATCATCAAAGCAGAATGACACAAACATCAACGACCAGAACGGAAGCTCAAAAGGCTCGACGGCCATAACAAAAAGCAAAGGACGCCGGAGACAAAAAGAAAAGATGATAAAAAAGACGCCGCCCCAAGAAGGAAACGAAAAGAATCAAAATAAGCGAAGAGGCGCCGAAACCATGATCTTTTAGGTCGCCCGGACAGTGGGCGAAGTCTGCCGATGAAACCGATCAAACAGAGCAGAAATGCAACGAGCAAAGCCAGCCGAAGCCAAACCCAACGCGCTCCAAATGCAATTCAACAAGAAAGTCAAATGCTCCAGGTACGAGAGAAAAAAAGAAAATGAGAAAGAAAAAGGAAATAAGAGGAAATGAACTCCCAAATCTGTCGGTGTCGCTCCCTTCCATAGGAGAATTCCCGGTATCATTTCATCTACAACGCAGACGGGCGTCGCAGGATGTCCTCGCAGTTGGCGTCAAATCGCATGTTCCACAGCCGAATGCTGTTCATCAGCTTCTCGGTGTTCTCCAGCTCGCGATCCCGGCCGAAGATCGACTCGACGAATTCGCATCCGGCGTTGCGGCCCATCGATACCGTTGCGCCCTTGCCGCCTTCACGCTTGGCGGCCTTCCACATGTAATGCTCACATGCCTTGAGGAGTTTCTTGAACCGCGCCCACAGGCGCTCGCCGCTTTCGAGAAAGTCCTCGACCACCTCCTGGGCTTCAACGCGGTGGATACGAGGAAGGCATTCGTCCGCTCTCTTGACCTTTCCCGCAAGCTTGATCAACAGCAGCCACAGGTCGCCTCCCACGTCGGCCATGGGCGTCGATGCGCCATGGTGAAAGACGGTCCAGTCGTAGATCCATTTGCCGAGCGAGTTCGCATCGAACACACTCCCAAGAAGGATGATCGGCGCTTCTGTGGGGTCCCAGTTTTTGATCGAGTAACCGGCCGGGATTCCAGCCTTCTCGGCGTCGGCCTCGGTGGCGACGGGAGCTGGCTTCGAGGCGGCGGCCGGCTTAGGCTTGGACGGCGTGCGAGTCGAGGTGGACTGGCGCCGTGCCCGAGAGCGGCGGGCTGATTCGATGTCCTCGTAGTTAGGAACCTGAGTGAAGTAAAAGTGAGAATCAGCGGCTGGATTTGATTTGCGATGAGAGGTCGACGCGGTGCGACGGTGGCCAGGGCCATCTCGTTTGGGAGTCGAAGCCGGTGGGGGACGGCCAGAGCGGTCGGGTCGGGGCTCGCAGGAGGCAAAGCGCGGAGCATCGAATGCATCGTCAACCACATCGACAAAGATGGGTCGTTTCTGCGACGGGCTGGGTCCGGTGCCGAGGCCATCCCCGGAGGATGACCGGTCGTGGTGTGGGTTCGACGGTGTTTGGGCTGGCCCGCAAAAGAAGCACTTACATGATCGTGCTTGCGCGACGGGAGGCCATATTCTGGCGTCGCTTCATAGAAACCGTGTGGGTGGGCTGAATAGTATCCCGTCTCTTTGGTGGCCGTGTAGCTGGCCTTGCGGTTATGCCGGCGTGACGTGCCCCGGGGCGAGGAATATGCGTTGGCATACTGTGAGGCGTAGTAGGCGTAGTGTGGCGAGGTCGGTGGCGACTGTGTGTAGTCGTAGGTGGACCACCCGGTGGGCGGACTGGAATAATGATACATTATCGAACGAGCATGAGCGTCGGTCGATCGTGGACGGCTGGAGGGCGACAAGCCGAGGAAAGTTCAAAGCAAATAGGCAACAGGCCAGGAAGAACCAGAGACAAGAAAAGACAAGAAAACACAAAACACGATGAAATCAGCAATAACAGCAAAAACAACCCCAATATAATATTATACAGGATATCGTGCACCAAAGCAAATGGACGCCGAGTGAAAACTGCAGGTCAAATCGGTCGAGGTAGGACCGTCACCGTGGTACGGTTTCCGATCGGAGAGAGGAGGGTTGAAGCTGAGTGTGCTGAGAGTGCATTTGAACGTTCTTCGGCCGACCCGACGAAAGAAGGGGAATCCGACAGCGAGATTCTCGGGATCCAAGACTCCTCGAGATGGGAGTCAAGAAGAGCAAAGTGGACGGTCGAGAGACCCAAGATGAGAGAGAATGGGAGAGACCCGGATGTTCGAAAGAGCCGAAGCAGAGTGAGGTGGAGATGGGAAATTTTCAACCCAAGAGAAAGGGAGATCCCAACAGTGCGCGCGTGCCAGTTGGCGCTGGGGCGTGGCGTTAGGGCTTTCGCTAGGGATGAGCCAGGGCTATACTAATATAATAATATTATTATTTTACTGTTTACTGAGTCTTTTCTTACGATTAGATTAATCGATATTATACTTAATTACATCTTGCTTGGTTATCTTTGAATATCGCTCTGGTTCTGCTATACCACAGAGATATACTCCCATTCAACTTCTCTCTACCCTGGTGCTATCCAAAGTACGACCCCTCACACCCGATCCCTGGGACCCTCTCGGCGAGGTCTTTGGGCGCAGAAAGATTGGCCGACGCAATACGCTTGCTGACAGCGCCCCTCAGTGGATTCGGGCTGCATTTTGGACTGGATTCAAGGTGGCATGGCTTGCCCTACGGCCAACAGGGAATCCTGAGAGGATGGCTCTCTTTGCTAGCGCTTTCGTCGACAAGGACATTCGAGAAGCCCGCTTCGACGGTGGCGTGTCAGATGTCGGTTGAATATTGGATATAGTCCCCTGTGCTCGACTACCAGAACAAAAGCACCATGGGGACAGCGCATGCATGAACTCATATGCAGCAACCAAGCGATAGCTCTATGTCTTTTTCTTTTTTTCTTTCTTTCTTTTCTCTCTCTATCCGATGTCGATAGAAGTCCTACAAACAGGTTCCATGGTTGGCCAGCGGTTGCATCCCACAGTCTACGGATCTTCCCGTCTCATCCAGCGGTTCTGACTCCACAGACCCCATTTTCCGACTCTCCAGCCTAACGTTGCCATGGCAAGACATGGACTCGAAAAAAGAGAAACAGAAATATATGTATATAATTCCAAGCTCTGATACCCCACGGACTTTGACCCGCCTTGTTGGGCAACATCACGGACCATGCATGGGCTTTACCGCTGCGCCGTCGCTGGGCAGCAACCACGCTTTTGGGCAAGAAGATAGAGATTTCACAGACCGCAACTTGCGCACTTGCCCTCGCCGCGAGCTCACCGGGTTAATGTTGAGGGATTTCCAAATGACCCATGGCGTGAGGAGGCAGCAACTGAAAAAACATCAAGTATATGGGCCTGTGGTGCGTTTCCCGGCTGTATATAGTGTGCAGGATTCGAAGCGAGACAGTGAATCGAGTGAATCGAGTCAAGGATGTCTCTCGATCACCAGCAGATGCCATGGCCCTTCGGCTGCCGGCGTTGTTTCACCGTGGAGTCCTGGAACTAGATACGACTGGCTGCGACCGCGCCGTGCAAGCCCTAATCGGCCTGTCTCTACACATCGGAGCATGACAGCCTCTGATACCTCAACACAGTATACTCAATTGACAGAAAAGAAAAAAAAAGCATAAAGTTCTCTATTGAATAGTGAAAAAGACACCGTGAATACTTATCAAAAACTTTATGTAAAAGTAAACTGAATTTACGACTCATCCAACCTCTCCAATGCCACCAGAAAGCCTTCCCCATTTACGCTCACGCACCACAGGGATAGGAATCAACAGAAAAATTTCCAGCACGTCCTTCCTAAAAACACAAGAATCCCAACATCCTTGATCCTAGATTACAGATGAGTCAAAGGCTCCCCTTTCCAGAAACGCCCCCTAGCCAGGCAACCATCCAGCGGCCATCCTGCCGCCCCAAGGAACTCGCCGATCATCCCGCGTCGCACATGGCGTGGTTTGAGATTTAATATGCAAGAAAAGAAAAAAAGAAAAAAAAAAATCATTATCTATCTGCACGATCGATCCACATTGCAGAGCCACCGAATTCTTCTGATTTGGTCACCGCCTATTTTTATAGTTCCAAGCCCCAGCTGAGCATTCAGCTGAGATATGTTAGGTACACCTGGGCGAGGTTGAAGGCCTTAAACATGATGACTCTTACTATTACTATTATGATCATGATTATTTCGGTATGACATGACGGGATCTTTGCCTCTGAAACAGGGTTTAGAGTCAGTCGGGCCCATCATATTTTCTCCATGGAGTGACATCCGTCCACTAACAACAAACCACTAACAACAAAGATGCAGGGGTCTTTGGGGAAGTGCGCCAACGGGGAATCGGGGATTGCATATTGGAGGCCGCATATCATTTCCACGGCTTCCTCGGCACATCTGTAGGAACGTAACCTTGAACGGCGCACGGGCGTATAATGCTGGTGGTAACACACCGTATAATGCATCATGGGTACACACACCTACACTACAGTAGTTTATAGGATGTAACTATTATCAAGCTCCATGCTTGTGGTGCGTGTCGCATACCGAACCACTATATAGGACATCGAAGCATCTATCGGTAGGAGCGGCAATATGACATCCTTGAATCCTTTGATCCTTTGCGTCGGTACACGTCGGGAGCGGCGCGTGTGCATACTAGATCTACGTCTCTTAGGATGGATGACAGTATGTACTTTAGTGGCTTGGATATATGAAATTAAAATGAAAACTGGAGATTCCCACTCCACACAGCCAGGAAGTAAATTAAAAAAAAGAATAATAATAAACAAATAAACAAACAACTCAAAAAGAAAAGCGGCGCAGTGAGTGCATCTTTCCGGGACGCAGACTCGATGGCTCATTTTACTTAACCCCCTTGCACGAGCTGGACCACAAGACCACTGCAAGAACACGAGATTGAAATGACTCCCCTTGGAAAGGGAGGCTGTGAGGCTGGAAGCAGTTCTGAGATTTCCATTGTGTATCAACTGGAAAAGACTCGCTCGCTTGTGAGCGCATTGATCACATAGAGGCTGCGTTGATGCCCTTGCCCTGTGCCCTAACCTGTACTTTGATCATGAATGCCCCCTATTAGTCAGGGGATAGTGATATTTGGCCGGCATGGTAGATTCTTCACACCTGTGGCTACTTGGTTAGATTAGCGGAATTCCAGATTAAGACTCTGCCTGTTTCAAGTAGGGCTATATGCAGCCTCGCCGTGTGCTTTCAAGCAAGGTGATATGTACCCAGCGGATGTTTTCTAAATGTCGATGTCGATGATTGCAAGGAGTTCATGGAGAGAATTACACTGGAAGGGCCAAAGACCATACCAAAATAAATGAATGTACCTAGGCAGTAAGTATATGTGCGCGCTCTGCCACATGTGCTTTCCCAAACCAAACAAAAGCCCAATACATAGGCCAATATAAACAATAAGCTATCGAACAAAGAATGGTATCATGATCGTCAAACCCCCCCAGACAAGCGTTGCTAAGTAGTAAGCGGTCCAGGTCCCATCTAGAACGCAGAGAAAAGGCTAGTCCCAGAGAACGTATGAACAACAAAAACAAGAGAGAGAAAAAAAAAAAAAAAAGGAAGGCTGTCTATGCCACCATGTACTCTCCGTCGCCTCGCTTAGCCTGCATGACACGGGACCACCGGAATGCCAAGGTCGTCGGAGGAGCTGCGCCTCCATCCAGCGGAGGCGGGGTGCCGGCATCACTAGGGTAGACGGGATACGAGGACTCTTCAGAGTGTTCTGCCCAGATCTTTTCCAGCAGCTCCAGACAAGACAGGTTATTCACAAAGCCCGAGTCCTTGGATATATCCTTGCAGCGATGGCGGATAACAGACCGGTGGTTTTCCTGGACACATTCCGAGCCGACAATGAATAGCGGCCACAGCAGGTAGACATCCGACTGCACGGCACAGAGGCAATGCATTGCCAGGTGCACGAGATGCTGAATGCGTGGGTGTCGCGACGGGAGAGTCGGCTCTGCTAGCCTTTCACAGTAGAGCAGCGCGGCGTGACGGAAGCATTCGGAGATTTGATAGATATCGGAGAGATTTTCAGGTGCGACGAGGAAGGGGTCGGAGGGTGTAGAAGGTGAAGGGATAAAGTTGGGAGGAGTCCAAGCTGGTTGGGAGGCGGCTAAGGGTGGCGAGGGAAACGAGGCCTCGGCAGGCGGGTCGAATCGCCAGGACTCGAGGCGCTGTCGGAGGGAATACCACTCGGTCCAGAATGCGGGTGAGGAGGGTCTCCTCGGTTGATCGCTACTCTGGGGTGGTGTTGGCAGGGAAAAGCCCAATCCAGCACCGGGTGCAAATCCGGAGGCAGAAGTAATTGAATCCCAACCGGGGTACACCATATTTGGAGGAAGAGAGACGGTGGGGATGGAAACATCAGTTGGTCGTGTTTCAGTGGTTGGCTGATCTTGACTGAGCAGATTCAGTCGCCCCAGTTGGGAGATGAGCTTGAACAGGCGGCCATCGCAACCCGCAAGATTCTCCAGCCCCCACTCCCCGTCGGTCTTCGAGCTAATATCCAAACATGTACCACGGAGTTGCACGTCGCGGTCATTTGTGGTCGCCGTCAATGTGTCAAACCACGAGAACATGCGAACAAACCACTTGAGATCTTCCGTCATGACGCGCGAATGCCGCATTCGAAGAGCGAGCAGTCTTGTGACTCCGGCAAACTGAGACCGAAACTCGGCAACGCCAGTGTCGCATCCATGGAAGAGGCAAAGAATGAGCAAAGTCGCCAGCACAGAATCTGACAACCTGCGACGAGGGTCGGCCAAGTCGGCATTCAAAGCCTTCACAGCCATCCCACGATGATGATTTTCTTCTCGTGCATATCCTTCGGGAACCGAGATCCCATATCGATCTTGGAAAGCATCATCTGTGAGGGCACGGTGCGCCAGTGATGACATGCGCGCTGGCAAAGTTCTCTCGGTAGAGTGATGATTGCGTACTCGCCTCTGCCGTAAATTACTCGTGGCTAGCGTTGCAATCGCTTCCTGCAACGCCTCGCTTTCCTGGGCCAAGCGAAGGACGTGAACCCGAAAGGGATTTGTCGGGGTGTCGAAGGCGACGATCATGGGCGCGATGACCTCGGCGTAGTAGCTGATGAGATACCGAAGACGAGGGGTCCGCCCTACAGACCGTGCCAGAAGCAGTTGGGAATATGACGGAGAGCCACTGGCATTCCATAGAACAGAGAAATCAACGTTGGTCTTCTCCTGTTCCTCGTCTGTCTCTTGTAATGGCGGCGTTACACGCTGCGCGGCAGCCCATGGTCGCATAGTGGGCCAAACAGGTGTGGCGAGACTGGCCGGGCTCAATGCAGTAGAATATTGCGTTGGAACCTCAGTTCCGAAGCTGGATGCCGCAGAATTAGTGACCATTGGTCGGTTGGGTACCGGCAGTCCTGAAATCTGAGGCGGGGAGGCAGATGTAGTGGTCCAAGAGTGAGGGTCGGGCATGTCCATCGTCCATGTCATACCCCTCTGTGCATCGGATCCATCCGACATCACCGACGGCCGCCGAGTGTTATTATTCAAGGCACTCAATCCTGGATCTACCGAGGCCGCGGTCCCTGCAGTCATGGGTGGCGCGGAAGGATTTGAGGCCTGTGAGGACGGCTGTGCATGGCTGCTGGAGGACCCCATATCTTGCCCTTTGGCAGTCTTGGACGATTCCTCTTCGGATTCCATCACCGGGAGTTGTTGGCCTCGGAGCTTCCCTCGACTGGCGACTCCCATGCCCCATGTCAAGGTGGTTTTGTATCCGGAGCATTCGCGACCGAGATCGAGGCACTGAGAGCAGTAGGGTCGGCGGCGATCGCATCGGGCTCCTCGTTTCGAACAGGTAAAGCAGTCATCGGGGGCCCCGCTGACTACGGTTCTCTTGCGACGTTTCCGAACCGGTGCGTTGGGGTCATTTTTGCGGGATTTGGCTCTCGACGCAGGGGCCTGATCCCGACCATCCGCATTCTCGTAAGTCATCACGGTGACTGCGAAAAACAACCCGCGCGGGGTTCCATCGAGCGGTTGGAATTCAAAGAGGGGAGGGACCTGTGGACCGTCAAAGCGACCGACGAAACGAGGCTCGGCGGAAGGATGCAAGGAATCAGGGTCTGTCAGTGAGCGGCTCGGCTCACACGAAATCGATAAGATTAGAAGACGAGATCAGGTCATGGTTCAATCATCGCAGAATCTCGAGGTTGTGCAAGAAGAAGAAGAAGAAGAAGAAGAAGAAGAAGAAGAAGAAAAGAGAGGATTTGAAATGGAGACGTGGAGAGTGGACCTCGATGATCCGCGGGTGTCGAACTGACGATGGGGGCGGTTCGCTTGCACATCCCGTGCGATCACGGTGGTTCGCTCACGGCTCCACCGGATCAGCCCGATGTTGCCGTTAAAAGGGGGATGGTGTCAGCGGCAGATCATTCCAAAACTTGCTAATGCGTTAGAGTGTCTGGGTATGAGGGACGAGGATATAGGGGTGGAAGTATACCAGCCTACAGTCTATGCGGTAAGATGCAAGTACATCCTGTGTCGATGGTTCTATGGTCTGTGGTATAGCCATGACATTCGCGAGATCTTTTAAGTTGCCAAGCATCCCACAGCTTCTTTGGCCCACAACATCTTCGATCCTTCCGGGCGTCTGCTTTATTATTCACGCAGGGAGAATCCGTCTTCTCCAAGGAAGCCGATCGACGTGTCCGTGCGCTCCAACCCCCTGGTCCCGCAAAATATTCGGCCTGCAGACTACCAAAGTCTGTCATCCACCTGTCGTGATGGGCCTGTTCCGACCAGGGCGGGCAAGGTCCCTCCTCCTCACCACGCTCGCCGTGATCCTCGTCTGCACCGTTTACCTCTACTGGACCCCGACCACCGCATCCACCACCGCCTCGGTGGTCCCGAGCACCGCGTTCGAAGTGCCCCTCGTGGAACGCCAAAAGGATTTCTGGAAGGCCTTTAAACCGATCATCGAACGACACAAACCCAACGTCCCATCTCCGGGCAAATCTGGCGATGCGGAAGCGATGCATTTCAACCCCACGGATCCCCATCCCCGGCCCGACCTGACAACGTTGAGCGAGGGGGATGCCAAGGCGATGGAAGAGGCACATGCGAATTTTGTCCGGGATATCAAAGATTCGTTGAAAGACTTGAAGCCCGCGCACACCCCGGGGAAGCGAGGGCTTGTATCCACAGCGGGTGCGAAATATCTCCCGGTTTTTGTTTCCTCCCTGCGCATGCTCCGCCGCGCAGGATCAACCCTGCCGGTCGAACTATATATGAAAGATGCCAGTGAACACGAAAAGGGCGTTTGCAAAGACGTGCTCCCCGAACTCAATGCGCGGTGTCTGGTGTTGGCGGACGTCGTGGGCAAGGACGTCATCGAACACTACCAACTCAAGATCTTCGCGGTTCTCTTCTCATCCTTCGAAGAAATTGTCTGGATGGACGCCGACTGTTTCCCTCTAGGAAAGCCCGAGGATCTCCTCACCTCGGAGCCCTTCTCATCCACCGGCCTGGTCACATGGCCTGATTTCTGGTCCTCTTCCGCGTCTCCCCTATATTACAAGATCTCGCGGCAAGAGATACCGCCCATGACGGCTCGACAGTCGTCAGAGACTGGGGCGTTCCTGGTGTCGAAGAAAACACATCTTCTGCCACTGTTGTTGGCCGCCTACTACAACTACTACGGCCCATCCCATTACTTCCGGCTGCTGTCTCAGGGAGGGCCGGGAGAAGGAGACAAGGAAACTTTCTTGCAGGCCGCCATGTCCATGAAAACATCCTTCTACACCGTGAGCGAAAGGGTGCAAGCCGTTGGGCACCAAAGCTCGAAGGGGCTCTCTGGGTCTGCCATGGTCCAGGCGGATCCGCGAGAGGACCATGCCCTCACCAAGCAGAACAAATGGCGGGTCAAAGATCCCTCCGCGGGTCCTGCACCGCGCATCTTTTTCATCCATGCGAACTACCCCAAATTCAATCCTGGGGATAATGTCTTTGGCTCGGGATGGGAAACCACCCCCACCCTAAAAGAGGACGGCTCTGACAGCCGAGCATGGACGGCACCGCCAGACACCATCCGGCGGTTTGGGTACGATGTCGAAAAGGCTTATTGGGAGGAAATCAAATGGGTTACCTGTCATCTCGAAACCGCGTTCCAGACATGGGAGGACAAGCCCGGCCTCTGCCAAAAAGTCGAGCAATATTGGAGCCACGTTTTCGCGAAACCACATGGCGATGACCCGAAGTTTGAAAAGGATGGTTGATCATGGGTTCAACTATGTTGTTTCTGCTCGAGTGGCATTGTATACAAACTGACGATTTAGCGCTACCATGTACATTAGAGTATTGGGTCTCGACAAGGCCAGTGTTTCTCGCATAATGCATAATATACAGCCTGTTGCTGCTGTCGCTACTGTCGCTCCTCCTGGGTGAAATACTGAAATGGGTTGATTCGATGCTTTCAAAAAACGCAAGACATTATATCATACATGGTTCACATCCCCAACTTCTGAACTGGTCCAGTGTAGCGCCAATCAGACATGGATAGGTTTTTTTTGCAACATCGTAACAGCATGGCCACATAATTTATTTCATTCCCTTCTCGCGCAGACGCTGCTCATCTTCTTGCTGCAGCTCGGCGTCGATCTTGGCTCCCTTGGAGGGAGCGTTGCCGTGCAACTTGGCCTGTTAAAAACATATCAGCATGATAGTTCCTATCTCGTTGGAAATATAGTGAAGAATATTTCTTACCGGCTTCGTAGGGTCCTGCTTGCTGAGCTCGGCCTCGTCGTTGAACTCGTTGTTGTGGTGGTGCGAAGGGTTCGGCTTCTTCTCCTGCGAGGCGAGCTTGTTGGCGATGGATCGCTCATCCTTGGAGTCGAGGTTCTTGTGGCTGCCGTGCACACCCTCCTTGTAGCGCTCGCGCTCGTTGAGGACAGCCTGCGGCGGGTTGCGCTGGTCGCCGGCCTCGTAGAAGGCAGCGTGGCCGACGCTGGACTGGCCGGCTCCGTGGAATGCGCTGTTGGGAGACATAATGGAACAAAATGATACCAATTGTGAGGTATTGAGAGAATATAGGTTTTCAAGGAAAAGTTGTAGATGGTCTAGTATTCCTTGGTAGTTTCGAGGACTGCCATCTTATACCTGGCAATATCGCTCTGGGTTGTGATGTCATGCTGGAGTCACTGAAATCATAGTGGGGCGAACCTATCCAGGATGAAAGGACACAAGCACACAGCATTTGTGTGCTGGTCTCCCCCTGTTTCAATTTTTTTTTCTTCCTGGTGGGTTCTTTGCATCAGTCAGACTGAAAACCAAGGCAGCTATTGTCGATGCATTTGGGTGCCGTGGGCTCCACTTCCTTGATTCTCGCAACATCCATGATAGAATATCACTTGATAGGTTTATGTGGTATTCTATTCCACAATTAATCGGTTAAATAATGAGAGATGTATATTCATAACTCTTCTCTCTTCTACTTTCTCTTTACGTCTTTCTAGTATTTGAGTCAAATCTACATAGAGGTTAAATGCCTTCAACTGTATCCTCCTCGCACAACTACTGTGAACACAGCCTATATGCAAGGAGCAGAATTCTAGCTTCCTTATACAGACCCACAGCAGCAAATAGTTTAGCATTGTCGTTGAAGCGATCCGGGAGAGTTTGGATATAGCCATTTGTCATTGTCGACTCTACGTGGTCAGTGGATAATGAGCAATTTCAGTATTTATATCTATTACCACAATATTATTACTAGAGTCCATTGCATTATAATAAATTCTACAGGGTTCATAGATTTTACTCCAAAGTCCGGGGTCCTCGAGGCCTGAGTCGATCGGCGTGGGTTAGTAAACCGCAACATTCTTGGATAGTCGGGGAGATAAACAGCTTCAACATCTCATGGCCATGAGACTCTCGAGCCGACATGTTTCCGTGCTCGCTCGGGATATTTCTCCCACGCACCGACCCCACTCCGGCCATTTGTATGCTGGAGGGCCCAGCTATTTTTCGACGGGTTCAATCTCTAGCAAGAGACCAAACCCAAGTACGCCGTATCCAAAACGCGTCGCCTTCGGTCTACGATATTCCCAGCCATCTACTGCCAACGCCGCAATGAGTTCCTCCGCGCCCACCCCCGAAATCCAGCCCCGCTTCCAGCAGCTCTTCACCGAGCTCGAGAACCGCTTCCAATCCACCAGCCTGGGCAGCGACAAATGGTACATCCTAGCCATCTCAACTTTGGCGGCCAGTGCCGACCCAGAACGCGCCGACCAGCTCTACCTCCACCTAATCAGCCAGCCCAGCTACGCGACCCCAGCCGCGCGACAAGCCCTGGTCCGACGGCTGCGTGAGGCCCTGGTCAAATCCGTGTCGATCGTCGGGGTGTGCAAGCCGATCGAAGCGATCCTGGCGATTAGCAAAGTCGAGCGCGACGAGGACAAGGATTACACCTTCACGCGCGACGGCTGGCAGTGCGACCAGGCCAACCACGAGCGCGGTGCCGCCTGGATGCAGAAGCTGTATGCGCGCAATACCACTGGCACTCTGGATCTGTTTGCCGCGCACCCGGACTTTGCGTGGCTGTCCAAGGAGGTTACCTATGGCTTGTTTCTTTCGGATCGCCAGGTGCTGGATGATGTCGATACCCAGCTTGTGGTTCTGCCGGGTATTATGAGCCAGAATCTGCCGAACGAGACTCACTGGCATATTCGTGGCACTCGGCGTCTTGGGCTTCCGAAACATGAGGTCCAGGTCATTTGGGACTGTGTGCAGCTTGTGGCTCAGTTCTTTGATGTTCGGCTCAATAAGGTGCCCACGGTCGAGCAGGTCGAGTATGATGTTTAGGCCCTGGGGAAACCATGTTCTCCCACATTGGGTGTAGGGAACAATTCTCTTGATGTGATTATGACCATAGGAATGAAGCCATTCGGAGGGACTTGATGCTCATAGTAGACTGTTCAGTCAATCCAACCGACTAAATGCAAAACTCTGCCACATCTTCCTTTCCTTTCAATCATTTTATTTGTGTTTTGGAATACTACATTTTTGTTACTCTGATTTGAAGCACCTCAAGGCTGTTCAACTGACGATCATCCAAGCCGATAACGATAAGGAAAAAGTTCGAAGGCGGCGAGGGGCCGACCAACTCGACATCCTCACTTCTGCCCAAACTCCACCAGCACCCCCAATTCACTCACAATGGGAAAACGCAAGCAACAACTGGGCGACGTCCCTATGGACGGCACACAGCCGGAGGGCGACGAGTCCGACGATGTAGGCGCGCCCCCCAAAACACCCGCAGTGTGCGACATCTTACTGACACCATGGGCACAGGACATTAACATGGTCAATGTGGATTTCGAATGGTTCGATCCGCAGCCTGCAGTCGACTTCCACGGCCTCAAGAACCTCCTCCGCCAGCTGCTCGATGCCGACTCCCAGATCTTCGACATGTCCGCGCTGGCCGATTTAATCCTGTCGCAGCCATTGCTGGGGTCGACGGTCAAAGTGGACGGCAACGAGTCAGATCCGTATGCATTCTTGTCTGTATTGAATCTGCAGGAGCATAAGGTATGGCACCTTGCCCTCATCATCCATTATTGCTCTCCTACTAACAAGACACCCGCACGGTTCCCCAGGACAAACCCGTCGTCAAAGACCTGACCAACTACCTCAAAACCAAAGCCGCCTCCAACCCATCCCTATCCGCCCTCCATCAACTCCTCTCCCAGACCCCGATCCCGCCCATCGGCCTCATCCTAACCGAGCGCCTGATCAACATGCCGTCCGAGGTAATCCCACCCATGTACAACATGCTGCTCGAGGAAATCAGCTGGGCAATCGAAGACAAGGAGCCATACACTTTCTCGCACTACCTGATCATGTCCAAGACCTACGAGGAAATTGAGTCGAAACTCGACATGGAGGAGTCGCGCCCGCAGAAGAAAAAGAAGAAGGGCACCGACCAGCCCGAGCGCTTCTACTTCCATCCGGAGGACGAGGTCCTCGAGCGGCATGCGCTGTGCTCGGGGTCAATCGAGTATACGCACCAGCACGACGAGGGCCACTCGGACTCGAAGCGTGCATTCCAGGAACTGGGAATTAGCACGAACGGGAGCTTGGTCTTGATTGAGGCGGCTAAGTTTGAGCCGGCTGTCAAGGCTGTTACTGAGTACCTGCAACCGTCGATGTGAGAGCATTTTGGGTTTCATTTTTACGGCTGCTTCATGAGAAAAAGAAGGAAAAAGTTCTATCTGATCTTCTTCGTTGATTCCCTTTTATTCCCCTTACCTGCTACATCGGCTGTACGGCTGCATGATTCTAGAGAGCATAAACTACATGAGATGAGAATCATCCCAAGATCACGATAAATTAAGATAAAAAGTAAAGAAAAACCAATCCAAAAGGAATATCAAAAGTAATGTAAAGCCTAAGCCAATCAGAATGCTAAAATGGATGTAAAAAGTGCGATATGTAGTGATCGCGCATGTAGACTGGTGGATTCCGCAATCATAACTTCATAAATTCTCTTCATGACTCCCATTGAGTCCCCTTCAGACGCTGCATGAGATACTCGACCTCGACGATTTTCGTCAGCGGAATGACGCAAGTCTGGGGATACTAATTAGCGATACTAAGGCCAAATGTAGCAGTTCAAACGAGCTCTTCCCACCTTATACATCGCCACAACCGCGTCAACATTAATCTTCTGGCCCGTTTCCTCCGCAAAAGCAGGGTCGGTGCCGTAAGTCTTCGCCTTGAGACCCAACCGTTCGAGCACCTTCTGCTCGACCTGCGCATTCGTGATCGCAGCATCGATGCCGGCCCGATCACCAGCCCGAATCAAGCGCACAAAGGTCTCAGGATCTTTCTGAAACTTGGATTCCGCAACAAACTTGCCAAAGTGGATGCGACGCGACAGCGCCTGCAAGCAAGCGACGTCGCCCGTCGCCGCCGACCCGTAGTTCTCCTGCGTCTCGCCACGGTCCTCGCGCCCAAACTGCGGGCAGACTGCGGGCAGGATCTCGTTGATATACCGCGACTTGATGGTGTCGTTGACGTTCACGGCGTTGGCGTGCAGGATCCGTGGGTACTCCAGTGGCTGTAGGATCGGGTCCTCGAGCACGTCTGGGAAGAAGGGGTATTCGTCTGGGGATTGGAACCGGCGGACTCGGGATTGGAGGCGTTCCTGTTCGCTGAGCATGTAGTCCATTAGACTCAGCTCGCTGTTCGGAATCTTCACGCCGCCGGGCTCATAGATGGTTTTGTTGAGTGGGAATTGGACCCGTTCGATCAGGTGGAAGGTGATTGTGTCCTCGAGTCGGCTGGGTTTATCTACATCGTTAACGATGATCCTTTGTTATGGGGCAGTGTATATTGTGGTTTGAACAAGTGCTGATTGACATTGTGGTGGCGATGACTGGGTCTCAATTGCTGGCCGATCGCGGGGGCCGTGGGGAAACGTCGAGCAAAAGGGATTTATTTCAGATCGAAAAATAATTAGAGGCACTCACATCAGTTGAAACCGAATATTGGCCAAGTCCAATGCCTTGGAGGCATCGGACAGGTCAATGGCAGTGTCCATGGCGGGGAGTTGGAGAGGGAAGAGGGTCGGGTCAGCAAAGTCGGGCCCTCATGGCTTGTTCTTATAGCAAGCACCGTAGCACAAAAGCCATTCGATCGATCTGCGATTTCTCGGATTGATTGGGCAGAGACATATCGCCTGTGCCTACAGCGTGTACTAAGGCTCGAGGTACATGCATTAGGGTGTTTACACAAGGATTTGCGCTCGGTTGCAGAGCTCGGTGAACCGACACTCTCCAAGACATCCAGAAAGACAGAAAGAACCTTGCAGCGATCTCAACACTTCTAAGATTAGCTATCGTCAGCATCGGCTGTCATACAGCAACTCGAAGCTGGTTGCAACTCCCGTAAAAGTACCGTACGGCAGTACCCGGGGGAACGCGGTAAATCATCGCGTGAACACATGATTGTCTCTCCTGTCCCCCCATCCCATCCACCTTTTCTTTTGCACGAGTTTGGAGCCCAAGTCCCGCTCTTGGTCTCATGGAACGCCCCCGCGACGATTCGCCGTCCGGTCTCTCAGATTATGCCGAGGGCGATGGCCTTTTGGGCACCGGCCTCACGGTAAGCGTTTTCCCTTCCCTACCCTGCCCCTCGGACTCTGTCGGACTGACCTGGATGGTGTGAGGACAGACCCGGCATATCGAGGCGTTCGGGCGAAAGGTCACGTCAACAGCAGGGCACTTGATCGGACCGGACCAAAGTCACCCGCAGCACTTCCACCATGCCATGACCGATATCCACCGCGAGCTGCGCCGGCCGACGGCACAGCGCAAGGTCTTTTCCTTGACCCAGACGACTCCGACCGACCTTGTGCGCTCGAAGCTGTCGACCTCCGAAATCCAGTCCCGCGCTATCTCGTCGCTCCCGGACGACCTCCTCGCCAACCTGCCGGAGGATTCCAGCTCTTACTCTCTGTTCCAAGGCTTCCAGGCCTCGCTCCCTGAAGATGAACATGAGCACCGCCGATCGCACCGCAGGCGCTCCAAGGGATCGAAGCTCCTGAAAGACAGTGAAAAGGGCGGCGCCTTACCACCGGGCCCGGCCGGGCTGAAGGACGAGCGCAAAACGCTGGGTCGCCGATTAGAGATGATGGGCATTCGGAAGAACATGTGCAGTGCCGAGATTTACGAGATCGACAACAAGATCGCCAATTTACACAACATGCGCAAAATTGTGCTCGATCGGTTGGCCGGCCTGGAAATGGATGAGGCAGCATTGGAACACGACAGTGGGTCAACACTCTCGACAATAGCAGAAAAGTCCTGTCTAACTTGGGGAATACAGTCACCGAACTCGATATCAAGCTGGAGGAAATCCGAGAAGAAGACACACCAGACACCTCCGTTGCGGCCGCGACCCCCAAGTCCTCCGAAGGCCAGGAAGATTCGATCGGATCCTCGGGAGACCCGGCCATGGATGCTTCTTTCATGTCTGAATCGATCTATGAGAAGCTACCATCTCCCTCCCCGAAGAGCTTACGGCACCGGTCTATACGTATGAACATCTCGCTTTTGTGCATGCAAGTCTCTGCTAACAGCGGACACCAGGGAAACGGTCGATGCCAATTCTGCACGAGCATTTTGCGGCGGGCTCTCTGATTAAAGAAATCGAAGCGCACACCGATATGGTTACCGCCATTGACCTGGACTATCCATTCGGCACCATGGTCAGTGCAGCATTAGATGACACCGTGCGGGTTTGGGATATGAATGTTGGGCGATGCTCGGGGTTCCTGGAGGGCCATCATGCCTCTGTTCGGTGCTTGCAGGTAGAGGATAACATCGTGGCGACAGGATCCATGGATGCAACAGTTCGGCTGTGGGATTTGAGCCGTGCTCGCCCCACGACCCATGACGGACGGCTCAACAGACACGAGCGCGACCAAGAGGAAACACTCGAGCATACCTCTCCCGTGCCGCCCTCATCCGATCTCAGTGACTGCCATGTCTTCTCGCTAGAGGCCCACGTCGACGAAGTGACCGCACTCCACTTCCGTGGCGACACCTTGATCTCCGGCTCTGCAGACAAGACGTTACGGCAATGGGATCTGGCCACAGGGCGATGCGTTCAAACCCTGGACGTCCTGTGGGCTGCAGCTCAGGCCTCGTCGTCACTGACCGGAGATGGAAGCTGGCGACCTTCGGGCCGTCTGCCGGACGCATCCGCTGATTTTGTCGGGGCTGTGCAATGTTTTGATGCTGCCTTGGCGTGCGGTACAGCCGATGGCATGGTGCGTCTCTGGGATCTCCGGAGTGGCCATGTCCACCGGAGTCTGGTGGGCCATACCGGACCGGTTACCTGCCTTCAATTCGACGATGTGCACTTGGTCACGGGTAGTTTGGATCGCAGCATTCGGGTAAGCTATCGATAGTCTCGTTGATTGGTTTCAATTTTCTGATCTAACGCGCTCCAGATTTGGGATCTGCGCATGGGATCCATCTACGACGCCTATGCCTATGACAAGCCGATCACCAGCATGATGTTTGACTCTAAACGGATTGTCGCAGCTGCCGGGGAGAACGTAGTTAAGGTCTACGATAAGGCCGACGGCCATCACTGGGACTGCGGCCCCGGCGTTGGAATTGACGACGAAGGACCATACCCTGCGACCGTGGAGCGGGTGCGACTCAAGGATGGATATCTCGTTGAAGGCCGCAAAGATGGCACCTTGGCTGCCTGGACATGCTAGATGAGTTGACATTTTCCAGTATAGTTTGTATCGGGGGCTTTTTTTTTAGCTATCACCCTCGTTCTTTGCGACCGTTGTATAGTATTCTTCCTCTGTGTCTAGAGTGGACCTAGCAGGCGAATCTGGAGTGGCCGGGCCATATGTTCATTGCTAAAGTACCTGTAAATGCAGTGGCAGCATCTTCCAACAGCCCATATTCTTGCCGATGTTGAGTAGATGTAAAATAGCAGTCCGAGGCAACACACGCCCAACAAAGAAAAACAAAGAACTACACGTGGACAAGAGGTCAACCAGGGTTCATTGCCAGGAGAAAAAGAAAACAAAAAGAAAAAGAGAGACAAAGAATACAGGATTCCTGCTTTGAGGGCGCTGGTCGAGTCGAGTTGGGATTCTTCTTGCGCGACGATCGCATCTGCTCCACCTCCCAGTCTGCTTTTCTTCCTCTCCAACTCCTCTCCTTGCTCTCCTCAGATCTCTGCTGTTCACAACCAAGACAGAACTCCCCGTTGATTCTTCAATCAGACCCAGCATCCAGTTCACTTGGATGGTATAATCTTGGCTGGGATCCACCCGAGCATCGCAGTCACGTTCGGGCGCGTCTGCGCGTCTCGAATCTCCGGTGTCGCGATCTACAGGCACGCAGTTGCGACATCCCGCTGGCATTTTGAACTCCCGAGTAAGTGTGGACGCAACTATTCTTTTTGTGTTTGCCTGTCTCTATTTTTTGCCCCTATTTCCAAGTCATTTCTGTCTTCGTAACCCATGCCCGTGGCTCCATCTCTGGACTTTTTTTTTCTCTGCATCGCCTTGATCGCGTGTTTAGATGTCCAAACACAGTTCAGCCTGTGTCTCATACAACCAGGACAAGTCCAGTTGATCTACGTCTCCTTCATGCGCTCATACTGAGACCTGCTCTGCCTACCGGAGTAGCCAATCTCAGTGGAGACCGGGTTCTATCTGCACTGCAATATGTGACAGATTCCATCCTTTTGCTGCTGTGCTGGTCGTTTGGGGCCTAGAGGGCATTGTCTTTGACATATGGTGTATCCCTGGACGTTTTTCCTACTTGCGATCGTTCCCATGGCATCTGTGCGCCCATCACCTCTCCTATGGAGTCATTTCCTATTTCTTTGTCGACAGGTCATCTTTTTCGGAGATCATTCTTCCTCTCACTGTAACTTTTCATATCCCCCATGACTCCTGTTTTAGTCCTGCCTCTGTCTCTTTTTGGCTCAACCTTGTTACATGCGCTGACGTATTACTAGTAGAGGCAAAAAGAAAAAGAGAACCGAGTTATATTACTCGAAACCCAGAGCCGGCCGTTTGAGATGCCTCCCAAACGTGCCACAACACGCCGGGGAGGCGGTCCCAAAGATTCAACTCCTCGCTCCGAGGACCAATTGAAACCTTTACTGGACACATCTGAGTCTCTACTGCCAAGTGTTCAACTCTGGCATTCATCAAACTATGGCGGTAATACTCGAGCTGCCCTGTCTAGGAAAGCCATGTCACCAACTATGAATATCGATGACATGGCCCGAAACATTGATGCCGGCCTCGAGGCTGTTCGAAAAAGGAATCCAACCCCCACCAAGAGAACTGCGCAGAAAGATAATGAACCTCAGAGAGCCACACGCTCTGGGCGAGGGCCTGCCCCCTACAGTGCTTCTCCAGTCCGTCAACGTTCCAAACGGGAACCGACTCCGGACCAGACCCAGCTTCTGCAGTCGCTTCGCAATGCTACAGTCTCCCCAGCAGCAGGGGATAGCAATGATCGGTCCGAAGCAACCCCTACACCCCCCATTCCACGTACAGTCTCCACAGATTCCAGTCCCGCCGCCCAACCTCCCTTCCAGCGCCGTCTGTCGGCACTGTCAAACTCACCTCTCTATCCATCCCCGCTTCAACGAGCTGGAGAACCCAACCATGATATGGCTATGCCCTTGGGGAGCAGCCCTGGTCGCCATAGCTCTGTTGACAACGCATCCGAAGTGTCCTGGAACCTCGAACGCGATATTCATGAAGACAACCTGCAACGGACCCGGCCTGGCAAATATCGCGGAGAAAAACATGGACGCAATATCACCGCACCGCCTCGACGCCCTTCAGGTTTGGCTATTGTCCAGGAGGCCATCGACGAGGAGGATGAAGAGGAAGAGGTCGAAGAAGAGGCATCAGGACACGAAGATGAGCCTCAGCTAGTGGCCGAGCCCACGCCCAATGCTACTCCCAAAACTTGGACCGCGCCGGTGCGGACAATCATCCCTCAATTTTTCCGCTCTGAGCCGCCTTTGGACAGCCCTATCCCCAAGTCCCCCAAGGAGGGTCTGGTTCACCGATGGTTGGAATCGGTGCGACCTGAAAGCCGTGATGGGCCAGTGGTCGCGCCGAACCGGACTATGTGGATTCGAGCTGGGGCTGCTTTGCTGTTATCTTTGCTTCTTTTTCTTGCGATTCAAAGTGGTTTTTTGTGGAAGTTGGGCTCATCCCTCTCTTCTGGAGAGCCTTCTTTGGATTTTCCTCCGAATATGGCCGATTCTGAACTCGTCAAAGGCCTTCGAAGCCAGGTGTCGAAGATCAACAATCAAGTCTCGGCCCTGTCGCGTGAGTTGAGTTCTGTTCGGTCAGACCATGCGCATGACCCGGCTCCTACGTACATCACAGACCCCATCGATATGCCCCGAAAGCCCATCTACAAAGTGAATTTCCTGTCAAGGGCCTTGGGGGCAATTGTGGACCCCGACAATACTACACCAACGGCGGGCTCGAGACGCCACTGGTCTGCACGGGCTTTCATCAAGATGTTTAGGTTGGGGGATAATTTTCGAAGTCCACAGCCTCCTGCAGCAGCCCTGACTCCTTGGGAGGATGTTGGTGATTGCTGGTGCAGTGTTCCTCGCGACGGAATGTCTCAGCTATCGGTTCTGCTTGAAAAGGCCATCGTGCCGGAAGAGGTCGTGGTCGAGCACATCCCATCAGGCGCTACACTAAACCCAGGAGTTGCACCCAAGGAAATCGAATTGTGGGCTCGGTATCGCATTGTCCCCCTTGAATCGCAAAACAGCCCCTCCACCAAACCCTCGGGCTGGTTCTCAGGGTCATTGCGGCCCATCGAGCGCCCCTCATCCCGAGACGAAGGACTCGGCGGCTTTAACATCCCTGGTGAAAGCTCACTCCATGATGTGGTGATAAGTGCCTTGCGGATTTCCTACGCCTCTGACCCGGAAAGCGCCTACTCAGATGACTCGGTCCTTGGGCCAAATTTCTATCGGATTGGGAAGATGGTATATGACATCCACAAGCCTCATTATGCTCAGACATTCCAGCTCAACACTGTCATCGACGTGCCCACCATCCGCGTTGACAAGGTTGCTTTCCGTATGAAATCCAACTGGGGTGCGAATCAGACCTGCATCTACCGGTTCCGACTCCACGGGCACATCTGAAGTCTCTACCTTTTGGCGAATGCTATTTATAGTTTTCATGCCTCGTTTTCAATTTTTCCCCCTGGTTTTCGAGTAGGGTTCCTACTCCATGATGATACCTTGCATTTGACGCAATGCATGAACCTGCGGTGGCGTTGGGGGGTTTCCTTGGGTTTAGGGAGCCAGCATTACATTGATTTTGCTTTATTTTGCTTTATTTTCGCCTTCTATTATACGAGGACCGGGGTTGTTCCTGGGCAAGGTAGCAGTGTGTATCAGTATGGCGTTGTTTAGTGTACAAGATACCAAAGTATTCCCAAGTATACCTCCACAACCACCTCGCACCTTTCCATCCATTCTACTATCTCTCTTTTTACATTGTATTTTATGTCCTATTTGATTTGATTTGATTTTCATGTTCAACGACCTCAGGATCTTCCTTATTTTCCTATCTAATTCAAGCTCTCTAGACCCTGCCAGTCTGGTTTCACAATAGTCTCCTAGTGACTTTTCATAGCCTTATATACACTATGAGTTCACTAATAACTCTCTTCTTGTTTCCTTTTTATTTTATAGGATTTTGTCAAACAAGATATGAACAAAAAGAGAGAAAATGACCGTTAGTATTCAATGCGTCCATAGATTTTTTTAACCAACGCTGATTCGACCAGGATTAAATCTCAATAGTAGCGACCAGAAGGTACCCCAGGAATACATACGATGTCCAAGCAAAAAGAATGCAAGTGGACAGACCAGGCAATCCGCCTCAAGCCGAGTCTCGGGGATTTTGATGGTTCCGCGACTCCACCCACCCCCACCACATCATGACGAACGACCTCACCCCATTCTTCACCTCTTCTTCTGGTCACGCGCCTGCGCCCTGCGACCCAATGGCGGAGAGAGCAATCGATCGGGAAGAGCGACATGGCCTGGTGAGATCCTTTCCCTTTTCCGTCTTTTGTGTTGGATTTCTTTCTTTCTTTCTCTCCTCTCTTTTCGTTTGACCCCCCGCGTCCCTCTCTTGCTTGCTTTTGGGAGCCTTTGCAGGGGATAACTACTCCCTTTATATAGAAGGCAATCAAGGGGCGGGGATCACCGGGACTGTCAAACCTCCCCCCGTCGCAGCCTCGGCATCACTGGGTCACCGGACCTGCCATCCAGATCTTGACTGACGCAGCATCGAACAGCGTGCCATTCGCAACTTCCTGAAAGTCCGCAACAGCTACGATGTCCTCCCCATGAGCTTTCGCTTGATCATCTTCGATACCTCCCTGTCCGTCAAAGAGAGTCTGAATATCCTCATCCAGAATGGCAAGTCTTGGAATGCCTCAACGGCGTCTCTCCTCCCACTCCTCTCCCGCGGATTCACCGGCTGACTAGTAGCCCGGGGGCCATCGGGATGTACAGGCATCGTTTCAGCCCCGTTGTGGGACTCCAAGGCCTCCAAGTTCGCTGGTCTGCTGACCACCTCCGACTATATCAATGTTATCCAGTACTATTTCCAGAACCCCGCCGCGTTGAACCAGATCGACCAGTTTCGGCTGGATAGTCTACGAGGTGCGTGAGACTGCACTGCATCCCCCCCCCCTCCTCCTCCTTCTCCCCGCACCCTACAGGGATACAATCACGTCGAGCGGGAAGCTGACTGCGATGCCGTCCACATAGAGGTCGAGAAGGCATTAGGTGTCGCTCCGCCCGAGACCATTTCCATCGATCCCGAGCGAACTCTCTACGATGCCTGTCGGCGCATGCTCGAGTCTCGCGCGCGTCGAATCCCCCTCGTCACCAGTGATAGCCAGACCGAGCGACCCCATGTCCTCAGCGTCGTGACGCAATACCGCATCCTGAAATTTGTCGCCGTCAATGTCAGCGATACACAAAAGTTACGTCGCCCGTTGGGAGAGCTTCTGTTGGGGACGTACGATAACATCGCGACTGCGTCCATGGACACGCCCGTCATCGATGTCATTCATATTCTGGTCGAGCGCAGCATATCCAGCGTGCCGATCTTGAATTCAGAGGGTAGGTGGATCAGTCTCTGCGGTCCAGATTGTGGGAGGCCCCAATACTAAGTCTGTTTCTGTCGCTCCAGGTGTCGTCTACAATGTATTCGAGGCGGTCGATGTCATCACTTTGATCAAGGGAGGCGTCTACGACGATCTGAGTCTCACAGTGGGCGAGGCGTTGAAAAAGCGCTCCGCAGTAAGTGACGAGCCACTTTGATTGAATCTTTTGGACGCTGAACTAACTCATCGGTGCAGGATTTCCCGGGCATCTATACCTGTTCGCTAACCGACGGACTTGATACCATCTTCGACACCATTCGCAAATCCCGAGTCCACCGCCTGGTGGTCGTGGACGAATACTTCAGGCTCAAAGGCGTGCTCACCCTGAGTGATATCCTGCACTATATTCTCCTGGAGGGAGAAAATGACGAAGCATGATCGATCCCCTGGTGACGCCTACACGCTGTTGTCGACGCTATACATATCCAATTTTGCATGGTACCGGCGTTTTTTTGTTTTATTCTTGTGGTTCGATATGTGTTTTATGTCCCTGGGATCCAACCCGAGAAACGGACGGGTCCAACCCTTTTATCTTTTACTCCTTTTTTTTTGATTTCACCGGGCTTGATGAATGTACAAAGGTAATGACACGGTCACTAAAATTAGTGCTCTGGGCTTCTTTCCCCGACTATCGAGCACTGGCGCTGGGATGGAGAGAAATAGATTTCCTTGAATGTTTATTCTTCCAGCATCTTCCACTCTTCTTTTGTATATTTTCTTTGTGACTAAATCCTAGCGACGTCCTTCGGGATGCACCAGCGACTTACTGACTTCAAAGCTTTCAGGTCTTCCACCTTGGCAGGTGGACCTTGGCTGAGGGTGGCAGCTTCCGTGAGACTCGAGTCTCGCCTGCCTAGGCGATGCCAAACCCAGTGTCCTCTCGCCTCTTGGGTATCTTTTCCTGCAAGTTATCTTTCAGATTTCGAGTCTTAAGGATTCACAACGCCATGGCACTGTTTCGATCCATTTTTCGACCGTCCAAATCAGGAACCCCCAAGCCCTCTCGATCGCGGCATGCTTGGTCGCGACTGAGTCGGTCCCAGTCCCAGTCGGATGCAGTCCCTTTGAAGACCCAGCCGGAGCCGATTGCAACGATAAGAGAGCCGGAAGCTGTTCAGATCGAACAACTTGAAACGAAGGATGTGGCTCTCCGTGTTCATGAGAAGAAGTCGACGGACTCCAGCGCACGAGCGCAGCCAGAGAGCCATGCCTCAGTTGAGTCTGGCTCTGTTCCACTCAAGACCGATGACGGCCAGAGCGAGTTGTCTCGATCTCAGCGCGGCTCTCAAGGCCTGAGTGGCCTCGTATCTCGCTTTCGCTCGAGCAAATCTGAGGATCGAGGCTCCGTCTCGGAAATCCCAGATCATGCTGAGTCGCAACCTACCAACAATGGAGAGCCTACCAACAACGAAGAGATACCAGCTGGTCCCGCCAAGAAAGATTCTGCTGCTGCGTCCAAACATTCGTCGACTGCTGAGACAGGTGGCCAGAATGAGAACCGGCAGGTCAGCTCCCAGAGCGTTCGCTCCCATGGGTCGAATCGTACCACCGTGACTGTCTGTCGGCACCCCTCGCAGCGCACTGCGATGCCTATCCAGGAAGTCCAAGAAGATTGGTTCTGGCCAGGGATCTTGAACTTCACGCACGAGATTGCGCATTCTTCGGGGGGTTCAGACCCGTTCTCTGATGGAAAGCATGCCGAGCCCTCACTGGCCGCGCCAGCGTCTTCCAAATACAGTGGGGACCAAAGCCATCAGCCGTCTGTCAGAGAGAGCCAAAAGAGTTCCGAGGCGTCGCAGGGGCATAGCGGTTATAGCCAACGTGAGAACGCATCCGCCCATCATTCGTCTTCGAAATCTCGCAGTGCCTCCCATGGAGTTTCTAGCCATCGAACGAGCTCGGGCAACAGTCAAATCAGTCGAAGTAGCCGAATGACCCGGCTCGATCCATGCAAGGCGATTGTCACTTTTAATGAGCTGGCAGCTCGATTAAGCCTCCAGCTCTCGATATCGGCTGATGACCCGTTAGCCACTCCATGTAAGCTTTTTCTTTTATTTGAGTATATCGGTTTGAGCTGATCATTCGGTCCAGCCGAGGACAAAACTCGCAGCTCCGACGAAGACAACGTACCTCGTCGCCGACTTCGATTGTTGAGCCGGGTCCGTCCGGTCAAGTCTAATCTGAACCTGGGGGTGACTTCACATCCAGAGCGCAAGCTGCGACGAACCAAGACATTTGCCCACCTTACGCGTCGCCCTAGTCCCATGAGTTCCTTGAAAGGAAAGACCGTAGAAACCTTGGCTCGCCTGGGAGGGCATAGCTTCCTCATGCTGCCATCAGACCTGGCGCCGTCTGCATTGCAACTGCCCGCATGTATTGTGGCGACGGTGATGTTTTTGCGCAAATTTGGTTTGTTGGCCCCGTCCGACGTCATGGCGTAAACTGATCCCGGGTTCCTGCAGGTGCCAACAATGCCGAACTATTTGTTGAGCCTGGAGACGTCAAGGCCGCCACCCGTCTGTACAACCATTTCGCCAGCCAGGTGTTGTCGGTGGAGAAGGATGAAGCTAGGATCGCCATAACCATGCGCGTGATTGCCATACCACACTTTCAGGGAGACTCGACCGCGGACTCGGCCCCAGTGCTCAGTGTTGGTTGGGTGCTCAAGGCCCTGTTAGCGGGGCTGCCGGGTGGAATCCTCGGGTCTGTCCGCCTCTACCAGACCTTGAAGGGGATCTACTTGGCTCATTTCCCGGACAACTCCTTCCCTCGCCCACCGGCCTGCCTCGCGGGGCTATCTCCACCGACCGCGGCTCGAGTGCAACTCATCGCTCTGGCGATCACGGCACTGGCGAGCGAGATGCAGTGTGCACTCATCTGTGCGGTGTTCGGACTTCTTATGGGGCTGCTGCAGGAAACAGAACGTCTGATGGAGAGCCAGCAACCGTCCGGCAGTCGAGCCCGGCCTTTGGTGGCGGGCATCCCGAGTATAGATGGACTGGGGCGGGTGTTTGGACCGCTGCTCCTGGGGACCGAGGGGCAAGAAGTGCGAGAGGGTGTACCGCAGAGTAAGGTGGAACGAGAGATCGAAGAGCAACGGGTGGCGGAGTTACTCCTTGAGAACTGGCGCAATGTGAGCCGCCAGCTGCGATAGATGAACTATACGTGATTCCGATTGGGGAGGAATGTGTATTCTAGAAGTTGTATGCTCTTAGCCAAGTGACCAAGTAATAAAGTAACAAGTACCTGAGAACCCTGTCGTTTCACCCCTGGTCCACCAGCAACTTGATGAGTGGGCGGCTTCAGATCCCGCCATGTTTCTGGCTCTTCTCTTGGCTGTAGTGATGTCAACTCTCTCCCCAGGGCCGATGGGCACCGATTGTTCGAGCGTTGTCCCACGGTGACACCAAAGCTTGCTTGTACTTTTTGTTCGGAATTTGCCATTCGCTCGGATCTGCTGGACCGCTGGAGGTCTTGTCCGACCGTGGCTCTCTCGTCGACTGCACCTGGGCTTACACTTCTCCAGGCACCGGGGATCGACCGTGGTTCTCTTTCCCTCTCCCACACAGGCCCATCTTCGACTGGGATAACTTCTTTTCTCTCTCTCTTCTTCGTCTTCTCTCCCTCTCATTCCTGAACTGTAAAATTTGGAGACGGCAGGCACTTCTCTTCTGCAATTGCGAAATTTCCTGTCATGTCGACCGGGAACATCAACCCCCTCCTGCCTGCCGGGCTCCCATCGTCGGACTCTATCCCCGGAGATCCATCACCGTTGGTCTCCAGCGCTTTTGCGGGGGACTTTCTGGGACTTTCAATGCCGGACGACGAGCAGCTCTGGGGCCTGGGCTCGATGTCCCCAATGGGAACGGGCAGCTGGGATACCAAGACCGACGCAGCCAGCTTCGCCAACTCGGCGCTGGAGCGCGATCTCAAGAATACACAGGTCCGCAATGGGCAACCAACCCCACCACCCTACGACGACCAGAACGCGCGGGATCTGTCCGGGATGGAGCTCGAGAGCGCCGGCAAGCGACGACGAGCACGGGAATACAAGACCGCCGCCGCGAGTCTTAGCCCCGGCCTCGACGACGACAACGAGCCGCAGCAAGAGCGGGCCAAGCGGGCAAAATTCCTCGAGCGCAACCGGCTGGCCGCCAGCAAATGCCGCCAGAAGAAAAAGGAGCACACGCAGCAGCTCGAGTACCGGTATAAGGAACAGTCGGAGAAAAAGGAGCGGCTGGTCGCGGAGATTACGCGGCTGCGCTCCGAGATCCTTGGTCTAAAGAACGAGGTGCTGAAACACGCCCAGTGCGGCGACGAGCCCATCAAGCTTCATCTCGCGCAGATGGTTAAGAAGATCACTGACACCGACGGCCCGCTGCCGCCCGGCCCCGTGGACCCACCACCCCCTGTGGAGATGCCCGTCGACGTAGTCCCCGCTTCGCCGTCGGATGTCGCTCCCCCCCGACCACTGCGGCCCCCGTGGCTCCCACGACGCTCTCGTTCGGCTTCGATGACCCGCTGCAGCTGGAGCCGGCGGCTGCTGCGGCTGCCGAGGCTTTTGAACAGCAACTGCGCCGCGACTCCGAGGCGTCGCTTGTCTCTGAGTCGTCGTATGCCTTTTCGGCGGACGACACCTTTGAAGACCTAATCAATGTGTGATTGGATCTTCTGATGAGATACGGACTTTCCTCGATCTTGTTAGTTTTGTTGGTCTTTGTGTTGGACAGCGGGGATCGTGGCGTTGATGGTGGACTTCTCAAAAACCTTTTGTGTTGTGTGTTACGATGTGCGATCCAGTCGATGGCCGAGCTGGAGGGTGTTTGGCGTTGAGTCCAGCGAGGCTTGTGGACAAGCCATTTTGTAGTGTCCCTGCCTACTTTTTGCTACCTTCATCTCGAGGGATTGTTGCTGTCATTCAGGCCGGTCTCTTTTCACATATCTTATTCCGCCCGATGAATGACACGAGCCCAGATGCAATGTCACATTCGTTCTATGCTCTGGTGTTCTACAAAACAGGTTCTTTTAATCAAAAGTTGTATATCCGGTTTATATGATATTCTACCTTGACCCAAGTAGTGTTCCAAGGTTTCCATGCATGACCACAACAATCCAAAGTCAAGCCCGCCCAGCGGTCGACTCGACATGCGTCGCGGCATTCTTGACCGAGTCCGACTTTACATCGAACTGATCTGTCTCCGTCGCATCCTTATAGCGAGGGGTATTTTCATGTTCAGAGGAAAGCCGATGATCAGGCAAGCCACCATCAGCCTTCCATCCATGCTCAGAATCCACATCCACGCCGTCAAACAACTCATTAATTTCTTCGAGAGACTTGCCAGCAGTCTCCTTGAGAAACAGACCCGTAAATGCGAGAATCAGCAGATCCAGCACGCCGAACAGCAAAAACGTGCCCCAGCCAATCCCGGCATTGATATAGGGCGTAGAGAAGCTCCACACGAAATTGAAGAGCCACTGCGATCCGACGCCGAACGCCACGCCCGGCTCGCGGATGCGCGTCGGGAAGATCTCGCTCGTGCACGGCCACGGTAGCGGGCCCCAGCTGAAATTGTACGCCATGATGTCCAGGTAGATTAGGGCGACGGTCGCGATCCCTGCGGACGATACGCTGCCGTCGGCGGGCGGCGGGTGCGTTTTCAGTACTGCTGCGATGGCGATCATGCATGCGGCCATGAACGCCGCACCACCGGCTAGCAGCGGGCGACGTCCGAACCGGTCGGACATGAAGACCACGAAGAGGAGACAGGCGATGACTTTTACGGCGCCGAAGATGCCGGTTAGCAGTAGGTTCTTGTCGCCAGGCCCGACGAGCATCGAGAAGAACTGGGGGCCGAAGTATGCCAGCGCCGTCGAGCCGGTCGACTGCTGTGCGAGGAAGAGGCCGCCAGCAATAAGCAGCCGGTGCAGGTTCGGCCGTTCGAGCAACTCTCGCGGCCGGAAGTCTGCTGTGGCGTGGCGTTCATCCTCGAGCCCGCGCTGCATGTCGGCGAACTCAGCGTGCACGGCCGGGTGCTCGCCGGCCCGGATCCAGACGAGGCTGCGCCAGGCGCCGGCGTTATCGCCGCGGCCCAGGAGCCAGCGCACGCTCTCGTCCAGCGAGAACATACCCAGCCCCATCAGTGCACCCGGCACGAGCTGCAGCCCGATGGGGAGTTGCCATTGGCGCGCGGTGGCCGGCATGCTCTTGACGCCGTAGTCAATCCAGTACGAGACTAGGATGCCTATTGTGTAGGTCAGCTGGTAGCAGCTACCCAGCTGCCCGCGGACCTCCTTCGGGCTCATCTCCGACATGTAGATCGGGATCACGGTCGCCGACCCGCCGATTCCAAGCCCGCAGACCACGCGCCCGATATAGAATGCCGGCAGTGAGTGCGTGTCAACCACCTCCAGCACCACCCCAATGCAGAATACTACCGAGCACACCATCATCGCCGCCCGTCGTCCCCACCGGTTCGTCACCGGCCACACCAGGAAACATCCGGCCAAGGCCCCCGCCTGTTGAATGCCCACGGCAATGGCGCTGACTCGTGTCTTCTGGGCTTGTGTGAATGCAAAGGAATCTTGGAATGAGTTGAAAGTGAGGACGCCGCCTATGGAAGCTATTAGCTTGCCATGCTCCTAATGGCAATGCACCAATATCGTATAGAGAAGAGGCAGCAGCATCAACAGAAAAGAAACAGAAACATACCAATCACCCCCGAGTCATACCCAAACAGCGCCCCACCGCAGCACAGCACTGTAGCCAGCCAGAACGTGCGCCACCGGGCCGCCGACAGCCACGGCGCATCCATGACGGGTCCGTTGTCACTGTCGTCGTTGTCGCACGCCAATGTCGGAGACTGCTGGACCTGGTATCGGTCGGAGTCGGTCGGATACTGCGGCAGCTGCGAGTACGACGTAGCAGACGAGGTAGAGGTATACTTCCACCAGCTGGATAGTCGGACGCGCCAATTTGAGATGAAGGGGTCGGGGGAGAGGGATGAGGAAGGGGAGGCTCGCTGGGGACGAGGGGCTGATATATGTGAACTGGGGATTCCATTTTTCGACATAATTGCGAGAGAGGGGATTATACCACGCTCAGCTGAGAAACCTCCAAAATTGAGAAGTTGCTGGTTCCGGTTGATCTCCGGATCGGCAAGTGTTATGTCATGGACTGCCGAGGGCCGACGCAAGCGATCCCACGTTTTGATATTTATAGATTAGCCCATGGATGGAGTAAATTGTAAATATTATGATAGTGCCATTCACATACCTTGCTAAATATTCATTCTAATAATATTTTGAATATCAATCTTGATAGTGATAGTGATAGTGATATTGATACTAACATTAACTCATACTCATCTCATACTAAACACCCCTGTAACTGTGGGGTTCCCCACACTTTCCAGCCGACGGCCGAGCACGAAACATGCCAGGGCGATGGTGTCAGAGCTGCTTGAATGAACATTGTTGCAAGGTACAGCTGCATGGCCGATCGGTGCAGCTATAAGACTATCTTTGCCCCTCATTCCCCTCCCCCTCTTTTGCTCAGCTTGTTTCTTCTCGTCTTTCTTTCGCTATTTCTCTTCTCCTATTGTATACACCTTGGTTCACTTCTTGATCACGTAGACCATGGCCCCCAAACGCCCAAACTTCCTCGTCGTTGTCGCCGATGACCTCGGCTTCTCCGACGTGGGCTGTTTCGGCGGCGAGATTCGCACTCCCAACATCGACCAAATCGCCAAGGAAGGCCTACGGTTCACTGATTTCCACGCGGCAGCGGCATGCTCGTAAGTAAACCAGCTTCTCAAGCAAACAAGTCCTATTACATAGAATTTTATCTGATGTCGCATCTCTATAGTCCCACGCGCGCTATGATCATGACAGGCACAGACCACCACATCGCAGGGCTGGGTAACCTCATCGAATGGACCAACATCTCCGGCCAGAACGGGCCCAAGGGTTCCGCCATGAGCACAGCACCGCAACGTGGCATGCCCGGGTACGAGGGGTACCTGAACGAGCGGGTTGTCGCCCTGCCGGAGCTGCTGCGCGATGCCGGCTACCACACGGTGATGTCGGGCAAATGGCATCTGGGCCTGACGCCGGAGAGGTCACCGCACAAGCGTGGGTTCGAGCGGTCGTTTGCCCACTTGCCGGCGTGCTCCAACCACTACGCGTACGAGCCACAGCTGCGAGACCAAGACCAGATCCCCACGTTCATTGAGGCCAGCTATATCGCGCTGCACATGGAGGACAGCCAGTATGTGCGCCGTCTGCCCGAGGGCTGGTACTCGTCCGACGGCTATGGCGACAAGATGGTGCAGTATCTGCGCGAGTGGAAGGAGAGCGGTGGTAGTGCTGGGCCTGATGGCGACGGGGACCGTCCCTTCTTTGGGTATCTGCCCTTCACGGCGCCGCACTGGCCGCTGCAGGCGCCGCGCGAGTACATCGACCATTACCGCGGAGTATACGACGAGGGTCCTGATGTGCTGCGCCAGAAGCGACTGCAGCGCCTGAAGGAGCTGGGGATGGTGCGCGAAGATGTGGAGCCGCACCCGGTGGTCGCTGAGGAGGTCAAACCGTGGGAAGAGTACTCGCCCGAGGAGCAGAAGATGTCTGCAACGGCGATGGAGGTGTTTGCAGGCATGGTGGAGTGCATCGACGCCAACGTCGGCAAGGTCGTCGAGTACCTGCGGTCGATCGACGAGCTGGACAACACCTTTGTGTGCTTCATGTCGGACAACGGCGCCGAGGGTGCTGCCTACGAGGCGTACCCGATGGTGCAGAATGGGGTGATGCCACACCTCCAGAAATACTATGACAACAGCCTGGAAAACCTGGGCAACGGCAACTCGTTCATTTGGTACGGCCCGCGCTGGGCCCAAGCTGCCACCGCCCCGGGCCGTCTGTACAAGGCATACACAACCGAGGGTGGCGTGCGCGTGCCCTTTACCTGCCGCTTCCCGTCCTCGATCCCGCTGGCCCCAGGGGACGCCACCAGCGCACGCGGCGGCATCACCGACCAATTCGCCACCGTCATGGACCTGGCGCCGTCGATCCTGGAGATGGCCGGCGTGCAGCACCCGGCGCCGACATACCAGGGCCGCGAGGTAGTGCCGATGCGCGGGCGCAGCATGCACTCCTGGGCCGTCGGCACCGCCGAGCGCATCCACCCGCGCGACTTCATCCAGGGTTGGGAGACATGCGGGCGGGCGGCGCTACGCTGCGCAGACTGGAAGATCGTCTTCATTCCCAAACCCAAGGGCCCTGAGCGCTGGCAACTCTACAACCTCGTCAAAGATCCCGGCGAGATCCACGATCTGGCTGACGCCCACCCGGACAAACTCAACCAGCTCCTCAAACTCTGGGACCAGTATGTTCTCGAGACCGGCGTCATCCCGCTGTGTCCCGATCTCGGCCAGTTCCTGGAAGCCACCGAAGCCCAGATGCCTGAGAATGCGTGGATGGAGTTTGATTACTGGAAGGAGGGCGCCCGCGATCACCCGGAGAAGTTCTCGCGCCAGCCGCCTCAGTTTCAGCGTGTTGTCAAGCAGTTTTGAGTGATGGCCTGACGGTATGTGCTTGTATTTAATGATTCCATGAGAAAATAGAGGATTGCTTTGTTTTGTTTTGCTTTATTCTCGTATCCTGATATCATTATACATACAACATAACAACCCACCTACTCGACCTTCCCATGCAGCTCCTCTCTAACCGGTGCACCCAAAGCCCCACTCAGCGCCAGGATCCTAGCCAGAGTCCACTGCATTTGTAAAAGATCAAGCGAAGGAAGTGGGCGCTTCTGTGGATCATCAGTGCGGATATCGATAACATCGCCAGTCCGGATTCTGCGGTCACCCACACACTCCCAGAGACCCGCCTGCTGGGTTCCAGATTCAAAGTCAGGTTGGAGACGCGGCATTTCGGTGGTGGACACAAGGTTCCTGTATGAAGCAGGCCTCAGCCAGCAGAACTGCGCCTGCAGGACCCTCTGGTCGGGCGTCACTCGAAGCGGTTTCAGGGCGAAGCAGGCGCTGCGCCAGAGGGAAAGTACAGAGCTCATTAAACAGACCAGATTTGAGGGGGTTTCACTGCTTTGCAAGGGATTATTTGTGGTGTTGATGTTGGTAGTAGTGGTGGTGGTAGTGGTGGTGATAGTGGCGTCTTGCCAGATCTTTGCTCGCGATTCGCCCCAGAAGAGCTTGATAGTTGCCCAGAATAGGCGCTGGTCGTCGGCCCACTCGGTAATTTTATAGAGGTGCACGACTTCGAGGGACATGCTTGCTTTGGTTATGATGCATTTGTTGTCATCTCGGTTGAGACACTTATAGTTAGTTGTTAGCTAGGTATAGAGAGGGTGTATATGAGAAGGTGGAAGAGAAGAAAAGTGAGAGTAAGAGCATACCATCTTTTTTAAGAATTCAAAGTAAGAAGAAGAACTAGAGTGTTCAGCGGCCGATCCAAGGGAATTCTCAGCACTCCGATTCCTTGACTCATTCTGTAGAGTACAGGCAGCCCCTAAAGAAGCACAGAAGACAAAGATTAGCACCTATAAGTCATCAAAGCCGGCCATCAAGCTTTTCCTTTTGTAGAAACCTACATGATTTAGCTGTTCGCGTGGCTATTGAGCTCAGTAGAATACCTATAGTGACCGAGTCGCCCGCCTCAGCCTTGTGCACCAGAGACTCGAGAGCCTCGAGGTCCGCAAGCCAGAGACATGCCCAAGCGGTAGAATCCACGTATCGTAACTTGATGGTCTTTTCTAGCCGCTGGATCAGTGAGACTCTGCCAGGCTCGGTGAGCTCTTCGGCTGGATTCATGGTGTGAATCCCGAGACCTGGGGGGTGTGAGGCAGTGGTCAATTTGTCTGAGTCATGCGAGCGATATACTGAGCTTTGGAAGGTCGATCAGTCTTTGTATATCTCTATCTCTATCTCTCTGAGTGTATAGTGGGAAGCCATACCTGATCTGTGGATCTAGGGGAGGGAGCTGGCTAGGTCGTTGGTGAAGACGTGCCGGGACTCGGATGAAGAGGCGATAAGAAGAGTGTGGTGTGAGACGAGTGTAGGATGGTACTAAAGTGAGCTGCTCAAGAATAACTTTAAATTTCATTTTCTTGTATTATCTACTGCTTTCTTTCTCCTACTGTCTTTTTACTGCCTATCTCACTCTCTATTTCAGTACATGATGTTCTTTTAAACCTCGTAGGGTTCTGGATACATTGACGTCAGAGGGGCACTGGGATATCTGTCGATCGAAATAACTCATGGACACGCCACGCAGGAACAAATTAACAAGAAATGAACAACGCCGCCTAACAGTTCTTTAATATAGACACTCCATCTCATACATATATCCGAGATCGCGCATTTTCAAATCATGACATAAAAGTCCGAGAACAACTCCCGCCGCACACATCGCGAATCTGCCCATGTGCGCGATGCATCCTGGCGACGAGTCATCTCCTCTAACAACAATAGCACCTTGTCGGCAGTCGGATGACGGTCCGGTGATGCCGCCGGGTCGTCAGACTCGGGCGCTGCGGCCATGCGCTGCATCTCATGAATGATCCACTGACGCTGCTCGTGTGAACCTTCCAGGCCCGCCACGAACAGAGGCCACAGGAAACTGACTGGTAGGTGACGGGCAGAGGTGACCGCAGCACCGGCTGACTCAACGGTGGCGAGCTGGATGATCTGGTCGACGGCGCCGTTGACGCGGTCGGTGCGCGGGTAGATGGCAAAGGCGACGCGGTGCAGGTAAATGAAATTGGCCAGGAAGTTGGCCACGTACTGGCGAAAAGTGCGGCAGACCTCTACAGCGACGGGCGTGCATAGTGTATCGATCAGGGCCTCTGGCCGTTCATACACGTCGATCACGGGAGGTCGTCGGTGCCAGAGCATCTCGAGGTCTGCGCCGACTTTGTGTGCGATCTGGAGCACCTCGAACTCGTCGCTGAGCGTGCCGCGGCTGCGGTGGTGCAGATCAATGCACACTATACGCCGTACAATCTGCTGTGCTTGCACGTAGAATCGGAATGCCGGCCCGACGATGGCTTCGTATACAAGATAGCCCGGACTGTGGAAGGTGTCCTCGGTACCTTCCTCCAGCTTTTTATCGTCTGCTGAAACTGCCATACGGGGTGTGCGAGGACTATGTATCTCAAAGGGCTTGGCCGCTGTCCCATTCTCCGGTGGGTTGCCCAGCTCGATCAGTGGGTCACCTTCCCGGCCTGCAATCAACGACTTGACATCAAGTAGTGAGATCCAGGATACCAGGAGATGTCCGAGCCCTGTCCAGGATCGAGTACGTCCGTGAAACCGCTGCAAGAGGAGATACGCAGAATGCAGATACGACGTCCCCGGAGCACATAGCTCAGGCGAGGAGAAAACCTTACAAATAAGTCAGATCATCCTTCATACCAGCACTCAGAAACAAAACACAAAGAACTCACCTCGGATAGCATCAAAAGAAATACGGCCGCAAAGACCTTGACCAATGTCGACTCCGCCACCTCCCCCAGAAGACACGCCTGCATCTCCGAGCTCGACACCCGATAATACGTAGGCGCCCAGCGCCATCGCTTTCGCTCTGCCATAGCAGTATGAATATCCACGTAGCAATACACAGCATTCAAAAGCGGGCTGAATTCCCGCGCGTGAGCGACAATTGCCGGCCGCACATACTTCCACTCCATTGCGACAGGCGCGAAGATGGCCGCAGGTGGCTCCATGACGAGAAACTGCTGCAGCAGTTGGTCTTCATACGATGTGCCCGCATCCGACCAGCTGCCGCGCGTAGTCGCTGCGTCTGAGACGCTGGCGGGACTGAGCGGCGTGTGTCGGTTCACAGCAAGAGCAGTCTCTTCTACACCGTTTGAGGCAATCCCTGCGGGTATTGAATGCGACGACGGGCTGGCAGTAAATTCTGCGGCAAGGCCGCTTGTTAGATCGAGGTGTTTCTGCTCCAGCTCCGAAGTAATCCCGCCCATGAACCCCAGCATGTCGAACGCCCCTCCTAGATCCATCGGGTATGAGTTTGGGTCTGTATTGAGTCGTTGGAGTGGGTTTGTCGGCGCTGAAATGGTCTGGCTGTGCTCATCAGAACGGAGCACAGTGTTGAAGAAGTTGAGATCGGGCGAGCGCTGCGATGCCGTCGTGGCTGCGGCGGCGGCTGCTGCCGCTGCCGCCGGAACACGGCCCATTGCCGGTGCTGGGGCAGCCGGAGACGCAGTGGGCGCCGGTATGGTCGACTCGCTCGACGGGCGAGATGAAGACGCCCACGAGTCGAGGGCGATGGGCGGCTTGTAAACACATCGCAGACGCAGGCGATCGCAGTTGGAGCAGCTGGGTTTGGATTCATCGCAGCGGACTTTTCGAGCCCTGCAAGTCAGGCAGCCTGTCCGTCGGCGCGGGCCTGACCTGCCTGCTCCCCGGGCTTTGGGAACCTGCGCAGCGAGTTCATGTTAGTTCCGAGATGCGATCTGCACAGACATCAAAAGGATCAAGGATAGAAAGGTGGCTCGTCGTACCTCCATGATGGAACAAACAAGGCCCGAGTCGGCAGAAGCACAGAGGCATAGTCGATGAGTTCCCTGGAAGTGACTTACGGCAGAAGTGAACGGGTGGCTCGTTTCCCCGCAATGGCGACAGCGGGCGAGGATTTGATGAGCTCGGGTTATTCTCGGGACCCACCAGGAGAGGCACACTTGGAGAGGCGCACTTGGAAAGCGCGATTTTGGATCTGCCAGATGCTTGGACACGTGTTGGACGTGGATTTAGGTGCAAGTTGGTATTTTCTGCAAGTATATCTCTTCGGAGGTTCATCGTCTTTGGGATAGACGGGATAGTTTTGGGCTGCGTGGCAGCTTTCCAAGTATAGATGGCATCAAAGGTTCAGATCTACGATGATCGTGCATGCCTAGAGCACAGTGAGTGGATACCGAATGCAAGCTTAATCCATAAGAATGCAGTTGGGCATGCATTTCTATAGATCAACTGCGGGAACATTCCTTGGATGTATAACACAGTATAGATTCGCCCGGTAGAACAGTGGCTCATGCCTCTGGTCGGATTTCTTGATACAACACTTTATCGCCTCCTAAACACCGAGATCGATGCAGCAGATGCCCTCGTTCCTTACGCACATAAGCTGCGAAACAGACTGCAGCCACGGCCACGGCCCCCGAACTGATCAGAACTGGGTACTGGAACTGTTCCGGCCGCGGGAACACAATCGTCGACGCAAAAGACAGCATCTCGAAGATATTCTGCAGAGCCATTTCAGTTGCCGAGAAGCGTGCCCGGGCATGCTCCTCGATGTTCTGTATGGAAAATCGGGCCTTGTTAGCATTGGTGGGAAGTGATAGCCATGGGCGGTTTTAGAATAAGACTTACGTCTTGTACAAGAAACTGGACCGAGAGGTCGAAGCCCCAGAGCCCAATACGACTCAGGGCCACCCCGGTAATCAAGCTGCCCGCAACTAGCCGCGAGTTGGAGTCCCAGAAAGCAAAGGCTGCAGATGCGGCGGCCACGCAGCAAAACTGCCAGTTCAGGAACCACAACCCGGATCGAATGGGCCCGATGCGATTCATGATGACGGGTGCTGTCCAAGTACCGGACAATTCTGCTGCTACCGAGCCGATGCGCATGCAGCTGACCTGTATCGGGGTGAAACCCGTGTGCAATAAATAGGTGGTCATCGTTGCTGCGAAGGAGAGGACTGTGAGATAGAGCAAGCTCAACGCAAAGGACGCAAGGAACACAGGGTTTGCAATGTACTCCTGCCAGGGGGCTATAGTGTTCTGTAAGTAGCTGGCTACACTCCGGGATGTGTGGTCGTCAGATGAATGGCTTTCCTCATCTTCGTTAGAAAAAGCCGGTGTCCGTGTCAAGGCAGGGACCGATCGGTAAACCTGGAGCCAGTAGAAGTGTCAAAGCCCTGGTATCAACAGAAAACCAATTGTCGTAAAAACCAAGGCTACATACCTGCGCAATGGCTACATACTCGATCAACACAGACGCAGTGTTCACACCAAAGACCGTCCAGATAGCAACCCGAGTCGACAAGCTTTCGATTAAGGAAATGAACACTGGCGCAACAAGCTTGCAGAAAAGATCAATCCGCCTCATAGATGCATTCAAGTCTGTAGTCACAGATTAAAGTCAGATAGCCGAAGATAATGCCGAGAATGTTCGAGTCTTGCTCACCTTGCCGGGGAGCATTGATGCTGTCCGAGATCACAATGGCCTAATCATCAAATGAAGCGAGTAAGTCTACATTCTTCTTGCGGCAAGTCCAAGCATATCGCCTTGGGGCATACCCAGTCTCGTTCCACAGCCACTGTATTAGCTGCTGCCGCCAGTTTCTCCATACAGGCCAGCAAGCCGACCAGGACGAACAATCCAGTAGTCATAACCCAGGAGTCCATGGGCATCAGAAGGGCAAGAAAGCACAGACAGGATGCCGCAACCGGGACTCGTTGCCAGACTGGAAGAAAGAATTAGCCCATTTGGTATACCTATATCTCATCTCATATGATAATTCTCATCGCCCTACCAATTGAATGCCTCAATGCCACTAATCGATCCGACTGATCGACCCGCGCACCCAGCCAGGATGATAGCACGACGGCCGACAGGGCCCGAACGAGGGCGTAGATGGATGCATAGAGCAAAGTGCCCGGGAAGATCGAAGCCAGGAAGAGAACCGCACCAAACTCGAACATGCGCGAGTTCCAGGTGGACAGAGTGTGTGAAATATAGAGTCGCGTTAGCACTGGCTGGGCTTCTGTGGTGGCCCAGTTAGCCGGGGTCACGGCCTCGGCAGAGGTAGGCAGAAGAGCCTCGGAGGCATTGGGCTCGTGAGAGACTCGATCCGCCTGTTGCTGCATCCTGTAAACCCAGGACTTTACAGTCGGGCAAATTTTTCACGGTGTTGAAGAGAATGTTGTAGATAAACCGTGGCTCTGTTGGGGGTTTGACGGATCGACGGTGCCGCGGGTGGGCTGATGAGAACCTTGGGGGAGTTCACCAGTTCCCGCTACAGTAGAATTCACTATGTAGAAAAACATCGACTAAAAATTCCCTTTCTTTGTAGTACACGACCTATCTCCAGGAAAATAACAAAAGAAAATTACAGTGTCAGAATAGATCATCTTCCTCTCTTTATACCCACCGCAGCCCATCTTCTTGCATGACTGTCCGCCGAGCCAGCACGTCGGCGACCTTCTCACGCACGCCCTCCTTTTGGTTACACATCTCGACGAATTTGTTAACAACCTGCTTCTTCGAAATTCCGTAGCCAGCCTCGGCGGTGATGAACCTTTGGATTTCAGCCTCGGTAGGGAGGGCAATGCGGCTGTGGGGGGATTCTTTGTAGTCTTCCTTGTCAAGGAGCTTCAGAACGCTTTCATCTTCGGGAGCATAGAAAAAGGCGTCAACCTCCTCTTGGGAAACCTGGTCCAGCGTAGCGGGTTTCCACTCGGCCTGGCGCGGTGGCTTGGAAATCAGACGAGCGCTGACTCCCTCCACAAAATCTGGGTGCCGCATGAAGTTGGACGCGATCTCGTGCTCCCGCTTGAAGGCCTCAGCAATGGACCACTTCTTGCCGAGCCGCAACTGGCGCAGCGTCACCTTCAGCGAGGTTGGGGAGCGACTCGACAAAGTCTTCAGCGTCTCCTTTGCCCAATGCTTGTACTCGGTCTCGTTCTTCAGGGCCTGGAAGATTTCCTCCACCGTGTTAAACTGGAAGCAGCGGTCAATCGCGGTGCGCAGACCACCACCCAGCAAGATGGGTTCCTCCTGCAGCGAGGGAAGGCCGAGGGAGTACTCCGCTAACGTGTTGTTCACAATGTCGACACGCTGGTCGAGAGTAGAGTGATCCGAGAACACCAGTTCGGAGAGGCGCTGGGCAACGTTGCTCAGGACACTTGAGTGCAGGTAGTGGGTGGCAATGCCCGAGTACAGAGTTTGCACACCATTCAGGCGCTCCGAGGTCAGGGCCAGGTAGGTTCCGATCTCACCATCCAGCCGGGGCAGGAAAAACGAGGCGCCCACGTCCGGGAAGAACCCAATGGAGGTCTCGGGCATGGCAAAGACCGTCTTCTCCGTCGCAACCCGAAACGGGGCGTGCATGCTGAGGCCAACTCCACCGCCCATGGTGATTCCGTCCATGAATGAGACCACCGGCTTCGAGTATGTGGCAATCATGTGGTCCAAGAAGTATTCCTGTTTGAAAAAGTACGACGACTTCCGTTGTCCTTCCCCCCCTTTTTCTGGTTCTGTAGCGCCAGGGCCGCAACATCGCCACCGGCGCAGAGCGCCTTGGGCCCTGCTCCCGAAATGAGGATGATGTTTGCAAGATGAGATTTCTCCCATTCCTAATCATCCAGCTCTTAGCATCCAATGGCTCTGTGTTGCATATCAATTGTACTAACCTCCAGCCGGGGCGCAATCTTCCGCACCATCGATCCATTCAGGGAATTGAGCTTCTGAGGTCGGTTGAGCTCAATGCTGCGCAGACCGTAGATCGAATTGAACAGGACGTCATCGGGTGGATCTCTAGGTTTCTCTCGGGGAATTTGGGGGGAAGTCGACATCTAGCAAGAATGAGCGTGTTATTCCTGGGGTCTCACTGCGTGTCTTTCGTACCGTAGCTGCCGTCAAGGCAGGGTTGGTCACTTTGGCGCGCAGGGGCATTGCTGGCGAAGGGAACCGCGAGATCCAGCTCGGCGGCGAGAGACGACAGGAAGGTCGAAGTAACATGAGGACCGAGGAGTGCCAACCGGCGAGAAAGGGGGATGGGGGTGGAGGTTATAAGGACAATCAGATGTTCTCCGCTTTACTTTTGACCTCGGGAGTTTTTTCTCGCTGGATTTTCTTCCGCTCCGAGGTCGACTCGCCGCCCGGTGAACTACACCACGTCCAGGATTATTTCAGTGGGAGGTTTACGTCTGAATACTCAGAATTAATCGAGCTAACTATAGATAAATTCCTCCGAGAGTCCTCGAGAGGTGGGATTCGTGGAAGACTTCTAAGAAACTTTGCCCGACAAACTCCTCGGGTAAACAGTAGATAGTTGGTATTCTATTTGTACAAAGAGCCAAAATACAAGACGCCGATTCAACACAGGCCGTGAGGAATCAGTACAGAGCCCTGGCGGGCCGGTTGTTCAAATCCCGCGAATGCGCCTTCAGGATCCGATCCAGTGCCTTCTTCTCGATAATCAATCTCCCAGTCTCCAAAAGCTTCTTGACATCAAGATCCGTGCGGCCCATCAGCTTGGCGTGCTTGCTGAATTTTTCCATCTTGACCAACAGCTCCAGATCAACATCCTCCGTAATGAAGGTGGACCGGCCCTTCCTCGAGTTCCAGCCATTTGTTTCGAGAATATTCTTCACTAAGAACGGAGTCGATTCGCTGGGAAGTGAAATTTCATTGTCGATGACGATCAATTCCCCACGCTGGAACCGGTGGCTGAGAGCAATACGCCAGGCCTGGTCGTAGACCTTGGCAGGCAGATCGGTCGAGAAATCGCGAGGGTGAGGGCCGTGGGCGACACCACCACCTCGGCGGACGGGCGACTGTCTGTCACCAGCACGGGCACGGCCAGAGCCCTTTTGGGGTACAGCTTCCTGTGGCTGCCGTTCACATCGTCTCTCCATTTCGTGCTAGCCGTACCATGTCGGGAGATGTCGGCTTCGTAAATAACAGCGCGGTGCAGGAGATCCTTCCGAATGGGCATCAGGAGATGCTTTTCAGGGTATTCGACCATGCGAACAGGTTCCATCGAAGGGAAGTCGTAGGTCATGACCAGAGCAGGGGTCGGGGCCCATGCCGTCCCAGGGACGGGTGATGAGGCGGTCGTAGTGTTGATCTGGGCTTCTGTTGCCATTGAACGTGTGAGGCATCGCTGCTGTATATTTCACAATGGTTATCAGTGTCATTTAGACCGGGGCAGCGACTGGGAAGAATTGAATTGAGATACGTACCGTCACTCGCTCCGGTCCCGACAGAAGACCGCCTGAGCTGCGCGACAGCAGTCTGAGCGACCGAAGAATCTCGCTACCGGGCATTTTGAGAAGCCACTGCAGCGAAGACCCGGGGTGGTTGATCAAGAAGTCTGAAGTGGAAGAGCAAAAGTTGATCAGTTCCGGGGAGGCGGTGGGCGCTCGCAAAAGTCTTGGCTGCGCGCAGAAAAAGTTCCGTCGGACAACAACAACTCATCTTCCACTCATCACCACTCCCCGAAATTCCTCTTGGTCACCATGGCCCATTGCGAGCGGGCGTCTAAACCGCTGCTCCAATGCCTTCGCAACACCTACTCTAAGGGAGTAGCGGGCATTCCGATCCAGACACGAGCCTTCCAGTCGGCAGCTGGTCTTGGAGAGGCCCAATCCGAACCGACAAGCCAACCATTCTACAAGGCGCCTGATCCGTCACTTGTCTCGAGTCCCCGGCTGGAGAGACGGTTGTTGCGACAGGGCACTTCCCCCATTGGGTCTCGTCGCCGACGTGCCGCGTTGCAGGGTTCTTCCAACATCCCTTTTGAGCAATTGCCCTACCAATGTTTCCAGGAAGCACGAAAGGTTCTCCTTAACGATCGGGCAGAGAAGCTGGAGCAAATTGAAAAGATGAGGCAACGGATTGCGCGGGTGGAGGCTTTGTCCCTTGAAGAATCGGGGGGCGAGGTACCGCGCAAGTCTCGACTGCGGGCGATGCAATTAGAACTGGAGCGTCTCAAGATCCTGGCCGATGTCAATGATCCGCTAGTCAAGCGAAAGTTTGAGGATGGTCACGGTACGTTGCCATCCTGTCTCTTCCAGCTCAGAAAAACACAAGCTATGTTCGAGTTGAGACTGACCTCTGGTTTTCATTTACAGGCGATATGAGCAAGCCTATCTACCGATATCTGGCCGAACGCAAATGGCGAGAGTACCGCCGCAAGATTCTAGTCCAAAGAATCACGCAGATGAAGGTTGTTCCGGATGTCCTGCCTCACTGTGAGCCGACCGTAGATACCAAGCTGTATTTCGGCAGGCGTCAGATCCAACCCGGCGAGTTCGTCCAAGCCAAGCTCAGCTCAACCGCCCCGAGAATGGATGTACAGATGTTCGAGCGCGGAGAGAAGCTGGTCACCATTGCCGTGGCTGACCCGGACGTGCCCAACGTGGAGACGGACAACTTTGATTACAAGATGCACTTCCTGGCTGTCAATGTCCCCATCTCGACCACCGCCACCAAGCTCGATCTCTCCCAGCTGTCGGCCGATTCCCAGGTCGTCCTCCCCTGGCTGCCGCCCGTTGCCCAACTGGGCAGCCCTTACCACCGTCTCTCGGTCTTCGTCATGGAGCAGAAAGACTCCCAGCCGCTCGATTTCGCTGCCGTGAAGGACCGGGAGACCGACCGCGACAGCATGCTCCTGCGCACCCTCCAGGCCCGGTATCGCCTCAAGGCTATTGGTGCACACATGTTTCGCACCCAGTGGGATGACACGACGCTGGAAGTCATGAACCAGATCGGATTCGACCAGGCGAACATCGAGCTGCGCCGGAAGAAGGTCGAGCCCCTTCCCTACAAGCGCAGGAACCCTGCCTCGTTCCGGTAATCGCCGTCTTCGAGTATATTGTGTTGCGTGTCCGGTGTCGCTTTTTGAGTATAATTTTTGGAACTGTACAATTGATATGTATGAATATGCACACTGAGCCCACATCCCCTCTTGAAAAACACCCAACTCCGTGTATATGCTCCGCAGACCCAATGCCCATTGCTTGACCAAGGTTTTCCAAGTGCAGTAGACTTAAACATCCAATTGCGCCGGCTGCATCGTGTTGCGCACCCATTCCATTTTCGACGGCGGCCAAACCCGCGCAACGATTTTGCCATTGATCAGCCCCATGGGCACGGGGCCGTAGTTTCTCGAATCTCTCGACCAGGGAAGGTTATCGCCGGCAAGAAAGACATGGCCTTCGGGAACCTAGCTCGGCGAGTATGGGTTAGCAAAGCGGGACAAATAGAAGGATTCAACGGGCCATGGACAAAGAATAAGAGGAATATGAATATATGAAAGAAATAGACATACCTGGATCATATCCGGCTCCTTTCCAACCTCCATACTAAACGGCTGATCCCGACAGACAAAATCCCCGGGCATGCCCAAGACCCGCTTGGCACCGTGCACGCCCAGAAACGTCGGATGGTTGAATCGCACCACATCGCCGACCCCGATCCCATGCCCGTTTCGGTGAATGCGCGAGATAAGCAGGTAGTCGCCGCGCGGGCTGAAGGTCGGGTACATGGACGGGCCTTCGCTGAGCTGGACGGTCACCAGGTGCTCCCACACCAGCGTGCAGGCGCAGAACACGCCGGCACCGTTGAGCGCCAGTCGGGCGATGGCGCTGGCGCTGCTGTGCCGAAGCGCTGACCGGAATAGGTGTTCCATTGGGTAGCGAGGTTGGAGCTGCTTCGAGGCTTGGAGGTTCGAGGGCTGTCGCATTTGATGATCGGGAGGTGGTCATGTGACCCCACACGGAGCTTTAAAAAATCCAATTTTCGGGCGATCTTCTCTTCCCTTCCTTTCCCCATCTCCGCTGAGTTGCTGTCAGAGAACAACGCCCAACACAAAGCAATTGGCTTTTGTCGTGTCGACTGCGATGTTCGGCAGGTCTTTCTGGTCCGCTCGGCCGCCCATTAATGTTTCGTGGGTTTCCGGCCGAGCACCAGGTCTGTCGTGAACCGGTCTTGATTCTCCAGAACAGTCGACTATCGAATGTTTTGCAGCATTATACATACTCTCAGAAAGGGGCTATGGCAGATATCATATATCTTTGCCTCACGCCTTATACCTAAACACACCATCGCTTCTAAAAATGCTAGAGCTTGCCGTCGCCGAAATTCAACACCAGGACGAGCGAGTGTGGACAGTGAAGCAAGATGAACACAATCGGCCGTTCTTTGAACAGCCATCCCCCAGCCTGTTTCAATCTTGACCCCATTTCATTATGGGACTGGGTTCTTGAAGCAGGTGCGGTGGGGAGACATCTATAGATTGAATATACCTTTCTTTATCTCTCATACTTATGACTCGTTTTCTGTGAAATACCACTTGCTACTTACTTCTTTTTCTGCGCAGCCTGCCACATCGCATCGGCATCTGAAAACAATCATACTGTCAGCGAGATCTATAAATCAACCCACAAATCACGGGGGCAAGACCTACCAGGATGCTTCTCAACCGCCCCAATTCCCTCCCTCTTCTTCGCCTTCCGGCCATGATCAACCCCAAACCTCTCATCACGATCCCCCAACAACGCCTTCAACCCACCACCAGGCCGCGCCACGTCCACACTCTCCGCCGATGTGAAACTGCCCATCAGCTGCGGCGGGCCCATAGGCACAGGGTCGCCGCGGTCAACCTGCCAGAAGTGATAGGTCTTGCCATAGATCGGGGCAATGTCCTCCATCTCGGCGGTCTCGGCGGCCTCCCACGCAGCGGTGGGCACGCCCGTCGGCGCCGGCATGATGAGCATGCCGCTCTTGACCTCGAACTCGTGCGTGTGCCACAGTCGCCGCTCGTCGGCGGGCAGTGTGGCGAATACCCGCGGCGAGACCATGTACTCGATGCCTATGAGGCGGGCGTTGGTCTTGGGTGAGTCGTAGATGAGGCATTGGCGGGTATCTGGGTTGCGGTTGTGTATACATGGTCAATTTTGCATCCTGTCTTATTCGTGTGGATGTTCTAGCAGATTTGCCCGCTTCTTGAACAGTCTTCAATTGTCTCGACTGGGCATACATACCCTCCGTCAGGTGTGTGCAGTAGTGGTTCGCCTCGACACATCGAGTCGGGTCCTCGGCGTAGATGTGGAATGCATTCAGGTGCGCGCAGATCTGCTTGACGGGCGTGAAGTCTTGCACCATGGCTGCTCCGGTCTCGAGGACCCGGCTCTTTGCTGTGCGAGGGTCGCCTGGGACCGCGCTGGTGTCGGGGGTTACGCTTTTCGCATACGCAGACATCCTGTGGATATAGATGGTATATATGGTTGATAGTGATGGAATGGGTAAGAGGCTGTAGTAAGTACTAAGAGCAAACCGATAGATTCGAGTGAGTATTGAACTGGCTCTGGACAGTCCCTAGTAACTATATGAATAGCTTGACGTCACGATGATTGCTGATTTCCTGTTTGGGGATATATTGTCAATTGTATGTCACGGCGGGAGGGTATACTTTTCTCTCTTGATATATTCGGTATTCATAGTATTAATAGTTGGGAATTACTTCTAGGGGAATACCTCCCTCTATATTACTCAAGTATGGCTAGCTAGGGCTGTCGGCGTGAGATGGATATAGTCCACGATAAAGAGTCAAGATGTAAAGTCGAGAAGAGCCACTAGTCCAACGACTGACTCATTCTCAATAAGATACATAGACATGCCAGGCCATGTCGCATGTAAAATGATGGATATCCTCCATTATCAATTTATCAATTTTCCGGTCTGGCCAGGCCAGTTCGAGGCATTAGTTCTTGGTAGCAACAAGCGACGAGGACCGAGCAAAAGCCAAGAAAGAGGCAGAGGTCCCCCTACATTAGGTTGCCTACCTTACTGTCGTTGCCTAGACCAAGTAAAACCCAAGAAACCAAGCATGGTGACTGCCGCGTACACTTACATGGGACATCCACAGGGGTACCTCGGTCGAGCGAATCTTGCCATGAACCTTGACGTGACTTTTTCTTCCTTTTACACCCTTACCTTTATTACCGCGATATATATTAATATTAAATATATTAACATCCATGGATCATGTATTGATTTTGAATTTTTCTCATTGTCCTCGACCAGGATACATCAAGTACATATAGGGTTGGTAAGCGGCACAGTTCTCTTGTTTTGCCTTTTAGGCAAGAGACAGTCACCAGATCCACTCGAAGGAAGAAAAACGCCTTCGAGCCCCCTCTTCAAATGAAATCAAGCGCTATGGACCAACTGGGTGTTTAGTGTGCCATCTCACTGCAGCTGTTCGCAACCCCCGCTCTCCTCTCTGCGGCTGCAATGATCTTCTCTTCTGTGAGTGCCCGCATGACAAAAGCATGCTGTAGTGTCACCGGGGGATAGGAGGGGAACTCGCATACGAAGAGTCAGGGTCGGCCCCTGCATGTAGGCTGGTGGTTTTTTGGTCTTGGTTTGTGTGTGGTACACATTCATGAAGATAAGCATACCGTGCCGATCAGGACTTCCCTTGGACATTGGGAGTGTACATTCGAAAGATCAGCATTATTCCGTGGTGGATTGTATAGGTCCATGGGTAGGTGTGTCGGTGACAAAAAAGGAATGGATCATATCCATCAACCCAAGCACAGTTATGAAGCAACGGCAGAGGAATCTGGGGACAGGGTGATTGGCGCATAAGAAACCAGCCATTAATGTTATTCGGGTTGAACGAAGGCGCCAGAATTTGTTTCTTTCTCTTTTCTGCTCCGCCACTTGGCGTCGCAAGTTGAGAGTCGAGATCGGCCCACACCGGGGGGCTTCTGTGGCGTGCCAGGAGAACATAGACTGGACATAGTATGTCTCTCGAGTCTCCAATTTGCCCAGCAAAAGGACATGTAAGAGAGTTTGAATTTTATCCGGCAGTTGGAGTATGACGAAATTACTTGGTGGCACGCCTTGCTGTCGGGCATACGTGTCGATCTATAAAACCTGGCGATGCGCCAGGCTACGGTGTGTTTGGGGTTGATTCGAATAGCCGCTGAAGTACATACAGAATCATCATATACGCAGCCTAGCTCTAAGACAGGCAGCACACAATAGGGTTCAGCGTTTCGCGGTCGGAGTTTCAGCCACGGTGATTCCTGTGATCGTCGAGTCTCATTCCACGCATTCAAAGTAGGCGAAACCCGACATACACTGGATACACGAGAGACACAGTGTAGTGTTCATCACGGCTATCAGACCCTTTTTTCATATGATGATGATGATGATGATAATAATAATAATTACTATTTTATCCCGACACTACGCCGTAAGGAGGTAATGACATGCCACTAAATAAAGCCAAATCGATTTAGCCCGCATTCCTTGGGGCTACCAAAGGATTCGGGCAATCATAAAGCTCAGTCAGGAACATCTGGAAAAATCTAAAGCTGAACCCTCCCTTTGCAGTCCCATGGAACGGGGGGACCCATCGTTGGTTTCTGCGAACATACATAGGGGGGTGTAGGAAGTATAGGAGTAGATCAACACCCGATCTGGTCATGGGTCTCGGAGAGTGACCGCCATTTGATTGATCTGGGACTATAGTCCGGGAGTTGATTTATTTGATTGTATTTTCTGCCTCCTGTCTGTTTCTGACAATATTTCCAGGATGCTGATGAGAGTCATGATTGACTGGACGGGCAAAGATGGATCCCTCGACACGGGACAACCAGGCCCGCCTGCTACGGTGTGCTCAGCACATACTCCAGAGATCGGCATTTCACCTGGGATTGTGTCAGCGTCGGGGCCAGGCCCACCAGGAGAAAAGGGAAGAAAAAAGTGGACATGGGAATTTCTCCATTTCTTGCCCTTCAAAGTGGCCCCTGCAGTGCAGGAAGTGGGGCTCTGCAATTGCGTTCCGAGCGGCACAGACTCTTGGGATCGTGTCCCGTGTAATGTGGATGTGGATGTGGATGTGGATACCCATGGTATGGATGAGGTGGATGTGTTTTGCCTAGTCCCCTCTCTGGGCAACCGGGCGAGAGGAACAAGAAGGAATACAGATCTGTTGATTGTATACGCTATGATGTATGACGAGAGAGGATAATAGCCCCCAAGAAACTAATCAAGATCATCCCAAAAAAAAAAAGGAACTAAACACACGATCTGATCGTGTGAATGGTGGCTCTACCGCCCGTTCTCTCTGGTGACACAGGCCCCAGTTTTTTCTAGATTTCTTTTATGTACAGCATCGGACTATGAACGGTAGTCTCCAAACTATCAAGAAATTGGCCCAGTCCCCGAGTCTAATCCGAGATGAGGATAGTATACAAATATACAAAATGTAAAATAGTCAAAGATGCGCGAGACTGGTCACATTGGCATTCATCCTAGCTCCTTTCGCCCCCCTTGGCATAGTGTGTATTCCTGTTGGGGGTCCCGACCGAGTATATACCACCAAAAGGGTAGATACGATGAGCTGACTCTTTATTTTTAAATTTTTAGAGCCACCCTAGATCCACGTTGGTACACCATCTACAGTCTCCAGGGTGGAGTTGGAAATGAGTTGGACACATCCTGTGCATACTCCTATATACACACAATCTTGTAATCTCGGCGAACACCCTTCTCTAAGCCAGAAAAACACTGGGTTCCACGTTGGAACCATGTATAAGACTAGCCGAGCTTCCCGGCCTCCAGCGATATGGTTTGGTGGCGGTCGACTCACCCATTGAAACACCCCCCACTTGGAGACAGCTGGGTCAATTAGGGATTTCTTTGTCGCACCCAAGCCTTTGCAGGTGATACTTAGGTAGGAGAAGAGAGAGGGAAGTGGGAGGGGGTAAGGAATGACCACGCAATGTTGATCCAGATCAGAAATGCAGGTAGCCTCACACACCAAGCCCCAAGTGATTAATTTAATTTTTTTTTTCTTTGAAGGACTCGGGCTCATCCTGAACCGGGTGAGTGGTCCGATTCAAGGTGATATGGGGGGACTCTACGGAAAATAGCCCATTTCTCACCACTCCCGGATGTATACACCTCTTGAGTGGCAATGCATCTGCACGCAGAAAAAAGAGCGAGGCGGGTATGCGCGGTTCATCGAGACCGGGAAGCCTAAGAACATGGGAGACAAAAGAAAAGAATAATAATAACGGGTTGGGATCTGCTCCACTTCTTTTTTTTTTTACTTTTCTTCTTCCCCTGTCGAACAGAAAAAAGGATGTGGCCGATCCCCGAGCCCATCACATTGTAACCCTTGCGTAACGGGCTGACGCCATGTATGGTATGTTTCCCTACGTATACTAGAACTGGAGTAATCTTTGAAAGGCCCCCTCCAGACTAAGAGAGTCAGAATAATAGAGTAAGATAGTAAACAAGAATAGCTCTGCGAGCTATCTTAGGCATTATACTAGTAATGCCCCCAGGATTGGGGCGCCCTGGCTCTGAAGGAAGAAAAAGGGCCAAAAACACACAGCCTTGCCGATCAGCATTCCGGGCCAAGGTTCCTGACGCTTGGATATGGGATATACCCTGTTAGATACATAGTATACACTACTGCATCCAGTAGTGTATACAGTGTATAATACACACGCTCTTCCCCATGTTCGCCTCAAAAGCATGTTTCCATGTCCCGTAAGATCCCCACCGGAAGATTCCCCCCCCTGTGGGTCCTTTGATTCATCATACCTTCGCCCTTTATTTGGTTGGGCTCGTTTCGTTAGTGTCAACGTCGTGTCATCTTAGCATGTGCGGTGGGATCGTGGAGCTGGGGCGGATGGCAGATCCTCAAGGCTCCCTGCATTCCTTTGCTTCCTATAATTACTTCGCAGCCCTACCTTCTTCTCTCTCTTTCTCTTTGCCATCTCACATTCCTATCTCTGTCTCTTTTTTTCCCCCTGGCTGTTCCGTCCCAGGAGCATTGGCTCTTGGTTCACTTCATATCTTCAGCTACGTCAGCGTTTCTAGGATCCATTTTGGTCGGATCCTGACTTGATTGACTTTCCTCGCCCGATCATTTCTTACTAGTTTATATGGCCGATTACTGCTGGCAAACGCAGGCCTCTCCGACAGGCTCCCAATGGCTTTCGGGAAATGGAATGTATGACCAGTCGACCATGCAGGACGTGGCCTGTGCTTTCCCTCGACCACGACACTCCCGAGTCATGAAGCCTCGGAGTGCGGGCACGAGCCCATCGTCCACCAACAGGAGGAAAATGGTGGCCCAGAGCATGATCCATGGACTGCCAACCCAATACCAGTCCTCCCTGGAAGCGGCTCTCCTCGCTTCGACGGCCCGGGATTCCCGTCCGATTAGTTGGCACCCGTCCTCAGCCCGGACCCGAGGCCTTTCGAACCCGCAATGTATGCCCGATTTCACCTCGGAGAACTACGCCGCCATGGGGGCCGTGCCGGATCCCTCGATGGACCTCATCCCCGACTACACCGACGAGAACATGCTGTCCTACCCCATGTCCACGGCGCTCTCATTCTCCCCCAACGGCTATCTCCCCGTCTACCCCGATACCCAGACACCCTCGCTGTCTATGCCTGGCTCGCAGGCCGAGCCGATCGCGTGGGATGTCGTCACCTCGGCCGATCTATCGACGATGTCCGAACCGCCCTCAGATGGCTGGTCCCTGGACATGCTCTCAATGACCAATCTCCCTCCAGCCGAAACCACCTGCCCCAGCTACGCCAGTGTGCCCTCGCCGGGAGAATTCAGTGGACCCTCGACGCCGGACTTCCTCCCTATTCAGCACTTCGACGACGACTCGGGACCCAGCTCTGAGACGAGGACCGAAGAACTGGTGGGAATGGGCCTCTACAACCAACCTGATGGCTCGCTGGCCGGATCTGCCCTGCAAGGACCGTCCGGCAAGGGCTTGAAGCTCGAGGAAACATTCAGTCCGTCCGAAAAGGAAAAGGAAGAATGCATCGATGTCGAGGGCAGCGAACTCGACTCGGTTCCCTCGCAGCCCAGCCCGGGCCAGTCGATGCCAACCGCCCACGCGGTGAACCCTGTCGTTTCGAAGCAGACGTCGAAGCAGGCTTTGAACCTTCTTCACAAGTCTTTCTTCTTTGACCACGACGATCTGGATCAGCAGGCCATGACTGCTGCGCAGCCTTTCGCCAGCTTGAACCAGCCTTGCATGAGTTACGGATATGGATGGATCTGAGATCATCACTTATCACTTGACCACATTTTTTTTTGTCTTACAGCGGCATAGCGTGGAGTTTTGTTTTGATTTGGTCGATTGGCGCTGGAATTACATGTATGGATACCCCGGGATGAAATGGCTCTACAATACCTCGCTACCTTTGCTTTTCTACACTCCATCGGAGACAATTGAATTGACGAGATATACTCTTGACCTGAGCCTTTCATGATCTAGTAGACACATTAAGCACAATAAACTATTCACAGTCTTGACTACTGGTATAGATTCCTGCCATATGATTGGCTGCGGAATTAACATGGAGACCGGCGAAACTGTCCTAATGGATCAATATTGATCCGTCAATTTTTCGAGCAAAAAAAGAGCAATTGCACCAGGTGGATAGCATCGTCGGGGCTTCAAAATAATAATTCCCAGTCGGCGCCCGAAAATGGCCAAGGTTATTTTCACCGCGTGGAAGAGCAAGGCTCAATTACTCGATGTGCGGACCGAGTTCTATCCGTCTCCTTCTTACGATGGGCCCGACCTGCGTTCCCATGCGTGTGCTATGGTACGTATCATCATATTTGGATTTGGATTCTTTTCTTCTTGTTTCTGTTCTGTGGGCTTGATAGATCTAACAATCATATAGGTTGAGGCCTGGAAATTGCGTGGCAATGTCCCGCACCACGTCGAAGCCACGGCCCTGTTGACGGATGCCATTCTCCACGACGATGCGCAGACCAACTCGATATTTTCGATTCGGGCGACCTACTCAGCTGCTTTCTGTCGGTGAGAATTATTCTCTCTCCCGCTTTCCCCCTTCCTTTTATTTATGCTATTTTCTTTCCTTGCTGTATGCCTGTCCTGTCTACTAACCAATCGCAGATTCGTCACCGGCCTCGTAGACACCAAGATCCCCGGCCAGCGCAAAACAATGTTCCAGCGCGCTGTGGACCTAGGTCTCCCAGCTTCTTTCGTCGAGCTGCGCCACGAAGCAACGCACCGCGAGCCGCCGTCGCTGGTCGTGCTACGAAAGGCTGCGCAGCGCTCGCTTGAGTGGCTGTGGGACAATTACTGGGCTGACATCAATGACTTGGGCGACATGCCTTCTGCCACGCGTAGTCATAGCCACGATGATGTTGACCATGACAGCACATCTCTCGAAGCGGCCCTGTGTGACCTGCTGCGCCCGTTCTCGACGGGCAAGACCTCGGCTGAGCCGGTCCGGAAGAAGCGAAAACGGGACCAGGAGCTGGCGCTTGCGAGCCAGTTGGTTTCTATTTGCGCGGCTGAGAAGGACGCTGTGCGGGTGTTGGCTGGTGTTTTGCTGGGGCGGTCGGTGGTTATCCCCTCGGATCGGAAGTGAGTTTCTTCTTCTTTTTCTTTTCTTCTTTTCTTACTCCCTCTCCCTTTCTATGCTTCGTGCTGACGCTATTTCTAGACTTGGAGACTCGATGAATGACACCTTCGACAAATGGGATCCTGTGTTGCAGACGGTCACCGAAGACCATCCTTCATTTCTAAGGTACTTGGCCGAGGACTTGGTGAACCATTTGGCCTTCTACAACGCCAATCATGACAAAGAGAACCCCTTCTCCGAGGCCCTCTTCCTATGGCTGGTCCATCTCTTGACTTCGCCGGCCTGGAAGCATCATAGACACCTGTGTCCCTCCAGCTATCTTTTGCGGGTCTGCAAGGAACAACCACAATACTGGACGAAGATGCTGGGTAACCGACTACAGGAGGAAAATGACATTGCCAACCCAGCATCCAGTATTCCCTCGATTGCTCTAAACCAGTCTTCAACGGGGACGACCTCCGACACCGCTTTTGCATCCTCAGACACCTTACGCGCGCACGGATGGGGCATGTTGGAGAAATGGGACAGCCGACCTCTGGGCATAGTGTCCAGCCGGTAGATGGTATTCTGTGAAATATGTGAGAGATGTGAGAGAGCTAACCATAGTCCTGTGCTGCTGGCAGCACATACATAATTGCACACCTATAGGATCCCACCAATCAGATGTAGTCGCATTACTCAGATTGCCTGGAAAAAGTAATTATCCGAATGACGTCGCGATGGCAGGGCTGCTATTTGCATTAGTAATTCCGCTGATAGATTGCCCAGTGAAGTCCTATCTCTCTTGCTTTTCATCAGTGATGAGCTTCGCTCGAGTGGCTCGGTCTAGTGGTCCTCGTCTCTTTCGGTCACACCAAGTCCGCACCATGCATGTCCACTCGATCCCCATGTGTATGTGGGAAAGCTCTCCCTGCCGTTGTCTTGTCACGGATGTGTGCCCCAGTTGACATAGCCGCATTTGCTTACTGAATTAATTGATTTCTTTGCAGGGACGGGGAAGGGCAATAACTATGCCTACCTCGTGACGGATGAGCCGACTAAACAGTCGGTCATCATCGACCCGGCGAACCCACCCGAGTCAGTGCACTTTTTGTTCTTATTAGCTGAATGGGGAGGGCATTGCATGGAAATGAATTGCTAGACTGACTTTCGCTTGGTTTTTCTAGGGTGGCGCCGGAACTCAAGGCTCAGCTGAGTGCTGGCAAGATTGACTTGACGGCTATTGTTAATACCCACCAGTATGTCTTTGGTTTCTCCCGGAGGGCTGTTGTCGGATCTTACTAACTCCATCAACAGCCACTGGGACCATGCCGGTGGGAATGATGAGATTGTATGTGATTGGATGTCTTTATTTGATTTGATGAGGATCTATGTGGACTGACATTTGTGTTTAGTTGAAACAATTTGGTCAGCTCCAGGTCATTGGAGGCAAGAACTGCCAGTCGGTGACCAAAACCCCGAAGCACGGGGAGGAATTCAAGATTGGTGAGCGCATTTCGGTCAAGGCGTATCACACTCCATGTCATACGCAAGACAGCATTTGCTTCTTTATGGAGGACGGGAGTCAGCGGGTTGTTTTTACCGGTGACACCCTGTTCATTGGAGGTATGTTCCTACACAACTACTATACTTCCCGAAATCCTTGTCATCAGAGTCTGATCTCCTCCAGGATGCGGTCGGTTCTTCGAGGGCACTGCGGGGGAGATGCACAAGGCATTGAACGAGACGCTTGCATCTTTGCCGGATGACACCAAGGTTTATGTAGGTTGACTCCCCTCGGCCTTTGCTTACTGTTTACTCACACATCCTAGCCTGGCCATGAATACACGAAGCAGAATGTCAAGTTCTGTCTGAAGGTGTCTCAGACTGAGCCGATCAGGAAGCTCCAAGCCTTTGCGGACCAGAACCAGCAGACGCAGGGCAAGTTCACCATCGGTGACGAGAAGGTAAGCCATTAACCACAGCCGTTTTTTTTGCAACCAAAGCTAATCTGTTTTAAGCTCCACAATGTCTTCATGCGCGTCCACGTAAGTTTCTCCCCACTTCTGTTCATTGCCAGCTGCTCACTGTATAAATCCAGGATCCCGAGATCCAGAAAGTAACCGGCAAGACCAAGCCGGTGGATGTGATGGCTGCGCTGAGAGAGATGAAGAATTCCATGTAGAGTACCCAATATAATCTTTTCCTATCGGGATCTTGGTATGGGTCCCTGGCAATGTCGGCTTACCCGAGGTTAAGTCGGGCCGCCAAGACACGATAACAGCCCTGAAATCTCGTAGCAAAGCGACGCCTGCCTTTCTCATTATACAATACCCCAGGAAAAAACAGACCGACAAGCCAAAATGTGTTTTGAGTTTCGATTGCGGTTTGGTGAACCCTCTAGCTCTGAGGCACCGAGTGGACCGACGTCATACCCACTTTCGTTCCGGACGCTTGCAGCCCACATCAAACCACAGCTCCCGCCATGACAGCGTGATCCCCACGCACTCCTCCCCAGTATCTCGGCGCGATGGACCAAGAGGATCGAAAGGCGTCGTTGACGAATGTGGACAACGTATGTGCGCTGCGGGCCTCGGGGGAAGTGCTGATACAGAACTGATCAATGCAATCATAGAGCCTTGGAGGGTCGAGCGACACAGAGACTCAAAACCAACTAGAGGTACAGCTCTTCTGCTTCCCCCGTTACTACACATTCCCGACTAAAAAGTGACTCTCCTCGTGTTTTTCTTCTAGGTCGTTTTCTACCCAGACTCCAGTCACCGCCGCAAATCATCGCTGGTGACCATGGACAAGCCCAAGGTCCGACCCCACCTCGATCAGCAAGACAAGACCACGGCCTGCTACGTCCATTCCTTGATCGCCGGAGAATGGACGGCACCGCCGCACACTATCAAAGATACACAGGATGGAATGCAGCCCGTCAACGAAGAACCCGTCGCTGAGCCCAAGGCAGTCGACGAGGACGAGCTGGTCTCGGTGATTGACGGCGACCCCAGGACTATCAAGCCCGCCCCGACGATCATCCAGTCGCGGCATCTGACCAAGCGCCAGCTCTCGGACATGGCATGGAACGTGCGCAAGCTCTCCAAGAAGCTCGGCAGCATCAAGCTCAAGCTCACTGTCAAGAATGTCTTCGTGGTGTGCAAGGCCCATGACGAGTCGCTCGTCAGCCTGACGCGCAAGGTCACCCGCTGGTTACTGTCCAAGGAGCGCGACGCCCCGTACGTCGTCTACGTCGAGCAACGGCTCGAGACACATCCGGATTTTGGGGGCCTGCAGCTGTTGGAGGAGGAGCCGTCGGCCAAGGGCCGCTTAAAGTTCTGGGATCCCAAGCTCGCCCAGGATCAGCCGCAGCAGTTTGATTTTGTCATCACCCTCGGCGGAGACGGCACCGTGCTGTATACCAGCTGGCTGTTCCAGCGCATCGTGCCGCCCGTGCTTTCCTTTGCCCTCGGCTCGTTGGGCTTTCTGACCAACTTTGACTTTGCCAACTACCAGCGCACTCTTGAGAACGCCTTCCGCGATGGCGTCGTGGTCAGTCTGCGACTACGCTTTGAATGCACCATCATGCGCAGCAAAGCGCGGATGAAGGACCCGCACTCGCGCGCACTCACAAGCCGTGACCTGGTCGAGGAACTAATCGGAGAGGAAGGGGAGGATACGTTGACCCATACGCCCGATTGTGTCTACGAGATCCTCAACGATGTGGTTCTCGACCGCGGGCCTAATCCAAGTATGTTGTGGTTCTTTGCTTGCATGCAATGTGCTCCCCCACCTTCCCGCTAACCACCCCGGCGCAGCCATGTCTCACATCGAACTGTTCGGGGATGACGAGCACTTCACCACTCTGCTGGCGGATGGAATCTGCATCGCTACCCCAACCGGTTCCACCGCATACAACCTTGCCGCTGGCGGTTCACTGTCACATCCCGAGAACCCGGTGATCCTGGTCACTGCCATCTGCGCGCACACGCTGTCCTTCCGGCCGATTATTTTGCCCGACACTATTGTCCTGCGCATGGGCGTACCCTATGATGCCCGGACCAGTTCCTGGGCCAGTTTCGATGGACGGGAAAGGTGAGTTCACCCTCTAATTTCAAGAATTATAGCTTTGAGTGTTCATTCCTAGTTAACGTTACCAGAGTCGAATTGCTGCCCGGCGACTATGTGACCGTGTCCGCATCGCGATATCCCTTTGCTAATGTCTTGCCGCCCGGCCGGCGAGGCGAGGATTGGGTGCACAGCATTTCCAAGACGTTGAATTGGAACTCGCGGCAGAAGCAGAAGAGCTTCAAGTAAAAAGCAAAATGGTGTCTATGTTTTAATGTCTTTGTGGAATTGCACCGGCCACAGGGGTGGTCTTGGAGTTCATACCGAGGCTATACATTTTACCAAAAGGAATTCAGTTGATTTAATTGATTGCAGCAGAATCATCAACATTCTTTGTCGCTGCCACGAAGAAGGGTTTTTTTTTTTTTTTTTTTTTTTTGAAAAGTGGATCTCCAGAAACTTCGTAGGGTTGCCCCCGGCAGCTCCCGCCTATAAAAGGCCCTCGTTGCCCCGAAATTTTTTTCTTTCTTCCGCAACCTCTTCAATCTGCGAGATTGTCTGATGCGACATTCCCGTCTTTTTTACACTGTTTATTTCTCTTTGTACTAACCTACTACCTTCTCTCTCTTTTTATATTCTTCATTCTTTTTAGCAACTGACTGGGTAAGTCGCAACATTTTTTTTTCTCTCCAGCTAGGGCTCCGCGCCCTTCGATGATGAAAACTTTTTCCTACATTCGCAGTTTCCACGCTAGCCGTCGTCTTGAACCCATTTCAGGCGGTACTGTGCGCAATATCTTCCTTGGATGTCTGACTTTCTATTTTGCTGGATTTTTTTGGAAATCTTTTCTTGGCTTGATCGTGTGTGATGAAGCATACGCTGACGTCTTGTTAAGCAGGGACTTTTTTTTTATCCATCGTCTGGATATTACTCCCATTGGCATATCTCCTATCAGCATTGAAGGTCTTGTCGAACACTGTTGACTATCTACGTTGGCTGGTCAAGGTTCATCGTGGATTTTGGGCAGTGGGAGGCATATACCTGAGACGGGTGTTCTTTTCAAGAGCTGTCTAGGAAGCATAGCATGATCAATGGAATTTCAATCTACAAACAGTAAAATTATCTACGTAAATTTCTTTCAGTACTCGATATCTCCGTAGCAGTAAGATCCAAATTCCACGAGACTGCACCCGAGGCCGATGTGCTCCACCGTACACCTATCTATCGCCCGCGATATCATCAACACCTCTCTTTCTCATGATCTTAACATCTCACATTCCCTCAGCAATTCTACCATGACTTCACCAACCTGATTATTAGCTGCGATTTTTTTCTTGACTCCATCCTGATAACCTCTTCCAATACCTCCGCTCCGAATTAAGCCATCCCAACCCAACCCAATCTCGATCCCAACCCACCATGGCTACTCCGCTCCGCCAGTCCACAATGCTGTCCGTCAACAACAGCGCAACCCCTCAATCCGCCTCGAGCGACAAATCACAATCACCGCAGACGCAAACCCTCTCGCAGCCGACCCCGGGACTGCGCGTGCCGTCCAATCGCAAGACCATCTACGACCGACACCTGAACCGGAGTCGCAATGCCGAGCTCAGCCGGGCTAGCTTTGCGTTTTTATTTGGGGAGATGATCACATATGCCCAGCGGCGGGTAACGGGGATACAAGATCTGGAGAAACGGTGTGTCCTGCGTCAACCATATGTGGATATGCACTCGACAAGTCCATTCCATATTCACACACATAGACCCAAGGTTACAAGTTCCATAACTAACAACAGTCCAGACTTAACGAACAAGGCTACCCCCTAGGCCTCCGCCTCCTAGACCTCCTCTTCTACCGTACAACGTCGACCTCCTCCTCCGCCCTCTCTAGCTCCTCAACCTCCTCGTCGCCCCCCAATCGACCCCTCCGCATCCTAACCCTCCTCCACCTAATCCACGGGCCCCTGTGGCGGCTGCTCTTCGGCCGATCGGCCGACGCCCTCGAGCACTCCGTGTCGCCCGACACCCCCAACGAGTACATGATCACCGATAACGACCCGCTGGTCAACACGTACATCAGCGTGCCGCGCGAGATGAGCATGCTCAACTGCGCCGCCTTTGTCGCGGGCATCATTGAGGGCGTCTGCGATGGCTGTGGCTTTGAGACGAAGGTCTCGGCTCATAACCAGCCCTCGGAGATGTGGCCCAGTCGCACGGTGTTTTTGGTGCGGTTTGGTGAGAGTGTTATGGAGAGGGAGAAGGTTTTGGAGAGGGCCGGTGTTAAATAAATTACTTCCATGGATGATGTTATTTCGAATCTGATTCATTCAGGGAGTTCTGGAAGTGTATACAGAGTCTGGGTTGGTCTATGTCTCTTTTAGAAGAAACCCGTTCCTTGTCTGCCCCATGAGGGAGGGAGAGTAGTTAGTAGGAGGCAAGTAAACATAAAAAGATTAAAAGGGTTAAAAAAAAAAGGATTCAGGGACATGTCCCTGAATTGAACCAAGGACCTGCGGAGTGGTTCCCACCCGAAGGTAGTAAGTGTTAAGGATAGAACAGTTATCTCAGTTGGGTCTTAGGAGCAAGCCAGCTGCCCTGTGAGTATCCCCACTCGATGATCGCATCAGCCGGGATTTCACAGGACAGTATCTAGCAGGTCTGCCGAGAGCTGGTAGCCACAACTATCAACAGCATTACCACTAGGCCACCTGCCCTTGGTTCGTTGAAGGGTGACCCTGGACCTAAGACTTAAGGGAGGAGAGCAAACAATTTCCTAATCAGGTAATAGGCATCATCAAGTCACATGATCATCCACAACTTTTCCTGAGGCATCAAACAAAGATTCTGGAAATAAATAAAATAAAAAACCAAATTTCTATTCTATTCGAAGCGCAATTAAAACAAACTGCCAAAGAAAATAAACATTGGCATTGGTTCATCCCTATGGGGGTTTCTTTGTAGAAGCCTGTTCTGGTGGACGAAGCACAGCTAGACTCTCATCTTCCAGAACCTATAAATCCTATGTACAAACAAAACGTCCTCGGTTGGCGGCCAGATAACACCCCCCAGTGCAAATGTCTCCAGGCTCCAGGAGAGGAAATGCTATATAACATACAAGCAAAAAGGAATATCGAAATACGTAGATTCTCATAGAATCAGATCTCCATCATATGCAATGTTTATTTTTCCCAAACGCCGCGCCAACACCAATAGATGGTGTGTCTATGCTTCCTTTTCAAGGGTCATGATGTACTCTCCACTCGGCGTCGTTTCTCACGGTCGTCGTAGGGCGACGGGCTTCGTTTGCGCCGCTCGCGGGAACGACTTCGTCCAGATCGCTCTCGACGAGGCGAGAAGGACCTCGAGCGAGACCGCCGCCGCGGCTTGACAGTACTGGCATTGGCACCGGTCGGGCCCGTGGCGCGCTCGTCGCCGCGGTCGGGCATGAATCGCTCGTCGGTGATACCGAGCGGGGGAGCCTCGGGGCGGCGGCGGCGGTTGTCGTAGCCCTCGCCGAAGCGGCCGGTATCCTCGGAGCGAAGATCGCGGTAGCGCGTGCGGCCCTTCTTGCCGAGCTTGGTCATGTCGCGCACCTGCATGTACTGCGGCAGGGTGTCGCGGTTGACGTCGTCGACAAAGTGCGAGCCCATGACATTGCGCCGATCCAGACCCTCGCGCTCCAGGTCGTCGCGGAAGTACGCGCCCTTGTGGAAGTACCGCTGCATGAACCCGGACTGGCCGCGCGCCGCGTCCCGCTCTTCCTTTTGGTTCGCCAGGAACTCGCGGTCTTCGCGGTCGCGCTCCTCCGCGGTGAGGTTGCGTCGCCGCTCGACTTCTTCGCGCTCCTTCTCGGCTTCCTCGATCGCCTCGCGCGCCCGCTTGACTCGCTTGAGCTCTCGCAGCTTCCATGCTGCGTGCTCTGCGTCTGCGTCCACCCCGTCGCGGTCGTCAATTGCCTCTTCTTCATCTGCTTCCACGAGATTGTCGTCGTCCCAGGCCTTGTTCGCCGTTGTGCGCGCGATTGCCTCTTTCTCCAGCTGGTCGCGTACGAGCATGTCTGCCTTTTCTTGCCGTTGCGCCCGCCGCGCCTCGTTGTCGGCAGCCGAGTCTGCTGCCCTGGTCGATGCTGATGTTTGTGCAGCCGGGTCTTGCGCATCCGCATTGCAGCGTTTGTCTTTCTTGATGAACGTCGGCCGGATGAGCATCCGCCGCGGCGCCTCGTCTTCCGAACTGCTTTCCTCCTCCGAACTTTCCTCTTCCTCTTCCTCCTCCTCTTCCTCGTCATCGCCTACTTTCGGAACCGGAGCTGGAGCAGCCCTCTGTACAGCAGGCGCTATCCTTTCAGCGGCAGTCGGGGCTGCAGCCTTTGCTGCCGGTGGTGCTTTGGCGCTTGTGTCATCATCCTCTTCTTCCTCGGTCTCGAAACCTTCCTCATCCTCGTCCTGATCTTCCTGAATCTTGTGCACTGCTGCTGCAGGGAACGATCTCGCTTTGGGAGCTTGCTGTCTGCGACGTTGTGCCTCGGCTTGTCTCCGTCGTTCTTGTTCTCGTTGCGCTTCAGCGTCTTCTTCTTCCTCTTCTTCAGATGATGAGGGATCCTCGGCGATCGGCTTCCCGGGTCGATAGCGGCCCACTGGCTTTAGAGGGTTCGCGGTCATCCCGCGGTGGGAGGAGGGGAGCGGAGGCGGCATCGTGGCTGAAGGGCACTAGGATGGTTGTCGGGGAGGATTGTAAGACGTGGATGATCGCGGTGTGCCACGTTATAATGGTAAATATTTTTCAGACTGGCGAAGACTTGTCCATTTATGAGGAATTGGGAAATGGCAGGGCCGTGTCTGATCTGAGGTTGAAGAGTTGACTTGAACTGACGTCGCAAGAGCTTTCGCCGATGGAGTCACGTGAGGGTATACTAGGCCGATCCCTTGAAGTAGAACACCGAGCTGTGTAGTCAAGGATAAGATATAGCTATAGATAACACGGTTAAAACTATCAGAAAGGGTCAAATATGGACTCAAGTGAATACCAAAAGAATAGCAGTAATCCCGATCAACTTGAAGACAAATTTACAACATCCACGTGACCACGCGTCCCGCGCACCGCGTCGATCATCGTTGCTCTGCGTCCAACTTCAACACCCGAAGTGTCCCACCAATCACTCTCTGGATTAACACGAAGTTCCCTCGCTCTATTCGCATCGAAACACCTTCAACTACAACATCCGACCACCCTCCAAATCGGAGAAAAAAATGTCTCTCCAAACCCCCCGCGTCCTCCCCGCCCACCTCCACGCCTTCCACCCCTCGAGCGCCGGCGCGCGCTCAACACACACTGTGCGCCTGCTGGGCACTGTAACCGGACTGCGCGGCGACACCGCCACCATCACCTGCGGCGGGAACGGCGATGTCACGCTTATCCTGAAGCCGGACTCGCATCTGCAGATGGGGAAGTTGGTCGAGGTGGTGGGGAAGGTGACTGATTTGGAAGGCGGGCAGGTATGTGAATTGCCAAATCCTCTGGGGTTACCTACGAATCATATACGGTTTTTCACGATTCATTTGGTTGGTTGCTGACATCAACTGTGTAGGGCCTAGGAATCCGCGTGCTGGGTACCATGGATTGGGGGAATCCTGCTGAATGCGGTATGTTAATTTTTTCCTCCTTGAGACTGGCGGAAATGAACCAAATTTCATTTGCGTTATGGTCATAAACACTATACCCTGAACGATCTGGCTGACATTCCATCTGTAGACTACAAGGCCTATGAGAACGTCGTCGACGCAACACACCGCTTCAAGTCCATCTTCTACGACGCAGAGTAACGGCACACCTCATGGGAAACTCATATCTTTACTGTTCCTGGAAGATTATCTCTTTGGATTCAAGGCTGAGCTCATGCTGTGTATGTGTCATAAAGTAACGTCCGGTGGGGCTTAGTTCCCTAGAGTTTTTTTTTTTTTTTTTGGAGTATAGGGACGTACTAAGCTATGGAGGGGAATTCTAGGTAAAGGACCGTTCCCGCCATATGGGAATCCTATAAATTTAATGATGTTGATGCCTTGATAGTAAAGACAATATTAGACCATGCTCTCCAAGGTCACGGCTATGTCCGAGGAATGGTGGGGACGGAAGTAGGGTTAATTAATCTTACAGCTCGACGAGGCTAAGAGGAGACGAAATAGCATGCGTTGTAGGCGTCTAGGGGGCGGAAATAAGAAATGGTTTAATTACATCGGTAGAGAACTGTTGGGATTCAATTTTACAACCATCGGTGAGTGTGATTGTTTCCCCAATATGTAAAAACAGAAAGAGGGTACGTACACCGAGTCAAGAGATCGGCACACTTCATAATATCATAATTGGCAAGGAAGCAAAGAGTCTGCACAGTTCACGAGTCAGGAAATGGCGCAGATGGCCCCGAAGTATATGGGTCTGTGGGGTCCAAACTATAGACGGGACTACAGTAGATATAAATTGCGGAGTATGTTTACCTTTCTTTCTTTTTTATATCTATACCATATACCAAGCTTACTTCCTCTTATTTTCCCACCGAACCAATCGCCTCGTCACACATATTCTTCTTACATTATGCAATTCCTTCGTCTCTTCCTCGCCGCTGGCTTCGCTACCTTGGTTGCCAGCGATTGCTCTGTGGTTCAACCAGGAGACCGTGACCCAGTCGCGACAACGCCCGCGAGCGGCCCTCAGCCAAGCCGTATGATCACTCTTGATAGGTCTTTAACAGTCCATTAGAAGGGAAATATGCTGATTAGATTCATTTGATAGTGTATGGCAACTGCGACCCGAATGCCCCTGAGCCCTGCTGCACCGCTGGTCTCCCCTCGGACCGTCACATCGAGTGCAAGGCCATGGGCGATCAGTACTACTGCCAGATTGAGGGTAACTGAATGGAATCAAAATATGGGGTATACCTGTAGCCCCGGTTTTTTTTTTTTAGAGTCTTGCGGTTTTGGAAATGAAATCCTCGTTGATCGAGAGTATGAGCCTATGTGTATGTACGTAGCGTAAAGTGAAAGTAGGGGAAAGCTGAAGTACAGTAGGAGAACACATGAGACCAAAGACAAGAAAGAAAACAACTGCCCTTTTCCCAATTTTAGGATGTGCTTCCAATAGTGTGTGACTCAATCAATGTCAATGCTTCTGAAGATTGCAGGGTCGATAAGGAATGTAATAAACCAACATCAAGTAGCACCCGGCGCTCGTGCTTCACTACATATCACTAGACTAAATGATACCAAGCCCTGCAATCCTGCGATCTCGACGTCTACTCCCTTGTCATTGTGCATACGAAATGCAAATTATCCCAACCCTACTGAGCCAGATGCATAGAAGATATAGGGAGGAATGGTCGATCTCGACCATATGTAGGAATTTATATTCGGTACAGGTTCATGTACAAAACCAAAACATTTATGCTCGAACCTGTCTGGGTAATGATCTACTTAGACCGAAGTTATCCTATGTACTTAGCCATACCTGAATCTTACCCACAACACTACTAAACTTCATTTAATGGGATGATTTGTTCAATTGATTCTTTATTTTGTGTTTGAGATTCATTTTCAGCCACAGGGAAGAAGTACCCCGAGCAATAATCGATCATCTGGCGCCTCAAACGAGTGCTTACGCACAGACAGTATAGCGAATATGCGGTATAGAAGGTCATCAACGGACTCTCCTGTCTTTGTATAGTCATCGCAGGGAGGAGAAAAAAAGTGACAGAAAGAAATGTCATAAGAGAGGGCATGTAGCCACAGCTCAGCTCGCCAGAATGCAACAAGATCATAACCGTCCCAACCCAGACGCCGACGCTTTAAAAAAACTCAAAAATGAAAAGCAAAAGCAAAAGGTACAGAAAAAGGAGAAATCTAACCCAACAATGAACAAAATATAGCCCCTCATGCTGTAGGAGACGTTACCGGTGGACCGGTAGGCTGCTCATTGGAAGAGGCCTGGGGTTTTGACGCCAGACCGGCGGGATCCGCATGAAGAGCGTCGGAGCTGAAGAAGCCCGAATCAGGGACAGCCGAGTCCCCAAAGTTGAAGATCTCCGAGTTCTGGAGATTTTCCTTGTGGATGTCAGGATCGGACAGGATCGCATTGATGAGATCCTCTGACGGATGCTCATGGTCGTCGTCCGATCCCGCTGGAGACACATAGTTGGACGGGAGCCAGTCAGCCCAGTTGTCACCAGCGAACTTGTTGTTCTCCAGCTGGAAAAAGGAGTTGGGTTGGCCAGAAGCGTCATCGAAAATGTCCAGGATCATTCCATCGAGCGACTCGAAGGCCTCTGAGTGCAGTCCGCCATCTGGCAGCGCGGACATGCCGTGCTTATTGGGAGAACGGTGCTGTCGTGGCGAGGGCCGGGGGCTTCCCTTGCTTTCTTGGATACGCTGCAGCCGCTCCGCAGACAATCGGGTTGGCGTAGTGGCAGAGCCAATCTCCTTGCGCTTGTTGATGGTTGGCGAGTTGCAAGGCAACGGGACCCGTTTATCGTTGAGAATATTCGCCCTCAGGTGACGTCGACGAGGAGTCGGACTGACGGGCAGCTCAAAGTCAACGCTGGGGCTTTCGAAGAGCCCGTCGAGGTCGTCTTGCGGCGTAGGTGCCTGGTTTTCCTTCTCCTGACCTCGCTTGTCTTGCGACGCAATGCGAGGGCTACGTCGAGGGGAGCAGCTGTTGACGGACGAAGTACTGAGCTCTTTGAGGGGCTCTTCATTCTGTACGCCAGGGAATAGCAGTCTCCGCACCGGCTTCGGCGTAAGGCTGTCAGTGTCACCGCCTGTCGTTGGAGCAGTGCGAGATTCCACGTTGCGTGCCGGGCTGGATTGAACGGCCCGTCGCAGCGCCTCGACGGCATCTTGTTCCTCCCAGCGATTTTCAGCAATCTCAGTCGACCGCGGGGGCTCAGTGCTGTTCGCACGGCGACGCTTGCTGGGGGGTGCTTCTGTATCATCATCCTGGTCATTTTCATGATCAATGTCCTCGGCGGGCACAGAGGAGGCCTCGGTGGGCGCTGGAGAGGACGCCTGGGGCTTGGTCGGCGCGGCCTTGCTTCGAGTCCGAGTTGCAGGGCAGGGATTGGAGAGCGGACCGCCCTTGCGGCTTCCCGAAGGACGTTTCTTCTTGTTCTCGGAGCTTTTGATCCACCTGCTCTCAGGACGCATGCTTCTGAATTTATGGAGCCAGAGACCACAAGGGTTGCAGAGGAGTATTTGCACGCAGTCAGCGTCGCGCTCCATGCTCTTCTTGTAAATCTTGAACTTGCATACTTCGCCGTTCGTATTTCGCTCCATGATCTGCCAGAACAACATGACCGGGTTTTGCATCATCTCGGCAGCGAGTTGCTCTCCGCCTACAATCTCCTTTGACCATGCTCGACGCCATGTGGGGGTCTCAATTGTACCACAGTTTTCGCAGTAAGGGGGAACTTTCCCATTCGCAATGGCCTCATCCAAGCGCGTCTGCACCCGCTTGGCACCCGCCCCTCGGCGGCCCGGTGTCAACACTATAAAATCGCTCATCGGACCAGATGCGCTCTGAGAATGTTTGAGAGGAGGGCGAATGGGCCCAACAGGGTCACTGGCAGGGTTCGTAATATCTTTCTTGCGCGAGGGGTTCGCGTTCACCGAGTTCTGAACCTGAATCTGTGACACGGGCGCCAGCACTGGTGGTTTTGGTGCGATCCGCACACCACTCCTCGACTCAGGTCGAGATCCCGCCGAGGTATTCGGACGAGAGAGCGGGGGCGCTGTTTCCTTGGGTGTCTGTTCTTGTGGACCATCGCCCACAAGGCAAGAATCAGATGGATTGACTGAAACTGTACCAATGGCGCTAGCCGGAGAACTGGCTTGGACGGCTGGGCGCACAGGGGGCTTGTCCTGAGTGATATCGTGGGAGCAAGCTCTTCTGGCATCTTCCAAAGGCGTGGCAGCATCCTCACTCAAGAAATCCTCCAAGCCCCCACTCATAAAACCGGAATCTGTGTCCAGGGAGATGGGGGGCAAAACAGGACTCGACCTAGTCGGGAATCGAGTCTCCATGATTGGGGGAGAAGATGGCATGGAAAATGAAGGCTCGAAAAGACCCTGATAGCGAGACTCCTCGGGCGAATGACCCGTGGGGTCCGTAGCAATATTATCATCGCTAATGTAATAAGGCGATGTGTATCCAGTGCTGCTGTTGGTTGAGGATTCTCGCAACAGACTGGTGGGAAGCCGTCCTCGGCGGGGAAGACCGCCGGGTCGAGAGATCGGGGTGGGTGGACGAATAGGCTCATCGTGGGACTGTTCAGCTGCAATAGATGGGTTGACAGGAGTCGGACGGTGGATTCGAACGGAGGCCGCGGTGCTGGCGGCTACTCGCAGTGAGCTTGGGTGCCTTTCGATATTCATATCGGACTTGCCCGGCCAGCCGGCCTGATACACCTTGGCCCTTTTCCGCGGTTGAGGATCGATGCATTCCTCACCACCACTCCCATATCCTGAGTGGATTGACCCTCTCCGTGCATTATAGGATGTCTGTGTCTGGAACTCGATGTCCCGCATCGAAGCGCTTGAGGAAGGGCGAACCAAATCATTGTGGGGAATGCCCTGTTTAGATTGGGACTGTTGCTGGTTTGGTACTCGAGAGCCCCCTGGGGTTGACATCCGACTGGGTGCAGTGAAAGAATGTGTAGGCGACACTGACCGGACCGACTCGTTTCCAGGGAACGTAGAAAATTCTCGAGGCGTGGATCCTTCGCTCAAGATTTGATGAAACCTGTCAATCCCGAACTGGTTCATAGGAGATGCGGGCTGCTGGCTCCTGGAGGATTCCGATAGACCGGGATTTTGACGCATAAAGTTGGACCAAGCCTGAGAATCGTAGTCGTGAGGGACGGCATTGCCAAATTCCCGGTATTTGTGCATATTGTCGAGATACTCGTTCTGGACGACCGTGGGAACGGGAACAAGGCGCAGTTTGACTTCCAGCGTCTCCTGGGCTCCCTTCGAGAACAGTCCTAGAGGATTCTTGCACACCCGACCAGTCACCATTGTTTTGGACTGGTGTGCCGGTACATCCGGTGTTGGAGAGGAAGAAGCCAGGACCCATGACAGCATTCCTTGACCAACCAGGGGGTTTCATATTCGGAGTAATCGTAGGCATAAACGGTGTAGTCTTTGCCTAGTTGAGCCACCAATTCGGGGCTGAGGAAAAGCCATTCAGATTAGTATTCCTTTTTTTTCTCAGTCGTCAAAGGGGGGAGGGGAGACCAACCTGGCAGATACAATTGCCTGGATGCATGTTTTCAACTCAATCACTCCTACCGGGGTCTGCTCATCCAGATAGGCAGTCTGGATGTCCAGCACATGGGGCCACCGGGCAAGGCAATTCGTCTTGTTTTCATTGTCAAACGTATAAAGAACCTTCACTGTTCAACGAGACCATTTAGTTTTGGATTCTCCAGATAGAAACCGGGGCAGAGCTGGAGAGCATACACCTCATAGGGCGGACGGTGATTCCGTCCTGAGACTCCATCTCCCCAAAATTCGCGTGTCCACCATGCACAGAAAGCTCAACAAGGCCAGATTTGAGGGTGATCGAGGATATTGAGAGGGGCAAGGTCGTAATTTCGAAGTTCAAGACAAGAAGGCGATCTTGAGGCTGGAGGGGCGGGAATGGAAAGACGTTGGTTTCACTTCACACCGTAACCGGAACAAAGAAAATAGAAAAAAAAAGATAACCGAAGAAATGTGCGAGGCTATCAATCAAGCATATCCCACAGCAACCTCGTCGGCCGGGAGAATGCGTAGGTTATGCAGCAGAAGGTAGTGGAGCAGCCTATGTCTGCAGGGACTGGAATGTTAGCAATGATTGACGCGAGTTCCTACCAAAATAGGGGCAGAGGAGAGAAAAAAAAGGCAGGATTGACCGCTCTTACCAGAATTCAGGAGTCCGCTGCACCTCAAGGAGGTTGGGGAGGGGTGTGAAGGGAAGAGAGAATACCTTGCATGGACCCGAAGCTATAGAGACTAAACAAGCGTGTACGCGACGTGACGCAGCCAATCGCGACCTCGGGAATCCACCAGGCGCGTGCGCCTTAAATGCAAGGCAGAAAGTCTAAGGCAGCAAACCTGCTAGTCAGGTGACCTATTCGACCTTGCAACCATCAAAGTCCAGCGGCACCTGCTCCAGCGACCTTGACAGCCCTTTTATAATCGCCGCCATGTCGACCGCCCCGGACCCCAAGATTCAGTATGATCCCTCTATGACTCATTTAATTACCCAGTGCTAACCAGATGCTCCCACAGAGACCTGCTCAACAAGCCGAAGAGCGAGCTCACGTACGTTATCCCCCTTGGATGAGATTGCGAAGAGACCCTTTTCCCCGATCGCACCGATTCTGCCAGTTTCGATTTCCTTTTTCTCTGTTTCTGTCTGATTGCAGGGAATTGCGGGGTTGTTCGCCTTTGCACCCGACGCCTGCATTTCACATTCCCATGCATGCCGAAATCGCATACAACCGAAAAAAAAAAGAAAAGGAAAAGAAGGAACTAAAAGACTGATCTTTCATCTTGCATCTAACAGGGAATATGAGGTCGCTCTTGTTGAGGAGCATGAGCTCACCGCTGGCCCACTGTCCCTCCTGCAGACCGCCACCCGCACACACACCCAGGTCCTGATCTCCTGCCGGAACAACCGCAAGCTGCTGGCCCGTGTCAAGGCTTTTGACCGACACTGCAACATGGTGCTGGAGAATGTCAAGGAAATGTGGACCGAGAAGCCCAAGGGGAGCAAGGGGAAGGGTGTGAACAAGGATCGCTTCGTGAGCAAAATGTAAGTGGGAGCTGCCCTCCCCTCCATCTCGCAGGACCCCTCCCCTTCCCTGTCTGAAGGGGAAGAAAAGCGTTTCGCGATGAGTTGCTATGAATATAGGCTGGCTGTCATTTTGGGAAGTCTTCTAGCTTCGAAAACAAACTAACCAGTCTGCTTTCTTTAGGTTCCTGCGCGGCGACTCTGTCATCCTTGTCCTGCTCAGCTGAGCAGCTTCTCATATCTCTCCCTCTCTTGCGCACTTCTATCCCGCCCCAGGTTACATCCTGGAATATGCGAGACGGATGATCTTCTCTGCCGCCTGCACAGCCAATCCTCTCTCATCTACGAAATCTCTGTGCACGAGTCCCACATCTCGTAATCGATCTCGATACCCTAGTGTTTCTATTTCTTCTTCCTCTGGGAAGAAAAAAAATTCAAGCCCCCACGACATTTCCTTGACTCTCATGCGTTCTCCCCCTTGCTTCTGGGGGACTTGGCCATTTGGATTAGATGGATTTCCCAGTATCGATCCTGCAGCTGGTTGCGTACCCTACATCTCTTCTTTTTCTCCGAAAGTAACGGTTGCAATTATGCAAAGAGCAAAGAGGAGTCGGAAGAGAGGGAAACCGGGGGGGATCCTGGTTTGTCTTGTTTCATCCACGTTGGCGAAGGTGGACTTTTAAGAAAGAAAGAAAAGGCCGGGCGTTCAGTTGTGTTGTTGCGATTGTTTCTTTTCCACTTTTGCTGAATTCCGCTGTTACTACAGGGAAAGTATCATGACCCTGGCGCTCAGGTAGGCTAGCAATGAATCCTGTATGAAAAGGCCATGGAAGGCCTGCATATTCTAGCTATGTAACTAGTGACGGTGATTCTTATCTGGCTTATCACCGAGTGCTGCCCTACCTAAGTCACCTAGCACACTTGAAACACTTGGAATCCTCGTAGACATTAGAGCATAAATTAGAGATTTAACCTCGTAGCACTTTACACTAATGAAATGCTTCCATGCAGTCATCAGAAATCTCATTTCCTCTACAGACAAGCACGTCATGAAGGAATATCATTGTCATTATCATCATGGGATTATAATAGAACAAGACCACGCCCAAGGCCGAGGTCAGTGAGAGAGTAAGGGCTATATATAGGAAGTGGATAAGGGTGAGAAGGTAGAAGAGGAGAGAGAGAGTTTAGACAGCCTCAGCAAGACCAGTCAAGAACTCGCTCAGACCAAAGGCACCAGGGTCAGGCACCTTGCCGATCCACTCCTCGACACCACCAACATACACCGAGCGACCCAGGCTGGCCTTCATGGCCTTGGTAGCCTCAGTGCCCTGCTGAGCAGCGGCAGCAGCCACACGCGGGTCGAGGGTCTCGACCAGGGTGTCGGCGAAGGGAACCAGGGCGTCGACCAGGGTGCGGTCACCGGGCTTGGCGGGGGTGTACTTGGCCAGGGACTCGACGGCGTGCTTGACGGCCTTGGCCCACACCTCGGTGGTGGCGGGCACGGTGGAAGCCTGGTCCTGGGCGCGGAGGCCGTGGGCCAGCGCGTTGACGAAGATGGCGTAGATGGCGCCCGAGGTGCCGTCCATGACGTTCTCGATCACCGTCACGATGCGGTTCACCGTCGCGACGGCGTCGTCGTTGAGGCCCGCGGAGGGGTTGTCCAGGAGAGCCTGGATGGCTTCGGCGCCACGCTTGAGACCAATACCGCAGTCGCCGTCACCGACGATCGTGTCGTAGCGGGTCACTTCGGGCTCGGCGCGGATGACGCGCTGCAGACCGGCACTGAGAACCTTCTTGATGACGGCGGGATCCACTGTCATGGCAGGTTAGCGGGGAGTGTTCCATTTTTTAAGGGGCAAACCAAAGAGCAAAGAAAGACATACGCTTAACGTTGCTGGGGTTTTCAGCGGCAAGGCGAGACTCCTGGAGCTTGACCGGGGCATCGATGGTGTGGTTGGCCCAGGTTGAGGTGGGGATGGGAGAAGACCAGCCAACGGCCTCAGAGGGAGCATCTAGGAGTTCCAGCATGGACTTGCCGGCACCCAGGCCTGTGTCAACGATCTTCAGCAGCGAAACGCCGAAGCCGAGACCGTTCAGGCTGGACAGGAAGGTGCCCTGGATGATGCGGACGGGCTTGATCTGGTAGTCGCGCTCGAGCTGGCGGTAGATCTCGTCGGTGATACCCGCCAGTTCCAAGACACTCACGCCACCGAGGTTGTTGAGCAGCAGCACGAACTGGTCCTCGGGCTTGCGCGTGATGTAGGCGCGGTCGGCGTCGCTCTCATCGAGCAGCTGGCGGAGCATGGCCGTGACCAGCGGAGGCAGATCCGCCTTGGCCCGGTGGGATCCAGGCTCGTTGTGAATGCCCATGCCGACTTCGACTTCGCCCATGGGGATCGAGTCCTCGGGTTCGCCACGGCCGGGAACGTGCACACGCTCCAGCGAGGAGCCCAGCGACACCAGGTTTTTGTTGGCCAGCTGCGCCAAGCCGTAAACCTCGTCCAGCGAGCCACTAGAAAACGATTAGTTGGGTGCACCTTATTCAAAAGAGTTGTGAAATACTACTCACCCTGCATCCGCCAAAGCACCAATCATCTTCAGAACCAGAGCACCACCACCGATACCACGGCGACCGACCTTGCCGCTCTTTTGGCGGCCCACGCCGACATCGTCGCCGATGGCAAAGAATTCCGTGCGGATGCCGGCCGCACGGGACTTCTCGGTGGCCATGCCAAAGTTCAGCACGTCACCAGTGTAGTTCATGGGGATAATCAAAACACCGTGGTCGGTGGGCACGCGGTCAATGGCCGCAATGCGGATCTGCTCGGCCGACGGCGAGGCGAAGATAGTTCCACCCACCGAGGCATCGCAGAGACCGGCTCCGACAAAGCCAGCAAAGGCGGGCTCGTGGCCGGAGCCACCACCCGTGACGATCGACACCTTGTTCGGCTTCCGGGAAGCATCTGGACGGCGGAAGACGATCTTGTGCTGCGAGTCCAGGGCCAAGGAGGGGTTTGTGAGAGTGAGCGAGTGCAGCGCCGTCAGAACCAGGTGGTTCGGATCAGAGAAGAAGTGCTTGGCTGGACGGAATTAGCTCAGAACGGTAGTTGGTGTTGTTCCCGAGGAAGAGGAAAGTGGTGGGGGGCGGGGTGTGGCCATCCCCTCGGAGAGTGGAGCGTGGAGCGAACGTACTCTGCATTGTTGATCAAAAGTGGACTTGGGGATATATAACTCCAAGTGTATATATAGAGTCAATGGAGATTCGACGAGCTTGCCAAAAAGCAGATCGAATATTTTTTGAAAGAAAAAAAAAAAAAAGCCGGCCGTTCGGAGTGTATATATATTATATATGCCGGGGTTATTCCAACCGGTTTTTGTGCTCAGAGGGGAATATCACCAATCGGCTGAATCCAAGTTTTTCGCTGAGGCTCTATGCGTCAAAGCTCGGAAATGGGATTGGACTTGCCAGAGAGTCAAGGCGGGGAAAAAGTGGGGGAGAATTGGGAAGAGCCTGGGGGATTGTCAGTTCATCTGCCTAGTAACAAACGTATAATAGAATGGATGGTGCCCACCTGAAAAACAAGGGGAGAAGAGCAGAGGAGCAGAGGTAGAAGAGTAGAGAAGCAAACAATCGGTGCAGACCCCTCCATCTTTATGCTCTCCTCCACCATTCTTTGCCCCTCCATCTTTTTTTTTTTTTTCTTTTCTTCTTTTCCTTTTTCTTCAATTTTTTTCCTGCTCACATGAACCCGATGAGGATCAACTTTCTCCATTCTTTTTGTTCCCATTGGGTCTGACGCGATGATCGGCTTGCCTCCTGCGGGAATCCCGCCAGGGGCACGTTGTGCAGACCAGGTCCTATCGTCCGAATGGAGTCATCTCACCGCCACCTTTTTTTCTTTTTTCTTTGTTTCGCCCGAGTCCACTTGGGATCGAAGTCGGCCGGGAGTGCACGCACCACTTCTTACTTCATTTTGATTTTCAATTGGATTTGGCCATTGAGTTATTTCGACTATTTACTATTTCTATGACAATGATATTTATGATATAATATCATGATATTCATGAATATCTTGCTCTGATCGCTACCCCTTCGTAGGTACTTTTGCAGGACACCCACAATCATCATTTTCCCGTGTTCCACAGGGCGCAATTGCAAGGTAGAAAGGAGGGGGGTACGTGGAGTCAAGGCATCATGGGACCAAAAAAAAAAAAAAAAAGAAAAGAAAAGAAAAGAAAAAAAGGGGGATCTCCATCCGGGCAAGGGGCCAGAAACAATCTAGACGATCCTTCGAATCCGCTGTCAGATCGAATGCTCCACGGGGATGTGGTGTGGGGTGCCAGGGATCGGAAATAGATAGAAATTATAGAGAAATATATATACCTAGGAATTATAGGTATAGAAACTAATCCGTTGAGATCATACTATCAAAATAAGAATATCACGTTAAGCATGCTAGCTCGGCTCTAACTTGACCGCATCGCCTAGAGCGAACACGTAAAATGATCGACTCCATGCCCCCCATCTCCACTCCCCCCACGCTGCTCGTGACCCCTTGCACCATCGGTGGGGCTCTTGTTCTGGGGCATGGGAATGTTCTTTGCTGTTCGATTTCTTTTTCGATTTTCTTGATAGCTGGAATTATTCATCTTTCTTCCAAGGTTATCTAGTACTATCAATTCGTATTACTACTAGGAACTGTCAATTCTTACCATGACTACTTGGCATCCCCAATGCTGGCAAGGATGTTCCCTGACTCGACAATACATGGATATCACACCCAATTCCTTGAATCGTGCATCGCAATTTCTGAAGTGTCATATGAGGCCGCAAATTCAAGGCTCCACGTGTCTGATGCGTTGTTGGGTGGGCCAATAAATCCTGGAATCTCTCTCCATGCCAAGAGCATCTCGTTAAACAGATAGCCCCCCCCCCCATAGTCAATGGTCCTATTACCACGTTGAACCTACATACTCTATGCCACATACTTGTACTGGTTCCCTTCGGCTCGCTCCATGTAGTCCTTCTCAATCAGTCTGTTCCAGAGGTTAGCAACTGGTTCATCAATCATCAAAAAGATAAATTCACATACTTTCCAATCTCCGTCTTGATCTCGGTAGGTTGCAGTGTGCCCCGACTGCGTGTGGCCTCAATCACCTCGGCAATCAATTCGGAGTGTTTGATCACCTTGCGGCTCTTCATAATCCGCACAACGGCTGCCTGCGTCTCGTAGCGTCGGTCCGCCTCGACCCGCTCGTGCGTAATCTTGTTCTCTTCTTTGGTCTCCTTGAGCTGAATCTGGTTGATCTTGATGCGCATCTTCTGGTCGGTGAATCCAGCATTCCACGAGAATTCGTCCGTCGGCGCCACCTCCTTGCCCTTGGGGTCTTTGGTCAATACCCGGTACTTGGCACATGCAAGCGATTGGAGCGTTCGCTTCAATTCCGGATCCGCTGTGATTTTGGTTAGTGACTAAATCGCATATCGTTGGGGTTATATAGCGAGGGGAAACACTTACAGAGTCCCGTTGCCTCCTTGATCTGCGGATAGCGCAGGCTCTCGTCGGGGGGATATCATTGAACAGAAGCAGTACAATCGCCTGGAAGGAACTGACCACCAGCTCCCTGTACCCCTTGGGGAACCACGCCCGCAGCTGACAATGCGCCAATTGGTGCTTCCAGCTGAGTTTCCGGCCCGTGTGCTTATTGTGATAGAACTTCTCAAAGTCGTGAATTGAGGCCGCGAGGTTCGATGGGATGCGCACAGGAACATCGGGGTAGGTCGGCCACGCCGAGGCACCAAGCACACTGACATGCAAATCCACCGGCGGGCGGTACTTCCGATCTCGCTCACGCAGTAGCGAACTATAGGCAGCCATCTCATCACGGGCCACGTCAATGTCCTTGAACATCGACTCGAGGTTGTGGGTGAAGTTGGTTCCGCATTCTACACGAAGACGGGAATTAGAAAAGCAGCAGAATGGAAGAGGACACCAACATACCTTTTTGGAGACGATCCAGCATGTTCTTTTCTGCCACATCACTTGCACTGCGGCCCATCAACAGGCGCCGCGCAAGATCGTTCTTGTAGAATGCCTCAAAGACCGCCTTGCCATGCACAAATCGGAATAGATCGAGCACCTGTTCCAGCTGTCGGTCGATCTCTGCATCCTCATCGGCCAGTTGCTCCAGTTTCGAACTCTGACTTGGCGGTATCCTCCAACCGCCTTTGAGCAGCCGGTCCACATATTTGGCGATCATCTCGCCCGTCTTCGGGTTGTCAGTGCCACCAGTGGATTCCGTCTTTTTGCCAAGATTCATGAAGTGGCCAAAGGCCTCTCGCAGAGTGTGACCCAGCTTCTCATTCCGATCAAACGCATCTCTCCAGATATCATCAAGCTGCCGTTTGAACTGGAGTAGGCGGGGGACCATTTCAACGTCTTCGCCTTCGTCGAATACGATACCCGAGCCCTCCTCGACAATGTAACTGCTGAAGGCATTTTTCAATTGGACACCGCGATATTGTCGCTCAAGCAGACCGTAGAGTTGTTTCAATGCGGTCTTGTTCTCGGCTCGCATCAGACCAAGGATATCTTTTTCGCTCAGGAGGACCGCCTCTTGTTCTGAGACCAGAGTCTGATCTAAGATTTCGGAAAGCTTTTGTTTCGTACTCCGGTTGAGGGAATACAGCCCACACCGTTCCACTTCACGTTCAATTAAACGGTGGCTGTTCTCTGCATATGACGCCAAGGGCCCTGATGCTTGTTCCTGGGCCCATGAGGTCAGGAAGATTTGCGATTGAGCAGAAAACACGGGCTCGAAATCACTCGCGTAGACGTCGAGGCTGTGGAAAAGTTCTATGGAATTCCTGAGCAAAGGCGAGTCGGCCATGATACCAGTTCTGGCCCCCCGGTCAGCAGCAATCAAGTCGCAAGCACCTTGGAGGATCTTGGGTTTGAGGGTTTGGTTGGAGAAGATGTGAGAGCGGAACTGGTTGAGTCCAAGTTCACGGAGATTCGGATATTCTTTGGTATGCATGAGGAACGATTGATCCAAATAGTAGAAAATCCAGCGAACAGTAATCTGTGGCAGGTCAGCTCGCGAAAGAGAACAGTGGCAAGAAAGGGCCTGTCTCATACTAGTCTTGTATTCCACGCAGTCCACGCCTCAATCACTGCCCGCAATGTATCAACGTCGGTCCCACCGCCGGCCCTTGTCACGAGATTTGGGCGAAGTTTCCCAGCCACGTGCTCTTTGCATCGGTCTTGGAGTTTCTTCGCCAGCGCAGGCGCCTGTCCTTGACGACACGCATTTTCGGATCCTTTGTATAATTCTTCTAGAGAGGTTTCCGGTTCCCTGCCCTCGAAAACGGCCGTCAAAGCCGCATCGAGCTTCGACCAGACCTTCTCAAAGTATGGCTCGTGGGTGGATCGCGCTCCGGACCGAAGGTTCTTGACGACGAGTTTCTTCGAGCCCACGACGGGACTGTACTGAGTGGATTGGTTCTGGACTTGGCGAACACCGGCCTTGAATGGTTTGGGTTTGACCGAAGAAGCAGCCTCCGATCCCGGCACGCTCCGACCAAACGCGGCTTTGTTCTTGGGTGGCGAGCCGGAGAAGTTGTACATCTTGCTGGGCGGGACTGGTTGAGAGGCTGTCGAGGACGAGTGCGAGGGAGAAGGCGAGTGCGAGAAGCGGGACCGCTTGTTGGACGAGGAAGAGTTCTGCCACGAAGTGCGGTGGTCGTGATGGTTGCTGTTGTTGACCAGTAGCTCCGAAAGCGTCCTTTGCGACGGCTGCGACGACTCCCCTTGATCAGAAAGCTTCCTTTTGCCGATCGACTGGCGCTTACCGCTCCTCTGCTCGGTGTCGCCGCTCAAGTGCTGCTGCATCTACCCGGTTCAGCCCGACACCGGGAAATGCCCACGGGTGGAGGAAATTTATTAGCAAAGAAGAGCGTGGTGACTCGAGATCAAAGATGGAGCATGTCCGGGTCGAAGGGGAATTCCGGGGGTTCTGCGGGATTCGGGGAGATGCTGAGGGGAATTGATGTGCTCCCCTTCGAAGTCGGGCTCCGCACGGCGATAAGATAGAGCTCGGGACTCGGCGTGATTTGCGTGGAAATTCCGATTTATGCTTGTAAAGTGTTAATATGCGTTTGGTATTTACGTTTTTATTAATATTCTTATTTCGAATATTTATGTCTATTTTGCAAGTTCAGCCTAAATTTTGGTTGTGGTTCATGTATGCCCGGGGTCGCGAGTTATCGGGAAAGATATGTCTTTTATTTCTCGGCGGCATGAGCACCGAGTTTGTTGACACTGGACAATAGTCTGATTGAGACTAGCGTTGAGAATCTTCAGTTGGATTTATTTGTTTCATACATGCCAACCCTGCGAGATGCAAAGGAATTTAATCATAAAATGCGATTAAGAGATCAACCGCAAAGAACCGCCGACACTCCGCATCGTTTATGGTACACGCCATTCCGCCCTACATTTGGCCATGCGCAGTGTGAACTGTACCTCTATCTCCACAATCATTTCAAGAGAACAAAGCTGGTCGACCGGTCTGCTGAACTTCCTGGTCCTCAAACTGCACAAGAGTCAGTAATCCACTGTTCTCAGGTTGTATCATCCATACGATTAGTCGGTAGAACGAACCTCGAGGAAATCAGTGGCGGCAACCAGCGCCATAAACGATTTAACCAATTCACAAAGAGTTGCATGGTGGTCAGGGGTGGAGCTTCCCCCGATTTTGGCAAACCGCTTGAAGATCCCCACCATACATGGCCGGTTTTCGGCCATAAAGACCCGGGTCTGCTCTTTGATTTGCTCGTTGTGGATCCCTCGGGAGAAGACAGCAGAAACAATGACTCGGATGACCGAGAGAAGAAGGTCGTAGTATTTGCGCAGCGCATCAGGGTTGTCGATATCTGATAAGGTCAGCAAGACAGTCTGGCTAGAGTGGTGAACATAAAGTGACGAACCGATGCCAATGTCGGGATCCGCTGCAAACAACTGCGACTCACGAACGGCCTCGAAAAGACCCGACTTGAGAACATAGGTGGCACCACTCTTCGTCTGAGAGAGTTGCTGCAGCAAAGACAGAAGCGACTCGTAATATGCTAGCAGCACAGGTGTGTCTGACCGGAGTATGGATTAGCAACAAATAATGGCTTTTTTTTTGGGCGTACCAAAACTTACCACTTCCCTGAGAACCCCGCAGCTCAAGCGGTAGAGTTCGAATGGCGTCCAGGAAAAGAGTCAAATAGTTGGATTGCGAGACCAGCCCCGCGAGAATGCAGTCTGCCCGGCTGTCCAGAATTGCCAGACAGTTCAGGAGGAGAAGGGCGGAGGCACGGCATGCCTCCTGGCCAGTATATGCATCATCGCAAATAGTCTCAATCAGACCGGGCCCGGCCGTCTTGATGATTTGTTGGCTGTGGTGCCGCAAACTCGCGTGAGTCGAATCAGACGACGTAATGCGGGTTATGTACTGAGAAGAGATGCTGTAAAGGATTTCTCTCAGGGACACATTCCCTGTTGCCAAGCCAATGCCTCGAATGCAGATCTGGAAGAGTTGGTGGAGCTTTTCATCAATGACATCTCCACTGCGGGAAGCAAGTGTTTTAGAGATGTCGGATACAATCCGGTTGATCAATGTTTCAGCCAACCGTGCCAATTCGAGGGCTTCTGGTAAGTCGCCCTCAATCGCAGTCTCGAGCTTCGGAAGAATCATTTGGATGGTGTGAGAGATGAAAGTCGGTCGACTCCCGTCATCCATTGCGGAACAGGTGATAATTGTGGTGATGAGCTCCGTCCAGGACCGAAGGGCGAGGTAACGATTGTGCTGAATCTGGCGGCTCTGGTTGGTTGCAAGAACGAACAACTTCAGACTTTCTGCCTCGGCCAGGAATTGCTCCTCGTCCTGGGGGCGTGGAGGGCCACTGGCCAGCAATTCTGCTTTCCGAACTTGGATCAACTCCTCCATCTCAGCAATGTTGTAAAGGACCAACGAATCCTCTTCTTGTTTGGCGCAAACCTCAAAAGCGATCTGGTCAAGCAAGGAGAGCGCAGGGGGGTTGAATTCCCGTCCAACATCAAGATCGGCAAAATCAAAGAGGTCAAACACGGTTGGATTGGGAACGGTTTCGCCATTGTCCAAGACTGAGTTCCCAAGCAGAGTCGACAAAATCCCTGCTTGGAGGGTCGGTGATCCGACCTTGGCGGCCGAACGAATCTCGGTCGCCGCATATGCGAACAAATGACTTCGGTAGAGAAGGAACTCAGCCAGAGCAGAAGTGGCATCAGAGAGCCAAAATTCATCTGAAACGACCGGATAGCCATTCCAGGTTGTGTTTGGCCCGACAATGGGCTGGACAGCGAACATGTTGAGAAGGAAGCCCTGGGCACGCATCTCGCCAAGTGTGAAATAAGTGGCAAGTTTCGATGACCACAAATGTCTCAGGACTTCGAATGCCATACGTTTGAGGTGCACCATCCATGATGTAATGCTCCCATCCAAGTCGTCAGGGTAAGTTTGCAGGAAGCCAATGATAGCATGCAACAGTGACATTTGGTTTGCGAGCAGGCCCTCCGACGACACATCAAGCATATTGCCCACGCAGCCAAAACCAAGAAGGAGATGAGCTACAGTCGGGCGATCTGTAATCATCGCGAGGCAGCTGTTCAAGAGAGCAAGAAGACTTTCTCTAATGACGTAGCCGGCTGATTGCGAGCCGAACTCCAGTTCCCTCGGGTCAGGCTCCATCTGGGATACAAGTGGACGCGATACACTATCAACTTCCACTTCGGTAGCCAGAACCTCCACAATTTTGTTCGAAGATTGCCACTTGAGAAGTTCAGGCGACGACATCTTGTTGAGCTTTCTGGAGCTTGTGAGCTTCTCCAGCAAGGCCATGGAGGTGACGGTAAGCTGCTCATGCCCAGTGCCACAATAGAGACACAGTGCGGGGATGAGACCCAGGTTGTTCAGCACGCTGTCTTCCAACGAGGCGAGGGATGAGTTTGCCACGGTGGTTCTATTTCCCCCAGCTTGGGACTTGATCAAAGACCGCACAATGTGGAAATATGTCGATTGAAGGTCCATGATGAGGTTCATCACTTCGATGCTTCGGAGCAAGGTAGAGACCAGGACCGAGTCGGATGATGCCTGAGCAACCTCCGAGATATCTTGGTGGGCTGTTGCAAACAGGGCTCTGAGGACATCTTCATTGAAAAGCCACTCCACAACTCGAGCGAATGGATGAAGGCGAACATAAGTGACCAGGGTCGATGTTTTGGCAGGATCCGAAGCGACTGTGGGCGAGCTCAGAACAGAGACCAAGTCTTCATTGAAAGATTTCAAACCCTCTACAACAAAATGCAGACAGTTGTAAGTTAGTAACCGGGATTGATAGTCGTTGAGGTCCTGGATTTTCCGCGAAAACGCGTGCCCCAAGATAAAATCAGTGTAGGGCTCAATTCCTGGCATGCGATATGTTCCACCCAGAGACTCTGGGAAAGGCAGCGACAGGGGATCAGTGGCCAAATCGGAGGCGGGAGTGATTAGTGAGTTGACAAGGACAACGAACGCATTCGTTTGGTCGAAACTCTCGCCAATCTTTTGCAATGCTTGCTGCGCGTGCCACACTGGAGGATTGGAGACCAGTGGCACTTTACCGATTCCCGAAGCACCCATAGATCCACCTGATAGCCATTGGTCAACCGAGAGCCACATTTCGTTTCCGTGCACGGATGTCCTGTCGGTCATCAATGCTGCTAGTGTGGAGAACGTAGTTGCTCTGAGATGGGACGGGATCGGGCCACTGCACAACGTCAACAAAATGTTGACGATATTGAATGATTCGTTTTGCAGCAACCACTCCCGTATGGTTCTACTCTGTTTACACAGGTGACCCATCAGCCGGAGATAGCATGTCAACATCACCGGGCTTTCTGGCTCGCTCATGTCCACCGGCTCCGGCTTGCGGGCGCGCAACATCCCTTGCGAGGTAGTACTACTGGAAGGCTTCTCAGTGACTCGAGATGCATAAAGTCGCAGTTCGGCAAACATCTGCGTCCAGTTCATCGTCGTAGATCGCTTGAACTTCGAGGCCATGAACTTGTCTTCTTCTGACAAGAACCTGTGCACCGCAGTCGCATTTTCTTCACCCTCGGAGATGGAGCACAGCATCTCACAAAAGGCACTCACTCGAGGAACAGTCTGCCGTTTTGACGCCCACTGGAGGAAGCCGTAGAGGTTACCATCAGGGTCGGCCCAGAATTCCTGAGCAGCATCTCGTCGATGTTCAAAAGCAAATGAAATGACCATCAGAAGAGATTCGAGATGGGTTCGTGCCTCTACCAAGCCCCGATGAAGGCTAGATGTCAGGCCATCCCTGAGGGCAGTGATCTGATCCAATCTTTGGGTGTCTTCCTCTGACTTCAGCATCCGCACTGCGTCGGGCATGTTTGCGATACATGATTCCACAAAGGCTTCGAAGTTTTCCATCAACAGCTCTTTCATGTACCCAGAGCAAGGTTCAGACTCAGGCAACGATACGACGCTCTCTCGCAATAAAAGTGCCACCAGCTCGCTGCGTGCCGGGTCAGCCCATTCTTCATTGTTGACGCCAGAGCAGATTGCAAGCATAAAGTCAAGAGCGCCATCGTCGAGGGCAGTCATAAACATCTTCGTACGCTCTTCCGCTTCCTTTTCAGGATCCACTCCTGGACCAGGAGATGACGGGCCAACGTCAAAATACCACCCACTGTAGACTGCCAACCATAGCGCAATGATGGCAGCATGAAAGTTGGGCAGCTTCCAACCTTGACCATCTTTGGATGTAGTGATGATCGAGTCTAGGCTTCGAGCCTCCTTGTGGGAGCCTGAACCCTCTGGAGAGCCGTGTTGCACGAAGGACGCAATTGTGACCGGAATGTAGTGGATCAGAAGCCCATCAAATCGCTCCAAATTTTTCAACTGATTCATCAAGATACGAAAGTCCTCGGTGCTCGTGTATGTCCCTTTGAACAAGTAAAACAGAATGGCCCCCAGAGACTCATGTTGCTGCTGCAAGCTGCGACGCTGGTATTCAATGGCCTCCATGATATCACGGTCTTCTCCTTGACCAACTATTGACGCTTTCTGTACTTGATCTCCAAGAAGAGACAGCCATTTTTCAATATCGGCCATGGAATCCATGCCTTTCCTTGCGAACAGCGATGCGTTTCGCAATGGGCTGTCCTTGATTTCCAAGACATGGGCCAGCGTTTCTTGCATAATAACCTGTGTCGTTTCGCGCTCCACCTCTGAGGATTCCCGGAAAATAAGGCGCAAGCATTCCAGAAGGAAGTGTCGGCGCTCATGGAATCGCATAATGGCTGTGATGACAGGAGGCCGATCCAGTACGTGCGAGTCGTCTTGGGCGCCCAAGAACATCACGGCCGCTTGTAGTTCATCGATGTTCAGCGCATCGGCGACTTGAAGTGTCCCCTGCTGAAAGTCTTCATTGACCGAGTATTCAACTTCCGCGACGGTTATCTTCCCTAGATTGTTGCAGCCCATGTTAGCAGCTGCTTACGGCTTCAGATCAACTGCGACAGCCGAGTTGGCAGCCAGAAGAATTAAGACAAATAGTCACCCACCTGAAAGAACTGCCTGGCGACTGGCATTGTTTTTCGTGGGCTTGTCAAGGAGTTTTCGGAAGTCGTGAATATGCGTCTCCAATTCAACACAGAGACGTTCGATATTGAGAAACGAGGAGTCCGAAAGTGCAGAGAGGTCCTGATACAGGCCACGAAGGCCAGCCAGGTTATCCTGAAGCTCTGCCATGGCGGCGGGGGAGGATGAGAAGGGAAGCTTGGAGCTCTGTTTGTTGCAAAGGCGGAACGCGATCAAAAATCCGGGCGGTCGGCCTCTTGGCGCTGAATACTGCCGCTCCACAGTTAAAACAAGTGACGGCTTCGCCAGGTTTGTTGATAGACATCTCGTGCTGGTTCATTTCTCTGGAAATTTCAATGCCGAGACCCGTGGCTGCCTAGTGAGCCCAGTGCGAGCGTTTCTCTGCCCGACGCAATGGGCGAGGTCTTCCTCGACAAAGCAATCGGGCTTTTGTCGTCGGACAAGCAGAAGGAACGCTCCGATGGCCTAGCAGGTCTGTTGCCACATCTCTTGATAGCAAGAGAATGGAATACTAATCAAATCATTAGACTTGAAGCACATCCTGCAACAAAACAAGTACAGCTCCAAATTGTAAGCAGAAACTGAAACCGCACTGGTGACTACAAGACAACTGATCGCCAATGGGCCATCCTAGACACACACTTAATGACAAAGCCTGCCACAAGATTTTCGAGTCGCTGTTTCGGTTTATTGCAGTGGAACGTTCGGCTTATAACCGAGCGCAAAGACCGAATTCCAGGAATCCCACTGCATCGCGGCTGTCAACATGTGCATCCGTGCTTCGGACCGCGATCGACATCTTTCTGAGAAACCTCAGAGCCAAAACCGTTCGGGCGATCATCGATCATATCACCGAGACTATACCAATCCCCGGGGAGGGTTTGTGGGAGCCCCTCAGTGTGGACTATACCAAATGCTTGACTTCACTTCTACGCTCTCATTCCCATACCGAGCATCTCAGTGATGCAGAATGGGAAAAGCTTATGGAGTTCTGTCTTATAGGCATTTCCCTGTATGAGAATGAGGAGAGCCAGCTAAGTATTCGAAGTGGGCATCGGTCTGTCCCCGAGGATTCACTGGATAGTGACAGCCGCTCGACTCCATTACGGATGACTCCCGTGCCGGCCACCAGAGAAAAGAACGTGGGTGATAGGAATGCCATTGGAGAGCTCATAGTGTGTATTCAACTTCTGACGACGAGCCCCAATGCCCCCGTCCAAGCCTCCGCTGAGGACATTCTCCATGGACTGCTCGAGTTTGTCAAGTCGCCATCAGTAATGACCGGAAATGCGCACCAGCTTGCCTTCAATAGCATCAATACAGTCGCTGAGAAGGTGTTGTTCGATCAGTCTGAACTTGTCCGGTCATCTCTGTTGGGCCTGATCCCAGTAATCCGACGCCTTTGGCTTACCAAGCTCCATGGCTTGAAGGATGAGATGCTCATCACTTTGATGCTGGGCATGGTTATTCTAATGGACATGGCTCGAAGGGAACCTTCCGAATCTCTGGCGCATTCGATGGAGGGATTGGCTAGCACTCTGCATTCAGAGTATGTGAGGCGACCTGAGAAGGAAGTGTTGCAGATCGACGACGCAATCTTCTATCCACACGAAGCAACACAGCCCATCCGGCCCATATACGGACCTCTTCTGGGAAATGCCAGGTCTGAACATAATTGGACGGTTGTCTGGGCCATTGCCAATTTGTTGAAGCTATCCGATGATATTAATGCAGGCATTCCAGACCGTGGCTCCTTTCACAAATCTTCAAACAAGAGGCAGCGCTTTACCTCTGGGATCGAAGATGTGCTTCGCGACTCTGTCTCGGCAACAGGCGCACGAAGAATCTGTGCATTGCAGCTGATGCCGTTCTTCGTGACCAAAATAGACGTTGAAAAGAAGGAATCTTTGATCCAACAGCTGACGCTCAACATTCTTGACGAAAACGCTGCAATTTCTTCGTGGACAATGGTGGGCTTGGCAAGGTTTGTACATTCATGGCTCTTCATTACTGGTCTTTAGCTAACAAAATACCCTAAAAAAGCATTGCGAGCGGTGCGGATGGCAAATCATCCGCACTAAGAGTACACTGGCCCCGGATAATAGATCTCACTACACGGGCGTTCTCTTCTCTCGTAACATCTAGAGCCGCTTGCAACCTGATGAGTACCGTGCTCCAGTCGGATTTATTGGAGTACACGACAGTGACCGAAATGGCACGTTCGATGTTGTCTTCGGCCAACCTGAGCGGTCCCTCTGCGATATCAGACTCATCTCTTGCTCTATGGGCATTAATAGCTCGGATGAAAAGCCAGCTTAATCCAGGAACAGCACACGATGCTTCAAGACAGATTTGTGGCTGGCTGAGAGAGGTTTGGACGATTGGTACTTTGTTCTCAACTTACCTCAAATTTTCGGACTTGCTGACTGGATTCACAGGCACGGTGACCGATCGAATCCAAACAGCTCAGGTAGCAACATTTGCACGTCCTATAGAGCTTCTAAACCTGTTCCTAGCTTGCACCAATCGGCCATTCGCTCTTCCCTGTCGTCAAGTTACAGGAACAGCTGGATTGATAGCCAAGCATTGGTTATTTTTCCACGAAAACCGAGAATTGATCGAATATCTTTTTGACGTCGAGGCTCTCATTCATAGTACCGATCCTTGGGCCCCGAAAGAAGAGTGGTCGCTGAAGTCGTCTACTCGACAAGATCCCGACGACTCAGTCATAATAGATCTCTTGCGATCGAAGTCTGAGACGTTTTCACAGGCATGGAAGGCCATGAATGAGGACAGGTCGCACCATATCACTGCAGACATCGTGCAAATCGTCTGTTCATTTTGCATTGTGACGGCGATTTTCAGCGCATGTCTTCCTGATAAAATGCACCCCCAGTTCCGCGAGATACAGCGCAATTCCCAGTGTCTGTGGAATGACATTTGCAGATTTCTGGCAGCTCATGAAGCCACCTTTATCCAGCGTTGCTTGGAAGTGCTATCGCCTTTCCTCGCCGCGATAACAAAATTTGATGCATCATCTGTCCTTTGGACTGGCCTTTGCGATCTCATCGCCCCGCTTGCTGAGATGCTTGAAAGTTTCCGCCAGAGCTCAAAGAGCGACTCTGCTGCGAAGGAAGATCTCATGGATTTGGATGACCGATTGATAACCTGTGACGATCAGCTATCCTTCGATGAGAACATACTGGCTTTGAACCGGGAGTCACTGTCTTTATTCCCAGATGAAGCTACCTTTCAACGCTGTACAACCCTCCACTTGTCTATACTCATGAGAATGTGGCCAGGTGATATTTCATCGGGGAAATCTCCCACTTCATCTATCGTCCAGTATCTCACTAGCTTTGACGAGGCCGATCTTCTAGCTGGACAGAAATTATTGCCTGATGTCTATTCCGCTTGCTCAAGGATGCAAAGTTCTGACCTCCTTCACATCCTTGAGGATCTGGGTGAAAAGTGCCTGCAGTCTTATGAAATGGAGCGCTGTGAAGCATCAACTTGCCTTTGCATTCGCATGATGATTAGCTTGGTCGATTCTTGGACGAACGGAGGGGATACCAATTTGAAAGAGTCGGCCATGGACCTGTACAACTGGTTCATGGAAGTCCTTTTGGCCCGAAAAAAAGCCTCGCCCAAGGCTTATATTGCTCTAGCTGGACTCATCCAAGTCGTCTTGGATACGCACCCGTCATATGGCATTGAGCAATCTCTGCCTTCACCACGTACAAGCCTCTTCACGGTTCTCCAAGACGGTGACACTCAAGTCAAATTCAGCGCGGCAAAGTTCATCCCCGGTTTGTTTGAGCGTTTTCTTCTCAAAGATCACGATGCCATCTTCGACGATGTGTTGGAAAGTCTGCCTAGAGATCCGGATTGGATTGAAGGAATCGCCCTCCGTCTGTTTGTGCTGTCTCGACTAGCCTCCAAATGGCATACTCTACTCCGAAGAAGCATTTACCACATGTTCGAAACCCCGGCTCAGGTTCCATCGTCTCTATGGTATGCCAGGAAATGTATGGGCCAGGTCTCCGCGACCTTGGGCCTTCAGGATGCTAGAGAACTGTTCCGACTTTTCTCTTCTCAGATCCTCTACACTTGGACCGAAACGCAAAATATCATGTCCATGCCTTTCAGTATCTTTGGGTATGGCAGCCTCAAGGAGATGCTGATGGATGTGAAGGATGAGGTCGTTGGCCAAATGATGATGCGTGCGAAGGACCAAGAAACGCTTGAGCTCGCGAACTACCTTGAAGTTCCGCATCTTGAACTTCTGGAAAGCTCTTTCTACAAAGCAGAGGCTTACAGCATTGCACGAGACATCACTACTCCGCCTGGACAGGGCAGCCAACCCAAAGGCGTTGAGGTTCGATTGAGAAAGCTGCTAGGTGCCGATAAATTCATGACTCGGATAGAGGCCCAATTTCCTCAAATCGCGGCCGCCCTTTTCCAGTCTCTCGACTACTATGATCAGATCGAGAGAGCATTATCAAAACGAGAGAATTTTCGCTATGCACTGGATATTCTAGTGCAGATCACCAGCAAAAGTTCTTCACAAAGCGTACTCCCTGCAAACCAACAACCGTCGTTCCGAGCCCGCTACCTTCTGGACGAGCTCGAGTTCCTCTGTGAGCGCACGGGATTTGAACTGGGATCAATATGGACGCCAACTTTGGCCTCATTCATTTGTCGCTCGCTCCTCGAATCAATACATCCTGCTCTCGGCTCTTTGCATGCGTGCTCTGTTATCCGGAAGATGAGAATACTAGTGAGTGTGGCTGGGCCTGTCATGCTTCAGGATTACCCGTTAGAGATGAGTCTTCATGCCCTAAGGCCTTTTCTGATTGACGTCCATTGTTCTGAGGATGCTCTGGGGGTTTTCTGGTATCTTTTGGATGCCGGAAATTCCTATTTGAAGGAAACACCCGGGTTCACGGCTGGGATTGTTGTTTCCACTCTAGTCACCCTTCGCAGACTTTTCTCATCATCCCCCGAGAGCACTACGCAGGAGAGCCAGTTCAGGACAGTTCTGTCCAATGCCCGCAATTTTCATCAGTGGTTGGGAGACTCTCTCGATGGTATCCGTTCTTCGACGTGGAGCACTGAGACCCAGCAAGCTTTTACTCGGCTGGTGAGCCTGGCACAGGAATTCTCAATATCGAAAGACTCGCCGGGAATTCAGAATGAAAAGAATCTCGTCTTTGAAGTGCTTAAGGACCGCGATTCAGCTCAATCTCTGTTGAGCAAACCTGTAGCGGATCTCATTCTATCCCTTCTGTGTCAAGAGTTTCGGCGAGTATCTGAGGGCAGCGACGGTACTCCAGGTGATTCTGTGGACCCGGCCTCGCACATTGTTTCGGTTTGGCATACGCTTCACAACTTCAATGGCGGCCCTGATTACCGGCTTTGGGCTGCGCGAGTCATCGGGCGATCCTTTGCTTCTACTGGTCAAGTGCACGAACTTTTGCTACGCGAACAAGATATTTTACTGTTCCAAGCCCCTCAGACCAGCTTGCCTTATTTCTGTTATTCCAAGGCTAGTATTCTTCGAGTACTCTGCGATATGCTGCAAGGTCAAGACCGGTTTGAAGCCGGCTTGGTTGAACGGACGCTACAGCTCATTGTCAACAACATTGTCATTTCCCCAGATTTCCAAGCGTGTGGCGATGTCATTCCCGAATCATTGATGAAAGCCCTCGTTTGGAACCCATACAATTGTCCAGATATCCCACTTTCCGGCCTGGAGCTGGAACGGTGTGGCAGAGCAATCACCGGGGCATCAGAGAGCTCCGTTGCTGACTGGGCCCGCGGTATCGCCCTGTTTTTGTGCAATGCTGCTTTTGGCGATCCGGTCATTGGTTCCCTGCGCAAAATTCTCAATGTGATCCCTGGTTTGGCCGTGAAGTTACTACCATGCATAATTCACGATTTTCTAGTTGTGGATGACGTGAAATCGAGCCAAACTCGCCAGGCGATCTCGGGCAGTTTCAAGCAAACATTGTCCAATGTTGTTGAAGAAACGTTGCCGCATGCCCGTCTTGTGATTAGCTGCATTTTGTATCTTCGCAACCAACCGGTGCCAGACGAAGCGACTAGAATTGAGCGCGACAGGTGGCTTGATATCGACTATGGAGAAGCATCCGCGGCGGCACATCGCTGTGGCTTACACAAGACCTCCCTTTTGTTCCTCGAGATCCAGACATCCAGAGTGCTTTCGGGGTCTCGTCGTTCGTCTGTTGTCAAGTACGAGCCACCTATTGAGCTTCTACACGATGTTTTCAAGAATATCAATGATCCGGATTTGTTTTATGGCATCCAGCAAAGCTCATCATTGACTACTGTCATGGAGAGGCTGGAATATGAAGGATCTGGCCTCAAAAACCTCCTTTTCCAAAGTGCCCAATACGACAGTGAGATACAGATGACGGGCAATGCAGAATCTCACGGGGTTTTGAATGCATTGAACTCGACAAATCTCCAAGGAATCGCCAACACAATGCTCCCAGCCTCGAGCAATGCAAAGGAAACCTCTGCTTCCATGGACAGCATGCTGCAGGCAGCGACAGGTCTTCAGAAGTGGGATATTCCTGTGTCGCTCTTGAATTCATCGCCCTCTGCAACCGTCTTTCGGGCATTCCAGAGCCTGAATACATCCGGGTCTTTGGCAGAAGTCGCTGCCTCCGTTGACGGGTGTCTGTTGACCACCCTTGATTCACTCATAGACACTGGCAGATCCGCTATCCATATGCGAACTGCAATGAGGGCCTTGGGAATTATGACCGAGATCAGTGATGTTCTGCACACATCTTCCCCAGCGGCCATGGAGGAAGAATGGCAAAAGATCTTAGCGAGAAGTACTTGGCTAAAGACCGAAAGGTAAGCTTTTCCCATTCTTGTCTAAAAGCATGCTATCTACTTTATTCTAACCCGAACAGTTTCCATGAGGTTGGTGAGATTCTCAGCTGGCATGAGGCATTGTTCTCATCTATTAGGAAAAATGACCTGTTGAAATCAGGTGCGAATTTGAGTACGGGAGATTCGCAGCTGCTGGAAGTGAAGGTCATTCGACAATCATTGGAGATAACAAGGAACCACGGCGTGTCTCAGGCGTCGTTGAAATCCGCAATGAGCCTGTCCAAACTTGCCGAGCCATGCGCTACGCTGGGGATGAACATTGAAGGAGCTGCCAAGTTCGACCTTGCCAACGTCCTTTGGGACCAGGGTGAGATGACTGCGTCAATTCGCATGCTCCAGCACTTGAAGGGGCAAGGGGATCTACACAAGCAAGCTATTCCGCTCAGTCGCGCTGAGCTACTTGTCACCTTGGTAAGCACCCTAATTTTCGACTCACCGCGTCCTATTGATGGCTAATGTAATATGATCAGGGTCATCATGTCGCTGAGGCGCGTCTGGAAAAACCTGAGTCAATCCTCCAAGATTATCTGTATCCTGCGGTCAAAGAGCTCAAAGGTACCCCCGAGGGTGAAGAAGCTGGGCGAGTCTATCACGGATTTGCTACTTTCTGTGATCAACAGCTCTTGAACATCGATGGACTGGAAGATTTCAAACGCGTAGAGCAATTACGCGACCGAAAAGAAAAAGAAGTCTTGGGTCTTGAGGAAATGATGAAAAATGCCGGGGGCAGAGAGAAGGAAGCACTGCGGATCCATCGGGCTAAAGCGAAGCAGTGGTTTGATCTTGACGATCGTGAGTATCAGCGGCTCCTGCGAAGTCGAGAAGCCTTCCTGCAGCAGTGTCTGGAGAACTATCTGCTTTGCTTGAGAGAAAGCGATACATACAACAATGATGTGCTCCGCTTCTGTGCACTCTGGCTCGACAAGTCCGACAGCAAGACCGCCAATGCAGCCGTTTCTCGGTATCTCCACGATGTGCCTAGTCGGAAGTTTGCTCCCCTGATGAACCAGCTATCGTCCCGTCTGCTTGATGTCTCGGATGACTTCCAGGCGCTGCTTACCGAGTTGGTATTCCGCATTTGTGCCGAGCATCCTTTTCACGGCATGTACCAAATCTTTGCCAGCAGCAAGTCCAAGGGAGGGAAAAGACCAGCAATCTCACTCGCGATTCCGTGCAGCAAACCAACTGGTTGAGCGTTTGAAGAACGACAAGCATATCAGCCCGACATGGGTTGCTGTTCACAATGCCAACATCAGCTATGTACGATTTGCAGTTGATAGACCAGACCCCAAGTTTAAGAGTGGCGCCAAAGTTCCCTTGAAAAGCTTGGCTACTGGCCAACGCCTAGGGCAAGACGTTGTGTCCTACAAGTTGCCGCCACCCACGATGAAAATTGAGCTTCGTCCCGACTGTGACTACAGCCATATTCCAACCATTGCCAGGTTTTCTCCCGAGTTCACGATTGCGTCGGGTGTCAGCGCGCCAAAGATTGTGACGGCCGTGGCCACCAACGGTGTGCGTTACAAGCAGCTGGTAAGCATCTTTCTGTGCCCATTCCTGCGCTCAAGTATTGATAAGCTGACAATCCCTATAGTACAAAGGAGGGAACGACGACCTGCGCCAGGATGCTATCATGGAGCAGGTGTTTGAACAAGTCAGCAGTCTTTTGAAGGACCACCAACCCACCCGTCAGCGCAACTTGGGAATACGAACATACAAGGTGCTTCCGTTGACAGCCAATGCTGGGATCATTGAGTTTGTCCCTAACACCATTCCCTTGCATGACTATCTGATGCCGGCACATCAGCGGTACTTCCCCAAGGACATGAAACCCAATTCATGTCGGAAGCACATTGCCGAAGTGCAAACCAGATCGCTTGAACAGCGCGTGCGAACTTACCGACAGGTGACGGAGCATTTCCACCCCGTAATGAAGTATTTCTTCATGGAGCGCTTCAATAATCCAGATGACTGGTTCAGCAAGCGGCTGTCCTACACACGAAGCACCGCTGCTATCTCTATCCTCGGCCATGTCCTAGGACTCGGCGATCGCCATGGACACAATATCCTGTTGGATGAGACCACCGGAGAAGTGGTGCACATCGATCTTGGCGTCGCCTTTGAGCAAGGCCGCATTCTACCCGTCCCCGAAGTGGTGCCTTTCCGTCTGACGCGCGATTTGGTCGATGGGTTTGGTATCACCAAGACCGAGGGCGTCTTCCGACGCTGTTGTGAATTCACTCTCGAAGCTCTCCGCCACGAATCCTACAGTATCATGACTATCCTTGACGTGCTTCGCTACGATCCGCTGTACAGCTGGACCGTGTCTCCGCTACGAATGAAGAAGATGCAGGACAACCAGGAAGCGGGCGACGGGCCTCCCGTTCTGCCCGGAGCGACAGACAAATCCTCTACTAATGAGCCGAGCGAAGCTGATCGGGCGTTGACGGTCGTGGCAAAAAAATTGAGCAAGACGCTGAGTGTCACTGCGACGGTCAATGAATTGATTCAGCAGGCGACTGATGAAAGGAATCTTGCTGTGCTGTATTGTGGTATGTTTTGTCCCAAGCTGTGGATATCGAGCTCATCGCTGACCTGTCTTTTTTTTTTTTGTTTCTAGGCTGGGCGTCTTATGCTTGATGCATTTGTAGAGTAATATGTCACGCATTTATGGAAGATAACCCAATACCCTTTGTGTTAATTAATAGACCTGTACCATGCTAGAGGGCGTTTTATTGATCACTCGACGAAATCCGATGAAACCCGCGTTGGCCCCGTAGTCACGACAGTTGAGACGCGGTGATGTTCTCGGCCTCAACGACCTGAGTGATCAGCATCCCCCGCCAACGCTCCCTTTCAATGGGAGATTTCTGCTTTGCATTGAAGTAACCTTCAATAATCATATATAAAAAAACGACATATTTCTCAGCCATGCCACCGGCAACTCGAGCCCGGAAACGTGGCCGGGCCAAGGCATCCGAGGCTGTCCAAACTGCCACGTCTAAAAGACAACGCACGCGAAACAGTCACGTCTCCACGGAGCTGACATGGGATGCATGGTGTCTAGTTTGCGAGGCTGTAAGTTGGCTGATGCCCTCGAGATTTCAAGAAGTTTGACTCACACGAAATTGTAGTTGGGAGAGCAGAATCGACGCGATTTATACTGCTTGGTCTCCAAAGGCTTCAATTCCCTGGCAACCAGGTTCCTGTACCGGTCTATCATCCTGGATCCGGCAGCAGGAGCTTCGATCCAGATCCCTGAAAGTCTTCTTCACCGACTGCTGGACGACTCGAATATTAAATTAAGGGACCATGTCCAAGAACTTACGATTCCCAAACACAGCTTCCAGTGCAGAGATTGGGGATTTCGAGAAAAAGCATTATTTGGCTCAATTAGTCGAGCACCTACCAAACCTTCGTCGAGTCCGGTATGTTGGAGATCTTGGGAATCTCGTGGGTATTGAAACACCAGCGTAGCTAACATCGGGATAGAATAGCGTGTCCGCTACTGTTAACTGAGCGATTCATCACCAGCATCAAAAAGCATCCTCGGAAACCGGATTTGCAGCTCCTTGGGGAGCAGGGAAGTCATCTACCCCCCAGTCAACCTCTGCCCTGTGTCGAGAAACTGGCCTTATGCTCGATGGAATGATCGGGGTAACAGTCCTCGCCCTCGTCTTCTCAACTTCCAAGACCTTTTCTTCTCCTGCCCAAATCTCAATTCTTGTTCCTTGACCACCCGAGGGTATACCCCACCCCCAAAGACGCCGGCCTATGGCTACTTCGATGAGACCGAAATGACGGGCGAGGAAACCTTTCCTCCCATCCAGAATCTCTCTCTCAATGGGCGCTATATTGGAGACAGCGAGTGGCCCCATTGGCGGGCGGGACCGCTTTCCCTGGTCAATACTCTCGTCTCTTTCTATCGGCCCACAGTCAGAGCATGCGTGTCGTACTCTGGATCATATGGCTGGATTCGCCCGGTCCTTGAAAACCCTTAAGCTCGAGGTGTTCTATGAAAAGAGAAACCAGAATTGCGAAAGTCCCAAACGGTTTCTCCTCTCATTCGACACCCTCGTGTATTTGGAATTACAAAACTATCCTTGCCCCGTTCAGGCCATCGCTCAGCACACGCAGCTCGTCCGTCTTTGTCTGCATAGCACCGAGTCATGGAACCCTCAGGCACAGCGCAACGTATTGAGCAAGGAGGATCTGGAGCATCTGGATGCGCATTGCCCCCATCTTGAATATCTGGAACTCGACATTGAACGCCAGAATGATGATTGGGTGAGTTCTTAGAATCCCCTCACGGCAGAGTTGATCAACTAACCCCTACCAAAGCCTTGGGACATACTCACTACTCTGGCGACGGTATTCGACCACCTCCGCAAACTGACCCTTCACTTCCATTTGGGCAATACGAGAAACCCTCAGATGCCCGTGCTCAACTACCACTCAGCCCAGGAGATCAGAAACGTGTTTTACAAAAGTCGACAAGCCGCATTTGAAAGATACCCGGGTATCCATACTTCTGAGAAGGCACGAGCAGAACCCAGCAGCACCAGCGCCTCTGCAAGTTTTTTGAGTAAGCTCGAAAGATTGACATTGAAAACTGGGTTTGAGAAATCGCTTCGCCGGTATCCAGATCCATATCCACGTCGCGCGGCATGGGCGGAGCTGCACACAGTGACATTCGAGCTCCGACCGCCGAAGACTGCTATAGAGAAACCAGAATTTACTCACCTGCAAAGACAAGAGCTTGAGGCAATTCCAGATCGGCGTGCAGTGGACCCAGCCTACTATAAGAAGCTCAAGAAGATGGTGGACGCTGCGGTGGAGGGACCGTGAGATGTAGAAACAATCATAATGATCAAAAGGAAACTGAGCCAAAACATAGGTTATATCGAGCATTTTCAGTATTTCTAGAATTCTCAAATCAACTAATCGATTTGGCTGTTGCTCTCGGGGTGGATTGTGGCATTCGTGGCATTTCCAAAGTTGCGGGTATCATGGTTGCGCGGGTGTTTGGACCACAACATGCCAGATGCCTCAGAACTCTCGATCAACGTGGCATATTCACTAGGGCCATATCGCAATTCTCCATATCATTGCTCATTCTGGACTTTGAATCGCGATCAACCGTGGAGTCTGCACTACAATGGCGGACACGCCCAACCGAGGCATCGCGGTGATTTCAGGAGGAAGCGCGGCGAACAACCTGGTCGATGTATTTAATGCGGTCCGAGAAAGCAAGGACTGCCCGCTCAACTATATCATCCCCATCAGTGACAACGGCGGTTCGTCGTCCGAGCTGATTCGAATATTCGGGGGGCCGGGGATCGGCGATGTTCGAAGTAAACCCGTTGATACATGCAAGGCCGTCATCACCGCGTGCTAATATCCACCTCCCATACAGGTCGCCTGGTGCGCTTGATTCCTGAATCACCAGCTCATTCCGAGCGAGCTGCCATCAAGACACTTATTAACCATCGCCTGCCTGCGGAAGGAGCCGCAGCGTCTCACGAATGGCAGTCCATCGTCGATGGCACGTCCGACCTGTGGAAGGTCGTCACGCCCGCGAAGAAGGAGCTGATCCGCTCATTCTTCAACATGCTGAATCTAGAGATTTTGAAGCGCGCGCGACCTCCGTCGTCGACGTTTGACTTCACCTCGGCCAGCGTGGGGAACCTCTTCCTGACCGGGGCGCGACTATTCAGCGGCAGCTTCGAGAGCGCCATTTACTTGCTAGGAAGTATCTGCGGCGTGCCGTCAGATATTGTGCGCGTGATCCCGGCAATCAATTCAAATTTCTCTCATCACATCTCTGCGTCGCTGGCAGATGGCACGGTCATCGTTGGCCAGAATAGCATCTCGCACCCCAGCGAGGCGACAGCTCTCCAGCGCGACCGCGGCTCCAGACGACCCAGTCTCCTACTTGCCGATGGGGACGATCTAGATGAGACAGAGCCCTCCGACAGCTCTGACGGCATCTCATACGAAGAGGACCATCTCCCGGGTTCGCTCGCCACCCTGCGCCACAAAAACATTGCCTTTAACAAGGTCGTGAACGAAGAATTGCCATCGCGGATTACTCGCATCTGGTACATTAATCCATACGGCCAGGAAATACGGCCACCGGCTAACCCACGGGTTCTGGAAGCATTACAAGATGCACAAGCCATTGTTTATAGCATTGGCTCTCTCTACACGTCGATCATCCCGGCTATCATTCTGCGCGGCGTGGGCAAAAGCATTGTGTCCAGTCCCGCCCGCCACAAGATCCTGATTCTAAACGGCTCACTGGACCGTGAGACTGGACCGCCGTCTGAGCCCTTTGCTGCCTCGGACTTTGTTGAGGCAATTGTCCGTGCCGGGGAGGAAAGTCGCGGACGAGGTCCGTTTGAGTTCCCTCTACACCAGGGACAGTCATCTACTACAGTTTCTTCTTCTTCGCCGGGAACCCTTCGACGCCATCATTCCCTTCCTTATCACTCTTATGTGACGCATATATTACACCTGGATGGACCGGGAACTCCGCATGTGGACCGGGAACGGCTTGCAGAGATGGGTATTGAAACGCTCCGGCTTTATGGGCGGAAAATTACGACCAAGGATGGGGATCTGGAATCGGGGGTGGGCATGCAGTATGACTCGACTGCATTGATTCAGGCTCTCGAGGTGGTGTTGGGTAAGAAGGGTGATGCGATGGTCCGGGGAGGTGTGGGTACCAGTTTGAGCCGAAGAAATACTCTCGATCCTGGAAGAAGAGAGAAACGGTAGAGGCAGAAAGTGAGCGTTGTAAAGCAGACACTGCCTATGCCCCAACAAGACTCTACACTACGGAAATAATAATGAATGTTGAATTAGCATATTTGGCCATATCAAGCGGAGTTTACGTACCCCTATGCAAAAGCCATAGGCGAAGGTCAAGAACCGAGTCAGGTCCTAGATTGTATGAGGAGGTGGATATTGATGAACCGTGTCAAGTCATTCCATTCGTGAATTATGTTAAGAATGCTCCCGTTATCAATGCCGCTAAAACACCGCCATTTCCATGCACCCCGACCCGTAATGCTGAAAAATCAAAGAACACGCTATATGAAAAGCACTATGCGTTAGAAACCGAACCCGCGTTTCGCTTCTTGGTAGTAAGCTTTAGTTGAAGCGGAATAAGGCTTCTGCGTGGCCCGCTGGCCTCGTTACGAGTGAGAGGTTTGCGGCATACTGGACAGGTACCGCGTGCTTTTGATGCCAAATCTGCCCTTTGCTCCTCGCCCATCTTCAAGCAATCAATAATGCACTTGTGACAGAAAAGATGACCTAGAAGTGAGTGGTTAGTAAAGGGATCAAGGTCCAGAGGCAGGCCAGCCTTGACAACCAGAGCCAAGAACGTACCACAGGCAGTGCTTGTCGCATTTTCGGGGGTATCCATACACACAGGGCATTTATAAGAGGCCAGGACTGAGCCTTCCTTCTCATGCTCTGTTGACTGCTGGGCCCTCACTGCATCCTCCCTCTGCTTGGCTAATACCCTTGCCAGTGGCCTGGACTCATCGACTTCGGTGAGGTCGATGGACTCAATAGGGTCCTCTCTTTGTGGGGTAACGTCAAATGATGACGTTGATTCCCTACTGCCATCTTCCTCGCGTTGGCGTTTCACCCCACGGGGTGTTGTGTGTCGATCTTGGGAGGAGGCATCATGAAAAGCGAGCTGCGGTGACGTGGAGAGGCGGACGGGGAAATGGCGATGGGATGAAGAGGTCAGGTCGACAACGGATGACCGGCGGCTCATTCTGGCTTTCATGGAATGCCCACAGAATCCACAGCTTCCTGCTCTTGGTTGAATTGCCAGTCGAAGATCAACGATTATACACCGTAAGCGGCAGAAGGTGAAAGGTAGAGCGCTTGTCTCGAATACTTCCAAAGAAGAAAAAGAAGGAAAGGCTTATAAAGAAGATGCCTGGGTGCCTAAAGTCTTCGCTCATAAACAGGTAACAAACGGGAGAAGTTGATCTAGCATTCTGCAGCAAAAGTGAGGGGACTGTGGCGGCATTGACACTGGTAGGCGCTTATCGATTGCTGATCACCTGATGATAAATAGGCAGAATATGGCAGGCGGTAGGACCCCCCGGCATCTTGGATCTTCCGAGCCGATGACGCTCAGATGCCGCGATAGGCAATGATATGGCTGCAAGCTGTGACCATCTTCATCGCTTTCTTCGGTCGCCTGGTCTATCCCTTAATGCAGCCAAGGAGGCTGCAGTTGCCTATGCTACCATGACCTGAGATTACTTGAAATATCGCTCTTTATGATGTTATCGTGGAATTCCTCCTGCACTCCTTATTCCAGGGGGGTCGCGAGGTCTTGTGCACGACTACGCTCGCCACTTCTGGTTCAGTCGCAGCCATGGCGGTTGCCAGTCAGAGGAAGGGCGAGGTTTTATTCTAATTCAGTTGATGATTCCAACCAAAAGCGATCGCTATCCGGTATGTCTTTCCTCTGGCGCGACAACGTATTCAAGAAAAATAAGAAAAATGCCAATACTCATCTCGCGCAGTCCCAGCGTCCCCTCGGTTCAACGAGATTGGAGTCCAACAATTGAGCGATCATGTCCACACCCAAGTCTTTCCGAACAAAGCCCGAATCCCTAACCCAGAACTGGTTGCCTTATCCAAAGATCATCTGGCGCGGCACGACCTTCTTGGAAAATCTCAGAATGCCTCGGAAGCCGTCGCTTTTAATCTCCCAGCTCTGCAGGGCCAGACACTGGACGAGCATTTTTTCAAGCTTGGTATGGATGCATCGGAGCCCTATTTGTCCTATGCCAAATCCTATGCGATGGTAAATTGTCCGAATAAACCGCGCAAGTGGGCCAAGCGCAGTGGGTGGACTAAGTACAACCCAGACGGCTCTTCGGAACCCGTGGATGCTCCCAATGAGTCGATGCTCACTTTCGACACCGAGGTTATGTACAAGGAACACTCTTTTGCGGTGATGGCTTGTGCAGTGAGCCCAACTGCATGGTATGCATGGATATCACCGTGGTTGCTGGGCGAGTCAACGAACGAGGCTCAATTGATACCCCTGGGCGATCCCACCCAGCCGCGTATTGTCATTGGTCATAACATTGGCTATGACCGGGCACGGGTCTTGGAGGAATACGACATGCGACAATCCCGCAACTTCTTCATCGATACCATGTCCCTCCATGTCGCAGTCAATGGCATGTGTTCACAGCAGCGACCAACCTGGATGCGCCACAAGAAAAACAGGGATCTCAGAGACAAGATTGCAAGCGAGCATGATTCTGTGGAGCTTGCGGCACTGATCGAGAATAACATGTTGCGAGAAGAGGAGGAAGAGCTCTGGGTTGGGCGTAGCTCAGTCAACTCTCTGCGGGACGTAGCCAAGTTTCATTGCGACGTGACGATCGACAAAGCACAACGAGACCTTTTCGGCGAGCTTGATCAGAAAGCTATTTTGGGAAAACTGGAGGAGCTTCTGGACTATTGTGCTGCAGATGTAGCCATTACCCATCGTGTGTACCGAAAAGTGTTTCCCAACTTCTTGGAGACCTGCCCGCACCCTGTCAGCTTCGGCGCTCTCCGTCACCTTTCCTCCGTCATTCTCCCGGTTAATCAATCCTGGGAAGAATATATCACCAGCGCCGAGGCCACTTACCACAAGCGACTTGATGATGTTCAACGGAAATTGGTCGAATTGTGCGACGAGGCATTGAAGACCAAAGATCAACCAAATATCTACACGCACGATCCTTGGCTGGGGCAGCTGGACTGGTCCGGCCAGGAAGTGAAAATGGTGAAAGGAAAGAAGAAAGGAGATCCTCCTCGCCCGGCGGCGCGTCAGAAAAAACCAGGAATGCCCAAATGGTACAAGGATCTCTTTCCCACGAACACCGCCGATATCAACCTGACCGTGCGCACTCGCATTGCGCCTATTTTGCTAAAGCTGTCCTGGGATGGCCATCCTCTCATCTGGTCCGACAAGCACGGGTGGACTTTCCGAGTACCCCGCGATCAGGTTAAGAAATTCGAAAACCAGCCTGTCGTCCTGTGTGATATGACCGAAGAAAAAGACCCCCAATTGCGAGACGACCGACAGAACATATATTTTAAAATCCCGCACAAGGATGGCCCGCAAGCAAGATGCACCAACCCATTGGGCAAAGGCTATATGCAATATTTTGAGCGCGGAGTCCTAACGTCTCAGTATGCACTCGCCAAGGAAGCCTTGGATATGAACGCCTCCTGTTCCTATTGGATTAGTGCACGAGATCGCATCATGAGTCAAATGGTGGTGTATGAGGACCAAGTGCCAAAGGCATCGACAAGAAAGGGAGGAAGCGAAAACCGCGTGGGCTTCATCTTGCCTCAGGTCATTCCCATGGGCACCATTACTCGACGGGCAGTGGAAAACACGTGGCTGACCGCGAGCAATGCCAAAGCGAACCGTGTCGGATCCGAGCTCAAGGCTATGATCAAGGCGCCCCCAGGTTACTCGTTTGTCGGGGCTGATGTCGACTCGCAGGAGCTGTGGATCGCCAGTCTCGTTGGAGATGCCTCATTCCAACTGCACGGAGGAAACGCAATTGGTTTCATGACCCTGGAGGGCTCAAAGGCCGAAGGGACAGACCTGCACTCCCGGAGTGCTCAAATCTTGGGAATCTCGCGCAACGACGCCAAAGTGTTCAATTATGGTCGTATCTATGGCGCTGGCGTCAAGTTTGCGGCTACCCTCCTTCGCCAGTTCAACCCGTCCTTGACCGAAAAGCAGACACAGGAAACCGCGGCCAGTCTTTACAAGGAAACTAAGGGAACTCGAACGTCGCGCCGTCTGCTCAGCGAGGTTCCCTTCTGGAGGGGCGGCACCGAGTCCTTTGTCTTCAACAAACTCGAGGAGTTTGCTGACCAGGAACGGCCGCGCACTCCGGCGCTGGGTGCCGGAATCACCGAGGCTCTAATGCGACGCTTTATAAACAAGGGCAGTTTCATGACGTCTCGAATCAACTGGGCTATTCAGTCATCGGGAGTTGACTACCTTCATTTACTGATTGTCGGCATGGATTACCTGATCCGCCGGTTCAACATTCAAGCCCGTCTGGCCATCACGGTGCACGATGAGATCCGGTATCTGGTCAAGGACGAGGACAAATACCGTGCTGCGTTGGCCCTCCAGGTCGCCAATGTCTGGACGCGTGCCATCTTTTCGCAACAAGTGGGCATCGATGACCTGCCCCAGTCTTGCGCCTACTTTTCAGCAGTGGACATTGATCATGTACTGCGAAAGGAGGTTGACATGGATTGCGTGACTCCTTCGCATTCCCACAAGATCCCACATGGCGAAACCCTGGATATCACCCAGCTATTGGACAAAGATCACGAAGCCTTCTTGGACCCCTCCATCAAACCCGAATCTCCTCCATGCCCCGAGAAGTACACCTACACCCCTCGCGAATCGGTCATGTCGTCCCTGCAGGCATCGAACGACTTGGATTTCATCAAAGCCCAAATTACCAAGGACGACAAGGAACTCCGCGAGATTATTAAGGAGAAGTCTCGTACAGTTGTCACCACCCGTTCTCCCAGTGCCCGGTCTCCTCCAGCCAAGACCCCTAAGTCGACCAGCCGGGCATCGGCAAAGCCCCAAAAGGCGATGCTGATGGACATGGAATCGAGTCTCTACCCTGACTTTCGGGATCTCCCTCGGCATCCTTCGCATGAGAACAGACAGCCCCAGATGGGATTCCATCGTCCTCCATGGAAACCGCGGCCATTTGCTCGCGCCTAGCCTGATATTTGGTACTTTCCCTTCTTTGCCCATTTTCCTTTTGTTCTTCTACCCGCTTCAATTCGCTGTAACTATTTTTTGGTACTTTTATCTTGTTTTATTATCTGGGCGGGATGTTGTCTGGAGTGATTGGGGCCAGCATTGGGACGGCGTTGAGATGTAAAAAAAGCCCATGTATCTATATGTAGCTATATGAAGCCAATATTCCGATGAGATCTTTAGTTAATGTACCATTAGTTCACGAAGTCGAGGACAAAGAAGTCGAAAGAATGGGAGATCTTAAGATTTAGTTCGCAGGGTCCACGGGTATCGAAGCTCGTGCGGAATGGCGACCCACTTAACTTAAACTCGCCCTTCCCCATTCTCCGCTTGGCCCTTCGCTTCTTCGTTTCATCCCTGGCACGCGGTTCACCGGCATAGGATCTGCAGACGCGGATCAGCCACTTTCACGTCACTTCCCCGCCATGTCGGACATGTTTCCCACTGTATCTCGATAGTATGCCCTTGGTTGCACGTTGACTGGCTCCTCTTGGCTTCCTGCTGGTCTTGGTTTACTTTGGAGACGTTTCCGACTCCACGGAGCCGATGCATTACTTTTCGACCGCTGCAACTGGATACACGGTACCAGGATGAGCATTCACTCGCTGGATTATGCGCAGCCCGGCGCGATGCGATCTGAATCGCTGCATACCGAGGACATCGAGGCAGGTCGCCAATCGCCGAGCTCGCAAGTTGCCCCAACCAGAAAGGAGGGGCTCGCTCCGGAGTCATTCACCTCCGCAGCCGCCCGAGTCAACTCCAGCGAAACCACCAAGCGCCGAGTCCGTCGTTCGAACACCGCCCGGTCTTACCACCCAGACGGCTTCTCCCAAGACCCGAACTGGCAACCCGGGACCGAGCCAGGGATCGACCCAACCAAACCCCTTCCTCCATACAGCTCGGAATGGGCGTCGAACGTGCCACCAGAGCTGCACCGCCATTGCGAAATCACCGTGGTGGACTTTTCCCAGCATGAAATGCGACAGTATGAGTTGGATAACGAAACTCTCGAGCCCTTTCTGGCGCGGGAGCGCGAACCATGGGTACAATGTCGGTGGATCAATGTGAATGGACTGAGCTGGGATGTGATCAAAACCCTCGGCAACCACAAGCGCTTGCATCGGCTGGCCATCGAGGATCTGGTTCACACCACCAATCGCACCAAGGCCGATTGGTATTCAGATCATGCCTTTGTCGTGTTAACCCTACAGAAACTGGTCAAGCTCCAAGAAGAAAACAGTGATTTTGAAAGTGAAGAAGAGGATTCCACTGGTGGGTGGATGAGCAAGGAGCGAAAGAGTTCGGTTGCGAGCGATAAGAGCTCGGTCTCTCTGAGGCGGCCAACTAAGCGAAGTGTCATTCTGGCAGCACTGAAGGATATCTTCTGGCCGAACCGATCGAAACAGGGCCAGACACCGAAGGAAAAGGCGACCGTTGGCTCAAGTGTTCGTCCTGGCCGCGGTAGATCTTCCCCAAAACAAACCTCCCAGTTTGGAGACGTCGCTACTGCCACAGCGGCTGCCACCCGGAGTCTCCAACGCTACCGTGGAGGTCCGAACGAGGATCGAATTGGGTTCATGGAGCGTCATGCGGTGCTAGCTCCCAAGGGACTGTGTGTCACGCTGGAGCAAGTCTCCATGTTTCTACATGCCGATAATACCGTGACATCCTTCTTTGAGACAAGTGCTGACGATATCGAGGCTCCTATCGTTCGCCGCCTGAACTCGCCGGAGACAATTCTTCGACAGTCGTGTGATGCGAGCATGCTCTTGCAGGCGATCCTCGATGCCATCATCGACCTCGCCATTCCAGTGACGTCCGCGTATCAAGATGCCATTGGTGACCTAGAGCTTGGAGTCTTGACGAACCCAGACATTGACCAGTCCAAGTCCCTCTACATCCTCACCTCCGAAATCGCAATTCTGCGTAACTCTATGCAGCCTATTGTGGCTGTGATCAATGCTCTTCGTGACCACAGGTCGGAGCCCGTCAGTACGCCGGGATTGGGAACCATACGGAACAACCCTCTGAGTGGGCCAAGTTCCCCTACTGGATCAAGTGCCCACCCACATGTTGGGATCATGACCCCTAATTTAAAGAGCCTGGGTGGCTCCAGCGTCACCATTAGTTTGATGTGTCATACATACTTGGGTGACGCTCTCGACCATTGCATCACCATAGTGGAAGGTTATGATCAGATGCGACGTGCGGCCGATAACATGATTGATTTGATTTTCAACACAATAGGTAAGTAGGCTCCGTGTCTGCGTAGGAAGCCAGAGCCATATACTAAACCCATCCTTGCTCCAGGTGCCTACCAGAACGAAAGCATGAAACAGTTGACCATTGTGACTTGCCTTTATCTTCCATTGACATTCCTTACAGTGCGTGAAGCTCTTTCTTATACACTGGGGCGCTTGCTGACTTTGAGTTAGGGGTATTTTGGGATGAATTTCACCGATTTTTCTGGCATCAACCATAGTGATTCGTAAGTTTTGATCTCAGGTTTGGTTTCTCCCTAGAAACATCTTACTGATTCGTCACTCTAGATATTTTTGGAAAATTGCTGTGCCATTCGTCTGTGCCACCACCCTCTTGTTGATGTAAGTCTTGCTATACCACGCCGGATATCCTTATAGACACTAACGTTGGTATCTCTAGGCGCGACAAAATCCAGCGCTACGCGGTGCTGCTTGCTCAGAGACGGTTGATTATGAGCTCTAGGAAGCAGAGACGAGAGCGAAAGGGACGATAATGCGAGGTTTTTTTGCAGGTGAATAGGCGAGTCTTTTGAGATGAGGTTTGCGGAGTCCGGAGACCGGGAGGGGTCTTGTGAACATTTCTCTGGACGGACCAGCAGGGATCTTCTATCTGTATAGTACATGTATCATACACGGTCTCATCCCATTCTTATCCAAGAGTCTTCCGTTGGAAGGCCATATACGCCTTCCATGGGAGTCTCCAATCCGAACGAAGCAGCTCCGGCTGAAACACATCAAAGTCGTGCTTCTGTAATCGGTCCAACCACAGCCGCGTACCCACGGCAGGCATGAAAACGCCAAAGGCGCGATTCACCTCATCGAGAGGGGATTCGGCGTCCCGAGCACCGCCAGAGACATCCTGGTTATAAGCAGCATCATACTCATGGCCCTCTTCGCCCTCGTGCTCAAACTCATGTCCGACATCGCCACCGGCACGAAGATTGGCAAGCATCTGCTGCACTGTGATCAAATGGTCGCTCGCCCGCGTGGCAACCGTGAAGACGGCATCCCGCAGACCCTCAGCTTCGGCACCACGCCGAAGCACTTCTTCTTCCTTGACCCCGGTCTGCGCCATGACATCCAGCGGCAACATCACAGCGCCCTGTCTGGCGCCCGCCGAGAGCCCAAGGCCCGCGGGCCCACCACCACCACCAGGCGCCTGGCTCGGCGGCGGCGGGAACGCAACGAGCGGCAATCCACGCAAGACAGCCGCAATACCAACAGCCTTCCCGATATGCGACGCCACATGGTCGGCGGTCACAGATGCCATGGGCAGCGCCGAGAGCGTCAGATACATCAGCGTCGAGTACGTGTTCTCGGCGTAGGACTCCAGCGAGGCGATGTTGGGGTACGGGTCGTTGGTAAGAGTCTGCTCGCGCGAGTTGATCAAGCGCGTGAGCCAGCCCTTGCTGATCCGAGCACGGCCTTGTGTGCGCTTGTGCAGGTCTGCGATCGCCGAGGCGAGCAGGACCGCCACGGGTTCCTTGGGCGGCGCGCCCGCTAGGATCTTGGTTACGGAGTCGCGCCAGAATTGGAGTCGCATCAGCCCGATTGTGGGCGACGAGGTTGAGTCTGGGATCATTGAGAGAGAGACGTTCAGCGCCCGCAGTGCGATGTAGAAGGTTTGCGCGTGCCGTGGGATGAAGGTGCTGAGTGTGTATGAGGGTCGGTCATATTTCCTGCGTGCGGGTACGGCAGTGTCAGTCCTGAGTATTGCGAATCTTATCAAGTGTAGGGAGGATATTGAAAGTTGATAAAATCAGGGGGAGCTGCCGTACGAGAGTAGAGAAACGCAGTATCGATGTGCGCCTTGGACTTCGTCTGTATTGATGTCTGCAGCGACAGCCCGTGTGCGACTGAAATGCCTTTGCGACTGAAGACTTCGCGCATAGATTTGACACGTTCTGCTCGCCCAGCAGGGCCGAGCGGCGTCTTTGAGGAAGGACATGGAGGAGTTGAACGTGGGATGTAGGTTCCAAGGTTGGTTCGAGGCTGCAGTAATGTGATCCGCTCAACAGCATTGGCCCAAGGCCTTTTGACGTATTGGTCAGCGCAATATAGCCAGCAATAACTGCCAATATAGATAAAAAGCAGGTTCAAAGATATATTTTGGAAATCCAGCAAGCTTCAAATGGCCAAAGCCCCCGGCAAATGTGGGGGATGGTTGGTGTCGACTTTTTTTTTTTGTCGCTGACGTCGATCTGCTTCGCGTTCTTACGGCGCGTCTCCCCAGCCGAACCTCCTTCGATTCTCCATTGATCTCGATGTCTCAACCCCGAATATGAGCGACGACCTAGACACACGGCCAGCTAAAAGACAGCGCTTTTTCGTCGAAGACTCTGTTTCTCCTGCCGGGTCCGATTCTCAAACCGTCGACGCGTCGTTGCCTCGGCACTGTCCCGGGCTTGATGCATGCGATAAGGACAATGGCGACGGCGATGTTCCTGAGAAGCAGACACACGAGCGTGTCCCAGAGAGCCCATGTCTAAGGTCAGAGGTGCAGACTGCATTACCAGAAACATCAGATGCACCCAACCACGGCCTTCCGAATGGCACGAATCACCGCGACGCAGATCAACCTATTCCTGAGAGTACGACACAACCGCCAGCCACCGATGGATTTGACGTGGGCCTCTTTGAAAGTATTGTAGGAGAACAGCTACCTTCCGACACAATCAAGATAATACGGTCTGCAGCCTCTGATAATGTCGAGAGAGCCGTCAATATCTACTTTGATGGATCATGGAAGAATCCTGCCAGGATAAACGGCCGTTCAATTTCAACTGGTCGTCAGCAAACTCTCCCCCTCGCCACACGCCCAGATCCTAGGAGCGAGGTGACCTCGACTCCCCCAGACAACAGGAGTCTGGCAGCACCCCCGTGGAGAGCGAATCTCTCTTGCGAAAACAACCTTCGGCGAGATATATAGGCGCATTTGGCGTGGGAGGCTGGGCAACCCGGAGTGGATTGGCCTTTCTCAAGCATGGGGACCCGGTCAACATCGAACGGGCCCGATCACAGCCAACGGCGAAGCGCGGTCGTGGAGGCAAGCTGTTCACCAACCAAAAACCAGACGTTTTGACGCGGTTCACCAACAATGCTGGTCAGGAAATCGGGAGACTGCCTCATGAGATTGCGGAGTGGGTTTCGACATTGATTGACCAGAAGATCTGTCGCTTCGATGGTGTCTGCGTGTTTGTCCCCGACAGGGTCCGTGTCAACGATACCATCTATTTGCAGCTGCGGTGCTATCTGCTCAAGGACGCATTTGAGCGCGGGTCATTCATTGGGTCAACCATGGACGACAATAGATCAACTGGTCTCTTTGAAGAGAAGGAAAGCACCGAGGAGAAAAACCTGCGACTCCGCCAGGTGGCTCTCGTGAAACTATTCCATGAAATTGGCCTCCATCCTACATCTATCAATCCGACCACCGAGAAACATAAAAGAGATGGATTACTTCGCGCAGTTGAAATGGCGGAACAGTATGACGGCCCAAAGAAGGACAGGGACAAAGCCAAAACAAACAAGGAATCCAACGACTCCGACGAGGAAGACGACACAGCAGAGCTGGAGGAAGACCAGCTTGATACCTTGTACCGCAAAGCGCAGTCGTTTGATTTCAACATGCCCGAGGCCACACCCCCACCGAGCTTTCATCTGAATCTCCGCAAATACCAACGGCAAGCTCTTCATTGGATGTTATCAAAAGAGAAAGACGCGAAGCAAATCCGAGAGAAATCGATGCATCCCCTGTGGGAGGAGTATACTTGGCCAGGCAAGGATGTTGACGACAAGGATCTTCCTAGAGTAGAAGGTGTCGACCACTTTTACGTCAATCCATATTCGGGCGATCTCAGCGTGGATTTCCCGTCTCAAGAACAACGGTGCTTGGGCGGGGTTTTGGCCGACGAAATGGGACTGGGTAAGACGATTGAGATGCTCAGTCTGGTTCACTCTCATAGATCAGAGCCTGTGCCCAGAGTTTCGAGCGGTATGAACTCTGTCAATGATCTCGCCCGAGTACCAGCCTCTGGGGTGGTCTCCGCTCCCTATACTACTCTGGTTGTTGCCCCGACATCGCTGCTCTCACAGTGGGAAAGTGAGGCGCTGAAAGCTTCTGAAGCGGGGACGATGCGAGTCTTGATGTATTATGGAGCCGAAAAAGCCATGAACCTGAGAGAGATATGCTGCGAGTCTAAGTTTGCATCGGCGCCTCATCTGATCGTCACCAGCTATGGGGTTGTGCTTTCCGAATTCCGCCAATTTGCGATTCAATCCACGATGGCCCCTGGCTTGCATACTGGGTTGTTCTCGGTAGATTTCTTCCGGGTCATCCTCGACGAAGCCCACTTGATTAAGAACCGTCGCTCAAAGTCGGCCAAGTCCTGCTACGAACTCAAGGCAACTCACCGATGGGTTCTCACGGGCACGCCCATCGTAAATCGACTGGAAGACTTGTTTAGTCTGGTACGTTTCCTGAAGGTGGAACCCTGGAGTAACTTTTCCTTCTGGAAGACATTCATCACTGTGCCGTTTGAGTCAAAGGATTACGTGCGTGCCTTGAATGTCGTGCAGAGCGTGCTGGAGCCTTTGGTTCTTCGTCGGACCAAGACGATGAAAACTCCAGAAGGCGAGCCCTTGGTTCCCTTGCCACGGCGAACAGTCACGATTGAGGAGGTTGAGCTTTCAGAACAAGAACGAGAAATCTATGACTGTATTTTCATGCGAGCTCAAAGGACATATAACGATAATGTCGAGGCCGGCACGCTGCTCAAATCGTACTCGACAATCTTCGCCCAGATCCTCCGTCTCCGTCAGACCTGCTGCCATCCCATTCTCACGCGCAATAAGGCGATTGTCGCCGATGAAGAAAAGGCTGCCATTGCGGCGGACGAGGCCAACGAGCTCAAAGATGACATGGATCTCCAAGAATTGATCAACCAGTTCACAACATCTACGGAGAATGCCGAGGCGGAGGAACGGTCTGGGGCGACGGTGAAATTCACCGCACATGCCCTCCGGCAGATCCAGACCGAATCCAGCGGCGAGTGCCCTATCTGCTGCGAGGAGCCCATGATCGAGCCCGCCGTCACAGCCTGCTGGCATAGCGCGTGCAAGAAATGCCTCGAGGACTTTCTGCGGCACCAGATGAACAAGGGCGTGCAAGCACGATGCTTTTCATGCCGTGCCAATGTTGATGCCAAGGACATTTTCGAAGTAGTCCGCCATCCTTCTTCACACGCCACGCCTCTTGAGGACGAGATTCCATGCAGCACTCCGCTCAGCAGCTCGCAACTTGCACCGCGCATCTCCCTCCGTCGGATTTATCCTCTGTCACCCTCCGCCCACACTTCAGCCAAGATCCATGCGCTAATCAACCACCTCTCGCGCCTCCCGCCCAACACAAAATCAGTGGTATTCTCCCAGTTTACTTCATTCTTGGACCTGATCGCACCACAGCTGTCTGGGGTTGGTATTTCTCACCTCCGTCTGGACGGAACCATGCCCCAAAAGGCGCGAGCCGCTGTCCTGGCCCAGTTCACCAAACCCGAAACCTACGCGGACGACATCGTCGACACCGACGACGACACCCCAGGTCGAAACGGCCCCTCTGTCTTCAGACCCTCCTCTTCAAACCCCTCACCCACTGTTCTCCTCATCTCCCTCAGGGCTGGCGGTGTCGGTCTCAATCTCACGGCGGCCAACAATGTCTTCATCATGGATCCCTGGTGGAGTTTTGCCATTGAGGCGCAGGCCATCGACCGCGTTCACCGCATGGGCCAGCTACGCGATGTGTCTGTGACGAGGTTTGTCGTGAAAGACTCCATCGAGGGCCGTATGCTGCGCGTGCAGGAGCGCAAGATGAATATCGCGGGCTCGCTGGGGCTGCGAGTTGGCGGGGACGAGTCGGAGGATGACAAAAGAAAGGAGCGCATCACGGAGCTGAAGATGTTGTTCGAGTGATGGATGGTGGGGTTTGGTGGTTGGCTACTAAAAGTTTGGGATCGGGCTTGGTGTTGCTTGTTGGGGGGGGGATATATACCCGGGTCTGGCGTCGTTTGATATCTTAAAAGTATGCAGGCATATTTCAAACGAAGATGCAATTCCGGAACTACTCAATACACGGAAGAAAAGAAAAGAGAAAATAGCTTATGCGTACATGGTCATAGAAACGAAACGAAAGGTAGAGAATACGGCATCACCATCATCTAGTCCCCATATCTCCCAAGGCCACTGACTCACTTGCTCGAGTGATGCGGATGAGCAACCTTGCCGAGGCGCTCCTTCATCTTAGTCATGGCACCACGTTTCCCATTGCCAGAAGGATGATGCTCAGTCTTGGGGGGTCCTGGCATATAGATTAGTTAAGTTGCGGAAAGAAGAAAGAAAGAAAGAAAGAAAACTCACCCCCCTCCTCCTTCGCAGGTGCCTTCCCCTCCATCTCCTTCTCAAACTCATACGCCGGCCGCGGCGGCGGTCCCTGCGGGCCCTTGAGCGTCTCCTCGCTCACTTTCACTGGGCCATCATCGGATGCAGAGCCCGACATCTCGCTGTTTGCGCCATTGAGGGCGTCGGTGCTGCGCTGCTCGGAGCCTGCGGGGGACGACTTGGCGCTGGTGCTGCTGCCTCCGGCTTGGGCGGACATGGGTTGGTCCGGGTGGGAGTTGGAGGTGGTTGTGTTGGTTGCTTGGTTGGAATTGGGGGAAGAAGAGGAGGAAGAAGAAGCCGATTCGGATGATGATGCTGGTGCAGCTTTAGCTTGTGAATCTGGTGATGTCGAAGAAGTGCTATTGCTGCTGCTGCTGCTGCTGTTGTTGTTGGTGCTGTTATCAAGTTTGGGATCTTGGGGCGTGGTGGTCGTATTGATCTCGGTGGCGGGGGCACCGGGTTGTTCTGTGTGGGAGAGGTGTTAGTTCTTTATTGCGTGTGGCTGTATATGGGTGTCTGGTAAGGGAATAGAGCAATCCCATTCGATAATCTCAAGTAAAAAGACAAACAGCTCTTCTCAAGAGAAAACAATGGCGACGCCACTATGTCGTCACTGGCAAAAGGGCAGGGGGCGCCCTGGGAACTGATGTCAATGTGAACGTACCCTCGCGGTTCCCGGCGTCATAGGGATCCAGGGCGCCGCCCTGGCCCTGCACGCCGGAGATGGGTTCTTCGCCATGTTGCGCCACGGTCTGCGATGGGTTGGGGTCACCCCAGAGAGCGGTCGAGGCCGCATTGACGACCTTGTTGACGGCGTCCATAGTTCTTTTGTTGGGTGAGTGAGGAGTTGGCGGTACGATATCCTCGGTTGTAGAAGATAGGAACGGGGAACACTAAGAAGAATTCAATTTAAATGTGGAGCAAAGTGTCTTGTGAGAAAGAAAGAAAAAAAAAGGGGACTTGTCAATTGAAGTCGATGCTGTCACTTAAGAGCGCCGATTTAGACGGAATCTCACTACGTCAGCGGTGCAGGATCGACATGATGTCATCGAGTGTTACTTGACACCTGGAACAAACAATAATAACAAAATGCAATATCAGTCATAGACGTAGCCATCCGCCTGTCTAAATCTTGCTCATAATGCCTACATTGAGCGAATGAAAAACGAAAGAACAACAATCACACAAAGGATAACGCCTGTTTAGCCCCTAGCAAAATCCACCTCGTCATCCGGCTGCTTCTGCCTCGCTCTTGTTGGTTGGATCAAGTGGGTGGTTGGGATCGTAGCCAATGCTCTTTACAATCCCCAGTCCCTTTGTCTTGCCCTCACGGAAGAGTACCCGGTCACCGGGTGCTAGGAACTCAGGCCGCTGGATAAACCGGAATGCCACGACAGCACGGTCGCCAGTTCGAATAAAGGGCCGGTCAATGTCAATGACGGAGCATGTTTGGCTGATGGCTCCGACATGCAGCATGGCTTGGTACTTGCGCTTGATAGTGGTGGCGTGAGAGAGGATCAGGACTGGATCTTGTGTTAGTGGACAGATCAAAGTCGATAGAAAAGAGTCTCAATGGAAAAGATCATAAGAATAAACACCAAGGCACTTACCCTCCGCAACAAACTCTCGGTAGACCTTGGGCGGGTGGTCCATCTTTTTCAGCACCACCATGCCCTTGCGCACTTCCTTCCGGCGAACTCGTTTCAGAGCAAAAGACCCAGACTGGCCCGCAAAACACGCGTTCACCGGGATGCGCTTGCGTTCAATGGTCTTGATGGTGGTGGTGGTGAACTGGCCCAGCGAGTCCGGGCCGACCACGACGGAATCACCCGCGTGGATCACCCCGGACTTAACCACACCCGACACTACCGTACCGGCATGCGGCACCGAAAAGGTGTCGTTGATGAGGAACTCAAATGGTCCTTCTGGGTCGTACTGGCCGCGGTGCGGCAGGATGTTCAAGAATGTCCGGACGAGCTCCAGGTTCTCGCCAGTAACGTTGGAGACTTGAAAAATAGGGCAGATCCGCTGGCTGACAAACTGAGTGGCCGTGTTGATAGTTTCCTCCATGTTCTTCACAAACACGGGGATCTTGCGAGCGCCCGGTGACTTGAGAATCTTCGACAACTGCGTGAGAGTCTCCTGTAGAATCTGAGGCGGACAAATATCGATTTTGGTCACAATCACCATCACAGGGACATTGAGAGCGAGCGCAATACCCAGGTGCTCGCGACTCATACCAATCAGACCGTTGTTGGCAGCGACCATCAGCAAACAGCAGCTGGGGCTGCTACTCAGCATGCCAAAGACCGTGGTACGCAGGTACCGCTCGTGGCCGGCCAGATCAGAGAACGAGATCACCTTGGCCGACCGCTTCCCGATCTCCTCCCAGGACATCTTGCGGCCATGAGCATTGCTGATAACCTCACCCCGGCTGTCGAATCCCATGATCTCCATGCCCACGGAACTGGTCCGCCCACTCTCAATCTCGTGTTTGTGGCGGAAAAGGTTAACCCGAGCCCGACCACGACCATCGTCGAGGCTGCCTTTCACCAGAACCCCGAGCATGGTACTCTTGCCGGCGTCGACATTCCCCACCACGGCGACCCGCACCTCCGCCAGCTCCTCCACGGTATCGGCATGCTGGCGGACTAGCACCTTGCCCCAGGCATCTTTGAGGCGCGACTGGTTCATCGGGGACTCCTCACCACCTTCAACATTGTACGAGAGCAGGATCCGGCATTGCGCAGGAAGAGTCTCGGCTGCCTCGCGCAGGCGCCGCAATGCCGTCTCCCACTGAGCCTGGTCGAACCCCATTGACTCGCCGCCGTCCTCGAGGCCGAGGTCAAAGATGGTCTCCCCATGACCCTCATCGAGGCGCGTCTGCAAGAGACCCGCCAGCTCCTGGAGGCTGTCCTCGGTTACCTCTTCGGTTCCAAGGAGGAGGTCTTTGAGCTTGATGGTCCGCGGGGTGTCGGACAGTCCCAGTTGGTCTAGAATCTCGAGTTCGGCGTGGTCCTCGAGATCGCGCGAGACACTGCCGGTAGAGTACCCGCTGTCGCTGGGAGCGACATGTGCTCGGCGCGCCTGCTGCTTCTCGACGTATTCGGCGAACTCGCTGAGAGCCTGGAGGGGAATCATGTGAGCCCGATGCCCCGCATTGCAATTGCAGGTGTCGCAACAAAGAGAGACAGGTGGGGGGGGGGGGACATACAAGCTCGCCTTTTCTTCGCTCTTCAGGGCTGAGCTTTTGCCCTGTGGCTGGCATGATGTGTGGAAACAAGATCAAAGGTGTCAAGTAGTAACTCGCGTTAGATGGGGGATGACGTTATAGGACGGTGGATCGCCTCGGGGGTTGGCGCATTCAGACGGGTATTCGAGGGATCATCGCTTGATTTGTTTGGAGAAGACCGAGAAGATTAAAGGGAAGGAGAAGAGTAGAAGAATAGAAGAAATCAAAGAAAGTCGACGGGGCAGCTTTATCGATAAGTTCGAGTCACTTGAGTCATCACGCTGCGCCACATAAGAGTCATCCCACGGTTGGGAGCCGCATTTACTTGTGCGCCTCGAAGGCTGTACAACATCTACAAGGCATTGAATGCAATAGTGAATTGCGATCGAATCGTCTTCATGGTCGCATATCTATGGTATGTGGATGGTATCTTTTCCATGCCTCGATCCTCGCACCGGACGCCAATTTCCTCTATCCAGCAAGTAGTCGGAGTCCCCTTATGCTTGGGGAGAGATCAAAACGACAGAATCACCTAAATATAGACGAATGGCGCAAATCAGTGATGAGGTTCCTCCGCCTCCGCAATGATAGTGTCCTTGACTCACCACGAACGAAAAGCATCTCCTCTTGTTTTTTGATGGTCTAATCCGCGAAGGAAAAAGAGAAAAAGAAACCGCAGTCAGCACCCCGGCCTCGTAGACACCAATGGGATTGCCGTCGTTTCGCTTACCCGGGTCGTTTCTTGTTCGTTGTCGTCCTCCTCCACCACATAGATGGTCTCCTCGACGTCGCCCAGGACTAGGTTGCAATGGCTGTCGTATGCCTGCAACAAATCCATTTCGAGTCAGTCATCATCCAGTTCACCGGCATATTTTGTGGGAGGGAGGGGACTCACATGGAGGCGGCCCTTGAGCTCACGGTCACCGCGCAGTTTCACGAAAACAATCTCATCGAGTGAAAGACGGACCAGGTCAAGGGGTTCAGAGACGGATGATGCGCCTGCATCCTCGGTGTCGGCCATCTTGGAAAAGGAACAAGGTCGATGGGGAGGTGGTCAAGGCACTGGCCCACCAAAGCGCGAGCTCTGCCGGGTACCCGATGTAGTTTAGCGCTCAGATGACCAAGCCAGCTGAGTCAGCAGCAGGCTACCCCGGGTTTATCAGGCGACACACGGGATCCACTGCGGGATCTATGGGGGTGGAGTCTTCATTCTACGGGTATGACATGTATATAGTCTCAATACCAAGTATGCCAGTATGCCAGTGTTTGTATATTGGAGTAGTTCAGTATCTGAGTAATACCAATATCAACTGCTCTATTCCTGTTTCCGTTCTATCCGCTGATCTCTCTGTACTGTCTCTGTACTGCAGCCCTGAAACGCTCTGACCCCCTTGTAAGGCCAATGCCTGTCGGTTACGCCCAAGCGGCCGAAGCGCAGTTTCCCCTCATCCTCCCCCCCCGGCTCTCCCGGATTTCTTTGGGAGACACTTGGGATTCTTGGATTCTTCTTCTTTCCTACACGGTGGTGCTTGTTCTTCTCAATGAGAATTCCCATCGAGAGGCTCTCTTCCCACGGGCTTCGTCCCGCGTGGGGCGCCAGAGATAGCCTCTGCCACTCTCGGTTCTGTACGCTGAAGCTGACCGGCCACACAAGGCCAATTTCCTCTCGTGTCAATCGCTTTTCTCGGATTCCTCCTACACAAAAGGCCCGAGGGAGTCGCCAATTGCATGCAAGCAAATTCCTCGAATCATCCGCTCCAGATCAAGTCATTGAAGAATTCGGTCGTCCCACTCCGACCTGGAATTCCCCCTGAAGAAGCAGCCCAATATACCCAACGATTCTACCAAATCCTCGAAGATGGCCAACCTGACCAAGCGATGGAAGTGATGGTTGACCCGCGGTCGGCGGAGCTGGTGGGATCGCTCGCCGACTCCGTTTTCGTGGAGGTGCTCCACCTGCTGTCGCCCGCCCATTTTGTGGAGCCATTCCGAGATCTCCACCTGCCACTGCACGCATGGATCGCTCTGAGAAAAGGCGTGAAGCGCATCGAGGAGATTTTCGATGATTTTGTCGGGAATCTTCTCACGATCGTGGGCTATCGCACCGCAGCGGGGGTTCCCCTGCATCTCGCGGAATACACTCATCTTCTCGACTGCGCACGGTCGATGGGAAACGCTCCGTTGGCTGATGAGCTATGGGAGGCCATGGTCGCCAACAAAGTCGAGCTCGATGCAGTGTGCTACAATCATATCATGGAGGCCAAGGTCTGGGATCACGCATACACTGGTCTTGAATCGAAGCGCTTGCAAATGACTTCTTTTAACTGGCGGAAGCGAGGAATGGAGAACCCGACCAGGGGCTGGCGGGGCTATGGAACAGGCGCAAGAAGTGTGCGAACGACGGTATGGAACATATACCACCAGATGACCGAAGAGGGGCACCCGAGCGACGAGCGCACCTTTGTCAATCTGATGATCGCATCGAGTCGGGTGGGCGATATCCAGGGAGTGAAAAAGATTTTGTGGGATATGTGGAATGTCGATATCGATGCCCTGAAAGAGGAAACGGACAACTCGAAGCTACCGCCCGCCACGCCCTACGATCCGTGGTCGGCCCTCTATCCAACGGATCGACTTCTCTTTGCAGTCGCTCATACCCTTGCCACAAACAACGACATCCCGGGAGCCCTGCGAGGGATCGACTTTATCTCATCTGCGTACAATATCCCGATTCCGCACAAGGTCTGGTACGACCTGTTCGAGCGGGCCTATACCCTGTCCCGAGAGAGAAGGAAGACCTCACATCGTGGGAAGAAGGGGTCTCTTGCAAACGGGGCCATCTCGCGAGACCTTCTGCGTGTCATGTTTGACACCATGACGTCGGAGCCTTACAATGTCCCGCCGACGGTGGAGATGTACACGAAAATGGCCAGAACCAATCAATCCGATGGGCGGCTGGCGGACTGCAAGTCCATGCTGGCGGGGGCGTATGAGATCCTGCGCCAGTCGCGAAAGGAGCGAAAGGAGGCCAAATCGGCCGTGGTTCACTGTCTAGGGCCGGCTCTGGAGTACAACTCTGAAGAGGGAACACCACTGGGCCTGTTGTTTGCCGAGTCTCCTCACCTTGCCGAGGCTGTTCAGACCTACGATATCCTTCAGCTGCAAGTCTTCCAGCAAACGCATCTGATCAACCGCACCGTGTATTCGTTGGTGGTGCAGGAAACAGAATGGACCGAAATTCCAATGGGTGTCTGGGAAAGACAGGAACGGCCTAAGGTGATGGAAGAATGGTGCGATTTCCTGCCTCAGTCGCACAGCCTTGACTACGCCGACGGTGGCAAAGTCGAATTCGAAGGTTCTTCTACGACATACTCCCGCTTTTTAACCCCCGGCCGCGTTCCAGTACGGCGCTTGAGCAGCCCGGACCGCTTATTTGCCCCCATTGAGAAGACCCGCCCCGAGGATTCATGGGAATGGCATCATTTGAAGACGCTCATCCCAGAGCTGGATATGCCGCGTGGGCCACTGAGTCGTCTCTTTGCTTTCCAGGGACAGATCAGTCCGGATTTTAGAAAGTTTTCGAGCAATCTTCAGACCCGCGTAAATTACCCCCCGGACCACCCGCTTTCCATGGATAATAATCCCGAGGGTGGGTTTTATGGTCGTCTGGCTGCGCTGGGGCTTCTGCGGCCCAAGTCCCAGCGAGGTGTCTTTTTGATAGACCCGGAACACCCATATGCCCCGGTCTGATATCTCTCTCTCTCTCTGCATGTGCATGTGATCCATGCATCTCCATGTCTGTGAATGTATGAATGCCTGGTGGAAATTCGTGGGTTTGTTTTCACTGAGGTCTTGTTCATGGTGCATTCTTTGGCCATTGTTGATACCCATCATATCGACAGGAATCGTATTTATTCATAAACCCTTTACAACACCCTATCTCGGTCTTGTAACCCCGATAATCGTCAAATGAGTATACCATAAGTGGGTGACTACCACAGGAAAGTAAAGAAGTATGTGCATATTAGATGATCCACAAGAACTGAAGATATGTGTACACAGAAGTGACGAGAGCCTCGCAATCCGTCGAATCATGACCAGACATTCAAACATGTAAAGAGAATCGCGCGCCACAACTCTCAGTCGAGTCTTCGGGTCTGCCACATTGCAACAGTAACTAATTATCAGAAATATCACCGGGGTAGCAGACCTAACAGCACCCAGATCCCTGTTAGACCTTCTCCCGCTGCAGATCATTGACGGTCATATAGCGACCAACAGAGATCCACCCCCAGCGGAACCAGACCATCTGACTCTTATGGCCTTTAACCATAGCCGACTGGGCCGTCAGCCACTCAGTCACAGAGCTGACAAAGAGCATGCGCGCGGGCCCGGGATCCGAGGAAGAAGCAGAACTGGCAGAGCGCGAGGAAGGACCCCGCAACTTGGCGAGGAGATTGCTCCAGGCGCCCAGGAGCATGGTCAGCGGGGCATCAAGGACGCCGACGTACTTGCGCAGAAATGTCGTGGAGGTCAGGGTGTAGAGGGTGACGGGGCAGGCGAAGCCGGCTTTTTCTTTCATCAGGACGCGCAGGAAGTGTACGGCGCCGTGGTAGAGGGAGCGGTGGTTGGGGTGGTTGCTGATGCCGTGGCGGTCGAAGGTTAGGAGCACGTCGATTGTGGCGGTTGGCGCGGTGTCTTGTTGCTGTTGCTGTTGTTTCTTGGAGTTGCGGGTCGTGGATGATGATGCGGCCAGGCCGGGTGCGAATGCCGATGCTAGTAGCGAGGCAATCTCGTTCTCGTTCCATTGCGCTATCATACTGTCTGGGAAGCGGGCCGGGTCGTCGACGATGAAGACGTCAGATTCGCTGCGCAGGCCGAGCTGCAACGCGCTCTTTTGGAGCTCCTTCTTGCGTGTTTCGCCGAGGCCGTCTGCGTCGCCTGCATAATCCGAATAACTCCCGTTAGCTTTGATTGTTCCTTATTTCAAGGCAAACCAATTTATTTCCAATTCTACATTCTTCGTCCATACGTACCCGTACTGAAACACAGGATTTTCAGGTGATTGCCCAGCTCGGGCTTGGTGAGCGCCAGCACCGTTGGCGCAAAGAACATCGCCTCGTCATCCGGGTGCGCAATCAGCAGACAGATCCGCTTGTTGTAAAGACGCGGGAAGGAGCGCGTGAAAGGCGAGGACGACGTGGACGACAAGCTCCAGAAGACGAAGACCGCCGCGATCGCGACAGCCAGCGCGGTCCAATTGACCGACATTGACATCGTGGTCCGGTCGAGAAGATCCGATTCGAGGTTGGGGGGTGCCGAAGCTGTTCCACTTGGTGCGATGCGCTCGATCTCAAGCTAGCGCAAAGGCTATACTTGTCGATCTTGGCCTTGGGTTGCGAAAGTGCTCGAGAGTTGGTGGTGTCTTGAGTGTGAAATGATGCGCAAAACTGAGATGCGCGAGCACTGAGAGGATGATGCGACGCAGTATAGAACAATGGGATGAGAGGCAATGGGTGGAGGTCCCAAATCGGAGCTGTAGATCAGATATGCATGAACTCAAGACACGCCACGGTGGGGAATCGCATCGGACATCCCTCCCAACGGCGGGTGCAAGGTCGGGGGAGTCGAGTCAGTGCAGACCACGGATCAATTGGCAAGAGATGGGTCAGGAGTCAGACCCATTCTGAGAAAGAGAGAATCACCGCCAAAGAGAACACGGTGGCATGAAGCTCCATCGAAAGGGGACAGCTCGCATGATTCTTTTGGACGATCCCCCGGAGTCGGGTCACGTGTCAGGGGTTCCTGCAGGGCATCTTCAGAGATGTATGTAGATGTAGTACAGTGAGATCGAGTTCTGATTATTTTTATCTTGTTCCTATAGATTGTTTGTTGTGAGTCAAAAAATGCGATCAACTGCATCGACTGTTTCGCGATGACTTCAACTATCCATAGATGCTTCGGTCGAATTTATCAACGACTACATGATAGCTCTGGAGGCAGGATCATCATCCTGGATAGATGCACAGTAGATGCATAGTTTAATAGACCATGCCAAGGGAGGGCCACTGAGATGTTTCTTACAGTTCGAGATCTAGATCTAATCTATCTAGATCTTGGTGATGAAAAGAATAATCAATTTGGGTAAGTTTAAGTAGTAGAAACAACTAAACTAGAACAGAGTACTATTCTTGAATATAAACAAGAACTACTTTGCATCTTCTTGTCAAACTACATATACCACCAGGCTACACCTCCCTTTCTTTCCCGCGGAAACTATCGGAGGTCCCCGACAGCCTTGATACGGCCCCCTCGGTGGATCCAGAATGTATGTAAGAAAATGGCCTCACTTTCGAAGGAATAGGGCGGAAAAGAAGAATTAAAAAAAACGACTCCAAAAAAAAACTGAAACCAAGGAACGCGCCGAACAAAGTGGGCCCCGCGGGCCACCCATAGCAGTGTTAAGCCTCACGTTGCGGGCCGAACATAAACTTCGCAGGGCACACAGAAATTTTCTGCGTTTTCCACAGTGGATCTTGATGGGGCGGGTGTTGCCCGTGTTGAGGGAAATAATGAGAGGAAAAATCGCGGAGTGGGAATGAATAGAACAGATTGTACAATAGATACTATAGATCAAATAGAATAGTAAGATAAAATAAATACAATGCCAGAATGATGCCATCAAGAGAATGACAAAGTTGACACCATTTCTACAGAATGCTCATCATCAAAACCATGGATATACTCATGGATATATTCAAGAATATAAATTCATGGAGGTATATACCGAGATCGACCCGAAACAGGAAGCTCGATGGAGAGCACGGCATCCCTATCACCGGCAATGATTGGCCAGGATTCCCGATCAACGCGAATATACAAGGTCCTTAGCAGTCTCCGAGCTGACGTGCTATAACCATACAAAGGATAGAATAAAATACTATATTATGTAACAAAATATAGTAAAATGCTATATAATATAGTATTACAGAATAGCCGAATCACATCACCGACATGGCGTGATCTCTGAGGCACTTCACGGCGCGGGCAAATCCATATGGGGCCGTCGGCTGTGCTTATAGGCGAGGTCCAGGGGTCCTTGAAACTGTTAGGTAATTAGGGCGAGCAGGCGAATTGGTGATTCGTCCGATGCAGCTAAGCATACAGCTTGACAGGGCCAGAACGGATGATCACTTAGAATCAGCTTTCAATTTTATAGATACATGTATACATGTATATTATATATATATATATATATATATTATTGTAGTCAGTTCTTGGGGGCATCGCGAGTCGACCTACAATAGACGAGCCCCGCAAATTGAGTGCGGGGTACTTGAGATGCATCACGTAATTTTATAGTTTGAATATTGAATATTGAATATAATATTATAGTTATAATGATAGTTATAATTACAATGGAGATTGAATGAATATTGAATATTCATGTACTTACGGTCACTAGACGTAGTACTGCCTAGGTAGTGACTCAATAGACGAAGACGGTTGGAGAAAGAATTTTTACAGAATTTTCGCTTCGGTGGAGCTCCGCCAAGTTTCCTTTTTTGCGCGTGGTTGCCCGAAACGGAAACGCCAGGGGATCTGCCACTAGTTTGGGATGGTTAAATTACAGTTAAATTACAGTCATGTATGGTCATATATCCAAAGACTCAAGACATGAACACTCGATGGCGCCACGTGGTGCTAGAATGACGGACTTTAATTCTCCTCTCTTCTCTTGGGATTTGGGTGGCACTTTAACCAGCTGATCGACGGTCCCGTGTTCCAAGGTGTCCAAGGTTGAGGTGCAGATTGATAATCAGGGTGATTACACCCTATATGGCATGTCCATTCCGAGTGGATATGTACCTATGTACCTACTGTATGTACATATAGACCTAAAGTCTATATGTCTGTGGACACACACTAAAATCTCCCATAACACCACATGCAACAAGGTGGACCGAGCTGATCGCTTCTCCGAGGACACGGAGAACAAGCCGAAGCTGTGAGTCACTGGCGCACGGTCATCCACGCACGCTAAACCGGCCCGTGATCATGTGTTTCCCGAGTACCCTGATGGAGTATAGTTGACGCCGAGGGGAGTTGATGGGTTGAGTGATGGCAAAATGATGCCCACATTCGCCCAGCATGTGGGGTTGGCGTCAGGCGATCCACGTCCCAGCCGGGTCGAGATCATTCGATACCTTGATATCTCTGGTATGACTGTGTATAGTATGAACTGGGTGAAGTATGAACTGGGGAGGAAAGTAGGCAGAAAGTATGGAAACTGGTTCATATCAATGAATTCCAGTGTTGAGTGTGTCGGCACCAGATCCGATCAGAAGTGCGCGATCTTCCATCAGGGACCGTGTATCGCTTGTGTATGGGAATGGTACGCGTATGGTCAGACTCCACTATGACGATGCCTCGGTATTTACTGTATGGCCAGACCCATCGTGCCTGAGACGTGGAAAAGAAAGAGAAAAAAAAAGTGGCACATGATCCTGTCCAAAGACTCAAAAGCGGCGGTTCCGCCTACATTCCACTTTATCTCTTTATCTACTATGTTTTGTCGTTTGTTGGATACCCTCAATTAACATCATGCCGGGCCGTTTGATCCCCAACTTTGTTCGGGGTTCTGGCTCCCTCCACTCCTCTCTTGCCTCTACTCCCGTCCATTCCAATTCCTCGTCAACTGCCTCGGTCAATGAGATCCCGAATCACTTGGCTTCTAAGAAGCCAGCCCACACAAACAATGACCGCGCGCGGTCTCCCGAGCGCCGCCTGTCCTTCTCCATGGACCACTTGATCCACCCACACCGGGATCACAGCAAGGAGAAGCGTCGCAGCCTGGGCCGGGCCACTCGCTCGAAAGAGCGCTCCAGCAAGGAAGACCTTACCCCGCCATCTGCCAAACTAGATGTCCTGGTTGAGTCGCCACCGTTGGTCTGCTATGGCCCGCCGGCCTCCTCGACCGGCGCATTGTTCTCAGGCCGATTGCGCATCGCCGTCACGGAATTCGGGCGCGAGATCACTCTGAACCAGTTCGACGTGCGCCTCATCTCCAAGATCAGCACCAAGAAACCGGTCTCGAGCCACTGCCCAAACTGCGCCACCCGCACTGAGGAGCTCACCCGCTGGGATTTCCTCACCGAAGCCCTGCCGCTCAAGACCGGACACCACGACTTCCCCTTCAGCTATCTGTTCCCCGGTCACCTCCCCGCCTCTTGCAATGGGGCTCTAGGTCAGGTGGAGTACTTCCTACTGGTCCACGCCCAGAGTACCACGGGCGAAGAATACAACCTCAAGATGCCGCTGCACGTCCGCCGGGCCTTGATCCCGGGCAACGACAAGTCCTCGATCCGCATCTTCCCGCCTACCAACCTGACCGGCCGCATCGTGTTGCCGTCGGTCGTCCACCCCATCGGCCAGTTCCCCGTCGAGATGACACTGAGTGGGGTGGTGGATAAGGGCGAGGAAACACAGACGCGCTGGCGGCTGCGCAAGATGATGTGGCGGATCGAAGAGCACCAGAAGATCGTGTCGACGGCATGCACCAAGCACACGCACAAGATTGGTGGCGAGGGCAAGGGGGTCCTGCACCAAGAGACACGCATCATCGGTCACAACGAAGAAAAGAACGGGTGGAAGACCGACTTCGACACGGCGGGTGGCGAGATCGGAATGCAGTTCGAAGCCAGCATCAACCCGACCACCAACCCCGTCTGTGACATGGACGCTCCGGGCGGCCTCGAGGTCAAGCACAACCTGGTCATCGAGCTCATCGTCGCCGAAGAGTACTGCCCCAACCGCAACACCCGCCTGATTACCCCGACGGGCGCCGCGCGCGTGCTGCGTATGCAGTTCCACCTGCATGTCACCGAGCGCAGCGGCCTCGGCATTAGCTGGGACGAGGAGATGCCTCCAGTCTATGAGGATGTCCCCGCCAGCCCGCCAGGCTACACCAAGCCGGATGACCCTAAGAGTGCCATGGAGGACTACCAGGGCTCGCCGCTGCCGCTGCCGGAATACGAAGATCTGGAGCGCATGGAGTCCCTGCGTCTGGACAGCGACTCGACCCACTCCTCGGCCAATTCCTCCCTAGATCGTCGTGGCCGCTTCACTGCCGCTGATCTGGTCACCGGAGACTCTCCCGCCCCGTCTCCCGTGCCATCGCGCACTCCATCGCGCGCACCCTCGGTCGACTCCACCCGTCAATGACCGTGTTTCGGTCCTTGTCTATCTTTTCTTTTCATGACTTGATGATTTTTATGAACAAAGATTTCCCTTCACAGCCCTGATTCTTTTCTTTGATCTTTGATCTTTTCTTTTTCTCTTTTTCCTTGCCTTTCTTCTCCTTTGATCTATCTTAATCCTTTGGGATTTGGTTTTACTTTCTCAATTTTTTGTTCTTTGTTTTCCCCCAACCCTAATGAACCCTAATGATACCTATGACGGAATAAAAAGAAAAGACAGAGGTGCTCTGGCCCTCTCAGACGGACGGGTTTTGTTTCTCCCTGTTCGCATGATACCCCGATACTTTCCTTTCCTTTCTTTTCTTGGGCTGTTTTTGTGTCTCGGTGTGATAATCAAGTGTCTAGTCTATTCCGATGATAATCAAAAATTTCTAAACTAAATATTTTCAACCAAACAAATTACACTTATAATCTGTATTGCTCTGCGATGTCACCGTCGATGTCACTTTGAGCTATTGAGATCCATGGATAGATACAGTGGGGAAGACAAAAGTATATATATATATATATATAAAAGATCGAAAGCTATAGCCTCTGGTTTCACGTACATGCTGGTCGATTATGGTCTCGAAGTAGATGCATTGTCCAAGTCAGGTGTATGCAGCTTGCAGTGAAAATCGAAGATAAGGGAGAATGTGCTTGTAGCTACTTCTATACTTGTAGATAATGCACTATTTGCGACAGTGCCTTGTAGGTTGCGTGCAGGGTGCCGGTGCCCCAGAGGTTGTGCATCTCGTACTCCTGGGTGTAGGGTGAACGCTGGAGGAAGAAGCCACCGCGGCAGACACAGACGCCGCCTCGGTTTTGTTGCTGGCACTGAATCCCTCGGGGTAGTCGAGGACGATGCTCTCCGGCTCTCCGGGAAGAGAGAAGGGCGGGTGGGAAAGGTTGAATGTGAGGCTTTTATTTCCACAATTGCCAGTGCAGAACGACGAAATCTCGCTCATGTCGATCCATGCGCCGTCGAAGGCGACCTTTTTGTAGTACTCGACCATTTCGTTGGTCCACCACCCTTCGGCGCCTTTGGAGAGCCAGTCGGGGAAGACGGCGTATCCTGGCCAGACGGCGCCGATATAGAGGCTGTCGTCGGGGTTCTTCAAGAACGATCCGGTGTCGTTGCCTCGCTCAAAGGTGGGGTATCTGGAAATTCATAATGATGAGCAAGGTTCCAGCTGCAGAGAGATATGGTGTCTTATGCATCATTCTTGTTCTCTGGGTTCGGGATGTAGATCGCCGAGTCGATAATCGGGACATAGTGTCGACCGCCGTCATGAAGACGCTGCAAGAAATCGCTACCGGTCTTATACTCGTAACCAGGAGCATTTTCAAAGTCTCGATACCGCTCCAGGTAGTAATATTAGTCTTGGCCCACCACTTGTTAGCAAAGCAAAGCAAAGCTCCTGGCAACTGTCGGGGCCACATACCAGATAGTCTCAATTGGGATCTGGAACTTGGTGTAGTTGCTGACCACTTCATCAAGTTCTTGCCAGCTCATGTATCCCCATCGACACTGGTGGAAGCCCAGGGTCCAGCATTGCTGCAGCGCAGGCAGATCAACAACTTCCTGGTAGGACTTGGTCACTTCGGACTGGGTGGGGCCGGCGAAGAAGTAGAGGTCGATGCTGCCGCCGATACTCCGCCAGGTGATGTGGTCGGGCCGCAGGAGAACATCTTGGCCGTGGGCGTTGCGCTGGTACACGCCGTGCGACGGTGCGATATAGTTCTCATTGAGATGCATCATCCATCGTCACTGGGATCCGCTTGCCGGTAGAATCTTGCTTGAAATAGCGGGTTTCCAGATAGAAGGGATGCGTCCCGTACAGGTTACTGTGCGAGAGTCAGAAAAGCATTCAGAAAGCAAAGACAGCCTCAATCAAGATAGCGTGCAATTGAGCCATACTAATCCAGCGCATCACCCGTGTCAGCATTGTAGAAAGTCTGGGTGTAGTTGTTTCCCCGACGAAATGATCGCATGGACTCACCCAGTCCGTAGATATTGTATTTCTCGGGCAGAGAGCTCGAGAATTCGACAAAGTGGTTCTCAAACACGAGCTTCTTTCCCTTGGTGCTGAACAGGACACCTCCCGTCCAGTTCCTGATCACCTGAACCCGAAGCTCGGGGAGTTGGTCCAGGAGAACTTCAAGACTAAGGCCGCGTTGCCTTTCTCGATTCCAGGTCGTGCCAATACATCCGGAGGAATCATGTACTGGGTGGCATTGGACTCATCGAGATGGGTTGGCACGATTCCCACGTGGAGGCGATCGGCAGCTTGGTATTCCACGGTCAAATTCAAGGCGTGGATATCGGTTCCGTACACGTTGCACGCCTTTGCCTGCGAGGGAGAGCGAGGCAGTAAATCCATGCGACGATTGCTTGACATGAGAAGCAATGTAGCCCGGACAGACGGTCTGGGGGTCAACCGCTCTCGGATCCTGGATATTCGGAGGAACCGGGGGAGCGGTATATGCCGACGCGGGGATAGTAAATTGAGAAGAAGAAAAAGAGGCAGCAGCATATTTAGTGAAAGCGAATGTGCTTTGTGCCTGGGCAGTTACAGCGCACAGCACCGAGACCGCACCAGCAGCCTTCCTCAAGAAGAGCGAATATAGTCCCATTGCGTGAAGAAACCCGGGCAGTACAGGATATCGGAGACAAATCGGGTACGGTACAGCTTGCCGAAGAGGCCTGGGGCCATGGTCGGGCCGTGAAATTTATATTTTTTGACCTGATGCGCGAAATTGTCTGCCGGATTTCCCATGAAGCTCCACCGGAGAGGCACGGTAAGCGTTATGATGCAAGGGACTCCAGCAGTGGTTTCATGGTTTTTCCCATGGCGGGTCCATGATAGACCGCCAAGCGAGTTAGCGTGAATCAGAAAAAGGTTTCGAGGTGGAATCCTGTGGGATTCCTAGTGGTGTCCTAGGATTTTGTCTGTCTTGCGCTCGACGTAGTGACTTGGAGGACGTATACAGTTCCTGTCCGGTGGTTCGAGTGTAATTGCAGGCCATCTAGCTGGTCCCCGGAGGACCATTATACTTCCCACTGTCCCTTGTCGAGCTCGTGTTGGTGGGCATCACTCGCTGGGCCTTCCCATTGCCCGCACCATAAGATACCCCGTGCCTGTGGAGAGACCCATAATATCATCGACGGTGATTTATCGGAAATTTCCATCGCAGGTAGCAAGGACTGAAAAAAAAAGGAGATACAACGTCATCGATGGGCAATTGTCGAAGAGAATTTAAAGTCGGTGGATCCCCCCAGACGCGATGGGTCTCGGTGAGACAGTTTCGTGGGGAGACAATTATGAGTAAAGACTATCATTAATAACAAAAAGATATAAAACAGCTCTCTCACATCTATTCGTACCATTTGTAACAATCATCTGATCCCATTTATATTGAAAAATATAGTGAACATGCTAGATTTTCATAAACGGTAAGGCATCAGGAGAACAGACATCGACTCGCATGCGACGAGGCTATAGCCGAGTGCTTCTATCTTCGATTTGTGAGAATCTCCTAAGGTTCGTGAGGCCAGAGCAGGTTCGATGAGTCATTTCAACACCACCCAGCTAGAGGCAGTAAGGTGCCACTCATTCGAGACTAGTGCAATGAACTGTCAATCGCGATCTGCGTTGCTTCTCACTTCACTTGAGCAAGGACTCGAGCATCTGGGCCGGATCGATATGTTCACACCAGACACAGGAATAGATACCGTGGCAGCCCAGCAGCAAATCCGCCGCATTAGTGGGCCCATCTGCAAAGGTGACCGCCACTCCATTGGCGTCGTGGATGGCCATGAGCTGGTTGACTCCAAAAACCAAAACCCCAGCGTCGCGGGCGGCGCAAAACAGCCCCATCAAGTCTGACCACTGAGCCCGCATTTACCCAAACCCGCCGCTCTGATAATGGGACTCAGCCAGTCAGGTCTCGCGAGCCCACCATGCTGCCATGCGGGGAGTTGTCATCTATGGAAGCCTGCCCGGGGCATGTCCTTGCGGGATGGTTCCTCTGCGGGCTCTAGCCGCAATAGGCAAGTGCCTCCGAGGAGTCACCTGATCTGGGGTAACCCGGGTGAAAGACATTCGGTCGCAACCGATTCTCCCTCATTCCACTGCTTACACGTAGAAGAAGAATAAAATAGCATCGCAAAAGAGTGAATATGTAGGATTTTGACTTGAATCTTTTCCAAGTGTTTCTGGATCAGCATGGTATGCGTAATCTAAGTAGATGGCAGCAACTATATATGTTTCTACCATCTACTCGATTTACATCCCACAAACTGGTTGACAAGCAGCGCGACTCAGACCTCAAGTCTGTCAAAATTCCAAATCACTCGAACAGTGCTAATTAATTTATGTGCAAACAAAACATCCCAGATATTGCGAGACTCGAGATCGCACGACGTTAGGCAGAAAAAGAAAAGAAACAGAAAAAAGAAGCAAATCCCAACGCCGCCATGAAATATGTAACGCAAAAATGTGCACCGAAGAAGAAAAATCCAACCAGATCCAATCAAATGCAATCAAATCACGAATCAAAAATGGGACCAAATGCCGGGGTGCCTCGTGTCTCGAGCTCATACACGATGTGCTGCGTTAACGTCGGGTTACTGATGACACACACCGCTTCCGCCTCGAACTCCTGCACCTGGCGAAGCACCAAAGGCACCATGTCCGCACGCCCAGACCGATCGGTGTCGATAATTTCAGGGTCTGAATCCAGCCGACGCACCAGATCGGTCACCCCTTGTCCGTACGTCTTGAGAGGGGCCCGGGTTTGCCAGATCACTCGCAGTGCCGGTCGGTTCTCATCGGCCAGGAAGGAGAGACAGGGCCCAATGCCGGAGCCGGTGGTCACCACCACCACCCGCCGAAACATGCGCATCGCATATCCGAAGCCTCGGACAAGAACCCCGCGTTTCCAGAGATGGGTGGGTGGCTCCCGGATGCAATGCGTGGTCCAGTCGCCCGCTTTGGAGACCAGAGAGGAAAAGCTCGCCACCCCATGCGGACCGGTCGGGGTGGGGTCGGGGAAAGTGGCAAATCCATGCCAGTCACGCAAAGGGTGCCGTGCCAGCTGGATACCCTTGCCAAACGCGGTCGAGGTATGGTCGAAGTGCAATCTCACCGCGTGCGTCGACAGGGGTTCGGCCCGGACCGCAACCTTGCGGAGAAGCAACCATGGGTGGATGATGGCGATCACTGTCACCACCAAAAACCAGAACGCCGGCAGCTTGACCAGGAATAAACCGAGGGGCTGCTGTTCAGCTTGACTGACCTCGTGCGCAAATACCATCAGCAGGGCAACAAACAGGGCCACCACAAGCCACCCGCAGAAACGGTGGGTGAGTTCGAAATAGTCGTGCCGCTTCATCCGGAACGTGGGATGTGCGACCACCATGATCGCCAGCAGCAGGGCCAAGATGATGTACGCCAAGGCAACCGGTGCAGCTGAAATCGTCGATGCGTCCGGAGACGGTGCCCAGTACTCTCGGGACATCAGACCGATGAATCCAATATACCAGACCACGGCGGCGACTCCACAGCCACTGTGTACGCCGCCATAGTGGTAGACTTTGGCAGCGATCCGCCGCACAGCTAGTGGTGCTGACCGGGGGATTGTGCACACAGCTGCAAAGATGGTGTTGACGATCAGCGGCTGGCGAGCCAGTCCACATGCCAGAAGGTTGGCCGCTGTGGCATTGACCAGCGCAATCAGTTTGCGCTCCGAGGTCATCACAGCCACAAAGATGCCGACGTTGGCTAAAAACACCAGCGTGAAGAGACGTCGGTAGAGAGTGAAGACGGCGTACCGGAGAGCCGCAAACGCCTTGGGTTTCCGTTGTGGTGTTTGAGCCTCGAGATCGACTGACCTCATCTCCGTGGAATGGTACTTCTCGACTTTCTCGACCTTCCCGCCATCGGTGAGGGTAAACTCACTCGATGTGGGAGACGTCGAGGCCACCTTAGCCATTGGAGGCTTGGTGACAGTTACAAGGGTTTCCCCCGAGACCGACATGGTGCTTCAGAGACTGTCGAGGGCAATTCAAAAGAGGACTGAAAAGAAGATTGAACGGGGGATCTACTGAGAGAAAAGAGGAAGACAAAGTTGCTAATTCGACCAGGCGATGCCTTCGCATTTGAAGACCCCCGGTCCCCTCGGCTCTACGGGGTTCCTTCCTTCACAGGGCCGCCGCTGCTCTCTCCGGCATTCCATCTTAGGAAGGCACGCGCTCTCGCCTTGCGCTGGATTGATTTCATTTCTTTTTTTTTATGGGCCCGTTGCAATGGGATGATTATTGCTCGTTTGTTTTTCCCTTCTGACTCGCACTGAATGACACTATCACATTGGGTCTAGATCCCTGGCAGACTTGAGAGACGAAGGTTCCAAGGTTGATGAGCTCGCTGATCCCCTAGGGCTGTTTTGATATACACCCTTACTTCGGCTTCCAACTGGTGAGGGGAACTCGGGATGGAGTCCCGGAGACTCGAGTGTCTCAGATAGCGTTGGAAGTGGGAACACCACAACAGAGTTGGGATCGGCCGGAAAAAGAAAAACAAGGTCAATGAGGTTTTGAGAAATGTAACCTCAATTGCGAGATTTATCGCGATTGACAGACGACGAGCACCAATCAAAGGCACCAACGGGTATCAAAAGCACATCTCGGCCACTTTCACGAGCAACGTATACGTCGTCACTCAAAGATCGGCTTGACCGGCTTCTTTTGACCCTCACGTTGCAGCTGGTCGGAGAAGTTCGGCCAGGACCTCATGATGTCCACTATCTATCAATGTGATTCCAATAACCGGACGATCGGAGCAAAGGGATGACGATGGCGTTTCAATATCACCCCTCGCCCATCACCTTTCCATCTGGTAATTCACGCCCATTACTGGTGGGAGTCCCTAGATCTGGCGGCTCCGCACTCATGCCGATCATCCCTGCTATTTGGAGGGGTGTTTCTTTTCTTTTTCCTTCTATCGCATGCTGCACAGCCGATCATTACATGCAGGTCACACTCTCCCCCTCGAGCAGATTATTTTACCCAAGTCCATGGATTTGATATGCACAAGTGGACCCGGACCAACAACCTGGACCTGCTTCAATGCACGGGACTGCAGAGCCGGTTTCGTGAGTGGATCCCAGATCTGAAGACTTCGGGGATGTGGGATGTGGGTTTGTCAGATGGAAGGGATCAATGGAAATCGAATATCCCCCACCTGCCGGCAATAGAGGGGCTGGGAACTCATGCGATCGACCATGGAAACGAGCTCATATCCCTTGAGGAGTGGAGCCCGGGGGGGACGACATCATCGGTCAGGGCCGGGCTGAAAAAAACTTCATCGGGTTTTGACTCTCTGATTTTCACCATTTCAGCTGATCTTCTCAATCTCTAGCTCGGGCGAGCATGGATTCGCCACAATCGCCACAATAATGGGGTAGTTTAGGTTATGGAGACCGATAACCCGGTCGATCGGTTGATCTGAACGGCCCATCTCAAGTGATCCGAGCTCGTGGCTCATAGGGAAGGGGTGCGCCACTAATGAACGGTGGAGCCACTAAGTGTCGATCACATCACCAGTCGACATGACACATACACTATCGCTGGAGCCTTAACTTTTCTTTTTTTTTTTGCGTTTCTTTTCTTTTCTTTTGCTTTTCCCTTTTTTGCTTTTCTTGCCCTGTGGAGATCATCGTGATTGCATCCCTCGAGACATCGTGCACCTAGCTTCGGGACGCGATTTACCGAGATTAGTAGATTCCATATGCAGGGAAGAGAAAAAAAATTGAAAAGAAAAAAATGAAGAGAAATCCACTAGTCTATACAACTCGAAGATCCCTGGGTCGAATGGTATATAAACCCCTCGTCGTCAGGGCCATTTTCCATCTCGACCAGCTCACTATCCTTGCTCTCTCAGGGTCTTCTCCAAACAGAGAACTCGAACTGCTTTGTGCTTCCATTGCTCCTTCATCAAATATTATCCACAAGCATGGGATCGTGGAATCCTTCCATGGTGCCGACGGGCACCACAGACCCGTTGCTTCATGAAGACATTTATACCGACCTCCTCACTTTCACCTTCTGTGGCCCAACGTCTTACAACCAGAACCAGCCGTTGTTCATTGACGCCGAGGATCCCTCGCGGTCTTTCACCGCGGCCCAGTTCCGACAGCTGGTTCGGACTCTGATCGCCGGTTTCAAGGCGCAGAATGTGCAGCCGGGCGATTGTGTGTTGCTGCACCTAGGAAATAGCGTAAGTGGCACGGGGATCAGAGATCGGGCTGGTCGAGATGATTTCGGAGCAAAAATGCTGACTCGGACTGGGGAAACCCTAGATCTTGTATCCCGCGCTCTTCTTTGGGATTATCGGCGCCGGCGGCGTGTACATGGGCTCCAACCCTCGCAGCCAGCCCCAGGAACTGGACCACATCGTGGGTCTGGCTGAGCCCAAGCTCATCCTCACCACCAAAGAGGCGCTGCCCACAGTGCTGGAGGTGGCCGCGGGGCGCGGGCTGAGCTCGGACCAGGTGTGCCTGGTCGATGAGCGGGCTGTCGACCACTGCGCGCAGCTCTTCCTGTGGTACGAACTAGGGTTCCCGGCCCCGGCCCCGGGCCAGTTCTTCTCGCGGACCGGCGCGGACGCGCACGCCTTCAATCTGGCGCACCTGCTCTGCCATGGCGAACGTGACTGGCGCATGTTGACGGACAAGGCCACGGTGCAATCCACGCCGGCGGCCATGTTCTCGACCAGCGGCACCGGCGGCCTGCCCAAGGCCGGGGTCCTGTCGCACCATGCGCTCGTGTCGCATCACCGCTCCATCCAATATGACACGCCGTTCCCCGTCAGCCGGCTGATGTCGCTGCCCATGTTCCATCTCTTCGGCGCGCTGTGGACCCACCTGTTCCCCGTCCGCTACGGCCACCCGCTCTTTGTCCTGCCGCGCTTTGAGATCTCCCAGTTCTTTGCCACCGTCCAGCGCTTCCAGATCTCCGAGACGTACCTGGTCCCGGCTATTGTCCATGCCATCAACCGCTCTCCGCTGCCGGTCTCTGAGTATCTGGCGTCGCTGCGCTATGTCGGCGTGGCGGGTGCTCCCATCGACGGGCCGTCCATGCAGGAGTTTGGCAACCTGCTTCACCCGTTCGCCTTTGCCCACCAGCTGTGGGGTATGACCGAGGTCGGTGTCATCTTCCAGAACCGCTACGGTCAGCACGGTGACCCTGGCAGCATTGGATCTGTTCTGTCCGGGTATGAGGTGCGGCTGGTCGACCACGACGGCAACATTGTGCACGAGGACAACTGTGCAGGCGAGCTCTATGTCCGAGGCGCTGGTCTGCTTCTGGAGTACAAGGGCCGCACGGATGCCAAGGACCAGCAGGGCTGGTTCCGTACCGGAGATGTGGTATACAAGCAACAGGGTCAATACTTTATTGTGGGACGAACCAAAGAGCTTATTAAAGTGCGAGGGTAAGTGATTGATTCCTTTTCTCTTTTCTTCTCGAGCCTGGACTTTGACCCTGGCGAGGTTCTTTTGGCTAACGGATGGCACACAGATGGCAAGTGGCCCCAGCAGAACTCGAAGCCGTACTCCTCCAGCACCCGGGGGTGTGCGATGCCGCCGTCACGGGAGTCGATCTGAAAGACGGGGCTGGCGAGGTACCGCGCGCCTTTGTGGTCCGCACGCGCGAGCCAGTCGTCAGTCGGCTTACAGTTGAAGAAGTCTATCGGTTCTCGCGCGAGCGGTTGGCCAGCTACAAAGCGCTCGACGGCGGTGTGGTCTTCGTGGAGGAGATCCCCCGCACGGCCAGTGGCAAGATTCAGCGATTTAAGCTCTCGCAGATGAACTCGTACCGCGAGATGGTGGCATCGCTGTTGTCTCGGTTCGAGGGCGACGAGGCTGCCCCCACGTTGGCTCCGAATCCCGAGATTTCATCGGTCGGCATTATTATGCCCGAGGGTCGTGTCACCGGGTAAAGAGGTCCCCATCAGCCCGGATTTATGACGCGAGGCTGTGCTTGTGGAGTCGAATGAAGGTTGCCAAGTCTTTCTTTCTTTGTTCTTTCTATTATTCTTTCTATTTTCTATTTTCTATTTTCTATGCTCTTCTGGTTTCTTCTTGTCTTTTTGTTTTATGGATATGATCTACCTGTGCAGTATACATACTTTTTACTCTCTGGAATATGACCGCACTTGAAACAACACTCGCTATCCATCGGCTGTGATTAGCCGCCAGAGCAGGGCAGGCATATAGCATGAATCATTGGGGGGCGGGTAAGAGTAGAACCAAATGCCGCCAGATGCTTGGTCTAATTTTATGACCTGAATTTTGCTAGTTTTATTTATTTACATTATTATATTACATATATATACATATAATCAGGTGTCATCGGAACAATGACTCCAATTGAATCTTGCCGAAGCCGAAGGCCTTTGTATGGAAGAAAAGAAAAGAAAAAAGAAACAATACAATCCAGGGGCAGGGGCCCTCCCGCATCGAGTCAAGCAATTCTCCACATCTACACTCTTTTTGACCTGCCTATTCGGGTATGTCGATGGGATCGACTCATGTTTTTTCCTTTGTGTGGTTATGGTGTTGTACAGACACTCAAGGACCTTGATGGATTCTCAATCAAATTGCCCTACACATTTCTGGTCTAATATGTGCAATGACCCTGTTGACAGTAAACCTTGATATACAATCCAAGTGAATGATGGTGGGTTGGTAGAACAAAATGTTCGATCCTGCAGCCAAGAATTAAAGTCCGGGCGCTGTCTACCACGAGGCTGTATACCACGAGGCTGTCTGCCAACTGTGTATGTGTACCTGATCTATGTTTTAAGTGTACAGATATCTAACAAAAGTTTACTGTAGCTAGCTGCTGTTGAATTTATTTTTGTTCTTCCCCTTCGAGTCAATACCCATTAAATCCATTTTGTATGGAAAGCAATCTGACTCGAAGAAGAAGACTCGACTGGCTCCTTTTATGTATGATGCGCCTCCTGGGGCACAGTCTCGGTTGATCTTCCGTCGCAGATAAACCTTCTTTACAATGGAAAATAAATACTCACAGGCGAGAAAATGATGCTCATTTGGCTACAGACCATGGCCCAGCTCTTTTTATTTAATTACGTAGATAACTACGTATGGGTCCGCTGTGTAAAGTATATGGACGTCTCTTTATCGAGTTGCGCCCCCAACTGCAATTGAGCCTTGAGAGTCTTGTACCAGCAAAGTGAGGCTCTTCTTGTGATATCGCCGTGGCTGTCCAATGATACATTGGCGTGGTGAAAGTATGGATAGATAATAACGAGGTGTAAGCTGGGAGACGTCCCTGTTTATAGTTCTACTATGTCTCATGTTTTCTTTTCTTTCTTTCCCTTTACATGTTCCTACTGTATGCATGTTTACGTATTTTTCGTTTACACGCCCGTGGTTCTCTCTACAGGATCGACACCCTTGCTTGGCCATCAAAGGTTATTACTCCAGTGGGCTTATAGCGAGACCTTTCCAGTGGTCAGTGGTGGAGTATTTAATTTTTACCTGCGTATGTACAGCATGTTTATCGCAATGGAGTGATTCGCTTTCTTCGAGTCGTCGTCCCAGCCGAAATACCAATTCCTGAATCGTGAGGGTGTACACCGACGAATAAAACCCCAAAGGCTGACTCTTATGGATCCACCTTTTACAGGAACCGGGATGTGAGGTGTTTCCCCCTTACTATTTTTAATTATCAAAGCTCCGGAGGGTTGCAAGCATAGCCAGTGTCCCGCTCAGCCTTGTCTTCACTGCATTCATGATACCACCCCCCAACCATGCATATTTATTTCTCCCCCTTCTATAATGTTATAGTTTGATGGAAATTGATGAGATTCTTCAGTGTGTCATGGATATAGGTACCTATCTACATTGACACGCAAAAGAAGAAGGCTTGACACAGACAAGGCTGTTAATACTGCAAGGCTCCCAAAAAATATCGTGCGTCTTGATTTAAAGGTCCATGGGCACCAGGCTGAATCCCCCAAGGCTGTCCCTGCCCACTTAGTTTATAACACCACGAAGACAAGCCAAGCAGTCTCTGGCGTATCCTCATTTGCCGTTAACTCGATCTCCTTGGGCGCGCATCCACCGTTGCGATACTAAAAATGTAAATCCTGGTCCATAGCGAGTCATTTTACTAGATGGGTGAAGGTTTATTCTTATTTTCTTCCCCTATATCTGCTTTCCCCCTTCTTTTGCTCCTTTCTTGTTTATTCTCTCCGGCCGTGTAGTCCTTTTCATCAACCTCTTGTTGGAGCCCTCTTGCGTTGCCATCTCCATCTCGCCATGGCGGTGACTCGACGCGGGAACCCTAGGGGCCTGCTGGTCCTATGTCTCCTAGCTGTTGAGGCATTGGCCCAGAACACACCCTTCCTGACCACCGCTGGAAGGTTCACATCCGTGATCACGAGTACGAGCACACCGCTGGGTCCAACGCCCTCGAATTCAGTCCCGCATCCAAGTCCCAGCGGTCCTCCCACATCCAGTGACCCGCAGGCAAGTTCGACGCCGCTGGCGCCTTCTGGCGGTGGTCTTTCTAGCCGGTCTCCTAATGCTCCGGGCACTAGTACTGGTCCCAACGGGGTCCCTGGTCGTCCTGGAGCCACCAGCAAGCCATTCAACCATAATGGCTTCAGTGCCTCTCGCTCGGGGGCTCTGCCTAGGCTCCCCAAGTCCTCCGGCCGGGGACCAGCGGCTGCTTCACGTTCTCCGCCTCACACAACTCCTGCTTCGGGGCAGACATTGAGCCCGGTGATTCCTCCCGGTAGCCGGTCGTGGGTTCCCTCGCCAAAGGGTGCCTCGCAGAAATCAGCTCCGACGGACTCAGTTAAGGCTCCCCCGGGATCCGCAGACAGTTCTTCGACCAGTCACAAGCCTGGCAAGCCCGGTGGCTCCTTGCATTCAACTTCGCGTGGGCCGTTGCCGGCGGGAGCCCAGAACTCGGGCCATGCATCTTCGAAGGACAGTGGCCCCAAGGGTCCGGGAGCTTCTGGTGCAGTAGGTGGGGGTGCTGTCTCCCGTGGAGGATCGTCGGGAGGCAAGAGTGGCAGCGCTTCGGGATCTTCTTCACCGACAGGCGGAAAGGCTGCCGGCGCGCCTGTCCCGATCTCGAAGTCGACCACCATCTATTCCACTTTTGGGTCATCCACCAAGGCCATTCCCACCGTCATCGTGCACACCGTCCAGCCAACTGAAAGCACCGCCACTTCTTATGAAGCCGTTGGGGACTCAACCCGGGCCGTGCCTATGGTGGTCACCAAGACGCCAACTGCCGGTGCAGGACTTGGCAGCCTGTCTTCCATCACCAGCAATCCTGCTGCACGGTACTCCGAAAATGCTAAGACTATCTCGCAGCTTGAAGACTACCACAAGTCGGCGGAAGGAATCGATAAGCTGTGGTCAAAAGCCGTGGAAGATGACTCGGAAGACAGCTGGAACAAAGTGAAGGACTCGCTTCATGCCCTTCATCTCAGTGATGATGACGATGGCGGAGATGGTGATGGAGGAGGTGGAGGTGGACTCTTCGGCGGCCTCGGCGGCCTCCTCGGCGGCGCTGTCGGCGGCGCTCTCGGCAGTTCTAGCAAAGTCGGCGATATAATGAAGAAGGCCAGCAAGCCTCTGCAAGATATCAGCAGCAAAGCTAGCAACATGGCGAACCAAATCTCCAGTGCAATGTCCAAGGGCGGATCTGCGGCGCTTGATCAGCTCAAAAATATACCAAAACCGAATTTCAAGGCCGACTTGCCCACCCTTGAGTCAACCGCCAGCAATGCGAAGAACGAAAACGAGAAGGAAAAGAACAACGACAGCGACAATGACTCGGATTCTGACTCGGACTCGGACTCTTCGACAGATTCAGACTCGTCGACTTCTTCCGACTCGACGTCGTCGTCGTCGTCTTCCTCGTCGTCTTCCAAATCCTCATCTTCATCCTCATCTTCATCCTCATCCTCATCTTCATCCAAATCCTCATCTTCATCCAAATCTTCTTCCTCTTCCTCTTCACCCAAATCCAGTCGGTCGAGCACAACCACCCCCCATTCGGCATGCAGCATGCGCCGAAAGTCCTCTTCCTTGTCTCAACCCACTCCAATTATGGCATCGACAACGTCTACTCCCCACTCGAGCAAATCCAACTCACGGAAACTGACAAGCCATGGGTCGTGTAAAGCCCACTTTACCACGAGGCCCAACTTGAGTTCGCTCCCCCCGTTGTCTTCCACGCCCTTGGCCTCTTCCAGAACCAGGTCACCAACCAGCCATGGAGCATGTACTCGGAGACCCAACTTATCTACTTCGCTTCCTTCGGTGTCTAGATTCACACCTCTTTCCCGGTCCGCGACCAGCCATGGAGCATGCACCCGGAGACCTAACTTATCCACTTCGCTTCCCTCGGTGTCTAGATCCACACCCCTTTCCCGGTCCGCGACCAGCCATGGTGCATGTAGTGCTCGCTTTAGCACGAGGCCCAAACTGTCTTCTATGACCACACAGAAGCCTTCGACGACAATGCCGGCATTGATGCGCTCACTGAGCTCAAGCCCCGTATGTCTCGAGCCAGGAGGTCCCCATGATGACCACAGCAAGTGTAAATGTGCGTTGACGTCGACGGGCAACTTTGGAACCGAGTCTACCGAAATCTTTACCAGCAACGTTCCCAAGAAGAGTGGTGGTCCTTGCTGGCGCAGTGACCCCTGGTACACCAAACCTCCGACCCCGACCACCTACACGCCTCCGCCTACACATACCCCCGTGCTTACTGCAACGGTGGTGAAGGGCTATTCTGAAACCGACGAGGTCGATGTGTACCCTGCTATGACCACTACATGGGCGACCGACCCGGTTGGCAACCAGCACTCGGGGCTTGCGCCGAGTGGTGAGCCTCAAACGTTGCAAATCCCTATGCCGGATTTCAGGAAGGACGACGACGGCGATATCGAACCCGATCCCAAGGGCTCGTCAATGTGTAAGACTGCCATCGATGAAGACCAATGCATTAAGGCCGCGGAGAATTTGCCCGAATGGCAGTTAGGTTACCTGGAGTCGCCCGGGGACCCGAACAGCAATTGGCTCAATGCATCTGTTCCATTCAATCAGGAGGTGCACTCCGTCCATCATCTTGACAATGCCGATGGCAACGTTATCGATCTCGTGAGCCTCATTCCAGCGGCTGCCCTCGTTTTGGATGGCGCACCCCGCTGCCAGCTCACGTTCTGGTGCGACAACGATGACTACAGCAAAAGTCTCACGAAGCCACAGATCATTCAGGCGTAAGTGACATTCCTTCTCCTCTCTCTCTCTCTCTTATTCTAGCCTCTCCTAACAGTTTCATAGAGTCAAGAATATGTACGATGCCAAAAACGGCATCAGTAAGTGTGGTGCGATACCGTTCGACAACAACTGCATTGTCAAGACCGACTACTGTTATGATGGCTGCAAACGACCACTGCCAGACATTTATTGGGATATCACCAGTCCCCAAGTCTGGAAAGACGGGACGCTCGACCTGGACCCCGTCAACAATTCTACTTGGCTGCCCGTTGTGCGACAGGGATGATGTTGCTGGAATTGATGACTTTCGAACCATGTACTTTACGGCCATAGAAATTTGCTTTGCCATTGCTTATAATGTATGTGCTTTTCTTTTCTTTCTTTGTTTCTTTATTGCCAGTACATAGAGCATAGAATCCCCCAAGGCACGCTTAATACTAGAAGTAGATATAGGGTTATTTTGATCTCCATAGATTCGCTTCCCGCTCTAACCAAGTCGTCAACTCAGTATACTCTCCGACAGTCTGGCACTCGGTGGTCGAGCCTGGCATTGGGGGCTTCATTTGCAGCTCCACCGCGTCACCGATATAGCCATACAAACGGCATCTGATCGAGATCCCTGATATTCAACCGAATAGGTATACTCAAGGAACTACCTACCAAAATGGGCGAAATAAAACAAGATAAAGAGTAAAAAGTAAGGACAAACTACACGATTTCGACTTCCAGAATGCATTCGGGGAAAACCCCTCGATTTCAACTCAAAAAATCCCATACTTCATCCACCAAACCCCCCAAACCAACGGCCCCAACGCACCCAGCACCGCCGCCCCAAACGACATCTCCAAAATACACCAGATCCACAGCGTGCCGACCGCCGGCGCCTTCTTCATGACCGCGTAGTACGGGTCGCCATTCGTGATGGTGATCAGCCGCGCCCCGAGCAAGGCCGCCACGGGCAAAAAAACGAGCGTGCGCAGCGTCGGCGGCCAGACGAGTTGGCGTAGCGCTGACTGCCCGGATGAGGAAGAGGCAGAGAAAACCGGGCGTGGTTGATCCTTTGAATTGCCGAGACTGCGCAGTCGCGCTGGGATCGGCAAGGACACGATGTGGCCGTGGACCAGGTGTACGAGGAAGGTTAGGAGGGGGGAGGGTGATGGTTAAGGAGTCTTTGAGGAGCTGGCGCGCGTCGGTTTTCTCGGCGTATTGGTGTGCGGCGAGGTAGGCCAGGGTGAGGTGGAGCGTGGTGAGCGGGATGGAGAGGAGGATTGTGTCGAGAAATGGGGGGAGAGGTTTGTCGTCGGTATGGTCGGCATTTGAGTTGTTGTCGGTGTTGTCGGTGTTGTTGTCGTCTGTTGTGTATGTGTTTTCATCGCCGTTGCTGCTCGTGCCGTCCACGTCCACTACGGCCCCCGACACGTCGACGGTCACGAACCGAGTACCCCTCGGTGCTGCTGACACTGCATCTTTGTCTGCTGCTGCTGCTGATGCGATCGAAGGGCCATTGTCTTGCCCGAGGAGCTCTTTCTGGCGGTCTGCGATGATATCATAAAGTGTTTTCGTGCTCGGGGTGTTGGTATCGCGGCGTGGAGGGTGCGAGAGTGGAATGTCGGCTTCGGCGGACGAGGCTGCAGCAGTACGGCGCTGCTTCCGATTCCGTGGTTCCATGGGCTGTGTTGGAGGTTGGAGAGTGGGGGTCGGAATTCGGGATGAACGCGTGGTTGAAAGGGAGATCGTCGGGATCTTCTCTACCGTTTTTTTGTTCTCCACCAACACACTCTCTCCGCTTCACATCACACCCCGGAAATATACCAGCATATGGCCATTCTATAATATTCAGCTTAATTCGTATATTACCTCTGGTTATCCAGCCAAAGTCTTCCCTTCCCCACACCCAGACTATTCCTTATTTGCAATTGCAGAGAGCGAGTAAAGGCATCAAGGTTTTTTATGAAGTTCCAACGGATCCATTAAAGATTCAAATAAACCACGCAGAACAGAGCAGAATTGCATCTCGACTACATGGAGCCCTGTGTTCTTTTCTAGCCATTCAACGAACCCATACCACTTCACCAAATGTCACTTGCCATGAAATGGATCAGCCGGCCTGGTACAACGCAGGGCCCGCCACCACGTGAGTATTGATCAGGCTGAGATTGAACGGGGTGAGAAACGGATCGTCATCGGTGATGGCAATAAACAGAGTCCCGTTGACCGCCGGGTCGCCCTGGAAGGTCTCCAGATCGGGTTGAGTGGTGAAGCCACTGGTTAAGTTTCCGTTGGTAGCATTGCCATTCGTGGTGTTGCCGGTGGTAGCGTTGCCATTGCCATTGACGCGCAGCGGCGTATAGGTCACGTTCAGCTGGGACACCCACACCACATACTTGGCGCCGCGGGCCTGCGTCGTCGTGATGTAGCTGTTGTTGGGGCCGACCGGCTTGCCCGGCGCCTCCCACTGCAGAGCCACTTGGCGGCCCGGGAAGGACAGCGGCGAAGGGCGGCGCGTCGCAACAGCGGGGCTGCACTGGGCGCCCGCAGCCGACGTCGCGTTGGCTCTCGAGGCGGCGACCCCAGAAACTCTAGGAATTCTGGCCGAGTTGACACCCGGCAGAGTCGTCTGGTTCAGGCCGGTAGCGTTGTTTCCGTTGCTGGCGCTGGACGGGCTGGGCTGGTTGAGGATCCGCAGCCCTGGGAAGTTCTGCCAGGCCAACCGGGTCTGGTTTTTAGGGCAGGAGCTGATAAGCGGTGCCAGTAGCGTCCACGCCCACGATTGCGGTATTCCAACCTCGAACCACTCGGTCATGGGGAAGAGGCCCTCGAACTGGCGGAAGATCAACTGCTGCCGAGATTCCGTCGTGAGGGTCTGCGTCAGCAGGATGGCTGCTTCGCGGGAGTCGAGGTGAGCCAGGAACCCGTTGGCGCCGGCCTCGCCGGCCCGCGTTACCTTTTGGGCGAAGTCGATAAACTCCTGCACGCTTGTATACGGGTAGACATAGCTGCACTGCTGCGGCGCACTGGATCCCAGGATGTTGCTGAGCATGGTTGCGTGCCCGACTTCCTGCTGAGCCATAAATGCAATTAACTCTCGGTCATCGGTAGTCAGTCCTGCAGCCATGAAATCGGCCTCGGAGAAACGCCTCAGTGCGTCCTGGAACAGATCGAGTTCAACCCATTCTTGATACAAAGCGAGAGCCTACCAATTCAATGTTAGCCTCGGGGGCGCAAAGCTGTGTTGTAGAAGCACAATCCACGCATACCAAAGATTCATAGTCAAAGTCGCTTTTCGCATTGTATACAGGAATCGTTCCGTTCGTCCCGACGCCTCCCGCAGGAACAAAAGGCGCCGGCTGGGCACTATGAAGCTTGCCATCACTAGGGTAGGACGTGGCCGCCGGGGCCACGCTTCCCGTAGGGATACCCGAGCCAACAGAAGAAGCAGTCAGCGCCCCGGTAGTGGTGGGTGTCCCAATAAACGACGTATGCGGCTGAGAAGTTGGGTGGCTTCGAGTAGGCGCCGCCGAAGTTGCACGGGCAAGGATTTCTGCAGGGACTGAAGAGGCCAGGGGCAAAGAGCCCAACACGCCCAGCACTAGCAGACTTTGCCAAGTCATAACCACGAATGATGCGCAAATTCTGTCTGGTTTAGTTTTAGAGATCCTTTTCCTGCGGAGAATGAAGGACTGATATTGAGGGCTGTGCAACAATCACAATCTCTCGGACCGGCGCGGACGCCATGGACAGTAGATATAGACTTCTGGCAAAGGGTATTCGTCAGTATCGCCCCCCAAAAACGCTGACGCAAGTGGCCATAAAACAGGTCCAGCCGACGCAACACATTCCTCTTTAAACAGTGAGGCCTAAACGCAGAAGGTTTGATTCATCCAAAGGGACATGACGCACTAAGACTGATGCGCGATTGAGAGAGAAACAGGGCACGCCGGATATTCAAGGAGCCAGTAAAGTTGTCCCAGGTTTTGGATGTGTCAGTGCCCCCAAAGGAGAAGTTGGACACGCCGTTGACCATTGAGGTCAGAGGCAGGTCATAAAAAGGGAACCATCACAACGATATAGGGCTGTGGACGGAATGCATTCCGAGAGGTCAATTGGGGACAGGTAACCCCTTTAAGTTTCTATGGCATGTTTCATCCAGCGACTGAGGAGGTGCTTGAAGATGTAGAGCCTTCGCACTATTGGTTGATTGGAAATCAAGGACTATGTTCGAGATGGCGAGAGGTGGAAAATGGTGCCGGCGAGGGGATCAACCGGGTATCTCGATGAAACTGGAGTCGTTGAGGGGCAAGGAACAGGACTGGGACATAGCTAACTGGCGCAAATCAAGCTCGTCGAGTCACTCTTCCCTGATGGGCCTTTCTGGAGGTGGAAAGCCTTTCGTGCTGGGTGAATATGCCGTCGACTGACCATCTGATCATACCATTTGCAGGTATGGGTTTGAACGCGCGATGGACCCAACTCTCTATTGTAAACCAAGTTCTTTAAACTCACTAATCACACTCAGCAGTTTGGATACCGGGAAACGTCGGTAGCAGATGACATGGACTTTGACTTGGTGTCCACGGTTGACCATCGAAAGAGGGACAGCCTCATGTCTTGATGTTGTGATGGAAATGATCTCCGGCCCGGAGATGCTGAAGAGCGTAGCGTCTCAGTAGACAGTGTGCCAGCTGCACATCCCACAAAAGAAACCACTTCCTCCGATAGATGACAGATGAATTCGCCAGCACGGTCCATCTCAGCCCTGTGCACGACCCGCCCACCAGGAGTCGGCTAGTCGGCGCGGATCTTGACCATGTGGAAACCCCTGAATGATAGCGCATGTCACTGTGTTGAGCTTGAGCAATTCTTCAACCACGATCGACTGGGGGTATTGTGGATGAGAAACCCAAGCGAGCCATCCCCTGATGGCTAGCACGTGAGGCCACCATGGCCACAAGTGAGACGAAATGACTCAACTATGTTGATGGATTTTGAAGATGCCATCCTTCAACATAGCTTGATCTCGAGGGCACCGGAGCCCCGCCGATCGGGGGATCTGCCGATCGCAAGTGGAGATGAATGACGCTATCCGCATTCCTCACGTCGCACGTTGCGGGGAAGAGAAAATCACTCCTCGCTGAACTGCCACATCGGAACATTCTTCGAATCAACTTCACTTTCATCACGCCACATATTGAAACCATCCCCCACATCCACTCGCCATGGCTAATCTCCAAGCATCGCGGCTTTTCTCGGTCCAGGACCGGGTGGTGGTCATCACCGGAGGCGGCAGTGGTAAGGGCCACATTAAACTCGACGCAGCAAAGAGTCCAAGAAAACTAACCAGATCTGCTCCTTGCCCCACAATCCAGGACTCGGTCGCATCATGGCCCGTGCCCTCGATGCCAACAACGTCTCCAAGGTCTTTGTCCTCGGCCGGCGCGAAGACGCACTCCGCGAGACGGGCGCCCAAGCCCCCAACAGCAGCGTGATCCCCGTGCAATGCGACATCACATCGAAAGAGTCTCTGGAGGCGGCATACAAGACCGTGGCATCGCAGACAAGCCACGTCGACCTCCTCATCGCCAACAGTGGGATCATGGGCCCGTTGATGCGCCACCCCCCACCCGCCGCCGACGGCACACTGCCATCGCTGAGCGCCGTGCGCGACGAGCTATTCTCCGTGCCGATGGAGGAGTTCTCCAATGTGCTGAACGTCAACGTCACGGGCTCGTACTACACCGTGCTGGCGTTCCTGCCCCTGCTCGAGGCGGCCAACAAGCGCCGCAACGCGCCGCAGGCAGGGGTGCTGTCGGAGCCCACCGCCCAGGTTATCATTACTAGCTCGATTGCTGGTTTTATTCGCAAGGTCCCGTTTAGCTATGCGTACAATGCGTCCAAGTCGGCGACAACCCATCTCGTCAAGATGCTGGCTACCAATTTCGCGGCCTATGATATCCGCTTCAATGGCATCTCCCCCGGTCTATACTACTCCGATATGGCGGACCATATTTTCTCTGGGGCGGGCATCAAGGACGCTGGTATCTCTGATGGCTCGTTTCCCCGTGATATGATTCCTGCTACCAGGGGTGGCAGCGAGGAGGATCTTGCGGGCTTGATTTTGTGGCTGGCCAGTGCTTCGGGAGGGTATGTCAATGGCAATATCTTGGTGACTGATGGAGGTCGACTTTCTGTTGTGCCCGCTGTCTACTGAGGGATACATGGATAGTTGTTCATGGGGGTGTCATTCATAATGCCACCCACAGCCTGCATCCCCCTCGTTGCCGCTTATGACGATATAGACGTAGATATATAACTTGAATTGCAGATATCAGGAGTCGTGGATCATTTCTCTTCATGCATGAGTGATTTAAAACAATATGGAACCAATTGGACAGGGCGTGCAAGGGGTATCAATAAGAAGAGAAGGGGGGGGGGGGGGAACAACATGGCTCAAGTCTCGCACTAGGGCATCCCCACTCAAATGGTCGCCCCCAGTCTCTGAGTCAAATACTCTCCAGTGGTGATAGCTTCATATTTCTTCGCGATCTGTATATCATCCCCATAAGTCCCGGGCAACGCCTCAATGACTTGGTTCATGTTGGGGTTGCAAAAGTACGCAATGCTGTATCGAGCCGGGTAGGAGTCTGAAGCCTCGTTCGCGACATCCTCCCCCGCCGGTCTGGGCGGCTCGATCACCCGGTGGCGAGTACTCTTGATGGTATCGTTAGACCATCTCGCGAGCAAGTCCCCGGCGTTCACCACGATAGTATCGGCGAGGGGCAACACATGCACAAAAGTGCCCTTGGGGCTACGCACTTGAAGGCCGCCATGTCGGCCCTGGAAAAGTAGGGTGATAGACCCATAATCGGTGTGCTCGCCAGCCCGGATCTGGGCGGATGTATCGCGGAAGACATCCTTGCGCACAGGGGGATAATGCAGCAAGCGAAGAGTATTATCGCCATCGCCGACCAGTGCATCAAAATAATGCTCGGGCAGATTCATTCCCAAAGCAATAGCGCGCATGATCTGCACATGGAGCAGCTTGCAGCTATCAAAAAACGCCTGCATGGTTTCTTTGAAGTTCTTCCCCTCATCGTCGAGATGGTCCGGCCAGCGATTGGGCAGTCCGTTGACACCCTCGCGGCCGATCTCCATCGTCTCTTTGAGGTCCGGGTTCGATGCCCGGAGGGACTCGATGGATGTTGGCTCGTCGACGCGAGCCAGCTTCTCCCGGCCGACAGCAACGTATCCACGGTTCGCCTGTGGGGTCGTCCAGCCCAGCGCGTCTTTTTGGCTCTGTGGCCGACCGAAGAACCGCGTCGATGAGGTAAAGACCCGGGAGACGACGGAGGGTGGGATGCCGTGGGCTTTGAGGTAGAAGAATCCAGAGGTTTGAAATGCATTGATGATGGCGAGGGCCACGGCATGCTTGTCGGATGGGGTGCCTTCAAAGAAAGGTGCAAAGTCGATGAGCTAGAAACGGAGTTGATTGAGCTTGGTATCCGAAAGTATGTCATCGGTGCCACTTACAGGGATCACCAAGTCGTCCTTCGCCACGACTGCCGATGCTGGATGGATTTCCTGGGGTGAAAGCTGCGAGGCCATGCTGCCCCGCCTGTAGGATGAGTCTGGTGCCTGTGAATAGAAAAAGAGAGAAAGAAGAACAGTCTTCTCTTGAATCCAAAGGGAACTTCGGGAAGAAGGGGGCGAGTTGAGAGGAGAAGCTCGTTATCTTGCTCTTATCTGGACTGGAGGGTGATGACTGGTCTCTCGGTGCTTCTCTTGTTGATTGTCTCTTTTTCTCTTCTTTCCTCTCGGATCCCTATCCCTCGTTGTTTGCATCTATCTGGTTTGGTTTCTCTATCAAATGTCCTAGAAACTCGGCGGGCTCTCTTCATAGAAGGGTGACAGCACCGCCAAACGACTAGTATGCTGAAATTCGAAGCGTTGCCCCAGGCATTCCACGCCAAAGCGCACAATCAGACTGTTTTTCTGGGAAACATTAAAAGTGTATAGATCATACGGGATATCCTCTGTGTTCAACTCGAGAATATCAGCGATATCAACGGTCCCTGATCCCCGCAGCGCAATCTCCAGCGACTTTTTACTATCCAACGTCGATACAAAGGAGTGGCTCGCAGCCCGGCGCAGGGTTCGCACCGCCGTGCTGTGCTCCAACTCCACGGTAATCGATCGAAGAAACACCGTTGGAATCTCGGAGGCAGTCGATTTCTCGGAGATATAGATGAGCCCCAGCTCAATCAGCGGCGTGGCGCCCTGAAGCACCTGTGAGCCGATCTTCGTTTCAATTTTAAATTGAGCGCGGGAGGGATGCCATCGGGACCAAAGGCCCTGTGCACCTTGTCTCTGAAAGTGAGAGGACACTTCTCGGGTTCTTCACGCTGCACCAGCGGGCTCCGAAGTGAGAAATGCTCCGTCTTGACAACGGGCGCAACGCCGGGGTCCGCATCCCATCGATAGGTGTCGAACGGCAACAACACCGAGTCTCTTTGCTGCTCGCGGACCGAGGTCATCCACTTCGCCTCTAGGCGATACTCAACCAAAGCCGAGCAAACAGTGTCCCCATCGTACGAGAAAGAGCGCGGAAGACTACGCGACGCATGAACTGCGCTCCATTGTTTCGGGTGTCCCGATTCCACAGACGCACTGGTCCAAGCATGCCACGACTGGCCGCGATGCGGCTGGTACGGAAACGCAAACACAAACGGCCAGCCGCCCAGCGGCATCGCAAAGCAGGGCCACGCACCCACGTAGAGGGTCCGCGTGGACCGGAACAAAAACGCCGTGCTGGTGCCGTAGTCGCCGGGGCCGACGCTCCACGCGTTTAATTCGACCATGGATCTCCCGCTGAAAATGATACTCAGCGTGCCGCATTCGCCATCCATCGAGGGGTCCAGCTCGACTTCGCCCTTAACGAGTGCGCCCGGCAGGTACCCCCGGCTGGGGCTGTCGAGGTGGATCTGCATGTTTGTTTGTTGCGCTCCCCTCCGCCAAGCCAAGCCGTTTGAGAGAGTAGGTGGTCTATGTGTTGTGACCGTTCCCGGCACCATGTGGGCCAAATCCTGCGGAAGATCGTGGATGGGGGGTGGGCGTATATATAACTTCTCATTCTTCGTGCTGTGATGTCACGGGGATTGTGCGTTCAACCCCCCTGTAATTGGCCGGGTTCGTTTCCTGCTGCACCCTCGGCTGTGATGCGCCCTGTCGATCTCATTTCCGCGGACTATCTACACGAGACTTGGTGGCATGTCTGCTAGAGATCCAGCATGATAGGGCTACTTGGCGCATTTGTCAATAGTCGAGGTAAATCGGAGTATACTAATGGCACATTCGAGAAGAGCTGAGACATGTAGTCAAAGACTTAGTGCCTTGGCTTGATGTGCCCAAGGTGCCCCTTAAAAGAAAGAAGAATACTTCAAAGCACCGACCGTGGTCGAGCCAAAATCCAGCAAGCTAGATCACAAATACAGCCAAAGAGGCGGAAAGAACAGAAGAGAATAAAAAAAAAGTACATGTGCAAATCACAACATAGATTCAACATTGCCTTGGGCCTAACATATATAAGAAGGCCCTCATATAGCGTGGACATGTCGCCGTAAAACAGTCATTCCTGTGAGTCTGTCTGGGGGGCAAGACCGACCTAATCCCCCTCCTTGATATTGATCCCAAGGAGAGCGGATTTCTCAAGAACTGTCCGAGTGCTCTATTTTGGCATCTTCACGGACGCTCATGCGCCGCTCGATGTCTTCAATGTAGTCCTGGCGAAGCTGGCCATGTCTGTCATAGCGGTGCGGCTCAGTGAGAGAGATGGACACGATGTCGAAGACGCTCGAGGACTTCTTGAAGAGGTCATCCATTTCTTCCAGGGAGCGGTACCGCGTCTCCGGGTAGAAGAAGTACACGACGGGGAAGATGAAGGCGTTGCTGGCGGAGGTTAGCTTGTTGGTTCTTCTTGAACGAGAATTACTCCGGAAGGAGATAGGGCTATTGGCACATACATAACAGCGAAGATGATATACGTCTTGTATCCGATACTGTCGAATGCGACTGGCGTGATCATCACGACCATGAAATTGAAGATCCAGTTCCCACTATGAGAATGTATCAGTATGGGAATATTCACAATAATATACAAATGGAGGGGGGATTGGTGCATACCTGGTCGCCAGTGCGTTCGTAGGGGCTCGAATACGCAGCGGCACGATCTCGGCGGGATACAACCATGTCATTCCCAGCCAGCCCAGAGCAAAGAAGGTATTGAACACAAAAAGGAACACGGCTTGAGCAGGCCCGGCCTTCTTGTTGCCGGTGTCCAGCACATGCAATGAGACGGCAAGGGCAACCATTGAGAGCGACATACCCGCCGCCTAGACAATTCAAATCCCTGGTCAGCCATATACTTTTTTAATAGTAATAGAAAATGCTGGATCAGCCACTTACCCCGACAAGCATCAGCTTGCGTCGGCCAACCAGTTCAATGATGAAAATGGGGACCAAAGACGCCAAGAAGTACTCCGTTCCATTACAGGCAGCCAGTAGCTTCGGATAGTTGTTGTCCTCAAGATTGATTTTCTCGAACAGAATCGGGGCCTGGGAGAGATCATTAGAGTCACGACAGGGAAATGGGTGCAATGGACAGCAAAAAGACATACGTAGTATGTGATCAGGTTGATACCGGAGATCTGCTGGAACATCTGGCAGACATACGCGAGCACCACTCGGTGGAACTCGCGATATTCGGACATCTGGAAGAGACTAGCATAGGAGCCCTTGGACATCTCCTGGACGGTCAACCGGACCGATTCGAATTCGTTCGCGATGAACGGATCGTCGTGGTCCTTGTCGTTCAGCGCTACTAAAACTTCGAGCGCCTCTTCCTCCCGGCCCTGCATCACCAGCCAACGCGGAGACTCGGGAAGATTGAGAATGGTGCCAAAAATAATCAAGGCGAAGACGATCTGGAAGGCCAGCGGGAAACGCCACGAGACTTCATCTTCGCCAATCCATGCCATGCCTATCGAGCACAGAGTTAGCTTCACTGCTTTATTCCCACTGCTTCTGTTTCCCTCATGTCTGTAAGATAATAAAAGGGGTTATTCACCATAGTTGAGCCAGTAACTGATCGTAATACCCGCTGTAATCAGCATGCCTTCAATCATGACCAGCTTGCCACGGGCGTGAGCCTGCGCGGTCTCGGATTGCCAAGTCGGCACAGTACTAGTGTTCATGCCGTTGCCCCATCCTGTAACGATTCGTCCAACAATGAACTGCGGGAGGTCGTACGAGGTGCATTGCAGCAGAGCACCAACCGTCATGATAACCGAGCCGATGAAGATGGTCATGCGACGACCCAGAGGGTTGCCGACGAAGATGGTGAAAACGGCGCCGAGGAAGCATCCCAGATTATAAGCCGCCACAGCAATTCCTTGGTTTGAAGACCGTTGAGATTTCAACGCATCGCCGATGCCGGGTTCTTCGGGGTTGATGTCCGGGAAGTACTTGGTGAACGAGGGCAGATCCAACAAACCACCGGTCACACCTTGGTCGTAGCCAAAAAGCCTAGATGTTGTTTTTGTGGTTAGCAGGCGATCCTCTAACAAGAAAAGCCATCAGAGTCTCGACGTACAAGAAATCAAGACCAGCAATCCAACTGATAGCAAAGTTGAGGGCACTGCCTCGCAGGCCAAAATATTTAGGTATGCCCAGCATGGTGATGTGGACCGATATGCGACAAGACGAGCCAAGGACAAGTAGGAGAGCGATAAGCAAAGCAGGCTGGGTGGAGGGAGAGGGCTCGCTTTTGAAGTACGGCGATATCTCCACCCCGGGCCTCGTGGCATGGACTGGCCTGAGATTCGGAGTTGCTATATCGAGTTTAGACGAACGAACTGATGCTGCTCGGCACGATCAAGACACCCTTGGCCATGGGGGCCGTACTCCCAGACCTGGGTTTCTTCTTTTTTGCCTGCATCTTTTGATCCCCCCCTTGGTGGAATGATTCTTGGCTTTCTAGAAAACAGCCCACGTTGGCTGGGTCCTGACTTGTTCTCTGCCACATACGTCAAGCCAGGACATTTCAGCGTCTGTGAATGGGGTGGGTGGCTGATGGAAAAGGGACTCGGAGTCCCGAGCGTGCCAAGGCAGTTTAGCCCACGGCGGAAAATACCATTGGCGAGCCAGTGTTACGGACTGCACGGCCACGGCCGGGGTCGGGGAATGAGAGTCGCGGCATATTTCATGGCATTCGGCGGTGATTGGGTGAGGACACTGTCTTGGCCGAGAAGGATCGGAGGATGGAGAGTCCCCGGGGGGAAACCAACGGGAATCTCCTCTGGGGACGCTCGGCCCGACCTCAGCGTGGCCCCCGGATTGCTATAAAAATATCTTTGTTTTTTTTTTCACTCATCGTGGTGTCTTGGTGTCTCCATTATCTCCACCCAAATATCCCAGATATCCCATATTTCCCTGCCAGATGTTGCCCCGATGCTTGGCCCTCCGCAATCCTCCCCCAGATACGCTCAGATGTCCCTTGGCAGACGCTGCCTTGGCGCGTCTTTCTTGGCCGCCCAAACCCGGCCAGGAAGTCCCGAACGGCACTCTGGAAACCTGCCTGATGGAGAGGATTCATTTGCTCAGATTACTTGCGTCTGACGGGTCTACGAAGTACTCGACTCATCGGCCCCCTCCTTGTGCCCAGGATATCATTATGTACAAGTTTATCGGGCACCGGCATGCAGTCCAATCATCTCTCAAATCGTAATAAACTAGCTGTCACTGGAGGCCCTCGGATGCTTAGACACGGCTTGCACAAATCCCGAGAAATGGTGAAAACACTCCCCCAAGAAATAAGCGATGGGACTCCACATCATGCGTAGCAACGGTGGTGCCGGGCAACCGCTTGCCCTCTCGATCCTCCACCATTTTGGAGACCTTGTACCCTTCTCGCTGTTCCGGTGGGTGGGTGTTGAGTTGATGGACCATGAGAACCGCACCCGGTCCAGACAACGTATAGGGATCCTTGGCGCTTTTCCGGAATCGCATGATGTCGGGCAATCCCGCAACAATGAGATTTCCCTGGGCGTCGAACGAAAGATTGTCGATGGGCATGCCGAGGGGGATTTCATCGATTTGGACTAGTCGGCCCTCTTCCAGTCGATGTCCGCTCACAATACCCTTGCTGGATTGAGCGATATAGAATAGTCCATTGCGGGCCTTAACGATGCCATTAGGGTAGGCGAATCGCCGGTTGGTCGCGATCTGGCACTTTCCCGTATCTGTTCGACAGTAAGAGACGATGCCGTCTCCCAAGACCGCATTGATTTCTCGCAAAGCGCCAACTTTGCTGCCATGTTCATTGGTAACCATGAACCCCACCCCATCGTCGTCGACGGCCAGATTGTTGGGTGCCACCAGCGCCTCGCTGACGATAGTTTTGACGTACTTCAGAGTGCTGGATCCGCGGGTAAGGTCAAAGACCTCGATGGTCGCATTGGAGCCCACGGCCCACGCGTCCAGGAACTCTCCGGTCGTGGGGTTGACGGGTGGTCGGTGATTGATCAACCAAAATCGCAGTCCGCCTGCAACCTTGCGGACATCAAATCCAACCAAATCCAGGTCGTCTGTGTACTCATCTCCAACGGACAGGGTGTGAAGCCCATAGAGCCCATCCGGGCCGGGATGATCGATGTTCAGCACGGAGATATGATCCGTGCGGGATCGCGCGGAAACGTTCAAGTGGCTTCCGCCTGGCAGCCACCCCTGGCGGGATGGGAGGCTTGTGCAGGCCGCGTACAACTTTCGGTCCTGGTGGTCGAGCCAGATGTCTTCGCAGCCTTCTAGTAAAGGATGTCGGAGCCGCATGCAGTCCCATGGAAAGTCTTCAATGGGCTGAACCACGCGGCCAATGCCGACCATGAGACCAATGGTGTCATGCAAGTATATTCTATAAACCACAGCAAGGACAAGTACCAATGTTGCTTGGATGAACCAGCGAGAGCTGGATGTCTGCTGACCTGTCATGAATGTGCGAAAGATGTCGACGCGTTGGGGGAGTTGAGCAAGTTAAGTGCTGGACTGCTGCCTCCGATGTCAACATCACCAAAATCGGCTGTAGAGATCAATTTTACCGAGGGCTTCCCCCATACATCCACGCTTCATTCCTTTCCCTGATTATTCTTCGTCGAGCGTATCTTAATTACTGGCCACCTTGACGGAATGCTTTTTCAATATATATCATGCTCAACCACACCAAGATAGGTGCTCGCTCTAGCCCCTTTATACTGCAGTAAACAAGACGGCCCCACGTCTCCCCGCAGATGGCCTGGGGCCCGCAAGATCCACCGCATTAATCAGCTTGACATCCCACCTTCCGGCCCTTCGCGAGCTTCTTGCATTCCTCTCCTCACTTCTCCCGGTTTATATATTCTTGATTCTTGAGGTTCAGTCCCCGAAAACATCGCCACCATGCCGCACACCTCCCTCATCCTCTACCCCAATGACCCCGACACCAAGTTCGACGAGACCTACTACCTGCAAACCCACATGCCGCTGGTGGACTCGGTGTGGAAGAAGCACGGCATGACCAGCTGGGCCATCCACAAGCACAACAATGCGCTCGATGGCTCGCCGTCCAAGTATCTGATCACGGCCACCGTTCAGTGGGAGAGCCAAGAGGCCACGCAAGCGGCATTGAAGGACCCCGACAGTGCGCGTGTGTTCCAGGATATCCCGAACTTTACCAACAAGCAGCCTGTGACTCTGACGGGCGATGCTCTCTGAATGAGCCCGCGGTGGCTGTGGCTTGGGTTGTGGAGAGGGTCCACGGGGGGTGGTCTTTGGCTTGATCTTGGCTTGATCTTGGCTGGGTCAATGGCTGAGATAACCTTCAGACTTATCGAGGGTTATGGATGCTTTGCGAGGGCGAGTTCCAGAAGGCTGGTTGTCTTGATGGTGGGGGGCAGTTGGTTCATTTGATGATGTGCCCAGGGCCCGAGTGCGCTCATGTGGAGTCCATTGGAGAGGTCGTTATATATAGTACGGAATACACGCAACTCATTCTGAGTATACCGAGATGACTCGCAAAATGACCCATAGTACTCTCCGTAAGATCTCCAGCGTACCTAGGAATTAACCAGCTTCTTCAGACAGACAGGAGTGATGATGAAGCAGTGATAATCCCCGCATCTGCAAGTCTTATCTCCCGCTTAACTTGGGGGCAGATATGAAACATCCTCCAGAGACACTCGGGAGACGAACATCAGTCACCATGCCTCTGGTCGTCGACATCCACACTCATGTCTACCCGCCCTCATATCTGGCGATGCTGCGCACTCGCAAAACAGTCCCCTACATCCACGACCCATCAACGCAGGCTTCGCCCCGCCTCATCATCCTCTCCTCAGACGATGACCCGGCCATCCCTCTCGACCAGCGCGGGCGTCCCATCGATGCCTCCTACTCCGACATCAGCACCAAGCTCAGCTTCATGAAGCAGCACGGCATAAACAGCAGCGTCATCTCCCTCGCCAACCCCTGGCTAGACTTCCTAGTTCCCAAAGAAGCCCAAGAATGGGCCCAGCGCATCAACGATGATCTAGAATTCACCTGCGCGCAAGCCAACCACACCGCAGACCCAACAGGCACGCGCCCACTCTCCGAGAAACAGACGCTTTTCGCCTTCGGCGCCTTGCCCCTCAGCGCACCGGATCCCGCAACAATCGTGACAGAAATCCAGCGCCTCTCCACACTCCCCCACATGCGCGGCGTCATCATGGGTACCTCCGGCCTAGGCACCGGCCTCGACGACCCGCGCCTCGACCCCATCTGGGCCGGTTTACAGGACTCGCCGCTGCTGCTGTTCCTGCATCCGCACTACGGGCTCCCCGACGACGCCTTTGGGGCCGACACGACCAATCGATACGGCCATGTGCTCCCGCTGGCGCTGGGGTTCCCGCTCGAAACTACCATTGCCGTCACCCGCATGCTGCTGGCGGGCGTGTTTGACCGGTTCCCGCGGCTGCGCGTCTTGCTGGCGCATTCTGGTGGCGCACTTCCGTTTCTTGCGGGCCGGATTGAGAGCTGTATTCGTCATGAGCGCAAGTTTGTTGCCAATGGTGGTCAGCTGCCTGGGCCGAGGCGCAGTGTTTGGGATGTCTTGAGCTCAAATGTCTATCTTGATGCCGTTGTTTATGGGTCTGCTGGGTTGAAGGCGGCTGTTGCTGCCGGGGGAGGCTCGGATCGTCTTTTATTTGGTAGGTTCTGGGAAATGATTCTATTGGGAGTCGAGATATATATCCTGATGCTGATAGTTCAATTCTGCACAGGGACTGATCATCCGTTCTTTCCGCCTCTAGGGGAGGAAGAGCAAGAATGGCCGAGTGTGACGACAAACTATAAGGCCATTCATGAGTCCTTTGATGACGATCGTGATGCCATGGATGCGGTCTTGGGTGGCAATGCCGTCCGCATTCTCGATTTGAAATAAGCACATGCTTTCTAGGGTTGGTTAGGTAGATGATATATTTCTCGAATGACTCGTCGTGATATCTATATTAGTCGAAGAAATAAAGCAACACAAAAGCATTTACTTTGGTGCAAACTCAGCCCTGAGCAAATCCCAACCGATTAGACTCCATAGTTCCTGGGTAAACCAGTCCGCAAACCCTGGTTCGTCACTCCGCTGAGACTCGAGGGCTTGCGCAGGTGGAGTTGCAGGGCGCATCAAGCCTTGCTTGAACAAGGGCTCTTTAGTGCCGAACACAGCCTGGAGAAGGGTCTTCTGCAGTCGATTCTTGATGGTATTCACAAATTGACGGCGCGGGGCCGGAACCTCGCAGGGTTCCTTCGAAGATTCAGCATCCAGAATTTTGTGCAGAACGCGGACCAGATATCTTGCTTCGAGCTGGGCATTCTGCGGCGAGAATTTCTCTTGTTTAATTGCTGCCAGTCCTTCTGGGAAAGACAATTCCGGACACGAGCCTGTTGGCAGCTGCAGGTTATTGAAGACGACGAGAGCAAGCATTTTGCCCACGCGGTTCAGAACGACAAAAAGGAACCCTTCCATCACCTCTTGATCTTCGGCTCGAGCCAGATCGAGGGATAGGGCCATTGTGCATAGGAGATCTGATAGGTTCGGGCCTAGTTTGTCTTCGGTATGCGCGGCAGTTGGGTCCTTTCTCGCGGTTTTCGTCTTTGAGCTTCTCGTTTCCATTGTGAATTTCGGCATCCGTTTGGAAGTGACCTTCAATTTGATGGGAGTTATATGGTTTACCCTGGTAGTGCAGTGTTGAGTGAGCGCCGTCAGCGTTGACTCGAACAGACAGACCAAATAGTAAGTGACTTGGCCACTGTGCTGCCTCCCGTCGTCAGTAGCTGATAATTTATGTAGCGCCTGGTGCGTGGCCTGAAAAGAGAGCTTGACACTATTTAGCACGGTCATAATATCTGGCTCTGGCTTCTGTTTGAGCCTGGTGGCCTGTTGCTGATTCGAGATGTCTTCCTGCTGGACGGCATGGAGCAGCTCCTCTTCCGCTGTTTTGCACAGAATCACAGCGTTCGTAGCCAGAGAGTGGCTATTCCCTTTTCGCTTGAGAGACTGTTGGAGGATGCATAACGATCGGGGAACAGAAAACGCTGCTAATGATCAGTTGGGGAAGATCAAGTGTCATTGAGAAGGTAGAACCGACTTTCTTGCTCATCTGCAGAGTCGAGTATATCATGTATCTCAGACCCACCGCGTTGATTATGAATGCTGTCCAATTTTCGTGATTTCCTGGCTGTATCCGCGCGGCCGTTATCCTTCTCTGCATTCATTGCTTTGCGCTTGGTCGTCAGCATTTCTCCGGTCCGCAACTTCGTGAGGAGACTTGTATTGCGCTGCTTGAGCTCGAATATTCGATCGTGCAGTTTACTCTGCTCAGCTTCGGACTTCTCGTATGCCTGTTGCCAGAAGCCAACACTGTCCAAGAACTTGTCCGGCGGCAGAAAGTGGCTGGAGTCTTTGCCATGTTTGATGAAGTGTCGGATGTGCTGGATGTACTCTAGGATGGATGGTCAGAGACAAACACTCTCTGATAAGATGGCTTGAAAGAGTCATCTCGCCGGCGCTCACCCCGGATGTCTTTTTCAGGTGGCTTCAGCTTAACAATGGCCATGGCTAGGGCCAGTTGATGTTGGGTGGGAGGCGTGACATTGGACGGTGTTTCTGATGGGGACGCCATTTGGACATCAGTACTCGATGAATTGTCGTGCTGTCATTCAAAAAGAAACTCGAGACGAGGATGATGAAGACGAAACTGGGATGGGCGAAATGTGCTTGACTATCGACACGTGCCGGCAATATATGTAAGGCAATGCAGAAATTCCATAGCGATGTGGTTTATTTACTTCTTTTTTGGTTTTGATATTCAGGATTCTCTTACTGAATGATTGACATTAATTGTTTTCATGGTTCATTCTCGATGACCGAGGTAGGGCTGAGTGCCAGCCCAAGATCCGCCACCGCCTCAACCCGAACATCTTCACTTCTTCTCTGCACGACTTTTCCATTTCGATCGATTACCTCCCACTCTGAAATTATTGCATGAGCTAGTCTCAAGGTCACTTCTTAATTTAGAGGCGAGCCACTGAGTGTCTGTGTGTCAGATTACTCTCTAGCATTCCCCGCGGAGAGCGTGGCAGAGCGTGGCATCGGACCACCAACTCGCAGCGTTTCGACACGCCCGAAAAGCCCAGGATCGACATTCGATAAACCTAAACAGGCCAGATGTCGACCGAAGATCTCAAGGCGCACGCCGCCTCCAACCAAGATTTCTACGCGCTCCTCGACGTGCACGCAGCCGCCAACGAATCCGAGATTCGGCGCGCCTACCGCCGCACGGCGCTCAAGTACCACCCGGACAAGATCGCGAACCCGACCACCACCGACATCGACAAATTCCATCTCCTCCAAATCGCCTACGATGTGCTCTCCGACCCCTCGGTGCGACAGCTCTACGACAATGCGCGCGAGGCGCGGCAGCGCAAGCAGCGCGAGCGTGACATGATGGACGCAGCGAAGCGCAAGATGCGCGAGGACCTGGAGGCAAGGGAGCGAGCTGGGGCGGCAACAACGGCCGGTGGAGCCGCGGCCGGGCGGGGTGTGAAAAGGACATGGACGGCCGCGGGCGAGGACGACGCCGAGGAAAAGCTGCAGCGCGAGATTGAGCGCATTGCAGAAGACGGTCGTCGCAGACGCCGTGAGGCCGAGGAGAAGCTGAAGAGGGAACTGGACGAGGAGCAGAAGATCATGCAGCAGGAGGAAGAGGAGGCGCGCCGGGCTGCGGATCGCAGTAGCCAGCGTGTCGACCGCTCGCAGGAGGGCGGCGCCAATGTCTCGGAGCTGGAGCGTGCGGTCAAGGTGCGCTGGGTGCGCGAGGGATCTGGGCTTGACCTGGGGACAGATCGCTTGGCTGCGCTCTTTGCGCCGTTTGGCAAGGTCGAGAATACCTTTATGCTGAAGGACAAACGCCAACGCGTGGGCGATAAGCGAGAGAAAAAGACCGTCGCTACGGGCGTGGTGGTCTTCTCATCTATTGTCAGCACGCACGCCGCGGTGCTGGATAGCGATAAGAAGATTCGCGGGCACGCGGGGAAACCTGACGGCGAATGGGCTCGCATCGACTCGGTCTTCTGGGCTTCAGGTAGTCAGCCTGATTTGGGCTCCAGCATAGACAAGCGGACTCCCCAAGCACCCCCTCCATCATCCAAGCCCCAGGAGACCCCGAAACCATCTGCCCCATCAGCCATCCCGTCTTTCAATTCCCCGGGTCTGAACTCGGCCACGAAGCCTAGTAAAGCACCATCATTCGGGTCCTTCGCATCTGCTGCAGCCACAGCGAATGCCCCTAAAGCTTCTTCCTTCAACCCCTCGACCAAGGGCTCTAGCACGCCCACTCTAGAGGAGCTAACGCTGATGCGGCTGAAAAACGCACAGCGCGAGAAGGAACGCAAAGCCCTCGAAGAAGAGATGGCGCGCGAGGATGAGGCCGCAGACGCTGCAGAAGCGGCAGCGACCAAGGCTACTTGAGTCTACGACGCCATTTTCCTTACACATTTTGAAGACTTGCTGAGACTATTTCCTTGTTAAATATCTGAGATACCCCAGGGCGTGCGATTTGTCTGTTCTTTTAGTTCACTGAATAGAGGATACAAGGTGGCTATTTACATGAGAATCGTTTTGAGTGCTGTATAATACATGAATGCCTCCGAGGCAAAAGGGCCATATTTACTCCGTCCGTCGGTGCGACTCTTCTTCCTCCAATTCTTCGACCAGAGCCCGCGCCCTTTCACCATCTGCGTCTAAATTCCGCGGCGTGGGCTTCCGCGCTCCTCCCGACAGAATAAAGTCTCTTGTCCAGGATGGGATGATGGCCTGCAGTTTGATCTCGCCAGACTGCTCTGCCTCATTCGTCCAGGAGACCTTGAACTCGCTGCCAGGGGTATATTGAGTGGCTTCACCCGTGAGAGCAATGTCGGTCATCATTTCCAGGCGGCACAGAGCCAGTCCAATGTTGCCAATCCCACTCAGGAATTTGCCGGCACTGCGACCCCGGCGGCCACCAGCCTTGGAGATGTTCGAACCAGAGGGCGGCAAAGCAAGCACGGCTAAGGGATCGTAGGTCGGGGAAGGGTCAGCTTCGAGGGAGGGTTCCTGGCCCTCGCCGTAAAGCTGAACGGGCAGAATGCGTTTCCGTACGACACCCGTGTGGTGGGTGCGGATGGTCAGTTCCTGGCCGACGTAGCAGCCCTTGCGGAAATCAATTGCGCGCCCCATGTCCATATTGCATTCCATCGGCAGGGCCGACTCGCGAATGATTTCCGACTGACCCTCCGCAACACCGTGCAACATGCGGCGCACCGTGTACGAGTCCAGCCCGACCTCGGCCCCGGCAACCTGCGACTCATCCGGGAGGTGGCTACGCAGACCGTCCGAACCAGGAGTGATGAGCCGAGACCCCAATCCAGGCGCACGGGAATCGATGCACGCGACAACCTCCGAGTCTGTGGAGAAGGGCGACACCGAATCCGATTCTAGGTTATAGGCAGCCCACCGCGGCTCGGAGTGGTTCTTCCACGATGACCAGACGGTGCGCTCGCCGTCCTCGAGTGCGCGGAGCTTCAGCTTCGCGCGCAGCTTGTGTTTCTTGAGATGCTTCAACAGAGTCGGCACCTCGTTCCGATCCACCTCCACGAGCCACCCGGGCTCCGCGTCGCTGCTGTCCGTGCCGGGGAACGGGTAGATGAAAGCGTCGTTCAGCACGCGGCCTTGCGAGTTGAGGAACGCCGTGTACGAGCCAGTGCGCCGGGTAGCACGGGACGGGTCGCTGGCGATCAGCATGTTCTGCGTGATGAGGCCCTGGAGGTAAGTCGTGCTGTCGGTGCCCGTGATGGAGATCAGCCCGCGGTTCGTGAGCCGGGCATACCCGGTTTGCGGCGGCGGGGGGGCATTGGGGATTTGTTCGGCATGCTGCGCGGTCGTTGAGAAAAGCCGGCTGCGAGCCAGACAGCGGTTGCAGATTGAGGGGCTCGGGCGTATCATGGTTGAGTTGTAAGGGCGAGGACCACTGAGAACCGATGGATTTTAGTGACAAATCGGATGACGTCGGGCGGTGCCGGATGGCAGAACCGGGCCTACAGTGGCTACTCCGGAGTATTCGACCCTGCAGGTGCCATGAAACAATGAAGATACGCGGAGAGAATCAAGAAATTGTATATAACCCTTACGAAGCATACTAGATCGACTTGCCAACGGCCAGACCCAATGCTTATGGCCGCGAAGTACAGTAAATGCATGTCCGATTTGACTATCTTCAATTATCATACAGCGATGATACTTGAAAAAATCTCGCTGGAGTCAAGTCCAGTGTAGGCTTATTTGTTGCCTTTGGCGACACCCTCGAGGAACCCAAGCAAGAATGCCTTATTGTTGGGCGACGCACCCCGATTGGCATTGGCAGCCTGGTGGTCAGCATTAGAGGGTGTCCCATGTCGGGAGATGGAGTCACCGCTGCTGGGCAGGTGGAGGGAAGAAAGTGGGCTCACTATACCAGTGGTCGCGGACGACCGCCGGTTCATGGAAGGAGAGCCAGGCTGCTTGCCAAAGAGAGACAAGAGGGCCTCCTTCTGTGCAGTAGTCTGACTGGGTCGACGATCAAAATTGCCTTGGGGCGCCAGCTCTGGTGCGTGAGTCTGAGGACTGGGAAAACTCGGTTTATGTTCGGAGGCGCTGATCTTCGAGGCTGCCATCAACATATTATCGTAGTCAGGCTTCTCTGAGCGACGGAGAATCTGAGGCTGGAATGGCTTGACGGGCTCGGGTGCGATGGGCTTGCTGCCGTGGCGTGGAGAAGATACATGGATTGCCTCCGCACTGGGTCCTGGCGAAGATGCATCCCGCTTGGCTGACTGCGGCCGCGATAAAATAGTGATGGGTGAAGAAAGAGTTTGCACTTGCATTTGTTCTCGTCGATTTGCCTGGTTCTTTCGGCTTGACCCATTTGCTGGCTTTTTGGGTGTCGGCTTAGAAATCGCCTCGAGTTGGGGCAAATTCAACGGTCCAGATACGGTAGCCGTCGTGCTCGGCTGAGCCTTGGGGGCATCGGTCATAGCAGGCAGGTTGTTGTGGGCAACGCCTTGAGGACGATGGAGGATCTGCTTCTCTGAAGACACAGGAGGCACGGGATGGGCGGACAATTCAACTGGCTGGGGTTCCTTAACAGCACGGGGGCCTCTGAGTAAACTCAAGAGGCTATCCTGATGCTGAGAAGGTTTGCGCGCTTGAGGGGGCGCCTGTCCGGGGACTGCCAATACTGCTGTACTGGAGCCTTTTGGAGTTTTGGACCCCTCCTTCTTGAAGACATTCAAAAGCGCCAAGGAATGACTGGTCAGCTTTGGCGGAGGCAATTTACTAGCTGGCGGAACCGTTGCACCCTGGATTTGAGAAGGCTGAGCCGACTGAGAAAACTGAGGATCACCAGTTTGCCGGAATGGAGCAGGTGCAGGTCTTGGGGGCACCGCGTTGTAGGGTGAAGGCTGCGATGGACGAGGCTGGTAGTTCGGCGTAGGCAGTTGTTGCGGAAAGTGAGGCATTGCAGTTGGGTCATTTGGCGGGATATGGGAATAGTGAGGACCCAAAGGGCGTTGAGGTGCTCCCGAAAGCGGCACATTGGAATGCGACGGGCGACTGGGAAAAGGCGCAACGGTCTGCTGCATGAAAGGAGAAGGGCCCATGTGCTGTTGTTGCTGGGGAAATCCAGGAAAGAAATTCGGCGCCAGGTGAGGCGGTGGCCCTTCCACCGGTGCATTCGGACGAGCTGCAGTTGATGAAAGTAAAGGGTTAATCTGAGAGGGTTGGGGAACAGGCTCTTGAGGCCCGCTTCGAAGGAGAGCGAGGAGCGCATTTGACTTCGACGGGTCAACAGCTGAAGTTTGAACAAGTTCTGGGGCCGGTGCTTGGGCTGGCGCCGGCAAACCACCGATATTCAACAGGCGTTTGAGATGAGATGAGGCATCTTGCGCCGAGGTAACCTCAGGCAGATCGCTTGGAAGCGCCACTTGTGCGTGTGGTTGCAGGGCTGGGGTGGAACCGGCGGCTTGACCATTCTCATCCATAGACGTATAACCCTCCAGCTGTGCGAACGGCTTCGACCCGGCCTGGGCCTTGAAATCAAATTTCTTCTGCTGGGCAATCCATTTCTTGAGCGGATGCAAGAAAGGGGCGACCATGTAGAATTTGTTCGCGTTTGTGACCGCAAACCCTTCGTCGTGCTGCTTGTTCTTTTTCAGGGTCGGGAGCTCTGACAGCTTGTACCATTCGATCTTGCTGATTTCTTTTCGGGTTCGAGGTTCAAAGTGGGTTTCGCGAGGCACACCACGGAAGACATAGAGTCTCATGTGTTGCTCGCGCATGGTGATCTCAATGAATTTGACATCATTCTCGTCCTTGACTAGATTGGCGTCCCGAACATCAAACCCAGTTTCCTCGTATACTTCACGAATGGCACAGTCAAGATCCTTCTCTCCCTTGTTGATCTTGCCGCGCGGAAAGCTCCAGTTGGCTCCCTTCCTCCAGCCCTTAACCAGGACGACCTCGTCCATCTCCTCACTGAGCAAAATCGCACCTCGGACGGGAACGCGAGTCTTGTAGGCCAGGAACTCCGAAAAGGCCGTAATATGATGATAGTGCGACCATTGGGACATCAGAGGGCAGTGCTGGAAGATGCGTAGGGCAAACGCCTTAAGCGACAGCGAGGGGAGGGCAGGGTCAAGCGGCCGGATGAAATCCTCGTAGAACCATTGTGCTTCCTCGACTTGGAAACATATCCGTTCGACCGACTCGAGTTCTTCGCGGGGTAAGTTGATAATAAATCGGACACACAGGTCATCTAGCCCTGTTGATTGCGGCCATCGGCCCCCATCAGTGATCTTGCGTCATCCCCGACCAAGATCCCAGCACTCACAATCTTCTAAGTGCATCTTTGTTTCTGTCATACTGTTCGCCGAACTTGAGCATTTCAGGACAGGAGTGGCCGAAAGCAGGGTGCTCGCTCAGACGGGCGACACGGCAGGCAGAAACCAAGAAGCAACGTGATGAAGCAGCTTCCAGGAAGGGTGCGCCGACCTGGGGCTGTGTCGCCGTGGCGAGTGGGAGGAAAGAAAGCGAAGCCGGTTGCACAACACTATTCGCCGGATAGGCAATCTAAATGTAAGGATTTTCCAATCAACTTAAATGACAAGTGGTTGCGAAGCAGACGTGGATCGGAGAGCGCCAGAGAGCTGCCCGACGCAGCGTTGATCGGCTGACTCATCCTGTGGCGGTGCAGACACGCCACGGTGGCTAGAGATTGGCAGTTTCCGGATTGGCGGCTGATGACGTTGGTGCGGTCCCCTTGCGATTTGCCTATTTAATGTCCTGAATAAACATCCCGCGCTTCACTCCCGAATTCTCTTTCAGCGATTCGCGCTTGCTCGTTGTCATTTCTAAAACGTGAAACGAGCGTATCGCCCCGTCCAAACAGGGAAAGGCTGAGAAGGACCCAAGATTGTATACACCATCTAGGTCTTCTCGCAAATCCTCTTATTTTCTTCCTCTTCACTCTCTCCTTCCACGCCACCCTGAAACGATCGCATCTTAACATTTCAAGTTTATTTGAGGTCTACTGGATATAAATCCCCAAACATGTCCGGTGCACTTTGGTCTCTCGTTGGCAAAAGAGTGCTAGCAGAGTCCGCAAGGAATCATTTTGGGACTGAGGTGAGTGGTCACAGATAATTCATGGAATTTGCGTCACTCGAGCTGCTAAGCCTTTCTGTCTAGGACCCCTACTTTGAGGAAATACCGGCTTCGCGCATCGGTCGTGCCTTCGGAAAGAAAACCCAGAAGCGCCGCAAGGCCATCCCACCGGGCTTGTCAGAAAAAGATGCCAAGATCCTGACACAGGTCAAGCGCAGAGCCTGGCGACTTGACTACTGTCTTTTCAACTTGTGCGGAATCCGGTTCGGTTGGGGCAGTGTGATTGGTCTTGTTCCCTTGTGAGTTTAAGCCAGATTCTTCGGTCGTTGGCCTCCCAGCTAACTGTTGATGTGACAGTATCGGTGATGTCGGTGATGCCGCATTCGCTATGATGGTCGTGCGGAACTGCGAAGAGATCGACGGCGGTCTTCCGGCGCATCTCCGGATGAAGATGGTGATCAATGTGATAATCGACTTCATCATTGGTCTCGTTCCCTTCCTGGGCGACCTCGCAGATGCCGTGTACAAATGCAATACCCGAAACGCCGTTATCCTCGAACACCACCTGCGCTCCAAGGGCGCAAAAGTGATCTCAAAACAAAGCAAACAACAAGAGCGAGCAGTCGACCATAGTCTTCCGGACGAGTTTGATAGGCAGGAAAGTGGTGTCGTGGGCAATCATCCGCCGGCGTACGAGAACCAGGGACCCTCGGGAAATCGGCATGCAGATAATGTTGGCGCCCAACCAACCAAGCCTCAACCTGTGAAGCAACCCCGAACTAACAGTTCCATTGGCAGGTGGTTTGGCGGGGCGAGACATCCAAACGAGTGTTTGGAGCGGGGTGAAGTGTGACATCGAGAAATCGAGGCGATTCAAATACCCCATATGACCGGTCCAGGGAGGGCTCATGCGCATTTATGTTTTCTTTTCTGCCAGCGCGGGCACGATCTTATTTGCTTTCTCTTTCGCGGCGAATATAAATGTTTGGTTAGCAATTGATTTCAGGACGAGATCTCATACACCCATAGCAGAATGGGGAGCCCGAGCTTTCTGCTTGACTGGAGACTGTCACTCCAGAGTTTCTCTTGACATTCCCCACCAGACCTCCACAGAGACCGCACGATGCATTACCAGAGTTTGAAGTCTCCAACTTATTGACTGTTCTGGCCACGTTCGCCATGACCCCGGGATATTTTGCTCCCTGGGTCTCAACGTACCGCATCATCAGCTCGTCAATGGATAGGTTCTTGGTCAGAACATTATCTGATGGTGGCTCGTCGGGGATAATGATCTCTGCCAGCTCAGGACAAACGCTTTCATATTGAATAAGTTCGGCCTTGTACAGGTCTCGGAGTGGGAAATCGAATTGTAAGCCCCAGGGGGACACGCCGTCCGACACTCGCCAAGTGAGCGAGGCGCCACGTCCCTTGGCAACCCCAGCAAGCGCCTTCGCGGCCAGTCGGCTGTCAGAGTCGCCCCATAGAACTGTCTCACATCCAGATTGCTTGGCGAATGCAGCGACGAGCCGGGTCAACAAGACCGAGTCAACGTCGGTTGCAGAAGTCGCTGTGGAGATTGCAGCGCGAAAAGCCGCCAGGCGCTCAGCATTCGACCGAGAGCTGTCATCTGTGAACTGTGGCCCTGTATATTCCCGCATGATTTCGTTCATATCCGGCACATATTCAAAAATACTGTGGAATGGCACTTGGCTGTACGTGTGCTGAGGGAAGATCTTTTGGACGGCTTCATAGTTCCGGTCGTAAGGAACACTCGAGCCCGCCATCGTGGAGGGTTCGATAACAAGAACATGCAGGTCAAAGGTATTTCGGGCAAAATTTTTAGATCGTTGGCGCTCGAGTTCGGCATCCAGCATGCGCAATAGGACTGATGAGGAGACACCAAAGGACAGAGGCAGAAGCAGCTGGTGGCGGGGATCTTGCGGGTTGCGAGGTGGTTTATACTTCTCCATCCGCCGAAAGACCTTGTAGGAGACAAAACGTTTAAAACAAGCCCTGCCAGGGAGGGTCAGTCATTGCAAGCAAAAGCATTTAGGGCTGGAGGGGTCACTCGTCGCATACCCGCATAGCTGCCTCCGTCGCACCGTGAGCACAGATTCTGTGTCCTTGCAGTCCATACAAGGACTATCCAGTTCCTTTGCTGGCATGGTGAGCTTTCAGAATGTCAGATGTAGCTTTGTAGCTCTATATGAAACTGCGGAATATCAACCATAAAAAAAAAAAAAAACCAAGGCCGATAACGAGCGATAGTTAGTGGCGGTGTAGCTTAGTAATACCCCAAACGCGTGGCTCCCTTGGGGGCGGCAGTCGTCGACACTTCCGGCCACCGTGGATCCTCCCCCCGATCAACTTCCATCTCCGCCCCTGTTTGGATGCGGCGTGTTTTTGAATCCTTTCTGGACATACGTTGGAGTTTTAAGCTCTTGTTCTTCCTGCGATGAAAGGCTGGCTCTCGACTTTGGGCCTCACGGCTCTTCTAGCAGGCCCGGTCCTGGCCAATGAAGTGTGGCTCGTAAGATCCATCCTTGTCCTCGCAATTGGTCTACAAAAGACTAACGACTTCGACCTCAGAAATCAGATGATGCGCACCGACAACGATGCTCCGGGATGTACAGTCGCAAGGCTTGGGGAGGGAATGTGGACCCCTTTATATTGGTCAAGTTTTCTCAGGAGGGTGACAAGGATGACGACCCTCTAGCCAGCTTGGTGATCTTTGAGTGGAACGACGAGGACTTGATTGGGCGCTATCGGTCCGACGACGCGAAAGTATCGTCCACTCCATTGCGCTACCCCGAGAGAACATGGCAGCTGACAGTGGGCCAATAGTTCAAAGAGACAATCTGCGATAGCGAGAACGTGGATGCCAAACTCTGCCAGAAAGACGACATCGGCTCCTTTATTCTCACAAGCAACGCCACCGATGTTTGGCAGAGCCCGATTATGACGAAAGCAGTCCATCTGAATGACCCCGATCCGATCAAGTACCCGGTCAAGAAAACTGGTTTCTATTGTGTGAGCACGTTCGCATATTCTGGAGAGGACTTCAAGGCTGTGGTCACCTTCCGCAATTCATACGGCGAGCTTCCGGCGGCGCAGATTGCTAAGCTGCCCTTCTACGGAGCCTTGACCATCGTGTACGCTGTCATTGGAGTGTATGTGTCTCCTGGGTCCTAAATTATCTTGTCTTGAAGCCTTGCTAACGCTGCAATGTAGGTACTGGGCATTCCTGTACACGCAAAACCGCCATGACATCCGTGAGTCTGCCCCCTTCATGGAACTCGTGCAACATGCTAATCGTCCACAGTCCCGGTCCAAAATTACATCACGGCAATTGTTGTGTTCTTGATTATCGAGCAACTGATGACGTGGGGGTTCTACAGTAAGCAACCTGGTGTTACTGTTCCTGGGTTATCTCTAACTCTCAACAGACTACCAGAACTTGCATGGATTGAATACCGGCGCAAAGGCATTTATGGTCATCGTGGCCATTCTGAACGCGGCCCGAAATGCCTTTTCATTTTTCCTGCTTCTCATTGTCTGCATGGGCTATGGCGTTGTTAAGCCCTCGTTGGGTCGCACCATGACCTATGTTCGTATTCTGGCCATCGTCCATTTTGTCTTTGCAGTCCTCTACTCCGTTGCGAGTCTGTCCATCACACCGGAGAGCGCCGGTCCTCTGATTCTCCTGATTGTTCTCCCGCTGGCCGCAACTCTGACGGCCTTCTACGTGTGGACCCTGAACTCGCTCAAGGGCACAATGAAGGATCTCATCGACAGGAAACAGAAGACCAAGGCAATGATGTATAAGAAGCTTTGGTGGTGTATCCTCGGCAGCATTATCGTCATCTTCGGCTTCTTTTTCTTCAACTCTTTTGCCTTTGCTGGTCGCAGCGAAGCCAGCTTTGTGCCCGAGCACTGGAAGGCCCGGTGGTTTGTGCTTGATGGATGGCTCAATCTAGTGTACCTGTTCGACATTGCCTTTGTGGCTTACCTGTGGCGACCCACAGCCAACAACCGACGCTTCGCCATGAGTGATGAGGTATGGACTTCCACTCACCTATCTGTTCACGCCGAGATTGCGTATACTAACAGGGAATGTAGCTTGCCCAAGATGACGATGGGTTCGAGATCCGGTCATTTGGCAGTGCTCTGGATGAAGAAGACCCCTTGGATGCCCCTCCTGAGTACCCGGGCAGCTCGGGCGCTCACGGCAACCGGGATCTGTCTCCAGTGCCCCCCAAGCCCGTTTCCTCGGCCCCGCGACAGCGCGAGTCGCTTGAGGACGAGACTATATTCGCTGTGGGTGAGGAAGGGGACCGATGGTCCGAAGAGGACGAGTCTCCTCGCAACTCGGGCGAGAGAAAGAGGCTTACGGGCAAGGACTAATTGACTGGGAGGTGATGATATCAGATTGTAGTCTCGAACGTCCCGAGTTCCAATTCGAACTTGGCTTGGGTCTTCAATGTATGTATAGGGAAGTTGGACCAATGGGTATTTGCAGCTTGGGAGATAGTCAGCATGTCATGGCGTTAATCTTGCGTTCGTTCCCATACCCAGCTTTTTTTGGTTCCCTGGGAATGTGTTCGAAGCTACTGTATCTTGTGTTTCGAATAGTTCCCTCGCAATGACAGCGTGTTTCCCCAGCTGCGAAGACCTCCATAGTGAGACTAGGACGAAGTATGTAAATAAGCTATTATAAGTGGCACTTGAGAACCTCATCGAGTTGGGGGAATGTTTTCGAATTTCTGCATTGAGTCATAGCTGTAGTTTTCCATATAAGCCCCGTTCCCTTCCGTGAGTCTGATATTGAAGACCCTCACCCATTGCCATATTCCATACAGAGAATTGTCTGTATAAAACGCAGATTCCAATCGCGAGTTCCTATACACCGAGGAAGGAGCTGATAAGAGACAAAAGAAAGCAAAAAAGAATCTCGTCCGCATCCGCCCCGCATCAACAGAAAAAGTCGACTCGCGTGTGAACTACACCCAACAATCCCCACCCGAGAAAGCAAACCCAAGTAAACAAGAAGACACATTTGCATGCCACACGCTGGGCGGGTTTCTCACGACCCTACCTCCCCAACCCCTCATCCCCCCCAGCAGCCATGTCTCCTGACTCCGAGCTCCCCACCCCCGCACAATCGGGCATCACCACTGCCAGCACCGCAACTGACGGGCAAGCCAGCCTCTACTCAACATCCAGCCCGCCAGAGACCAGCGCCCAGATAGCAGGACACCTCCTGCAGCAATGCCGCAATCTCCTCGCCGAGGTGGATGCGCTACAGGGTCTGCTGGCGCAGCGGCTGCGGAATCCACAGCTAGTGGAGGTGCGACAGTTCCGGTCGAACGTCACCGCGGAGCTACGGATGCTCGAGAAGCTGGAGCAGCAGGTGCGGGATGCAAGCGGAGACAATGGCAGCCGGGACAGTGATGGTGGTGGTGGTGGTGGTGATGATGCAAGCGAACAAGCACAGCAGACCCCCGAAGTCGAGATGCGACTGCTTCATGCACTGCGGTCATCAAATCTGCCATTCTACCAAGCCGTGTGGAAGATTGCGCGCGGGTCGTGCACGGGACTGATTGCGCTGGGGAAGCGGTTCTATTGGGACGGGGAGACGAAGCGGAGTGAGCGGGCTGCGGTTGAGGGCCGGGGGAAGAAGCAGCCTAACAAAGATAAGCGCAAGAGCGTGTTTGTGGATATCATTGCGGATGATGGGGAGGAGTGGGTGAAGGTGTCGACGATCTCGGAGAGTCGGCTGTTGTTCGAGATGGCCAAGAAGGGGTGGGAGCGCGAGAGTGACGAGGATGAGGGGACGGGATCAGAAGGCGAAGGCGGGCGGACAATACTTCAGAATTTCGATGGGGATGGGGAGGACTCGGATGAAGATGATGAGTTGGAGCTCATCAAGCTTGCGCGCGACCTCAAGAGGGCGGCGGATGCTACGCGGGTGAGGTATAGACATCCTCGACTACGAGTGGTGATACCCAAGATTGAGGAAGGGAACGTCCCTGAAATTGATGATATCCTGCGTGAGATGCGGAGCTATGGCATCAAGATCGAGTGCCAGGAGAGTCTGTCCGGCGATCCCACCACGGCCAACCTGGCTCGTCTACTCCCCCAGCCCTTCAAGAGATTCACACCGACTCTCAATGTCGACTGCACCCTTCTCCTGGCCATAGTGTCTGATCTCTCTCACGTCAAGGACATGCCACCACTGCCTAACTTCCATAAAGCCATCCTGCGGCAGATAGAGGTCGAGAAACAGCAGCCCTTGTTGTCCACTGAACTCTGGCCCGCCATGGGAGAACACAACCTCATCTGCACCAAAGAGGCGGCCACCCGCATGTGCGACATTGTCGAAACCATCGGGACCGCCACAGAGAAGACTCGGACTCAAATCATGATGGGCGATGCGCCTTACGACCACTGCGACCACAACACTCTCATTCAAAAGTTTCAAGAACTGTCCGAGCATCCCGTGCCAACAGGCTGGAAAATTCCGATCAGAGTGGTCGAGGCGCAATCGGTGATTGATGCAGCAAAAGCACAGGATAAACTCCCGTCCGTGGCGGATGAGATTGCGAAGGGTCTGTCGGATATCAACCACAGTGTGTTTATGTACGGGTGGGTCACCGGTCTAATGACTGTCTCCAGCAATCGTACGATCGACAGGCAGATCGAGGCCACGATTGAGAAGAACCGGCAGGGCAATAATGACCTCGAAGGTCCCTTGGTGTGGATCTGTGATACAGCACGGAGTTTGGCGGGAAAAGACAAAGACCGAAGATAATAGAATAGAATCCTGCCTAACTGGTCTGCAAAATGGTGTCGTCGGGTTCAATAATGACCTAGAGTAATTGCACCCATCCCGTGAGCAATAGTGTCCTGCACCTGTACTGCTCTTAATGGTGACTCAAGCATTTAGAAAACTGGAAGTGGGAGAATGGATCTTCGGTCTGTCGGGTGTCATCGTTTTATTTATTTCGAGGCTTCGTCAGGCTGCCAGAACACAATGTCTTTGTCCGCACTGGCGAGCATATTGTAACGTGGGTTGTACTCCACCAAGGCAGTTCGACCACGATGGGGGAGTCGGACCATGGGCTGCAAGGTGGCATTTGTCTCGCGCTCTTGCTGTAGGTCCCACACGAGCATATCTTGGGAGTCTCCAGCACCCCCGATGACATATCGCCCATCGGGGGAGAAACACGAATCGCCTTGTCCGAGAGGCTTTGCAGAGGACGATACCGGGGCAGCGCGGCCTGGCGACCCGTTCTTGCCAGTCAGGAATGCCTTGATGGTGCCTTCAAAGGCATCCAAAATATAGTGTCCGTGGTAGTCGGTACCGACCATCAGGTATTTTCCATCATTGGAAAATTCCAACCGAGTCCAAGCTCGACCCCGCGTCGACGGTGTGTAGGTTTCCTCGAAGGGTGCAAGGTCAAAGGTGGAAAATGGAGGTTTGTCGTAGTTACGGAAATCATAAAGGAGCACTGAGGATGTAGACTGAGATGCAATGGCGATCACGGTGGCCGACGGGTCGAATGCAACTAAGTAGGGCGTTGCCAGTTTCAATTTTCCTTGCGGATTCCTGGAACCAACGTCCCAGAGGGTGACGGTATCATCCTTGGAGCAAGAAATGAACGAGTCGCTGCCCGGAGACAGAGCCAGGCAAGTCACTTTATCGGTGTGACCGGAGAAGTAGCGCACATACCCCTCGTTGTGAAGATCGAGTAACCTTAGCGAATCTGCAAATTGATCAGCGACGTGACAATGTCTGGGGCTTATCGAAGTACATACGGTCCACCTTGGTACTGGCATGAAGGACTTGACGGGAGTGGTGGGTAAATCTCGCCAGATGCACACCATATTTCTTGCTGGGGACCGACTTTGTTGACTTCCCTTCCTTAATATCAAAGACCTGGATAGTCTCATCATCGCCAGCTGCGACAAGGTAGTCGCCCTGGTCATCGAAGTCCAAAGAAGTCACATAATTGGGGGTCTCTTGCTTGGAGGTTTTGAAAGACTATATCACAGAGATGGTCAGAGCACCATTGAGGTAGAGTTCGAATGGACCAATTTACCTTGGCTGGGCGAAATGCTCGAATGATGTCTGTCACTTTCTGGGGCTGCTGGGGAGCTTGGGTAGCCGGCGGCTGGGGTTGCTGCTGAGTCTCCGCCATGTTTAGTGGGTCTGGGGGTGATGAAGGAGGGTGATGGGAAAATAGAGAATTGAGAAAGAGAAAGGTCAGAGCATCTTGCGCATGTCAAAGCACTTGGATCTGGGGTTCCTTCCTCACGCGCAGCTCCCCACGCGCCTTCTTTTTCTGAGCTGTTCGGGGAAATGTTGTTCCGTCTCACCGCCTAATAAGCGGTAAACAGTTCCCCCTCGGCAACCACAAGTAAGCTTTTGGGATCTCGATGCTTCTGACATCTCTTCGTTTCTATTGCATATACCCTCGAGCCTTGATTCTTGATTTCGGAGTATACGGTTTCCAAGGGGTGTGCACATATTCCTGGTTGGGCTCACTCATTTGCCCCTGTTCACGTTTGCGGATCCGATCTCGTGCCGACAACCGATAAACCGGGTCAAACTCTCCCTGTCTTTACTGAAGCTCTCGACCCAGGTGTCATGTCTACAACCACGGGGTATGATATTCCTCTGGGATGACATCGAAAATGGCTGGTTTGCGCTTACACTGTGTTTGTACAGAGCCTTCATTGCTGGCGGTATCGCAGCATGCGGTGCAGTCACCGTCACCCACAGTTTCGAGACCGTAAAGATTCGGTGAAGAGCCCTAGGTTCTGGTTGGGTGAGAATATTCAGCTAACTCGATCGTTTTGGGCTAAAGGTTACAATTGCAAGGTGAATTGCAGTCCAAGAATGAGGCCATGAAGAAGTACAAGGGTGTCCTCCATGGTGTCAAAGTGATCCTGCAGAACGAAGGGCCTCGAGGGTTGTTCCGGGGAATTGGCTCTGCCGTATGTGAACCATGTGGCGGGAAATCTCAAAATTGAACCTGCCAGCTAATTCTTGGGACTTCTAGTACGTCTACCAGGTTCTTCTTAACGGCTGCCGTCTGGGCTTCTATGAGCCTATCCGCTCAAACGTCACCTCTGCCATCTACAGCGACCCCAAGATCCAATCTCTCGGAGCTAATGTCTTTGCGGGAGCGGCATCTGGTGTTATTGGGGCTGCGGCGGGATCACCGTTTTTCCTGGTGAAGACCCGGCTCCAGTCCTACTCGCCCTTCCTCCCGGTCGGCACCCAACACAACTATAAAAATTCGTTTGATGGACTGCGAAAGATTTACACGAGCGAGGGTGTCAAGGGTGTATACCGCGGGGTTGGTGCCGCCATGATCCGCACAAGTTTCGGCAGTGCCGTCCAACTCCCCACATACTTCTTTGCCAAGCGCCGTTTGAATCGACACCTAGGTATCCAAGAGGGGCCTGCTCTGCACCTGGCCAGTAGCGCTGCTTCTGGCTTCGTTGTGTGTTGCTTCATGCACCCTCCTGGTAAGACCTCCCTCGGTTGTGGCATAGATCCTCGAGCTAACAACTCCCTCCCCTGATAGATACCATCATGGCTCGCATGTATAACCAGACCGGGAACCTGTACCAGGGTGTGTTCGACTGCCTGTTCAAGACTATCCGCACCGAAGGGCTGTTTGCCATCTACAAGGGCTTCTTCGCTCACCTGGCGCGTATTCTCCCTCATACTGTAAGTGTGGAGATTACCCTCTTGTCTTCTGGATTGAATAGACACTGACCCCCTCTAGATCTTGACTCTTAGTCTGGCGGAGCAGACGAATAAGTTGATGCGTCGCGTTGAGGATCGGGTGCTGTCTGACTCTTTCCGAGAGAAACTCTAGAGCATAGACGTGATTTGATGGGTTTTCACAACATGTTATTTGCATGCCATGGCTGGCTGTGGGTGCGCAGGTCTGAGAATCGGGTCTCCTGGAGCGTTGAGGATAAAAGGCGTTTCCCAGGGTTTCCCCTATTCTGTGAATAGAGGTGTTAATATGATTTTTGGCCTATACATGTCTTGTTTCTCTTTTCTACTAGACCATGCGCTCAAAACGCGAGAGGAACGCGAGAGCACGTGTTGGATGCAAGGCGAAGCAACTATGTGGGGGTTAGTTTGGCTGGCGGGTGGAGACGCGATGGCAAGGAGATGCCAGAGGTACATACCGGGAGATCTCGAGATGTATCCAGAGTATATAAGAGTGGTTTTATATAGACAGAGATAGTTAAAAAACAATAACAGAGAGAAAAAAAAAAAGAGTTCTTTGAGTACGCGAACATACAAACACGGAGCTTTGGCCTCGACCAGCCACACCTCCCTTGACGCGTGAGAGACTCCACTCCGCAGGCCTTCTCGATGGAATAAAGGCTCCTTCATTCCTTCTGGAGCTTCGATCTCGACAATCAAGAGGACATGGAACATGTTACGGAAGATGTTCCTCTGAACAAAACCTTGAAAACCCACTTGGAATGGAGGAGCTGGTGCTGGGTTACAAATGCTGACCGAGCACGCCTTGACCAGCGTGATGTCGCCAATAATATCCGTAATTCCGGCTTGTTTTATGAGTCGCGTCGTGCCAAGCGCGTCTTTTTTTATTGATCTCTTTTTTTTCCATTGATCGGGTTATCTGATCGTGGCCAGCCCACCGGTGGAGCCCGTTACGTCTCGACTTGAAAAATTAGGGGGCCGGTACAGACGCGCGATGAATGTTTTTCTGGACTGTTCGACCAGAGTCCCCAAGCGTGTTCATGTCCAGAGATGGGTGGATTGATCCTCGATCCTCCCTGGGAGATAAGATGGGAATCTCCCGGGAATGGAGCGTACCATGGACCGGTATCCCTAGAAATCATGTAGCTGCAGTAACTGCAGTAAATAGCCCAGGCGAGGGGCTACGAGAATGAGCACGGCCCTAGATCGACCTCGCGTCGGATGTTGGAATTCCGGTGGCATGAGGGACGCAGTTCTGGAGACGGTGGAGGCAGACGCGCACAGAAGGCGCGCGATCACGTGAGGCGTGACTTAGCCCGTCGCGCTAGAGAGAATCACGCTTGGGTACTTAAATCGATTCTTTCGCCCGCGTCCAGCTTCGTTTCCTTCCCCATTCCCACCCGACTTGCCTTTCTCTCTTGTGTTTTATCGTGTCTGTTCTGCACAAGCATTGTTTAATCCTCTTGTCCTCAGACACTTGTCCCAATGGCCACCCAAATCACTCCCTCGAAGCAGGTACGTGATGTCACGACTGTCGCCTCTCGCGCCAGACGCGTCGCGAGCATCAGTCCAGCTAACTTGTATGTCTTGACAGACTGCTTCCTCACTCGAGAACCTCAAGATGAGTGATTCACCCGTCAAGAAGCTCGACTTCGAGTCGGGTAAGGAGAACGCGCCCGCGTCGCTCAAGTCTGTCGACGCGCCTGTCGAGAAACCCACCGAGAAGTCCGTCGAGGCCCCCAAGGTTGCTCCTGGCATCAAGGAGCTGGAGGCCACCGAGCCCCTCCTGCAGGAGAACCCCCACCGCTTCGTGCTTTTCCCCATCAAGTACCACGAGGTCAGTGTCACGTCGCCGACGCGTCCACGCGTAAAGTGGTTCGGACGTCGAGCATCCCTCACCACCCCACTCCAATAGACATGAAGTTGACTGTTGTGTTGTTATAGATCTGGCACATGTACAAGAAGGCTGAAGCCTCTTTCTGGACCGCGGAAGAGATCGATCTGTCCAAGGATCTGCACGACTGGCACAACCGCCTGAACGATGACGAGCGGTTCTTCATCTCGCACGTTCTCGCGTTCTTTGCCGCGTCCGACGGTATCGTCAACGAGAACCTGGTCGAGCGTTTCAGTGGAGAGGTCCAGGCCCCTGAAGCTCGCTGCTTCTACGGCTTCCAGATCATGATGGAGAACATCCACTCCGAGACATACTCGCTGTTGATCGACACCTATATCAAGGAGCCCAAGCAGCGCACCTACCTGTTTGATGCCATTGACACCAGTATGTATCCCTTGCTTCCATCAAGACATGTTCCCAAGTGCTGACCTGTTTCTAGTCCCCTGCATTGCCAAGAAGGCCGAGTGGGCCATCCGCTGGATCCAGGACCGTGAGTCGACTTTCGCTCAGCGCCTGGTCGCCTTCGCTGCGGTCGAGGGTATCTTCTTCTCGGGCTCGTTCGCCTCGATCTTCTGGCTGAAGAAGCGTGGCCTGATGCCCGGTCTCACCTTCTCCAACGAGCTGATCTCGCGTGACGAGGGTCTGCACACCGACTTTGCCTGTTTGCTGTTCTCGCACCTGAACCACCGCCCCAGCAAGCAAGTCGTTGAGAACATCATTGTCGAGGCAGTGGGCATTGAGCAGGAGTTCCTGACGGATGCCCTGCCCGTGGCCCTCCTGGGCATGAATTCCAAGCTGATGTGCCAATACATTGAGTTTGTTGCCGACCGCCTTCTGGTGTCTCTTGGCAACAAGAAGTACTACAACTCGGCCAATCCCTTCGACTTCATGGAGTCGATCTCGCTGGCGGGCAAGACCAACTTCTTCGAGAAGCGCGTCGGTGACTACCAGAAGGCCGGTGTCATGGCTAGCACCAAGAAGGAGGCCAACCCCGAGGGCGAGCAGACCTCCAACAACGACAGCGGCCTCAACTTTGATGAGGACTTCTAAGCGTTATCATCTCCACTCCCCTCCCCCCTCTCCCCTTTTGTTTTATACCCCGGTCGACCGGCTTGCCCTACGACCTCCTTTCATATGATATCACGCTGCTTTCTCCCCTTTTCTGCTTTTATTGATTGACGGATTTTGTTTGAGGCTACGCATGGGCATGGCGTTTCGTTTGTTTCTTTCTTTTCTTGTCTGTCCAAGACTTCTTCGATGTCTGATATGGGATGGATGGTGGATATGTGTATCTAGATTCAATTGATTTGTATGTTTGTATGTTTGGAACTGGTAGAAGCTGATAGTATGTATTTATAGTATGGATTGGGTTGTCATGATCTTCATGTCCTCGCAAGACTATCTCGATGAGATTACCCAAGTAAGGATGGCATCTCATACTTAAATTGAAGTTGATTCCAACCGACAACTTCATAAGCAATAAACACACCCCTCATCGCTTCCCCTTCCCACCCTTTTTCTTCCCCTTCCCGCCCGCATTCTTCCCACTTCCACCCGGCGCCCCTGCACCAGCTCCAGCTCCAGCAGCAGCAGCAGCACCGTCTTCGGCCGGCGCATCCACCATCTCAACATCCCCCATTCCACCCCCGGTCCCACCAGTCGCCGCGACCCCCAAACTCGCCACGTCCGCCCCGCCAGCCAGCTTCCCCAGCCCCGTAATCAGCCGACCAACCTCGGCGCCCTTGTTCGTGCGGTACTTGAGACAGATGCCCGCGGTCGGGTTGAAGGTTTTGAGAGTGAGGGCGGCGACGGGGGCGGTGGTGGGTGCCGGTGTTGTTGATGTTGCGTCTGCTGTGTTGGATGTGTTGGTGGTGGAGGAGGGTTGAGGCTTTTTTTGGTGGGGGAAGCTGTATTTTGTGGTGATGCGGGTCTAAATCTTAGTTAGCATATATATATATATATATATATAGTGTATGTATATTCTCTCTTTCTGGGGCAGTTGCATTGCATTGGAGAGCCCTGGAGAGGAAGAGGAATCAATCATACCGTCTCGGGATACGCCTCCAGTAACAGTGCCGACTGTTCCAGGAAGGCCTGGGAGGTCGGGAGATATGGCATCTTGATTAATTGATGATGTGTGTAGTTGCCTGTTTCGCTCTTCGCTCTGTGTATCTTTTTGCAATTTCCTCGTTTTTGAAGGTCCGGGTCGAGTGTGGGATGCGGAAGTAAGATCGGAAGGTGAATTGCGCGGAGATCACGGATTCCCGGTTTCTAGTATAGTTCCAGGGTGTAATAAAGAAGAGTAATGGAATCTTTCAAGTAATTGAAGTAGCCTGATACACAATTGGGGGGGGGGGAAGCTGGAAAGAGAGAGAGAGTCGGGCGAAATGAGTCTGGGGGTGGACGTGGGAATCTGCTGGGCTTTTCTGCGTGTCTTGGCGGTCGACACCACTTACTGTAGAAGTATGAGCTGCTCCATATTTATGGAATGAATGGATTTAAACAAAAGTATTTCGAGAAACATTCAAGGGACACTCTAATTATATCCCCTTATTTAACACAATTGCTGGTCTATCTACTGGTCGGGCCTGTCATTCTCATATCCCCATTGCCTTCATAGTATACACGCCAGCTAGAAGAAGCTGGCCAAAATAACTGCATCTCAATATGGTCACAAAGAACAAAACGAAAAATAAGTCCATCCAAATGCCGTATATCCAGAAATGAAAAATATCAACACCTTCCCAACCATGCAACTATACAGGGCTGCTGGATGTCCAAAAGAAACGCCCTTCCACCCCCAAGGTGAAGACCCAAGTCACAAAAACGATCAGTCCGTAATCACATCGCATAAACATAAACGGCATAGGGAACAAAAAGAAAGAGAAAAAGAAATGTCAAGAAACAGGCCGGTGACATTGAGCGCAGATCAGTTTCTGCTTCCCATCTCGGCCCTTGACACCCCGGAAACTGGAGCCGCCGCAGTGATCACACTTGAGGACATCCCCATCGCCCTCGCCCGTTGATGAACCATAGTCACTGCTCAAGACACTGCCGGTGGTGCTCAGCTTGCGCTCCCCAGACGGTATCCGGTCCGGGCTGAGAAGATTGGTCTGTTTCCGGGATTGTGCTGCCAGGGCATCATGCGTGATCTTGTTCCAGTATGCGTAGCTGTGATCGCCCTGGAGCCATAGCGGGTTGTCTTTACCTTTGCCGCTGGCCACAATATCCGCCGAGGACGGGGGAAGACGACGGGGGTCGGGTGGCGCCGCACCTGGTCCATAGCCGTTCTGCGGACCATGGCTGCTCTGCGCACCTGTTTCCTCGCTCGTTGGCCCACTGTTAATGCGAGCTCTGCGCGGAGACGGTGGCGGCGAGGTGAAAGTAGAGAGGGACTCGTTGGGACCCATGCTTGAGGGCCGGGATGAGGACAGGCGCAGGGTGGCCGGCCGGTGCGGAGACGGGCTGCGCGTGCGGAGGCCAGACCGCGAGCCCTCGGTGCTGGAGCGGCCGTGGCGGATGACAGAGTTTCGCCAGGATATGATGCGCTCCGACGGAGTCTTGTGCGCCGACTCCTTGCCGATCGAGGATGCGATGCTGTGGCGTGCCGAGTTGGAGCGCCGCAGGATCCGCCGCGAGATGGTCGAGTTGGCGTTCCAGTTCTCGTACCGGCGCTTGTGGTACGCACAGTCCTGACGCAGCACCTTGATCTTCCCTGAGTAATCGGCGATGACGATGATATTCCCGTCTGGGTGCCGCGACCGCGATAGGTACGACGGGGATTCGTGTGCCATCTTTCTGACGATCGACAAGCGCGGTGCGGACACCGAGCGTTGGTGGCTCCCATTCTCTTTGGTCGGCGTCGCCTGTTTGGAGATCTCTGCCGACTGTTCCGGGCTCATCAGGGCCACGGGAGGCGGGTTGCAGATGTCATAGATCGGGTCTTCGGACAGCCCTAAAGCCTCCTTCGTTTTGGTCGGCGCCGAGATTGCGGCCGTCACCATGGCGGACTGCGTTTCGAATACTTCGACAGCTCGTTTGTCGGCATCGCGCTCCACGGGGCCAATTGGCCACACATAGGCCCTGCGGTCCTCACTCCCACAAATTACATGCTTCCCATCGTCCATAAAAGAGGCCCGGATTTGACTGCAGGTGTTCTCGTTGCCGCGGAATTTGGCTTCGAGAACTCGCTCTTGGAAATCGTAAAGGCGGACGCGAGAATCGTTGCTGGTAACTAGCAATTTGATATCGCCGTTGGGATCGTCTGGGGGGGTTGTCATCGTGTCAATGCCCGTGACTTTACTACCTTTAGCTTTGCGGCCACGGGCCGATCGAACGTGGATCTGAGATGATACTTTCAGGCCCTCGGTGTCATAGATTGTGAGAAGACCATTGAGACACCCAGCAATCGAATATCGCCCATCCGGCGTAAATGCCACCGCTGTGATCATGTCGGGCGCGGCGGTCACAAAGGCCACACTCTTATCCGGGATGCTCCACAGACGCAACTTGGTGTCAAGAGACCCGGCAAGGAAGAATCGGTCGTCACGAGGGTGGAACTGGATCGAGGTGACGAAGTCGCTGTGCTGAAAGCAGCACAGACATTCAGGCCGACTCACATGCCACAGCCGCACGGTCTTGTCCATTGACGACGAAAGGATGAAGTTATTCTGCTCCACAAATCAGCTTGGCCTTGTCTGCCCCCGATGACCATATGCTTACCTTGCTCCAACTCAAATCCAGGATGCTCCCCCTGTGTCCTTCAAAGCCTTGATACGGCTTGGCGTGGAACACGGGGGCCTTGAATCGGGGAGAATCCTGTTCATCGGTGGGGGGTTCGTCTTCTTCTTGAGTCGCCGCCTCTCGCTCCTCGGGGGAGGTAATGACTGCCCACACGCGGACTTTTCGGTCCTGGCCCGCAGCCGCCAGATATTTACCGTCCTTGGAAAACACGAGGGCCCAAATTGCTCTCCCCGTATCTTCTCCATTTCGCGCTGCAGCGGAGGACGCCGAAAGCCGCTTCTCGGTGACGCTGGACTTAGAACCCGCGCCTTCGAGCTCTTGAGCAAGAAAGACGCGGTTGAAGTTCTTGTCCTTCTTGTAGTGTGTCCGAACCCTCAGGTACTTGGACGGGGCAGGATGTCGGGGGATGAATCCAATTGGATGCGAAGTATCGACAGACATGCGGGCATCGGGCTCCGAGCCCTCCTCTTCCGCTTCAGAAAGCGGCTCTTTCTTCCTAGACCCGATGATCCGACTCAAGAAAGAGACCCCTTTTCTAAGATGAGTCAGTCGTTTTGCGATAGAGTTGCCGCAAGAATCTGGAATAGCCAGAGAAGCCAGAGACGAGTCGCAGAGGTAGAGAGGATCACGTAGATGCACAGTCAAGGATGTAGGAACCACCAAGTGATCGAACACAACTTGACATCCACCGAAGGGACATGTACTCACTTCTTTTCCTTGGGAGATTTGGGGCTTGGAACTGTCTCTCCCCGGGCAACACCCGGCTCCGATGGGCTGAACTCTGGGCCCCCGGCCTCCGCTTCGTATGACGCTCTGCCTAGCAGTTTCAGGGGAATCGACTTTTGGGTATTCGTGCGCTGGATGATGTGCTACAATGACACGCGCGGTCCTTGGGTCAGCCCAGCGTCACCACATTGCTATGATTTTCTCTGGTTTGTTCATTTCGAGCGCACAGAGCATATTCCTCTGCCCAGAAAGATAGAAAACCGCGCAAAAATAATCCCCCACTCACTTGTGACAACGGGTCTATGGCGCTTGCTTCGGTCTGGGTCTCGTGCAGAGTCTGCGAGGTCGAGTTTCTGGCGAGAGGGCTACCAGCCAGCCGACGAGACGTGTGCTGTGCATCATGCTGACTATTACTCGACCCCGACGCGACGTCCGAAGTGGCCGAGCCTGGTCCAGTCAGCGTGGTCGCGCGCAACCAGGTGCATATCATTTCAGCCCATCGATGCTGGCTCTGATACGTCCAGAATCCGCCACTCCTGAGGCTTGGGCTTCATTTTCCGAAATTCACCAGAGCATTTCCAAGACGACTGGGTAAGATTGAAATTCCAACCTACCAGGAAAGGTCTGTGAGGCCCGGACTGTGGGCTTCAGGTCCCCCGTTATCGCGGGGGGCGATACTGCGCGAGGCTGGTCCTCATTACCCACCATATCGACTTTGGACCCAGTCGCATGGGGGATATGGGAGGAAATAAATTGAGAGGGTGAGAGAAGATGAAGAGGAAAAAAAAGAAGAGGGGGAAGAAATTACAATTGGGCGCAGGAATAAAGGCAAAGGAAAAGCCGAAGTAAGCGGCAAAGGCCGGATGGATGACATCAAATAGCCAGTGGAGCCGAGAATCAACCGTTTCATGTTTTGCTAGATTATAGCTATTGCTATCATTTCTACATGCGCGAGGGCTGCAATTTTCGAGCGCGGTCCTTGGCGATATCACACATGGCCTGGTGAAAGTCAGTGGGGCGTCTCTGTATAGTCCAGGGTGAGTCGCACCTGGATGGTTTCTGTAACTTCGCGATCCGCATCTCCTCGCTCAATGCGCTGGCGCATCTCCACCATGATCACGTCTCGACTGCGGCCATTGACAAATGTGCTATCGCTCGCATTAATTCCCATGGCCCCTAAAACCAATTCCTTGGATCAACCTACACAAAGCGCAGACCCGGGAACTTTGCCTCATACTCTGCATTTAATTCCCGGAGTTTCTCCGCCTGTTCCTCGGCGCCGGTCTGTAATTGCGCCTGTTCCTTCTTGCTCAACTCGCTGAGATGCTCTGGGTTGGCTGGGGCCCGGCCGAGTCGAGGATGCGATCCCAGAATCCCCACGAGGACATCGCGATCTGTGGGGGAGTTGGCGGCGCAGAGGGCAGACATCCGACCGCCGACAGCATCGACCAGCGAAGTGTACGAGGAGAAGGACTGGTTGGCCAACACGGGGATCATCAATCGGTGCAGCTCGGGCGACGGCTCAAAAAGCGTATCGAGGACCCGCAGCTGGGCATCCTGCGACAGTGACGGGAGGGTCGAGGGTGGGGGGAGATCGGCCATGGGAATTTGGAGTTTCAGGTTTCTTTGGAGACAAGAAATAACTGCTGGGGGGGGGCAGCTGGTCTATATAAATCTCCCGCCTTCGGGGGGCCTCCGAGTCGGCGACCTGCGTTATTCTTTGGTTGTTTATTATATTTATTATTTTATGTCATGTAGACCCAACTGTGATCTACAATCCTTATTGCTTCATATTCATGAATCCTGCTGGGTATCCCCCCCCGATCACCTCTCCGCTCTGAATAAGAATCTCAAACCAGCACGAAAGCCGAGCGTTTCAGAATCTCCACTTAAATTGGGATAAACCAGGTGGAGCAGCCCCTGAAAGGAGGTTCGGCTCCAATTCTCTGCCAAAGCGCAGAACCACCTTGATTGGGCATCTCTCGATCGCGAGATCTCATTCTCTCTCCGCGGCCGAGACCGTGCTTTCTTTTTCCCTTCCCTTCTCTTCTCTTCTACACACTCTTTTTTTTCCCTCCCTTTTTGTCGGCTCTGAGCCTTCGGCCGTTCTCCATGTGGTGCGCGCCATGTCTCTTAATGGGCTAGAGAATCCCGCCATCGTCGATGCCTACCAGAGTGCCCTTGCTGACGCCGGTGGATGGTGAGTGCCCATCAGAATCTCTCCCATATCTGAATGCAAAATCTTTTAACGTACCACTTTCAACATCAGGTTTCTTCTGCACTATGTCTCAAGAGATGAGGTAGCCCTGCTCAATCGAGGCACCGGCGGGGTGCCCGAGGTCCGCAATGCCCTGGACCAATATCAGGAGACGTCGCCGCTCTATGGCTTCCTGCAGTACCGGCGGAGGAAGGTGATCATCCGGTATATGCCCGAGGGGTTGTCGCGGCTCATCCAAGGTATGAAAATTGGCTGGAGAGGGTTTGTCTGGAAAAAGTTCCCGCTGATCTGGTTCACCCCTGTCGCAGCCCGAAGCAATGTTCAGTTTCAGTCGGTCCTAGACAAGTTTACCCCCAACGACACCGTGCTTCCCCTGTCGCAGGCATCGGATCTCACAGAAAGCGCCTTGTCGTCCGCATGTCTGCTGCACACCGCTTCAACCTCGATCACTTCTTCGTCGAGCTCTCTCCGCCGCCGCCGGCTGATGGAAATCACGGAAGATGCAGAGGAAAATGGCCCGAAAGATACTACGCAGGAACCGACGCCCCCAAGTACCGATCCCCGACCGAGAGCAGGGAGTCAAATGTCCGAGGCCACCGTTGTACCCCCGCCTGCGGTGCCACTAACCACGTCGCCATCCGATGAAAAGACCTCGCCCGATCTGAGACCACCGCCATCGCGAAGCAGTTCCCGAGCAGCATCCCGAGAAAGATCCAGTGAATCACACTCGCCCGCCGTGTCTCCCAAGTCGACTGATTCCAGCTCCGAACGCCTTCAGTACAGGAATATCTTGGATGAATTCCCGCGCCCATCGGACGAGGTTCGGATGTCAACCCAATCTGCCCGGCCCTCGATGCGGGACCTGGAACGAGCATCGACGTTCACTCCCAAGGTCAAACTGGGGCCGCGCCCGTCGGTGGATAACAGCGGACGGCCTCGCACGTCGGGCACCTCCCGGAACCCGGAGCAGCGGCCCGTCGCTTCGCTTCCTGCTAACATGCGCTCATCTTCGCTGCGGAAACCTAATGTCGACGTTCCTCGCCCCCGATCGCAAGGAAGTTCGTTTGCGACAAAACCCAGTAGTCGGGCCCCGCCCATTCCCCCGCTCCTGGTTCCCCCTCCGTCAATTCCTATCGCCAGGCCTCAGTTATCTCCAGGTGCCAAGTCCCTGGGTGCGCTGTCGACCTCTTCCGGGTTGACTCCGGAGAAGGAACGGTTGATGAAGGCGTTGCAACAGAGGAAAAAGAACATGGCGAAGCGGGCCGAGGAGACAAAAAGGAAGCAAAGCATTGCCGAAGAGCCCGCAGCAGAGAAAGATCTCTCCAACAACCAGGAGAACATGGAGAACATGAAATCGGCTCCCGAGTTCGAAGATAGCGGGCCAGAAAATCAGCGACCACCGCCGCAGGAACGGCAACCCGAAGCACATACAGAGCCGTCGCCTTCGGCCCCCGAGCCCATGGTCGACCCCCAGCCTCCTGCTCAACCAGAAAAGGAGCCAAGTCCGGAACCCCTCGAGCCATTCTCGGCGGTTGAGCCTATTGTTGACACCCAACCCGATGCCGAACCTGAAAAAGAGCAAAGCCCTGAACCCCTCGAGGCATCGGCATCGTCGGTGACGGAGCCCGTTGTTGCTACACAAACCGAACAAGAACAGGATCTTGAAGCCCTCGAGCCCTCACAGGCAAAGGATTCTGTTCTCGCCCAACCTGCCGCTCAGCCCCAGAAAGGACAGAGACCCGAGCCTCTCGAGGCCTCAAAACCAGAACCGAGAGGCGAGGTGACTGTGTCGGATTCCGAAGGCGGGCCTTCGTCTCATACCTCCGGCCCTAGTGGTGATACTACCTTTTCCGCTGATCGTGGAATTGATATTTCCTCCGAAGGGATTCAGTCCGAGACACCGCAGACTGTCCTCGAGGATGAAACGCCCGCCGAATACGGGGACTCCACAGCCCCCGTCCAGAGCGAGAGTAAGGACAGCCCCGACCCAGCTAGCGCCGACGTCGATGTGGCATTTGAAAACGAGTCCTCCGAAACCACAAACCCAGAGTCAGAGCATGTTTCCCCTTCGCAGCAGCCAGAAATTCCATCAGTTGAAGAATTGGAACCCCCTTCTGTGATAAGTGCAGCAGAGGATGTTCCCGAGTCCAGTCCCCTTCCCGTCACCCCATCTCCTCCTACCCCTCCGGTGATCTCCGAAGCCGAACCCTCGGCTGCGCCCGTTTCAGTTTCAGTCGACCCTAGTTCCCTAGACGAGCCCGAGGAATCTCCCGTCGAGAACCCTGGGCCTGCTCCTTTGGACCAGAGGCGCAGGGTCCACCTGGAGCCAATTCAGGTCCCTACCCCAGAATACTCAGATGACGACCATCTCCTCTCGGACGATTCGTTCATGGAAGAGCTGAAGTCGGCTACAGTTCAGGAGGCCAGGCCCGTATCGGTCAAATCTCCCGGCGGCGGTGATAATTCCTTGACGAGCTCCCGTGCAGTTTCGAGCCCGCACTCTCTTCGATCCCCGACCGCCGTGCAATCGCTTGCGGTGGGCAGATCCGCTTCTAGCACCTACCCTGACAATGGCCCCCCGACCCCGGTCCTCATGGCCAAGAAGATCAATGTCTCTTCTGGCATTTCTAGCCGCATCAAAGCTCTGGAGAAGTTCTCGAGCCGCGAAGGCACCCCTTCAAACTCGAGCCAGACCGTAACCGGGCCATCTGCCTCCTCGTCTGTTGAAAGTCTTCGGAAACGCGCATCGATTTCATTGCCCGGGGAGAACCAGGAAAACACCCCGCCTTCTGGTCGACCGACGTCCTTTGTGTCCGACAGCTTTTCTCGTGCCCCAAGCTTGAATCACCATGATTCGCGGCCAACACCTCCCCAGACGCGCCGCACCAACTCAATTTCCGTGACGGCTCGCATCGTGCGCGATTCGAACGTCTCCCCGGGGTCCTCTGGAGTCGAACCCTCCGAGTCCGATGTTCTCAACCTTCAGGCCAGTCCGCTCACCGTGGAGCATGATACTAATGAGGGGCCACCGACCAACACCTCAACCGTTGAGCCCACCAACCACTCCGAGCATCGAAGCATGTCGATCTCGTCTGCCGGATCTAGTCGTCAGACAGCGCCAGTATCTCGCACGGGTAGCCGGCTTTCCTTCTCCTCGCGCACCAGACCTGACGAGAGCCCCCAACCCACTTCGCCCAGCTCTGAGGACAAGAAAGGGTCTCGGGCCTCCCGCCTCATGCGGCGCATGTCATCGATCACGTCCACCTCACGCCGCAGCATCATCGGAGCTTTGAGCTCGCCAGTGCAAGAGGAAGACTCCACCTCAGCATTGAGAAAGGATTCGGTCACTTCCCCAGCATCGCCTCCCTCGCGGGCTGCGAAGCCCATTGACATTGGTGAAGTCAACGTCCAGTTCCCCGAAACCCTCCTCTGGAAGCGCCGGTTCATGCGCATTGACGAGAACGGGTACTTGATTCTTGCGCCCGGCACCAATGACTCCAGCGCCCGCAATATGATAAAACGCTACCATCTCACCGAGTTCCGAACTCCTTGTCTTCCCGACGAGGACATGCAGGAATTGCCGAACAGCATTCTGCTTGACTTCTTGGATGGGAGTACCCTCCAATGTGCCTGTGAATCGCGGCAGGGACAAGCGTCTGCCCTTCAGAGTAAGCTACCTTTTATTTCCCCTTGTTACTATAGTATTGTCCATGCTAATCCGAGCTATAGCTCTCATTGATGCCCACACCTCGCACCAACAATAGCCGCCCTCCTTTTTTGTCTCTCGGCGCGCGGGAACCGGATTCCCTCCATCCATCGAGTCTATCAATCTATTAGCTTGAGCTGCCTTCATTGCATATTCTTTTCCATTTCATCCATGGCACATATTTTTTTTTTCCTTTTCCTGTCTATCTTGCCCTCCCGGGTGTCGACTTGACCAAGTCTGCTCTGAACTCCTGGGCCTTACTACCTTTTTTTTTTTTTTTCCCTATCTTCCATTCTACCATTGTCCCCTCTGGATCCTTGTATTCCTATCTCTATCTCACTCCCTCTATCTTGTTTTCTTTTTTTTTTCATCTCTCTTCATCTCTCTCAGTGTCGATATGTGTGTGATATATGTGACATGTTCCGTGGTATACCCCTCCCACCCAGTCTCAAAAACAAAATCTATCTACTCTCTTTTTCCCTTGCTTCCTTCCTTACATTCTGCAATTCCAGTGTACAGAGCGAAGATGCAAACCCCATACTGGGAGGATCTTGTCTTACATGCACATAACACATTTCACATCTCATCGGGGAGGCTCTGCGTCTTTTTCTTGGTCTGCTATGTTTTCAGTCAAGCTAAAAGAGAAATCATGATAGATGTTTTTTTTCCGTGTCTCTAATGAACGGATTACTTTCGCCAATCCAGATACACTTTGTTTCTGAACTTGCCTGTACATACATTCATTTCATCTTATGAAACATGTGGAGCTGTGCATTTCAACTCCGAAGATAAGGTTAGTTTCCTTCGTCTACATATCTACTTGCGTGATATAGTCACTAGTGAGTAGACGGTGCATAGCTTCATATATGTATACACCGCCGTTAAGTGGCCTTGTGAGCCACTTATCTCTCTAGCAAGTGTTCTAATTGGAAATGTCTTCTATCCAAATCCATGTGGGTAGTGGGAAACACAGAGTATCTTGAGAGAGATTGCTAGGAAAGAAAGAAGAAAGCAAGCAAGCAAAGCATCCCTAGAGCGGGAAATTGATCTTTTGCTGCAGATATTGGTACCGCTCCTATCTAGCAAGAAAAACTCTACCGAAAAACGCCATCCCCTGCTGTGTCGCCAACGCCTTTCTACCGAGAATCATCAAGGAGTCCTTGATATGCTATGTGAGGGAAATTGAGAGAGGGGTCTGTAAGAACGAGAGAGAAAAAGGAAAGAAGAAGAAAAAGCTCGGACAGCGGTTTCTTCGAAACTGGATGGTGTGAAAACATATCTGGGAGAGGAAGCGCAGGGTAAGTTAAGTCGTCAGGGTTTCGAGGGAGCAATGTTGGCAGTGCAGGATAATCGTCAAGTCCATATACTTCATGATCATTAAGAGGGTGCTCGAGAGAATGTATCACGCCTTGTCGCCAGTCCCAGTGACCGGCGATTGTATTTTCTCTGCCAACCGCTGCCTGATGGGCGTCAAGGCTGACTTGTCATCGAAGGAGATGTCGGGGTGGTCTGTTGCCCCGTTTCCATTCTTTGCAGCATGAAGCTCGGGAAATGCCGTGCGCATTTGTTGATAGTGTTGAGACACCAGATACTGCATCAGGTTGCTCACGGGAAGGGTGGAGTGCATGCGCCTTTCGGACTCGACCAGCTCAACCCGCATCTGTGTCTCCCAGTCATGCTCCAGGGCATGTTCCTCAATCAGTGTCTGCCGCTGCTTCCCATCGCTCAGGACTATGACCTTTGTGCAGCCAGGCATGCGACATGTCCAGGGACCCGACAAGGAATTGGAGTCTTCGGTATGCATGGGTTCGATATCTGATACATCGTGATTCGTACTTATATCGGATACATCGTGATTCGTACTGGAAAGTGCTGGGGTCTGTGTCTGCAAAGTCTCTTGGAGCAGATTCTTCATTAGTGAAGAGGGTTCGGAGTCAGGAAGGATTGAGCTGGCGGGAGGCTTTGCAGATGAGAACGGGTCTCGGATCAGCTCATGGCCTCTGGTCTTGCTGGGAGTGTCGAGATCCTCGACTGCGTCTTGGATGTCCTCGTCATCATCATCATCGTCATCTTTCTCGGATTCCTCCATTTTCTGATTGACAACGGTATTGCGGTGTCGTTTCCCCATTACTTTGCTAGACTTCGAGGTTGTTTTAGGCCGGAGGACAGAGGTTTGGACGCGACCCAGGTTTTCGTCATCGCTAGAATCGTCTATGGGGTGCAACGGGGTCAGGAGTGCAGGTGGTAGATGTGTGTATTTGGAAGTGGCATGAGTGAGCTCTCGGTGGATGACATAGCGAGACCATCGGAAATTATCTTCGGCGTCCATCATTTCGACCACTGCACTTGCTCGGGCAGCGATGATCTTCCGCGCATCCTCGTTGCTGAAGGAATGCCGGCTAGACAGGCGCTCTGTCAGAAGATCCAGGTGCAGGAGGCGTTTCGCCAGGTAACCCTCTTCTCGTAAGTCTTTAATCAGCTGGTAGATAGCATCGGCTTGCGATTTCGCAACCGCAGCCGGTTCATGCCGCGGAGTTGATGCCTCGAGCTGATCTCTGGTCTCTGTCTCCTCGGGCTCGGGCGAAGCCTGAGCCATAATGCGCTGGTATTCCTCCTAAGTCACATAATCAGCATGGTTAGAGTCAACACACCACTGGATATCAAGCTGCTCACGCTAAACTGGCGGCGGAGATGGACGAAGACGTTTGTTTTCTTCCATTCGATGTCTTCCTCGCCTTTGATCATGCAGCGGAGTAGGAAGGATGCGTGTTCCGCGAATGCTTCAGCCGATTGTTCCCGCGTCTCGGACGACCCGTGCGAATGGTAGACATACTACTCAGGGTATTAGCGCGGCAAGTGGGCGACACCAAATGAGAAGGGGCTGACCTGTTCGCACAAGTTGCGGAAGGAGGGATTGAGCTGTTTCCTGCCCTGCTGGTGTCTGTCGACCAGGAAATACAGCATGTCGATGGCCTGGACCATGCGAGTGAAGGTAGGCAGGTAACCCTTGGCTGGGGCGATGCGGTACCAGCCAGCCTTTCCAGCAACCCAGATCTCGACGCTGCTATCCTCAGTCTGGCCGTATGCATAGTGAGTCACGTCGTCAATGATCATGCGCCTGGAGACGTTGTCGGGGTCGAGCACTGGTTAGAACGCGCGTGTAAGCAAACGAATAGTGGTCTTTGGGGGGGAGCGTTTTTTTGATACACACCTAGATGCTCCTGCTCCTTCCTGAGCTGCTCCAGGCAGCCAATAACCTGCACTGGGTTCTGATCTGAAGCATCTAGCAAATTCGCGTACAGCATCTTGCCGGGCCGCAGGACCTTGACCTCGGACAGGTCGAACTCCCACCAATCATTCTCGTCGGTGAGCGAGGGATCGATGGGAGCCAGGACAGTTTCTTCGCGGGCGCTCATGTTGGACTCGGCATGATGTAAGGAAGAGAAAAAAAGACGCGCTTCAAGGCACCAGACAGACGAACGAGGACGTGGAATCTAGTCGGCGTCAGAGGTGTAAGTTACAGCGTGTAAGGGATTACCCCATAAATTACCGGCCGATCGTGGATTTTCTCCAACTTGTTCCGTCAAGCTCTCCCCCCCAAGTCTTTGCTCTCCATGGGATTTCCTCGCGGCTTCCGACTATTTCGCACCACTATGTCCGGCGAGAAGATCCTCGAGGGCGTCTTCGGTGAGTTTTATATGGTTTTTTAGTGGCCGGTGCGCAAATTGACCTCCCCGCCTCCAGCCGTCCACAAGCCGCAAGGCGTCACCTCCGCCGACGTGATCCGCACTCTCCAACACCACTTCAACCCGTCCAAGCTCTTCAGGCCATGGCTTGAGGAAGAGCGCGCCCGTCGCGACCGGGAGAACGCCAACCAACGCAAGCGCCGCCGCTCGAAACGGGTCGAGGTCAAGATCGGTCACGGCGGAACACTAGACCCGCTGGCGACAGGCGTGCTCATCGCGGGCGTGGGCAAGGGTACCAAGTCTCTCAATGGCTTTCTAGGATGCACCAAAAGCTACGAGACCGTCGTGCTTTTCGGCGCCGAGACCGACACCTACGACCGGCTAGGGAAAATCGTGCGCCGCGGCCCGTCCGAACACATCACACGCGAAGCCGTGGAGAAGGCGCTGGATCAATTCCGCGGGAAGATCATGCAGCGGCCACCGATCTTCTCGGCGCTGCGCATCGATGGGAAAAGACTCTACGAATATGCGCGCGAGGGCAAGATGCCGCCGGTTGAGATCCAGAGCCGGCCTGTGGAGGTACTAAACCTGGATGTCGTGGAGTGGTATGAGCCTGGCTCGCATGACTATAAGTGGCCCGAAGAGGAAATGGCCGGCGAAGAGAAGAAGGTCGCCGAGAAACTCCTCGACAAAGACGCTGAATTGCCCATTGCCCCGTCGGCGGACGCCGACGCCGACGCGCCCTCAAGTGCCAAACGAAAGTCGCCGCCTCCCACAGAAGAATCTCAAAAAGACACCACCGAGACTGCCAAAAAGCAAAAGGTATCCGAGACCGAAGCTGCCCAACCAGCTTCGTCTGAACCTAGTGCCCCCGAATCGGCAAGCACGGACGCTCCTACAACCCAGACCGAGCAGCCGCATTCCCAACCCCCAGCCGTCAAGATTAAGATGACCGTCTCGTCGGGCTTCTATGTTCGCTCGCTGGCGCACGATCTTGGCAAAGCAGTCGGCAGCTGTGGTTTGATGAGTGAGCTAGTAAGAAGCCGCCAGGCAGAGTATGAGCTGGGGCCGGACAAGGTCCTGGAATATAAGGATCTGGAGGCCGGCGAAGAGGTCTGGGGCCCCAAGGTGCAGCAGTTCCTGGAAGAATGGGAGAAAAGGAGGGCCGTCAAGGCAGAGGCAGAGGCAGAAGCAGAAGCTCAGCAGTAGTGGCTGCGGAAATCAAAACATAATGTGGATTGTATATAGAGCCGAATACTTGTAGTAGCCACTGTAAATCGTTTTGTCTCACACAATAACAGTACCTACGCGTTTAACATGGCTACAGACCTACAAAACACCCGTGGACATTTCAGAGATCCCATTGGGAAAGCAAGAATAGAACCACACAATTGTTTTAGTTACCCAGACCCAAGCAGAAAAAAGAAATAGTTACAGGATGCACGGGAGAAAAATGCATTACAAGCCATCGAGTGCCATCATTACGCACGACCCTTTGCCCGCTTGCTCTTCCCCGGCCGCTTTGCTCCAGCCTTCATCTTTTTCGTCGAGAAGCCACGCAAGTCTCCGGTGGAGGCAGCATCGCCGCTCTTCGCGTGACGCTTCTTGCCTCCGAACCCGAACTTCTGGTCTCTCTTCTGGCGCTTGAGGTTGGGGGCGCCCTCGCCACCTGCGCGGCCGCGCTTGCGGCTGTCCGGCTTGCTGGCATCGTCGATGGCGACGTCGAACAGGTCATTGGCGTCGTCAGTGGGCGCAGAGGAGTCGGCCTTGCGCTCTGTCGGAGGATTAGCATTAGAGATCATAAAAACAAAACGAGAGACAAGAAAAAAAAGAAAGAAAAACATACTCTTCTTCAAGGTATTGATCTTCTCCAGCGTATCACGCTTCTCCTTCTGTCTCTGCTGCAGCTTGGCAACCTGCACCTGCTTCCCGAACTTCTTCAGGTCGCGCTGGCGGCGCGCCTCAGCCGAGGCCTTCTTGGACGCAGCCTCGTCGTACAGCTTCTTCTTGATCTTATCCATGTGCTCGTCATTCTTGACCATCTCGGCGAAGTAGTCCCCGGGCCGCGTGAATGGGATGCCATCCTTCTTCAGCAAGCCGCGCGCGCTGGCCGCGGCCGCCTGGCAGACCTTGTAGAAGGCCAGTTCGCGGTTGAGGTCATCGTTGGGATCCGGCACTTCGATTGGCTCCGAGGACACGATCGAGTTGTGCTCCGAGAACGGGGTCTGCGGGGTGATGAAGGAAATACGCTTGAGGGCGGAGGTGATGGCGGCGGAGTTATTGATGGTCAGACGTTGGTGCGGAACGACATCCTCTCGTTCGTCTTCCTCGAGGTCAGACAGTGGGATATCCTCTTCGTCTTCCTCATCATCTTCATCATCTTCGTCGTCATTGTCTTGAGCGGAATTGTCGTCTGCCTGCTCTTGCTCCTCATCCTCCTCATCGTCTGAGCTCACAGAATCCTTCTCCTTTTTGTCCGCGGCCTCTTTGCGCTCGTCGGCACGGGCATTCTTCTTCGTACCCTTCTTCTTCTCCGCGGTCTTCACCATCTTCTTCTGCTTCTCGGCGTCATAGTCTCGGCCCTTGTGGGCGTCGAGCGCCTGAAGCAGCTTGCTTCGCTTGACCATTGTATGATTTCTGTGAGGTCACCAAGCGGACTGAAGAAAAGCAGACGAAACAATGGAGAGGTGCAACTGGCTCCGCAGCATCAGAGAGCACGGGATTTTTTTGAATGGCCAGGCCCGATGGGGTTAGCGCAACCGATAAGCCAACGCTAGACCTAATGCGGTTAGATCATCGGGACTGAGATGATCCGATATCAACACCTGAGGCCCTCCGCATACGCTCCGACTTGTACATCGACAGATTCATGATTAGTACTTTACTGTCCTTCTTGTGCCATTAATTACTCCACCATGGCGGACTCCAAGTCGTCTGAAAAAGAAACTACATCCCCTGCGGGCGAGTCTCTCTTGTCGCAACCCGTGTGTCTCCTCCCTACTTTATATCCCGACACCCCACAAGAGTCCCCTCTCTGACCACGCCCCAGAACTCCGATCCCCAAGGCCAACTCACCGCGGCAGTCGACGAACTCCTCCACCAGCTCCAGAGCAAATTCGACAACGTCTCGCAAGAGATGTTCGGGAAGCGTATGTGCTATCTTACTTGTTTTGCCTTTTCGGGTTTGGATTGCAATTTCCCAGACACAGGACCACACGACTCTGACTGGATGGCTCTCTAGTGGACGACATGACCAGACGGCTCGACGAACTGGAGGCGTCGTTGACGACCTCGTCCAGCGACTCAGCCACGACGACACCAATGAAATAACTTGGCGAGGGGCCGACATAATCCGAGGTTAATGGTAGAACTGTTCTAGTTCTGGGGTAAACATGGCGTTTTCATTTTATGGGTCGGAGTCGTTAAGCACTGCGTTTGTTTGGTTTTATTCTACTCGGTTGGCTTGGTTTCGACCCAGGTCCTTCTGTCGAAGCTACCTTGAATTGTTTGTTTCGATGTGTTTCTGGAGATACCCTGCATTCAAGGCAATGGAAACTACCGTTTATATTGACACATGGATGTCATACTTAAATTTCCCTGCCATGATAGACAGAGAAACCCTCAAAAAGGATTCGTCTCATTTCTCGGTTCATACAACAATCCCGGCATCAAGCCGATATCTTGCAGGAAGATCAAACATATATCCTGAGCATGCGCGATATAACAAGGCAACCAACTCGACTTATGTCAATGTCCCTCGGAAGGAAAGCTCTCTCAAGGCACGCCACACATACACAATACAGAAGAACTGTTCGTAAAAAAAAAAACCCTTACAGCTCATCATGCTTCTCGCTCTCGTTGTCCTCGCCAGCGAAGCGACGCAGGATGTTACTGCGCGAGATCACATCATCCAACTTCTCGGGAGCAGAGTTACCCTTGGCAATGATCTTCTGCAGGCGGGCCAGCTCCTTGGTCACGTAGTCCTCGTTCTGGACCAGCTTGTCGGCAACCTTGACGTAGTACTGGGCGTACTTGGCCTGCAGGCCCTTGGCGGCCTTCTTGGCCTCGGCCGCCAGCGTGTCAAACTGGTGCACCGGCGCGTGCTCGGCAACGAGCTTGTCCAAGGTGGCCACGGTACCAGCCACGCTGTCGAGACCACCACCGGCGGCGCGGTGCGTGCCGGTCTTGGTGTTCAGGAACTCCACGAGGGCCTCCTCGGAGCGCCCGCCCGAGTAAACCTCGGGCTCGGTCGAGCCCTTGGGGATGAACTTAATGGTGGGGTAACCTGTGATGCCCTGCTCCTTGGCCAGGGCGCGCGAGTTCGGGGCTTCGGCGTCCACCTTGGCGATCACGACGTTGGGCTCGCGGGCGAAGTCAGTGGCCAGAGTTTCCCAGGTTGGGGCAAGGCTCTTGCAGTCTAAAATCAGGGGAAAAGCAAGTAGTTAGTGAAATGGGGCCAAAAAAAATAACAGATAAAAGAAAACGACTCGGAAGGCAAACTCACGTCCACACCATGGCGCAGTAAAAGCAACCAGCACATTCTTGTCACCACCAATGGTCTTGGGGAACGATGAGTCGTTCAGCATCTCCACATTGCTGGGCTCCTTCTTAGGGAGACGAGGACGGATCCCAGTCTTGTCAGTGATCCAGGCCGACAAGCTCTCGAGGTCCCGGCCACCACTGTACTCCTGAGGCTCGTCACTCTTGCCATCGAACCACTTCAGTGTCGGGAAACCCTGGACACCGAACCGCTTGCCCAGATCGCGGTTCGCGTCGGCATCGACCTTGCCAACAGTAACCTTGTCTCCAGCAAAAGCAAAGGCCTGGCCGAGCTCCTCGTAGACGGGGGCGAGGTTCTTGCAGTGGCCGCACCAGGGGGCGAAGAATTCCACCAGAGCCGGCTTGCCGGACTTCAGCACGACATCGTCGAAGTTATTGGGGATCAGGTCCACCACCGCGGAGCTAGCGGATGCGAATCCGCTGAGGAGCGTGAGCGTGCTCACGAGCAGGGCGCTCAGACGAGCCATGATAACTGCGGGAGGGTTTTGTTTCTGGTTTGCAACGGCGATGATCACTCGAGCAAAAAGTGGTCAATGGGAAATCAGAAAAAAAAGACCAAAGGCTTGAGAGTCCAAGTTGGCTGATGACAAAACGGCGGAAGAGGCCACTTGGTCCCGACCTCGGGAGGTCCACTCACTGTGTACCTGCGCTCACTACGTCACCGCCCCGAAGTACGTGGATGTAGATCGCTGTATTTCATGATCGCAGCGCTTTCTTTTTTTTTTTTTTCTTACTAGATAGTAATACACTGAGGAATTGACCGGCTTCACATTCCTGCCATCAAGTGCGAATGCGATCCGCATGTGTTTATAAGCCCGAAATCCTCCTCAATCATTGATGGCTCGATATTGCTTCGCATCACCGTCTCTCCAACAACCACTTGTTAGCATCCTCCCAAAGCTTAGCCTCCTTGAACTCCTGGCCTGCATTTTGAGTGCTCTTGTATACCTAGAAGGGGGTTAGTCTCTCTCGTCGGGGGGGTCTCTCTTCGAGGACATCAAGAACTTACCGCATCCCAGAGCTTAAACGCCTGGTCCAGGTTGCCTGTGAAGCTCTCGCTGTGCTGGAACCACTCCTTACCCTTCGCCTTGACCTCTGTTCGAGCCTCGGGAGAGGTCGGGTTTGCTTGCAGAGGAAGGTCGTCCAGGTAAGTGCGGACGGCAATGCCGAGTCCGCAGTCATTATCGTCAATAAAGGGCAGCCTAGAAAATTGGGTAAGCCCGTGAATCATCCATGGGTGGGTCATCTCATGTCACACGTACTTGACACCCATCTCAGTCCAGTCGTTCCGATCCCGGTCGGCATCGCCGCTCAAAAGTAGACTGGTAAGGACCACCTCGATTAGATTCCTCAGAGCCGAGCGCACTTCGGAGATCAATGAGCGGTAGCAAAGAAGCTGTCGGCTTAGAGGACCAGAGTATCCGATGCTCTTGTGCTGCAGCTTGGCAATACATGCGACCCGCGAAACCAGCATGTTGAACTTTTTGTCATCCTCTGAGGAAATTAGGTGTATATTAGTCCCAGCTCCCACTTGAGCCTCGAGAATAGATGACCTACCTGAGCCTCTCATGGGACTGCCAGATACGTGTGCAAACCAAGTCTTGGTGTTTAGTAAGTCCCAGCGGAGCATCTCGATAGCAATGAAAACTGCGTCCTCTAGATTGTCTGCAGGGTTCAAAACCGAGAGCGCTTGCTCGAGACACTTGCCCCACACGGTCAATCTGTGCTTCTCATCGATATAACCACGCAGTTGTAGGAACCGCCACATAACATTAGATAGGATATCTTCTTGGGACGATAAAGCCTTTGACATTGTTAGCAGAATGGAATTGGTCCCAGGACCGCACATGGACATACTGGGGTTTCTTTAGCAGCAAACGACTTGGACACAAAGTCCGAGTCGGTGAGGCTCTGGATAGCAAACTTGAGAGAGCCTCGTGGCGCCTGCAGCTTCTTCACGCTTTCAGGGAGCTTCTCGCCGTGGAGCCTCCATGGTTGAGTGATGTCTTTAACTGACGGGATGCCTCTAAGATTAATCGACCGGTCTGAGTTTTGATCGTACCATGGGCGCACGCGAATCACTTTGGTCTGGTAGAATCGGTGAAGCGCGTTGGCCAGAAGACTAATGGACTGCGTCCGGACCGGGTCAAGCGTGTTAGTCACCAGCTGGCGATAGATCTCGGTGTCTTCCGTGCCCAACGGAAGCGAGAGGCGCACTTCGCCCGAGGTGAGATAGTTCGGGATATCAGCACCGAGAACCCCCTTAGAGAGGTAGAAGTACAACTCCTCAGGCAACCGTTGACCGATGAGCTCATGCATGTCCGACGAAATACTTTCCGGGTTCATCGGGGCAACTCGGCCGTCCACATCCATGTAGACGTGATGTTTCACAATCATGAACGCCCGCTTGTAGCTATCCGTGTACTGAATCTCCTGCATGCGGCGGTCATCTTCGAACTGAGCACACATGGCGAGAGCACTGCGACCGGCCGCATTGAACATCGGTAAGGCATCGCGAACGTTTGGGCTCTTGCCGGGGAACGCGGGGTTCTCGAAAAGCGGAGACGAACGCAGGAAAGGAGAACCCAGGAGCAAGCAGAAGTCGAGGAATTGATCATTGGACAGTCGGCCCAGCTCCTCCTGGCAAGTCTGTTTCGTGAGCCAAAAGAATTGGGCGGGCTCGGCGTTGATGTCGATTCGGGTGACCAGCTTCTCCAGGTCAAACAGAAGGGTTTCGGACGGTCCGTAAACGGCATCGACGACAGGAGTAGGGCCACCTGCAAGATATGAGAGCTATATTAAGCGAATATGTTAGTTCCGTGCTCATTTTCTCTTGCGCGACACGACGGTCGCTCGCTAGCTCACCTGAGCCGCGGCACTGTACGGCGCCACGATAAAGGCAACACCGTTCTGGTTCAAGATTCGCTGAAGGAACTTGTAGAGGGTCTCCGGGGGTGGGGTTCCTGAGGGGTCAATATTGTCAGCGGCGCTTGGGACGGGGTGCCAGCGGAACAGATATGGATAAAGGGTAGGCAGAGAGGTGGGCCTGTCCGGGAGGGGCGGGTAGCAGGCAAGCATACCAGCATTGCTGAAGGCATCGACGACTTGGTCGGCCTGCTGTTGGTCGTAAAGGTCCCAGGCCTGCTCGAAGGGGCGCACCAATCCAGGCTGGGTGTGAGTGGTGTAGTCCTTTTTGCCGAATTCCAGACCATTGAAGACGAAAATACAGGCGACGCCGAGGTTCTTAAAGGCCTGAAGCTCCTTCTCGATGTTTCCTCTAAGGGCGAACGGGAATCCGCCAAGGGCGCCCAGCAGGGCCTCGCGCGTCGACTGGTTGGTCAAATGCTGGGTGATGTAGTGCGACGCATCGATACCGACGACCGCCCCTTTCAAGGCGGAGAAGGGGAGGGATTGGGCGCGGCCCACAGTCCACTCATCGAATGGACGAACTAAGAGAGAGGAACAGGGACGAGGGTTAGATGGCGGGGCGCAAAGGGAGATATTGGAGCTTCAGGGACCAGCGTCGCTCTTACTCGGCATGATGATGGAGCTGCGTCACAGGCTAAAGGCACCGCCAATGCCGGGCATTGAACCCCAGAGAAGAAGGCAGATAACAACGGGAGAAGCAGATAGAATGGATAAATAGCAGCAGGAGATTGGGACAAAATGGGAATGAGGAATGGGAAGGAGAATTTGGGGGAGGTGGGAAGCGTGAAATCACGAGGGGGAGAGAGGAAAGCGGAGTTGGCTTTGTTTGGGAATTTTTTTCTCTTCTCTTCTTCTCTGCCTTTTTCCACGCCGCACCTCCCCTTTCCAAGGTTTCTGATCTCTTTCTCTCCCGTTTCTACCTGGGTATCTCTTGGTGCCTGTGGGTTAGGTGGTACACCCTTGTATGCGATGGGTCCATGAGCTCTGGAGTCAAGCTTGACCTAGGCCGCGCAAGTACCCGCTGGTTCGCGGAGATCGGAACTATGGAATGGCCATGGGGGGATTAGATATATCCATGGATGGATATCTGACAGATATCGCTCTTTGGTATATAGAAGACAAGCAGCGGGGGAGCACCCCACTTCAAGCAAATCGGACATCGCCTACTTGGATCGATAGTAACAGTCCATATCTTCGATATCTTTCTTGAGTTCCTGCGTAGTACGTAAAAATTACTTGGGTCTATCTAAAGATCCTCTGGTTCCGGGGTTTCAGGGCGTATCCCCCAAGTGGTTACTTAAGTCACTGTCCCATGGATCTATATAATCTCCCGTCCAGCCTCGATATCTTTCCTCATTCACCACCTCCAACATGACCGACACCGCAACCCCAATCACCCTCCCCGTTATCGATATCTCCAACGCACGCGACCCCACCGTGGGGAAAGCGATGCTGGATGCAGCCGCCAAATACGGGTTTTTGTATGTCAACAGCCGCGGAACTGACTTTACCGCCGAGGATGTGGACCATGCTTTTGGACTAGTATGTGGCAGAGATATCCATGGATACAGATCGACAATATATTCAAAATCGTTCAAACTCACAGTCCTCACAGTCCAGGAAATTCTTTGCGTCGCCCGCCCAGGAGAAGGAGACCTGCCGGATCACCCCCAATGTGCGTTTCATCCGAGCAGCGCAGTAATGATACTAACTCATATATGTATAGAATCGAGGCTGGTCGGGCATGCACACGGAAACACTCGATCCCGAGCACCAGCGGGTATGTAGGATACCCCGAGGACCCTGATATTACGCCTGGAAGATTGACAAGAGCATGACACGACAATGGTCCCGTAGACCGGAGACTTCAAAGAGTATTTATCACATCCTCCCCAATCCCACAAGAGAGAAAGCTCTTGCTCATGATCACAACAGAGCCATGAACTTCGGCGACTTCAAAGACGGCAAAGCACAGCAACCACTACCACCGTCCCTAGCACCACACGAGACCGAAATCCACGACTTCGCCGCCCTCTGCAACAAGACCTGCACGCGGATCCTGAATCTGCTAGCCCTCGGGCTTGAGGTGCGTTTCTCCAACCCAAATATAACATCAGCCATCAGCCATCACCTCAACGCAACACCCATCAAAAAAAGAGAATTCAATTGACATCTAATCTCTATATAATCTTCAACGAGAGATACAGATGCCTGAAGACTTCTTCACAACCCGCCACGACCCCAGCACCGGCCCCACAGGCAGCATCCTCCGCTACCTATACTACCCATCGATCTTCTCGCCCGCAACAGCATCATACAAGCACGACACGGACGTGCGCGCCGGCGCCCACTCCGACTACGGCAGCATCACGCTGCTCTTCCAGCGGCCGGGCCAGCCAGGACTGGAGATCCTGACGCCCGATGGCTCCTGGGCGCCTGTGCCCATTGAGCCGGGTACTAACCCCGACAATGCCGCTGTTGCCGACAAGGACCCGTTCCCCCCGATCCTAGTGAACATCGGTGACCTCCTCAGCTACTGGACGGACGGGCTGCTCAAGTCGACGGTGCATCGCGTGGTATTTCCCCTAACGGAGCAGCGGAGTCCGAATCCGCGCGATCGCTATACGCTCGTGTACTTCTGCCATCCGGTCGATTCTACCGAGCTGGTCCCCGTTCCCAGTGAGATCGTGGCCGGGCATCGGGCTCGGACTGGGGGTGTGGCTGCCGGGGAGGATCGGGTGGGATTTGGCGGTGGTGCGGGCAATCTAGAGCTTGGGAAGAGACCGTTGACGGCACAGGAGCATCTGGAGTCGCGGCTGGCCGCTACTTATGGGTTTAAGAAAGAGTAGGAGAAGAGTAAAAAGAGATTCACAATGGTACTTGCGGTTTGTAACGATTGATATCAGACAGAGCGGGTCATGTACGAGAGAAAGAGATTCAAGATGAGAAAAATGCTGATGAGTGCCTTGATTGTAGAACGTGCAAATGAGAAAGAGAACGCCGAGGCCGTGGCAGCAGAAGTGCAAATGCACAAAAAAGACGAGTCCTCCAGACATAAGCCCAAAAAACCATAGATGGGATCGCAGAAAAAAAGAAATGCTTCAGAGACCATGGAGCGGTCCGCTGTGTCGGTGATGCTGCCCATCTACTGACATAAGAAACTCGTGAGATGACGATTAGGTATGAAAGAAGACGCAATGATTCCGCGGAAAGAGCGCAGAAAAGGAAAATCAGGTGAGATGAGAGAGAGAGAGAAAGGCAAAAGATATACAGTCATGACGGGTGGGTGAATATGAGCAATGAAAGGGGCGCCCCCTGAGCGAGGAGGTCGATGTCAATAAACCAAGATGGCAAGGCGAGCTGTGCGAGGAACCAAGAGGGAGGAAAATAGCCAGACGACATGTAAAATGGTATCTTCGGGTCGAATTCAAACGCCACCAGATTGTGAAATGCCATGCGCGAGTAGACGTGAGACCTTGCAACAAAACATAGGGGAGACGCGTGACGGATATGACGCTATGCGAGCGGGGATGCATGGAAATCAGAAATATTAACTCTTCGAGGTCGTCGGGTCGTATCAAGGGGTCGTGTGGCACCAGTGGCGGTGGTATACCCACGCCGCCTTCTGGCAATCTTTGCTGCAGTATTTGGTACGGCGGCAACGGCGGCACTTGGCGAACTGGCGCTGGAACTCCTCCCACTTTCCACACTTGTAGTACGCACACTGCCGAATCCCGCCTCGCGACTCATCCTTGCGGCAAAGATTCCGCATGACTACGCACGCCCAGTACTGCATGTCCTTCGAGTGGTGTCGAACAGTGAATTTTTCAACCAGGGGGAAAATGTTGACATCATCCGGCAAGAGATACTCGTCTTCCTCCTCAGGTGCTTCCACGGGAGATAAAGGGTCGGCGGTGTCGTCCAGGAGGTGGAGTTCGCGGTCAATCTTGAGTTTCGGGACGAGGTGAGACTGCTGAAAGTAGGATCGGAGGTTGCAGTATTTGGAGACGTATGCCAACAGCTGCAGAGACATCAAGACATCCTCGTCACGAGGCATAGTGGTCAAGACGCCTTGGGTTGGGGGTGCACTGCGCTCGCGAAGGTACAGAGCGTAGGGACTCGGTGCGAGGGTGGGGGAATTCGTGTTGTTGGGTGCTTGGGTCGGAGAGAGACCCAATCCGCCGTTGGTTTGAGTGTTGCCATTGTTGATGATGCTGCCATCGACCGCAGAGCGATGCGTGATGTTAAATGTCTCTGCCTCCTGGCTCTCTTCGGACGGATCAGTGACCGTCAGGCCATGGGTGGTCGAGACGTCATCCAGCATGGTCGTCTGCTGCTCGCCAACATCATCAATCTCCATCCGGTTCGGGAGCCCCACGATGGGCTCGGTGGTTTGTCCCAAGACATTGTCATCTCCCATTGCCGAGTCCTCCCCGTTGGCATCGTCCGATTCACCCGACGCGGATTGTTGCTGTTGGAGTGCAGGGCGTTGTCTCGGGGCAGTTGTCTGGGGAACACTTCGAGATTGAGATTGAAGAGGCCCACTTGGGGTTGTTGGAGAGTCAGGCTGTGAGATGATCCCAGTCTGCAGGCTGGGAAGCATGCTGGGAATACGCTCCGTGTCGCGCACGGGTCGCAGCCCAAAGCCATCGGCGGCGTCCATAGGAGGCACAGCGGTGGCCAGAGGCTGCATGGTCCGAAGGCGATGGCTGGCACGTGGGTGGCGTCCATCATTGGACCGGTGAGTATGGGCTTCCTGACCAAAGGTGCTTCGTTCCGGCGGCGAGGTCATAGGCACACGGGGAGGAGATGTAATATCCATGGCATCGGAGTCTGTGGGTTGATTATCCTGCTCAAAAGGCTGCGGGATTTCGATATTAGCAGGAGGAGCCTGTCGGCGGGAGTGGCGTGATTCGGCGTGTGAGTTGGGATCCAAGGCAGCCGTCCGCCCAGGGATATCTCGGCTCACACCCGGTTTGGCATGTCGGGAAGAAGACGAATGCTTTTGAAGCTCGGGGTCGGCACGCGATCGCACTTTGTCAACCACCTTGATGTAATTGTCCAGGATAGTGGCAATCACGGGAACCATATCGGCTTCCACAACCCTCGTTCGGACACTCTCAGAGCCACGGACTCCAATGTTGACGACACATTGAAAGGCGAGGCTCCATTTCCACATTTCCATCAGATCCTTGCTCCGACCCTCCTTGAGGATGCACACCAATCGTTCAATCCCGCCATCGACCGTGAGGATGTCTCGAATCCGCGCCGATGAGGTGGTGAGGTATGCAAGATGGTTGAGCGAGTTGATGAGCGGTAGTGTTGATGTGCAATCCAAGGCCCGCCGGTCGTAAAGGGTAGTGGTGATGTTGACCGAGGCCTTGTTCACATTAGGGATGCTAAAGTTGACTTCGCGCATGATGAAGCAAAAATGTCAATCCAACAAGGGAATATAGCCGTAAAATGCAAGATGACATCCAGAGCGAAGAAGATAGCCCAATGATGAGGACCTTGTCGATGGCCGAAGTGGGATCCGTTCAGCCCCCCTAACCAGACGGGACCAACACCCACTGCGACGTGATCAAAAAAATCCCTCACAACTCAAAAATGTGAGTCCCACGGCATTAGGCACACCGAGAGAACACTGTATGGGATACTTCACGGTCGCCTGATGATGGGTCTCGATGGTGAATCCAGGGACGAGGGTGTCACTGGATCGAGGCCGGTGAGAGCGGAGCACACGAAAGAACTCGGGAGAGAGGAAGAGAGAGAGAATAGCGAAAGAAGGCCCGAATGTAGACAGATTCGAATCACTGTTGAGAATGGTTCGGGTTAAAGATGGGATGGAGATGGGAGAGAGAAGAGGTTTGCAAGGCGCAGAAGGCGAAAGCGGAGAGGCGTCAGGTGCCTCCTTAATATTACGGTACACTTCCGAGTCATCGCTCTCACCCGCCACCGTTCATCTCGCAATTTCAGATTTTTCTTTTTTCCCTGTTACCCCAGGGACCTGCGTGGTTACGCTATTTCTTTTTCTTTTTTCTTCAATGATTGAGTTCTGAAATCCTACAGAAACTATTTCGATCTCCTTTTCTTCGCACGAATCCTTTCATCGCATGCTGAATCCATCTCGTCACAGTACCCATGTTGCCACCCTTGGGCAATGCCGGAAACAAATCTACCATCCCTCCAGCATACCAGATGGAATAGAGGGCTACTCATCAACCACCATGCTTCAGCATTGCTCACACCTTTCTGAGGATAATGGTTTTCCAGGCATACTACTTCCCCCCCGGGTCCCAGGGACGCGATGTTGCCGAACCACCAAGGTGTGCCCGCATGGATGATTATTATGACGGGCGCCCATTCGGCACGATGAGCGAAGACTGTAGATCCAAAGCAATGACCAACATGGAAATCCACCAATGACCCCCCTGACGAACTATTTGAATAGCCTCGGTCATTTGCCCCAACAGGCAGGATTCTCAACAGACAATTTCCGATATGAAAATGGGTTCATCCAGAGAGATAGACCCATGTCTGCCGATATCGCATGCTTCTCAGCCAGGGAGATGTGTATATGTGTGTATATGTATGTATATGTGTGTGACAAGACCTGTCTTTCATAGAAAGCACCGCCTGACAGAAACGCAGTTTCTAATCGAATGGGCACACACCGTAGGACAAGAACAATAGCGAGGGCCGAGAGCGACGATCTCCGACCCCTGAATCCCCAGTGGAGACCAGGTTCCATACTACGCGGAGACTGTTTCATCGAGGAGTAGTTCTAAATTAGAATTGTTCAACGATAATATAAGGCATGAAATCTATGTGCTGCATCGCAATTCACAGTTTAGCAAAAATAGCATGGGCCCCGGTCTCCTCATCACATACAGAATTCACACGCGCTTAGGTGCGCACAGACAGTGCTAAGATTAGAACAGCGAGTCTGCCAGGAATCCACTTCCGCGGCTGTTTTCAATGTGATATCTGTGTCAAGTTTGAAGTATACTATCTTTGGATCGGGCGATGCTAGGGTTTGATAGACCAAAAAAAAAAAAAAAAAAAAAAAAAAAAAAACCGAGATTTTTGTCCACCGAGCGCCATTGTCTAAGATCCTTTGTGCAATTACAGGGTTATAGGCCTCGTTTTTAGTGCCGAGCCCCATTTTCATCCTCTAGAAGAACTATAAGTCTCAACGGTCGGTAGTCGGCCCACCGGTGGGCATATCTGGACTGATGTGGCAGCGCAAGAAACCCGCACTGGCGGGAGTAGCCTCAGTACTTAAATAGGAGGCCCACATATTTTATGCAGCCCTATAGTACATCCCTTTTCTTGGAAAGGGTGAGTCGGGGCTCAGTTCTATTCTCGTTCATAAGTCAGTGTACCGATACCTTTTATATACAGCCCTGACTATATAGTAGCCCGAAAATTCATTCTTGAGAGGTGTCGTAATTGCGTTGATTGTATGTTTACTCGGATCGAATTGTCTTTTGAACACATTGTCTTGGTTGATCTCTGAAATAACTGGATATGCTGCTGTTCGAGATCACGGGGATCTTCGAGGTGGGATGCATGTCAGATTTGCATGCATTGAACCCAGCCAGTTGAGTCGATATGCAGCAACTGGTCTGTAGCTGACGTCGTCAGAAAGCCCAGCAACGTGGAGATCTTGGCTTCTCTGAGATCAACGGAGCGATATCGTATGCACCGTGGGCCAGGATTCCCCATCGTGGAGTCGAGCATGCCAGCGGTCACCGGGAAGCAGGTGTCTTTTGTTCTTCTGAGGTATTATCTCAGAAATGTTGGATCGAGATGTCTGAAGAAAGCCTGTCCTAGGGATCGGTGAAAGTTTTGGATGTCTCCGAATTGAGTTGATGTTTATGTAGTAAACGTGGATATCGGCGGTCTTTTCATCCTTTTGCCAGTCTTCGAAATTGTTGCACCTGCCATGCGGACCGGAAGATATGACTTCCAATGCCAAGTCCACGAGACTGGCTCAGCCGCAGCCACAGCCGCAGCCGGCAGTGCATCTGAAGAATGTTATTGCCCGGGGGGGGGGGGGGGGGGGATAAGAGAGTTCATTCCATGACCGGGGGTTGTCTGACTAACCCCGAGACAGTCTGAATTTCCAATGCTTTAAATAGAGATCTTCCGCTATGAGAGAGAGAGTTCTTGGGTCAGAAAAGGGGGTGTCTTGGGTAAAACAGTGGAGACGAATCCTTCAGACGAGGCTCGACACTATAGGGTCTTGGAGCAGCCCATTCTTGCGCGTGTCAATTTATTTTAAATGAAGGTGCTTGGCGGAGAGGTAGACCCATCCCTATGAAGCAGGTGGGAAATAATATGAAAGCTGAAATGTCAATCAATATGGAATTATGGGAGTATTTGAGATGTGGAAGCTTGGACGGTACCATTGTATTTTGTATGCCCCCGTACACACTAGCAGGTCCACACGTATCGATAGAAGGCATCCATGTTGTTGGTTTGAACCTTTCTTTCTTTGTTTTAATTCTATCTATACAAATAAGCATTGTAGCTATATTCATATAGCTATGATATGTTCCAACCTATGAGATCTTATGGAAGTAGAACCCACTGCATATGGACAAGAAGCGTGACGGTGGCAATATATATACAGTTAAAAAAAAAAAACCATGGATTCCCGCGAAACTATATAGAGCACGGTTCAAGCCACGGATCTGCCGGGTGGTCCAAGCAAAGAACGATCTGGAGACAGTATAGCCGCGCTATATTCGGGAGAAGCTTAGGTATGTGGATTGGGGGTATTGGGGATATTCATGGCCAGCTATTTACTATGATTATATAATTATGACCTTCCATGAAGAGATTTGTGTAGATTTGTGGACATTTACTCAAAGGTCATGACTAGCGAAGTATAACATGTTGGATGAAACATAAGCCCACAGCTCTACCTAGATATTTAGGGCAAGGAATGATCCATGGATGCTTCCAAGGTTCCGAGTAATGCTGACTAGACCGGGCAATCTGGGAAATAGCAGGAGAGTACGGAGTAGATCGAAATGTGTAAAGTGGACGGGCATCGTGCAGTTCAATCTCCGTTAGTGTCTTGGGCGGGTACAGGGAAATGTACGTTACTTACAATATTGTATTGTATACGGCCAAGTTACTGTACATATATGTATATAGCATCCAGAAATGACTTGCGCTTTACTGGATATACCCTATGATTCTAGGGATTATTGTTTGTGGTTTATTGCCACTGAGCCAGTCTACCAGGGCAAAGGAGAGCCTTATGTTCGAAGAAACCATTTTGTGCTCAGGTACCCGGCCTCCCCTGTGCGTATTGACGTATTTCTCCACCCCCTGGCAAACCCAGACGAATTGCCCGACTCTCTCCACCGGCAAATCCCCATCCCCATCCAGGCCGTGTTGAGATCAAGAAATTGTAAATAATCAAGACTTCACTTTATAAATATAATATATATTATATATACATATATGTTATATTTATAATAGAAAAAGAGAGAAGAGAAAGAGTCGGATGTAACAATGAGTAGGTTCTAGTCGCAATGTCATCGATTTACCAGGACTAGCGGTAATACCGCATCTCGCTCACTCGCTCTCTTCCTCTTCCTCTTCTTCCCCTTAACCCCCTGTTCATCATTCGATTCCCGTATTCTCCGTCAGATCATTGTGGGCTCGGAATAATTGTCCTGCCTGAATAATTTTGTGTGGGATTATGATCAGAGCTTGATTGCAGTCCTTTCCGCCTTTCTCTCTTCCTCTCTCTCTCCCCTGGCTCTTCTCGCTCCACATCTCATTCCAGCCCCCTCCCCCCCCCCCCCCTCTACCTTTCCACTCTCTTCCCTCCACACCCCCTGGAGATTAATCGCCCTCCTTCCATCAACCCTCCCACCGTTATCCTTTTTAGGGGTCCCTGCCCGCCACAATGTCAGCCGATATGAGCGGCGAACAAATGCAGGCCAAGATTACTGCGGCCAGGCGCGAAGCGGAGGGTTTAAAGGACAAGATCAAGCGCCGAAAGGATGAGCTGGCCGACACCTCCCGTACGATTCCCGCTCCTCCCATATCTGTTGTGTCTATTGGCTGTGGATGATTGCCCGGATTTTTCTTGTCGGGTCCCAGCAGGCAGTCGTGAATGATGCTGACTCCCTTGGTGCAGTTCGTCAAGTTGCGCAGAACCAGACCGAAGTCCTCCCTCGAATTGGCATGAAGCCCCGTCGTTCGCTCAAGGGTCACCTCGCCAAGATTTACGCCATGCACTGGTCCACCGACCGCCGTCATCTCGTGTCGGCGTCGCAGGACGGAAAGCTCATCATCTGGGATGCCTATACGACGAACAAGGTGCACGCCATCCCCCTTCGCTCATCCTGGGTGATGACCTGTGCCTATGCCCCCAGTGGAAACTATGTGGCCTGCGGTGGTCTCGACAACATTTGCTCCATCTACAACCTGTCCTCGCGCGAGGGCCCCACTCGCGTCGCACGAGAGCTCTCGGGACACTCGGGATACCTCTCCTGCTGCCGCTTCATTAACGACCGCCGCATTATTACCTCGTCAGGCGACATGACCTGCATGCTGTGGGATATTGAATCTGGTTCCAAGGTGACCGAGTTTGCCGACCACCTGGGTGACGTGATGTCCATTAGCATCAACCCGACCAACCAGAACATCTTCGTGTCCGGTGCCTGCGATGCCTTTGCGAAACTCTGGGATATTCGAACGGGCAAGGCAGTTCAGACGTTCGCTGGCCACGAGTCTGACATCAACGCGATCCAGTTCTTCCCTGATGGCAATGCGTTCGGGACTGGTTCCGATGACACCTCATGCCGCCTGTTCGACATTCGTGCCGACCGCGAGCTCAACATCTACCAGGTAACTACTTTGTTCTTATTGTTTGGCGAACGCAAGATCGGATAAATACTGATCCTGATTTTCCACTTGCAGAGTGACCAAGTTCTGTGCGGTATCACCTCGGTTGCGTTCTCGGTTTCGGGACGGTTACTCTTCGCAGGATACGATGACTTTGAGTGCAAGGTATGCTAAGTGTTGACTTGAATTGTCAAGGAAGTATGCGCTGACGGGTTCACGTTTAGGTGTGGGATGTTCTGCGCGGGGACAAGGTTGGCGCATTGAGCGGCCACGAGAACCGTGTGAGCTGCCTGGGAGTCAGCAATGATGGCATCAGTTTGTGCACTGGGTCCTGGGACTCTCTGGTAAGTCCGAGATTTTGCTCGAACCTTTTTTTGCTGGTCAATGACATCCACTAACTTCCTTTTTCTGTGTTATAGCTCAAGGTCTGGGCCTGGTAGTTCACAAACCCCAAAAACAAAACGCAAGATACCCCGTCTCGATCATTTTCAATGCTCTTATTCAAAGTTTCTTTGGTTTGATGGGATCGAATCTCCGCCATTGTACGATAATAATCAGTTACCGGGGGCCCCTCGGGGTTCCACGATAATATGCGACTCACGGCGCAGACATCGGTCCGTCGCATGCGATACGGAAAGTGTTGGAGGGGCGTGCTTCCGGTTGCCCCGGAGCACCAAGGGGACGGCTCCCTCCGTTGCTGGGCATGAAAGCGCTGCCAGGACTTGGGGTGTCGATGGTTGTACTGTGACCGCGCAGTGGCCGACTTTTGATACCTCCGTGATCACCCTTGGATTCCTGGTCCTTGACTTCTGGACACTTTTTTTTTCTTTGCTTTGTGATCCTTTTGCCTGATTTATCCTTCCCTTCCGTTACCCTGGCCCTTGGATTGCCGCGCATTTGTCTCAGCATGTATTTTTCTTCCGTCTGAAGGAACAGGACCTGTTTGCTGGATGTGGCCATGATTTCCCCGATTGAACTCTGCGTTGCCATTTCATCTATTCTTTGCCCCCTTTATTCCCCTTTATTCTTTTTCTTTTCTTCTGTTTGCCCCTAAAGAAAGAAGTGCGCTGTACTTATTCTCTTGCGTTGGAATCTCTGGTTATGTGGGATTCATCTGGTGTCGGATTTGATTTCATTGTGAGCAGCTTCAATTTCCATTTGTCATTTGTCATTTGAGCTTTTCTTTTCTTCTTAAATTTGGAGCCAAAGATTCGAGGTCGGGATCTATCGTGCAACACATTGGGTGCTTTGCCACGGACTGATAACGGGGCCGTGCAAGCATGGCGTGAAGCATGAGACATAGGGCATTCATACACTGGTATATTGCTGCCTGCCCGAGTAGAATTGTAGGATCCCTCGAGTATCTTGGGCACACCGAGTGCGCTGGGGCATGAGCTGGTCTATAGATCCGTCTGATCTAAGCCTCTGGATGTCTATCCATGGATTTCTATGCATTCTCATACGTAAATCTCTGCTCTGAGTGGAGCCAATTCAGCCACGCACATACCCCTGAGGGATGCCTAACGGGGGGCTGAGGCGCGACGTACACTCCATGAATAGTAAGAATAGTAAGAATAGTATTCGTTCGTAGGGCAAAGGGAGGATGCCCCATTCAGGAGCGTTTCAGCCCCTGCGACCACGTGGCCTGGTTTTTCTTTATTTCTTTATTTCTTTATTTCTTTATTCTTTTCTTTTCCTTCAAGACTCTTGCAATTTCCGCTGTTAATGCTCAATTTCTACTGTGGATTAATTTCTCTCGAATCTACATTTAATTGTTTGTGATTCTTGTTTTGAACACTCCAAACACCGGTGGAGACTTCTTCGGGTCTTCAGTGGAGCCGAACAGATCAGCGCATCTGAAACGCAGAAAGGGGGGGGGGGGGGGGGAGGAAGAGAGCACGTACCGTTTCACCCTGGCGATCTCTTCCCTCCTCAGCCTCATTTCCGGTCACGATTCCTTTGTGCTTCAGGGGCTGCCAATCTCTGCCCAGTATTCGAGGCCAAGTCCAGAAAAAGATTATCATCCTTCCCCGGATTCGGTTTAAATCTCTTTTCTTCTTTCCGCCCCTCCACTTCTCGCTGCCCCTGTCTTTTCTTTCTTTCCCCCCCCCCTCTTTTCTTTTCAATATGTCTTCAGCCCAAGGCGAGTTCAACGACCTGGTGAAAAACAACCGCGTCCACACCTCCACCCACCCCGAAGACCGTGACGCCTCTCCCTCCTCCCCCGACTTCTCCGACGACGACCGCTCCACACGTCGCGTGCGACAAGGCCGGCCTGCCCTCGACTCGTCCGACGACGATCAGGACAACAATATGGTCTCCTCGCGCACCGCCAGCTACCGGATCCCTAATACCGTGTACGACGCCAACACGGGGCCCAAGGGAGTCATCGCCGACGCCCAGGCCTTTGAGCGTGCCCGCAAGAAGTCCTTCCGCAGGACCCTGCTCAGCGCTGCCGGCTTCGACTCCGCCGGGCCGGCCCTGTCGTCCGGGAAATCCACCAGGGACGACACCTCGCTGCACCCGCCCGAGGCGGGGTCATCTAGCAGCGATGACGACGAGGAACGCTTCTTGCGCAAGTGGCGCACCTCGCGCATGCAGGAGCTTCAGAACCGCTCCCTGCGCCGCCTCAGCCCCCGCGGCCGTGTCTATGGCTCCGTTGAGAACGTCGATGCAGCAGGCTACCTCGACGCCATCGAGAAGGTCACTTCGGATACCGTGGTCGTGGTGTGCATCTATAACCCGGAGGTATGGACCGATACACTTTACCCTTATTTAGTTCTCAGTTTTCGTGTTTCTTTTTACTTTCGTTTCCATTGAACTGCCCACTGACCTTCTTCCAGTCCGACGACAGCGCCGTGATCGAAGAGTGCCTCGTCACCATTGCCCGTCGCCAACCCACCACCCGCTTTGTCAAGCTGCACCACGAGATCGCCGAGATGGACCACATCCAGGCCCCCGCCCTGCTGGCCTACCGCGGCGGCGACGTCTTTGCCACCATTGTCAATATCCTGCACAACATCCCCAAGGGCCGGAGTTGCAGCGCTGACAGTTTGGAAGATCTACTGAAAATGTGCGTTAATCCCTTGTCTTATATATATATATATTTGCAATTGTCATCGACAAATACTAACATAATTACTGGGGATATAGGAACCGCGTGCTATGATCATCGAATTTCTTACTATTGGGTTTTATTTCCTATCCCCCTCTGCCACTCGATAAAAAAAAGAAGGCATGGGATGTGCTCTGGATTCATCGCACAGCAGCAGGCGTCTTGGGTTTGACGTGATTTCCCTTGACAGGGGCTTTTTCTTGTTTCTATTTTCCCTCCTTACCTTTTCTTTTTCTAATGTTGTGGATGGTGTTCTCTCTCTTTCTCTCCCTCTCCTATCCCCTCCCCCGCCTTCTCTCTTTTCCTATCGAATTATCATGATCTCGGGATCACACCTGAGATGTGGAACACATCCACCAAACCACCAAAATGAAAAGGAGGACGGGCGGTTTTCTTGAACGGCGTTGGGTCTGAAATAGACTGTCTGGTTGGGAGGTTCATCTGGGTTTCTTTCATCTGTGTCTTTTTGTGTTCTTTTTTTTTTTTTTTGTTTCTTGTGCTTACATTGCGGTCTTTGTTTTTGAGTTCGAGAGGAGATTGGGGGACTTTCCGGCTTGTTGGCTGGGTTTGTCGATGTTGGTTTAAAGATATCCCATGTTTTTTTTTTTTCTAGAATAGATATTGCTTTTCCAAGGTTCCCAACTCTATTAGCACATCTGGTATTCTGGGTATTGGTTCTATGCCTTTGAACTATAATTTAGGGTGTAGAAGTAGAAGGAGAATGAAAGTCTCGAGGAATGCTTCTCTTTTGCTGGTCTTTCCGATCCATGGACAACATACATGGTATTCGGAGTGCAACTGCCAGAAACTTCTCCGCAAGTTGCATCCAGAGACCTCTCAAGAGATACGATGCAAATATTCGCAAGGTGGAGGGTATGGGGGGGGAGGTATCAGCAAAGCCCTCGGACATCCCCCGACATTCCCCAGACGCACGATGTGAGATTCGAATCAAGAAAAGAAGCCATCCAATTTCCCGAGTTCCTTCAAATTGGTCCGCAAACTCCCCAGCCAAAGAACAAGAAAAGAGAAAAGAAACGACACACTGATAAAGGAAAAGATGATATGAAGGTACGGCGCAGAATGAAAACATAAATAAAGAGAGCAGGCTGTACCCGAACCCGAGGTTATAGAGACGGGAGAAAAAGAAAAAGAAAAGAAAAAGACGATGAACCCAACCTGGAAAGCATCACAGACCACCCCGCTCCTGAGTAAACTCCCAGAGCATTTTGATCAGACTGTCGGGGAGCGTGTAGAGGTCGACATGGAACTCGCCCACTGCATGGGAGAGCCGGTTAGCCAACATATCATGAAGGTAGAAGGACCTGAGTCAGATCAACATACACTCGACATCGTTCTTGGTGTACGAGTCCGGTGCCTTGTTGTCATGCACCATTTGAACCACCTGCAGGAGATCATCCTCGTTGAGCTTCTGCAGTCCATCGGCGAGCTTATCCATGTCGACCTTTCAAAACTAGTCAGTGGCGCTGCAACATTTCCTGGAAAATATACTCGAATAACTCACATTCTTGTCGGTGCGTTTCTTCTTCTTCGCGCTCTCCTCACCCCCAGCCGCGCGCTTGGACTTCATCCCGTTCTCATCGCCAGGGACAGGGCCGGACTCGCGCAGAGCTGCCAGGAAGGCGGGCTTCGGGTTCTTGAACACCTGCAAGACCGCGAAGAAAGAATAGGTTAGATACACTCTAAACTCCCTATCAAGTCTAATTCGGCAGAGAGGAACCACTCACAATGACATGCTTCGACTCGTAGCGGGTTTGGGCAAAGTTCAAGTCATGGTTGATGGTATGCGACTTATCGGCCGTGAGCTCGATCTGCATGTCAAATTCACCCCAACCCTCTTCCTGGATGCGGAATGGTGGATTCTTGAAGGCTAAATGTCAAGAGATGTATCAGCCGTGCGCCCCTTCCTCGACCAAAAGTTGTATGCGCCATGTACCGCCGGCAAAGGCGCATTGAAGAATAATAACATACTCTGCGTGGCGCGCGCGCCAAAACTCGGGTGCAAATGATACGTTACTTTGTCAAAAAGGTTCGCTGGCACCATCTCCCCCCTGTCGTTGACGAGCCAGACCTCGATGGACCACGAGCGCTGGGGGAAGCCTTCGACCTCAGAGGGCTTGTCACTGTATCAGAAAAAAGAGAGATAGACGTCAGCCCCGGGGCTCAATAAGATGATTCTGGGTAGACGCATGTGCGAGAAGGAGACGGGCGCTGTGGAAGATCTCGGGGAGACCGGGGGTTTGGACGGAGTGCGCTGTCCATCCAAGCGTTTTCTCGCATATTTTGCGCGCATTGCATCTCTTCCCTCGAGGCAGACTCAACCCGTAGCGAGCCCAAGACGTGAAAGTGAAGTGAAAGACAGAGAGAGAAGACCATAATCGTTTCCGAGGCAATCTTCGAAGGGAGGGTAGAGAGAAAAGTCGAGAACGTACATGATGTGTTGCTCCGTGACGAGACGGACATTTCGCTTGACCTAAGCCATCGAAGCAAGTAGAATAATTAGTCTCTGATCCTAGCAAGTGCTTGTCCGGGGTACCACCCAGGTCACGTAGGAGTGAGAGCTAGCTAGGTATTGCCAGCGCAGCAAATCCCACGCTTGCCGGGTCGCAAGAAAGAGAAAAAAACGGGGGACCAGAAACTTACGTCGGGCATCTTGAAAAAGCTAGGCAACCACTGAAATGCTCCAGTTCGCGTAACCGTGGGGTTTCGGCAAGGTCGCGCGAAGAATTGGAATGGGTCTGGATGAGTAGATTGCGAAGGGGAGTCGAGTGCGTTGGTCCAGGCGGACCAAGTAGGCAGCAAGTCGTAGTAAACAGACGTATCGTGCACGTGTATATACCAAGACGACCAGTCGAGTATTGAAGACGAGAATGCGGACCGTGGGAGGAAGAGAAGGAGGTGGAAGTGGGGAGGAATCCTCAGACAAGCGCACACTCGCACCCGAATCTCCGACGGACTGGCTCATCCCATCGCGATAGATTTCTCTCTACTGGGTTTTACTCAATGGGATTAATCAATTTCTCGGGCTGGGCGAAGAATTGCTTTTTTGTATTTCATCAGATAAGAAGGTGCCAAAGGTGATGTGCAGGGTGTATATTCGATGGGGAAATGTCTATCTACTACCGACGGCGGCTCCGACATCAGGGAAACGGCCCTCCATTTCGTAAATCGCATGGAATGCGAGCAGCATCTTCATCACTGCCTCGTCACGTCGTAGGGGATGGAAATGGGATGGGGATATGGGGTGAAATGACAGGGTAGAGGGGGGTGATAAAAGGGAAGTTTCGAGAGCAAGCTCCTGAACTGTCCGGAGAGCAGAAGGTCGGCAACAAGCACGCGGTGATCGGGAATTCTCCGCAACTCGTTCTCCCGAGAAAGAAAAGGGAGCAAGAAATGGGGAATAACGTAATTGTTTACTCCTCAGCGAAGAGCTTCTCGTTCTCCTGCTGGGCCTTCTCGAACGCCTCCTTGAAGAGGTTGGCGTCTAGATTCTGCGTTAGCAACTGTTCGCCCAATTTCCACGAACTCTAGATCACTTACTCTCGCTGTTGGCAAAGCGGATGGCCAGAGTCTGCGCCTCGGGCTCACCCTCACTGACATCGGCGGCCGCGTTCCACACCCAGCTGCGGTCACTGCCGACGTTGGGGCTCAACTTCATGTCGGGAACAACTATAAATCTTCATCAGCAACTGATTCCAGCTCAAAGAAAGCACCTGGCGTCCGAATCACTTACTGTAGTGGTTGGCGCAGACCTTGAGGGTCTTGTCGCGACGCATGACAAGACGGGTCTTGAGGTTCTCCTTGTGCTTCAGCAAGCGCACGTCACCAGTGCCACGCTCCTTCCACTCCTTGCTCTCGCGGTCGAACTTGAACAGCTTGGCGCGCATCTTGAACGCCTGCTCCTCGAGCTCCTCGTTGGTCTTGGTCTCCACCTTCTCCGTCAGGCGGATCACGGGCTCGAAGTGAACGTCGGGAGATTCGGGGGCCTCATCCTGTTAACAGAAAAAAAAACATTAGCATCCGTGCAACGTCCAAGCAATATAGCTCGCGGGGGGATGAAAGGGTCCGAGTTGGGATGCTCGGGGGATGCATCCGGCAAACCACAACCCATCATCCCGAGTCCAACTAACATCCTCGCCCTTCTTCTCCTGGGCCTTGGAAGATCCAGAGGGCTCGTCAGCCTCCTCAGGCTCATCCTCCTTCTTCTCCTTTTTGGGACCGCCGCCGAACATGGAAAACACGCTGTCGGACGTCTTGGCGGCGGCGTCCTTAACAGTGTCGGCGGCGTCCTTGGCGGTTTCAGTGGCGGTTTCAGTGGCGGTCTCGGTCACCGTCTTCTCGTCCTCACCGGTGGTCTCGGGCTTCTGAGCCGCCTCAGGAGCAGAGGTGGTGGGGTCGGGCTTGGTCTCCGCGACGTCAGACATGGTGATAAGAGGATGGAACGGTTGGGGGAGGATAAAAGGAAAATTTCAAGAGTAGAATAGATGACAGGACACGACTGTGACCAAAGAATTCAGGGGGAGAATTGAGGATGTTTGTTGATGAGGGTCCGAGGAGGGGAAAAATTGAGTGGGTGCGGGCAAAACCCGCCACCGCCCTGGCCATAGTTGCGAAACACACTCCTTGAGGTTGACATGCTGGAATATTTAGATAGTTCATATAGCCAAATCTTCTATAGGCTCATCGGTGGATTGCGAAGAGCAAAAATACAGAGGTAAAAAAAAGACATCGTATTGCGCCGGCTTGCACACTCGCGTGAGCCCATTCCCAGTTCTGCCCCACCATCCCAGATCGCCATAGTAAACAAACCCATCAGCCAACGTCAAATGAGAAAACAGAAACAGCAAGTGAAGAAGAAACAGAAATTCATCACCCCGAATGTCCGCGAGCCGAGCAATCCTTTGAGTTTCCACAGGCCCGACGCCCCAGAACGCGGCGGGCACGCGCCTGAGCTCGGTCCAGCGCCTCGCATTTGTGCGCGTGGCGAACCCGATCCATCATGGCGCGCAAGTCAACTTTCGCCGCCGATTTTCCAAGACGACTCCAGGCATGACTGACAAAGCCCTTGGCCTTTTGGTTCACACGGCTCGATCGACTGTACAGTACAGAGGAGGCAGTTCGGAACCGCTGAACGGCAGTGTGGGCGAAGACCTCCGAGAGCTGCTTGGAACGCGACAGGACATTATCCCGAGCATGTAGGCTTTCGCGGCGGAAACGCTCGGCGTCACGGCGCAAGAAGTGCGATCGCTTCACCACATCACCCACAATCACCTGCAGATCCGTGCAGAGTCGGCCGTACACCTCGGTCAGACCAGTTTGGGCCGTCTGCAAGTCTCGCGCAAGCTGCGAGGACACTGCCTGTGCTGCACGTCTCCAGTTTGAAATCTTCAGCCATGGAGTTCCAAAGTCAATGGCCATAGTTTGGTTCAACGGCGGCCTTGACTTGGCGACAATCGTCACGTTGACCAGACCCCACGCGTCCTCTCGATCCAGCTTCAGCGTATAGACCCCATCGAATAGCCGTGATAATTCATGCGGTAACACCTGATTGTGTCGGGAAACACCCACATTGAACCGTGGTTGCTTCTTGGATGATACAAAGCTTTGAGGGGGCTTGATGACGACATGGCAATCGCCGACGACTTGAATCTCAAAGTTATCGGGCTCTGAGCCTGCAGACGAGGCGATGAGACCCATAGATTCCTTGATCGTCGAACAGCCTGAAGGTTGGACGTCCAGGGGCTGGACATGAGCTGGCGGCTGAATGGAGAGCGAGGCCTGGCCCACACGGTCCAATGTCAGAATAGATGCAGGGGATCCTTGGCGAGTTGCAGGGGCGAATATGTTGGAAATGGCTGATCCTGCCATCCCATGAGCCAGGAAAAGGGTTACGGCCTGGAAAATTGCGTATCCAATGGTGAGGGCAATGGCCGAGACGAAAGTCAAAGTGACAAGACGCAGGACCGGAGCCAGTTTACGGGCCCGGGTTGCGTAGGAAGGCGGGATCCAATTACAGGGATATTTCTCGGGATCGATGAATGTGTGCCAATCCAGAGACTTTGGAGGATCGGAGGGGACCTTGTTTGTCTTCTTTGGATACAGCCCCACGAGAGATGCCAGGTTTCGGTTGAGCTGACCGGGGGTGATGCTCTCGAATGTCTTGATATCGATGGGATATCTCCAGAGAACGGCAGTCTCGCTAGTTTGCGGGTGTCGAGACTCCAAACACATGTGAAGACTGTTCTGGTTCAGAGGGATGATCTCGCCAACCATATTTAAAAGCGGATCTTCCGATATCACCATCGCCGGGATTCCATGGTGCTCCAAGAAGGTATGGACGATGCGCCGGGTTCTCACTGCGGCTGCGTCATCACGACCGGATACAAATAGGATTGCCACATCTGGCAGGGTCCATTCCGACGCGGACGAGATACGGTATTCAGATCCTGTCCAAGATGAAATGCACGACGGGCGGTTCTTGAAGTTGAGGTGTAATGTGTTGGGCCGGTCTGCCCGAGGATCGGCTGTGGCATCGACACACTCATCGACCACAAGCTGAACGTGGATCGGAAGGAGCTCTGCAAAGTTGGGCACGGCACCGGCCCCAAACGATGTCGGCACGACATGGTACCGAGAAGATTCAGTGGAGCTGGGCTCGGAGCCGGCGTTTGAGCTGGACACCAGGACGTCACCGATCTTATCGAGAATGATATTCCGGAACTCTGGCTGCCCGATGTACAGTACACGGAACGGCTTGTCCAGGTCGAGGCCCTGCTTCGTCATCGTCTGCTGAACAGTCGCCGTGAGAATCGAATCGGTCGAGTTATACGGGAGCCGACCCTTCAACTCCGAAGCTGCCGCACTGTCAAAGACGCGGATAGTGTGTTTGAGTTCGACTCTTTCAATCTCAGGCCATTTCTCGGGCTCTACAAACTCGATGGAATTCAGCGCCGCGAAAGCGGGTCTGGTAGTGAGATTGCTGTCATCGATAGCGGCCCCAGGACCAAAAACATCCGGCATGGCCGAGACCGTGCTCTGGGCCTCGTCCTTATCGTCTGCTTCGTCATCAGCTGGATGGTCCTGCCCATCGACATCGCTGTTACTGTATCGGCCATCGAGGCTGGCGACATCGTCGGGGCTGGTTTGGTCGATCAACGACCCCGCATCTGTCTGCTCCGACCGACTGCCATCCTCTGAATGCAGATCGGACACGCTGAGAGTAGCCCAGCTCTCACTCAGGGTCTTGGGGTTATCCATCAGTCGATCTGACGTCATGTTGGTGGGTCGAGAGCGCGATAACCACTCCTCCACAGAAGCGGTCAGAGGCGGGAGGGTAGGATATTGGAGATGGGAGGCAGTCTGGGTGCTGGTGGGACGCCTGCGAGGCGACTCTGGGGCGTCAGTCATATTGGACTGGGAGGAGAGATCATGGAAAGATCATGGAACACGGGCAGAGAAGAAGCGGGAACCACGGGAGTTGGGAACTGCAGGAAATGAAGGCAAAGGCAAAGTCAGAGGCAGAGGCAGAAACGGAAAAGTGTCGATACTAGAGGGGAATCCCAAGGGATCCTGGCATGTGCCCAAATAGAAGGTCTGTTCGGGATAAGCGGTGGGTCTGCGGGGAGTTGCCGGAAACCGCGTCAGGTGGATTTCTGAGTCAGGGAAAGGGCGAGCACGGTTCAAGGTCTGACGTGGGGAAGACAGCCCTGGAGGAAAGGAGAATCCAGGAAGAGGATGACGAGGGAAACACCGGGAGGGGAAATCTGCTGTGTTGATAAGAAATGGATGACCCGCGTGTCGGTCATCTGGCGGGGTCGGGTACCTCCAGCGAGGTAGATGGTACCTGGGAGTCCACAGCTGGCAAGTGGCCCAGCAGGTACCTGGTACAACCTGGGAAGACTCAATCATTCATCTAGCAAGATTTATAAATGTCAGTATGGTAGTCATACTAATAAGTCTGCTCTCCTTTCAACAACAACACAGAGCATCCAACAGAACAATGATCTACTTGCAGTTGACTGATGATAACTCCACTCGGCCCCACCACGGGCCAAGCCTTGTACTTGGCGCTGTTAGTGTAGAGGATGACAAGGTATAGGATATAAGAGAGCATTTTCAAGACATGTCTTCCAATCAGTTGAACAACATCTATTTTGACATGCAAAATACACATGCTAGCCTATACTCCCCCCAGCAGTCCTCATACTAGACCAAGAACTTGATATCAAGGCCCTGTCTATTTACACACCAGCTCATAGCTCCGGTACTGCTTGCCTCCACTCAGGCACTGACCCACAGGGAAATCCTCGTGCTTGTCCAAGTGGCATTTCAGATCGCTGTAGACGTTGACTATTATACAATAATGGGTTAGCATTCTCTTTGCATCCGCAAGGTCAGGAAATTTTGAAAAACTCGAAAAAAAGAAGTACTTACGCTTGCAGCCCGGCGTGGCCATTTCATATTTCACAGATCGGATAAAGTCATTGGGATCAGCAAGGACATTGCATTTGTTGATCTCGGTGTTGTAGACACCAATTTCACCCATGTTCTGCTCCGAGCAGCTGGGCTTGCCGAAGATTCGGAGTTGCGCGTAACGAGTAATTGGAGACGTCTCGACTGGCACGGCTGCCGCAGAGACAGCGCTCATGCCGAGGGCAATGGTGGAAGCAACAAAGACGCTGAAGCGCATTTTGGCGGTAGTGTAGTATTGCTGTCTGGAAGAAAGCTTGGAAAAGATAGAGAGTTGTGGATTGTGGTAGATGAGTACCGGTTCCTGGGGGTGGGGGGGGGATCTGATGCCCTCTAAATACTATTTTTTTTTTCATGATCTTGGAGATTGGATTTTCCTCTCGAGAAACATTTGAGCGGTGAATCCGTGGAAGGATCATAGCAGGATGCTCTCTATACACAGCTGCTTATCCTATCGGCGGACTGCAGGGCGATGTGATTCGTGAACAAGGCGTGCAGTTCCACAGTCTCAGCCAGTTGTCTTACCCCAGGGATCCAGAGTATGGTCCATAGGGCAGGGAAAACAATGATGGAAGTATTTTTGGTATATCAGGCCACCCAGCTGAGGGTGGCTTAGGGCTGGGATCCATAGCTTACCCCACAATCCCAAGGAGCAATTCTATTGGTGTTTAGTATGAGGATGTAGATCAAGTTACCGGGATGCTAGAAGCTTAGGAAAAAGGCTATTAACTGAGCAAGCCAATTCGTATCCTTGCTTTGGGTTCCGAGAATCGGTTGACTCCAAGCTTATTCACCACGCTTTTGTTTCACAAGATCCTCCCCGGAATGATCCATTCTAGGCCAAATAGCAATTGATGTATTGATCGAGCAATCTGCAACATTGCTCAAGAGAAGGAAGCGTCAGGACGCCTGACAAGTGGACCACTCGAGGGGTTTCACTATGCATGAAAAACCACAAAACACCTGGCATGCCCCGATGTTGCGCTATCTGGTCCTGATTAAGGCGTCCCAGTCGGGCATCTATTTTGTTTGTTTTCCTGAGACATTAAGTCAAGTAATTGAACGGCCTGACAGATCACTCTTAGGGCAAGAGCTCAACTCTACTTCCAGATCGCAGCATTGGAACCAACACTTGAATGTAAGTAGAATCATCTATGGATAGAGGAAATGATTACCATTGCCCTGGAACCGGGGCTAGTGGAGCCTTTTCTGCGTGGAAATAAACCCAACGAGCCTAAAGTATATTATGCTGCTATTATTATTCACGTGATCTGCCAGGTGATTATTCCATACTCTATAGACAGCCATGCTCGATCTGTCATTTGTGAGGTTCAGGGCGGTGCAAGGGTAATCCAGTATCCAGTGGTATGGTGTTGGTCCCATGAAGTTCAGGATGGGTGGGAGGGGGAGAAGATCTGTACAGGTACATTTCATGGATGCACGCTGGAACAGACAAAAGAGGACAATAAAGCACGGGGGCGTCGAGGACAAGGGAGTAGACAAACAATAAAGAAACACAAAAGGTTGGTGGGAGGCAGGGAATGGGGACACAAACACCACAACCAAAGACAACAGGGATTTGCTGTCCCTCGGGTTCAAGATCGTCGGTAGCCCCGATATTTATGGCAAAGATGTTCGGCTGGGGAGAGATGGACTCTCGGGCCCAAAGGCCACCAGCTGCCCAAGGGCATTGTGGAAGATCACGAATGCCAACCAAACAATCTCGTAAATATATTGGCAGACTGGGGTGATCTGGCACCACGGACTGTGGGGAGCCCTTGACCTGCTTGCTTCCGAATACACAATAGTAGATCAAACAGCCCCCAGTGCGGACGCAGCAAGCTAGATGAAGATTTATTGGAAAAAACCACGCCATTGCCCCCAATGAAGAAATCCGTCAGACCCATTGAACGCCACCCAGAAAGCAAACCTCGCGGTCGACAGTAACATGCAGGCTCCAGGAGAAAACTCCCAAGGGCGAACCCAAGTGATGCTCATGGCTGAATCGATAGGCAGGAGAAGAGATGGTGGGCAAAGAAAAGAGAAATACGACACGGCGAACGGACTGGGTGCCTGGCATGTTTACGGCGAAGACCAGCCGCCCGCCACCTCGACCCAGTCGGCAAGACAGCTACCTTGTTTGCCTTCGACATCCACGATGTCAGTATCACATCGGCATCTGCAGCCGACGCCGTTCTCCTTGACCGGGTCCGGAGAGGCCCAGTACTCGTCTTCCTCGATCCGTTTCTTTTCGTCTTCGGTGGTCCTTTCGAGGTAAGGGATACGCGGTAGTTGTCGGGCGGGAGCGTTGGCTGGGCAATGTTGAATGGTGGTGTGTCGGTAGCCAAAATCACGGAAGTAGTGAATATCACTGGGCGAGAGAAGGGCACCGGCAGCAAGTGAATGGATCGGCGCATCACCCCACTGGATAAATATTAGTATACAAGCTCTTGACGATACTCGGAGGAGGGTCAAGTCACATACCCGCTCATTCCAGAAACCACCGCTTCTATCCATCGTGTTGAAGAAGTCCTCATACTCCTTGCTGCGGAACCAATCCAGGCGCGCAATCTCGAAATTGCTCCAGAAGTGGCACATGTTGTAGGATTCACCCTCCATGGCCTCGGGATCAATCTCCCCAAGGTTGTTGTCCGTGGGATCGGCATCCATAATCTCCACGGGCAGCTTGTTTTGCTTCTTCTCCCCAGCCGGAGTCTCCGATTCCTCGGGCCGTTCCAGGAACATCTCCCAGAGACCCCTCGATTCAAGTCCATTCTTGCGCTTGTAGGCTGATGCATAGCGGAAGATGTTGGGAACAGTTTCTCGAAGTTCCTTGACTGCGATGGTGAAGCCGTATGTCTTGTTCGCTTCAATCATTTTCATGAATGGATCACTGGGTTGTCAATGTGAGCAGACTGAAAGAAGTCCAAAATCCAATGGGTTTTCTTACTAAGTGATGTCGCAGAAGTACTTGATTTCAGGCTCCAGGCGCCAGTACCATTCATACTTCATCAGAAGAGGGTGCTTGTAGAAGAAGCTGTCCCAAAGTTAGTAAGACATCCCACTATTTCCTGGGGAAAAAACTGACCCTGAGTAGAACCGGCACATGTGGTGATAGCTTTCCATCCCACCGTACATGATGGCGGCATCACCCTGCTTCTTGATGCCCTCCTTGGCAACCTCGTGATCGACCCAGTCGGGGAAACCCCACATGGAACTGTCAATCTTTCCAAACTCGACAGGAGAACTGGTGTAGTTCTTCACGGTTGCTTGAAATTCTTCGTCGAAGTCGCCGTCGTTTAGGAACACGTAAGGGTAGTGGAACCACCGGTTGAAATGTCTCTCAATGGACTTGAGCGACTGGATCACCCCGTCCAATTCTTTGTTTCTCGCGAGAACGACAAATGCGGCGTTGGCTCGCGGTTCGTCTTTGGGACCCTCGGGGTCAATGGGCATACAGCCAGTGGCGAAGACTTTGTCATATTTTTCGTTGATTTTTCTATTGGAAGATCACACCGTCAGCCATAACGCACAGGGCACGCTTTTTCGACAGAGACGAACCGAATAGAGGGCGGAGTGCCCGCTGGAATTAGGATCCCTCCGGGGGACGAAGGGTGTCGGACGAAAAGAAGCAGAATCAGGAGAATTACAAGGCATGGAAATAGTAAAACAAATCCCAGGGGTATAGAAATAGAGGAGTTGCCCTTCAACCGAATCCTCCGCCGAAAGAAGGCGAATTTGGGAAGCTTGTGACTTTTTTCGTGCGGATCGTCCAAGGGCAGGCTCGGCGCGCTGGGCAGCCGTTTTGTGATCCGCTGAACGAAGCCCATGGATGCGATGACGGCGCGCCCCGGGGGAACGGTCGTAGGGCGAGGAGCAACTCAGGACCAGCACAGCCGGTGAGGAATAAAAAGAAGGGTCGAGCCGTGATTCGAGACAGGGGTGGGCTTGCGGCGCGAGTTTGGAAAATCACAGATACCACCAGCTTTGATACTGTAAAAAGGATGGTCCCGGTGGAGAGAAGAAGAAGATGAAAAAAGAAGAGGCGAGAGCGAAAGGAAGAGAAAATGACAGCAAAACGAGTGGCCGGAGGAATGCCTCCTTTCCTCCCCCAACTTTTCCTCAGACCCGAGGTCGATGCCGATGGATAGGAAGGGTGTCAGCAACGCAGTCGACCGTCTGGAACAATGAATTCCACAGGGAAGAGCGCGAGGACATCAACGGATGAGGATGATGGGGGGAAATGGGAGACTGGAAATTGGGGATGGGGATGGATTGGTCTCTGCCTGCCAAGGCCAGGGAGGCGGAAGCGTGTCACACCAAAACGGCATTCGTACGCGGATTGGCAGAGACATGGCGTCAGAACGGGTAAGGTATGGTCATGGTAATATTGGATTGTCGCAGGGGTGGTTTTTCTTTCTTTCTTTTTTTTTGCATTTCCTCGTTTTTTTTTTTTTTTTTGCAGATTTCAAACTTCAAATTTCAGCTTTCAGTATTTTTAGTCGATATTTATAAGGTTGGTCTGCGGTCGTTTGGTGTTTCAAGATCTTAAGTTGATGGAATGCATTGTTGATTTTATTTACATTTTTATTATTATTCATTTGTCTCTCCGAGCTCTCCGAGGTTTAGCACATGACGATCCTCCAGCCGTTGAGGATCCATCTGGTCCCAGGAACCTGTCAGGGCTATTGGGAGAACCCCTGGACAACTATAGATGTGATCTAGATGTGACTCCCAGCCTCCCAGATGGTTCCCTTGGCAATTGAATCGCAGTAGATCGGGTACCTTGCATAACAATAAATCTCAATACTTGGTAGTTTGGCCTCGCTCCACCTTGCCCCTAAGAAGAATAATTCTTTGTTTTGGTTCTATAATTATGACACGATCAGACCAAGTGGCCAGAAATCCCACGTCAGGACTCTTTTAGCGACTAGGCCAAGCTGAAGCAAGCAAGGAACTACTGGAGTATACACTGAAGGGGTATAGAAAGAGGTAGGGATAATGATCGACATCTCTACCGACGTAGGTGCCTTTATGGAGTGGATTTCCTCTGAGGAGTGGGGCTTTCCTATCTGAGCTGCCGCCGCTTTTATGAGGGCGCTCAGAGTCAGGCTCACTGAGTACATTTCAGTCCGGACTTAGGGTCACTGAGCAGATCAGGGCTCTCACGTGAGGAATTGCTGAGGTCCAATGAGCGCTCACTGAGTGCTCAGTGGATACTCAGTGATGACTTAGAGGCTCATCAGAGCCATCTACTGAGCACTCAGACTAAGCTCAGTCTATACCTAAAAGAGCTCTTAGGTCCCACCGTACTGTTTATTTGTATATTAATTGTTTGATAGGCCTAATTATACTGTAAGGGTAAGACTACTCGCAGGGTAGCTAGCCTGTTGATCGGGCAAGGATAACCACTAGGAGGAGGATAGATGACATTGGCGAACTAGGCTCTGCTATACAAAGACTGACTCTTGAAGAAGCAGAATCAGTTAGGCCCGCATCTAGCAGCATTCATAGGGTTTCGTGGCCATCGGGGTACTAGTGAGGGACATCAAGCTTGCCCCCGAAGCGATGGCGGCCACTGCCAAGGAGATGCAGCGCCAGAACGCTTCGACGTGGGGAGATAAAGCCGGTATTACCCACCTCTCGTGGCTCACCAAGCCGTGGGAGGGCTAGTATGTAGCTAAATTGGTCATCGAGATGGACAACCCCTTAGTGGCCAACGAGGCCATACTGCATGGAGTGATTTAGAACGGCCAAATCCATACAGCGTCGATTCTCTGCCGTGATGGGCGCTCGGAGCAATGCCGCAAATGTCAAAAATTTAGATATATACAATCACTCTGTCCGAACCAAGCCAAGTGTGGCCAGAATAGCCAGAACGGCCAGGGCCAGGACCGACGTCAACAGAATACAGCACCGGCACCGACGTAGATAAACGCCTCTCAAACCGCCGGCTTGGAAGCCTCGCAGCATGCTCCAACCCCCGCGGAAGCGTCGGCAAACCAGGGATTCACTATAGTCACGCAGAGGCAGAAGCGAGGCCCGGGCAAACCACCAGGGTCCAAGAACAAGTCCAAAAACAACGACAACGCCACGTCCCAGCCGGACCAAGCCCAAGCTGCTATCACAGCAAACCGGTCTCGAACCGAGGCCTTAGGGGAGCCGATCGTCTTATCCCAACCAGCGGTTATCATCAATAGTATCACTCAGCGAACATAGCGCGAGCCGAGCATCGGCTCAAACGAGCTAGACCTTACACCCCCGAGCCAGCTCTTTTTAAGCTCGCAAAAGGCCAGAACGGCTGTACTAGATGAGCTGATGGATGAGGATTGGCCTGGTATAGCAGCGGCGGCCAACGAAGAGATAGAAAGACAGGAGCAGGAGTAGCCGGATCTTCCATTTGCAAAACCACCTGCCACTATCAACCTGGCGGGAATTCGGTGCAAGTGATCTTGATTTACCACTTTTGCTGCCTCTTTGGTTCACTCAGTGCTGTCTCCTGGAGTCGTTTGTGTACGCCCCGGGGAGGACAGCAGACCTTATGGGGTGCGCAGTGGTGCGCTTGTTACGAGCTCAACTTGGATTTGAGATAGAACATACGGTGGTCGCAGGGATAGATGAATCACCCACCGATGGTATCGTTGAGATTGGCCTAGAGATGATTAAACGAGCCTCTCTCCCAGTTCCTCCTGACCTATCGACGCTCCTTGCTTGTTGGCCCTCTAAATTCGCAGAAAAGATGCTTCTGCTGTCTTCAAAACCACTCCAAAACTTGGGTGTTCTACTCGGTATCTCCGCGGCGCTAGTTGAGCTCCAGGGGGTGATCGCAGAAGCCCCTAATGTCGGACTGCTTTCGCCGGAAAGTTATGCTCATTTGGAAGTTATTTTTCGTCGGCAATACCACAATTTGCAAGAGTGCCAGCAATACATATCCACGGATGAGACGCTGCTTATGGATCATTCGTATGGGTATGCTATGGCGAAAGCAGAGACTGGCAATTGTGTTAAGGTTAATGTATAGAAAGAGCAGAAATCAATAGAAAGCGGTCTTGTGTCGTGTATTACGGAACTACACAGGCGAGATAGCAAAAATCAATTATCCCTATCTCGCTAAGCTCCACCAAAACCTATTTTTGTCAGCAAGGCGTGGATGGCAGAGACTGTAAAGAGGAACAAAATCACCGACACTAGGTATACATGGTTATGAGCAACACACTAAATATTCGATTCATTGTCCTTGGCAACTGTTTCGTAACAACGAAGCACCCCAATTCGTCGAATAGACTGCAACCTGACACCTGTGAATAGTACATATGCGCCGTTCCCACTTTTTAAAACAAGGTTATTCATTCGAAATCCTCTTCGCTCTCCTGGTGAAATGCTTATGGAAGCTTTTCCAAGTACAAGTGAAATAGTATTCTGTATGACCAAAAGCCAGAGTTCCTACCAGGCCCCATCCAGAGCATTTACGCAAGTATGCTAGGGGCATGTACAAAGATGGCCGCTAGGGTACCTCTCGGGGTGCCTACGGGATTGTCCAACATGCTGCAGAAGATACTCGCTTTACGTCATAGCAAGTAGAAGATGTATTCCTAATTTCATTAACGCATCGAGATGAAGATATAGTAGCCGTAACTCAAGGCCTTGTCTGGCGCGGATTCGCGCAGAAATATTCGAGACTTAAGAGCTTGCATTCAGGCGTCAGATTGCTATGGTTCTTCACGACTTAATCGTGGACGCAATTCAAATATCCAAGTTCAAATTAAAACTGCATGGTTACATTGGAATGCAGGCCTTTCCGATATCGTCGCATGTGACTACACCGTCATCTTTGGTTCGTTTTACCTACACAAGAATAGGAAATTTTTGGTTGTGTGGAATAACAGAAAGGCAGGAATTAATTCGTGGAGCACATCCGAGAATCAAGTTGTCCCCGGCTCGAATTGCGATCAACCCCGCCACCGGAGAATGACAAGACAAGATTGGCATCCTCGGACTCTTGATAGCCATCGGAACACAGGGTTTAGAGACTCTGCGGGGTCAGCGATCGGACCAACTCCGAAATATCCTCACAACGTCAAGGCGGCAAGTGGAGACACGGCAGGGCTGGCAGGGCTGGCATGGTTGATTGGAGGATCAGATCAATCCCTCCATCATCATCATCGAAGAAGCCTCGGGGATATTCTGCTGCTCCACATACCCCTCAAGTCGCCTCGGAATTGACATGCCAGCTACAGAACTAGCCATAAATACCCTCTTACTCCTGGTACCTGTTTGATATAGCAGCCAAGACTCCCTCGAGCGCGAAAGACGACCCCTATTCAAAATGCATGCAACATCGGTTGTGTTGGTCGCCCTGTCCTTCCTAGAACAATTAGTCGTGCCTCTAGTGGAGGCGAGCAGTATTCCTCCTCAAGCCCAGGTCATCGATCAACGATCCTTCAATGTTTTGAATGCAACGCAGCCACCAAGTGAATTCAATGCAAAGAGTGTATGTGTCACCCTTTACCCTCTCAAATAACCTTGCCCCAGGGTGTGCTAACAATTTGATGATAGGTTTTTGTTCCCCCAGGCCACACTGAAAAAAGCCTTATCAAACGCCCATTCCATGTATACGACCAGGAGTTTTTGAAGATCATTGGGAAAGCTCCAACTCTCACCCGGATTGCGCACTCGCCTAAGAACCCTCTATATCACGAGGCCGTCGTATGGTATGCGACTCAGAGCAGCTCAACTCCAAATCCAGCAACTAATGCAAGAATTGCTATGACAGGGCAAAAGAAAAAGATGAAGTTTTCTTCGTCCAGAACGCAGGTGCCAAAAATGCCAGCACCGGACTCAACACATCGGCCATCATCCAGAAGATTTCTCTGGCAGATGTAGCGACTGTTTCTAACCGGACCAATGCTGTGGGTCTGTTCAACGTCTCCACTGTCCCGTCATCACCGATGGTGGTCAATCCGAACGGTATGCTACTATATTACTCTCCAGTTGGTAAGACGGATCTAACCTGACCACTACCAAAACAGGTGCGACAAACTATCGCGGAGAAATCATTCTCACTGGCGAAGGCCAGGGCGATAATAAGCCACCTTCCTTATGGCTCATGAACCCACAAGAGCCATACAATACAACTGGTTTGTGCACGACCCCTACGGTATGTACTAAAGATAGACTCGGTAGCTAATCAAGACAACATAGTCCTCTTAAACAACTACTTCGGTCGCCAGTTTAACTCGCTGAACGACGTCGCCATCCACCCGAAGAAGAAAGACATCTATTTCACAGACACAATCTACGGATACGTGCAAGATTTCCGTCCCGCCCCGGGCCTGCAGGACCAGATTTATCGCTTCAACCCAGACACCGGGGCTGTAACGGTTGCTGCGGATGGCTTTGAGCATCCCAATGGTATGTCCCCCGCCCAGATCTCGTTAACTACATCATACAGAGAATCTAATTCCTTTAACACCTAGGCTTTACCTTCTCGCCAGAGGGCGACTACGCATATGTTACCGACACCGGCATCGACAGTGGGTTTTTCGGCGTGAATTTTACTCGTCCCGCTTCGATGTATGATTTCCTATCTTCCTGTTTCATAGATTGGAGGGAAACACTGACTCTTGTTCCAGTTATCGCTTCGATGTCAAAGAAGACGGCACTCTCGAGAACCGCAAGACCTTTGCCTTTGTCAATTCTGGCGCGCCTGATGGTAAGTTGAACATATCCATAGACGTTCATTGCTAGTTCGGAACAGAAGAAACCCCCACAATTTAAATTTTGTACTCACACTTTCCCTATTGGATAGGCATTCATTGCGACTCCTGGGGTAATGTATACGCCGGCTGTGGCGATGGCGTTCAAGTGTGGAATCCGTCCGGCAAGCTCATCGGGAAGGTATATATTGGGTCTACTTCGGCGAACTTCAACTTCGCTGGGAAGGGCCGGATGGTTATTTGTGCTGAGACGGACCTCTATTATGTAACTTTGGATGCTGCGGGAAGTTATGTTGATAGTGAGATGTAGAAGTTAGATTCCGGCTTCCAGGTCATCTATAATTCTATTCTCTATCTTTAATATCTTAGAGAATATTTTAACTTTCATAGCTCTATCCTTCTATAGCATGTTCAAAAAGACTACCTTAAATTGAAGACTACATATTGACTAATTCTCATGAAGTATAAAACCAGCTCTGCGTTAAAAATGTCAGGTATAGAATATTGCAATGTCCTAGGAATTGTTGGCCTTGAGTAGATATGGACAAGCGGACTTAGGAGTATAATCTGATTCTTTAAGGTATCATGATTGTGTTAAGCGTACTTTTTGGCATAGATTTGTGTTGCTTGCCTATTCCAGTTCTTATTGTGAGACCAGGAGGGATTCGGTCCGTGCTAGTAATAGTATACCACTGCTATTGAGATGCCTGGTTCTAATAATAGGATTTTAAGGGTTTACAGACGTTCATGCGCTGATTTAGCATATAGATGCCTACAGAATTAGGTGTCTGTAGCAGAAAGAGGACAACTGTATCGGTGGCGCCTCGCTAGTAAGAATCCACCTTCCACATATCCGACAGGGGCTATCGTGAACGCAGATTATTAATTAGGCTTGTGGATTTTTCGCTGGTGCAGCGGTCAGGTTCACGGCGATAACGGGAATAATGGATTTACGGGCATCACCATCTCTAATTCATGATTTTAGGACAATGAATTGTCACCGGAGCAAGATGTCCTAATAATAAATGACATTTATGTGGAAATCTTGACTGCGGCTTAATTATTGAACAATCGTTTCAAGAAATATCCAAGGGTTTGCTGAGAGATGAAGGTAGTTGTCTCATCTGTCTGATGCACGAAGCCAAATATAGCATACAGAAGTTATGGCTGCGTTTTCCAGGCATTCCATCATGTCAGCTGATCCCACACTACAATATATAAAAGGGAGGGCTTCTGGGGCAACCATTTCAGAACAATAGCCCTCCCAACTTCCATTACATTCCCATTCCAAGATTTACTTGTACTCAGGGAATTCTTCGGCCGTCCAAACTTTCCAGACGAGTCTTTCGCCGCTAACGGTACCGGTCCTCGTGATGTCTAGGGCCGTACAAGCTCGCTCTAGCAGCGTGTCCCCTTGAACAACTCGCTGGTTCAATTGCGCCTTGAGCAAGTAGAGTGGGCAAGATCTCCAGGAAAAGATTTCCCCTCAGGAAGGCATTCTAAAGGCGCATTAGCAAATATTTCAAGGCTGAGCATAGGGAAGTACTCCACATACCGCTTCATAACCGTAGCTGACAATGCTATGAATTTCCACAACCTTTGCCCAATCTGCCCCCGTGGAGACATGAGCAGACAGCTGCAGTCCATTCGCGTCCGAGGAGCTATTAATCACAACAGGCAAAACAACTGCGACCTTGGAGCCTGCTCGGGTCGCAATTTTTGAAATAGGAAGCAAGGAGCCGAATTTGGAGTCGACGCAATCAAAGACGCGAATCGCCTCAGGGGATTTGCTCGAGGTCAAAAGCTCAAGAATACAGTCAACGACGCCAGTACTGCGATAATCAAAAACATACGCTGCGCCATAACATTTAAGCTTTTTCTCGTGCTTGAGGGATGCCGCAACAATGACATTCTTGTATCCCCAATTCTTGAGAATTTGAACTGCAAAGTGACCAACTGAACTACCGGCTCCCCAGATCAAGATTGGAATTTGCTCGTCACGAGGCACAAAGTTCTCAGGGCAGATTTTCTGACAGGGAAAGGAAAGCCGTGCAGAAATTTGTGGGAATCGTGGATGCAGCCGCAAGAGACATTCCTTCTGGCACCTGTCTGATAACTTAGTTTTCTTAACAATATAGCCAGACGGATGCATAGACCTTTGACAAGAGATGGTTGGGGGCGGTACGTAGACTTGCTGTCCCTTTGATGTACGCTCAAGCCCGGCCTTGACTATCATAGGAAATATCATTGGCTGCAAGACTGTTTTGGTATCGCCCCGAGAGTCACCGTGTGCTTTGAATTTGTAGTGTATGTACCCAAAGTGTTCGCGGGACTAACTTTTGCTCCCAGCCAACTTGCACCCGACACAATAAGTAGCCGAGTCCGTTGGATAGCGAACTAGGCGAGCCCCATTGTTACCTATAGATGTCACGAAGCAGAGAAGTGCCAAGTCCCGACAACCGTATCAATCGGATAGGAGGATACTCTTAGAGTTGGATCAAGTACAGTATATAAATGTAATGATTGCTCAACGTTTGCCTTCCTACAGTACTAGTTGTCAGCACGCGTAGCGTCTAGAAGGGCAGTGATCAGTGGGTTATCGCGTATTAGTTACTGTGCTTCTTTTTCTTACCCAGTCGATCTATTTTCTATCACTGAAGCACTATATTCCTATAAGCCGTCACGAGACTGTGTAGCCCTAAATAATAGGGCCGACGCTGAAATTGGAGGTACTCTAACGGTGTAGCTCTAATATAACACAGAGCAGTATGTCCCTATATAGGACTTGCTCAATTGGCTATAAAAGGTCACATTCTGATTTATTTTAGGAGACACTCCTACCTCCATAGAGGCCAGGCCTATCCATCAAACATAGACAGTTCTAGTAAGCCTCTTTTAATGGAACAGACGGAAGAGCGAGAGGCGCTACTAGTTATAACAGATAGGATCGATGATGAAAAAGATGTTACGTACAATATAGTGGAGACAACAGTATAGGTAAGAATATAATAGTCTAAATCGCGGTCCCGCTGAAAACTTAGCCTCCTATTTTATAGAGTGCCGAAGACGAGAAGCCAAGCTTGGCCGCGGATCTATTCTAGCCAGTACTCGAGATCTTACAGCGGCTAGAGTACGAGGATCTAAAGTTAGCTTCGTAGGGCGCCCAGCTATTGGGTCTCTACCGGCGTATATAGGAGTCGTATGGTTCTAAACACGTCGATATCTAGCGATTTAAGGACGCCGACCAAGAGCTACGGACCAATAACGTTCAACTATACCACGAAGCAGACCATCTAGAACACCGGCAAGGTGACAAGCTAGCCCAGTTGCACTTCTTTGTCATGATATGGCAGTAGCGCTACTATAAATATCGGTCCTGGGCTGTCCGAGCAGAGGCTCGGACATAGTGGTCTTTTGGTCTAGTGTGTAACTGCGTGACCCAGGCGCTGGTTATAACATATACTATACCCTAGGTCCTAGGGAGTATATAGGCGGCTCCTAGGAGCAAAAGTTTGGACGGTCACAATAGTGATAATAGATAATCATTCCTAGGAATATACACTTCTTGGCGAGAGATATAGCTTTACCGTCACATCCCACTATAACTTGCGCTAGAGCTCCCTATAAATATACTGTAGATCTCGGAGCAGACTCAACCGAATTTCCCTAGCACTAGTAATTCGTAGTCTAATTTAGAGATCGCGAGGGGAGTAGATAAATAATTCCTAGGAGCTCGCGTAGGAAATGCAATATCGGTTGGATGGTCAGGCTCTATTATGACGCAATTAGTTACAGTAAGTTTACCTAGATTAATAGTCGCACTAACGTTCTCTATGCTTTTTTGATGGGACGATGTGGGTAATTCAGAAAGGAATAGTGGGCATGTGAATGAAGCTAGCGTATTGCATTTTATTGAGGTCTCTTCTGGGCTGCTCGCCTCGACACTCAGATCGTGCTCAGTGAGCGAACCAGAACGCTCAGGCGTGATCAGTGAGCGGATCAGATAGCTCAGCTGATGATCAGGTGATGCTCAGTGAGCGGGTCAGATTGCTTATATAATGATCACTGAGCAGGGGGGTATTGATAGGGGCACCTCAAGATTTTCGCTATTGACACCTCATTTTCTGATATAAGCAAAATCGCTGATATAATCAATTTTCGTCACTATAGCAACTATATACTGCATATCTACTCAATATTCTGCTTTATCTCTTTTTCTCTTCTACTACTACCCTGCTAGTTCTTCGCTTTCTGCATACCCTATCTGTCTCGTCTGCTCTATCATATATACCATACAAACCAACCCCGCTATACCTACCCCCAGCACCCCTACTACCGCTACTCCCCCTAATATCTCTGCTGCCACTACTGGCAATTCGACTGTCGATTTGCTTACTAGACCCCTCGCCAATTCGCCTACTGATTCGCCTGCCGATTCGTAGACATGGACAGACCCGTTGTTACGCACTGGTCACCTATGGATGTTAGCTGGAACCTGAAGGTATACTTCTCTCAAGATACCAAGACACGTGGGTCTTTCTAGTTATACTAGAAGACCAAGGGTTTTCTAGTATTAACGATATCCGGCCTCGCAACCGTACTGTTGCCTTGTTCGTTAGGTCTTACATAGGCTCGGGTCTATTGAGGTATCGAGGAACGATTAAGGTGAGGAGTACTTAGTAATAGAAGTATCGAAGGTGCTTCACTACTAGAGGGGTTGTTTTGAGAGGATCACAGTGTAAACGAGACAATCTAAGTTGAGCTAGTAACTAAGGTTGATAATATGAGTTAAACGCGAAGAGCTAGATATATAGCAAATGAGCGTCTTTATATATCCTTCTCTTCCTGACGGTATCCTAGTAGATAGTAGTATAGTAGCTATTAGTGACTATGCTATCGTTGATCGTTCTACTATTTCCTAGTCACGTGACGCTAATACCCCTATTAGTATAAATTAGTTGGCTCTGATGTTCCTATTCTGTAGGACGCTAAGGCGCTAACGTGGTTAGTCTATAATATCACCTTCCCCTCTCGTGGGTTTTCGTCCTCAGAAATATAAATAGGCTTGCGTTGTCTAGTCGTCTTCGAATCTCCCCTTTTAGTGAGTGCTTTTTCCTCTTTCTATTGCGTTATACCCGCGAAGCGTAAAGCTAACGTTGTCCTGGAAAGCGTTCCTAAGGTATCTCGAAGTCGGGGTGCTGGTCACGAGTATTAAGCGGAATATATTTAACGATTCGGTTTTGTCCCTTCAGTTCTTTACGAGAGTTATCGCGATTCTGGTAAAGAATGTGTGATAGATCGGACCCGAAGATATTCGAAATATATGTCGTGCACGCGGTAGGGTTACCCGTGTAAACGTGACTTCTATACCAAAAAGGAGTGGTCTTTGCTTTAGTAAGTAAAGGAGAAAATAGTAATAGATTTATCGGCTGCTGATAACGAGCTAGATCTGTTAGAGCCGGAGTTGAATTAATTATAGGCTTGTCTATCGGAGGTATAGAGCAAAATTGCTGAGACCTTAGCTTATTATACCCGATTACGGAAACAACAAAAATTCTTGGAATAACGCGGGTTTAAAATATTAGAATATAATATAGAATTGTTAGCAATTTTAGATATAAAGAAATTGTCCCTAGAGTAGGTTTCCCTTTCTGCTCTCGATATTAAGTAGTTGTTGTCTACTGCTAAGAATCCGAACTTTGATTAGATTCTGGCAGAGATTAATCGGATACCCCCGAGTTCTAGATAAGTACTGACTCCGCGATTGTCGATACTAGTGGAGTTGTCGAACTAGTTAGGAGTAACCTGTTAGATACTTAATAGGTTCCTATATGTTTTTAGAGGTATTGTACCCTTTCTATTTAATAAAATAGTAAGGCTTGTTACTAATACGTTTATTGTCTAGAATTTTTTCGACTTTATATTCGTTTTCGGTTTCTTCCTCGATCTTTATATTAGTAGCGAGTTCGGCGTTTTCCGGTGCGGGTTCGAGTAACGAGATATAAAAGACTAGATAGGTATATTGTATACTATTAGGTAGATCTAAGAGATATATAACTAGTCCTTTTTTTCCTTTAATAGTAAATGATCTAATTCTTAAGTAATCGAGTTTGTTGCTAGGTTATTTAGTCTTAATATTTCGACGTAGGAGATATACTTTCCCTCCTTTTTTAAGGTTAGGTCCCTTCTAGTGGCGTTAGTTATAATATTTTTTTATATAGAGGTTAATAAATTCGATATCTCTGGATAGCTATAAATATAGCTATTTAAGTCCTATAGCTAAAAGATTAGCTGATTCTGCGATTGTCTGTTTACCGATTAGTTCGCCGATGATTATGGGATTATATTTATAATTTGCGAAAAATAGTATTTTGTTAGTTGTTGAGTTTATTACGTTATTATATACGAGTTATGCTATTAGTAGCAATCCTGTCTAGTTATTCTGCTGATAGTTAACGTAGTATCTTAGGTATTGCTCGAGGGTTTAGTTGACTCTTTCTGTTTGTCTATTAGTCTACGGGTGGTATATAGTAGAGAGTCTATGCTTAATACCTATAAGGTCCGCGAATAATTGCTATATATTCGATGTGAATAGCTTGTCTCTATTAGACGTGATTTTGCTTGGTATACTGTGGTTTGCGAAAATATAGTGAAGTAATATATTTACTATTTAGGTCGCGTTAATCTGTTTAGTTATTAGGATTATATAAACGTATTTAGTTAGTCTATCGACTATAACCATAATTATATTATATCTATCCGAGTCTGGTAGCTTCGTGATAAAGTCTATAGTGATCTATTCCTAAGGTCTTGTAGGGGTTTCTGCGGATTGTAATCTTTTATATTATATATATCTTGCTAGTTTATTTCGTTGATATATATTGTATTGTTGAGTGTAGTATATGATTTTTCGTTTTATATTCGGAAAGTAGAAATTACGTGAGATCTATTCTATGGTTTTCTCGGTTCCTATATACCTATATATAGGTATATCGTGGTGACGTTTAATAACTTCTTCTTGTAGTAATATTAGAATATATATTAATCTATATATATACACGAGTCTGGTTTTATCTATTATTAACTTGTCGTTTTCTGCTAAATCCTTAAATAAATCTTATATTACTTAGTCGTTAGTAGTAGTTTCTCGGA